CCCCCCCCCCCCCCCCCCACACACACACACACACACACAAAAAAAAAAAAGTATGCTCGAGAACTACTGAACGAATAATTTCACGAAAGATCCTTCGCGTATACGTAATTGGTAGTTGTTTCAGCGTATTGCAGACCCTGCGGGGTTCCAAGCCCAGCTATCAGGAATTGCTACGTGGTGGTGTATAAGGTGCTACTGCATTCTCTAAGCTGTGTAATGTAACCGTTTTGACATCACCACAGCATCGGGAACAGTCGGCGGTGTGCTGTAACGGCTGCAGCTGTACATGTATGACTTTAAACACGTACGATCTGACCTCAATAAAGCACCACAAGCTTAGCAAGGCTTATCGAGGCCCCTGCTCGCATAGGGACAGAACCTTCAGTGTTTTCGCACAGCGAATGAGCCAAATAACTTAGAGCCTACAGGCTGGAACAGCTCGATAAGCGCACGGTTCAACGTCAATTGGGCATTTCCAATCTAAATGTATGGAACTGATTTACTACTTGAGTTGCATTAAGACCAGGATAGGATGTCTCCAGCAAAGCACAAATTGTGCGCCGAGGTCACTAAGATACCAAGGAGTGTAATACAGACTCTCCTGCAATGCAAGATCCTAGTACAGACTAATTGAAAGCAATTCTTCGGGCGAATGGAAAGCAGCGTGACGAGGCGAGGGAATCTGCGTCATTGTGTCCAGAATGAATGGGAGGAAGTGAATGGTGCAACGCACTATCATGCGGGCAGGCTTTTCGTTGAGGCTGACGGAGATGCTCGCAGCGCTACCCTACGTTCTGATGAGGGAGTAGGCACGTAAGGCCAGGTTGTTGGTAGTCCCATTAAGTAGTCCAGTTTCTGATACCAAAAGAACTGACCTACACATCAAACGGTATTTTTGTTGAGGTTGAACTATTGGCATATCCTAGGGGCTGGGGGCTAACGACTCGCTCTCTCAGGGATGTGCCGCTTAGTGAGACCCTGATTCAGGGGTGTGCATCACCAGTCGATTTCAATTGAAACTGCCGAAGAACGTACCACCTTATCAAAAACCATCAATCATACTCGGGGGCTGGATTTGCAAATGGCTGGACTCAACATCGCTAGATGTGAGTTCGAGTAGATGTGGACAAAAGCCGGCCTACCTAAGTAACTGGGTAATTTAGGCTGCTGGTGGGTTCAGCACCATGCTAAAAGAAGCCGCGCGGCGGGGGACAGGCGGTCAAGGTTGCAGCGCCCAGGGCCTGCACAGGTATCTCTGGAAGTATAAGTACGTACCTTGTACTTGTACATGGGTCCTGTAACCGGTGAAGGGGGCACAGGATTGCTGAGAGAGCTGTAAAGCAACATAAAATGAGGACCACCCGCAGAGCCGCTATTGAACACGCGTGGTCTTGGGCCTGCAGCGCGTCTGCATCCGCCACCCATGTCTAGCTCACTGCTAGCTACCACACGATGATTACAGTAAGTCAAACAATGAATTCACAACCTATTACGCTGACCCGTCAAGTAGTTGGTAAATCGGCTACGGTCGACCTTCTGGCCTCGCACCGGTCAACCCACCGCAGAAGCAAACGATCAACGAGAAGATGTTCTTGTCAAGAACCAAGATCGGACACTTCTGGGGCCTGAAAGTCCTGCCGCACTGCAATTGGATAAACTCCAGGGCGACATTGAGAAGATCCGGGAACTATGCAAAGTCTCGTCCATTTGTTACGCCGTTTTCCACCGCGGTCATTTCCTAGATGGGAGTGTAGGCTTATGCGACAGGGAAAATAGTCGCTCTCCTGACCGTCACACACTCTATACACTCTGCTCGATTTCCAAAACCTTCGTTGCTGCTTGTATTGGCATCTTAGTTGAGGAGCGCAAAGTAGAATGGACAGATACGTTGGAGAAGCTCTTGCCGGAGTATTTGCCACCAGGAGATGACAAGCGTGTCTCGACTGAAGCGACGCTCAACGACTTTTTCAGACATTCTAGTGGGCTGGGTAATCCTGTTGTCACATGGCTAGGACCTAAGGGAAAGGTTCTAGTCGCGGAAAGGGGATTCATAGAGCTGCTCAATGATACACCAGTCGGTCCTTTTCGGTCCCATTGGGAATACAGTAACATTGGGATTGGCATGATGGCTTTGATCGTCCAAAAGGTCAGCGGTCAGAGATTTGCTGACTTCCTTCGGGAGCGCATTCTGCGCCCTTTGGGAATGGATGACACGGCAGTGTCTAAATCTGACGTCTTGGAAAGTTGCAACACGGCTCATCCATATGTTCAATTGGGAGATGCTAAGTGGGTCAAGGTTGAGCACGAGTGGACATCGGAAGACCATACTCCCATTCTTGGAATGATTGGGATCAGAAGTTCAGTGAAAGATCTCACTATATGGGGCATTGCAACCATGGCCGCGCAGAAGTACACGCCGTTCGAATCGTCACGGCAGGAAATCGAGGTTCCATTCTCAAAATCACCAATACAAAACCCTTTGCGACAGATGCGTGCCATTTTGGACGATTGGTATTGGACTCGACCGCACGAAGATCCTCATCAGAACACTTCTCAGTATCACCTCAGTTGGATGAAGGTGGAGATGCCATCTATGATGACACATTGGGGTTCTTATAACAGCAAATTAGCGGACAATGCGGAGTTACGGGATCAATCATACATTGATCAACACATTCTTGGGCAGCATTCTCCACGCCAAAAATTAATCAAGTCGGTTGGCCTGGGATACTGCTGTGCCAATACTCTCCAGCTATACCCAGACTCAGGTTCTGTTATCGTTGTACTTAGCAATGGATTGAATCTGGGAGATGCAGCCGACTTCACGGCTTCGATCCTGTCACAAGATATATTCAAACTCACACCTTCTGTTGACATCCTAGGCATGGCCAAAGATGAGTGCGGGGAGCGTCTCAGAATCTACGAAAAAATGATGGCCAAGTGGAAGCAACATCGGGATGTGTCAGAACCAGAGTCTTCCCTTGATGACTACATTGGAGACTATCGTTTATTAGGATTGACATTATCAGTTCGCCGATCCCCCAAGTTACGGACTCTGGAACTGTGCTTCAATAATAGAGAGGAGATTGTACAGTCTCTTGAGTACTACAGCAAGGACAAGTATAGTTACATGCCAAGGTCGAGGGATGAATGGCTGCGAGGCGCCTGGCTTGACTGGGATTACTACCTGGTGGGCATTTTGGATTTCGTCAGGGACGCTAAAAACCAGGTTATTGGCGTGAAGTGGATGTACAATGACTGGACGCCGGCTGTTTTCTTTAAAAGAGCGTAGCATGCGTAGCATATGAAAGCGTTTATTTCGCCTCATCTTCATTCCGATGGCGATGTACAAGCATCATCGAGCGTCGAGGTTCAACCGGTGAGCGTGAAATTCTGCAAATCGCGCATCGCGAGGCTCCAGTGTGACTTCAAGCGGGAGTTGCTTGGATGCTGTTGGTACACGTGGGTTCTTTTCCGATCAAGTGGGTGTAGAAAGCCGGCAGCTGATTTGCTAGTTCCACTTGTGGCAGGAGCCTGCTTGTCGCAGAATTGATTGTGGCCATACATCTCCGAAGCGGGGGGAGCGGGATGATGGCACAGCCATGAGACGATCCAGGAATCTGTACCGGCCCGAGGTACCATATAATGAGTTCTTTTGTCAGAGGAAAATACTTGCATTCGCACGACTCTCTGGGAGCCTGACTGTCAAGAGTCATAAACATGACAAACACGGCACTCGTATTAGTTGGTTGAACCGCAACAGCCTCAACGTCTTGATCCTCATATTGGCTTACCCCAACTCTCCGCAGTTGAGCGTCAAATACAGTTACTACCAACTTCATAGAAGTTTTGATGAGCCAGTACCAATCTCGGATCCGGTATGCGTCAGAATACATCTGCTTCAACGCTAGCAAAGCTCATAATATTTAGAAAATCACGCAGCCGTATCAAGTTACAAAATGCCGGAAACATCAAATGAAAGCACAACAGGATCTGGCGGCGGGAGGGGGGGCGGCGGCGGTGGTAGCGGCAGTGGAAGCGGCAGTGGAAGCGGTAGCGGCCAGGGTGGAACTAAATCTGGATAACTGCCTTTGGGGCAAGGCTACAAGTGTGAGGCTCAGACGAATATTGGGCGGTGATGCTTGTTGTCCTCGTCTTTTGCTTGGAGTTTTTAGCCTCATATTTTTTGGACTCTGTACCCATAAATGGTCAGCCTGATGTTTCTCGAACATGGCGCTCATGCCCCCTTGAGTAATTTTCTAGGTGGGTGGTCAGACGGATATCTTTTTGGCAAGCTTCGATCGAAGTGTCTCTCAATACCGCCCTGTGTACATAGCCTTCCTTCCTTTACGCATCGGGCACCTCTGCATTTCATATGGCATTGTAATGGCACACAAGAGATATTTAACAAATGGGACGCTTGGAAGTAGAACCCATTTGCACTGATTCGAGATTATGCCCGAAGTTCTCCTGCTTGAACCTCGCGATGTATGTAGTCTCTCTGGTCTGTCGGGCGTGGCAGCCTGATAGCTGTTCATTGTCGAGATGGGACTTACGTCCGATCTGACTTAGTAGCAGGCATTCCCAGACCACAAACTGAGGTTTGACGAGGAATTGCATACAGAACCTTTGATTTTGAATTTTCTTTTGGCAGCAGTTGCTGAGCAATTAGTCAGAATGAACGAAATTCGAGACGAGGCTGTTTCCCAGTACCTGAACTCTTTTCGTTCCTGTGAGAAGAAACGGATTCAGGACGTGACGAGCCTTGCAGCGCTAGAAGCGAGGCTGGAATATGATGTTCGCCAGTTCCACGGGAAAAGTTCGGTCCGGTTGCTGAATAGAGTTCAACCTCTCATCAGATGGCTAGCTGGCTTCAACGAATGTGTCAAAGTATTCCTTCAAGCAGCACCTCGCGAATTTGTCGTGGTTTGGGGAATCCTATCATTTCTCTTCGAGGTAATAGAGTAATGAGAAAGGGACAAAGTACAGACCAAAGAATTGACATGTATGCAGATAGCGGCTCGTTTCCAACGGCGGGGAGAGCAAGTTTTGCAGGTTCTCGAGGATATCCAAAGTGTCGCCCCTCGGTTCACATACTACGCGGAAACCCTCCGTAACACAACATATCGGCCATTACGAGACGCACTTGTGAGCTATCATGTTGTATTGACGGAAGTCTGCATCAAGTCGATTCGCTACGTTCAAGGAAACGCAATCGGTAAGACGCATCACGTGTCCGCTCAGCCAAGTCGCTAAGTACTGGAAGAAAACTTGATCAAAGTCGCCTTCCAGCCAGGAAGCCTTCAAACTCAACTTACGTCTTTGTTGGCCAAGCTCCACTGCGTGTCAGATCGTGTAGACAAGGAAGCCAGCGTTGCGTATACTACTGAAATCTTAGGAGATCTACGCCAAGGATACTTCGGCAGGCTACGTTCCGAAGCACTCGATGACGCACAGGAGCTCGAAAAGATGTTGCTGATACCATCACCCTATGATAATCTGCCTGCGCGGCAAAGCCATGCATTCTATGGCAGAAAAACCGACTTTGATAATCTCCAGTTTCACCTAATGTCTCCGCAGTCACCCTATAGCCCGAATATTGCTTGTATTTACGGTTTATCCGGTGTTGGGAAGACGCAACTTGCGCAAGAGTTTGCTTATAGACATCTAGACGACTACAAGTTTATTTTTTGGATAGACTGCGCGACGACAGCTCGATTGGAAGAATCCGTCAGATCCATTTGCAATGATATTGGATTGGCTGACCAGAACATCCAGCACCCTAAACAGATATGTCATATTTTCTCTCGTTGGCTGAATCAGGAAAGCAGAAAAGGTTGGTACTTTTCTTGCGGCTTTGGGGGTCCTGACTGACAACCGCTACAGCACCGGACATCAGATGGCTTATGATCTTCGACAACGTGGAGCCAGATGTCTCGATAGAATCCTACTTTCCAAGGACTGTTAACGGTGCTATTATCATTACTTGTAGAAAATCAAGCATTTCTTATCAGTATGCTCCTCAGGCCCAGATAGCATTAGAGACCTTCAATGCCGTGGAATCGGTAGGATTTCTTTTGAATCGCCTGAAGATGGATCCAACTAACTCAGAGGCTGAGCTCTCTGAGAAGATTACCGCAGCTGTTGGTGGGCTTCCACTTGCGCTGGATCTCATCGGAAGCTACATTCGGGAGTGCGGCATGTCTCTTTCAATATTTTTACAAGAATATCCTAGGTTTGAGGAGAACTTCATGTTCAGTCCAGATTTCCTAGATTGGAGTAAAAGAGAGCATAACAAAGCAGTAGGAATCATCTGGAAGAGGCATTTACTTGAGCTAGACAATAGCACTCTATTGTTAGCTCAGATGTTGGCATTTATGGATGCTTCCAAGATCCAAACATCAATCTTCAGCGCTCATAGTCGAGAAAGGATGTAAGTAATACAGAGCCAATGCAGATATATGAGCTAACTTTGTAGGTTATACGAGGGACCTGACGTCCAAGAAGAGTTCCCTGATCTGTACAACATCATCATTCATCCATTTATGGAACCATACCGGTATGTTATGGTTATGTTACTGATGGAAGTCGCTTACGGATATAGACGGGACAAATGTATCATGTTCCTGAAAGATAGGGCACTCGTCACTGTCCACCCTCACAGCAATTATCTCAAGATCCACCGACTCATACAGTCATTCATACTCCAGTCGATGGATAGTCCAACCAAATTGAAAGTGTTCCAACAAGCCTTATTCTTGTTGAACGGCGCATTCCCAACACAGGAACATGGGAAAGCTCTCTATGAAGATTGGCTTACATGTGCTGCTCTGTCCAACCATGTTACAGCCCTGTTTGACTCGTATCACCGACATAAGACGGACCTAGGATACCCACTACTCCTGTGTGAGATTGCATCCCGATGTGCTTGGTAAACTTTATATTTCCCTACATTTGTACTGGAAACTAATAATATTCCAGGTACTTCAAGGAATTCGGACAGTACGAGGCGGCGAACCGCATGGCTGATGACTCCATAGCCCTCTGTGAGAGTGCTCTAAAGACAAGCAACCACCCAGGTTACAGCAAATGGTTTGTGAAAGAGATGATATGTACACATTTGAACGTGAAAGCTGCAATTGCCGCTGAATCCGGGAAAGAGGACCACGGGTTGCCGCTCTTTCAAGAGATAGAAAAATTGAGGGTCTTGAATATGCGGCCGAACTCGGCGGAAGATGAAACATGGTATCAAGCAGCAAGAGCTAATACAGCTTATGCGCTTATGGGTTACAATTGTGCCCCTGAGGCATTGGCGATTCTACAGGAGATCTTGGATAGAGACGACATGCAACCGAACAAAGATTTGTATCTCGTCAATACCTCGATTTGCCTACGGCTTCAAGGGGATCTTACAAACTCTCTTGAACAGTGTCAGGAGGCAATGACACTGGCAGAAGAACGCAGGGGGAAAGACTCCTCCCAAATGGCTAGGTGAGTTCCTAGTCGAATTGAGAAGATTTGCAGCTCACGGACAGTCATTGCTCAGTTGCCATTTTCAACTTGGGACGATATTCCTAGAAGAGAGTCGCATAGCTGATGCACTACGAGAGTTCATCGAATGCTTCCGAATACGGTCGTCTGTGATGCCTACACACCCATTTACGGCGTTTGTAAGCCACAAGATAGGCAGCACCTTGCAGGTACAGGATAGCCATGCAGAAGCTATGTATGTATCTCTAACCTAAATCAAAGTACAAGATTCGACCACCCAACGCTGACCACTTCCTGTTTAGTCGACACTACTTGACAGCATTGAATATTCTTCGCACCAGCGAGACACATCCGCTGTCGATATGCCGTACCCTTCTAGCACTCGCCTCAGCGTACGAGGCAATCGGAAACAATGCGGCAACGGAGAAGTGCATTCACGAGGCCCTCGAAGGCTTTGCTGCAGCTTCTACGTATGACTTCGACTGCACTACCAAGCCAACTTTGGCATCGTCATTTGACTCTTTCGTCCCCATCAGTCACAGATAAAGGCTGGGGTTTGAACTTGAATTTCTTCCTTTAATACTCTCTCGTTTATTGAAGCAGTCTTACCATTTTATGAATGAACATGAGTTCATTTATAAAGAAGTATTTATTATGATTTGCAAAGTTTAACGCTTCGTTGCTTAACATTATCACGGGTGAATTAGAAAGGCCGCCATATAAGGGGAATTTGCATCTTATTTTCATACTTGATTCAATACGAAAGAATTCATGATCCTACGCCTAACTCCAGGGAAAGTAACAGCATGCAACAAGCCCGATTGTTGATTAACCGGTAGGCTGCTCCGATGGACGAGTCACTAGTTTGCTCATGCATCTCAATATGCCCCTTTAGTCCTCGTTGTACTCATATGCCTCTCGTGTTCCGAATGCCCTCAAGTGTGCGATCTGCTCATCGAGACTCCTCAACCTCTCATAGGCTTCGCCTTCAGTGGTGTTACGGGCAAGGACGTAGCGGAACCTGCCATCCTCCATAAACACGTTGTCGGGGACGACGCGCTTAGCAGGGCGAGTCGACTGCTCAATCTCATCACGCTTACCGCCAGGAACAACAATGAAGACCTTGGCACCCTTGACGTCCTTGTCGTCGGCGGTGGCGCATTTGCCTCCGGCCTTCTGCGCAATGTCCAGGCCCCCACAGTCCTCGTCGGCGTACAGCTTGAGGTTGTCGGTAGTTTCACTGGAGCCGACTTCCTCGAACTTGCCTGACTTGTACTTTTTCCCGTTGTCATGGCAGCAGTCTCCCTTGTCAATGTTTTTGCACTCCTTTCCGACTGTGACCAGACACCATCGGTGCTCGTACAGCTTGACGTTGTACTTGGCAACAGCCGCGCCCGAAAGTACGGCAGTAAGGAGGAAGGCACTGAACTGCATTGTGATTTTGTGTGTTGGTGACTGAAGTTTGAATGTATGACAAAGATGTGGATGATATTCTTGTTGTTCAACTTTCGGGTGAAATTATAGAAAGAGAGACGATATTTATACAATGTTAGTAGGGTCAGGCTCTTGCATCTTTTCTTAGAAACCTAATGCATCTCTCGACCTCTACATTACGCGACTTCTCCTCGACGATCTTTTCGTGAGACAACGAGCCACCTAGATCCTTCATGATTTATACGACGGTGATCCGTTTCGAAACAGAGGGTATTGGGTAGATCAGTCATCCATGCGATTTGGCGGGTGGTGCAGCACTCGGTGAGCATGATGCTGCTTGTCTGGAAACTGATTGCCATTCTTATGCCTTTCGACAATCCAACCTGCACATTCCACTCTCCATACCGTCGATCATAGTCTAGTAAGCTGACTTGTAGCCTGGTATAATGTCAGTTCTGGACGCCGGCAGCCCTTGCAACGCAAGGATTGAATCCGCATATACCATTAGCGTCGCCGGTTAAGAGGCTTAGTTGTATTTTTATTATGGCTGTGCTCGATCGACGGGACCATATCAACCACCTCATCTTGACTTAATTGTGTAAAGAAGGTAAAGCTTCCGCGATAGGAGTAAGTTACTTATGTTTCAGGATTCGTGGTCACGTGTATTTCTATGGTAGGCTTCCGAAAAAAATCTAAATTAAGCAAGCCGATCATTGATCGGCTGGTACCCGGCCAGGCCGCAACCCCGACTCGCTGCGTTTGGTTGGGAGGGAACATTGATGTGGAGGCTTGCAGGGGCTGAACTTCTTCGCCATCATAATCCTCCAAGCCCCCAATGACGTTCAAAGTATAATAAGCTCGCTTTTGACGTCACAATGTAAGCACATCGTGATTTGACTGATAGGATTCAATGCTGTAAATCGTTTAGCTGATAGAAGTGGCCGGTTTTAGCAAGATCCATCATCTCCATTTACACAATATCTAGCAACGCCTGCCTTGGCTGGGTCAAGTCACTGAAATCTCACAACCTAACACGTGTTCTCGTCAAGCCCTAGATCATGGCACAAAACAACCTAGAAAACACCGCGCCCTCGCCCGCGTTGGTTCGAGGCCCTCCTGAGTGGCCATACTACAAGATGCGCGGCACAGAAGGCGGGTTTCGCAAAGTCTATATTATATTGATTGATTCCGACAAGGGGCGGGCTCTAGAGAAGCTTGAGACCGACGACGAGCGGTTGGCTTATATGCGCGAAAACGCCGATGACAGTTGGCGGCTTGTACAGGCAGACACGGCGTTTTTCGAAGACATCGCGTTAGGGAAGAAGTACTCTATCAAGAAGGGCACACCAGAGTACGAAGGTCTTCAGAAGACGCTCCAGGAGGATGGATCCAGTTGGCCGCCAGGCACGGAGGAGTTTAATGCCATGCTGCAGTACTACAGAGAGTATGCGACTGAAGTTGAAGACATCGCTACCAGCACCCGTCCTCATTAGACTATCCAACTCAAATTCGATCTAGGCGCTCTCGCGAAACAGTGGTATCTAGATGGAAGTATGAAAGGCATAGTCAATATGGGCGGCGGTGAACTCTGGAAAGCCGCACTTAAGTCTGCCAAAAGCTGTGAGGGTCTCATGAACTCCTACGCCTTCCAGCTATACGCGCGCTCTCAGCTTCAAGCATCGGTCAAGAAGGGTGCGAACTCATATTTCTCGATCACAGCAGTACTATCGGTCCCGTGGCGTTGTTGCCAATCGGCTCTTACGGAGCAGAGAGCAAGAAGCATCTGCAAGGTTTTGGTCACAAATTCGACGCTGAAGGGATCTTCCAGGGAGCCGTTCCTGGAGGGTGGAAGCTATTTCGTTGAAATGGCCTTATCATAATAGCCAGGCTAAGATTGATACATCGCGGTTCGATTAAGACCTTGAGATTACGACTGTTTTGTTGCAAGACGTCGCCTGTGAACATGGTTTTGGGAAGGGCTATATTGCCCAGCAGAGTGCTGAGCAAGCACCACCGAAAGGAGGAAACAAAGTCACACATATGCGCCGTTCACGACAGCATCCAACCCGGAGATATCCTCTGCCGCTCTTTTCCTCAGCTTGATGTAATACCCTCCAGTAAGACGCATAGTGAGTATTTGGAACAAATGCATCTGTTCAAACAAGTTGAGACGGCAACCCAACCGGTTGGGAGCGAAGGTTTGATTATTATACTATATTTCTGACCTGATCGCCTCATGCTTAAGTGTCAAACCACTCCAAAGGATCCTCCTTCGTGAACAAAGCCCGGTACTTGAAGCCACCATCGGGCTCCTCCTTGCGTTCTGTGTGGATGCTGTGAACCTCGGCCTTCTTGTCGGTGCCGGGCTCGGGCTCGAACGCCCGGAAATGGATGTAGCAGTTCTTGCTGCTGGCCAACGCCGGGATCTTCAGCTTGCCGAAGAGGATGTGTCCGTAGGCGACCTGCGCGTGTCGCACGGTCTCAAAGTCGGACTGGGTGAACGACGTGAAGTCGGCATCGGACAGGTGGGCGGCCGCCTCAAAGTAGGGCAGCTCGTGTTTGGCCTTGTCGTGGCGCTCGTGCAGCAGGGTGCGCTTCAGCTCGGACTCGAACTCGGAGTAGGCTGCCAGCGATGCTTCCTTGGGCGCGTGGGCCTGCGAAAGCTCGGCGGTGTCTCTGGTCGCCATGGCGCTGTTTGTGGTGCTTGCGTTTGGAGGTTGGAATTAGGTGTGCAGGTTAGAGTTGGAGTTGGAGTTGGAGATGGCGGGGCTAGCTGTTTCGCGGGGATGAGAGCTTGTGGATAGCGGCTGCGAGACGAGCTGCAGACCTTATATGCCCGTGACGGTCTTGTAAGTCGGAAAACCTTGTCGTACAACTATGACCTCAGATTCCGTGCGCTGGGCATGAGTTAAAGCTGTGATGCATGAAGCTGCAGATCTATCAAGCAAGCAGGTTTGAACTCCATCTTGGGTCCTAATGAGGGGTCAGGCTGAACCCTGGAACCTAAATTAGCGAATCATCAGCCCCATATGGGGTGAGGCGTTGCTGAGTCCAAACTTGGCAATGTCGATGCTCTCCAAGTTCTCCCAATTGGGGTGGCAGAGGCAATGAGTTGTCACAATCAAGGCCAATGCCGTGTTTCCGTTTCTCAAGTGCCACTATTGTAGTATGTCCGGCTACCGCAGCTACTCATTGTGTCTGGCAGACGAAGTTCTCATCATAGTCAAACAGTGTAATGTCACTTCCGTCGCTCGCCTGAGTGCCCGCTGTGTTTGATGGGTGAATCTTCTACCGAAAAGAGGCGGTCAAGATGCGATGGCATTGAGACCCATCTTGATTGACGCCGACGTCCTCCATCTACACAGGGGACGGTATTACCTGTATTTCTGTATCGACAGCTGGTTGCTGGCCTGGTGCGCTCGTCCTGTATGCTGGACGCCCGTCATGTACAACTCTGGACCGACTATCACGATCAAACTTGAAGGCAACCCATGCACCATGCAGGCGAGACTGATTGCAGCCGGTTCCTCCTTGCATTCCCCCAGACCAACAGATAAGGCCTGCCGCTATGCTCGCTGGGGCTGCCAGCTAACAGACGTCACTCATTAGAATTCAGCAGGGGTGGTTGGTAGCTAGAGGGCGAGGCGGCCCGGCTGACTGGTCCCTTGCAAATCAATGCGAACATGACGCAACGCCCTTCAGGTCCCTGAAAGTCTATCCCAGCCGGAAACAGACGACAAGCCTGCCACGTACCACGATGGACGAAGTCCACAAGCTGGAAACACTTGGAGACAGGCCATTCATGCAATTCTTGTAGCCTCGCGCCAAGTTGTTGAGCCGGCTGCCTGGCAATGATTACAAGCGTCATCATCTCATCTCTCTCAATTCGCGATGTGTTGGGGCCATCATGAGCCGAAGATCCCGAATACATGTGATAGTGTCTAGCTCGACAACTCTCTTGGTGACTTATGTACGTTGACTGTTGCAGTCGACTCGGCCCCTTTCTAGCACACTCGAGAGGCTCTGTAAGTATGGGGGATAAATGCCGACGGCGACTGAGCTGCCTGGACTGACTCGCAAGTGCAACAATATACGGCACCCGGAGCTACTGATCCACCGATGCCTCGGCTCTTTCGCCCAGATCAGCGCCAAGGCCGCGACCCAGGCCGGCAAGGACGACGATAGCGCCCATTCTCAGGAACCGTTGGGAATTTTCTGAACGGCCCAACCGAGCCGGATCCATGCAGCGCTTTTGAGGAATTGATCTTGGCTAGGCCCTGCGAACCTCCCTTGCCTATTGCATGGGCCCAGATTGCTCGTTGAACCCACAAAAAAGATGAGTGCGGCGCGGTCGGGATGTCGCGCGTTATGCGCCCTCCGGGCATACAACACCACAGCCACCCCCCGAGTTCAAATACCTAGGCGTGCAGTGGACAGGCTTTCTCGTCAGATCGTGCGGACGTATTCAGAAGCTTGTGAGTGCCTCGTTGCCCTAGTATACTGCTTCACGGCTCTCAACTAACATCGGGTTGTAGCCTCCACGACTCAACCACCGAAACCCTCCTTCCTCCGACGTGCAGCCACATTCATAGCGACCGGCATAGTCTTTACGACTCTTGGATTCGCCATGGCCGCCGCACCGGCTCTACCAGCCCTCAACGGGATCCTTACACCGCCCACAGACGAAGAGACCTTGACCATGTTCAAGCCCGAGGACCCTAAGGAGATCGAGGTCGAGGAATACATCAATAATCACTGGGTCTCGGCAGAGATGCGCAAGAAGCCGGGCTTCGCCGAGCTGCGGCCACACATGAAAATACCCGCGCCTTTCCGAGCCAACAACCTGACCGCCGGTGTGCTTTTGGGCCCAAACAAGGTCGTCGTGCCCCCTATCGCCTGGGTTGAGGAGGGCGGCAAGTCGATTGTCAGCATCTCATATCTCGGTCCTGAGCTGTGCGGCCACCCGGGAATAGTACATGGCGGGTTTCTAGCCACTATGCTGGACGAGGGGATGGCCCGGTGCTGCTTTGGCGCTCTTCCGCACAACATCGGCATGACGGCAAACCTGAACATCAACTACCGGGCCCCGGCAAAAGCTAGCTCGTATGTGGTGCTGCGCGCAGAGACTACCAAGGTGGAAGGCAGGAAAGCAGAGGTTGTGGGCAGGATAGAAACTCTGCCAGAAAAGGAGGGTGATGCGCCTTTGGTGCTTGCAGAGGCAACGGCCTTGTTCGTCAGCCCTAAGCAGGCCGCTATGATGAAGAATGTCTACCCCGTGCAGTGAAGCGAGGATAGAGATAGGAGGAAACTTGCTTCGAACGGCGCATGCACCAGGGAAATGGTGCCTGCTACGCGCTAGCCTGGAGGACATTTTGAGTCTGTGTATATGATAGACATGGTAGACGGTAGATCACGTCTCTAGAGAGCGAACGAATGTAAATCACGAATGTAAATCAATTTGCCAAATGCTCTCACAGGTCCCACTGTGCCCCAAGGAACCCCTGCCATTGCAGACTCCCTTTCGCACGTTGTAGTACACTATGGTATATCGATTCTACAAAACCGCCAGCTCTCATGGTGCTACGGTCGCACCAGTGTTGTTTCTAATGCGCAGTAACTGACTGCGGCTTCTATGTAATTTCTTTCGAACGTTTATAGAATTATTATCTTACATGCATGCCAGCGGTTCGTACATTTCCTTGTTTTCAGACACGATGGCGATAACGTGAGCTTCATGCACGCTCTGATGGTGCCATGATCACAAGTATCACAGCTGATGGGCGGCCACATGAAAGCTGAGAAAATTCAGAATGCCTACAATAAGCTCTTTTAGCATTTTAGGGGCCCAGTTGGGCCAATCCATCGCTGCTGTTCGAAGTCGGCATTGCCGGTTGTGGATATTTCGCATGACGTGAGATACACGCCAAGCCGAGGGCTTGCAGCACCGTACATTTGCTAGTATAATGGTCGCCGACCTATGTCGCCGGGCAGTATAGGGAAACTCTTCAAACTAATAGTGCACTTCAAAACAGGTGCCCGAAGTGTTTATAAAAGACGTTGCAATGCCGTTCCTAGAAGCAACGTCTTCAAACAGCACACTGCCAGCGCGACGAGTAGGCAAGACCCGACTATCACATTTCTACGAAATCATTCACGATGGTCACCCTGGAACATTCCTGCACGCTATTGCGCAATGCTGTGGTCGCTCTTATTTTCCTCTCCAATTCCTTGTCGTCAGCCCAACGCACCCCCAGGGAGAATTTGGTGCTCGCAGACTGCGGCATTGGCCTTGGACCAAACGGGGGCTCGACTTCACGCGAGATACTGTATTATCCAGCTGACGTCTGGACTGGTCAGAAGCTAGATACCTATAAGCCTTCTATGGTCGTTAACGTCCCCTGGAGCGGTTCGTATCCATGGGGTCAGCCAGGCGGTGTTAGTGCGACGATGCCGAATGGCGACGTACTCACCATACATATCAATCCCAGCATCAGAGACCCTGAGCCCGCCGGAGACGCTTGGCACAAGTTCGAAATGGACATTCCCCTAAAATGCTACTCGTATCACTGGGATAAGGTGTATCAGCTCACTGACGGCAAGTGGTGTTCGAGTGCGTACGTCTGCAACCACCTTGGTAAACCATACCTCGACCCCCAGGACGGCAATTCTTACGGAGACTGGGTGGACCCTGCGAAGGCTCATTGCAGCGATCCGCTGATGGCTGATCGCAGTGCGGATGCCATGGCTCGCTGGAAGGCTTCCGGCGCCAACTGGGCATTTGCAACAGCAACACTCGACTGGGCAGCCGCCAATTCATCGGCCAATGACCACCCAACATCTTTAACGTTCAGTAATTATGTAGCCGATCGCCTGGGTGCCAGAGAAATGTTCGAATGTGCCGACGTTGACAGCAAGTTCTGCACTACGCCAATCGAGTGTGATAGAGTGCATCAACCGGCAGGGTAGGTTTCGAAACCCGTCAACAAGTACGGCTGTAGCTAATGAATTATCCTAGTATGCTCATCTTGAACTCCTTCATCGCCTTGAATGCTGTAAGTACCGGCTGACAATCTACCACTCTCATCACGTTCGTAGGTTAGCATTGCTGATTTCAATTTGTGCGCAATTTAGATGCAGAGCCAGATTCACGCCGGACTTGAAGATGCAATGAATATTATGCAGAACTTCGTCGGAGACTTCCAAGATATCTTTTCTCCAGGTCGAGAACCGCCAAAGAAAACGTGGCTGTCCAACCTGGTTGATACCCTACAGCTTGTGGCAGGGGTGGCCTCCGGGTTCAGCTGGAATATCGGTAAGCATGCATGGAGGTTAATCGCCTGTGCGTCTTGTACTGACAGATACAATTTACATACAGCCGCCAGCGGTACAAAGTTGTTCACCCAGAAAGATCGCTGGGGCTTCTACAAAGACAGCGTAAATTCAGCTGTTGGGTATGGATTCCAGATGTACCGTCACCACCAGCCAACGTAAGCAATGACTCTGAGTTCTCTTCAGATCATAACTGAGCCAGTCAATAGGCCTGCAGACGTTCAAAATGGTCTATCATCTGCAATGGGCACGGTATTCAGATCATTGATCGACGCTCAATCAGAATTCCTCGAGAAGCTGTTCTCTGGAACGGGTGAAAGCATCGGCCTTCTTCAGAAACTGACCAAGAATGGACTGGCCCTGCAGCTCGCAGAGAAAATCAACAAGGCCAAATATTCAGCCGAGGCTCAAAAACTTGTCTATGCTCAGCTTTTGCCACTCGCCTGGAAGCATTCCACGACCGAGATCAAGGGCGTACCTCATGCCATCCGCCCCATGATATTGTAAGTCCGCAAACTCCTGAGCATTGTCACGCTACTGACATTGAGCTGGCAGAATGTCTCCTGGTTGTATTAAATCGGGACCGAACCTCAACTGGGTGGTTGATTCCAACAAATCAGAGAGAATGGCAGTCTGCTACAAGGGCCATACGTTCTTCGTCGGCTTTCCTACCTTCAAAGAGGTCGAACACGGAACACCGCATGGCCTCAAGCTCTGGGCTCTGCCAGGTGGTGAACATAGCATCCTGAATGGTACCAGCCAAGCATGGGGCGGTCTAACCTTGGATGATTTGGTAATCAGGTATGCGTTCCTTACCACCTTGCCACTGGGTGCGACTAACCACTAGTCTATGAAGCGCCTTCGAAGGATATCGGCGCAATAACTACAAAAATGGGTTTGATGCCAGTAAAGATGATGGAAGCACGGCGCCGGGGGATATTATCATGGGGAATGGTGTCCTCACGCCTGGTTTTGTGAAATTGCCAATCTGTACCGTGGAGAAACTTTGGGAAGAGACGAAGATCTTGTATCATGTCAGCTCTGACTTGGACCACAATACGTTTCCCTGTGGAAATGGCAATCTGACTGCGACGGAAATGGCTCAGTTCGGCTTTTCATGATAGTTTCTACCTTAGAATAGAGTTAGGCCTAGGTAGTCCGCAAAGCATTCATATAGTTGTTTTTCCTAATACGCATGGGGCAGTGGTTGAACAATGTTTATTATATTCACACATCAAGTAGCTTGAGACTTCTTTATGCATGGAGAGGCTGTACGAAGGGTTAAGTTGGACATTCTGATTACATGTATAAGATAGAGCGATAGGTACAATAAGTATCATAAGGGGAGGACGGAAGAGGGCAGTGAGACCTCGCTTCCGTACTCGGTAGTAGAAGACAGTCAAACAGGGTGAAAATTATCGCAGCACTTATAAGACGCTGTGCAACCGCATTTTACTATGGAGTCCCAGTATAGCATTGAGTTTAGCGACGACAGTATTGCATTATGGGAGGAATTCCTTATGGAGATCATCAGACCCCATGTTGATAAATTTGGTCTTGTCCTCACTATGTTGTAAACACATCGCACTGAAAAGATTGCATTCGCAGTTGTGTTTACTGCCGTTCCGGCTGTGGAAATGCACTTGCCAACCTGTGCAACTGCCGATGCAAAAAGTAACCTTTGGTTGGCGCAATTCCGAAAGAAAGTATTGATAAGTCATAATATCCCCCACACCTACGGTGACCGTCTGGATCATACTGTCGCCTGTCCCGATGAATAAACTTCCTTTCGTGCAGTCGTCATGACGGCGGAGGTTCTCCCTCCACAATCGGATGTTATTAACCTCCCGTAAAAATTCCGACGCTAAGCTGCCTATCAAATGAGCTTGTACAACGCTAAAAAGAAACAATGGTTGAAATTTAGTCATTTATATGACCTGACCTTTTTTATGAGGATTATGTATTGTCAGCCATAACCGAGTGTAGTAGCCATGAAACCTATTTCAGGGGATTCGCGTGGTCATTATGATCCGTTGCAAGACACAATTCATGATGAAGAGGAGAGCCCCATGCTGGATATCAACGAACAACTAGCCAATAGTCAATCGAGCTTGGCTTCTACAAAACGAAGGGCTCTGACCATAGCAGTCTTCACTGCCTCAAACATTCTGAGTATGATCGGCGGGGGCATTATGGGGCGCTGGGCTACTTGCCCTTCCATCACTCACTATGCATCTAGCACAGGTCTGGAATGTACGTTACCAGAAGTCAACTTGCTGCTTAGAAGACTAACGTCACTTGGGTGTGCAGCATTGGTATTTGAAGAGGCTGCTATTCAACGTAGCACCAAATTCTTTGATACCAAGTTTTTCGGCGACTTCGAAGATAACATTTATCGGCAAGAAGCGTCCCCTGAGACTGATGACGCGTGGGGAAAACTGATCAACTACGAGCAATCGGACTACATCATTCCGTACGAAGAGGGCATTCGGAGCGGACTCACTGATCGTCACATGCGAGTTAGTGAAAAATATGGTGGAGGTTTTGTTGCATCGACTGAAGGAGGACACAATTTGCACTGTCTGGTAAGTACAACACAACGCATTGAATTACCTAGTAGAGTGGTAACCAATGTCTGTCCCAGAATTTTCTCCGGAAGGCACTTTGGTACAACTTTAACTACTACGAACCGCAAGTACTTGATTTGCGGAGGCTCCCGAAGCACCACTTAAGTACTTTCGTCGGCAGTCCTCATTTGTAAAAGATACCACTAACCATTAGAAGCTCATTGCTTGGAGATCTTACGCCTTGGTTTAATGTGCAACTATGACACAAAATGGCTCGGCTATGTCTGGTACAACAAGTCGCACCCGTTACCCTTTCCAGATATGACCGGTGGTCACATGTGCAAGGACTTTGATGCCATTCAGAGACGTCTCTCGGCCTATCCAAATGTTGGTACTATGTCCATCCACTACGGTAACCACGATATCCTGACTAGTTCCTACAGAAACCTGGCCGAGACGAACCTGATGGATTTTATACCCCTCCGCCGGACTCAGAGTACATTCTGGAAGGAATCCCGTAAATGTCGGTCGAAGGGTGTGGAAACAACGTTGTTGGTTCCAGTCGCAATGCTAAACTTGTGTTATAATACTGTAAGGCACAACGCAGAGGCCTCGAGTTAGAATTCTCGGCAACGCAAAGTGGTATCTAACTGCATCTGCGTACGCAATTTCACAGGTACTCATTAAAACGTATAGCACAGTCTTAAACAAGTTGCTAATCGTAGAAGACTAAGACATTCCTGGCATAAAGTAAATTTCGGGCGGAATGGCCCACAGCGAGAAGTGTTGCAGTCTTGATTTGGATTGTGACTTGACCGACTAGGAAGTGCGTCCAGTCTTCGGTAGCTGCATAATTAGCGAGGGCGCAGATCTGCGATTTGCAGTGGGACACTAAGAAGTGAATTAACCTTCGAAACGTATATACTCTACATTTTCATTGTAGTAAAATTCCAAAGTAAACTGTGAGCCAAACTGGAGGACCCCGAGATCCTATTTCCACTGGCAGGTGGTTGATTAAGTAAGCGGTCATGTAGTGGACCGTTAGCTAAACCTTCGCTTTTAGAAGGAGGATACCTGGATCATTTAAGGTCCAAGACCCCCCAAGAATTCCGATTAGGCATAGCTAGCGTAGCTAACTAAGAATAATTGGAAGCAAACGATATATACACGGAAGGTAGCTCGGTAATTTTACGTATCCGACCTCGAAGTGCCGGTTGACCGAGATACCACTCGTTGTGGATACAATCGCCGTTTTAGGGGTTTTAGAGGGGCCTCAGACAGGCTGTCGATGCGAAGATACTGCATTCATGCTCCAATCGAAAAGGTATTGTATCATGGGCCTTGGTAAGTCGTCAGGCAATCAAGGTTCACAATTCGCGGCTTTCCATGGGTGGAAAGTTTTCCAACGGATTTCGTGAAACAGCAACAGGCGAATCGGGTTGTGTGAAATGATTCCTGGTAGCGCCGGGACCTTCCGTTGGTTTGTCGGCTCATATCTTAAGTTTTCCCTCTAGCCACGAGAAACTCTAACATTGCGCAAGAGCAGGGTCCGGCAGAACCGTTTGGATAGTGGCAAGGCGGCAGATTCGAGCGGCAAAACAGGATAATGTAATGCGGTGCCAAGATTTGGCGGTCTTCAAACACGCTCTAAAGTAATTTGATGTAGTGAGTAGGTAGTTTTATCTGACAATGTGCATAAGGTGGATCCTGTTACTAGTACATCTCCCGTAGATAACACTGCATTTAAACCACAATATCTGCAGGTTTTATCGACGATTTACTTCAACACTCAATCCAATCTAAATAGAGGAGAAGATGGCTGAGACCGAATGGTCTTCTGAGGCTCATGGTGTCCTACCAAACTCACGACCGTGGACTCCGGGTTCTCGTTCAAACGGTATCTCACGGCAACGTGCTGGTTCGTATGTCAACGCCTGCGATCAGTGTCATCGCCGCAAGCTCGGCTGCTCGCGCGGCAAACCCTCGTGTGAGCGATGTCGTCAGTCAGGCCGGCAATGTACATACAGCCTCATCAGACCGGCGGGTCGCCCAAGGCGATCAGGATCTGATGGAAGGCGTGACTTCAGGCCTGCTCCCCTGTTCGATACTGTCAAGGTGCATAGACAGTCACTCGGAGACAATGGTCAACGTAAGGCCACCTATGATCATAGCCAAAAGGGTGCGTTGGTCTATCTGTTACTGCGCTATGAATGCTGCCCGTTCACAGTGGTCACTAACTCAATTTTTCAGAATGTGAAGAAATGGAGCCCAAGACTGGTGATCGATCAGATTCTCAAGGTTGGGCTTCTGGCGGTACCAGCCTAACTTCGCCAAACTTTGATCGCTCTGATGGACCTCAAAATGGAATGATTCTTGACCCAGCTCTTTGTTCGAAGTCAATGCCATCTTATGTCACACCGGAAAGCGATCGCACGTCGCAGAGGACCCCAACTCATCAAGAGCGCGTTTCTGCCAATCAGAACCAGAATAAAGGCTGCATCCAACCAGCTGAAATTCACAACACACTGAAAGCGACAGCCACGGCAGATGTCTATGATCATGGTCCCCACAATGGTATTGCTTCCGACCACTTTAGCGGGACCCATTACAAGCACCAGAGCTCACCGCCCCCACTGATGGCACCGCATCTGGGACCCGATATCTTGGACTTTGATTTTGACGCACATGAACCTTCTAGTATGTCGGATTTGGGCTCGCCCAACTCCGCCTCCCCGAGCAGCTACACTGAAGAGAGCTGTCTCTGTTTATCTGACCTCATGCAGTGTCTTAATGCTAAGATAGATATAGCTCAGGCGAAGACAGGTCCTTTTGAGGCCATCAACATGCTCAACGAGGTCTCCGAACGCTTCGTCATGTGTGATGGCAGTCACAGTAGTCTGTGGTACCTGATCCTGTTGGCGCTTTATCAAGACGCCGACGAACGTGGCGTTCCTGGATTGCCCAGCATACCTGATTCACGGACGCAGGTTCCAACGGCCGAAATTGGTGTGAGTAGAACTCATGACGATGGAATGACACATCAAACCGAGGCTTCGGGGCCAGTTGGAGGTCCTCAAGTTCCAAGTTGGTCTCAAAGTTCAGGTAGCCTATTGACATCGCCAAAACGAACTCTAGAGGTAGATCGCGATTCAACGCAGCGGTCAACAGAGAGGAGTATCATGCTGAAGGCTTTCATCATAATATCAACGGTATCAACAACTCTGCCTTTCAAGTTTGGGGCGACAGGTGATGGTGTAGCATGTGATCTGGAGTTGGTGAAGGTCTATGCCGACAAGCTTCGGGAGAAGTTCGAGCGCAGGCTGACAAAAGTGAAAACATAAGTTTTGCGCCTGGTTTAAGACTGAAACTTAGATTCGTTCGATTTAATCATACACGAACTAGAAGCACAGGAATAATTAAGTCATTCAGTGTCTCTTTAAGTATGTCTCGGAAATCCGTTCAGCCCAAGAATTAATTCAGGCGAGCTCATGATCTCCTCCTTTCTCTCTTTGAGCTCGTCTATATCCCAAGTAGCGAACACGAACTTGTTCTTCACGAAAACTGCCTCTTCACTTGCAGCCCATACCAGGAAGTGCGCCGGCAAGTTGACTAATCCATGCATCTCAGTACATTGATCTTGGCAAATACGGTCGGTCGGGAGTAGGGACTTACTATCATCGCCATCGAACTCCACGCCACTCTCTTCAACCATCTTCTTACCGCCAGGCGTGTCCACAATCACGCCAGGATGAATATTCATGACCTTAAGGCTTGGGTTCTCGGCGCCGAAGTACTCCATAATCTTGGTGACGGCCAGCTTACTTGCAGCGTATCCACTGATTGGAAACCCTGGGCTCGCAGGGAACAAGACGCCAGCGGTCGAGAGCTGAAGAAAGGTGGCTGATGGGGACGCGTGCTTCGTCACAGCTTGCGCAAGAACTGCGGCGCCCTTGACATTAGTCTCAAAGGCTGACCACCATGTCGATAAGTCGCTGCTGGCCAGCGGCTTCAGTGGTCCAACGACGCCGGCGGAGTTGACAATCACGTCGGCAGGGCCAAGGCGGTCCTTTACACAGGCGACCGCATCGTTCATTCCTTTGGCGTCAGTCACGTCGACAGCGAAAATCATGACGTTGGCTTTTGGGTATTTGGCGGCAATTTCGGCAGCCGTGGAGGAGAGAGCATCCTCTCTTCGACCCGTCAATGCTAGACGCTGAGTCCCTGCATCAAGGAAGGCTAGGGCAGTTGCTTTTCCAATACCAGCGGATCCACCCACAATGAGCACCGTCTTATGGACAGCAGAAAGGTGAGGAAGGGTTGGAGCAATCTGAGCGTAGGTCTTGTTGTGAGTGACCTTGGTGTAGGAGAGAGCCATTGCTGCAAGTATTACTGATCGGATTGTTCTGGGTGATTGGCGAGTTGTATCAGGAGATCTAACCAGCTATTAATAATCTATTGACATGAAGGTGTATGCGCTTTGCATGCAAGTCTGTAGCTGGTAGCCCGTATCGAAAACATGGTCCATTTATATATCTACACAATTGATTCTTGCGTTTGATAGACAATTCTTCTCATGCTAGTATCTAAGCAGTGCGGAATGAGAGGTAAGATTATAAATCAAATTCAGGGTATTATGTAACCTTTAAAGTGTTGTCCAATTCGTTTTACCACTCGCTCCCTATTATACTGTGCCTTCACTAGGCAGCTTTGTCATATGCTGGCACAAGTGCGGAATGAGACCGCACATGTGATTGTCAGCAACCAGAGTGCAGGCTCATAAAGTGGGAGGGGGTCTGTGTAGTGTAGCTTCATTAGCGAATAGCGCAATTGTGATTATTAATTAAAAAGCCAGAAACCCTCTCGAAGATGATGGATAACGATAAGAATTATGTCTAAATACACGCAACCGTTCGCAAACAAAGTCACCCCGGTGAATCCAGGATGATACTTTGATAAACAAGATTACCGACGTATGCTTGTTCATGTCAACATCGATTAAGTGTATTCTTCGGAGTGGCAATACTTTTGAGGCCTCGATAAATAACTGTAGAGATTTCCAAGAATACTAAGCACCGTTGTAGACATGCCACCCATGGTACGGGAAGACGAACACCTTTCACTGCGCCCTGTTCTGTATTCTGGAGATAAACGGCGAAGACATTCTACGACGGGAGACAAGGAACAAAACAGCACTTTTGAATCCTTGGTTAAATTGGCCGAGTCTTCTCATGTAGCCTGGGCAGTCTTTATTGCTAACCGCTGCAAAGCTCGTTTCTGGACCACCTACGCCGAGAAAATCGAGTGTGGTTGCATCCACCACTCGAGGCGGTCAAGGTTTCATGAAATAAAGGGTAAACTGAGTTGAATTTGAATAAAGAAATCCACGCTAGATTAGGACTAGCGGCAGCGAGCAGAAATAGCCAGGTGTTGTTCTCGTCTACGAGACGTGAATCGGAGGTTTACTCGGAATTTCCATAAACTTCCGATCGTGCAGTGAGTTGTTTGAACAAGTCATCCCAACAATGTGGCAGCAATAATCAAGTGATCCAAAATTTGTATTCATCCATGGGCCCGAAACTCCTAAGAACATTGTCAAATCAGCCCTAGCAACATTTCATTCTTACCATGGACTCCGAACGTACCAGCAAAGACCTAGACAGCAGCGAGTCTCATTTGTTGCTGACCGGCGAGGCCATGTCACCCGTCATTAGGTCTAAATATTCAAGGTTTTGGCGCATTGCAAGAGTAGTGGTGTGGACACTGTTTGCCGTTTCGCAAGCAATCTCAATCACGTTGCTCTTGAGAAAAGACCATAGGGTGTCTGAGGTCGGCAATGGTTCAACTGGAATAGTACCACAATGTAGGTCTTATTCTGCCACAGTCGGGCCTCTAGATCATGACTGATTTAAACGGTATCAAGTCTCACAAGAAATTGTACAATTTAAGCCTGCGCTTGAACAATATACAACTAATTACAGTTCTGAGGACAATGCACGTGAGATTCGTCGTCAGTGGAAAGACCTCCTACCACGTACCTACCACCTCTTCCCCAATTATGATATCGAGGGCAGCCAACTAATAAGTCTTAGGCGGCGGGGGGTTGATTCATGTACCAGATTTCGACCAGTATCCCGGTGTCTTAGGTAAACCTATACGTCAACCAGAGGCTGGTATGCGGCCAGCATATCTGCTATCCTGGGGGCATCAGTTGCACTGCCTCGTAAGTTCGATGTTTAAACGATTCTTTACGTGTTATCTAACGGACTCAAGTACACGGTAATGGACGCATATGACCTTGTAGTCCGAGAGGGCCCGACAGGGCGAGAGAATGATCCTGGAGAAGGCCACGATATGGTCCATACCCGTCACTGCTTCGACTATCTACGACAGGCTATATTATGTAATCTCGACGTAACGCTGGAGGGCAGTGCAGATGGTGGGACTGGAACTAATGGATACGGCCAACGGCATGTGTGCCGCAATTATCGAGAAGTGGTGGCTTGGGCAGAGCAGAATTCTGTCTACGATGAAACCTGGATCATTGGCACTGATCGCGGTGGATCGGGTTAAGGTATAAGCCATAGCAATGACAGCATGGTTCAAGTTGAGGGTTTGCATGTAGTCATAGCATAGGTGAACGAGTGCGTCCCGGTGCACATCACGATTGTTGATTAGGAGTGAGACTGTGAGTGTACGCACACTCCACTGTGTGACCATTGGTGGATGGCAAAGCGTGGGGTCAGCAACAGCGTTGTATCATAGGGTTACTCTCATTGAATAAACAGATACGAGTGGCTATCTGCGGTCCTAAATAGTCTACTTGGCGGCATGCAGCTAGACTCTCAAGCGAGGCCTAGACGCTCTGGCTGCCGGGGCATATGTGGAAAAGAAGCAAAGTAAATCATGGACAAGTGGGGAAATATTTATCTGAATCTCAAACTCCCCTGGCCCCCTGTGGCAAGAGACCCCGCATGGTGGTTCAACATCGCACGCATTTGGAGGCAGTTGAGTTCGGTGCCGAAGGACTATAATCATCCTGGTCAAGATCTTCTGGTATAAAATCTTGCGCCGCATAATATTCGCCAGTCTGAGTCTGATCAAGTGCGACTTGCCTCATCACTTCCAGACACACATTCTCAGCGTGCTCGCCTAAACAACTTCCATTGCACTTTAGGCATGATCCTGCGATTCACGGTTTGGCGTAAAGATCTTTTTCAAAATGGGCCAAGATGAGATGGCTGGAATCCAGCTGGCATCTGTCGAATCGCGGGATCGAGCTTCTCATCCCAGATCGCCTGTGTACTCAAGCGAGTCGCCCCCGGAAGAGGCTTCATCTATCCAGAAACAGACACGAACCCGAAGGCTATTCAACGAAAAGCAACTTTTCGCCTTCTCTCTGGTCTACATGGGCACATGGAGCGCCGTTCCCGCGTCAGTTACCAGCAGGTCTGGGATTTGGAGAAACGTGTAGAGCTGACTGAGTAACAGAAACATGTATTACTCGATGTATAATGGCGGGCCTTCAGCCTGGTTCATCAGCTACATTGTGGTCGTGATCGGGGCGCTATTCCAGTGTGCCACGTTTGGCGAGATTGCATCCATACAACCCATCGCTGGTGCACAGTACTTCTGGACATATCACTTCGCGCCGCGTCCCACGAAGCGGTTTCTGACCTGGCTTCAGGGGTGGGTAACGTGGACCGCATACGTTGCCACATTCGCTAGTTCGCTCAACTTCGGCACTGCCATTCTCGAGGGCCTAATTTCGCTGAATTATCCTGGTTACGAGGTAGTCGGCTGGCGAACGACTCTCATCAGTCTCGCTTCCCTGATGGTGATTGCACTAGTCAATCTCTATGCATTTCGGATAGTGCCCTGGTTCGAGCTACTATCAGGCATCGTCAACATATGCATATTCCTAGTCTTTATTATCGTTTTCCTTGTTATGGCCCCTAAAAATAGCGGTGACATCATCACAACCTCTAATGTATCCTCTGGCTGGGACAACTACTATGTTGCCTCACAAGTGGGGGCGCTGTCAAACATATGGCTGTTCACTGGTAAGCCGCCCTTCCTGCTTCCAGAATGCCCCAAAACTCACTACGTTGTCCAGGATTTGAGGCCGTTATCCACATGGGCGAAGAGACGAAGCACGCTAAAAAGATTGTCCCAAGGTCGTTGTTTTGGTCAATTGCTACAAATGCCGGTCTCGGATTTGTGATGCTTATTGTGACCCTGTTTTGCATGCCGCCAGTCGACGTCATTCTGGATGCTGCCAGCCCTATCGTCGCAATCCTTCTCTACGTAACCAAATCAACACAGGCAACGACGGCTTTGGCCACTTTTCAGTGGTTCCTGAGCTTCTCTGCAACCATGGGCAATGCTGCCTCCGTATCACGCCTTACGTGGGCTTGGGGACGTGATGGCGCCTTGCCACGGTATTTCGGACACGTGGACGGGAAGTATCGCATTCCATTCAGGGCAGTGCTACTGACCTGTTTCATCGTTGCGCTACTTACCCTCCTGAATATTGGTAGCGAAACCTACATCGCCCTGGGTGCCATCACGTCACTGTCCTCTATGGCCATGTACCTCAGTTACGCTATGCTTCTCGCCGTAGTCTTGTACGCTCGGCTGACTAGTTCGATCAAATTTGGACCCTGGAACTGGGGGCGGTATGGGACATTCATCAATATCGTTGCACTGGTCTATAGTGTTTACGCCCTCATTTGGCTTCCATTTCCGCAAACGCTGCCTGTGGATGGGGCCAACATGAATTACTCCGGCCCAGTCCTTGGAGCTGTTTTGGTCTTTGCGATCTCGCTGTGGTTCATTCGGATGAACATCTGGCAAGGGCCAAATAGAGCCATAGTTGATCTTGTGCTCCGTACCGGCGATTGAGCCGAGGGCTAATTATGAATTCGAGGTCAGTAGGGATTAACTTGGCTTACGTTCTTCCACCTTGCTCTTAGCTTCTTCAACTGTTTCTGAGTTGGGATTCTATAACATTACGGCACTGTCGTATCATCCGTAGCTAAATATTATGCCAATTCAACTTCTACCACAATAAATTTGGAAGAAGATGCATGCATGAAGTATGGGTGCGAACTTTCTCTACCGCGGATTGGCCCATTCTACAACAGTATTATACCACAATAGTCTGACATGGAGCTGAGAGGCTTTAGGTAGTTCTAGCCCTAGTAGCAATAAGCCCTAGCGCAGCTTGGGAATGGCTTTGGCGAAAACAGAATGAGGGGCTGGGCGAAACAGAGGGGGAAAAAAACTTGCCCCTCTATTTCCCCTTCAACTATTTTCCTTCAAGATGTGCTGTGTAGACCAACGAGGTTAGAGGTGATCACGCACAATTGCGATATGTGAACATCCGATGCTCAGCGCTCAAGGGTGTGCATGCGACTCTTTTGACCGAGCTCAATTGTGACCGAAGACGAAATGGAGCAGGTCTGGGCGAGCATCAGAATACCGCCCAACACCGACAGCGAGAGCCTACGATCAGAACCCTGGACATGAGCGAATCAACACTGAGAATTGCCCAGATTTGATATGCGACAGCGCTGGCACCTCCGAATACCTCATCCAACCGAATCGCACTTGACACGACGCCGCTGGGATGAGGATGCGGAAGCCATAAGTATGACAAGTATTGGAGCAGGGTCGCTGAAATCGACATGCGCGGGGTTCAGTTGGGTGCCTGGGGCGAAGTCCTCAGCGCACAGGGACAGTGCTGGCTGCGCGAAGATTGGTCGCCCCGCACCACACCCTAGCGGGGTCATCTAGATTGTAATAAGCCAAATTTCTCCGCCTTCGGGCATTTGGTCAAATTGTAAGTTAGCCCAGTGGTAGTTGTGGTCTACCCCCAATTCTAACCCTGCTCCCAGGAAACGATACAGAGAAGATTAGCATGGCCCCTGCACTAGTAGGTCTCCCACTGTGATAACTTTCTCCGGTGTCAACACTAACTCTCACTTCAGAGGATGACACGCTTAATCAAAGTCGAGCTGACTAATTTTTTTCTCTTTTTTTGTCCCCCTTTCCTAGAGCGCATATACGAGGCACATCCTGGCTACCTTACTATGGCATTTTATGTGTCTATAGTTCCAGTCCATTGCTGACCTTATTTTCTTTTCCTTAAATTTAATACTGCGATGAGGGATGAAACTCTCAACCGGCGTGTCGCCTCATTTTTGTCACATATAGACAGTGATGACGTTAGGTGGCAAGTGAAATCCATTTCGCGAAATCTGCACTTTGACGATATTAAGGGAGATGCCTTATACCCTTGACCAGGTTTTCTAGCCATCGTTACTACAGGATAATAGGTGGGACAAAATGACCAGCTGGCAGCGGGATGTCATAGTTCATTCTGCATGTGGGATTTAGGCACGCCAGCTGGGGCATGCGCTTTCAGTTACGGCCGGGTTAAGGCGTCAGATGTGGATGCGACGGGATGGGGGCGATAAGTACGCAGCTTGCAAGCTCAGAGACGACGGGGTAGATGCGACGGCGTAAGTTGCTTGTCTGAAAATTATAACAAGGTGAACAGAGTGCCCAACACCAGCTTTAAGCCGTAAGAGTGGTGCGAGTCAGTCATATTCCACTTGTAAGAACAGGCATGCAAGTTTTATTAACAAAAGACTTTGGACTGGTTCTTCCGATTCAACGTGGCATCCTTGTCCAGATGGAGAGCGTTTAAGGAATACTACGTGAAGCTCCTCTGATTGAACATGTCAAATATCATCCTTGCAACACCCAATGTTCTTACTACAGCTACATTTAACTATGATCAGGTTCCGTCCGGCCTGCAGTATCCGCGTGATTCCCGCCATCCCCGATCAACCCTCCATCAAGCTTTCCCTTGAATGAATCGTACATGCTAGGGTCAGGTTTTTTCCACCGGTAGTCGCATGACACATACTTGGTGTTTAGTAGGCTATCATACATCGAATGGTTGGAGTCCCACTGAACCAGAAGGTGTCCGCAGTGATAAGTGTGAGCAAAGCTCGAAGTCCAGTTGTCCGTAGGCCTGTCAAACATGACTGCCCGTTGGTACTTTTGCCATATCAGGACGCAGTGCGTCAGGTGCTGGTTCAGAGTCACGTATGCCCACTCCAAATTGCCCTCCAGCACTTCGCTCTGCGGGATGAGATCCGTGCCTTCTCCATTCCTCGAGTACCCCCAGTCCTTAGAGTCCCACTCAGTGTTCAGATATTCATCGTAGCATTCTGGAGGTGTCCAAGCAAAATTGTGCGATTCGAAGCGACACCCACGCGCGCGAGCCTCCTCCGGCGTGTTACCACAGCTCGTAATTGCAGGCGACTTCCCATACAGATTAGAAAGCAGTATGACAACTATGAGAAAAGAGGACAAACAGCCGGCCACAATGCAGGAGCGCGACCGTATGAAATTCCGGATTGTTTTGGGGGGCGCGTAAGAGTATTCCGATTCGGAGTCGTCAAGGTCAACTGGTCGAAAAGACTCGCGTTCTGGCTTGCCAATCATCATTCAAGTATGTTGGAGTGAATTTGAGGCGATGCTCGGCGCGCAAGTTCTTGTAGGGGAGAATGGGAGCCTGTACTGAGGAAGCGGTGATAGACCGAGACAGCTTTATGGGTCTCGGCGCCCCAGCCATAACCTCCGGTCTTCCATCGGACATTTTCCAAAATTGTATTTCGTATGCTGAGTGCGACGTCACGATTTTCAATCACTTCAAACCTGTCTAGGCGATACAATTCATTGAAAAACACCGCTTTCAGTCCTCTGTGCTTCATTTGCCATGTGGTATGATGTTGCACCGCGATAGCATCGCGGTGTGGCAATTCGCAGTATAATATCCGCTAAACTTCCGGTCTGAATCAAGATTTGAACTCAGTTCAGGTGTCCATCAAACTTTGGCTCTCATTGCTATTGCCCCTTCATCAACGTACGTCGTGTCGTGGCACCAGAAATATTTACTCAGGCTGTATGCGAAGATATGAGGATTGGAATTGCAATCGCATGTAGTTTTCAATTTTGGCGTCTCTGTATGTTGTGCCCGCTACTTTCATTGATATATCAAGTGAAGGTCAAGACTCGTATTTAAACGGACATAATTTCGATCTTGGGTTTTATTTTCTTGAGCAGTTTTTACTTGCCTCGTCACTAAGCAGCGCGTTGACGTGCAATTGCATCAGTTGGCTGCGAAATGTTGGGTAAAACGGCACCGAGACTGGAGTATGATGTAAACAATTCCCACTTTTTCTTGTCATAGTAAGTTCGAACTAGAGGAAGGAGCTTTCCGTTGATCCTTGGTGTGACTTGATTACTATATATTTTGGGAAGCTTGTCATCCATAAGAAATTGATTTTGAGACCTAGAAAAACGTCTTGGTTGTTCCAAATTGCAACGACTTCTAGATTTGATTGCGGAGAAGCGGTTGTTGAATGTGCCATGCAAGATTGAAGGCAGTCCGCAAGTTTACATACTCCTTTGGACCCACATAAGTCAGGAGTAGGCGCGCCGACTTGAATTATGACAAATCACGACTTCGGCAATATGCAGAAAATAATATCGGAGGCACCATGCTGGCGTGCTGTATTGAGGAATAGAAAGATGGGGGCCTGAAGATAACACATCCATTTAGCCCATGTTACTTCCTGCTTCGATGTCCCAAACTTGAACCCCCAGACCTTCAGTAGCACGCTAAGCTTCCTGGGTCAAGTGCATCCTAAACCTCAGGTTTGGCATCGCCGGCCTCGGCCTCGCTAGGCTCAAACTCGCGCTTGAATTGGAAGTACTCGCTTGGCTCAGGCTCTCGCTTCTTAAATTGGAAGTATTCGCTGGGTTCAGGGTCGCGTTTAAACTGAAAGTACTCGCTAGGTTCGGGCACCCGCTTCTTGAACTGGAAGTACTCGCTGGGGTTGGCCTCCCGCTTGAATTGAAAGTACTCGCTAGGCTCAGGCTCCCGCTTCTTGAATTGAAAGTACTCGCTGGGGTTGGCCTCGCGTCTAATGATAGTATTGTCGGACACGGGCAAAGCAGCTATACTCGTTAGTATATATTACTCAAAGTAGGGTCGGGTTTGCGCACCTGCCTCAGAGGCAGAGGCAGCTAGAAGGGCGGCAATGCCTACGAGGTGGTTGAAGTAAACCATGATGTGCGTCGAGTTTTCTGTTTGAGTCAAGGACTGTTGAAGTTTGCGTTGATGAGCCATATTCTAATCCAATCGTTTCTGATGTTGTTCTTATAAGACTAATGTGGTAACCGACGACCTTGTCGGCTATTCCAATGAATCATCCGCTACATGCCAACAAGATACGCAGTTATCGGCGTTTATCTCTATGGAACTTCCGTCGTCCGATAGTATCATTTTACTGTACTTAACTAAGGGCAGAAAGCACACAACTGTGGTCCGAATCATAAAATCTCCGAAAGCTAAGACATGAGAGCGCTCGCTAGTAGCAACATCCTTGATTTTGGCCCTGGCGCAATCCGCCATGCGATGGTTTGAATTGTCCCCATAATGATTCCACGCTTCTCAGTGAAGCATAGATAAGCGTATTCACAGTCATTTTTTGTAGGCTTGACGCGAATCTGGATGTTCTTGCTCTAGAGCGTAACGATCTTTGATGCAATTACATTGTGATGGGCTGTGATAACAGACGTGATATCGAAGACATTTCAACATTCTCAATATAAGACACATATTGTTGCATGTCTTAAACTAACATGCAACATTTCTCAAGTTTCTGCTATATTGGAGCAATCACGGTAACCGTAACAGGTGACAGTTTGCGAATCCAACCCAGAAACTAATGTGTGGCTTAGTCCTCCATGGGCTGTTCATATTTGGTATGATGACGCCCTCACTACAATGTACAGTATGCTCCCAAGACAATGCCCGACTAGAAACCAGGACCTCTTGCTGGGTAGGGCCAAGTTGCAACGAGGCCTCAGTCAGTGTCTTCCACGCATTTAGACAGTGGCCTTTGTGATGCTCCAGGTAGTCGTATGCGTGGGCAAACTCTCCCGAGAGTATGTATGAGAGATCCATAGGTTGTTTCATCTCCTCATCCTGGTATAGCTCATGTATTGGCAACCGAACGAATTGATCTGAGATATCGTCGAACCTGCAGTAGGGTTTTACCCAGTTCAATAGCGACGGGTCGTATTCGCAGCCGAGCTCTTTGGCCTCCGCGGTTGAGTTTCCGCACGACGACTGACTAGCAACCTCTTCTTGTCGTTGCACGAAATTCTGACTGTCCGTTGCTCGAAGGGCCGCTGGAGTGAGTGGCGTGAGTATAACAATGGCGATGAGTACACCTAACAAGAGTGCACTGCCATTCTGAATCCACATTACAGCCTTGGATCGAGCTTTGTAGTGATATCCTGGCTTGAGACTAGGTTGGAATCTTTCTAAGACAGCTTCGTCTTCTTCGCTGTTGACCGATTCGTCAAGGAATTCGGAGGACGTAGGTGAGTATGCGCCACTAATTTTGCTGTATTGGGGTGAACGGCTGCTTGAGGCCATGGTCAGTGAGATTGATGCAGCCCGAACTGTTCAAGTATTTCGTCAGGAGTTTAAATGGTGGTATTGACTCGCTGCCACGCTCGTGATTTCTGATTGAATGTTGAAGGCGTGTTGCGCATCGAGAAACAATGCTCGCACCCTCACTTCAAAATTTGATGCTCCAATTTACACTCCACTCTTAAAGTTTCAAGAACGGCCGAACGTTTTGGGCTCAGCTTGCACCTACATGGCTCGGACGTATAGCAGGAGTGGGTCGTGGACCTGAATCCGGACGGCCAGACCCCTGCCGCATCTCGCAAGTGGTCGGGATTTTCTCGATCATTCTTACTTTCATCAAAATATCATGTACACTCTGCGTTGATTCCTCTAGCTATGCTTGATATACATCCTTGAGGTTGCGAATGTCCATTTGCTTCTAAAAGCATACTTTCGAGGATTGATTCCATCCGATACTTGAGGTCCAGTACAGATTCCAGAATGAGGCGAACTTATCTTGAAACTCTCTCCAATCTTCGACCGAAGAATTCCCATATACTCTACTTTGTCATCGGGTTCCTCGCCGTTCTAATTAGTTGGGGCGCAAAAGTGGAAGTGTTAGATGGTAACAACAAGGGGCTTTCGTTGTCCTCTAATCAAAATCGCTGGTCGGAGGGAGCTGCTTTCGCTTCCAGATATCCATGCGGTACTCAAAAAAGCTCGGCTATGGCGCAAGGCTGTGTATTCGAACTAGCAACGGGGACATGGCAGCTACCTGAATGCACTCACGAGGAGGAGGAAACCAAGTTCCGCGGCCACCGCGAATGGAAATTCTACGTTTACCAGAATGTGGAGTATGGGGAATCACACCCAAGTATCGATGGTGTGCATGATAGCCGAAACATGCGCGAGGTGTCAATGGAGGTGTTACCAGGCCTTGATCCGCGAACGCAGGTATGGACTACCTGGGAGTTTCACCTTTATCGATGTGCATGGCTGTGGAGACGAGATGTGTTGGTCGGCAATGGGAACATTACAGGGCCTATGGGAGGCAGGCAACACTGTATCGACAATGCACTGATGAACGAGAACAAATATACACTCATAGATATAGTTACGGGGTATCGTGTTCGATTTGCAAGCTGTTCAGCACCACCTGACTACGTGGTTTAGGTTCAAATAGAAGCTCTAGGATTTTAGAACATTCAGAAATTCAGTACACATCTTCCGCCACCCACGTGTCTAGGCGGCTTCTCCCCTTGCACACGTATTGCATTTGTTCGAAACAAAGCAAATTCTTTTGAAAACAAGCTGACTATCTCATCATTCCCTTTTCCATAACATTCTAAGTTCCACATTCAGAATCATCCTCATACTAAACTGATGCAAATTTCCCGCTCCTCTTCAAGTCTAACAAGCCTCTATCGGATTATTTACAAGATCATCTAGATTGAGTGGAGTATGTAATCATTCTCAACGGCCGCTTGTACTTATTTAACTACTTCAGCTCCTTGACCTGTTTTATCCCTAGGCTTCATACACAGCGGCTTTTTTAAGCGGCTATCCTCTTTTAGACTTCAAACTCTCATAATTGAAGTCATCTGATAGACTCACAATCTAAACTTCTATGGACTTGGCGGAAAACGTCATATGCTCTTGTGAAATGCACCATCGAGTCTTAGTTATTTCGGTCTGACGTAGGAAGCTTCCCTCGAGTGTAGACAGAGTATCGAAGGAAGGCAAAAAGAGTAGATAAAGTCAGGAAAAGCGTCATTAGACCCAAGTACGCCCAGAAAATATCTGCACTCATTTCGCCTAAGCGATATGCTTTCCTCTCATTTCTTGTGGTTGTCGGATCAACAAGCTCACTCTGTTGTTCTAGATCTAGAATCTTCTCCTGCTGATGGTGAAAGCAAGGCGAACGGCTTAGGATAGATTGCTGTTCTGAAAACATAGTTTCTAAATGTAGATATTGCGTCTCTACTTGATTTTAACAGCAGCAATGGGCCAGAAGCATGCCATCCTATGTGAACAGCTCAGGGAAACTTTTGATTAAAGATCAATTTCCAAGAAACACAATTCCCCACTGGGTCTCGCCTTCCGAAAACCGCGGCACAAAAAGTGGCCAGCAGATTGTCGACTTTAAGCTGACTAAACTGACGCTGGCAGCTAAGTTCAAAACCTCCGAATGAATGTCCGTAACTCTATGCCACTGAAACCGATGGGCTTCTAACCGAACACAGAAGTAGCATTCAAATTATACGATTGCACGTTGCCCTGCCTATCCAAAGTCAGGCTCTTTCATCCACATCCACAACTGTCAGCCCATCTTTACAGCCAGCAGGTCAGAATGGCTCTGCCCAAGTACTCCCGGGTTGAGACTGATGATCTCGATCAAGCAAATGAAAAGTCTTTAGATGGTTTCCAGAACCCAGCTCCTAAGCGACAAGAGATACGAAGCTACCGGGGTATATCAATCTCATACTGGATAGTCGCACAACTAGCCCTTTGGCTGTCGAGCCTGATCCTGTTGATCTTAGCACTTTTATTATACAAAAATGCTCTTGCAAGGACCGGTTCATATGAGGCAGGTTGGAAGGATACAGAACTTCGTGGGTGACTCTCCATTGTCCGTCTTGAAATGCAGTCTAATAGCCTCAGGGGCTTCATTTCCATCAATCCAACTAGAGAAGATAACGGTGCATCAATACGTGAAAGTGCCCAACACGGCAAGTCTTGAGCCGTCTCCGTCGGTATACATTGGAGAACCATCGGTAGAGATTGATACAGCCTGGGAGCTACTCATCGCGCGTCAGTTCCCTGAAGTGCTTTTGACGTAGTAAGAGCTAAGATCTTTACAGTAATGATACTTTTGCTAGATGAGGAGGAGATCGGGTCATACGCAGACCTTACGGTCAAAAATGAAGACGGCTACTATATCAGTGGGTAAGTAGAGACGCAAGACACCCCTCATTTGCATGCCTTTGTTCTGCAACTTAAACTTTTGGCTAGACTACAGGTTCACCATTATTTGCACTGCCTGAACTCATTGAGGAAAGCTTCATACCAGCATGTATACGGCACGCCCTCGAAAAGTCATCTGTCTCACCTTGGTAAGTCTTTTTCCATCATTTTCTGTGTCTCGCTTCACGTTTCATGCTAACGATAATGCTTGAGTAGATCACTGTGTCGATATACTGCGACAAGCCTTGCAGTGCCAGTCAGACCTGACGCCCATGCTATTTTTCTACAATGGTAATAAAGGCGGTGCAATGGAGATTAGGTCGCACACGCATACTTGCCGCCAGTTTCCTTCGGTGCATAAATGGGCAGTAGACAGATCACATTGTAAGGACAACTCCACCTGTGCGGTCAGTGTTGGCAAAAATATAAATACTGTACCTGAGTAGATGAGCAACGCAAATCAGACGGAGTCTTCGAGGTCGGCCACGCCCGCACATACGTTCATGCGAGGCATCTGAATTGGACATCGGATTATCATGTGCATCCAGTAGTATGAGTACATTTCTGGTCTAGAGGATGTTCATAGATATCCAATTGGTCTTCTCTAAGGAGCAGTTGCCCAAATTTACCGGCGTATTTCAAACAGTACTACCAAATGATAGACATACAATGTTATCTGTTCGAAGCCGCCAGCCAGAAGAATATGTAGATTAAGAATCCTATCGAAACAATGGAACAAGAGGCGATAAATGCGATAGCTCCAATTGCTTTACCACCAGGTTTCTTGTCAACTATATTGCTTTCAACGTCTCTTGGGAGGTCACGCATCCACTTGTAGGAGGGCTGTTTCTGCTGAGTCCAAACTGCATCACAAGTCAACCAGGTACTCTTCGTGAACATGTGGGCAATTATTCTCTTACGCTTGTACATTATCTTCACCTGCTGTAACTGTTCAGAACTTGGTTGTAGTGATGTCCGATAACGGTTTGTTGGGTACAATACAGAATTGTTCGATGCGGCTTTGAGGTTGTTTCCACAAACCAACCAAATCTGCATACCTTATGCAGCACCAGTGCTTGTATAACTTGAAAGAAACTGAGGTTGATGCCAATACGAAACTCGCTAACGTAGGTATGGCGGGCAGACATTCGCAACGCATTCCGAGAGATTGCCCGTAAATCTCCGAGACCACCACGACAAATATCCGAGAAGACTACGAGCAGACGGTGGTTGGGTGGATCTGCCATCCAGGCACTTTCGTAGTGGTAATGGGTAAATCTCTTGATCCGTACAGTTAATCTCAAAGCCTATCAGCCAGCAGTCGCTAGCGACACGGCCGCAGCGAGCATTCTGCTCGATTTCAACATGGACAAACTCAGCGCCAAGGCGTCTAGCCTTGGAGATCATTTATCAGCACCTGACGACTCAGATCTACCGGAGCTTAGAAGGGATTTCCACGATGAGCAATATCTTTCGCAATGTTCTCTGAAGTCTCGAGGCCTCCTACTTCTGACATGTCCAAATCTCGGCCTCCAAGTCTGCTGGTTCCTTCTCATGTCCAGTGGCACGGTCAGTCCACTTGAAATTCATACGAACAAGGAGAACATTTTCTCTAACGACATACAGCCTTACTTAGAGTCGCTAGACATATCCAAATCCATCACGTCGTTGGTGTGGCTCACTGGCCCCATCTTTGGTGCCTTTGCCCAACCGATCTTTGGCATCTTGAGCGACGAGTCGCGGCACCCGTGGGGAAAGAGGAAGCCGTTCATCCTCTGTGGTGCGTCGTGTGTCGCCACATGCTTCCTCGCCCTCGCCTGCGCGGAGGACATTACAGATGGGCCGACGAACCCTTCCACAGCGGATAGCGACAGCACGAAGCACTGGTATACTCAAGTTTTTGCCATTGCGTGCGTGGGCGTCATCACTTTCGCGATGCAAGCTTATCAGAGCGGTGTACGCGCTCTGATCGTAGACAATTGCCCTCCCCAACAACAAGCTGCAGCGAGTGCCTGGAGTATGAGATGGAATGTGGCAGGTAACCTTGTTCTGTCCACTGTCGGCTTCTTGGATGCGAAAAGGACCTTCTTCAGACCAGAGGGGAACGCCAAGTTCAAGATCCTGGCCGTGGTGACTACCGCTTGCATTGTGGTCACCGTCGGTCTTGTATCTTACTATGTCGCCGACAGCAGCCAGAATCCGCGGGGTAAAAGTCGACAACCGCTGACGAAACTATGTTGGTCCATGTTATGTCCCGCTGAACTAAGTAAACACTGGAATCAACTCCCTCCAGTGAGTCATCGAGTCTGCACTATCCAGCTTTTCGCTTGGGTGGCTTGGTTTCCCGTCCTATACTACACGTCTACGTAAGTCCACAATCGATATTGGATAAGCGATATCTCAACTGATGGTGGGTGTAGATTCGCCTACGAAACAGGTAGCTGGTGACATTCTCTGATGTGGTGGTCTGTGAACTAACAGAGTGATCATAGTTCTGCCCTATAATTTTGCAAGAGAACTGCATGAAAAGGGGCAACTTGACATTCGCTTGATCGAACATGCAGAGTTGCACCGCTCGTCATCTATGCTCTACTTCGCCTTTGCTACATTTGCCACGAGCCTCCTGCTTCACATGATCGAGCACGCTATGCCAGCTTTCGACCATACGCAGCCCAGAATCTGGTTCTTCTCGCAATGCTCCTTGGGATTCTGTCTGCTTCTCACCTTCTTCGCACGCACTGGCGCCACAGCCACAATCATCATCAGTGTGATGGGTGCCAGTTGGGCAGTCGCCATGTGGATCCCATTTGCACTCATCAGTGCTGAGATCTCACAGCCTTCACCAAGCAAGCTGGGTGGGAAGACAGGCTGGATATTAGGACTACACAACATGGCCATGTCTCTGCCTCAGATCGTCTCGGCGATTTTGTGCGCAGTCATATTAGGGGCACTTAGGTGGCTGAATATAGGAGACGGCATCGCGTGGATATTCCGGCTGGCCAGCATAGCAGTGTTCTACTCAGCCTACTTGATCAACAAGCTGTAATAGAATACCTGCCATACGATTGCATAATATAGCTAGGCATGGGGAAGATCAAGCTGTAGGGCCGGAAAGACTCTACGGTATGTGTATAAATTGTGCACCTGCCTAGGGACGGAGATAGCCTGGACTATGTGTACCTGGAACTAGACGCCCCGTGGTGCGTGTCCCTGGATTAGGTATTGAGGCCGAGGCTAATGATATGTGCACACGCATCCAGGCTCGGGGGTTGACATCACGAAGGTCCCTCATCAGAGGCACGTTCACAACCCCCGATGTGCACGCAGTCCTGGCCGTTCATCGAGTAGGACATCGCCAGTGGCAAAGACCAGAGTCGCCTCTGAAGACCACGATATTGCGTAGCGCTCCCCGAACTGTGGTCACACAACAGTAGCGTGTCAATGGTTCCTCCTTGCTACTCTGGATGAGCAGTACCCGGGCGCGTTCTGGAGGCTCAGTGTCAAGATTTTCCTGGGCTATGTTCGAAGGACTACGGTACTGCGAGCACCCAAATGGCGATTGCTTTGAGCCTCGCCTCTCGCCACCTGCTCCGTACCCTTCATGAAGGCAATCCCTTGGGCCGCGTGGGTGGTCGTCGTGTAGACAGGCTATCGTCAATCGAGCTGCCAATTAGTGTCTGAACAATTAGGAGCACAGCACCACAAGTAGGACGTGGAAGAAGGGTGGATTGGTTCAGTAACGCAGCGTATGCGATTCATTGGCAGCTACATTTGGCTGCAGACCTCGTAATAAACACCGTGACCATTTGTGAATGAACCGAAATGCCGTTGATGCCATGCAAAGATCAGAGATTCCCTTTTTCACTTTTAGGAACCGTATCGCGCCTCATCTACATCATCCTTGCCAAGTCCCCCATTCTCCCAATCCCCCGAACACAGAAAAGGCAATTTAGGCCTGCAGAGGACAAGTTAGCGAACCTGTGCTCGACGGAGCGCTGTGCGTTGGTGGTTGACCGGTTCTAGCGTACCTTGACGGCGTACTTGCGCTGAGGGAAGTGGGTGGAACGCTTCTTCGTCTTCTCAAGGGTCTTGGCGGCGTCGGCGGGAGACAACCGTCTTCGGATTGCGCGGGTCTGCTTGGGACGCAGATCCAGCGGCGAGTACTTCTTGTTCTTGTAGAACAGGCGGAGCTGGGCGCGCTGCTTGAGGTTGATGACGGTGAGAACGCGGGCGATCGACTTGCGGAGGTCGTGGATGCGGTTCAGCTTGGCGCCCGACGAGTTGATCTTCTGGATGCGGAGCTGGCCCAGCTCGGTCTTCAGCTCGCCCAGCTGCTTCTGCAGGTCCTCCTTGTTCTTGGTCCAGAGGGGACCGGCCTTGACCTTCGAGGATGACTGTTGGTAGGACATGATGATTAGCCTCTGTGTGCCTGACTGTATGTGGTTGTGGTTGTGGTTGTGGTGTCGGGGGAGGGTCGACGAGCAGACCGGGGAGCGTCGTGTCGTGTGAGATCGCGGCGGCGGAAGCGCACGAGGTCAACGAGGGCGGGTTGGTGCAATGATCAGGATCAATCCGGTGGATGGCTGCCACTTACCATCTTGCTGAGGGGGGTTAGTAGGTCGGGTGCGAGATCGCGAGTGGTTGTCGGTTCTTCGAATGAGCTGGAGGCGTCGGACACACTCGAGGTTGTCTGCGGATCTGAAGCGCGGGACGGACGTTTCGATGCTGGAATTTCCCAGTCAGTAAATTTTTGGCGGTTAGGGTTGATTTTCTCTTTTCTGTGGGCTGGCTGGTGCCGGTGCAGCGGGTGGGGCCCGAGCGCTGTGGCCAAGCAGGCTGGCAGGCTGGCAGGCTGACAAGCCTCTTTCTCTCGCCTCTCGAGCTGTGGCGGTGCGAGGCCCCCGTCTCCTGGCGTGTGGCTGTCGCGCTGCCGAGGGATGGAGCCAAGGGGGCCAGGGGCCAGGGTCCAGGGTCTGGTTAGCGAGCGGAACAGACTTAACTTACTAGGGGTCAATCTTGTACTTGATGCACACTCCGATGAGATAGACGCAGGCGGGATTGTCCCACCACGCCTGCTGGTCGGCCATGTCGACTGCAGTCGTCCTGTGTCCTGTGGTTGTTGTCAAGGCAGTGTTTGAAGACGAGAAAATATGTAATAAAACGAATTTTGAAATACACGAGATTGAGGGTGATTCACCTGCTCAGCGTCACTTATGCGGTAACCGGGGCGTCCAGGACCCCCCGGGTGCGCTGTATGCAGTTACTTCCAGCCATGCGTTGCGTTCAAGGTTGCATCTACAGGCGTCGAGCAGCCAACTATATGCCACCAACCAAGTTGCAATTCAGTGTCCCATTGACAGATAACGGATCAGATAACTTGTGAATCCAAGTGAATTTCAAGTCTTCATATTGTTGCAACTTGGCTGGACTCTAACGACAAAGCTCGCCGTCTCGAAGTGCGGTGCTCCCGTCCAGATCGTGACCCACGATTTATGGAGTTAACGGTGGTCGCTGCGGCACCTCAGCCCGTCCGCACTACGTAACCAACTTGCATGCCGAATCGGTCCCATCCCAGCTTCATGTGACTGCTCGATTGTGATCAAGACGACCAAGCCCACGATACCCATAATACTGTCGAGTCGAAGACCATCGCGCACGCTGGATTGATAACATCATCTTGTATTGGTCCATGCGACGGCACCTCCCCAAGCGGTGACCGCATTCCCGTTCCAGCCGAACGATTCCACTGACCACGGAGCTCCTAAGCACCTAAGGCTCCCGGACTTGGGTAGCGGAGAGACTGCCACCAAAGAAGTCTTGTATGGAGACATCATGGCGGCGGCAGCATCAGGAAATCAGGGCTGGGCTCAGCTGCGCCAGCAAGCCCGGAGTCTAGAGTCCCAGGTAGAAGCAGCCTGCCCCTTTCCGGGAAGCTCGCGCTGACTTTTTTCGTGCTCGCCCGTAGACCGAGACGCTGTTCCACACCTACTCGCAGTTCTCCCAGATCTCCAACATACCGCCGAAGCCGACGCCCGAGGAGCGCGAGACCGAGACCAAGCTCGAGGAGCTGCTGGCGAAGCGCGACACGGTCGTGGGCCAGCTGGCGCGGCTGCTCGACTCGGAGGCGGCGCTGACGTCGTCGGCGCTGAAGCAGAACAACCTGGCGCTGCTGCGCGAGAAGCTGGCCGAGCACCGGCGCGACCTCAAGCGCATCCGGGCCAGCATCGACGAGGCGCGCAACCGCGCCCACCTGCTGACCAACGTGCGCTCCGACATCGACGCCTACCGGGCCAGCAACCCCGAGGCCGCCGAGGCCGACTACATGCTGGAGGAGCGCCGCCGCGTCGACAACAGCCACAACATGGTCGACAGCGTGCTGTCCCAGGCCTACGCCACCCAGGAGAGCTTCGTGCTGCAGCGCGAGACCCTGGCCAACATCAACCGCCGCATCACGCTGGCCGCCAGCCAGGTGCCCGGGCTCAACACGCTGATCGGCAAGATCTCGGCGAGGAAACGGAGGGACGGCATCATCATGGGCAGTTTCATCGCGTTTTGCTTCCTGCTCTTCTTCTGGGTTCTGTGAGCGGGAGGGGCTGGTCTATATGTGTGTGCTGTTAATTATATACCTGGAACCGGCCTGGGGTTCTTTCAGGTTCATGATGCGAAGCTTGCATGGATGTATACTCCGCATGGCGTTTCGGTTACTGCTGTTGGTGTTGGAACTGCAATTGTATAGTAAGGGGTCGCTGGGTACGCCCGACACAATGTGAGGATAGCTATTATTATGTCATGACATGTATCGTAACGGTATACACCGTCGTGGCTCACTGTAGATTTCGACCACGTCAGAGGTGAGCTGTTGTGCTTGCACGTATGGAGCGGTGGCATAGTGCCCGGGCCAGTACCAAACTACTGCTAATAAAATGTCGGAGTGACCGCAATGCAGGTTGCAGGCCTGCGGTAGGCACGAAAGGTAATGGATTTTCGGAGACACATAGTGAAGTCGGGTATCATTTCTATAGACACAGCCATCGCCTTGGCTTGTACATCATTCGCCAGGATCATACACCAATCGTACATTTTGCAACACCTCACGCCTTTACGGTAGTCTTAACCCTCGGCTTGGCGCTCTTTTCCTCCTCGAGCAACCTCTGCACGCCCTTCACCAAGCCGGATCTCTCATGGTCCTCAGCGTAACCACTCCCGGCCCAGCGGATGCGGCACTGGCTGTCCACAAGGTACACATAGCCGACCTTGCTGTTCAGCAAGCCGATCGCCTCCTTGAGTTCATCCGAGACGCCCTTGCGGACGAGGAAGTATTTCCCCCAATTCGCCTCGCCGACACTCTTCCGGAGCCCGCCCATGAACAATTTGATCAAGAAGGCCTTCAACCGGTCTCCCTCAATGTTGATCTGCACGTGCTGCGCCTTGTCTGTGTTGTCCTGGAGCAGCTCTACCAGCTCAGGGTTGGCCTCGGCAGAGGCAAAGGACTTGGCCTGGTTCTCGGCCCATTGTCCGCTGTACACGCTGACCACGGACACCTTGTCTTCTAGTACGGGCGTCGTGTCGCGTGGTTTGCGGTCGGACTTGAGGAGGGTTGTGCCGTATAGGTTCGGGAACCAGAGCGAGAGCTCGCCCTTGAACAGCCGCGGGGGGCAGATGAAAGTCTTGCCCTTGTGAAGCTCGAGGTTCGTCCAGTCACGGAAGTAGGGCTTACGGAATTGTGTTTTCCTAGCAATTGTCATGTTAGCCGATCAAAATCGAAAACTGGCTCGTGGGGGAGGTTCCGAGGGGACGTACAGTTCCTCCCTTCTCTCTAGGTGCTTATTCCAGTTGACAAAGTCGTCTCTGCGCTGCTTTATCGTTCGGTTATCAAGGCCTGTATTCTGACCGGCCTCTGGCGGGAACGGCATGCCTATAGGCCGAGGCAACGGGACGGGCGTAAAATCCTCGACACGCTTGCCGTAACCCCGTGGCGCATTCTCAAGGGGCGAAGGAGCGATGGTTTTAGCAGACACCGGGAACGTGCCGGGAGCCAATGTTTTGGCTGCTGTCGCCTGTGCCTTTTCGGAAAGCTGTCGGTGTGATGTGCTGAAGGCTCGCGATTCGCACAGGAGGCATAGTATTTGTGGCCTCCGGGGAAGCACGAACCCCATGGGCTTGACAACGGTGCCTCTCATTCTGGGCGCGCGAGCGGGAAGTCAGTAAATGACAGGGCTGAACGTTCAGAAGAGTGTGCGAGGTTATGTAAATATCATCAGCACCTCACAGTTCCTCCCGTATGTGCAACTTGACGCTGTCGCCAAATTTTTGGGAGCTTGGGGAACGCGGCGATCGGACTTTAGAAGCTACGTGCATAAGTGGATCTGGTCCCCTTCAGTGGTAGTTATCGCTAACTTATCGCTATCGCTATCACTATCAGTGAGCCGAGATGCTCTCTCTGTGTACATTTCACAGTCCCATCTAGTTAACTTGGTTGCTTTGTTCCACAATCAGACTTACCACAAGGTGTTTAATCTATGGCTTTCTGCAGCATCTACACTTGTACGAGCGTCTGTTCGCGCTTTTCCCATTTACAAGCATGCGGTCAACCTGAAATCGATTGTTGTTGACCGTCTGCTCGTCGGCCGGTTCCAACCCCAGGCACCCACCCCAGGGGGCCCATTAGCGGTTGTCGACGGCCGAACCCCAGATTCGGCTACCAGCGGTCAATGGCGGGGAGAACGGCGCACCGTCATACTCCCCTTCCTCGTCTGATCAGGTGAGCCGCAGGCGCCCTGCATTCCCGACGGAATCCAGATCAGGTATATTTTCTCCTCGGACCTTGGAGCATGTAGCAGAGAGTCCAATTGAGCCGGATTCACCTTTATATACACAAGATGTTCTTCCAGCGAGGCGCGCGCGCAGTGCGTTCGCAGTACCGTGTATACCAAGGCCTGTCCCGCTTCCTCGACTCCGGCGCTCGTGGCGCCTACGCCGTACCCGGGAGGAATGGCTTCCACTCGACGAGAAGTCTGCAGGTAGTGAAGCCGGTGTTACTGGCAGACATTGGTGAAGGTTGGTTTTCCTGCGTCGCTAGCCTCCAGCGCTTATCTTATCACTTACACGTTCAACCCCATTGTCACAGGAATCGTCGAATGCGAGATCATCCAGTGGTTTGTCGAGCCAGACGCGCGCGTCGAGGAATTCTCGCCCCTGTGCGAGGTACAAAGCGATAAGGCCTCGGTCGAGATCACCAGTCGCTTCTCGGGCGTCGTCAAGAAGCTTTATTACGATGCAGGCGAGATGGCCAAGGTCGGCAAGCCTTTTGTCGATATCGACATACAAGGAGATGCCAAAAAGGAGGATCTCGAGGCCTTGACGGCACCAGAGCCCTCGCAGGGTGAGGGCGCCGGTGAGCCCATGAATAAAGAAAGCTTGAGCAAGCCACCGGAGACACCGGAGACGGCCCAGCCGCGCGCAGAGAAAGCACCGCCGGAGAGGAGCGGGGAGAAGCCGCACAAGTCGACTGGCAAGTATGCCTCATTAGCGACGCCTGCCGTACGGCATTTATCAAAAGAGCACGATGTCGATATTACGGATATACAAGGCACGGGGAAAGACGGCCGTGTCCTGAAGGAAGATATATACAAATTCGTGGAGGCTCGCAAGTCTGGCGGCACTGCAGCAACTCCAAGCGCAGGAGACTTTTCCTACGCCCAACCACAAGACACGACAACGCAAACCGAGACGTCGGTCCCGCTTACCAATATTCAGACTCAGATGTTCAAGGCCATGACCCGCTCCCTCAACATCCCACACTTCCTCTACACCGATGAGATCGACTTCTCCCAGCTGTACTCTCTCCGCCAACGTCTCAACAAGGTCCTCACTTCCTCACCAGCACAAGGAGAAGGCGATGTGTCCAAACTCTCTTATCTCCCTTTCATCATAAAAGCCGTCTCGCTGGCACTATACCAGTACCCGATACTAAACGCACGGGTCGACGTTGACTCCTCAGCGAGTCAAAAACCAAGCGTTGTGCACCGTAGCCAGCACAATATCGGCATCGCCATGGACACACCGTCAGGGCTGCTGGTGCCCGTGATCAAGAACGTCGGCGCCCGCAACATCCTGTCCATCGCATCGGAGCTCTCCCGCCTGCAAGCCGCGGCCACCGCTGGCAAGTTGTCGGTCCAGGACCTCAGCGGCGGGACCATCACCGTGTCCAACATCGGCAACATCGGTGGTACCTACCTGTCGCCTGTGATCGTCGAGAAGGAGGTGGCGATTTTGGGCGTGGGCCGCATGCGCACCGTGCCAGCTTTCGACGAGAATGACAACGTTGTCAAGAAGCAAGTTTGCAATTTCAGCTGGAGCGCCGACCACCGCGTAGTGGACGGCGCGACCATGGCGCGGGCTGCCGAGGTCGTGCGGCGCGTCGTAGAGGAACCTGATGTTATGGTTATGCACTTGAGGTGATGAGGGGATATGTCCAGAGTCTTGTTCACCCTGATATCTCAAACGAGCGGAATGCTAGGTTTGGGGTGTGGCGAGGTCAGGAGAAGCGTGGCTAGTGTAGTATACACGCCATAGACATGATCGAAATGCAGGGGTCCTATGACATTGAGTAGATGGCTATAGAAGTACTGAACTACTTTAGCAGGCGAGTTGTTCAATCTAACAAAATTGGTCTGGCAATAGATCTTGCAGTTCATTCGGAATATTTGAAGCCCATTAGTTTTGTTCCACAGTGCCCCGGCATCAGGTAAATGTCGAGGGGCATGACACAAACAATATACAACAGGAGAGTACAATATACAACGAGAGCTATCTATTGCCGGGCTTCCCTAGCCTCGCTTCTAGATTAAGCGCATTCGGCGCCTATATTCCCTCTAACCCTCGCCAAGGATAAAGTACGCGCGGTGCGTTGATCTCAAGGGCTAAAAACGGGAAAATGCCAAGTTGCAGTGCAGTGCAGCATCTCACTTGGGTGTCACTCTGCACGATGCTGCAGGGCTGAGAGAGAGCGCGCGCGCGGCATAGACTCCCTCCCACCCTCGATCACATCACACCGGTTTCAACTCCCGCGAATGACGAGGGACAGCAAGCGTGTTCATGACGTGGACGAGGCACATGTTCGAGCTGCAGGGAACCGGATCGGGTATTTCCAGGGGGAAAGCCGTTCCAGACCTTGGGGCTGCCGTACCGGGAGGTTGAGGCTCAGCGGCCGGAACAGTCTTTTCAGGTGGGCGGGGGGGTTCGTGGATCGATTCAAGGTCGAAGACTTCGCTTGCAGTGCAGATCAGTGTTTTTCTTGATCTACGCATGTGTGTACGTGGGGCTAGACCTTCTACTCCATTTGCGCCCATGCGATACATGGCAAAAATCAGGTATGTTACATCCAATGCTTGAACTCCGGGGAAGACCAGGTTCCGAGATCTCCCTTCAAACCAAATGCATATGCTAGCTGCCCCCGGGGGAAAGAAAAACCTGGGGCCCCGCAATGCGTACAACTTGACACCCGGTGGCTCCAGGTTGGTCTGTTCCTCATGCAGGGCAGAGTATGCCCGCGTGCAGCAAAACAAAACAGGCCAGGCCGCATGTACCTGACTATACAAGCCTTCTCGCTATCCCCTTCTTCAAGATGTCAAGATGCCCAAACTCCCAAAAAGGCAAGACGTTGAACCCATGCATACTCCTGGAATACCGTGGCCGCCGATTCGACCAGTGAAATAGACAACCCGAAACGACCACCGAAATGCTTCGATAATGCAATTGTGCACGTAAAAGATAGGATGACTCCAGCTGGCTCATGCCGTCTCGTCGATCTTCTGGAGAACCTTGCTGAGAGAATCTTTGAGCACACCTTCTGGGCTGCCGCTGACGTCCACGCTGATCACGTCCGTCTCTTCGGCGGTTGGCGGCTCGAGGATGCTAAACTGGCTGTGCACCATATTGGCCCCCATGTAGTGCCCCTTCCGGGCGCCGACGCGCTCGAGCAGGACTTCTTCGGTTGCGTGTAGGTAGATGAAGTGCAGTATAACATCGTGCGAGTAGTAAGGAGCCACTCTGATGACATCACGGTATTTGCGCTTCAGTGCCGAGCACGTCAGCACGACGCCCTCAGCTCCAGCGGCCAGCTTCTTGAGTGACTCCTCACGGAGCAAAGTGAGCCAATCCCATCGGTCGGCGTCTGTGAGAGGGATGCCGTTGGCCATCTTGTCGATGTTGGCCTTGGGGTGGTACTGATTGCGGTTAGTGCTTGTTGTAAAAGCGCCAAGATATTTGCTTCCCATACCTCGTCGCCCTCCAGATATGGTAGGTTCAATGCCTGTGAGATGTGCTGTGCCACAGTCGTCTTTCCACAGCCGGCAGGGCCAGTAACAAGCCAGATGTGGTGCTTCTTTGGCGCAGTCTCGCCATTTTGCCCGTTTTTGCTCGTAACGTGTGACGCATGGGTCATGGTTGCGCCACTCACTGGCTTCGGGTTTGTGCCATTGGTGGCAATATTCGAGTCCATTGTCGTCGTAGGAGTTGGATTTCCTGGCACCGAGACTGGACTATTCAAGGAAAGCATTTTGCAACTTTTCGCGACCTGGACTACTGCACCAGGAAACTATTCACCCAAGTATGCGCTGGCAAGCCGATCGGAATGTGTAAGTGAAAGCGCAGGTAGTAGACTTGGAAGACGCAGGGGATCAGATGTCGCGAAACGGCCGTGTTCAGTTGTAACTATCCAAAAACCACTGGAATTGCGAATTGGTGTAGGTCGGTTTGGGAGAAGATGAAAGGCCGTATGTAGGGACAAGAGGTGGTAAAATAAGTGAAGACCAAATCCAGAGGAAGAGGTGCGGGCCCAAGGGCGGCTTTATGTCTGATGTCAGAGCCTGATCTTAGACTGACTGGCGTAGGTTACAAGGCGGGTCAATGAGAACGGCCCCGGATGAATGAGGTAAATTTTTGCTGACTGGCATGGAGTGTGCATGCGGCATGGGCATGCTTGCTTCTGAAGCAACGGCAGCTAAAGGTAAGGTAGGATCCCTCCTAGATTTTCAGTAAATCCCAGGTGCCTGGGAAAGCTGGCTTGGTGCTGGGTTGAACTTTCATCCTAGAGGTCCAAGCAATTCGTCACTCGTCCAAGAGGGCAAGTCTCAGGGGTCGTCAAGCCAATCATACGCCAGGTGAACATTTCCTGACGGCTCGCTCCACCGGGGTCAGGGCGGAGGGATGGGGGGCATCGGGGGCATCTTGACCAGGTACACGGCGGTACCTTACTAGAGGTGAGAAGTACCGTACCGGATGCGCGCCTCGAGGCCAATAGCACCGGCCAGCTCTGCACCGCCGGGCTACTAGAAGCCGTAGATGGCCCTAGAAGCTGGTATGGATGGTAGGCTCCTTCACAACGAACAGTTGTGGTCGGGGGCCTGTTTGTGTCTGGGAAACTCCATGAAGCCCGATTTCTTTCAGTGTGTCCTAAGAAGTTGATTCAAGAAGTTGGTCACGCCAGGTTATTTGGCTGTAATCTGGCACTCTTTTGCCCCTGGGTGTAGACATGAAGGTGAAGGGAAAGTAAGACGGAGCGGAACTCGGCCATGACTTCAGTGGACCGTGTACCGCCAATTCGGGTGGGTCGGGGGTCACCCAGCTGCAATCTTGGAGTTCCCGCTTCCGACACCATGGGGAAGCACGAGACTCATCCCACACAGCCAAGGAACCCGAGGATTTGGAGTATATTGCTTTAGCAAGTTTAGACTGGACTCTGCACCAATGTAGACTGGGTGCACCAAGTTTTTCACCCAGCCATAGGCCTGGTACTCCAGCGTGCAGACAAGTAGAGGAAGGTATCGGCGCCCTCGACCTCGTGGGAAAGCTTGCCGATGGTGGGAGGCTTTCATTAGAGTGAAAATATAGCGTGGGGGTCACAACATTGTGTGTGGAGTCCCCAACGCAGGATCCGCGGGCTCGAGAAGGCTTCGTCACTGTCGTCGATGGCAGAATGTGGAGCGAAACGTGGTGGGTGGATGCCACCGCCGCTGGCCACGGGCGAAGGAATTTGGCGGGATGGATGGGAGAAAGGGGAAATTCATCAGTCTGGAGCGTCCGACCGCCCGACGTCTGGTGACGCTGTGCAGCCCGTCGGGCAACGACACTTCGTCAGTCACCGCCCCGCATGATCTTTAACTTGGCTGATTGGGATTGGCGCTCGGAAGGCGTTTTCTTGATGGCTGTCCTCGACGGACGCACATATTACTGCTGTATAATGTAGCTACAAGAGCAACACTCAGCCGTCGTGACAATGCGGCCACAGTCGTGATGGCGATCCCTGTCACTTCTTCTTTGTCATTCGTGACCCCCAATCCCAAACAACAAACTGTGTGCGAAGGGGCACATGATGCGCAAGTGCCTACTCCGCTTATTCAGCGAAGATGTTCATATTAATACATGTCGGCTTGGAGTCATTCACCAAGCTGCCGCTCCCTCCATTTTCGCACTCAACTCCAAGAGCAGATAGTAACGTCACCGCCAAATGGTCACGAGGGTGGTTTGACTTTGCTTTTCCAACTCCTTCGGCACGGCTCGGCCTGATGTTCCGGTCCCCATGCGGAACCCACAAGCCTGCGTCCGGGGTCGAGTCCGTCTATTGCACGTCGGTGCGCCTCGTTCAATGCGACAGGTATACACTCGTATTCCAGCGTACACTCTTATACACCACTGCTCACCGCTCGTCGGACGAACCCCTTGATCGCGAGGTGCGGCGGTAGACCCTAGTCTGGAAACACTCTGCGCCTTTATACTTTGGACACACCAAATCATGCCTTATTAAGAGCTCCAGGTTCCTTTGCAGCATCAAATGCAATGACGTGCAGCTACGACGTTGATCCCGGCAGATGCTGATGCCCCATAATCAGGTGTATGTGTTATATTTGTTGTTGGGATGTCACCTCATCTCCAACTCTCGCGGGAATTCCGGGGATTCATATTTCGTTTTCCATCCCATCCGACTTTGAGCGATATAGACTGGCTGCAACGCGATCAGAAAAGGTTCCCGTGTTGCGCAAAGCTCCTGATTTGCTGCCGTCCTGCCCACTAATTGTTCGAAGAGCTGAAAACTAAGTTCAGGGCTGCCTTCTATGCACGGATTTGGACTCTTGCACCCCCAACCCACCTTGACCGAGACAGGCAAAAATCGCCGAGGCGTGCCCCTCCATGATCGCACACGGCGCGCGAGCCCTGTAGTTAACGCGCTGCAACTGTACAAATCGAAATGCGACAAGCCAATAGCCTTTTTGAGACACCTGCTGAGCTTCTCCAGTTATCGAGTGTGCACGACAAGTAGAATGGTATTCCAGCTATATCCCAACGTCTAGTCTGTCACTCTTCACCAGAAGCGGCGAGATTCCTCAAACGTGATCGCACTACGAATGACCCAATCCTCAGGTATTCGCCGACCGCTCCTCGTCTATGATTTTCGCACGACGTTGAATGTGTGATCAAGAGACATTCAAATGTTTGGTGCTCGATTACGCACTTACAGCTTGAAATATACTGGTGTCACTATCTCCCGGTCGATATGCAGGGACCTGACAATCTACATGCGTAATTCATACCCTTCTTTCTTCCAGGGGTTGAGCCATCGCTTCTGAGCTGATGGAGGGGGTTCGGACTGTGAGTTTTCCAAGAACATTTCTGGTCTCGCATAGCCACTGCAACCATCGCAGCTTGCGACCGACAAAAACCTCGTCTTGCTCTGGAAAGAATCTGCCCATGTTGGCACTGTTCCACACAGGTACACAGGTACGACGTTCTTAGGCGACGTTACACACGTGCTCGGTGTCCAGACTCGTGGGAACGCCACCAGATCAAGATCTCACCGGCGTTATAGATTAGGAGTATAGAATCACCTCGTGCTACCATGCCGTTGACCCTCGCTATTTTCAGACCGCGGCCGGCCCACCTCAGTCAACGGCACTCCTCAGCATCGATTGTTGCCAAGCAGCATACGAGTAAAGAGATGCACGGCGAGGGAGCGAAAGGCTACGAGAGAGAGAGATTTCTCGCTCTCAAGCAACGCAAGTCGTAACAGGATCACTCCTACAGCTTTCGCTGTTACTGGCGCCATCACCCCAGATTTCACCTTCACCCTCTTGGCAGGGTCTCGACTTTGGCCATGTGGCGCAAGTAGAACACTGGAGCCCGTTCCAGGGTTGTGGCTACCAGCGTCGGTCGCCTCCGGGCCCCCGAAAAAGACAGCTTTTCCGGTTTAGACTCATCAATGCAAGGCACTGGAGGCACGCAGCTGGGTAAATCACATCGCGCACATACACACACAAGTTGCATAGGGTTTCAAGGTCGGAATTCGTCTTGCCTGCGTTAGGAAGGTCAGGTGGTGAGAGGCGGCAAGCAGCGGCTAACTGGACCCCCTCTTTCAATGAATGTGACAACAACGCTGTCTCGAGGTTTTCTGAGACTACCTGTACCTTTGCGGGCGGCCACCTCGAGATCGTTCAGAGTTCTGACCTGTAGCGCCCTCGCATCGTCCCCGCGTTACTTTGCACCAGCCAGATATCGGCAAGTCAAGCCCACCACCATCTCGACCCGGTCCTTTGCATCACCCACCACCACCACCACGCCAGCCATGGACGCCGCGGACCTGAAACACTACCTCGCCGATGCGCCTCCCACCATTGTGCGGTTGGAGATTGAGAAGCACTTCGAGCCTCTGTCGGACCAGCAGAAGAGATATGCGCACTTCATCAGCAGGTACGTGGTACACCACCCAGCTCGCCCTCGCTCACGTGAGCATCACGGCCCTATATGTGCATGCACTAACACCGGAACAGAGCTGCGTGGGCGGGCACCCGCATCGTTCTCCGGTGCGTCTCGCCAGAGTCGGAGTCCATCTTCGACTTCATCCTAGCCCTGCACAAGAGCTCGGGAGGCGACTGGAAAGCCCTGCAGGCCAAGGCCGGCATCTCTGATGAAGAGCTCGACCAGTTCCTGCAGTATGCCGCCCAATTCCTCGGAAACAACGGCAACTACAAGAGCTTTGGTGACGCCAAGTTTGTTCCGAGATGCTCGGAGTCGGCCTTCACTGCTCTGGCAGCTACGTCCCCTGAGGCGGACGGCTTCTACAAAGCCACCAAGGGCGCCATCTTCTCCAGCCAGCCTTCCTCTGTCATGCATCTTGGATACCCAGAGAACGGTCACATGACCACGTACTACCCCAACTCACCAGACATCCTGCAGTCTGAGATCGAGGCCGTCTCTGCCTGGATGGGGGCCAAGGGCCTGCTGCCGGAGAACACGCGAGTCACCAAGACCAAGGACGGAGTGTTCGAGATTCTGATCGCCTCGGCAAACACTACTGTGCCAAGTGAAGGCGGTGACATTGGAAAGGAGACTACATACTCTATCACCGATGGGCCTCTGGCGGGCAAGACCATCAAGCTGGTGTACGGTGACTATTCCAAGGAGATGGCGCTCATCACCGAGAACATCAAGAAGGCCGCGGAGAATGGCGACAACGAGACACAGAAGAACATGTACAACGCGTATGCCAAGTCATTTGAGACTGGCTCGCTTCTGGACTTCAAGGACTCCCAGCGCTTCTGGATTCGGGACAAGGGCCCGATGGTCGAGTCCAACATCGGATTCATCGAGACGTACAGAGATCCGGCGGGTATCCGAGGTGAATGGGAAGGCTTTGCTTCGATTGTCAACCTCGAGAGAACAAAGGCGTTTGGCGATCTAGTCAATGCCGCCCCGTCCCTGATTCCCCTTCTGCCCTGGGGCAAGGACTTCGAGAAAGACAAGTTCCTGGCCCCTGACTTCACTTCACTGGAGGTCCTTACTTTTGCTGGCTCCGGTATCCCCGCTGGTGAGTCTTTTGATATACACAATTCATCGTTAACGTCAGACTAATTTGTCTACTAGGTATCAACATCCCTAACTACGACGATATCCGACAAACAGAGGGTTTCAAGAACGTGTCTCTGGGCAACGTTCTGAGCGCCAAGGCCCCCAACGAGAAGATCCCCTTCATCGCGGAGAAGGATCTCGAGTTGTTCAGGAAGTACCGGGACGACGCCTTCGAGGTGCAGGTCGGGTTACACGAGCTGACCGGTCACGGCTGCGGTAAGCTGCTGCAGGAGACGTCCCCCGGTGTCTTCAACTTCGACAAAGAGAACCCGCCCATCTCGCCCCTGACCGGCAAGCCCGTGACCAGCTGGTACAAGCCCGGCCAGACCTGGGGCTCCGTCTTCGGCAGCCTGGCGGGCGCGTACGAGGAGTGCCGCGCCGAGCTCGTGGCCATGTACCTGGGCTGCGACTTCCCGACGCTCAAGATCTTCGGCTTCGGCGACGGCTCCGAGGATATGGACGGCGAGGCCGGCGACGTGCTCTACGCGTCGTACCTCTCCATGGCGCGCGCCGGCCTGGCCTCGCTCGAGATGTGGGATCCCAAGAGCCGCAAGTGGGGGCAGCCGCACTCGCAGGCGCGCTTCTCCATCTTCCAGTGCTTCCTGCAGGCGGGCGAGGGCTTCTGCACGCTCGAGCACAGCGGCGACGACGTCGCGGGCGCCGTCATCAACCTGGACCGGTCCAAGATCCTGACCGTGGGCCGCAAGGCCGTCGGCGACTACCTGCAGAAGCTGCACGTCTACAAGGCGACGGCGGACGTCGAGGCCGGCGGCGCCTTCTTCCTCGGCATGACCGAGGTCGACGCCGACTACTGGGGCCGCAAGGTCCGCGACGAGGTGCTGCGCGTCAAGCAGCCCCGCAAGGTCTTTGTCCAGGCCAACACCTTCCTCGACGAGCAGACGGGCAAGGTCTCCATCCGGCACTACGAGCCCACGCTGGAGGGCATCATCCAGAGCTTCGCCGAGAGGCAGGTCTGAGTCTCCCGAGTTGCTTTGTGGGGATGAATGGATGGACGGACGGATGGGGGGAGAGAGAGCATTGGTTCTGGGGATCGCATAGCGCATAAGGTCTAGCAAAACGGGAAAGAAAAACAAAAGGCAAAAAGAAGGAAACCAGTACACAGTAAGACGGGCGTGTCTAAAACATGACCAGCTTCAATACCACGGAGCATCGAATCGGGCAATGAAAAGAACGAAACCCCCCAGTTCTGTGCTGCAATAATTTGCACATCTCCCATGTGAACTCGATTGATACTGAGCGAAAGTAAAGTTGTCGCCGAAATCTGTCCGTCCACGAGACTGCAATGTCACGAGAGAAACCAAGAGCAGAGCGCTGTCCAGCTGTCGGGCTTGATCGGACCAAGATGTTTTGACGCTTGACTGAGCCACCGCTTCTGGTTCATGGTACGATGGAGAGATATGCCGTGCTTTCTATATTCTGAAATTTGGTGTGCATTGAACGGCGTACGATATCCTAGGTGAGTGGTCTATCGCTGTCGTCGGTAGATATCGCTCGGGGCAATACGAGGGGTGTGCGATGTTGTCAGTAGTCCTTGATGTCGACTCGGATCGATCGGATTGGCCTGGCAGTTAGCTTGGGACTGGGTCAGTACGTTTCACCTGGAACTGGCGGCAGACAGAGAGAAGGTAGCACTCAGTCACCATGGACAGATGGCATCAAAAAAAATCGAAGCACAGCACCATAGACCGAAAAAAGACACCGAGAGTTTGCCCAAACCCCATGAGGTTTTCATATGCTCTTTTGTTGACTTATGAACCTCATTACAGACGCCAGAATCAATGTGACCGATGACCGTCAACGTCCAGATGCAAGTGGCAAAGCCAGCCCAGTTTCCGCAGACACCTTTCAATCCGCGGCCTCTAAAAGAAGAAGTGTCGTGTCATTTCTCTTTGTCGCCCTCTTAAAGTAACAAACAACCCCGCGTTTCCCAAGTTCCGTTCCAGACGCTCGTTTTGGGAGCATCTACCACTTCATCTCGTGGGGCTTGTCACCCTTGCGCAGGCTGAAGGAGCTGGCCAGGTAGCTGGCAAGGAAGTCGACCTTCTTGATGTTGGCGAGCAGGGCCTTGTCGACAGTCTTCTGGTCAGCAGCTCGGCTGCTGCTGATCTCCTTCTTCTGTGGGCAGAGCACATCAGTATCCCGGGCCTGCGCTTTCTTTCTTCGTCTTCGGATTCGCTGTTCTCTTACCTGTGGCTTCTCTCCCTGCTTGAAGAAGGCCTCCTCACCAGCCTTGTCCTTGGACTTCTCGTGGGCAAAGTACTTGTCCGATGCGATCTCGTCAATCTTTGCCGAGTCGAGGCCAGCCAGGTCGATCTTGTAGGATGTGGCAATGACGTAGCGGGAGTTGACTCTGCGGATGGGGACACCGTTGATCTTGAAGGGGCCGGTGACGAGGAGGACACCCTGCTCGAGAGTCTTGAGGAGGACGACACGCTTGCCACGGAAGCGGCCAGCGAGCAGGATCAGGACGGTACCGGGCTGGAGGGACTTGCGAGGAGCCCAAGCGCGGATAGACTTGCGGACCTGTTGCAGACAAGATAATTAGCGACTGTTGGGTTTCTTTCTGGCTAATGTGCGTGCATGTGTATGGTCTGGCGGCATCGAGATGTCCAGAGTTTTGCGCCTGCCTGTCTGCCATGCCGTCCATTGTCGTCGTCGAATTGCGCCTCGCGAGAGTTCGCGTTTGTCGTGTTCCGTCCCTGCTCTTCTTTGTATCCTTGCGCTGGCAATCTGTATTGCACCTGTCCACCCATCTCTCTGGTCTTGGATCTTGCTGTGTTGCGTGTTTTTACATCCTCCCAAGGGCCAGGCAGGCAGGCAGGCACTCTCGCGAACTGGTACTCTGTGTGTATGTGTGCGTGTGCGTGTGACGGCACACTCATCGTGGTGAACAACAGCAACAACTTACAGTCTTGGGCTTGGACTCATCGTCGGCAGGGTACCACTTCTGGGCCTTCTGGGAGTGGTGAGGGACCTCCCGGGTCGACTTGCCAAACTTCTTGCTGGTCGGCTGCGACATGGTGAAGGCTGGCTGCTGTCGGTTGGGGGTTAGTTGGCGATGTGAGAGTTGGTCGTTGGGTGTTGAGTCTTCCAATATCTGGAGATCGTCAAAGTGGTCTGCTCCCGAATGCACACAGAAAAATCTTGTGGGTTCGTTTTACGCGATTAAGCCCTGCCCCGAAATTTGCCTGTGGCTTGGGGGGGACCAGACCTAGCGACAAAGCGGGGCCGGGGTTTTGGCTAGCGTCGCCCCAGCCACATCGGGGGGACTGGCACCTGGGAGCGCCGACACCAGCCACAGATTCTTTTCCCGTAGCGACTAGCCTATCACGGATAACCAGACATCGAGACAACCGCAAGTCGGTTATGTCACCAGGCCCCCGGCAAGGAAAAAGAGGCCCAAGCTCCTCCAGTTTCCAGGCCCTTTGGTGCTTTGTCCCCTCCGGCTCCCGCTGGAGGCGCCTCGAGCCCGCTGGAGTCCAGCGCAAGGCAGCGCCAGCGCAACGTAAGGTACGACAGCTCCCCGGCAGCCTTGCACCCGTCGGACGTCTTCTCTGTAACTCGGCCAGTAACTTGACCATTTCCAAGCAAACCACCTCCCATCCCTCAGCTCCCCATTGCACCGTTGCAGCTCACCACTACAGACTACAATCCACAGTTCCCAGAGCACAAACAGTCAGACGGACCGAAGGAGCACAGTGCACGCACTCCCGGTGACTACGTGTCTCGTCAACTCCTCGTACACCACCACGTCTTGATCCCCGAGGCACCAACCCCCGACCTCGCCAACATGTCCATCTCTCCCATCATAACGTTCAAGGCCGGAATATGCGAAGTGGATGTTGGTCACAAGAAGTCCGGACCCCTAATCTCCGGGGCGCCATGCTGACTGTCAACCATCTAGTCGTCTTCGAGGCCCTACAAGGTCACTGCCAAACCCGAGCCCGGCTATGTCTACCTCTACTCTGAAGACGGTAAGTCCAAAGCGTTCGCGTCACCGTGTCCAACCCCCCACCACTGCTGACCCTCGACTATACAGACCTCGTCCATTTCTGCTGGCGAGAGCGGAGTGCACCACTAGACGCCCCCGAACTGGACCTCACCATGGTTCCTACCGACGGCCACTTCCTCCCCTACGAGTCCAGCAAGCAGAGCCGGGCTTCGGCCAAGACGAATGGCCGCGTTTTCGTCCTCAAGTTCATGTCTTCGTCACAGCGCTACATGTTCTGGATGCAGTCGAAACCTCAGGGTCGCAACGGCGACCCCGCCTGGTTCAGCCCGAGGGACCTGAAGATCGGCCAGCTCGTTCACGCCCTGCTGCAGGGCGAGGAGGTAGACGTTCAGGAGGAGCTCTCTGCCGTTGTCAACACCGACGACGACACCCGCCGCGACGACGATGACGAGACCATGGAAGACGTGGAGGGCCACGGCGACCACAACGACCCCCACAGCGGGGGTGCTGGCGGCGCCGGCCCGGGTGCCACCGGCGGCGATGTACGCGAGGAGGGAGAGGGCGCCAGAGAGGGCGGTGCAGACGGCGCTAGAGCGTAGGTGCACCTCTTATTCATGTTTGCCGGCGTTACGAGAGGGCCATTGTGCAGGGAGACCTGTGTTTTTTTTTTTTTTTGGTCTGCTGTGATGGGTCGTTGCCAGAGTGGCGAGCTGGGAGACTCTGGTTGGGGTCGCCATGTACGCTTAGAGCACCACAGTCGACGAATGCTTGGGGTTGCATAGATGTCAAGCTTGCACAATAAAAAAGAAAGATCAGAATCTAGGCTAACGCGCGATGTCTATCTAGTGCTGCCGGTGGCAATGTGGACGCAGCAACCGCGGTGAGAAACTTCCTGGACTCGTTGAAGGGCGGCGCAGGTGGTGCCGGTGGTGCGAGCCAGGGAGAAGGGAAACTATACCCCATGCTATCCGACCTTCTCACGCCACCCGTCACAGTGCCCATGGCGAGAGACGCTTCGGAGGAGCAGATCGACGAGCTCCTCAGCTTCCTCCCTCCCTCGGTGCTCATCTTGTCACAGCAAGCCGACTCGGTAGATGCGTCGACAGAGCCCACACCCGACGCCATAGAAGCGGCCAGGCAAGCCATGAGCCTCGGCCAGAAGAAGGCGCTCCTCGAGAAGGTCCTCCGCAGTCCGCAGTTCCACCAGAGCACGAGCAGTCTGACCATGGCCTTGCGAGACGGCGGCCTGCCCAGCATTGCCGAGGCGCTGTCGATCAAGGTGGAAAACAACGGCTACATGAAGGGAAGCAGCATGCCCCTCGGCGGCGGGGATGCGGTGGAGGCTTTCGTCGAGGGCGTCAAGAAGACGGTCGAGAAGAAGTAGATGAAACGCGAACTACTTGGCGAATAGGGCGTTTGTGCTTGTACATAATTACACATGAGGCTCAAACCAGCAGTCTGTCTCCTCTGTTTGGGCTTGCCATCAGGACAACGTTTTAGACGGTCAACACCCCGAGTGTATTTATCACGAATTGCTAGACCGCGGGAATAGATGATAGCGAGGCTCGACCAGTGTCCCGCATTGCACATTACCATGCCCCGGTGATCCACATTACTCACATCCATGATGGACACTCATGTCTTCGGGCAGTTCGAACTCAAAATCCCACGAGCACGAGCATGGGCACGCATTCGGCGCGAGGAACAAAGTCGATTATACACAAGACAACCTTTGGTCTACGTGCTAGTATAAGCTGAAGGTCCGGGTTATACTCCAATCGCATCGTTATTGGCCCTAGCTCCAGATGCGTAGACCCCACGTCACCCCTGCCTCCACCCTACGCAAAGCCAAGCCGTGCCAACCAACCAGTGCCCTGCGTGCCGTCGCCGTTCGTCCATGTGTCGAGGTAGCCTAGCGAAGAACTTACATACAGTAGGTACCTGACTTACATACATTGATACCCACCCCAACCGCTAGACTGCTATTTCGCATCTACAGCTCCAGAACTCGATGCAGATACAAGAGCAGCTTGACTAGGCAAGAAAAAAAAAAAAACACCCAAGCCCAGGCGCACTTCCGCAAAGCCCACCCGCTGCTTCGCGTCGCCTCGCCCGAGCTGCCGCCAGGATGGCAGCCGCAGCCCCGAGCCTGTCCTTCCCCACCAACCCGGACGACTTCGACAAGGACGACCGCATCTCCTTCTCGCGGCTCGAGAACAAGCACATCGCCGTGCAGGACGACGGCACCGAGTTCGAGTTCGACCGCCAGCTGAAGCGCTGGATCCTCACGGTTGACGAGGACGAGTATGCCGCACAGCAGCGCATGTACGGCGGCGGCGCCGCTGCCGACGACGACAACAACTCCCCGGACCCGGCCGACGCCACGGCCAGCAACGGGAAGCGCAAGCGTCTGACCAAGGAGGAGCGCGACCAGGCGCGCAAGAAGCACAAGGCGCCGCCCCAGCCGCGGCAGAACACGGCCATCTACGTGACGGGGCTGCCGGCCGACGCCACGCTGGACGAGGTCCACGACGTCTTCAGCCGCAAGTGCGGCGTCGTGGCCGAGGAGATCGACAGCGGCCGCCCGCGCATCAAGCTGTACACGGACGCCGACGGGAACTTCAAGGGCGACGCCCTCGTCGTCTTCTTCAAGCCCCAGAGCGTCGACATGGCCATCATGCTGCTCGACGACACCGACTTCCGCTACACGGCCAGCGGCCTGCCCACCGGCCGCATGCGCGTCCAGGCCGCCGACAGCAGCTACAAGAAGACGCAGCACGACGCCGGCGCCGAGGCCGGCGCCAAGACCGGCGCAGGCGGCCAGGAGGACGGAAGCGCGAACGGCGGTGCGCCGGCCGCGGCGGCACCGGCAGCTGCAGCAGCGCCGAAGAAGGACCACCGGGCGCGCGAGCAGGACAAGCAGAAGATCATCAAGCGGACGCAGAAGCTGGACGCCAAGCTGGCGGACTGGGACGACGACGACGTGCCGTACGCGGCGCAGCTGGAGAGCGCGGCGCCGCGCAAGGACAAGGTGGTGGTGCTGCGGCACATGTTCACGCTGCAGGAGCTGGACGAGGACCCGGCGGCCATGCTGGACATCAAGGAGGACATCCGCGAGGAGTGCGCCAAGCTGGGGCCCGTGACCAACGTGGTGCTGTACGACCTCGAGCAGGACGGCGTCGCCTCGGTCAAGTTCCAGAGCCCCCAGGCCGCCGAGGCCTGCGTCCGCCTCATGGACGGCCGCGCCTTCGACGGCCGCACCGTCCGCGCCACCTTCGCCACCGGCCGCGAGCGCTTCCGCAAGTCCGGCAAGGAGCACCCGGGCGAGGAGGAGGAGTGAGGGAAGCAAGGGAAGGAACTTGAGAAGAGAAATGAAGAAAGAATAGCCCTTCCAATGGACGCTGGAGGTCGTGGACCGACCTCGCCGGGTTAGATGGTCCCCGTAAAATGAAGGCGAAATCGAAAAGGGGTGAGGAGGTCAAGGTTGAGAGATCTTGTACGATGTATCAAATAAGCAGCTTTGTGTGTACGATACGATACCACTACCTGTCTGGCCGGGGCAACCCACGGGGACTGAGCAAGCTTGTCGGTTCACTGCGGCGGCTGCAAGCTAGTAATGCCACATGATATCCAATGGTGTTTTCTACCAAGAAGTTGGTATCTCAGCCGACTGTTATGCCTGGTCCAGTTGTTGAGCTTCTGAGACTGACTTTCCGAGTTTCATATCTCGCCTCCAGGCGTACTCTTCCGCTAGACTCCGATATATGTGCGTTGCTGCGACCAGCTACCTTAGTGAACATATGTGTCTTTGGATACAACACCCTGGTCCATGTTTCTAAGTATGTAAGGAATTTAGTCATCAACATTACCAGCACTCATTGATTCCTGTTGGAATTAGCACATGACCTATAGTATGTAGAACCACTTTCAGCTTGGGAAAGTTCTCAGTACTTGAGATTTTAACGTCAAACTGGAAGCATGCAAGCATGTCATCCCTCACCAATTTGACACATATCTTCTGTGGTAGAATCTTGATTTTGCAATTTGTTATATGACCTACGTACAGTCGTCCCCTCCCCTAACACGCCGTCCACCGGCTGGGCCGCTGCATCATCCTGCCTACGCCATGCCCAGCGTATCGATGTCCTCGCGCTTGGCCATGACCCACCAGCCGGCGGCCTCGATGATGCGGCACACGACGCGGACCTCGTCCAGGGTGCGCGGGGCGTAGACCATGACGAACTGGCTGGGGACGGGCATGCGCATCAGCCAGCCCTGCCAGGCCAGCGGGTGGCGCTGGCCCCAGCCCTTGGCCAGCACCTCCTTGACGTCGTCCGGGTGCAGGTTCATGTGCATCGAGTGGTCCGAGTTGTGGACGTGGCAGATCTCGCCCTGGCACGTGTTGTTGACGGGGAACCGCGCGAACAGCCCCAGCCCGTGCTTCTCGAAGCACGACGTCCCGATGCCGATGTCCTCGCCGTGCCGGCTGCCGTGCGCCTCGAGGATCTTCCGCAGCGCAACGTAGCATTCCCTCGAGCCGTGCTGGTCTACCTGTCTTTGCGGTGCGATCCCGGCCACTGTCGGCCGTGGGCCGCCCCGGTAGGGCAAAGGGTTGCTGCTCAGGATCCCCCAGGATGGTTTGCTGGTAGGATCTGGCCGTGGCGGCTCAAAGGGGTCTCTCAAGGCCCAGATCTTGAACCAATTGATGCGCAGGTAGCCCTGCACGGTAGCTGGGGTGCCCCCGGGGCCGAGCTTCAGGAAGTTGTAGTAATCGTTCTGGATATAGAGAAGTATGGGTGCGACCCCAACCAAAAGAGCAACGATGGAGGGCTGGAAGAAGTGCACGGTGAGGATGAGGGAGGTGGCAAGTGTGAAGATGGCAGGGCCGTCTAACGTGATGGACATGGGATCTTGTCTAAGCGCTACACGGATGGTCAGGCCATCGTTGTCACTTGAGGTTTCGACCACGGAGGTCATGGGTGTGGGTTGTGTCTGCGTCTGAGAAGTAGACATGATGTGGAGGATGATGTGTGCGTGTGTGTATGTCTGTGTGCACAGTTTCCAGGTGCATGTAAGTGAGAAGAGACGCAGGTATCTAGGAGAATGTCAAGAGAGACAGAATCGAGATTGAGCAAACCTTTGGCCTAATAGCATTACAAGGAAGCGAATGTCCTTCCGCTGGGAAGGAGAGCAGAAGAGGGGCTTCCTGTAACTTTTGTAGAAACTCCTGACAGGCAGGGTCGTGTCCGCTCATGGGTTGACGTCGGTTTGGCATTGTCGTGTGACGCTGCGGCTAAGAGAACTAATCCGTGACAAGCGTGGCCGTATAGCAACTCTGAGTGGCTGCTGGCTTTGCCCATCACCGATTACCGGTGTCCACATGCACTACTGAAGCGCCGCAGCTACTGCTATGGGGACCCAGGGCCGGTTCGAGAAGCAACGTGGGGAAACGAAAGCCTCAACGTCAGACTGACTATATGCTCTAGGGGGGAGGGACAAGATTTACCAGGCGGCCGATAGGATCCCGTTTTGCGTAGTACTTAGCCGTGGACGGCCTCCGCCCGAGGGCTCTGACACCGACAGCCGCCTGCCGCCATCAGTCAACGTCAACGGGCAAGCCAAGATGTGGAAAAGGCATTGTCCAGCCAGCAGACCGTGTCGTCCAAGTTGTCGAAATACTTGATACCTATATGTGAATGTTGTCGACAGCATGAATAAGGGCTTCCGTGGGGGGAGACGGCATGCGGACGAAGCAGACGGTGTACAACCAGACGGAGCGTGCCTATTACCCAAGCGTGATGCAATAGGCCAATACCGATTGCAGGTACCTGAAGCTATGTCGCCGTAGTCGGCTCACCTTTCCAGAGGTAGCCTACCCAAAGAGCTGTTCATGCAGGCGACATGTCAGCGCAAAGACAGTTGTGGTAACTTACAGTTGCCCCACGTATCGCCGCGGCGGGGCTCTGCCAGTTGGCTCGCGCTGCAATCGTGCCCGACAATCATCTTGCGGAAGCCGGATGTGGCCCCGGACATGACTCCGGTCTCTGGCCATGCGGTAGTCGGCCTTGTGATGTCCCAAGAGGGCATCCCGGGGACTGACCGACTTTCCCAGCCTGCGGGTCTGTAGACTGGTCAGATGCAGGTGACCTTTGAGCTCTCAGAGACATGAAGCGATTCCATGACCAGCGTGAAACTTCGTTTTCGATTCAGCTGAAAGGACCCCGTTATGGGATACCAGAATTGGAACGGGAAGTACAACCAATCTCAGTTGTAGACAATTGCTCAGGTGGATTCTTGTGACAATGGTAATCGACAGAGCCACACTCGTGTTATTCTACCCGGAAGTGTCTGGCTTTGGGTCGACCACCCACATTCGACTTGGACTCTCACCGATACAGCTGCAGCAAGAAATGCAAGACAAAGAGCAAAGACTCGGGTCACCACGACGGATGTTTAGATATCGGGTTAGTGCAGTCCCTCCAGCTTGTGTTGTCCGTTGCACAACGTCAGATGTTGCGGATCCAGTAAAGGAGCGGGCATCGGCTGTGAGATTTATGGCTTTAGAGGTCTACGAGACAACCGTTCAACAGGAGTGGGCCCTCGAGAACCAGAATTTGTGGCAGAGATGCAAATTCGATAATGGCAAGCCAGCAAGATCTGTCTGGATTCAGGTGTTTTTAACAACCTTCATAATTATATTCCTCTAGCGTGGAAGTCGTCTGCACCTAAGTGTAAGACGAAAAGAAACAAGTTAAAAAATAAAATAAAATAAAGATAAAACCCCGCCTCCCAATTTGGGAGCACAAGTTTGGGCGCACTGGACTCCTTTGTGAGATATCGGGCGCTGTGGAACTGTGACCGTCGAGGATTGATGTCAGGTCAGACTCGACCTCTTTGTACACCACGACGAGGGGGTTGAGCGTGGTGGACGGGGTGGCACGGAATTGAACCTACGTACCGTAATACCGAGTTGGGTAAGGTTGTTGCTCATGACAACTCCTATTCTGGAGTGACAGGCCCTCTTTTCTGCGGCACAGCGATGCTGGGCTCGCCAAGGGCCGCTGGATCTAGACGCTGAGTGGACGCCAGGATGGGCTGGGTGGGCTCGATCTGGTCGACAGGGATGGGATTGGCGGCAGCCCAGCGCCGGCCTAAACAAGGCAGGTTCCAATCAATGCAATGCACTCAATACGTAACGCTGGAACTCGACGACCGTCGTTGAGCATACCGACTCTCACCACTTGCAGCTGTCAAAGGGAGGCTGTCACGTCTTCGTACCGAGAGAAGAACCCTGCGCGACCCTCCGACGGGCTCTGCTGAGGACTTACACGATATACACCACCCACCATCGATCCTCGAACAGCTCCCTCCCCCGACGCCGGCGAGACAGGACCGTCTCCTGTATATTGAAGAAAAGCTGCGTGGCGCGACAGGCTGGCTCTGCTCCATTCCCAGACCTCAATCCCGGTCACGTACAAGACAGTGCTGGGCTTCTATTTGAAGTGCCACGAAACTCAAACTCACGGGCCGTCGCATAGCGCCTGCGCCCGCCATTCGAACGTTCGACTGTGCTCGGGCGGCTTATTGTAGGCCAGGAAGCCGAACTCAGAATGGGAGTCTTCTCCCTCAACCCCCAGGGCCCGCGCGACGGCGGGCGACAGTCCAAGCTGCCACTCCATGAGATGCCCTCCAAGGAACGCGACTCGAATGACTCCTACGACGACTCAGACTACGACGACGACTACTCGGCAACCTCGTCGCCCAGCCTAGGCAACTCCAGACACACATCGGCTTCGTTATCCGCGACGCCCATGCTGTCCAAACGAAGATTCACACTCCCCCGGCGGCCTGGTGGGCCAATGGGCTACCGGTTACCCAACAAGGTCGTCCGGTATCTATGTATGGGCCTTGTGACGATAATACTGCTGCTCATTTTCAGCCTAATACGCGCGAGCCAAACCGAGAACAAGAGAATATTGACAGGCGGCGTATACAAGCCACCAGCCGCGCCCCCGATATGGGAAGCGTACCCGTTCCTCACCAGATACTATGGCGGTGTCAGAAACCTGGTGCCGCTCCAGAAGAACACGCCAGAATATCCCCGCGCCGAAGACGAGCTTCCCCTCGACAAGCTCGCCTTCGTCAACTTTACCGAAAACACGGGCTTCGAGAAACGTGCCCTTCCCGAGAGCAAGGAGTTTGTGAACCACCCGAAAAGTGTTTTCCAAACAGCCCCCGAGAAGATTAACGAGTGTTTCCTGGACGCGGCCAACAAGCTGCGTGTCCCGCCGATTCGATACTACGAGGGGCGGCCCAATGGCTTCCCAGAAGCCGTACTTGGCTCGTATGACCTCGTTGGCTTCAACGAAGATATCTGCTACGAACGATACGGTAGATACGGCCCCTATGGCCTTGGCTACTCGCAGAGAAAAGGTGGGCTCGGCGTTGGCGAGCACGGCGAGAAAGAAGGCTCCGAATCAACCTGGTCCAAGGTGCCCCAGGTCGACTGGAGAAAGATGGACTGGGCAGATGCTCAAAGACGTTGTTATCAGGCAAACACCGCTCGCTACAGCTCCCTGCCTGCGCGGCCCGCGCAGCCTCACGGCTTCTTCATTGACGAAGGGAATGCTACCTCGACTCTTTTTACGCGAGATACCATAACGGAACAGGCTGCAGCCGACGACAAGACCGCCGCCAAGTCTGGCAGTCAGGAGGTTGCGAAGAAGGTTGCGAGAACGGCAGTTGTCGTTCGAGTCTGGGATGAATACTTCTTCCGTGAGGACGACCTCATGAACCTGCGGTCACTGATTACTGAATTATCCTTGGCTTCTGGCGGCCGATACGATGTCCACCTTCTGGTACAGGTCAAGAACGATGCTGCATATCCCATCTGGGCTGATTCCGCCATCTACGAACAGCGGATTCGGGATGTCATACCCGAGGAGTTCCAGGGGCTGGTCACCTTCTGGACGGAGACGCAGATGCTTGCTCTCTACCAAGGCATATACGACGTGTATGCCCGAGGTCCCGACTTGCCCGTTCATGGCGTCTACCGTGGGTTGGCCATGGCGATGCAGTACTTTGCATACCAGCACCCCGAGTATGAGTACTTCTGGCAGTGGGAGATGGACATCCGTTACACAGGACACTACTATGATCTCTTCTCCAAGGTCGAGAACTGGGCCAAGCAACAACCCAGAAAGGGGATGTGGGAGCGCAATGCTCGATTCTATCTCCCCTCAGTCCACGGTACCTGGGAGGATTTCCGACAGATGGCACGAGTGCAAGCAGAGATGGGCACTGTAGGTGCCGACAACATCTGGGAAAATGTCAACACAAAGGGCAAGGGCAAGCCGAAGGCATCCGCTTCTTCGCGTGGAGACAAGATCATCTGGGGGCCCGAACGACCGATGGAACAGGAAGATTGGTTCGAGACGGAGAACGACCCCATGCCAGAAACTTCATACGAGAAGGACAAGGACGTCTGGGGCGTCGGCGAGGAAGCCGAGTACATTGCCTTCAACCCCATGTTTGATCCGGAAGGGACCACCTGGGGTCTGGCAGACGACATCACGGGCTACAACACGACCCGCGCCAAACCCCCGCGCCGTACCCAGATCATCACCGCATCGCGCATGTCCCGCCGCCTGCTGCTGACCATGCACCGCATGACGGCCTTCAAGAAGCAGTTCGCCTTCCCGGAGATGTGGCCCGCGACCGTGGCGCTGCAGCACGGGCTCAAGGCCGTCTTCGTGCCGCACCCGCTGTACGTGGACCGCGAGTGGCCGACCAAGGTGTTCGCGCAGACGCTCAACAACGGCAAGAACGGCGCCAGCGGCGGGTCGCGCACCTCGGTCTTCGGCGACCGCGAGCACAACCTGCGCGGCCTCAGCTGGTTCTACGACTCGGGCTTCGCCCCCAACCTGTACCGCCGCTGGCTCGGGCTCAAGGTCAACAACGACGGCGGCGAGGAGTTCGAGCTCACCGCCGACAACACCAAGAACGGCTCCACCGTCTCCTTCATGCGCGGCGGCGAGGGCCGCATGTGCCTGCCCCCCATGCTGCTCCACCCCGTCAAGGGCGTCGAGCTGCCCGTCGAGGAGGTCCACGACGTGGCCGAGGTCCCCGAGTCGGACCCCGCTGCCTGATTTTTTCGGTTTTCATTATGAGCGAGCGGAGGACTTGTGTTTTTCCCGTCCTTTGTCTCGCGGTTCGCTGTGACGAGATGTCTTGGGCTCCTGGAAATGTACATGGCGTGTAAAATTGCGTTCGGCGTCCAAGGCGGATTCTGGGGAGTACATGGTCCTTTCCTCCCCACACACACGAAGAGGGAGGGTTTGTGAAGGGAGATCTTCTGTGCTATAGGATCACATATGTGGATATGGGGTGCATAATAGAGCATTTGTACATTGTTTGTCGCCTTGAATGGATATGCCGATGCCACGGCTCGGCTTGACCTGATTTGGCTCTGCCTTTCGAGAATGTGGTGCGTGTGCTGCGACATTCTTGTCCTTCGAATGGGATCGATCTGAAGTCGAGTATCCGCAATCTTGTTCAAGTGAACCTGCGAATACACCTTACAGGCCTCTTCCACCTTGGTACACGATAGAGACCACATGAGCTTTGATTCCCAGGCGAGGTGCAGTTGGTTCAATGGAGACACAACATGCCCCCGAACTATCGTCACAGGACACGCCGCAGAGCTCCCCTGACCCGAGAGACACGAGACCTGATATCCCGCCCACCAAACACCGCCTTCCGAACCGGAAGCGCCTAGGGCACGTAGTATGGACAAACCAAGAGCTGAGGATCAAACCCGTGACGTGGGTGATATGTAGCCAACCTATAGATAGATGCAGGTACCAGCCATACTGGCTCGCACTACACACATGCTTACATACATACACATAGTAAAATTTCCGAGATCCAGGACGCCATCCCGTAACCGTGCCGCAGAATCAACCCGTTGAAGGGCCGTCTTTCCCAATGATAAAATACTCTCTCCGAACATGGCCTCTCTGTCTCCATTTCTCCACATTCTCGTTACTGCTTTCGCCCCCTTAGACACTGGGTGTCTTCTTCCCCGCCCTCCTTTCCATCCACCACTTGTCCTGCCCGGCCGCCCGGCCTCACGCTGGCGCGGCGCCCTTGTGGTACTTGCTGGGCACGAAGGGCATCTTGGCCACGGTGGCCTTGCGGGCGCGGCCGCGCACCTTGACCTGGACCTCGGTGCCGGCCTTGTACAGGCCGTCGCGGATGTAGCCCATGGCGATGTTGCGGCCCAGCGTCGGCGACGGGCAGCCGCTGGTGACGACGCCGACCGCGTTGCCGTCGGTGTCGACGATCTCGGCGCCCTCGCGGGCCGGCGCCCCGTCGACCACCAGCCCGACGCGGCGGCGCTCGACGCCCGCCCCGCCCTTGGACTTGGGCTTGAGCTGGGGCAGGATGACCTCAGCGCCGTGGAAGGCGCCGGCGGCGGGGTCGGTGGCGTCGCGGCGGTCCTTGCCGATGACCCAGGACAGGGCGGCCTCGACCGGGGTGGTGGTGTCGTCGAGGTCGTGGCCGTAGAGGCACATGCCGGCCTCGAGGCGCAGGCTGTCGCGGGCGCCGAGGCCGGCGAACTGCAGGCGGTCCGGGCCGGCGGCGTCGAGCAGGGCTTCGGTCACGGCGACCGTGTCGTCCGGGTGGATCGAGATCTCGAAGCCGTCCTCGCCCGTGTAGCCGCCGCGCGAGACGAGCACGGGCTGGCTGAGCTCGCGGCCGCCGCCCACGCGCACCATGACGAAGCGGCTCTGGCCGAAGTAGAGCTCGCGCAGCGCGGCCTCGGACGGGGCGACCAGGATTTCAGACAGGATGTCCTCCGACAAGGGCCCCTGCAGGGCGACGAGGCCCCAGCCGTCGAGGACCTCGTGGTCGACCTTCTTGGCGCCGCCCTCGCCCTCCCACTGGGCGAGCTGCTCGCCCAGGTAGGCCAGGTCCTTGTCGCGGCAGGCGGCGTTGGTGACGACGTAGAAGAGGTCGTCGGCGAGCTTGGTGACGATGGTGTCGTCGACGATGCCGCCGGTGGCGGGCCACAGCAGGGTGCTCAGGGTGCTCTGGTGGACGGGCAGGGTGCGGAGCGAGGCCGGGGTGACGCGCTGCAGGAAGTCGAGGGCGCCGGGCCCGGAGAAGCGGTGCTGGACCATGTGGCCGACGTCGAAGAGCGAGGCGTGCGAGCGCGTGAAGTGGTGGCTGGCCGACACGGACAGCGAGGCGTACTGCACGGGCATGTGGAAGCCGCCGAAGGGCACCATCTTGGCGCCGTGGGCCAGGTGCAGGTCGTAGAGCGGCGTCTTCTTCAGAGGCTCGGAGGAGGATGCCGAGGCGTCGGCGTAGTGCCGCCGCTGCTGGGTCTGGACCGAGACATGCCGAGCGCTCAGGGACGGCAGACGAGCGGGGCGCCGCTGACGGGGCGCGGGTGCCGCTGCTGCTGAGGAGCTCGTCGAAGCCGGGGATGTGTTGGCGGTTGTGGTGGCGGTGATGGTCGAGAGAGGCCGAGAGCGAAGTGCGAGGGGCTGCGGTAACCGCGGGGTCGGCAGGGCTGCCGCAGCTCGGCGGCCTCTGGGTAGAGCTCGGGCAAGCTTCATCTTGGGCAATTGGGGGTCGGCCTGGGGTTTCTAGGAGAGAAAGTAGCCCGAGGCCTTCGAATTGGGAGAAATCCGTGGATATGGTACGCCAGAAGGGCGTGGCATGTGTCGGCCGGCAGCTCGCCAGCTCAGGTCGCCAGCTCGGCTAGCTAGCCGGCGCCGCGGCCCCCGATAGCGGGGTGGAGCTCCGATAACCACTGGTGCACGCGCTGCTTATACTGTACTATATACGTACACCGACACGCAGGACGATATGCCCAGTCACGGAAATGACAATGGCTGCCCTAGGGCGATAGACTAACCGGCCTAGGAACAGGATGACTATCTCGTGGAACTCCTGCTTACCAGGGCGCCATACCTACTTGGTAGAGTAGGCACGGCCTGGGTCCCGATACCAAGGTAAATAACCTGGTCTTGATTCGGGCAAGTTACCCGTTCGTCCTGAAAGCAAAGCCACATGGCGCCCGTGCTTCGAAGGAGCCAGAGCCAAGTTTCCCACGGGCCACCTGTTCACCGGCTTATCTACCTTGCGGCTTTGTCATTGTGAATCCTATGGCATTGAGTCCCGTGGACGGATGCCAATATAATACTTTGGTACTACTCACCACGGTCAAACGAGTTCAAGCGATTTGAACCTGCTAGGGACCCCCGGGCGGCCGAGCACACAAAACGCACACGCTGAAACGTAAATCATCTCATGTCATGTCACTACAGGTTCAGTTGACAACCGACACACAAGGTTCGCTGGGATCAATACTTTTGCATCTCGCAGGCTGCATGTTCCAGGACAGGCACAGCAACATCAGCCAAACTTTCCACCCGTCTGGTACGCGGCGCATTGGCAACATCAAACGTAGATCGCAAGGTCACGGCCAAGGTCGAGGTCAAGCAAGGCGTCCATGGTGTTCTACGGCAGCAGCCAACACCCGCCGCCATCTATCCGGAATCGAGGAGATCAAGTTGAGAGAGCATCTATTGGGACCACTAGCATACTCGCCCTCCTTTGTGCCATGAACTGAAACTCAGGAAAGGATCCTTTCTTTTTTGCTTCCCACAAACGTCAAATCGTACAGATTCCAACCCCCGGTACGCCCTCTCCCCTTTTTCTTCCCAAACCAAACTTCTGTACCTTCAATGCAGACAGACCAGGAGCTGTGTCAAGAGGGGGTTAGGTTCGAGCTCCCACGGTGGAGAGCCCACTGTGACGAGGTAGAAGACGCGGGAACGGCGGGAAATATAAAAAAAAGGGGATTCGTGATTTATGGACTATATTGGATCGCTCCGGGCCCACTGGCCTTGCGCGTTACAACCAAGCCGTGATGAATGAGCGAGAAAAACCGGTACGCGTGAAATGAGGCAATGTTGGTTGACGTCTACTTGCTACGGCTACTTTACTGGTGTCCAGCCTTGCGCAGAGTAGTGGCGAGCCACTCAAGACCCTCGTACAGACCATCACCAGAAGTAGCGCAAGTGGATTGGATGTACTGGAAAGAGAAGACAAGGTCAGCAGGGAGCCCGGAACTGGAGGGCGTGACGGGTCACCCGAGGAAAACTTACCCAGGCACGCTGTCTCAAGCTGTGGAGGCCGAGCTTGTCGGTAATCTCGGCGGCGTTCATGGCGTTCTGTAGAATATCATCAGTAAACATGTCGCCGTCGCATCAGCCTTTTCCTAGGGGGCGCGGGGGACGTACGGGCAAATCTTGCTTGTTGGCAAAGACCAGGAGAATGGCGTCCCGCAGCTCATCCTCGTTGAGCATGCGCTGCAGCTCCTCGCGGGCCTCGACGATACGATCGCGATCGTTGCTGTCGACGACGAAGATGATACCCTGGGTGTTCTGGAAGTAATGTCTCCACAGAGGACGGATCTTGTCCTGACCACCGACATCCCACACGGTGAACTGGATGTTCTTGTACTCAACGGTCTCGACGTTGAAACCTGAGAGGAGGGGGGGTTCGAATCAGCGGGCTGGCGGTCATGGGATTGAGGGCCAAGTCAGGACATACCAATGGTGGGGATGGTCGTGACGATTTCACCGAGCTTGAGCTTGTAGAGAATCGTGGTCTTTCCGGCGGCGTCCAAACCAACCATCAGGATTCTCATCTCCTTCTTCCCCCAGAGCTTGTCGAAAAGCTTGCTGAACTGGAAACCCATGATGGCGACGTGGGGATGTGATGCGCGACGAAAGGCGGTGGTATTAAGCTCGAGAGCGCCGTCTAGTATCTGAGCGGGGGGGGAGAGGCTTGGTCAGTCGCTGTTTGGTGGGCTGTACGGTAGACGACAAAGGGGAGGCGGAGATAAGGAGGGGTGGTTTGGGGATAGCGGTAGAGACAGGGACGAAGGAGGTTGAGCGAGCTGCAGATGGAATGATATTGTTTTTTCCACCCCTCGTTGGTGCAGCAGGCAGGGACTTTCTCGCCTTAGCTCAGGACAGAGTGGTCGAAACGTGACACGGCGCTATGATTCGCAAAGAGGTTGAATCTGTCCAGAACTGGGTTCCAGGCTGCCGCATTGAACGAGCAGGGCGGGCGATGGACCAGACACGGTGGAGCGAGCGCAGCCGGCACGAGGAACTTGATCCGCGACGATGATGGTAGAGGCTGGGGGATATAGAGTGTGGGCCGGTGACGGACGAGAAGGCTGAAGGCTGAAGGGGGGGCCCGTGATGGAGGCGGGAGGCGGGAGACGGGAGACGGGAGACAAGCAGGACGGGCAGAGAGAGGCACGGCACGCGCGCTCGCTTTGTGCGTGGTTTTGCGACGGGGCGCGGGCGTCGAGGGGATGCGCTGGGCGGGTGGGCGTACTTACTACTTGTCGACCGTTTGACAATGAGGCCTGCTCTTGACGAAGAGAAGGGCTCTGGTGCAATGCGATGCAAGTTCGTCGTTAGTCAAAAGGGGGGGGTTGCGGGTTGCGGGTTGCGGGTTGGCGGTTGGCGGGTGTTGATGTCGGTGAGGACAAGTCAGGTCAGATATGACAGGCAGCGGGTGGAAAAAGTGTTTATGCTTCGGCCGGGGGTTCGCCTTTTTGGGCTTGGGCTTTTGGGCTTTCTGGGACTTTTGGTGGTTCTGGTCTCTGGGTGGTGGCACTGCGGCAGAGGCTGGCAGTAGGCAAGCCTGGCAAAGTAAGGGTAGGGGGGGGAGAGTGGGCAGTGGGCAGTGGGCAGTGGGTAGTGGGTAGTGGGAAAAGGCCACAGGTGCGTTTGGCTTGGCCTTGGCCCTGACCTGCTTCATACCATAGGTACGTGCAGTCCCTCTCTCTCTCTCTCTCTTCTCACCCGACTTCAAACTAGTCCGTTTCCGAACTGGGCAGGGGGAAAGGAGACAGACAGACAGGCAGGCAGGCAGGAAATAAAATTGTGGGCTTGACGCGCTGCGGCAGGCGGCCGAACTCGATTCATTCATTCACTGGCTTGTGCTGTAAGGTTGACTGGCCTCGCTGGCGAGTTACCGGCCTGGCAGTGGCAACTTGCGTGGGCGATAAGTTCACTTCGTCGTGCATTCCGGCCAATGGCACGCGCTGAGGACACCTGGAGCTTGCTGGGCCTGCTGGGTACCTGGCCACTACACCGGGCGCCCGTGCCTCAGGCGGCTCTTATCCGTGACGAGGCACGCCAGACAGCGGCCACATTGAGGGACTCCCAGGCTGAACCACACCCCCGCAGCCACTCGAGCCCAGGGAGTCAGGGGTCGCCGCCATGGCCATGCCAGGTATCCCACAGGTACCCCCACCCCCCCTGGCGATTGGCGCTAGTCTCTCCTGAGCCGCAGCTGGACCGCAATTGGACACCTCGAAATCCGAAAAGTGTCAACTCCAAGCTGCTCGACGACGACGACGCACCTCTGATCCGGAGCTCGGGAATCCATTGCTGACCAGGCTGCCGACTTTCTTCGACTCATCCAGCTCCACCCCCTACGTACACGCACACGCCAGAGGTCCGGGGGTGAACTCGCTCTCGCCCAGCTCGGCCCATCATGCATTTCCTGTCCGCGACCGCCCTGCTGCTGTCTGCCGGCCTCTTCCAGGCCGTGCTCGGCCACAACATCCAGCTCCCGGCCCACGGCCGCGAGTGCTTCCACGAGAGCCTGCGCCGCGATGACAAGATGACCGTCACCTTCCAGGTCGGCGACCGCGAGTTCGGCAGCGCCGGCAACCTGGACATTGACTTCTGGGTATGTTAAGCGATTCCAGAGGGCAGGGAGGGAGGGAGGGAGGGCCGCCTCTATAGGGCCGGGCCGACACGTGTGTTGACGTTCCCTAACCTCTGCTGCAGATCACCAACCCCTCCGGCCAGTACGAGACCTTCCAGAAGAGCGTGTCCAACGGCGACTACTCGTTCGACGCCAAGCACGACGGCAAGTACATGTACTGCTTCGGCAACGAGCACTGGGGCGCCAACAGCAAGGAGGTCTCCTTCAACGTCCACGGCATCGTCTACGTCGCCGAGCACGAGGCCGACAAGGATCCCCTCGAGTCCGAAAGTACGCACCACCCCCCTGGGATGAGGGTCCCTCTCCGTCTCCTGCTATTCTTTGGGTCCTCCTACTAACGCTTCCTCTCCCGAAATCAGTCCGCAAGCTGTCCGACCTCCTCGAGCAGGTCAAGGACGAGCAGTCCTACATCGTCCTGCGCGAGCGCACCCACCGCAACACGGCCGAGAGCACCAACAGCCGGGTCAAGTGGTGGAACCTGTTCGTCATCGGTGTCGTCATCGGCGAGTCTGTCTTCCAGGTCTGGTGGCTGCGGAGGTTCTTTGAGGTCAAGCGCGTCGTTTAGAAGGTGAGAGAGAGGCGGGGTTTACTTGGAAGCAAAGCAAAAAATTGGCTTTATAGAGACCGGTCAGTCAGGCCCGGCAGGCGCAGCAGAGACAGTCTCGTCCTGTTTTCTCCTTGCTATTTTGGGGACATCTGGAGGGGCGTCTTACGATGGACACGGAAAACAACGAACGGAACGGCATAGCGTCATGTAAACTGGCTTGTACATTGTAATACCACTTGAAGAACCAAGATGGACCTGCAATCCCTTAACCCACGGACCTACGGAGTGTGAAGCTATTTCGAAGGCCCTCGTTAAGATTCGTATAATAGGCCGGAGATGCCAGTCCTCATCCGTAATGACTGGGTGCTTACCTTGGCACTCGTGGACACCATGCAACCATGTTTCTGGCCATGATTGCTTAGAGCCTCCCTTCAAGACATCCTGCTACTTATATTGATACGTTGGGAGATGCCGCGGCTTAGTAACACTCTCTTCTACCAAATATGTATAGTGACAGGCACAAGTCAAGGCAGTCGTGTATCTATGCTGATAGATGGAACAGTAGTCCTATCATGATGCAAGCTTACCCGACGGACCGTGTGGTCGTGTCATTTTCAATACGAGATTGCTTCAACCCCTCATGGACGTCCTTACTTTCATTAAGGTGGCGCAGGGTGGAGAGGGGTATGTGTTCTCCTCCTGAGAAGCTGAAGTGTTTAGATTGGATACGGAACTCAATTCATTGACAAATATGGCATGGATGGTGAGAATTTGATATTTCTGCCTCGCTTTGTTCTGTGGGGCAAGAGAGACTCCGACGCAAAGGCAAGTATGGCTACAGTATTTTTCGTCGTGTTGAGTGGTATAGGAGAAGAACTCTGAACCAATTCACATACCCGACATTTCCATATCTGGGAGGGCTGGTCCTTGTTACAAACCTAACACCAAAGGGGCATTCAAACCCCAGCTGCCTTCAAATTTGTACGGGAAGCCTGTGTTCGAGGAAGTTATTCTGGTGCCAGTCTGCGTCACAACATTTCTCGTGCAGTAACATGCAAGTGAATATGCTGCCTGAGTACCGATGTGTGTCTCTAGGCCAACGTGCATCACAAGCCAAGCTCTCCAGATTCTTGCTCTCAAGACCTACTCTAAGCAGCATCTGTACAATGATACAAGTATTGCATCCCATCTTTAAATCCCAACAAGGTCCATGGGAGGATGAAGTGCTTTATACGACCGTGCTGCAGGATACCCTGCAATAAAGGCATACTTACCGATCACACCTATTAAACACATAACAACGTTCCGTCTGACCCTGGAAATCACACCATCTCACCCGCTACCTGACGACACAAACAAAATCCAAGCAAAGCTCCCAGCCTATGTTCATCACCTACAATGCCAGAGGTCCGCGAGTTACTTTCCCAGCGGTAGCATACACAATACTTCACCACGCTGCCCGCTTTGTTCTCTTCTTGCCTACGTCCGAGCGTATATTTGCTGCTGTTTGCCGCTCAGCTCACTCTCACCAGTTGGGCCCGCTTTGCTCTTGGGTACGCAGGTCACGCGAGCTTCAGACGGCAGGACGTGGCAACACAAACTCAGCGGCGAACAACGGCCTTTAATCAAGTAACCTGGAGACCATGAAAAAATCCGGAAGACCTGTGTGCCAAATAGAAAAGCACAGGGAGCCTCTTCAGCCATTCTTGCGCGTTGCTCGTATACAAAGCCCACGGGAATGTGTGGTTGTTAGGCGCCAGCTGCCTCCGCGTCGGACAAGCCATCTACAACTCACCGAAAGGAAGTATGAAGACGTGAAGATATGGAGCACTCCAATTATCTGTCGATAATTTGTGTCTCTGTAGAGTCAGAAATGGTAAGAACTCAGTTCCGAATCAATATTTTGTCACAAAGCATCTTAACTGCTGTATCATCTACGCAACCGGGTAAATCGTGGTTACCTCACCTATGGAAGTTCAGCAACATCAATCATGGCTCGTGATATATTCAAGTGCTGAATCCTCTAACACAAGCAGTAACATTTGAACAGAAATATGTTTGGACGATTTACAGGTTCATGAAAACCCGACAGATTGTATGCATGTAAAGTCATGCTTATATACTTTGGGTGAATTTTGTCTCATTACTCGTTGACAAAGAGGCACGCTTGGTCTATATGCACATACGCTCATCATTTTCCCCGACCACCGCTCCCCTCGGATGGCCTAAAAGAACCAACTGACTGTGACCACGGGAACTCCATCTGAGTACAAAACAACGAAACGCACGTATTGGGAAAACCACCTGGGACACGCCTAACACGCCTTCGCCGATGCCGATATGAGATCCTTTCCGTTTGATGAGCCTTGACCATTCGTCTGGGCTCCTTGGGTATCATGAGTTTTTTTTCTATGCAAATGTTGTCCCGTCGCCTCCCCTCAAGCAACAACAAAATTCTCGTCCACGACCGGCAGAACGTCGACGGTGTCCTCGAGCTGCGCCAGGGTGTCACTGGGCAACAGGCTCTTGCCCTTGCTCTTGTCACGATCGTGCTTCGTCATGTGCCGGCGGAGTTGATCCACGCGGATAAAGGATCGCTGACAGATCTTACACGAGTATTTGTACTCGGCAGCGTGGATTTTGCGGTGCTTGGAAAGATTCGACGATTCGCAGAAGCACTTGCCGCAGATATCACACTTCAGAGGCTTTTCGCCCGTATGGGTACGTTTGTGCATTGCTAGGACAGTGTCAGCCACCAATAACAGTTCCAGTTGTTTCACTGATACTGGACTTACTCAGGGCACTTTTTTGTTTGAAAGCCTTCTCGCAGCCCGCGACGTCACATTTGTATGGTTTTTCTCCAGTATGTGTCCGAATGTGCTGGTCTAATGCTTGCTGCGCTGAGAACCTTTCTTGACAATGTTCACACTTGAAGGGTTTAACTGTGAAAAATTAGTACGAGTAAGTCGATCATATATCACAGGGACCTACAAGATGTGTGGGTTGATATATGGCGCCGAAGCTTATTTCTTGACGCAAATATCTGGTCGTCTTTTCGTGAGCAACCTTCCCACAGGCATAAGTACTTCGTCTTGCTTGACATCTGGCCCACATGGTCTTTGCCGAGATGGTCGTGTAGCTCTTCGTTGCTGTTAAAGGTCTGACCACAGATGCCCTGGCCTTTTACTTGCCATCTACATGTATGCAAGTCGGAAACCTCCTGGGACCCAGCAACTGCTATGCTTGGCCTCGTCGACATGGGACTGGGAACATTTGTGTCGGCGGTTAGAGCCGGCGTCTCCATCGTTGACGGTACTGCATCGGCTTCCGCATTGTATATGGGGCAGTTGAAGGCGTTGATGAATGCATGCTGCTGATGCTGGGTTGCTGATCCGGGAACTGCCTTAAGGTCCTGCAGGGTAAATGCCGCATCATGCTCTGTACTTGTATGGTTGCAAGGTTGATCGTGCGGCACAAGCGCATGACCGGCGTGTGAGCCGAAGTTCCAGTCGTGGTGGAAGTATGTCGAGTAGTCGAATGCTGCTTCCGACATGTCGCCGCTCAGGCACTCGAGGTCGTGGCATGCCGTGCCCAGTTGCTCACAGCTTTCATCTTCGCAAGCCGTCGAACAGCACTGGTCGGAGCAAGCGGGTTGGCTGCAACTTGTTGACACGCAGTCGTCCTGCACTGGACAGCGCGGTACGTTGCAGAACGCTGCGTTGTTGATGGGCGGCGTCGAGAACTGCTGGTTATTGTTCAATGTGTGATGGATATATCTTCCCCCGAGGTTCAGGGGGTACTTGACGTCCAAGTCGGACGCAAGGAAGGAGTATGCTGCGTCGTAGGTCTGTGAGGAAGAGGACGGAAAGACGGGACTCTCCAGAGCATACGGATAGGAGCATGATGAGGTTGCCAGCCGCGGACGAGCGAACGTCGCGGCCGGGTACGAGCCCCGGGGTAGGCCCTGGGCATTGTACACTCCGGGGCAGGCATCGACGCAAGAGTCGTCGTGCGAGGTATGAGCTACTTGCAGCGTCGAGGGCTCGACGGCATCGAAGAAGTCCGAGTGGAAGAAGTCGTGCCCAAAGGCAGGGTCATGTTCGTGATTCCCGGGCCCGGGAGCGTCGAATTTTCCCGCCGAGGTGGGAGAGGCCAGACCTTGATACCCGAAGCTTGGATCACCGTGATCAGCCGGGGCGGCCATATTGGAGGGACGACAATTACGGATCTGGAGACCCCAAGAGCATGACCAGACCAAGACCCGTGCTGCAAGAAACAGACGTCCCACACAACTTTGCTTCTTGGGAGGGGCAGCAGCAGCAGAGCAGATGAGCCTTGGGCGGCAGACCTCGTCGTCGACCTTGCAAAGCACCGAGCTGAGAGTTGTCTCACACGTATTCTACCCTGGCACAGGGTGCGTGAATAGCCACGAGAGGGAGAGATACCAAAACGACCTGGTTTTCCTCAGCCGCAAGAAAGAAACGGGTACCGGGCTACCTGCTTTGGCTGACTGTGAGGAGGGGTTTCACCGTTGATCGCCGCTGGCAGCGAGCAGTTCATGTGTGGCACCCGGGGCGGCGAAAGTACCCTTGGGTAGGAGGCACGTTTTCAATGCCTGAGAACCTTGATGGCCACCCGTCCGCGAGAAGCATCACGTCAAGCACAGAAAACGCACAGGGTCCGATGCGCCCACCCGCATTGGATCCCAAGATTCACCTCCCAAGCCGCTTAATATTCGTGCGCCGGGGCCCGTTAGCTCGGTAGTAGAGGCGGCGTGGTTGCATATATTGGCCCTTTGACTGGTTGGCCCTCGACGTCGTATCGAGTCGGCTCCAGGGTATTGTGGATGATGGCCATCAAGGTTGTCAAAAGTCCTTCGCCGTTTCGGGTAATAACAGGGTGGCTGGCGGCTCCGCAGCGGACGGCCGCCAGCTGGCAGCCCGAGCGTGTAAGTGACCGAGCCCGAGGAGGACCCTGTCCACGGCCTGGCCGTCTTGTTCGAGTCGTGTCTCTCCATCCTCTCCCCTAGTCCGTGTCCAAATTATTACTCTCAATCCTTTTGACTTATAATTTGCTCGTTCCTATCAACATTGCACCTTTCAGTTCTGTAGCGGCGTTCGATTTCCCGACTCTCTCGTGGTAACAGACACTCCCCCGGTGAAAATACCGGGGAAAGTCGCACGCCCAGTCCCTAAACCGCCTCACTTTTGCCCTGTTCAAGGCCGAGCATTACCAAAAGCAATCATAGGTTCTCCGGCAAGTGCCAGGTTTCTCCGTCTGGTGGTCGATAATCAGAGCATGGTTTGGCGTGTGTCTTGTCATGACCCTAAGCCAGGGTCCAGCCCATTTATTAGACGTATCCATTTGGCATCGTTCAAAATGGGAGATAACTATCCCGGGGTCGCTTCCCTCGTCTCGCACAAGTCTACAATCTACAATCGAACGCTTCGGTAGACGGCGCTATTTGGTCCACTAAATGCGGAAGGTCGTCCTACCAAACTTTCCATGGTGTCCGCCGAACCCGGTCTGCACCGATGTCCTCAGGCTAAGCTTCCAGCCAAGACGGGTCAGGTCTGACAGCCTGTGGAGTCAATTACTAAGGATTGATTTCCTTCGAACAAAGGGATTTGAGGGCTGCTGGCAACTAATGAATAGGTTCTTAGTGTTCTTGTTGCCAGCCGTTCCATTTAAGCACTTACATCAGTACAACTCCATGCCAAAGGGCTGCGAGTGTACTTCACAGTTCCACTTAGGGCGTTGACAAGTTAGGTACTTCCAAAGTACTACGCTTCCAGCGCTTGATTCTTGGGACACACACGTGCAACGACAAGAATCCACACTCAATACGTCCAAATCCCTTACCCGTCCGCGTGACCCCGGGACTACCAGTATAGGTAATAACAGAGGCGCGAGATCACACTCTTGCCAAGCCCGTAACGGAAGGAGAGGTGAGAAAGAAAGAAAGAAAGAAAGAAAGGAAGAGAGGCCCATCTTTGTCACGAAACCCAAGGCGGGTGCTCTGAACCATAGGAGCCGTCAACGGTTACGCCTGTACCACGTTGAGCCGTCGGGTAGCTAGCAATTCGACAGCCGACGGCTAAGATGTCTTCAAACACAGGATCCAAGCCTGCATCCTAGGAAAGTCATATGTTTAACTTCATCCAACAGGAGATCAAAAAGGGACCCCGAGGGACCCTCAATGCCCTGTCGCGACTGGCAATCGATTTCAATATGGCATTTTGCTCTTCCCTCACCAGCTCCGTGTTGAAATAGCTTTCATAACGATGAAGCTTAAAAAGTATATAAATCGATATCCAATCAAGTTGTGGTCATTTGAGTGGTATATTACTATGCTAATCTCCATATCTCTGTTTTGTTTGGTTCGGGTCCCATCTACCTGTCATGCAATCTTTTTTTTTTCCGGCTAGGGAACGAGGAGGCTATGTGTTGTCAGATTCGTCTGCCGTACATGCTGCACATCGATTATCCCGTCCCCGTCCCACACCGATCCCGAAAATCGCAAAACAATAATCTCTATGGCTCCCAACGCCGGCTCCGAGGTATAATGCGCCCGCCCCTCTAATCCTCTCCGCCTATAATGCTGGTAACCCTTGCGAAAGACATCATAGTAATGACTGTGAACCACAAACCAAAACAACCCCCCTCCTTCTTCTTCGACCTAACTGTCCTCCTTTTCTTCTTTTCATGTTTGCGTATGCATTGTTGCCGGGCTCCCATGTCGGAGTTTTGCCATGGTACGGCCCATTACCGGCGGTGCGCTCATTGGCGAGCTCTGTCGGCTATTGCGCAGAGCCAGGACTCTAGCCGCCTCTGCGCATTTGGCTTCAAACTTCCTGCTTCTCTCCAGTTCCCGCGCCATGTGTGTCATGCGATACTGCTGGGCTTGCATGGCCTCCTCCTTGATCCTATCATGTTGAAGGTTCTTCTCTGCCCTGATCCACGTGTTGTCAAGTTTCCGCGCTACATCCTCGGGCACGCATGTTGGGGGCTCGTCCGATGGCCTCCAGGTGCTGGAGCCTCCCCAGAAGCACTCAAAAGTGAGTTTCGCCTGGTTGTTGACGTTATCGTCGCCCCAAATTACTACCGTGTCGCCGTTGTAGAGCTTCATCCAGTGGCGTGAAGGTGCTTTGCTGTTTTTAGGCTCGAATGACGGTAGTTGGTTATTGTTAATGCGTAAACCATTGGTGGCTTTGGTGGAGATGTAGAATGCATACGAATCAGGCTCAGGGGAAGCACGCGTGCTATTAGAGCTAGGTGATGATCTTGCCTCCCACGGTCTGAAGCAGTTGGATGATGCAGTATAGCCTTCCCGCCACAGCACTATCCGAAAGGCGTGTTTGGGAACCCGAGGCTCCATGACCTGTGGATAGGTGCTGGTGTTGTCGCTGGCTCTGCCCCAGGAAATCACCGGATCTGTGATGGAGATGCCGATTCCCTTCACCAGAGAACCGCTGGAGGAAGTAAGTCTCGCGACCAGGGTCTTTGAGGATGTAGTGACTAGTGACGGTCTGGGAACGTGGCCTTCAGGTGGCAAGGTGTCTGGAAGTGAATCGACTCCATCATCTGACGCAGGAACGGGTGCCGTGGGCGGCAAGTCCCATTCGCTGTCAAAGTTGACGGAGCGGCTGTCTCGGCGTAGGAATGGTCGTGTCTCGGTCAAAGGCCCGATGGCCTCCGTTTTGTCGGCAGTGGGTGGAAACCACTTCATCGCAACGTCCCAGAGAGGTGTTTGTCCAGGACTGAATTCTTCCTTTCTTCTTTCAGCAGCCGATTTGAACGCATTGTACTGAGAATGAGTCATTTCGGGGTAGTCCAGGTGCCATGTTTCTTTGGCTGCGGCATCCCAGAATACCCTCTTATCCACAGGATAGTCGATCAGTCGCCCGGATTCGCTTTTAACGGCCGGGGGAACTAGTGCCAGCAAGGCCTGCTCTTCGTCATCATCGATGTCGTAGTCTAGTAAGTCTTCATCCTTAGACTTGAGCCTCTTGAACGATGGCTTTAAGTTCGATGAAGGGCCCTCGAACTCGTCACTGGTGTCGTACGCAGGCTTGCGCTTGCTGGTGTTCAAATCGCTCATTTCGGATCGCAAGTGGGCTGCGGGCCGCGCCAAAGACTTCATGTTGAGATTCTCGAGCATGCCCGAGTCACCGCCGAGACTTTGCGACGCGATCACTTGAGCAATGCTATGGGACTTCTCATCTATCGTGGAATTACTGGACACGATTAGCCGACCCTGCTGCTGCTTCTGGTTTTGGCGCGGTGTCGACAGATCCTCAGATTCGAAGCTGTCGCGTACCACGGGGTCTATGATTTCGGTTTCCCCGAAGCTTGCTGATATAGGAATGTTGAGGTGATCTTCGTTGATGGCACCTGAACTGCCGATGGCTGAATTATTGACCTCGCCCCACAGGCGGTTGGGTGCAGGTTGGCCAAATGTATAGTTCTCCTTGTCTTCCTCAAGGTCCATGGACAAATCGATTCCTGGTTCCATCAACTCACTTGCCATGTCATCGATGGACTGGCCCTGCAGCTGCATGGAGCGGTGGTAGAGACTGAGTTGAGAGGCTCTCTGCTCTAATCCATCGTCCGAGATCTCATCAGCAGACTCTGTTGCAGATGGGTTCAGCCATGGATGGTTCTGTAGCTCAGTAATAGTCGCCCTCGTCTCCGGGCGCCTATCGATCATGCGATTCAAGAAGTAGATGCCATTTGGCGAGACTTGCTCATCTACCAAGGGTGACACGTCCAGAGGTTGCGTCATAATGTGATGCAGGAGCTCGGTGTAGCTTGTTCCGTTCCTAACCGGAAATGGAGGCTGACCAGTCAACGCATAGAACAGTACACCGCCGAGCGACCATACATCTACTGCATGATCATACCTCTCCTTATTGACTGGTCTTCGCTCTCGCGGACGAACTCTGCGGCCCTCCTCATCGTACGTACTGTATTCGGAGTAGACCTCCGGAGCACAATACAGCAGTGTGCCGCAAAAGGTTTTCAGGAAGGTCTGTTCGGTGTCGATCATCTTCGACAACCCGAAGTCGGTGAGTTTGACAATAAATGGATCCGTAGAGTAAACCAAAATATTGTCCGGCTTCACATCACGATGGGTAATCTTGTTGTCGTGGAGGTAGCCCAAGGCGTCAATCAGCTGCCGGGCCATGATCTTGACGTATGGCTCCCTGATGTTGCCTTTGCTCTGGATAAGTTTGCCGAGATCGCCGCCAGGAACATACTCCATGACAATGATGAACTGATGTTGGTCCCAATCAAAGTGCTCAATGTATTGTACAATGTTGGCCTTGCGTTCAAAATTAGCAACACACACATACCAGCTCGTCAAGCGTGGAATGTACATACGTGGGATACTCGTTGCATAATCTTCATTTCGTTTTCCACTTTTTGGTCGAGGACGCCATTCTTGATGAATTTTCGCTTGTCTAACTCCTTCGCGGCGTATGGCTCCCCAGTGTACTTGTCCGTGACTTTGTACACCACGGCGAATGCACCCTTGCCGATCATATTGACGCGGTTGTACCTCTCGCCGCCACGGAACTCTTGCGGCTGCCGAAATTCTGTCTGTGGCATTGCCGCTTGAGTAGTCAGGCCATCTTCCTCGCTGCGCTTGTTGCGAAATGGTGGTGGGAAGAGGTTGACCTGCCTCAGTTAGCATATTCCATCTTGGCAGATTTCATCTGATGTTTCGGGTGACATGACTTACGGGACCGCTTGGTCCAGGTCCGATGGTTCTGTCAAGGTCGACTTCTCGACCAAGCTTCCGAAAGTAGGCCTGGAGGTTGCCGCGGTACGCCGCTTCTAGGTCCGCATCGCCATCTCTCCGCGGCAAACGAACAACAAAAGCCAAGTCCTCGGCGTTTTCGTGCATCAGAATCTTGATCGTTGTGCCACTTGTCAGAACTCTCTTCGTCTGATTTGCCTGGCCATCCCGCCCGTCCCTTCTCTTTTTCAGCATGACGTCGTCCACGATAGTACCATTCGTCGACTGATCCTCCAGCATGACCACACCGTGGTTGTTGATGTATATGCGGAAGTGGATGTTGCTGAGCCTCCTGAGCGGGTCGTTGACGAAGCAGATATCGCATCGTCCCGAGTTACGCCCAAAGGTGAAACCCAGGTTGGGCGACTTGACCGTGGACGACAGCTTCAGCACAATGGCATAGTCACCCACACCGCGAGTGCGGCCAAATTTCCGAGCTTCATCTTCGCGGTACAGGTCGGCATCGACGGCGTCGGCGGCGTACCGGCCTACGATATGGGGACTATATGGGTTCTCGGAGGCAATGCGCTGGACTTCTCGACTGGCATTATCGGTGTTGGGGTAGAGGAGACAGACGATGTCGGCAATGTCCTCGTCGGAGAAGCCCGAGTTTTGCTTGCCTAGCCGGCGTGGATCCAAGGCATTCTGGGTCGCTGGAGGGATACGGTCAGAGTCGGTTCTCGCAGGTTCAAAGTCACTTGGGGGGGAGGCAAGGTGGGTTTGGGGGTAGGGCGAACCTGGTTGAGTGGCCTGCGAGTCGTCTTGTGAAGCCATCAGGCTGCAAAGAAGCAGCCCAGAGAGCAGGTCTCAGGCGTCCGTATACCAGCAGCAAGTCAGATATCGCAACCACGGACGCAGGACACTTGGGGAGACGCGCAAGAGGCGGGAGCACCGACTGCAAGGCCTGCGTCAAGCGTCGAGCAGCCGGCTGGGGCGTTGATGTGCACACGAGTTTACAGAAGCAAGCGACGCTCGTCGGATTGACTGTCGTGGCCATGCAAAGGGTCAATGATCAGGGCGAGGCAGACATTCGCTTGCGGTCGCAAGGCGGCGGTTGCGGTGGGGTTGAGGCCCGTTGCTGTGGTTGCACCAGACGGGACCGTCTACAAATCCGCGGGCAGCTCTAACAAGTCAAGAACTCACGGCAGTTGTTTGGAGGCAAGCAGGACGGGAGAAAGAAGCTTGCGACGAATCTACTCGGACAGACATGGAATGAAGCAGCAGATGGGGGCTTCTCGCTCGGCGGGCGCGGGAGAGAGAGAGAGCCAGGAAGGCCGGTTCATCAGGTGAGCGTGGGCGGGAGAGCGTGGACTCGAGGAGCGACCGAAGGCATCACAAGGACTCGATGCCGTCGTCCCAAAATTATTTTAGCGAGGGCCCGAGGCGACTGACGTCCACTGATGGAGGGCGCCCGGGGTGCCTCGTCCCCCAAAGGTCTCAAGGTCTGGCAGCCTGGGAGGACGAGTGAGGCCGGCGATTGGTCACCGAGCTCTGGTCTGGTCGGCTGTCCAGGCTGCTCCCCACCCCGGGGCCACCCTGTGGTCCGCCAGCACTAGGCGGTTCTGGGTATAGCCCCAGGGCGCGGGTTCCCAGTAGGGGCCCAGCTCTCCTGCCGCAATCCAGGCAAGCTCACGGCTCGCGGCGGCGGCGGCGGACGCTCCCAGGCGCTTGGGACGGGACGCCTTCGATGTTTGGGTGTGTCCTAGGCGTCTCTTGCGTCGAATTAGAGTTCGACGCCCCCATGCAGAGTGCTGAGTGGAAGGCAGCCAGTCTCGTCAGACGTTTCACGGCATGACAAACGGCGACGAGTGCCATGCCCGCCAGACGCCGTGCAGTACGGGCGCCATTGAGCAGCACAACTCAAGTCGTGCTGTATATACCTCCTGCACTGTAAGCAAGGGCTGGCCAATGTCTGGTTGGACAATCTTGCCCGCAAACGCACCCTCGACAAGGCGGGCAGGGTCTTGAGTCCATGATCCTGGTTTGCCCCTTTCGTTGCGCAGATCCGTACATAAAAGCTGTACCCTGGCTGAGTATAATTAAGCAAGTTGTGTCCTGGTTGACTGGGGCTTAGTGGGAGGCAGTGGCTGACTGGCCAATTGATTGATCCCTTTTCAAGAGCCAAACTATGAACATAGAGATCACCGATCCTTCTGTCATAACTTCCTGATATCAATGCTTGCCACAACCGGGGATGAGACTCCGGCCACATTCCACGCCGAATGCGCCTTTCTTTTTCTTTCAGCCCTCATAGCATCCAGACTGCGGAAAGCAAAAAAGGACAAACTAAACCAAGCGGGATGCAACCACGGTCACAGGAAATTCGCCACGGGGGCACGGTTGGCTGCCCAGGAATTCTGCAACAAACTAGCAAGGGTGACCAGGCGGATTCGACCGCGAGAAGAAAAAGCAATGTTGCCCATGCACGATCTTGGGACTTCCCACCTATGGGCTGTGAGTTCGCATAGAGTCATGACATCAAGACACGGCTCCCCCCTTCACGGGACGCATTGTAGTCAGAGAAAAACACATTAAATTTCATTGGGCGCTATACTGGCCATGCTATGCAGAATCTTGCTAAAGTTGCTACACTATGTAAAATTTTCCCCAGAATGTGCCGTCTATTCGTACAGCCAGATCACAAATGCAAAAGAACCCGAATTCTCAGTTTTCAGTCCGCCTCTTTTATGTATGACCAATAGATTTCGTAACATGTCGTGGGGTTTATCCAAAGAAATTCTTCTTCTTCTTTGGCTTGTTGTCCATGTCTTTGAGGATGTCGTCAAAGGTGCTTCCGCCGGGCGAGTCTTGTCGGGAGCTTGCCCTCGACTCTGGATTTGCGTGAACGGGCGAGCTCATGCCGATCATGTTGCCAGATGATCTCCTCCTGCCCATCATGGCACTCGAGGGCCGAGGGCCGAGGGATCCGCTTCTTGCGCTGAAGACTCGAGAGCCACGCCGGTCTGGTACGTCGCCGGGCATGTTGACAGGTTCAAGGCCCATGGCAACGCTTGAACGGTAACTCTGCCTGTTGCCTGCTGGAGAGCCTCCCCTTGGTCTCAAGGCCATGCCGGGTGCGGATCCTTGCGGTGACTCACTACGGTCTGGCATCAGCTTGGGACTCAGAGACACACCCGGATCCATGTCGGTGAACACCGACTGCGGTGCCTGTAATGGAGGTAAGAGGTCCTGAGGCTCTGATATTGGGCCCCCTAGGCCAGCCTCCCATTGTTTGGCTGCAACCCAGCAGTGACTCCTGTGATAGATGCCCTCGATGGAGAACTCAACAGTGTCTTCACTGAGTTCCACGTAGCCATTGCCACCTGCAACCTGGTACCATCTCTTGCGGACCTCAGTTGCTTCGGGCACCCACGGGGGTTGGCCCTTGGGCGCCTGGCAGAGGAAATACTCAACACCCTCAGTGAACTGAAGACCAGGGGCGTCGACCACCAGCATAGGGAGTGACTGAATAACGACGTAGAGGAATAACCAGTAGCCGAGCCTCTGGTCAGCTATCTCACTGATAGGTTTTCCCTTGGCTTCCTTCAACTCGAATTCTTGGAAAGCCTCGACGAACGGAAGCTTTAGCTTGAGGGTTTCAAAGTCGTAAGATTTGTTCAGGATGAGCAGAAACTCGTGCTCCTGGTAATTGCTGTCGAGCTTCCTTTGCTCCTTCATCGGCAAGTCATAGTAGTTCTCCTTGACTGATTTGAAGGAGGGCAACATAGGAATATCGTAGGGGATGGGCGGTAATACTGGGGGTGAAGACTGGTCGAACTCGGTCAGAATCCTGCGCAACGCCGTGACGGCCCCCTCATCTTCGTCCGCGTTGTCTTCGAACACTGAGCGAGTGGTCACAGAACGCCGATCGACAAGCAGATCGTAGAGGGCGCAGAGATCGGAATACAGAAACTTCAGAACTTGTCGGTTCAGTCCGCTTTCCGTGAACGGGTTTTTCTTGCTGCGGGCTTTTGGCGGCCAACTGCCAAAGTTGCTCTTGTAGTACCCGAGGACGAAAGATCTCATGCGGCCGAAAGACGACTTCCATCGGCCAAACTTGACGTCCTTGTACATGGAAACCGAATTGGCCGTTCCCGAGAACAATGCTGGGAACTCAAAGTTCTCGAGTCGGTTGTTGACGTTGTTCTGGCGATCCAGGAGTTCCAGATGACCGCGTTCTAGTCTCTCGCGCGTGTGTGTAGATACATCGTCCCACAGGGGCGACTTCAATTCGCGTAATGCTGAGTATTTGCCAGCTGCGTGTGCGAAAGCTTCGTTGTACAGGTCCCACGATCGCATTCGCTCACCAAGCAACAGAGCCTCCAGCGTCTTCTCTCTGGAGTATCTGACATCTGCGACGGCCATCTGGTCCATGAAGAAGCCAAAACTCATGTTGACTGCGTCCCCAAAGGTCGAGCCTTCGACGTCTGTGAACTCAAACTAAGCATCGCAAATTAGCATTTACACAGCGAACAGTCATTACATTAGAGAATGGACTTCGCAAGCCTCCAAGTTGGCATTTCTCCGCAAGATCAACGGAGATTCGGTGCTTACCTCTGATAACAGACCAGACACCTTCATAACAGCCGCAAAGATAGTGGGCTGCGACTTGGTTCCAACCAAGGGCTGCCCAGTCAGCAACGCAAACATATTCCGAATTGATACTAAGCGCTCTACGTCGGGTAATGCTTTCTTGCCAGTCGGCTCCGAGCCATCCAGGGAAGTTGGCAAATACAGCCTGGAATCTCCCGAATTCTCATCGACGGCTAGGGGAGGTGACTCGGGGGATGGCGGCGGACGATCTGCGTCAGCGGCAGCCAAGCTGTCACGGCCTGTGAAACTGCGAGTCCGGGATCTGCCCGAGCTCGTTGGCGAATTGAGTTCAGCCTCGATCAGATCTTGGAAGACAAGCGAGTAGTCCGTAACGAATGGCATCACTTTGAAAGAGGGACCCTTCCCGCTGCCCTTTGGGTGTAGGTATACCAGCACGCTGCCACTCTCATTCCACAGCTCGGGGACGCGCTCGCCCTTCTCGAGGAAAGAAGTGTTGTAGTCAGCCTTGTTGGGCCCGAGTGTCCACGCTCCTGAGCCCTTTACACCCCGCATATCCTGAGAATTTGATCTCGACCTGCTGCCTGGGAACCAAGAGCGTCGTAGCCTACCCCGTTTCTCATTCTCCCGCGTGGGGCTTTGACTGCTTGCGTGGCTGGAGGCAGGCCGCGATTCGAGCGCTGCTGACGCCGAAATGATACGGTTTCCGGCTGCCGGCTCGAGCCTGTTACTAGGCGGCTGTGCCGAGGAACTCCTGCCTCTTGGCTCGATGGGAGACGGTGCAAGCCCCGCAGACGCCAGCCCGTCCTGGCGGGGAGGGGAAGCTGGACCGCCATGTGAGCTGCTTCGTGGTCTCTGCAGGGGCGGCGGTTGCTTTGTTAGCTTGGGCGACACCTTCGACTCCGAGAACTGGAATGAGTTGTCTGTAGGCGTAATAAGCCCGTCGGCGGTTCGAGGCGGCAGCGGCGGCGCTTTGGTGGGCGCTGGAGGGGCCTGCGAGCTCTTTTGTAGCTTGCCCATCTTGACCGGCGCAGATTCTTGAGAGGACTTTGTGCTGGTTGATTTCTTCCCGTCTACAGAGAGCGATCCGCTCAGAGTTGACGAGTCGGAATTGGCTGGGTCCAAGCGGTTGCGCACTATGGACTCCCAGTCAGAGGAACTCGAGTGCTTCTCTTTGATGGGCGAATCGGTAGGTATTGGCTTTCGGTGGACAGCCGGTACCGTTGGCGGTTCTGAAGAGGAAGTGGTTGTTAGTGATGGGAGGAAGAATGACGACAGGCGGTTGAGCCTGGACGGCTTCTTCCCGAGGCCGCCATTGCTAGTCGACGGAGGCATGAGCGCAGGCTCAGAGCTGGCCATTGGACCAGCACTGCCAGCAGCGGTAGCCTCGATTCTGTCAAGCGCCGACTTAGCACCGGTAGGCCGGAATGCAGGTTCCCGCACGCCGACTACGAGTTGGGTTTGGGGCTTGTTGATTTCGTCGTTGTCTTGCCTGTGCGCATCGAGGCCTTGACTGTCGATCGTCGCTCCAGGGGTAGCAGTGGTAGTGGAAGAGGGAGGAGGAGAAGGAGGAGGAGTAGTAACAGTAGGAGCACAGCCGATGCTGGCGTGGTTTGACTTACTTGAAGTCATCTTTTGCTGGTCTCAGCCCAAACAGACCCCTTGACCCGACGATCTGAACCCGCAGTAAAGTTTGCACAATTCAGGAGGCTTCGCAAGCCGCTGGATGCTAGCCTACGACACTTGGTGGGCTTGGATGGATGATCCTTGATCCCAAACACCTTTGGCCGGCGGCGCTGGCTCCACCGGGCGGTTTCGTCTTTTTTAGATGGGTGTTGCACAAATGAACAAGCCAAGCAAGCACTCTATGAATGAACGCGCACGCATGAACTAGCCAGTGGGGGAGGTGGTCGAGCGGACGCGATGGATCTCGGGTTCGGCGGCAATGGGTGGATGGGCAGACGGGCAGACGGGCAGACGGGCTCGAAGAAGAGGCTTAAAGACCGACCGTTGTGGTACCGTACGGTACTATGTAGCACTCAGGTGGGATGGGTGGTAACTAAGTTAGTCCGTATGAGAAAAGAGGCTGATGTTCTATGTAACATGGTAAGTTGCGACGAGACTCAAGGACCGTCCCAGGAGCTGGGGATGCGGTCCCTTCAAGTCGGATTTCTACCACAGTAGGCGGCTGCAGGCCGAGCACCTGTCTTCGGGTCGCTACGTAGGCATGAGGACCTCGCCCAATCCTATTCCGTGGAAGCGCCAACAGCACCCGGTAAATGACACGGCGAGGGTCCAGAGCTGGGAGCTTCATTGGCGCAGCCAGGCCGACCAGAGCAGCTTTTTTTTCTCTCCCTCTCTAAGCCACGGCGAGGGGAAAAGCTGCCAATGCGTGACTGCGTCATCCATGCAGGACTGGCAGGGGTCGTGCCGAGAGGAAATGTTCCGGGAAGCTGGAGAAAAGTCAGACCACACTGCGAACTCCACGTTTGCATCGTCCTGGCTAGCATGGCCCCTAGTCACGACCTGCCCACAGCTCTTCATTTTCTCTGCGGCTTTGGACCAGCACAATTGCCCGCAGTATAAGTCGAGTCCGCTCCCGCGTCTATACCCCTGCCAGAGATCCATCTAGACACCTAACAGTAGACTCTCAAGACATCCAAGACATCCACTTCACTGCTATATAGACGGTAATTCCGAGCGGCAAAACCCAGAACGAGTTACGGAGCAGGCCCCGCCTCCTTCGAGAACGGTTCCATAGCTGAGAGAACACCTAGCGGGCAGGCATCTCGCTGGCCTTCAGGGTCCACGGGGTCCGACGAGGGGTAGCACGGGTCTATTATTAGGCAAGCCTCTCGCGCAGCTACTGTGTAGTGCGCGCATCGGCATTCGATTTTTCCCGCTCTTCGCGCCTCGCCCGCCCCCAAGACAAGGAGCTGTCTGTGGTTTATTGACTTGTTACCCGTTCTGATTAATCCCACTATGCGAGTACTTCCGCCGGCGTTCCTTTCTCGTATGAAGCCATATAAGCTTGCTGGATTCCCACTCCGCACGTAGTCCCGTATATGCAAGGAGCCAGGGGAGTACGTATGACCCTTCGCAATCGCCGTATTGCGCTTCGTCGTTGCTCCACCCGGACGGCTCACGATGGAATGTGTGATCCATGAGGCGATCTTCACTTCAAGCCCCGCTCTGCATCGCACGATACCTAGTGCTTACTGCTTAACACCTCAGACGAGAAGTTGCCTTTTTGCTGTCCTCTGACACGCAATTCGCGCGACCTGGTGCTGGTCGTGCTGGTAAAGCCATATATCGCCACGCGAAACTGTGGCTAGCGTCCGCTTTTGCGCATTGAGGATTCGTAGTAGGGCTAAGGACTTGCACAGCCTCAATCCGGCCAGATCCAACAAGCAATTACGTACGCATTCCTCAATCACTACGTACTACTCTGGCCAGCTTCATCGGCGAGGCTGCAGAAGCCGTCTTGTCAGGCTCATCAATCCAATTGCAGCACTAGGATGCACGCGAGTCATATAGATCGGAATCTATGGATGCAGATGAGTGTCGGGTTGCGCTGCTCACTTGCGGGCCGATCCCCCAAAAAAAATTTGTCTTACAGCGGTCTTCCTTGTTTCATGGGTAGAGCCTTAGCGGGCGGCCGCCCTGTCGCGAAGAAGTAATTTTATACGTATTATAAGGTGGTCAGCCGTATGCGCGCCGCTGCCCCAACGCAATTCCGACATGATTCTGCCATGATTTGGATAATTCAGGATGCTTAAAATATTGCTGCCTTTCGTGATATAAACAGTTAGCCTAAGCAGAAGGATGCAGGTTTGTTCACGACTACGGTTGGACTAAGGTGTTATGACGATAGCCGCACATGGTGCGTCAAGTGCCAAACGTTTGTGTCCCTCCATCTGTCTCTCCTCTCTTACGGCTTAGCGTACTGCAGGTCCTTTGCGGTGTCTTATACTACTGACATGGTTTGACTGCCTGTCGAGGTTTCACCCCCACATGAATACGGCCTACAAGGATGCAGACTATACGGCTCTGAGCACGACGTCTATGCTGCTGAAAGATGTTCGGTGAGATTTCATCACTAGAGAACCATAGTCAAGCCATGTCTTTGAGTCCGCTGTGCGAGTTCCGAAACATACTGAATGGAACCTACCAGTGGTCATTGCGAGTACTCTTTACCCAAATCCAGACGACTTCGAGTGATATAGTTTACTTACATGTATCATCGATAGCACTGTCGCGACACAGTCATAACTATGTCAGGAAGTTGCAAGCAGGAGACAGGCTAGTTCCCACCTCAACTGGATATAGGTGCTTGAAAGTCATAATCATATACAAATGGTCATATAGTGTCCAGGGTTGGCCGGCAACATGGACAATGAAGAATGCAGGACACTTATCCAAACACACCAATGATGCACGAGAAATTCTTGTACCAGACTCGTGATTCACACATGTGGCTGTGGACAGAGCAGAGCGTCTCGTCCATCATGTTCTGCTTGAGTCGAATATCACTCATGCTTTGAGACTTCTCCTGCCTAGAGCGCTTGCACGTCAGGAACCATAATACCACATGAACATCCTGTCTCGTTCAACCACCATGTGAACGTTGAAGACTGTGGCATGAGAAGAAATAATTGTTGATGCTGCTTGGCTTTGTGGGCCTATGCGTTGGTGCATGAGCAAATAGAGATGCATCCAGAGTCTATATGGTCGATGCAAACATGTCGACGATATATGGTGCCCATAAACTACAGTGCAGTTTCTTCCTCGCCAGTGATGAGGGAATGCAGACAACATTGCTTCAGTATGCAATCAAAAAGGGAAATGGTCATTCGGACGGACGATGTTGCAACCCTCTTCTGCTTGTCCTCTTGGAAGGCGTGCGCATGAAGGCCCTGGTTGAAATCATACCCAGGTCGTAAGGGCATCAGATGATGGGCCCTCCCCCCTCCCCCCCCCTCACAACCGCCCTAACTTCTCGCCGCGAGCAAGAGCGCAGAGTGGGCAGTGCTCAGCCGTCGAGTGGCCGGCCGCCGGGCCAATCAGCTGGCGTGTGATTTGCCGGAAAAGGCAATCGAGGACGGGGTGTGCACCAGTCGGGTGAGATTTGATCACATATTTTGGGGCGGGTGAGGCGCGCCGCCTTTGCCAGCAGGCCATCACCCACGGGTACCGTTATCAATGTTGTATCTGGGTCGCTTTTCTCTCGACAGACCCCCTTGTTGGGTTACGAAAGACACCGGCATGTATTGGATGCACCCGATGGCTGATGCCCAAGGGGAAAATACCCTTGAGGGACTCGCCAGTAAGTGGTCAGGTCTCAGCTTTGCCGCTAACACTTTCGTAGGTAACCTTGTAAATGTCATGCAGGCACCCTACCAGGTTCCCGACCCATTTCCTAATCAGGTAGGAATGTCGGAGTTGCGGTTTCATGGGTGTTCTAGTTATGAAAATCGCTATAGACAACTCTATAACTCAAAGTTAATTCTGGCTACAGCCTTACGCCCGGTCATATAGCCTTTCCACAGCTCTGAGGTTATGGCCCCCAAAGTCCGGAGGCTCAACTTTGGGCCTCAGGAACTGGCCGCCCTCGTCACATGACCCAGCTAGTGAGAGTTGTCTCTTGTGCAACGACTGTTTTCGGTGAAAGCAAGGGCTGCTATTCGTCAATTCAAATAGCCCCATAATGGATCTCGCCAATGAGCGTTTGCGCCGATATACGCCCCGGTGGTGTTCGCGGATGAGAAGTCATGACACCCATGGGGTCTTCTAATCTCAGGTCTTGTCTCACAGGCTTTGAGATACCTTCACGATTTGTCCTTCACCTGTCCAAAAGACGCTTCTTCATCACAATTTCCCCCACTTAGGATCTAGACCCGCTCTATTTTGGTGCCTTACATGCACTGATTCGGTTGTACGTGGTTAAACAGAGACAAGGTACCTATGTCAAGCGACTTATACGCCCGCACCATGGCGATGGATATTTCAGACCTACCCCGGCTGGCCGATGAAGTCCCTGACGTCTTACGTGACGTCCACAAGTATCGGATCTTTCCGGATCTTAATTCCCTTGAGTGTCTTCTTCCCACTACGCTCTTAAGTCAGGAGCCATCTAGTGAATCAGAAGATGGGAGCACTTGTGAAGCCTTCTTATTCTTCGACTGGGACCTGTATTTTGGACAACGCAACAATCCAAGGTCTTCAAGCAAATCGGAAAATTCCTCCATGCCTCCCACACTCACTTCGGCAACAACCCCGCCCCCATCTGAGGAAGGCGGTGCTTCATCATCAAGTGACACGGAGGACCGGTCACAGTTCAGAGCCAAGTTAAAGGAAGCAAAGAAGGGAGATGACAAACTTACCTTCCCCCCTCTGAAGCCTAAGGGTGGCCTGCCATATCAACCACACATTCAGATCCATGACGCCAACCACAGTCTCTCGTCGACCCTGTCAGGCACACAGTGGCAAACGAACAACAGTTCTTTACCATCACCCCCTTACAGTAGAGAGTCCAGCACTCCTCGACGAGTGGCACCAAATAGTCAGGCACCTGTTCGAGGAAAGCGAAATGGCCCTTTGAAGAACGCAGACGACGTAGCAGAAGTACGCAACCTTGGTGCCTGCACACGCTGCAAGTTTCGCAAAGTCAAGGTAATTCATGGACGTCCATTAATAACATGAAGCTCCGTCTTATACCAAGCACAGTGCGACGGAAATATCGTTTGCGGCAACTGTATCGACATTGCGGAGAAATATGTCTCAAACGTTAGTCTCGCTGCAGACCAACATATGTGTTTCCGTAAACCGTTTACGGATGGCGAGTTCGTTTTCCCCATGATAGGAAGTATGTTATATTTACCTTTACCATATTCTTGTCTATTGGCCCGAAGAGACACAGACTAACCCTTCAAAGAGGCAGAAGTCGGTCGGCCATCCGCAGGCTCTCGAAGCAAAACGGGCGCGATGATGATTCAAGTCTACTTCGGCACGGGGCAAGCCGTTGGCCAACCTCTAGACCTGTCTGTGGTTTCACACAATGATTCGTCCACAATTGCATCACCGACCGGTCAGCTATCAGACGCCAGCTACAGGCTGAACCTTGACAGGATGCCTTTGGAGGATCAGTTGTGCAATTGGGCAAAGGAATGCCACGACAGTTCTGGCACAACTGACTTCCAAGCCATGCTTGATGACTTGATGTCAGCGTGTGTCAAAGAGGGTGTGCAGTGTTTTCCTCGTAGCCAAGTAAGTCAGGCCGTCCCTAATCATATAAGTCATTTCTAATTGCTCGCAAGCTGGACTTACTCAAGAGGGTCTATAAAATGCGTTTCCTCTTCAAAATCTGGAGTCAAAGGCACTTCTTCTACTACGACGGTCGTCAATATCGAAGACTACCAGCAGCATTGCAATGTGGGCTCAGACAGCTCACCAAGTCAATCATGAAAAGGCTCGAAAGCGATATCTGCAAGGATATTTGGAAGACGCTGGAGGCAAAGACTGTGAAGCCCATCGAGGCCGCCGCCGTTAGGATGGCAGGCTGGATTGTCACCATGCAGATGATGCTAATGTATCGAGATCTTCATACCCTCACCGAATCAGCGCCTACGTTCCGGCCAGGTACAGAATAAATCCTTCAGTGTGGCCAATTCTCAGCTAATATTCGCCAGGTGTTCGTCCACCTCCAACATGGAGCTATGTTCTCAGTGTGACGAGGAACCTCTTCAACACTTTGGTCAATTTATGCGAAGTGTGCTTCAGCAAGAAGCCGCCGGCCGAGCTCGACATAGAAGGCAGTTCGTCGACGCGACAATCGAAACAGGTTATCAACGCATACTTCAAGAAGGTTCAAATCAGCCAGGAATATTTCTGTGAGTTCGTTCTCGGCGCTCGCAGAAGGTGTGATACTAACTCATCTCAAGACGAGAACCTCAACCCACGACAGGGATCTCTTGATCAGATCTTGTTTGTTCGCCTGCCGCCTGTGTCCAAGCCTCAGAACACGAAACGACAGAAAACCAAGCGAAATTGAAGCGAGGGCTGCAGACGAAAAGGAGACCGGAGCACTGGTGTGCAGACGTCATGAATGTTTCTTGATAGGTTGAGTTTTGATGATGGTATCTATTTGGGCGGTGTTTGAACTTCACGATACCCACGTTCGCTGCATGGTAATTTGGTTTGAAATGCATTGGAGACGTTTGGTAGATTGTTTGTGGCTTGGAAGGCCTCCGAAGTACGGATTATGAATTTGTCCTGTGTTATGATAACGATATGACGATGGGATTGACTTTCCTGGCAACGGTCAAAGCATCTTTCTTGAACTTGCCTAGATTCTCAAAGACACTGCAGATATCTTGGGGATGAAGACCTATAGCGGCTTGGCGGGCAATGGCGATAGTCAGTTCAATGTGGGGATGTTTATTTCCTTTGACCATTTTCGCCGCGAACCTACGTGATATGTTAAACCAGCAGTTATAGGGGGATGTTCTTGTGGGGAAAGATAACACACCTGATGGTTTTTTCCAACTGGCCCGGCGTCTTTGGCTCAGCTGGGCATATCGTGGTAAGCACAGAGGCCACAGCACCCAGATATTCTGCCCAGTATATCGCCTCGGGGGACTCATCACAAGCCAACTTCCGAAGGCTTGTATGCAACTGTTGATCGACTGGACCTAGGTATGAGCCCCATCGAGCACAAAGAGTGAGGCCAAGTACTGCACGTGCTAGATGGGTAAAACCTGGAACGCTTGGATCACGGGAGACGGCGCGGTGTAGCTCATATGCGGCGTTGGCGTCACTAGGTTCCCCGAAATGTGACCAGATCTTTCCCACGAACAAAGGGCTGAGACCTAGAGTGAAGACTGTGGATATACTTGACATATCGAAGTCAACCGGGATAGCGGACTTGATGGTCCTAACCACGGCATCGATCGTCTCATCGCTCATTTGGTCTCCAGGCTGATGGAGGAGTTTGAGTGGTCTTGCCTCCCTCACTTGCTTCGGAAGCTTCATAATGAGAGCGCCTTCCCTGTTCCCACCGCTACAGAAGGTCACGGTACGTATATTGGGCACAGCCGCAATGAGGGACTCGACGACAGTGGCAATAGCAGGAAATTGCTCCCGACGACGTTTGGACATGCCGAAAACTTTGCCCTGGTACTCATGGTTGATTTTGCGCATGACGTCCGTCTGCTTGAAGAAATCCCCTGTCACTGTATAAGCTCCCACTGCAGGGATCGGATACGGCTGGATCGGGTCGCTGTGCATCAGCATGCTACCATATCCTCTGAAACCACCACCACATAGGTAGATATCGATACCACTGGCACCTGAGTCTTCCGTCAAAGCCTTCAAACTCGGGAACTGCTGCTGGAGCTTGGAAAAGGCGCCTTGGAGGCCACTTCTAAGCTCATTCTTGGCTGTGCTATGCAGGATTGCTTCGTCGCTTTCCAGGATCTTGATCAGCCTGGCAGCGCCAAAAGGCAGACTCTTGCCGGTTTGGGCCGCGGCGACCTCGTAGCCCTCCATGGCCGAATCCATGTATGTCATCTGAACGGAGCCGCCACCAAGGTCCAGAAATAGTCCGTTCACCTCCGCGAAGCTGCTCCTTGCCCCCATTGCCCCAAAGAGGGTCTCGACTTCCGGGGCAAGTACCTGTACCCCCAGACCAGAAGCTTCTCGTATGGCATCTAGCATGGAGCCAGCGTTCTCCGCTTTCCGCATAGCTTCCGTTGCAAAGACGGAAACTTGAGCCGGTGGTACGCCATAGTCGTCTGCGATCGATCTGAACCGGGCCAGAGTCTGGGACACTTGATTGATAGTGTCGGCTGGAAATCTTAAGGACCCACCCGAGGACGCCGAAGACGAATTCAAAGCATCATATAGCGAGATAGCAGCCCGCTCCCGATAGAGACACTTCAGAAGGCGTGCTTGTGGCGGCGACAGATCTGATATCGAGAAGCGGATGCCATTGCTTCAGCACGTTAGCCTACCACGAATCTCACTATCACGAATGAGACCACTAGCCAAAACTGGCTGTTGTCGCCAAACTCGATTTATTTGTGTCACAATAGGGATTTCTACAAACCTTCCCATGTCTACTAATGCGTAGAGGTGGTTGGGGAGGTTGGGCTCCCATTTCGGCATCTTAGACTCGAAGTTATCGAGCGTAACGATATCCGTTGAAGACGCCATGGTCGAAGGCTCAGAGATCTAGTTTCAGAAGTGATTCACTCTTGGCGTCTTGGCCTCGTGGTAGGGCGGGCATGCCAATGGCGGATGTTTATGATGCTTGGAGAGGAGGCTCCCCTCTGCCTCAATGTTTGTGGGTGGGCGCTGCAGGACGGGTGGAGCTGCGTCATCGCACCAGGCTGAGTGCATGGAAAGTGCGCAATGTGCTAAGTGAATACCAAGCCAGCCAACAGCCGCTGCGTCCGCCTGGACGGCAACTTGTTTCTATAATTCTGCCCACTTGCTGCCCAAGTCGTTATCGTACTATTCATTCTCCATTAAAACTACACAAGGGCAAAGCTACAGACCATGCACCTAAAACGTCCCTGCTACCCACCCACGGATTTGAGTCTAGGTGTGACCGCTTGAAGCTCGTGAAATTTGAGTTCACGACATCGATTCCCAGGAAAGGCCATTGCACGCACCAGGTACAAAGCATCATTGTCAGGTTACCATGGGATCAAGCACAAACCGGGCCCGGTCGATGCGTTCTATAACACACAACCAACTCTCCTGATGTGACTATGGCCATCAAGGCCAGATGCTGTACTGCATTTCCAACTGTGACCCCGGGTGGCCGTAAAGAGTGGAGAAGTCGTCTTGCCATCTGATATACTCTTCTCTAGGCACAGGCTGGTAGCCTCCGATGGCCCCCCCAGAGGCAGCTCTCTTGAGCGCGACGGTCCACGCGAAGTTGCTCTCACTGATTCCAGCCATCAGGTTTGCCCGAAGCATCATGTCGAAATCGACTATGGCTTGCTGATCCCATGACAGGCCTTTCAGATATTGCAACTCTTCAGGATCCAGAAGGTCCTTCTTGGTAAGCACGGTGATGTTGAACTCTTGCGCCCGCGCGGTGAATGCCCTGATATGCTCGGCGGTCGTCCCTGATGCCAAGTACGCAATGCGAAACGGCGAGCGCACGATATATTCCAGGTAGTACGCGGCCTGCACTTCGTACTGTGGGTAGTGTGTGCCCTGGACATCCTTCTCTGTCCTCAAGTGGACACCTACGTACCCGTGGTGACCGGCTGCCTTGGCCTTCAGGTTGGATTGTGGTTTGATCCATTGTCTATGCAATGTATGCATGGCGGATGCGGCGAGCTGCCTCGCATCTACACGATACCGTAGCAGACGACCAAAACTTCGGACAAACGCGGGAGGATCGTACGCGGTAGGCCACGCATACGGGTTCTGAGAAACAATGACTCTGAAGGGCCACGTCCGGGTTTTGGGATTGGTCCTCGTCTCGAAGAACGAGTCAAAGGATGTGGAGAACTGCTTGGGATTCTCAATGATTGTTCCATTGACCAGTGTCAGGCCAAGCTCGTTTATGGACATCACGATAGGGTTTCCCATCGGGACGTTCCAGAAGTCGTTTATAGACCAATGCAGCTTCATTTGAGGACAGGCGGTCGACATGGTCCAGTTGAAGTACTCCTTATCAAAGTAGTAATCCAGAGGAGACCCCCGCGAGGTACCTTTCGACTGCGGGATTATCACCGAGATGTCTACATCGCTCCGACGAATGATTTCAGGGACTATCAGTTCAGCTGGACAACAGATGAGATCAGCGCGATGCTCTCCAGGTACGGGGGTGGGATGCTCAGGGGTTGGTATTCACTGACCTCCAGCTTCCATTGCGAATCGTATGCAATTCAGTTGGGCATTTCTGACCTGGCCAATACCTCCAGCGGGAGGCTCACAGTGGAACAGAAGCCCTTTCGTCCAGTTTCTACTGGCGCAGTGCGCTGACATCGCGCTGCCATCGAACATACCACCAAACTCATTGCTTAGATAATCCTCTACGAACAGCGCTTTCTCGCCTTTGAACTGTCGTAGAACCTGCTCGTAGTCTGCAGAATAGCCAAGGAACGAGAGACTCCATCCAAAGACTGCCAGCGCCGCAAGGAGCTTGAGCAGACCGAAAGCTCGCGAAGAATCAATCATGATGAACCGAGTGGCGTGTCAACGTCTCATGGCTACGATAGGGTGAGTGAACGGAGCGCAAGTGGCCTGGACAACGAAGAACACATCACCGCGATGGAAAAAAAGAGCAAGGTGGCCAATCCCTCAGAAGTGTCTCGGCTGCCCCTTCTATGGCATTGCTTTTGAGCTGAGACCGTGTGCTATGTGGCAATACACTAGTGTCCTTTACTTGCCCTTCTGGATTGCCAGCAAACAGCAATGATCCCGTACGCCGTACAGCGTAGTCAAATCACCTACAAATACTTTGGCATTATGATACAACGGCCGATTCAATATGCTGCGTTGTAAAACAATTCTCTAGTTTTCCATGTAATAGCAGCCAGAGCTCAGGAGAGGCAAAGGCATTGACTTCATCAGCATCCGGAAGCCCCAGGTCGCACAACGTGGAGCTAGCAGGCGAGCCAACTTCCATTTTTTTGCAGTTGACTGATGCGTGTCCTGTATGAAGACCATGGATAGAAACAGGTGTCAGCGACATCGTGGAACACGGCGTCGGCAGACAGGGTTTGCAATGCACGACTCTTCCCAACGACGCGGCTCGATACGATCGGCGCCAGGAGTTCGGCCCAGACCTGCCTCGGCGGTCAAGTGGCTTGCGTGGGGCGTGCAACACTCCGCAGACGTCCAACAATCATGTGGGCATCAGGGATCAGCGCAGTTATGCCGTGCCTGGCAGGATCTGACAGACATGGTGGAAGAAGCGTCTATTGTAAAAGCCGGGGTATAGGGCCTTGGAAGCTAAACGGCATGAAGATGATGTTCCAGGGCTACCCTTTCATCTTGGAAAGATGATCCGACCTCTAAAAACTCATGTTGGCTCACTTCCGCATGACACAGACACATATGAAGCAGTCTGTCCGTTCCCCCATTGCCTAGACGTAGAGAGTAAAGTCTGGTTCTGTCAATCCTCGGACCTCCATCGCATGAACGTTGGAAGACATGGGATCTGGCCAGGGGCAGGAACTAAGATTGCAAAGGAACGCATAGTTGAAAGCGGTCAGCTAACAGTACATCGATCTTCCCCAATATTGCTGGGATGGGACAAACGGTGAGAGAGATAAAGTCTGCTGCTATACTCAAAGTGCTTAAGGCGTGGGGAAGGGATCGGACCCTGAAGGCAGGGTGCTTCTGGAGTGAAATCGCATAACCAGTAGCTGGGCGTTCCGTGATACCTCAACTGTACCCTCTGCATCCCGACGGCAAGGGTAAGTAGCTTGTCCAGATGTTTAGAGGCATTACGAAGCCGAAAGCAACGTTGGGGAGTGTTACTAACTTAGGCACATAGGCCGGATAGCACGATGATTCGCGGTGGTGACAGTCCCGCAGTCAATCAGTAACTTGGTCGATGTGGTTGGAGGCAGCTCGTAAGAGTGGGGAAGCTCCGGGGGCGCGTCCACGACGACGCGTGAGACTCGCGTTTGCTTGGACGCGTCAAGACCATGCAGAGTTTTCGATGATCGCCTTCCCCCATGCCCTGCCGTCCCAATCGTTTATGCCGGGCTCACAGTCCTGGAAACCTCTCCGAATTGCAAATTGTAGTCGTGGGTCGGATATGAGAGAGATACAACAAGGTGGACTTGGAGCAGGACAGGAGCGGAAATAGTATACTTGCTACTGCGTACCTCATACCTACATCAAATACACTACAACTGCATGCACTCGGCAAGGTTCCAGCATCCCACGGACACAGGCACGCTCGGCCTCAAACATCGACCCAACGGCGGCAAGAAGCTCACGGCCGCTATCTCGCTAGCCTGTCCAGCCTCTCGCTTTTGAGACCGAACACGCAAGGCAGATCCCTCACCAGGTCCCGCAGCCGGGGAAGCGCTCGAGAGGGTCGCATCCAAGGTCACATTTGTCATATTTCGTGTCGCCTTGGCTAATAAGGGCCATCCCACCTCGTCGACTCCAGCGATATCTATCCTATCGTTCGTGGGTTCGTGGGCCCCCCTCCTTGGTCGCATCCATCCAACCCGTCTGGCCTTCGCACGACTTTTAGGACAAATCCACAACTCCACAGGCGCGCTGCTAGTTTGTTCGCAGCGCGGCCCGGCGAGCGCGCTCAGCTGCAGGAGCATCGTGTTCCAGAGACAGACAGACACCCGACGAGACTCGAAGCAACTACCATCAGATCGCACCAGTCCGGGCACACTGCGCCCGCGGAGAGCGCGCTGCATTGGACGCTTTCGTCCAGTGCTTTTTTCCTCGCGCCCCTCGCAGACGCGTAAGTACCACCGTCTCCTGGTTCGTTACGTTTCCCGTCAACCCTCGGCGCAGATCATTGCATATGCGTTCGCTCCTGTGGTCTTCGTCGTTGGCCAGAAACCTGCATCCGCACTGCATGAGCAGGTGACATTGGTCGCAAGAGCGTGCAGACGGCCATCAACCCCCAGCCCACTAGAAGCCGCCCAGCAGGTCGAGCACCACAATTATACAACGTCCTCCGGGCTTCCCCCCACTGCTGCCACCAGTCGTCTCTCTCCGAGTTGGAGACGGACAGGGCTCGACGAGACTCACGACAGGCCAGCAGGCGCCAGATCAGCCGTCAGGGTCCTTCCGGCCCAACGACGTAGTCTACGTATTGCCCAAACCCGAGGACCACCCCCAGCATCACACCTGCACGCGCTTTGGCTAGCTGAGACTGGGCGAAGGATCCAACCTTGTCAACCTGACCGCCCAACTTTGTGGTTGTTACTTCACATGCGCAGTGGGGGCAGGTGATAGATGGGTAGCTGGCGTCCCAGTATCACCGCTTAGCGCGACGGGTTAGCCAGTTGCGCCCATCGTGGGTCGTGAGTCGTGTGGATTGGCGGCAGCCAGCGACCCCCGGCATCCTCCCCCAAGCACCACCGTGGAACCGACGCCACTTGGCTCGCTTCTGTCAGTTGATAGAGCGCAACTTGTGTCGACTCCCCTGCCCTCCTCCTGCCTCCGTGCGAACTCCACTGCATTGCTACCCTCTCTTCGCTACATTATCTTGCTGCTGCCGACCTGCTCCTCCTCTGCTTTTTAATCGTCCTCGATGCCAATTTCCCCCAGGTTTTAGCCAGCCGTTCATTCTCCTCCGGCGGCGGCGGGCATCTTTCCACCTTTACCCGGGGTTGAGAGACGGCCCTACAGCACGCTCCAGCGGTCAATCAGTACCCACCGCCTCGAACCCAGACGACGCTCTACCCTGCGACACACTCCTCCTGCCCGTCTCATTTTACACTATACACTACCAATGTTATCACGACTGTGACGATTTTGATTTATTTTCCTTTTGAGTAATGTACACGACCGGGAATCTAATAAGAAGATTCAGCATCGTGCAAGCAGAAAACGGCACGGGACAGCGGCCTGCATTGTTCCTGCACAAGTGACTGCTAGGTCTCACGCTGTGACGGGGAAGCGTGCCAGCCACCCGAATTCAAGGCCCTGAATCCAAGACACTGAGGCGCCGCATACCCAACAGTAACAACAACAAAAACCATAAGCTAGACACGACCGCGCTCAGTCCGTGCCGGCTTGGATCGACTGCCTGATACTCAGCACGGACACGACCAAAGCACTCTCACGCTGACTCTCGCGCCGCTTGCGCTGCTATTTCCCGCTGGATTACAACGTCGCGACCTGGACTTCGCATGCGCTGCTCGACGTTCTGATCTAAACGCTTGCTACAACATGTCGTCTCTTCATTCCGGGGCGGCGACCCTGCCCAAGGGCTTCCGCTTGGAAAGCGACGGTCCCAGGACGCCGGAACCTTCAGCGCCGGGCGAGGACGCACATCTACCCTCTGCACCGCGACCACGTTTGAAGCTAAAGAGGCGCAACGTTTCGTCCCATTTGCAAGCTCCGACCCAGCAGTTCCTTGCATCAGTGGCTGCTGCTGATGTGCCCATTCCAAGTGTGGAGGAGCCGGATTTTACGCACGCCGATGAGGAAATGGTCGACGGATTGCCCGAGATACGCCTACCCGATTACGATGAGTTGGACGACTACAGCCGCCTCCATGTGCGCACGTTCTCACCACCCAAGACGCCGGCACCAGAGTTGGCCCCATCGCTTCCTATGAGCAAGTTCCCAAATTGGACACTTGATTCGTCGTGGGACGGCTCTGATATAGAGTCCAGCCCAGAATACGAGTCTAGTAGACCGTCTACGGCGTTCTCCACTCAGACAAGCTCCTCCTTGTTCAGTCGATTTTCACATCCCTCAGAAGATGGAGAGGGAGATTGCCTCAGCCCGGGAATGGATAGCCATGATTTCAGCTTCTCAGATCTGCGACCCCAAAATCTTGACCTGGGCCACCGAAAACCAAGAAGAGCCCCTTGGACAAAAGCGATGAGCGCACACCTGTGGTCAACGTACACGCTCTACCTGCAAGACCCAAAAGTCACTCCTGTTCGCCTAGGAAAGAGTTGCATCCCACCTGAAGGCGTATGCAATCGCGTAGCACGAGAGGCCAAGCGAAGCTGGAAAGGTTCGAAGCAAACGTCCAGGAGTGGGAGCACTACTCCAACAGCTGAATCTTCCAAGCCATACATGGAATGGCCACATACTTGCGCCGCTACCCGCGCGCACCTCCGGGAGCTTTGCCGGTTGAAGGCAACATCGCAGCAAAGCCGTTCTTCATACATGTCTCAGAGCCCAACACCATTCAACAAAGCTGTTCATCGACGCTGGAATCGGAGATCCACGCCGGCACGCTCGCCATCGATCTTCTCGGCTCAGGACATGGCCATGTCCTTGACGTTGAGTACCTCAGAGGCAATGCAGCCTCAAGGGCCCTTGGCTCAACTCACAAGTTCCGAGCCTAGTTCGCTGGAGGAGTTTTCCAATCTGGGAGATCAAAGCCCAGACAGTAATCTTCTAGAAGAGGGTCCTGTAATAGGCCGAGCACGACTTGGATCTCCGTTCGCAAAAAGTTACGGCCCGAGCTCCTCGTCATCGCTTGCTGAAAGCATCAACATACGACGGCAATCCCAGACTGTCGGACCTCGAAAACTGCTCAAGTCACCCGCCCGCCTTACTCGCTCTAGATCCGGGACTCAGAAGCGAAGATCTGTAAAGGGTATCGATGACCAGCCGCGCAAGCGCCCTAGTCTTGCTGCCGCTCTGTGGGGATCACCAGAGAGCACGGCTGGCCCATCGAGTGGCCTGTTTAGCTCTACCGCCTCTTCCCAGCAAGACAAGATGCTGATTCCAAGGACTGCCGCCAGTGATCCCTTCCTGACGGACAACATTCTACCACAAGATATCAACGACTTAACGGCTTCAGCCTCATCTTCGAGGCCTGCACGTCTCGGGTCCCCATTCTCCAGCTCCCAATCAAGCTATTCTTTCCCAAATAGACTCTCGCAACCCATCAACTTCAACCTCTCCGCCCTTCGACGACCATTTGCCACAGTGCAACAGATCCCAGAATCAAATACCGAGGCTGCCTCGCCTCGCTCGAGCTTGGCGTCTCGCTTGGCCTACATTGACCAACGCCTCAAGGAGCTCCGGAATCGCAGCACTCGCAGGAGGTCCCAATCTCCCTTGTAGCTGTAGGATCGATTCATCGTCCTTCATGGGGGTATGCCAATGGGCAACGTTTTGTTTGATGAGCGCAACGTCCAACATTCAACACTTATGCGCTACTCACCCCATTCTTTCTCTTTTTGTATATCTCCGGCTTGGATCCAATCATGTCATCACGACCTTCAGACTGCCTAATATGATCGGCAGTGCAGCATTTCATCTTGGTGTGTTACCGAAGCCTGAGCACAATTCCGCCTTTCTCACATACACTGGTTGGAACGGTTGGCTACGTCTTTAAATTTCTTGGGGCAAAGACCAGATTGGAGACCATTTCTTTCTTGCTTTATTTCTCTTCTTTCCCTTCCCTCCTTTCTTGCATAATCTTGCCAAGGATATCTGGCAAGGTGTTTTTTTCAGTTTATGAGCATTACGAGGAAACGAAATGACATTACGAACGAAAGTATGATCAGGGTCCGGGTCACGGTCACGATTCAAAGTATCAGCATGCCTGTCAACGGCTAGGATAAACCGGCGTTCTATGGTCAAGGTCTCAATAACCTGCCTTCGAAAAAAATTAAATGAAGCAAAATGTGCAACAATAGCTTGGAGCGAAGCACAAGAGATCTTTGGTAGATAATTGTCAGTCTAGAAAATTGACCGAATCACCAGCCAGATCTTTATTGGGGTGCATGCCTCCACGTGACTAACAAACATCAATCACGCAAGGGGCATTGAGACAAGCTGTACTTTTTCCTGTTTTACTTTTTATGGTATCTGGTTCTAACACCTTGATCCAACATACTGATTTGGTTGACCCAGCCCAAGGCCGACCTAACCCACCATTCTATATACCTAAAGTAGTTCAAAAGGCATGGCCTTGCCTCCCTTACATGACTTCTTCCAGCCTCGCGAACGCGAGCTACGTGGATGAGATGAAGCTTATCCAGACTATATGAGATGACCCTGGGAGGGTTGGATTGTGCCCAAGCGGGCGTGGGTAATCACTCGATATACCCACAGTACCGTGTGTACTGCTAGATGAATTCATCTGATTCGATCTGCGACGTGAGGTACGTATATGGTCGCATGAAGACACGCTGCTCTCTATAGCATGAATTGCGCAATCTTCATGGTGCGCCTCCTGCCATCAAGGCAGTGTGCGGGCGGGTCATGCAGCGAGAGGTGGGTCTCGCTGCGGACGCCGCAAGTCTATTCGACTGGATTGAAGCACGAACGAGAACAATGTGTCTCGCCCTTATCCAGTCTAATTCAGTCAAGGTCCAGGTACAGATCGAAGATGGCTGTCCTGGGCGAAGCGACGAGCGCCTTGCCTGTGATGGACCCGAGCTCGAGGTCGGAGTCTTCCTCGGTCAATGGCGACTCGGGCCTCTGCACAGGAGGGTATGGGTATGAGGGTGAGAGTGAAAACGCGTGAGGACACCGGCCCTGCCCGACTGAGGAGCGATGGGTGTGGAAGGAGCACTGCCGGAAGCCGAACTGGCGCTCGTCGTTGCGGAGGTTGTTGCTGGGCAGCCGCAGCTGCGGGTTCTTGAAGGCAAGCTTGATCTTGCTCTTGGACGACTTGGACAGGTGGGCGACGTAGTCGTGCCAGAACTCCGGGCACGCCTGGAACAGGGCCCCCATCTTATCCGCAGTCCCGATCTTCTCGACGCAGCCGCCCAGAGACCAGGCCGCCATGGCGACTATCCACTTCCGCAGCCGGTAGCTGTCGACCGGGTCGCACTCCGCGTATATCTGGCTGACGAATTTCGGTGTGATGTCCCAGTCGAGGCGGAGGTAGATGTCCTGGATGCCGTCCATCGCCGCGTCCTGTAAAGCGTCGAGACCTATCCGGGCGGCGAAGAGGTGGAGAGTAATGAGGTCCCATTGCAGGTCCTCGCAGCAGTCGTTCGCCTCGGCCTCGTCGATGAACCCCTGGAAGCCTCCCCTCTCATCGAGCCAGTACGCGAAGAGCTCGAACATCTCGGGACATAGCTCCTCGAGCCATAGCGTGTTGAGTTGGGCATTGCGCTGCACGAAGTTGACGCTCGAAGCGTCCAGGCGGTCGGCAAAGTATTCCGACGTTGACGATAGGGCCTTCTTGGAAAGGACGAATTCTCGGCATTCCTCTCCTACGAATACTCTCACTGTCTCTGAACTGGAGATACTGCGGTCGTGTGTAAATTAGCTGATGGCCATACAAGGTGGATGTTCCGTCATGGTGCTCGTTGACTTACGGGCTTGATAGTAGCGCAGAGGCTCTCTTGCAAGCAAACTTTGCCTTCAACATGGTATCTGGGTATCTCGGGTATATAATATATCGCACTGGCGCAAAAGCAGACACACAAGCAAACACACAAGCGCACACACACACGCACACGCACACACGCAAAGCCGATCGTCGAATGGTTCGAACAACACGCACTGGACCGGATGATGGTCGAACGATGGGTACGAAAACGGGTGTGATGTGTGCTGCTTTTTCATGATAGATAAATCGAGCCCGCCGGCAGGAAACATCCAACACCCCGGCCAGCAATAACCTTAACAAAGACAAGCTCCGACAAAACCGCACTACACCAGTGCTTCGATCCCCTACCAGCGTCACAACTAGAGTGGGCTAGACTGCAACACTAACCCGTCCGCGATCCCACGGCCGCTGCTTGGCACGAGGGCCTCCCGGGTCCATGGCAGGTCTTGGTGCAGCAACTTGCGAGCTCACGAGGTTCTCCTGCGTTGGGGAGCCCTTGCCCTGGTCAGAGTGCGGGAGACACATCGAAACGGGGCGGGATCCGTGGCGTGGCCCCCAGTCCATGTCTGCGCTGTGGTTGGGTGCCCTGGGGGTGGTTGTTTCGACAGCCCAGGGAATCCGCTTCGGCGCTGCGGGCTGGGATCAGACGGTGAGAGCTGAAACAGGATAGCCCCCCGGCCGCACGCCCGCCCACAGACCCCGGCTAGGGCTCAGATACCAGCTGGGGTCCGCACCCTTGTGTGCTGATTGGCCAGGGCATATCCGAGGACATTGAATACTACCCTCGTTTGCACGATAGCCGGGGCAAGTCAACACTATTGATAAGAGAATCAAGAGTTGAATGGCGTGCATACTATGGTGCATACTATGGCACAGCTCGTGCGGACAATGCGTGCAGATGTCAAATTAGACGGGAATGCACATGACCACTCTCGTTACCAAGACAAAATCCTGTCGACAACCTGATGGGAAACTCTGCGCCGGTAGCAAATCGCCCAATTCCCCAGATGGAGATCCTCCTGGGGCGGTTCTAATCAGATGAACGCGACAGGCTCACCTTCAGACTACTCCGTACTATGGTACACAGGACTGCTGTAAGCAAGCAGGAACGGGACGGGATGTGCCCTGCAATGGAGATCTCAAGTCGGATCATATTATCATCCCAACTCTGAAGCTGCTCCCCACGTGTTGTTTCACCGTCGATCCTGGGCGCTTTGCGCGGGACTTGCCTCAGCCGAAACGGCGGCCATGGTACTGTTTCGCGAACACTAGACATCCATGGCCATCGTTCGATTGCTGAGAACGAAGATGGTGAGGGGAATGATTTTGGTGTTCACAGCGCGTTCCAGGCAAGAAGTCAGGTCTTGGGACACTCGGCCGATTGATCTCCCTAGCTCACGTCCTCTGTCCGATCTGACGGGGAAGCGGGAAGTTTATCTAACTAAGCACTCATTATTGCGAGTTTTGCAGGCTGATTCACATAGCATTAGCTGACAAAACAAATCGAGCGTGCATAGAATCTCGTTCATTTGCGTGTAAATAACAGCGGCAAGCGTGAGAGACAGCTTCAACGTCATAGACCATCGTAGTTGGCAGTACACAGAGAACAGTGCAGCGGAACTCCCGACTTGGTAACTAACTCCAGGCCAATGGGATTTTTTGTCGATGGCACCACCTATGCAGGTCAACAACTCGTGCAGACGCGGAGTGCATTATTAATCAGCGTGGCCACAAGGGTGAGCTCCGCTCAACGCCATTCGCCAGATAGCTGTCGAAGCTCGTCATGGCCGGTCGCATCGTCGAGGATGCACCCATAGAGGCATGATACAAAAGACTCAGACCAGGCCGTTCCCCAGGATTGAAACAAAATACTCAATCCAAGGCTCAGGACCCTTCGTGATATTCGACTCTCTATAGCCAGCGTGCCGTCTCGTTCCCTAGCCCACTCCCCTCACCCAGGGCCTCTGCACGAACCCCTCGTTCATCTCGCTCACGCACGCCAAGCGCCAGCCGAAGTCTGAGCGCAGTCTGATACTGTACCTGGCAGACAGGCTCTCACCATCAGAGCCCAGGCCCCACGATAAGGAAGGGGAACGAACGCTCCGCTTGTCGCTATCTGCGCCATAGTCTCGATTGGCCACTTCCCCAGCACCATGGCTCCTTCGGCTTCCCTGGAGAATGTCCCTGCCGCGAACACGCCGTACTTCACCCCGGCCCAGGACCCACCGGCGGGGACGGCCCTCCACCCGGAGTCGGCGCCGACCCTGTTCCAGCCGCTCAAGATCCGGGACCTGACGCTGCAGAACCGCTTCGTGGTGTCGCCCATGTGCCAGTACTCGGCCGACGACGGCCACCACACCGACTGGCACTTCGCGCACCTGGCGCAGTACGTGATCCGCGGCAACGCGCTGACCATTGTCGAGGCCTCGAGCGTCCTCGCCAACGGCCGCATCACGCCCGAGGACTCGGGCCTCTGGAAGGACAGCCAAATCGAGCCGCTGAAGCGCATCGTCACCTTTGCCCACAGCCAGGGCCAGAAGATCGGCATCCAGCTCGCCCACGCCGGCCGCAAGGCCAGCACCGTGGCCCCGTGGATACGCACTGGTGGCAACAGCGCTGTCGCCGGCCCTGACCTGGGCGGGTGGCCCGACAATGTGTGGGCGCCCAGTGCGATCAAGTTTGCGGACGGCTTTGCAGAGCCCAGGGAGATGAGCCTCGCGGACATCCAGGAGCTGGTGCAGGGTTTCAAAGACTCGGCCGTGCGCGCCGTGAAGGCTGGTTTCGACGTGATCGAGATCCACGGCGCACACGGTTACCTCATTACGGAGTTCTTGTCACCCTTGACCAACAAGCGGACCGACAAGTATGGCGGGAGCTTCGAGAACCGGACGCGGCTGCTCTTCGAGACCATCGAGGCCGTCAGGAGCGTCATCCCGAAGAGCATGCCTCTGTTCTTGCGCATCTCGGCCACGGAGTGGATGGAATGGAACGGCGAGCCGAGCTGGACGCTCGACGAGAGCATCAGACTCGCGAAGCTGCTGCCGGCCGCGGGTGTCGACCTGCTAGACGTGAGCTCCGGCGGGAACAACGCCCAGCAGAAGATCAACCTCCATCCCTACTACCAGGTGAACCTGGCCGGAGAGATCCGGGATGAGCTGAAGAAGGAGGGGTTGGACCTGCTCATTGGCGCCGTCGGCCTGATCACCGAGGCGGAGATGGCGCGGTCCATCGTCCAGGAGAACTCCAACGGCAACGGCGGCGGCAGCCACCCTGGCACGATCGAGATCGAGCAAGAGAACGGGCAGAAGACGCAGGCCGACGTCGTGCTCATGGCGAGACAGCTGCTGCGCGAACCCGAATTCCCGCTGCGCGTGGCGCACCAGCTTAATGTCGACGTTGCGTGGCCCAATCAGTACCACCGCGCCGAGTGGCGAAAGGGGCAAAAGATCTAGATCTGCTGTAGATAGAGCAGGATCTTCAGGAGGAATGGCTGAGGGGGCACCATCACCCTACAGGGCTGTGGTAGGGGAAGAATCCTGCTGGGTAAGGTGTGGTAGCACGGCATTGTGCGAGGGATGCGAGATCAGACAAGCCACGGTTAGATCTAGAAAACCCACAGCCGGCGCATGCATAGAAGCTATAGCGCTTGTGGCGATAAGAAAATGTCTCAGGTATTATGGCCGTGTTCGTCTTGCATGCTATAGAGAGTTGATAGGCAGACAGGCTTGCGATCAGCCTGCGGATCAAACAGATTAAAATCCTTCATTCTGATTATACGGCATGACCCGCTCTATGAGAAACACTCAACCCGCTCAGCGATCCATCCTCGAATGCCCCATTCACCAATGTATTCCGACTGCTTACTCGCCCACTCCGGCTTATAGACCTGAAGCATCAGCAACTCAGGAGCGGACCCCAATACTCGCAAGTCACGAGACCCTCTCCTCCATAAACCCCCTTCATACGAGTAAGCAGTCCTGACCTTGGCTCTCAAGCTCCCGTCAGCAGCACATCCAAACGCCACGCTTCATCCCCCTTGATCAGGAACACACACACGTACAGACACACACACACATCACATCATATACAGGCCCCTACGACAAGTGACAATCCTCCGAGCTGCGCAAGGGCACCACAGCGCCTACCAGTCGAGGAGCCCCCCTGCTCGGCCCAGTCCTCTCCCTTCCCTGCGTTCCTACTTGGCCCGCGGCGGGTACTTCTTGCCGTCCATCTCGACCTTGGGCTCGCACGTGCACCAGTCGTCGGTCGCGATGCTGTCCAGCACGCGGGGGATGTGGGCGCCGCAGCCGACCCAGGACGTCTTGCCTGCACGTGTCCGGGTTAGGGGCCGAGACGGGATTTCGGGGGCCTGGGTTTGGCAGACACTTACCGCACGAGCTGCAGGTGGCCTTCATACACATTTTGACTTTTTACTTTCTAGTCGCGAATTTGTTGAGCCGGTCTGAAGCGGGTGGAGAGATTTGCGCAAGGTGGGTCAGGTAAAGAGAGATTTTTGGTACTGTACGCAATTTGTGTGACCGGAGCTGTCAGATATATATGTCGGTCGTTATATGTTCACTTTCGGTATCTTGAAATCGGTAGGTCGCCGATGGTCGATGCGGCCGCGGGAGATCGGCGAGTCGATGCAGACCACGCTAGCTTGAAGATCCCCGATATCGCCGAAGAGTGGAATGGACCTCCTCGAGGGTTTACTTTCGCCGGGACGGTTGGGGTCGGGTCAAGAGAACGCCGATAAGGCTGCAGCTTGGAAGGCATCTGAAATGTCGTCCAGTTATTCTGCCTCTTTTTGGTGGAATGCAGAGAGCATCGCCCAAGAAGTACTTATAGGTATGCAGCATGCTTATATTCAGACAAATTGTGTACAAGTCCCCGCTTCATGCTCGTATATAACCAAGGAGACCAACATTGGGGATTATCACCGACCCTTGGACGCTGCCTATGCGTTTGTGCTATACCGTCCTAAAAAAGAAAATATGCTCGAAAGGGGTTTGTTTCGTAGTAGCACAGTGCCAAAGATATGTCGTAAATGCCACAAAAACCGTTCCTAGCTCATGCAGCCGCTTCGTCACCGGGTGCTTTCTTCTCGACCTCGCTCTCGACAATCGCCCTGATCAGCTGCGTCGCCAGCTCCGTGCCCATCTTTACAAACGCCGGGTTGCCAATCGCCGGCACGTGCAGGAAGAGGACTTTCCGCGGCCGGTGCTGCCTCCACAGGTGCTCGAGGCTGGAGAAGTAGATGAAGTCGCACAGATACCGGCCCGGGTCCTCGGAGATCTTCAGCTCGGGGCCGTCCTCGCCCTTGTCCTGCCAGGTGCATTAGCTTGTAACAGTAACAAAAACGCGCCCCCATGGGGCCGCGAGATCGGGGGGAGACGTACCGGGCACCGCTGGACCCATCTCTCGTAGATGTCCTCGACGTCCAGCTCCGTCAGCAGCTCCTCGGGGGCGCCGGGCCAGACGCCCTCGCCGCCCTCGCCCTCGAGCAGGTGGCCGTCGACGTCGCGGAACTTGTAGCCGTCGCGGTGCGCGCGGCGCTCGATCGCGTACTTGACCGGCGGGCCCGCCATGCCGATGTGCAGGGCGAGGTCGATCGTGCGGCCCGGGTCGTCCCAGAGCGTGGGCACGAGCTCGCGCACCGTCTGGTAGTTGACGCGGATGGGCTGCGGGTGCACCAGCAGCCGGACCCGGGGCATCTTGGACGACGACTTGTGCGCCGGGTCCTTCACCCTGTCCCAGGGCAGGTACTCGGGCAGCGCCGAGGCGATCTCCCACGACGGATTCACGGGATAGCCATCCTTGAAGGGCTGTTCGGTGTGCGGATTAGCATGCGATCGAACAATGAGGAGGCCGAGCAGGAAGCGGGAGGGATTGACGTATAAGTCCCGTCACGGAGTCGAAAGTCAAGAGGCACGTACACCGAAGCCAGTCACCAGCACTGTCAGCTCTTGGTCATCCTTGACGTTCTTTATTGTATCGATCGAGCCCATGGCGACAGCTGGCCCTAGGATTCCCTTTTTCTTTTATCTACTGTACCTCAGGCCAGAGACACAGGAGCAGCCCATCGTTTTTCCAAGCTCAGGACGGGGTCCCGGAGGGATCCGAGCTTAAATATGGAGCCCCGGTTGTATGGATGGAGCTGGGCCCTCGCGGGGTTCAACAAGGAGCCCAGTCACGCATTCGGCCATTGAGGGGTAACGGGAATAGGAAGTCAGTGGGCTCGCCGCGCCGTTGCGGGAGAGTCGGGCCACCTGCAAAGCCAATACTGGGCTAGCTGAACCTTGGGAACGGTACGAGGAACGCTCTTTTCGGGCGTGATGCGAGTACGCAAATTTTTGGATGCAGGAGCTCATTGGGGGAGGCCTCTTGGTATATAGAATTGTCGGACGGGGAAAACTGCCGTTGCACTACCTACTTTCATTACTGTTTGGATTGTATAAGTTGATTCTGCACCAGGTCTCACCAGATCAAGCCACCCAGCCGAGGAACGTTTGCAAGATGAATCAGGGTCAAGACACAGCCATTATGAGACGATACTTTCCCCCAGCATACTTTCCAAGCCTCGGCAATTTGGCTTGCATTGAGCCAAAGTCAAGACTGCCAGCCTTGCACTCCGGACAAGACGACGTATAAAGACTTGCCAAGACGCCGCAACGAGTCAAGTTCAATGCTCATGTGACGTGTGCCTTCACGAAAGTAGAAGCACTGGAGAGGAGCCGGAGGATTGATCCAGGCAATGCCTCAATACAAGTGGAGTATATAATGGGAAACGCGCGAGACAAGCCCTGACGAGCCCCGAGTCCGCAAGCTTCCCCTTCCAGGATATATGCATGCACACAGACTTGGCAGATCACGGGTCCACGGCTTCTTGTACTTGAAGTCTGTGTGCCGGCTTGCGTATAATACAGTCGTAATAAATACAGATCCCACCAAGAGCTTGGCCTGTATAACACGGCATCGGATGACTGGTCTCCCACAATTCTGATACACAGTATCTTGATAGACGTGGGACGCTGAAAATGAGAGCACAAACAACACCACCATAACACCGCCGCCGTGGGGCATGGGTGACTGGACCACACCAGAGTGATAGACTTGGAGATCTGTTTCCTGTCCGATATGAAGGAGCGAGGATGGTGTTCTAATAACTTCGCCTGGCTGGGGATCAAAAGCGTGAAATAGCGCCGCCAGCCTATGTCCAACAGGACACGCAGATGGATTTAGACCTAAGCATTTCAAATCACGGGAGACAGGAGACATCTATGTGTCGACATCTAACTCAGCGCTTCATTCTCTAGGTTATTCGCTGCCCTGTGCATATGCAAACTCAAGACGTGTCCATCCATCCAGTCTGAGTATATCGCCTGTAAATGGAACGCACCTAACTAAAACACATCCCAAGTTGAGTATTCTTGCTTCACGCTCGTGAGCCGTGCCGAGCCCCCTGGACTGCTTCTGCACCCGTTCACACGTTGCCAGCCTCGTCTTTATCCTTCCTCGCCAATCCTCCTCACCCTGTATCTTTCCCTCTCTCCGAGTCGACGATCTGGAGCGCACCCGTGTTGTCCCACGCAACGCGGCCCTCCTCGACGGCATCGCGCAGCTCGCGGGCCAGGGGCGCGCGGTCGCCGGTGTGGGGGTCCCAGTCCCAGCCCTCGCGCATCCACATCCAGCGGAGGTAGGCGCGGAGCTCCTTGTCGAGCGGGAGGACGCGCATCCACTCGGGCTGGAAGGCAGGGGGGCGGCGGCCCTCGCGGCGGCCCAGCAGCGCGTCGCGGCAGAAGATGCGCCAGCTGTCGAGGGCGTAGGCGCCCTGCGTCATGTGGCCGATCTCCCACGCCGACGGGCGCGGGTCCTGGTCCTCAGGCGCCACGGCCTCGCCGGCGCGGACGTCCTTGCCGTCGCCCGGCCGCGGGTAGTTCTTCACGCCGTAGCGGGCATCTCGGGTCGGGGGCGTCGCGAGCCAGATCCGCGCGTACTTCTGGATCTGGGCTGCTCTGACAACTGAGAGTCCTAGGTGCTTGATCATAGCCGAGATATCGCTAGGCTTTGCTTCCACCAACGCCTCGGGAGTCGGGTATTTCTCCATCAGCTTGAAGTAAGTTGGTATAGCCGTCCTGCCGGGCGTCCTCACGAGGAACGTGATTGCTATGAGCAGCCGGAATGGGTCGTCGGCAAGCTTCTCCTGGACGAGACCGAATTGTGGTGCTGATAGGGTTGGAAATGGCAAGGCAGAAACAGTCCCTCGTGGAGGCCGTGGGCTTTTCGGCTTGAGTGGGCTGGACTTGGGCGTGGTAAAGTATTTGGAGGTTGACACGCGTTCTTTCTTGGGGGTTTGAGACGCTGAGCGAAGGGTATATCTCCTTTCTTCGGGAGCCGCCTGAAGCGTGCCGTCGTAGCCCTCTAGAGCCGTACTAGTCCCTGTAGGCGCCTGGTCGAGTTCCTCTGCTTTCACCTCTATATCCGCAGCCCCTGGAGACCTTGGGATTGTACTTGCCCGTTCGTCCTCTGAGGTTTGCTCTTGCTGTTCATTGTCCAGGGTCTCTCCATCACCCGCAGGCACCTGGCTGTCTACGAGTGCGTGTCTTTTAAATGAGCGGCGGCTGCATCGTCTGTGACAACTTCACTTGAGCCAGTCTGAGGGGTTAAGGCGGCAGCCTGCGGCGCGATGGCCTTCTTCGTCGGCGCCTTGGCATTATCACTGCTCCGGTACCATACAGCAGCCTCCTTCAGGACTGGAACCGTGGGATGGGGCTGGTTGGTATTCTCCGAATCTTCGCCCTGAGCTTGCTGAAGAGCTTTTGCAGCTCTCTTAGAGGCTCTCTTCGCAGCTCTTCTAGCACGCTTCTTGGCTCGCTTATTCACTAACGCGGTGGGCGTCTCCTGATCTGGTCCTGCGAAGAAATGGGACTCGTTCTGTCGCTTACGCTTCTTGTCCGTGTTTGGTGCTGCCTGCGGTTTTGCCATGATGGCATCCCCCCTGCCGACGCCTTGTCTCTGCTGTGCTCCTAGAGCAACGTTTGCGATATGGTTACTTGGTCTTGTTAGAGGGTCTGGCTTGATAATTTTCGCAAGATAGCTCAGGGTGTCCTGTCCATCCAGCGGGTTGTGGTTCGCCGTCTCAGCCCTCATCGATTTCGCGCATGCAATCAGCATGTCCCACTCCTCGACTCCACGAAGCAGGCTGAGCCTCTTGACCTCCTTGAGCTCGTTGGGCCCCATCTGGCCGTTCGCCGCCAGCAGGCCAAGCTGCTTCTTCTCGAACTGATCCGAGGCTTCCCAGCCGACCATGTAGTCGTCAGCCAGCTGCGAGGCCGGCTCCGTCCCTTGTTCCGACATGTGGTTCGCCTCCAGCCAGTCCATGACTTTATTGAAGATCTTTTTGGGATCTGGAACGGGGTATGCGACTCGAGCCCGGTCGACGTCACCCATCTAACGTGACTTCCACTCAGGCAAGGATCTCAATTTTTGGAGGTAGGCCCAGAGGCGCGGGTACTGTTCCGGAGTAAGATACTGGGAGTTCATGGCGACAGTAAGAGAATTTGGGGAATATGCACCTAGAAGAATTGCTACGCTCCTGCTGGACTTTGCAGTGACGCGAAAAGAAAGAGACCAAGGGACAAATTCAGTGTGCAGGTTGCATTCCTTGTGTCGGAGAATTTTCTGTGCCTCTCTGTCAATGGGGGTGAGGTTAAGGGTAGTTCGGCTGGAAAGGCAGTGAAAAGAAATTTTCAGTGACGAGGTGCAGGCGGGTACGTGTGGTAGCCCGACACTTCTTTTTCGTGTGCTAAATGAATGACACAAAGAGAAAGATCAAGCAGCACCAGTTGGTGACGAGCCCGTGAGCATCGCGAGATGCTTCAGTGAAAAAGAGGAAGGTCGATGCAAAGGTGCCGATCGCCCCAAATTACCCTGCAACAGGCCACCAGAGTCGGTTCGCGTCGCCTCATTGGCTAGTTTCAGCCAAAGCTGGACGTGAATGGTGTGTGGCTGCTGCAGTCGCGCTTCAAGCCCAGAATTTCATGGACATGATCGTCGAAAAAGGTAAAAGGGCAAAAAGGCAGAATAAGCTTGTGATGACCAGCAGAGAGTGATAAATATTGTTAAGCATCGTAGTTGTGGCAAGAAGTGCTGGTCTCATTGAGAAGCTGGAATGGAAAGTGTGCACAAACCGGGACGTGGCACAATACCGCAAGCAGGCATGCCATACACATTGACATAACTAGGTGGGTAGGCAATGTGACGATGGCAGCATGACTCAAGATCTCGGCCGCTTCAGGATCTCACGGGCTCTATAAAAGGCATCACGTTGATGATGAAGTCATTAAGGGTCTTTCCTTCTATCGGATACCACAGCTATGGGAGGGCATCGTTGACATATTCGCAGACAGCCGGGCATGTATCAAAAAATGAGAACTTGATTTACACTCTAAGTCACTACCCCCAGATTGCCCCCAGGCCTCGCAACCTCGAGTCTTTTGCCTCAAAACAAAGGAGCTTTAGGGAGTCTAGTATTACATACAGGGTGGGATTCGTCTAGAGTCGCATGTTCTTGTTGACCTTGGGAGGGTCGTAGGTGGTCTTTCTCGACTTGATCGGTGCCCACTTGTATCTCTTGACCCAGATGCTGAGGGCAGTCAGGACCGCGGTGACAGTCAGGACCTTGACACCCATCTTCTTGCGGTCGTCCATCTCGGGCTCGGCGGCCCAGTTCAAGAACTCGGTAACGTCCTTGGCCATCTGCGAGGTCGAGGCAGGGGTCTCGTCCTCGTACTCGACCAGTCCGTCGTACAGAACACGGGCCATGGCAATACCGGTACCGGGGAAGTAGGGGTTGAAGTTGAGGCCCGACTGGACCTGGGCACCAGCCGGGGGCTCCTCGGGGTAGCCGGTCAACAAGCTGAAGATGTAGTCGCAGCCACCGTGGCGGCCCTTGACGATCAAGCTCAAATCCGGGGGCAGAGCACCCTGGTTGGCAGCACGGGCAGCCTCGTCGTTCTTGTAGGGAGCGGGGATGTAGTCGGAGAGCTTTCCGGGGCGCTTCTCGATCTCACCCTCGTCGTTGGGCTCGGTGTCATACTCGTTCTCCTCGGCCAGGGCCTTGGCCTCGTCGACGGTCAGGATGGTACCGACGAGAGATCGGTAGGGAACACGGCTGAGCGAGTGGCAGGCAGCGCAGACCTCACGGTAGACCTGGAAACCACGGCGGAGACTGGGGAGCGCGGTGTTAGCGGGCGGCGGGGCGCGGCGGGACGGGGGGACGCGGCAGACGAGATGGAGAACACTTACGCTTGGTGGTCGAAGGTCTTGGTCCACTGGTTGTGAACCCAGGGGTACTGTGTAGGGTGCAGACTGGGAGCGATGGGTTAGCATGCTGAGCTGGCAATCCAAGGAGCACGACGGAAAGGCGCTAGGGCCAGTTGAGGATCCATATGCACGATCAATCAACCGCCTTCGGCCGGGAATTCACTTCCATCGCGGAATCTTGCACTCACCCCTCCTCAGCCGGTGTCATGGCGTGTGCGGTCGGTCCGTAGAGGTGGTAGTACCAGGCGACGGAGCCAATGGCGACGGCTGTCGAGGCGGCGGCGGCGATGTTCAGACGGGTAGGGGTCTCGGCCGCGGCGCCGGAGCTCGTCGAGGCGGATCGCTGTGGGAGAGTGCGGTCAGCATTACACGTGGACACGTCCGCGATGGGGCATTGAGCCGTCGAGGCAGCAGAGAGCGCCATTGAGGCCGCGATGGTGGCCGTCGACGGGGTCTCCCGGTGGTCGAACGATCGGGCTGGGGGCAGGATGAGAGAGCGTCGTTCTCGTACCTTGGCGAAGGAGGTGGCGCCATTACGGGCACCGTTGAGGATGCGCGTCGAGCGCAGGCAGGATCTTGCCAACATGGTGGGCTTACTGCTCTTCCGGCGGGCGAAGGGCAACAAGCTGTGCTGACAAGTCAATGGGTCTCGGCAGACTCGTGGTCTTGAGGTCGGAGATCGGAAGTGGAAAACAAAAAGTAGCTCAAAATGCAGAGTGAGCCAGCCAGTGAGCCCGGGCGGCAGGAATCATCCAAGTTGCCCGGGGGCTCATTGGCTGCGCCGGCACAGAAATATGGGGCCCCCCCTTCCCTTTGGGTCTCTAGCTCTCACGTGATCTAGGCCAGTTACATTACTTGCATTGCTTGCATTGCTTGCATTACTCCCTGACATTAGCTACATTACCTACCTAGGTAGAGACTGACAGCCGAAGTTTTATATCAGCTTCGATGGTTTTCTTCAAGGCTGTATGATATTCGGTTGTACTACTACCTGTCTATTGACGCTCCATCGCCCCGGCCTGTTCGCTGTCAAACCTATCTGTGCGGACACCCGCGAGGCTCATAACCCACCAGTCACGATGACCATGTCCCTAATGACTACCTGAACCCATTATTCCTTCTGTCTATGGTCTCATCTATAGCAACACGGGGAACTTCTTGTTGTAAAGTAGACAGACACACCAATGCCTCTTACAACAAAACCACCGCCCCCAGCACCGCCACTACCACCGCCGCGGTCCCCAGCGAGCCACGTCCTCACCACCCCGGAGCTCCTGGAGGCCATCCTGGCGCACCTGGACCCGCGCACGCTGCTCACGGCCGCCCAGCGCGTGAACCGCCTCTTCCACGCCCTGGTGGCCGCCTCGCCGCGCCTGCAGGAGGCCCTGTTCTTCCGGCCGCGGCGGCCCGCCGCGGGCTGGGACAGCGTCGAGGCCAACGCGCTGGTCTTCGGCGCCCTGCCCGTGCGCTTCCACTACCAGGGCCTGGCGGACAGCGAGCGGCGCTTCCACCGTGCTCCGGCGGCGGCGGCGGCGGCCGGTGGTCCGGGGTGCGCTGCTGTTGACGACGACGTCCTCGTCCGCGCCCGGCCGTGCCCGGCGGTCGTCAACGACCGCCGCGCCGCGTGGGAGGCGGACGCGCGGTTCGCGCGGCCCGAGGCGAGCTGGCGCCGCATGCTGGCGGTGCAGCCGCTGCTGGACGGCAGCTCGGCGCCGTGGCGGGTGCCGGACTGGGCCCACGCGCCGGGGCGCGACCCGAGCGAGACGCTGCAGCGCGTGTGCGCGACGCGGGGGCCCCTGGACGCCGAGGTCTTCGCGGAGCACCACGGGCAACTACGGATGGGCCGGGTGCTGGAGCGGGCGCGCGAGATGCTCGGGGACGGGGAGACGCTGTTCTGCGTCAAGCTCCTGCTGTACGAGGGCGCGGGGGAGACCCGGGTCGACCTCGTGGGCCGAGGCTCCAGGCATGTAGCGGGGAAATGTCTGGTGTTTCTCCGGACGTATTTTCCTACTGCGGCTTGATCAGCATGTTTCCCAGATTAACCCCTATTAGGAGGCCCCTTAACAGGTTTTGTTACAGTGGCGAGACTGAAACTGCTGTCATAGAGAGTTGCCGCGATGGCTGGAGTTTCATCGCAAAATACTTGTTATATTGGAGTCAAAAAGAACCATAGACCTTAGAAATCTGTTTATTAGCTGAATGCTAGGATATCTAATGACGTTTTGCTATACCCGTTTTTGTGCCCAAATGTTTTTAGTAGATCAGATTCATCATAAGACATCGCCAAAGAAACAAGAACGAGAAGAAAACAGAAATAAACGGCATCATAGAATCTGCTACTGGCCATTTGTGGTTGCAAGCTTCCGCCTCTGCTTGACGGCGTCTGCTAGGTTCTGCAGGACCGACTCGGTGTCTTGCCAGCCGATGCATGCATCTGTGATACTCACGCCGTGCTTCAGGCCGCTCTTGCCCTCAGCGGGGACCTTCTGGTTGCCTGTCGGGTGTGTCAGTAGCTCCTCTGTCTCGTCACTGTTCGTTCTTTGTCTTGACTCACCCTCGTTGATGTTGCTCTCGATCATGACACCCATGATGGCCGTCTCGCCCTTGCTGATCTGCTCCGCCAGCTCGGCAGCGACCTTGGGCTGGTTCTTGTGGTTCTTCTGCGAGTTGCCGTGGCTGCAGTCCACCATCAGGCGCTCGCGGACGCCCGACTTGGCCAGGGCCGCCCTGGCCTCGCCGATGCTCTTGGCGTCGTAGTTGGTGCCCTTGGTGCCACCGCGCAGGATGACGAAGCAGTCGTCGTTGCCGACGGTGCCCACGATGGCGACGACGCCGGGCTTGGTGACCGACAGGAAGTGGTGGGGGTGTCTGACGGCGCCAATGGCGTCGATGGCGACGCCCAGCGTGCCATCGGTGCCGTTCTTGAAGCCCACGGGGAAGGACAGACCGCTGGCCAGCTCTCTGTGGAGCTGCGACTCGGTGGTGCGGGCCCCGACGGCGCCGGCGGACAGCACATCAGCGAGGAACTGGGGGGAGATGGTATCGAGCATCTCGCTGGCGATGGGCATGCCCTTGTCGGTCAGGTCGACGAAGAGCTGGCGGCTGAGGCGCAGGCCCTTGTTGATCTTGAAGGAGTTGTCGATGTCCGGGTCGTTGATGAGGCCCTTCCAGCCGACGGTGGTGCGCGGCTTCTCGAGGTAGGAGCGCATGACGATGAGCAGCTCGTCCTTGTGCTTGGCCTTCTCCTTCAGCAGCATGTCGCAGTACTCGAGGGCGGCGGCCGGGTCGTGGATGGAGCAGGGCCCGATGATGACGAGCAGGCGGCCCAGGGGGTCGGTGCCCTTCACGACGGCGGCGACCTCCTCGCGCGACTCGAGCACCGTCTTCTTGGAGTTTTCCGTCTGGGGGATCTCATGCTGGAGGAGGTCGGGGGGCGTGAGGGGGTTGTAGCCGCGAACTGTGGGACAGGAAGACGGGGATTAGTTACGGGGTATTCGCTTTCGAAGGTTTCACACGGTCGTGCTTACTTCTCCAGTCTTCGCTGTCGGCCTTGTTGCCCACGTTCTTGTTCTCGATGAAGAAGCTCTGCTTGGTGAGGTGAGTCAGACGGGTGCAGGTCCCACGGTTGGATATCTGGTGTAAGTGGGAGCAACTCACCGACATGACGGGCCGTGGATATTCTTCTGAACCCAGTAGGAAACAAGCAGAAATGACTGTGATCTGTAAGAAAGGGCCGTCAATGGGCACTTGAAGGCGCTCTTCGGGATCAAAAAGTGCTCGCAAGTATTTTCTCTCTGCAGAGACCTTCGTCGCAGCTCGAGCAAATACCGTACGTTGGGTTGCGTCACACAGAGAAGCTCGGCTCAGAGTGGGCTGGGTGGGCTGGCGGGGTGGTGGTCCCACGTCCACTATAAAGAGAAAAAATTGCCAATGCAGCGGGCGCTAATGGCGGGATCGGAGCCCCCACACTGTCTCGCTGTCTCGCATGTAGGTACAGCATCCCATCCTGCCAGTTGCTTACTGAGACTTTTCTCAGGGTCCAGCCAGCCAACCAGCCAGCCTCTGCCTGGGACGACCTGGGTAGGCGTATGGTGAATGGGTCGCTTCAACTGCATCAGAGATCCGTCAACGGGTCTGCTGCTCCGGGGATGGGCCTCGTCCAATCGTTTTGACATGCAGGGCGGAACCGCGTCTTACACATCAAAATGAGTGACAACTGGACAACCATGTCATCGCTTCTGCCATCCGTCCGTCCATCGCAAGGATCATCACTTCTCTCGAACAAAGTAGGCGGATCCTCGTACTGTGAACCTATACGATCCATTGGATATATGTCGATCATCTGGTCAAACCGGCGCTATCTATCACCACCTGTATGTACATAGTCTACAACTCGTCCCAGCAGGCAGTACCCCACATACTGCACCCCGGCCTCTATAGTAAATGCCATATAACCCGAAGGATCTCTATAATGTACAGCGCGCCTTATCTCCGTTGTTTGACCTAAAGCCGTAAGTCGCGGGTAGGCCTTCCCCCGCGCAGCCAACATGACAAAGTATACCCGGCGTACAAATCTAAACTCAACGACAACTCCGTTCATCAAACCCCTCTTATTGGTTCTCTATTCCTTTTTGGTACGAACCCCCGCAGGGTCAGTGAAGGCCTCGTTCTTCAACTCCTCGATGCCGTTCACCTTGCCGTACACCCACTTCAGCGCCATGGTGCTGCCCGTCATCAGAGCGGCGGAAAAGGTGAAGAGAAGCACCCGCTGCCAGGTGCTCAAGATGTCAAAGATGGGATAGGGGTACCTGTGTCATTCTGGTCAGCAACCACGGACAGTTAAAACTCCCTTCTACCGTTCGGGGAAAATAGATATGACCATGTAGTTTCCAAGATAGAAGAATTTCCTGAAAGAGATAACAGATAAAAAAAATAAAAATAAGAAGAAAACCTACCATCCGTTCTTCGAGTAGCAGTACTCGACCCAGAACCAGTAGCCGAACGCGAAGACCATGCTGACGCCCATGGCCGGGTAGGCGCGGATGGTCCAGGGCGGGGAGAAGAGCAGCAGGTCGGCGGCGAGCAGCAGGCCCGGGGCGGCGTGGAAGCCGACGTCGGGCAGGAGGGCGAGCTGGAACTCGGGCGGGAAGACGAGGCCCTTGTCGACGGCGCACAGGCCCCAGTACAGCGCCGTGATGAGGCACTCGAGCGGCGCCGCCACGACGGCCAGCGCGTTCTTGAGCGCGAACAGCCGCGGCGAGCCCAGCACGTCCGCCGCCAGCCCGACCGTGAACGTGACCAGCGCCCCCGCCAGCCCCAGGATCGTCAGGAACTGGTAGTGCCCGCCGTACGCCGCCGAGAAGGGCGTCTCCCACGTGTCCAGGAACCGGAACGACGCCAGGAAGGAGGCGATGCCCGCAGCGTGCAGCAGCAGCGAGAGAGACCAGGCGGGCGAGGCCAGGCGCTGTTTGGGATGGCGGGCGGCCATGGCTGGTGGTGTTTTGGGATGCAGGTACGCAGCTATGAACGCGAAATCTGGGCGCTAGAAGGGGAAAAGATTAAAAAAAAATGAAAATGTTCACGCAATATACCAATGAAGCAGTAAGACAGGCTAGTCTTCTCTATACCTGCGCAGCTCTGAACGGAAAGGAACTTAATCTTAGCAACCGCGGAAACAGATGTTGAAAGGTGAGACGAGCTCATGACATGACGACATACTCCTATGGACGACAGAAGCCGGCCCCCGTATGCTGGGTCAGGCACATAGCGCCCGTAGCTTCCGCTTCAGTGGGTCGACCTCGCTAGAACGGGCCCACGTGTGCTGCCGCCCCGGCTGAGTGGTTCGCTATTTGCCCCTGATCTCGGGGTTGCGGGCTCTAACCATCTCCGGCGACCATGTCTACACTTTTGGAACTCAACCACGTTAAGAACATCTCAACGCATTCATCTCCGAGTCTCGCGCATGCACGGGGCCAAGATCCAAAGAAAGCACAAATTACCAAAGCAGTCCAATTCATTCATCGCCTCATGCTCGTGATACTAGTTACAGGTCTGTCCAGGGAGCTAATAGTACAAGGTAGTCTGGGCCAAGGTATCGACGGTTGCTTGGTGAGCATTTGGGCAACAGCCTGTCCATGCTTCTTCCGTTCTGTTTCACACTCCCTCTCGTGAGAAGACAGAAATGCTACTGTAGAATGAGATGAGGCAATGCCCCCCAGAACGTGACCACAAGACCAATGACACCCCCTGCTACTCCCCTTCATGAATGGCCGTCCCGGCTCTGGTTCTGTTGATAGTCTTCCATTTCTTGCCCCTTTTCCTCTGTCAGATTTTTTTTTTCTTTTCCCCCATTTCTTGAGCCTCGTTCGTTGCTGCTTGCAAGCCTCAGCATATAATCCGACAAGCAAGTTGTTTCCTGCAAAAGTGCAGTGTAGTTGTGTATCCTTCAGAAAAGTGCGCAGTGTTCCAGCATCAAAGGTGAGCTCAAGGCCAAAAAACCATCTCAAGTACAAGGCAAACGCAATCAAGGACAATGCAGTGCTCCCCACTGGTCGCGTCCGGTCATGGCAGTGGTTTAAATATCGGAACCACGAATGTGGCGGCGAAGGTTTCTCCTCGGCGATGACGAGTTGCTGTTATGCTTGTCCTCAAGACTGGGAATCACCTCTTCTGAATGCCCAGTATGCGCGAGAACGGATGATCCCTCGGGCGGAGGGAGAAACTCGAATGATTCGCTCGAGTTGTTCACGACCGCGTCATGGTTGGTGTTATACAGATTCTTTTCAGGGGAGTTGTTGCTTTTGTTACTCTTCACATGGGAGCTCGAGTCTGAGCGTTGCTTGAACGACGAATTTCTTTGGCTGCATGGAGAGCCTCTGCCTGACTGTGATCGCTGCTCCATGCTCGGGAAGTCTGTGGTTATCGGTCAGTCAGATCGTTTGGTTTTGGGATGCACACAATGGGCTTACCAAGTTGATTGGGCATGTGTGCCTGAGGAACCTCAGGTTCTTCATTTTCTGAGTCATGTGACAAGCGGTAATGGTCGTTCCCATCATTGCGCTCTTCGTCCGAGTCGCATGATTCTATGGAAATCAGACTAACTGTCAGATGGCTATAACTAGACAGGGTCGGGGGCGTGGAAGTTGCAGAGCTACCCCAAACATCGCCAAACAGACCAGAGCGCTTACCGGCCTGCATGAGTTCTTCTTCAACCATCTGTTCTGCTTCCTGCTCGTATTGGGTCTGGTCATAACCCCAGGAGTCGTGTTGGACTTGCGGTTCGGTGTCGAGCACAGCCCAGTTTGCATCAGCAGGCGTGGCGGGCATGGAATCAAAATGATCGTTGTCAGGTGACATTAGGTCCGGCTCCAGATCATCGCCTCGTTCATCCCAAGAACAGAAGGCGTTGCCTGTCATAGCAGGTATGTCCAGATCGACGTTCTCTGATCTCTCCAGAAGCTCGTCGAAGTTGGGCGCTTTCTCAAAGATCCCTGGGCAACCTGAGCCGATCTTACTGCTCGGTGAAGCTGAAACGTTACTTCTGGTGGGGCTATTACTACGACCAACAGGGGGGATATCGAATGTTTCTTGCTGAGAATTAGAGACAGGTTTGTCTTTGATAGCCGGGGGAGCGGACTCGTTCCCTTTGCGACCAAGCCCCCGAGAGGTGGCAGGCTTATCGATGGCTTCATCTCCAAGAGAATGGCTATGCCGGCCGCTGTGTTGCTGAGGATCTAGACTTGAAAAACATCGGCTTTTCTGGGCGAGCTCAGACCTTTCGTCATGAACGAGAGGTTGCTGGTACCAAGCCTCAGTACTCGGAACAGACTCGTGGCTGCCTTTATTCGAAGCAGCACCGAACCTCTGAGGACTTGCTTTGTGTGAGAAGTTCGGTACAATATCGCTCTTGCCCCGTTGGCTCCTGAGACCCGCAGCGTTTCTCGAAGAGGATCCTGCCTCGCGTTGTGACAGCTGGGAAGAATGCTCTACTGACTGAGACTTCTGCTCCCTAGACTTCCTTCCGTAAGTAACGGCCGTGGATGGTGCTTTGGAGTCGCCAATAGACTGCCTGTGAGAAGATTCGACCGAAGCTCGAGCCCGCTGCTCACTCGCAAGTGATGGATTGACAGCTGGGGGGCCATGAAGATGAGAGGGCGAGGCTTTCGCGGTACCTAGTGGTTGTGCTGACGAAGGCTTGAGGAGAGGCGATCGTGGTTTATGAGTCTTAACCGGACGGATTGTTGAGGCACTACGATCTGGACGCCGCATCCGACGCCCCCGACTTCGGCTTCGTGACGAGGCCCGGGAACTGGCCTCCTCGGGCGTGGACAAAGATGGCTTGCGACCGCGATGGCTGCCATATATGACAGAAGACATCGCCTTGAGGAAGCTGCCACGTCCATTCCTTGCGAGAGATTTCTGACATTGAGTCTTCTTACCAGACTTGGATGCGGCAACAGGCATAACTACCTCATCATCGGTGCTCATCGGAGGCAGAGCAGACGTCTTTTGTGAGGTTAGCAAGTGGTAATTTGTAGAGGTATCAAGTGTCAGCTTACCATGAACACGCTGGAAACACTTTCGCTCGCTTCAGAGTCTGTGTACTCAGCAGTAGCTGTGCATCGACGGCAATAACCCGGCTCAGGTGTTTCACCCCTTTTGAGGGGATGGTCTAGATGGTATCCTCTTGATCTGGTTCTACCACAACCGGCACACACATGTTTGTGTCTTCTTGACTTGCGCCGTCGCCTTTCGTGCACCTCATCACCAGGCTTTGCGACGGCCACCTGGGAATCCTTGGTTTCCTCGCTATTCCGGCCTTGGTGGTTACGTGAAGCCAGATGAGGCTTGACCACAGCCTCGAAGTGATTCTTGATTCTTTCGTCCTCTTGCAAAGTAGAAGACTGGGTATTGGCACCTCCAGTACCAAAATTTCCTGGAGGTCGCGGTGGCGGAGGCGGAATGAAGCTGAAGTTCGCAGGCTGTTGCAAGTAGGGGGCACCGGCCTGCTGGTTTTGCGTCATTGCAGGCACTGAGGTCGACTGCGGCGCTACAGATCCGGGATGGAAGCCTGATATGCCGAGACTTTGTGTCTGGTGGATGGGGACGTTTCTCGAGAGGTTGTCCGTGGGCATGCTCTGAGCGACGTAGCCTGATGTGAGAGGCCAGTTCGGATATCCATACTGGCCCAAAGCTTGGTCATGGACGATGTTGCTGGCAGCGATACCAGGATATGGGTGTACATGTGGAGGTCCTAGAGGAATGTAGAATGCACCAGTTGCTTCGGAAACCCGGGGAGACTCCTCCTCGGAATCATAGCGAGCGAACCGTATTCGTTCAGAGGGCTCATTGGTTGTAGGGCTCGCCTGGGAGAAGGACCGAGGTCTATGCTTTGGGTCGGGTACAGTTTGAGGTTGGCCTTCTTCCCATACCGCCTGTGGGTAAGTCTCAGGGTGACGAAGTATTCCTCGAGGTCTTGACGTTGAGCGTGAAGAAGAACTTGACGAGCCTTCGTTGATTTGCCTGGCCCTGGCCTTTGCTGCAAGAATGGATTCCTCACCATCGGTATCTACCTCGAATATTCGAGGCGCCGGAGTACTTCGGGCAGATCTAGATCTCGAAGCTTGGGAGACGATGCTGGGACGGCGACCTCGCTGGAAATCGGCACGAGATGAAATACCAAAGCTCTGGCCCAGCAGGTCGAAGCCGTGGTCTCGGAGCACATTTTCCTTCTTCTTGCGGGCGAGAGCGGGCTTCCCTGACTTGGTGGTAGTGACAAACACATCACTGTCTGGAAGGTAGACCTTGTCATCGTCAAGTAGGGGCTGGATTGAGATCGAGCCATTGCTCCTGTGAAGGGTCAGCGAAATTGTGTCCATATTCGACAAACCGTACGCAAGGGAAAAGAATGTCAGTCCAAGTTGACTGAAGTAACATGATATGAGAAACGGCAGCGGGATGTTGCCTTGAACTGATGACGGTGGAAGGAGAACGGTAAGTGCGAGGAGCTGTCGCTCATCCACAACCGGAAGCCCACCACAGCAAACGCGACACAAGATGACTTACTCGCTTCCCCTGCGAGATCTCTTCGACCTCCACATGACGCCCACAATCTGTTGCTCCCGAACGTAGGATGATTTCTGCTGGGAAAGTAAACGAGGAGGCGCGGCGGAAAGAAAGTGTGATTCAGCTCTGTTTGTCAGGAAAGAGCCATGCTCACACCGACAGCAGAGCTTGACGAATAGCCGGAGCCAGTGGAATTCTGAGCGTCGACGACGAAAGTGCAAAAAGGTGAAGAGAACTGGAAAGAAGAAGGAATCCTCCGGTTGATGGATTTCGGCCAATGCGAATGTGAACGGGTGGGAGGGCGAGATTTTGCCAGTTGTGAGTAAAGACAGGATACCGCTACCCTCAAACAACCGGAGCTGAGAGGACCTCTGCGAGTGAACAATGCACAATGAAAATGCGATTGCTCGGCGAGTAGAAGTCAACAAATTGCGCGGTTGCGGTAGATGGTTTACGTCTGGACAGCTCTGTTGGCGCAGAACACCGATGAACCAACGGGCAAAGATGAACGAGAGGCTTTTGGTGATTAGGAAATCTGCTGTCGAGATTGGATGCCCGACATCCATGGGTTTTCAAGCATGCAAAAAGGACGAGGCAGTAATCGATTGTTCATTCGATTCATACTTTTGAGATGTCATCCCTACTAGCAATTCGCGAGCCTCTCAATTTACACAGGGGACAATCGATCCATGACAGGTCTGAAGACATCACGATTCTCATCAATCAAGGAAATAGTATTTGCACATCGCTTTTTTCTTACACGTACAGTGCCTGTTTTCCCGGCTACTTTCCCAAGCCGAATCTGCAGATCCACGAGATCGCAGAAATAAATGGCACAACAGCCAGGTCCTCTATCTGATATCTTTGACCTGCAGCTTAGTCTACTCTGAGGACCCTAGGGCCACGCTTCTTGGTGGCCTTCTTCTTCTTGTGTCCCCTCTCGAAAGACGCCGCGGCGGCGTGATCGCGGCCAACATTGTCAAGATCCTTGACCTTGTAGATACGGATGATCCAGTTCTCGCTGGTGAAGGCTTCCTCCACGGTGTTTAGGACAGGGCCCTGGTCGGGGAGACGAGCACCACGGACACGGTCTTGAGCCTGTCCAGGTGGGAAGAGGGAGTTGTAGTTGTAGTAGGACATCTTGTACCTGGTAATTGTGAGCGCGAAGTGGGATAAGGAGGAACTTGCAGAACTTACATCAAGCTGTTCTTCATGGTGTCAGTGGCCTCGCCGTCAACTCGGTACTCGCCACGCTGGGTGAAGAAGTCTCGCTCCTTGACCTCGTCGGGCCAGATACCCTCGGCAATTCGGACCATCCACAGGAACTTGTTGATATCGTCACCCGAGTAACCAAGAAGACCACCAAACACGACCAGGACGTAGTCAACCTCGTGCTGACGCATGATAGGGTAGCTGACCTCCTCGCGAGAGCTCATAGCCTTACCAACCGTAGCAATGTGGGTGTTGTTCCAGGTGTTGTTGTCGACTAAGGTCGGCCGATCAGCCATACCACCAATCTGGTAACCGTAGTCCCACCACGACATGATCTTGGCGTCCTCCTTGGTGTTCTGTCGGAGCCATTGGTAGGCCTCACGGTAGTCGTCAATGATGTGCTGGCTACCATCAGGCATTCTGCTGGCAAGGACAACGGAGGGCGAGGAGTAGGCGTTGGAGGTGACCCAGGTGCAGTGGAGGACGAAAAGCAGCAGGTATACCGTCATGGCAACGGCAACGACAGCCTTGGAAATGAAGCTGTAGATGCCAATGTAGGGTTGGGACGTGGCACGCAGGCCACCCTTGTTCTTCTTCTTCTCGGCAACCTCGACGGCTTCCTCGGGAGCCTGTTCCTCGGGTACGGGAGAGCTGGCCACCAGGTATGTGTCGAGAAGTTGCGACACGGCGATAGCTGCAGCCACACACACCACAGGAGTCAGAGTCAGCATCAGCCTGACCATGACACCTGCGAAGTAACTTCCGAAGAGGGCGTAGACGACGATGAAGACATGCTGATCCTCCAGCTTTTGGAAGCACAGGTAGACACCAGCCGGGAACAACCAGATAAGGAAGTTCAGATCGAAGAAGAACGCGGGCCAGGCAGTAGGCTGATGCTCAGACACGGACGCGATGATGGGAATGTGAATCTTGGCATAGCCGGTGTCCCAGAGGGAGTAGAAACGACCAGACCAGGGCGCAATGTAGCCGGCGGAAGTCAGGCCCACAATGCCCAGAACACCAACACCGAAGATTGCACCCAGACCGACGTATAGGAAAGTCTGGAACTGACGGCCAGGGAGGGCAGAGCGGACGTAATCGAGGAATCCTACAAGCTGAAGGAATCCAAAAACACCTAGGTTTCATCAGTCGAAATTCTTTGCAGAGAAACAAAAATCCTCAGGACTTACCCAGAGCAGGCATGTGCTCACTGGTACGCACGGGCAAGAAACCAACGAAGGGAATCTGCATACTGGCCAGCGTTCCCAGTGCGAACCAGGTAGTGTAGGCGACGTAGAGTCTGCTGCTGTAACGGCCCATGCAGACCAGCACGAAAGAGTGGAAGGGGATCATGCAGGTGATGAAGACGTAACCACCCCACGACGCAACCATGTATCCGTAGAACAGAGCGCAGAGGCCACCCCAGAGCGCAGAGCCGACCTTCAGGGCCTTGATCCACAGGTAGAAGGTAAAGACCAGCAGGAAGATGGCAATGGCCTCGTTATCGTACGAACCAGCGACCGATCGCGAGATGTAGCCAGGGGTGATGCCCATGAAGGCGGCCGCCAACAGACCAGCCGAGGGCGATGTGGTCATCTCGTTGGTGAGCAGGTAGGCGGCGAAGGCCGTCAGGCCCGAGAAGGCCGGGGCGAGGAGGACGCAGATGTTGCGGATGTCAACGGGGACGGACAGGAAACGGAGGGCGTGGTAGATGACACCGCTGGTGACCATGAGACCGGGGTACAGTGTACCACCAGTCACTCGTCCCAGAGGGTGCCATGTTCGGTCGTCGAACCAGTCCCAGAAGTTGTAGAAGCCATTGGCGACCAGGTACTTGGTCGCTCTGAAGTTGAACCAGGGGTCGACTAGGAGGTTATTAGTATTCGCAACGGGGTTACGGGACGGTAAGGTCAGGCCGTTGAGCCGATGGGGGAGCTCGGAAGGAACGCACATTCGTGGATGATACTCTCGAAACCTGAGACATACGTAGTTAGCACACATGCTGAAAGCTAGCTACCTCCGCGGGAGGTAGGATGTTGATGTCCAATTGAGGCTCGGGAAGGCAGCTGCTACACCAACAAGCAGCCGGCGGCGAGCCTTGTCCAGTGACAGACGCCGTGAGAAGTGCCTTGGGGGGATGTAGACTTACGGATGACGGAGAACAGACGACTGGCCACGGCGGCACCTGCGATGAGGGCGAGGATGATGACTCTCAGCAGGGTCTTTGTGTTGTTGTTCTGGCCCAGGCCAGCGAGGACCTCGAGAGGTGAAGCTGACTCCGATGCGACCGCCATTGTCGCTACCGCAGTCTGTCTTCACGGGTGTGGTGAGGGAGGTTTGGGGAGCATGAAACTCGTCGACGATGGCGATGCTCTTTTTGGGGGTGGTGGTTTGATGCTTGCCGCTGGGGACCGACCTGGAGCCAAAGGGCGAATTGAGGCCAGCTGTTCCAATGGCTTGGCAAAGTTGGAGCTTGGGTTGAATTCCACGCGTTCACCCGGCCCCATAGTAACTTATCCTCCAGGGGTCCCGTCCCCCCATCTCGTCTCAGCTGCAAGGGTGGGGCACTAGCAAACAGCATGGAGGACTCGGAGTATATCTGAACAATGGATCAGTGCAGACAGAGGGAATACTGTGAGCTACCGTGGAATAAGCCACTGCCGGATCACCAAACTAGTTCGAGGGCAATCCGTTAAACACAGCATGCGGTGCATAAATGTTAGGACCAAAAGCTAGAGTACACGCCGCATCAGGGAAGTCATACGTGGGACATGGCATCTCATTGAACCTGAAGCGATCACGAGATATGCTATTACAGCTCAGCGAGGTCATTCTCTAGCTACTGTACAAACTCTTGACAGCATCTGATAATGAGTGTTCAATCGACCTGTGTACATCACCAAAGCATCTGTTAATATCACTCCTCGGGAATGACATGAAACGGAACACACACACACACACACACACATCAAGTAATCTCACCACAAAGCCGCATACAACCCAACACATCCCGCAACAAAAGCAGCCCCTCCCCTATACAGGTTGTAGACGCCCCAGGTATCGATCAAGGCATGGCCCGTCTCCTCGCGGGCGCCCATCTCCTCGCCCAGCACGTCCCCGAGGGCGAGGCCGCCGGCGCCGCCCAGCGCCTCGACGTCCCGGGCCTTGTCCAGGAGCTTGCGGTTGATGGGCATCAGCAGCCCGTAGGTGTACGGCAGGACGCTGAGGGCCAGGGCCGCGGCGAGCCCGTAGACGCGCGCCTTGCCCGGCAGCCTGTACGCCAGGTAGGCGTTGAGGGCGGCCGGGAGCACGAAGCCCGGCGGCAGCGCCCTGGACGTCGCCCGGAACATGCTGCCCCACTGCCGCAGCATGAGCGGCGTCGGCAACTCGAGGAGGCGCGGGATGACGAAGAAGGACAGCCCGAGATTCAGCCCGGAGGTTGTGGTCAAGAGCGCAATGCTCGCGGCCTGTGTGGCGCGGATATGCCCCGGGAGCTCGGCCATTTTCAAGGATTTGACTTCAAAATGTTGCAGTCTGGGGAGAGCACCGTCTTCTAGAACAGAGCTTGTGGTTGTGGCCCGCTGCAGGATTTGCTTTTATGCAGTAGAACAAACCTATACTCGGAGTATAAGGGCTGGCTTGCATGTTCACCGAAGTAGCAAGCTCACGCCCCATCTGTGACCAGTCGAAGTTGGCTAGCTTAAGGCAGAGAACCAGCCATGCCCATGTGACGTCAGGTGCATTCTTTCCCTTTGCCTGAATCCTCGATGGCAAGAGCCCCTTCTCCTTCCTTTATTTTGAAACACATTATCTAAAATGGCCGTTGTATGCTACTCAGAACTTTCTTCGCCTCTAGAAACAAAGCCCCGTGGCACCTGGACTCCCACTTGCTCACCTGTCCGCCTTTTTCGCCAGCTCAATCTTCTCATTTCCGCAAGAGTGGATCGGTCGCTCTCAAAGGCCCAGCCCGCGCGGAGACCTCCTATCAGCTGCCACACCGACAATAGTGCCAATAAGCGGCACTGTCCTCAACAGCAAGCCAAGACAGTTCGTCTTCAAATCGCATTCAAAGCCCGATTGGCTCAGCGGTAGAGCGCCTCACTAGTAATGAGGAGGCGATCGGTTCGACTCCGATATTGGGCATCATACGATGGCTTAACCTTTTGCCGGGTTTCAAACCTCTAGTCTTATCAATGTTGTAGGCATTCTTTTTTTGTTTTGTTTTCCACCATGTCAGCACGTGAGCCACTACTGCGGGAAATTTTGACAATCGCCCAAAAAGATGCTCCAACGCCACCTGCATGGCCAGAGTGTTATTCCCGGACACCTGTAAAGCAGTGGCTATACTCGATGAATGACAACTGATCAACTTCGGATGGTCTTTTCGATGCCTAAAGCTAGCAAGCCAAATATCGTAAGAGCCATTCAGGTACATATAAACGGACGTACATGAATCCTGCAGACTGTAACTTGACCATGGCGAGCGAGCGAGCGAAGCGCCTGCCCTTGCCAAGAGCGCGAGACTCAAAAACAAGTCCACCAAGGCGCCGCTTTCAGGACTCGTCGCGACGTTGTTCGGGCTTCCTTTCCTCCTGCGCTTGGTGCTGCAGCTGACGGCGCGGGATGTCGACATGTAGCCCTCTCTCATACAGGTTATTCCATTACGTTCTACACTATATGCATAGTGAGAAGTCCCATCTAGCCAGGCAGGCTCATGAGTATAATGAGGAGAATATCGATGGGCGCTGTTGCGATCATGCCAGCGAATGGACCACTGGACGTCCCCATAGAACCGTCGGGATATCACAGAGTTGACCAGCAGTTAGGAATGCTCCTCGAAATTTATACTTGTTCAACGCTCTCGACATACAAGTTGCAGCATTCACCCGCAGAACGCAGGAAAGATTTACCATCAGTTATTTTTTCTTCTTATTTTGTAATCAACGCCCATCCATTCGTTTTGCTTTTTTAATCTATTCGTACATGTAAAAACACCTAGTTCAGCAAAAGCTTTTTGGCACCGCCCTGTATTGTGGGTGAAAAAAAAAATGACGTCTAGTGCAGGTTCCCTTTCCGTTGTTCCTTGATGCGAAATCATCAGCCACGCCATGAGACATGCAACCATAAAAATAAGGGACGAGGAGAACTGAAGCCGGCCATTCGCTCAAGAGGCATCATTCTTCTCGTCGAGCAGAAACCAAAAGACCATCGCGTGCGCTGACTTAGACCATGATCTGTCCCGAGCAGACGAGAACGGAAGAAAGGATCGAGCCGAAGAGGGGTATGTCGATGAAAAACACCAGGCAGCAAAAGTAAAAAAAGGTGGCAGTCGTAAATGGCCATCCATATTCGACGCTCCGTACGGCACCAAACCCCCTTAACATCCGCATTCCCTTCGTCAATTACCGTGCCATCATACCGGAATAACACCTTGAGACGCAGCAAATAGTCCTGGAGATGAGGTACTAGATGCACAAGACAAAGTGGGAAGAAACAAAATCCAAAGACCATAGACGGCTAATGCCACTACGTGGTGGGCAAAGTCCCACTGCAGCGCTCTTGAAGCCAGACGGCCTGCGACCATGTTGACATGAGAGTTCGTGCCAGATCGTTGCCAAGCCTATGTGCCTCAGAAGTAGCACATCACGGGTGCCTTGTCGGGATAGACATAACTGTGCAAAGTGTCCTCATCAAATGCTGACTTTCATCGGACCCTTCTGACTGGTCGCCAATCACGCATATAACTGGCAAAGAAACGCTGCCTCGAATGCATGATGCTGCTGCATGATCCGGCATGTGAGTCGATTTGAGCGTCATGCAACTTTTGTTGATTAAGGATGTGTCGTAATATCAAGGTGAGTTGGCCAATAGAGTCTATCCAGCAGTACTGGCAAAGACTCGAAGACCTGTCAGGTGGTACCAGAATAGTAATGGAGAATCGTCCAACTCAATGCCACATGAAAACCCGTGGCGGCAAGTCGTCAGCGCGTAAGTTCGAAGACCTGCCCGGAAAGAAAGTTGCAGACCATGGCTGAATTGGTACTACCAGCTGAATCTCACTGCTTTCACTTGACATATTTGCAGCGACTGACTGGCCCAGCCTTTCTGAACATTTCAACGAAGCTGATCTCAATGACCCGCAACCTCGACATCGGCATGAACACCGTTGGTGTATGCCTGTGCGTTCTCTCCAGTACCGTTGGTGAGGGCCGAAGAATCGCCATTGGCAAGAGGGGCACTCTTGCCAGCGACAGCTCCGTTCTGGTCGGCATCAGAGGCACTAGAACCGCCCTTGGGGGAGAATTCGGGAGCCACGGCTGACAGTTGAGGCTCACCAGGGGCGGCGTGTCCATTCACACCATTGATCATGCCATGTTGCTCAGAAGCGTCATTCATGTATCCGGGGAACGGGGCGCCGTTCGGCTGGTAGTAACCTGGCACCTCCATCTGGTAAGGCGGCATAGCCGGCTGGTAAGGTGGCATCCACTGCTGGTAGCCCTGACCCCATCGCCAGACGTTGTGCGGACCATCGTCAAAGTTAACAGCATCGTGTCTCGATCCCTTGGGGTAGATGTACTTCTGCCAATCATCGACACGTCGGACGCGGTCACGGCCATCCTCACAACCTGTAACGAGCTCGATGTCCGGACACTCAATGCAGGCGGCCTTGACCAGCTCCATCTGTGTTGCGATTTCACGCATGCGTGAAAAGCTGAGAATGACATCGAGGAAGACATAGCCCTGGGAGTCCATGGATTTCCTCAACCACGAGTCCTTGATCAGGTTGTTGACTGAGAAGTAGTATGAGAGCTGCTTGACGAGCATGTTCATGAGGGTCTGCTCATAGGGGTAAGGCTGAGGTGGGAAGGCCGACATCTGGTGCATCGAGGGGTCCATCGAGAAGTTGGGCTGCGCTTGCAAAGACTGAGGCCGGTTTCTGCCATTGCGGCCGCCCGAAGCAGAGTTGCGCTGAGATCCACGAGTGCTGGGCGCACCAGGCATACCGTAGCCCATCGGGGGCATATTGCCAGGGAATGAGCTCTGGCGTCCAGGAGCAGCGCCCGGTCCGGCGAAGCCTTGGCCGTTGGAAGGATAGGCACCGTGGTGTCCTTGGCCATTCGCTCCACCACGTCCGCCGCGACCTCCACGTCTGTCGGGTCTAGGAGCGCCGTGGTGACTTGAGTCTCTGACCTGAGCTGGGGCGTCCTTCGAGGCGTCAATTTGCTGAGGGCTGGCGCCATTTCGGGCATCAGTGGCAGTCGAGTTCTCGGAAGCGACTTGCTGCTGGCTTACGCCATTGACGTTAGCATCCGCCGGGGTTGAGGCATCGTCAACGCCATTAACCTGCGAAGAGATATTGATTAGCATTCGATTCTAGATATTCATGGGAAAGAATGCTGAGTTGACGAACCGGTTGTGAAGATGTAGCCTTGGTGACTTCCTTGCTTCCCGAAGCTTTCCGGTCACGGCTGGCAGAAGCGTCTACAGAGGCGCGCTTGTTGGCTTGGGCGGAGTTCGATGACCCTCTAGCAGCATTGACAGCATTTTCGCCAAACCTATCGGTTCTGGGTGTGGCTTGAGTCCTATCGATAGAGCCGGTCGCGCCAGCGTGGCTTCCTCTGGTGCCTGCCTCACGGCCGCCACGTCCCGATGAGCCTGTTCGGCCACCGCGGGGGGTCCGCGTTGGGACTGGGGTGTCCCATTTGATCGTTGGTACGATGGGGATCTTCTTCCATTGCTGCTTTCCCTTGGGACCTGAATCCTGCTTGTCCTCCGCGGACTCTTCGTTCTCGGCCTGCTTGCCGGTGCTATCTGGTGCCTTGATCTCGGTGGCTGCCGTCTCAGGCGTTGGCCACGACGTGACATCAGATACTGCAGGCAAGGCCTCGGATCCAGCCTTCTCGCCAACTCTACCTCCTTTAGGCAGCGTCTTTCGCGATACCTGGTCACCGCTGTCTCGAACGGTGTCCTTCTTCTGGCTCTTGGCCACATTAGAGGCTGGTCGGCTTTGCCCGGCAGCGGTTTCGATCTTCGACTCGGCGGTGGCCGGCTGGCTGGCAGCGACACGGGCAGGGGCGGCTTGCGGGACTACCTTGGCTTTGGCCTCCTTGGCGCGCTGTGCCCAGATGTTGACTGACGGGAGCGGTGCGTCAGCGAGTGGCACCTGGGGCTTCTGCTCCTCGACTTCCTTCTCTTTGGAAGCTGCTTGGTCTTGCTCCGAGTCCTTCTCGGCGGACTTTGACTTCTTGCCTTTCCTTGCCTTCCTATTGTCGGAAACGTCGGAAGCACGTGTCGCCGAGGTGGCCTTAGACCGTCTTTCCGTCTGGCTTGCTGCATCACTCAACGGCTTCTTGTCCTGTGTAGATGGTGCAGAGGACTCTGCAGTAGTCTTGATCGCGGAATCCTCCTTGCCTTGCTGTTCCGTCGCGACTGACTCGGGCTTGGTAGCTGAACTCAGCTGGCCAGGTGCCTGTGTGGTGGCATCATGGGCACTTTGCTCGTTGGGCGACGAAGAAGGAGCGACTGAAGGGGGATCGCTGGTTGTGCTGGAGGCTGCGTCGTTGTTCTGACTGCTGGCTACCGATCCAGCCTGGCTGACTACTGACTGCGGTGCAGGAGGGTTGGGGACCTGGCCGCGAGCGGCCTGTGCATACGAAAACGCGGTCGACATGATGCCGAACGAGTCCGTAGACGTAGAAGTAGTGGGTGTACCTGGCGCGGAAGAAAATCCCGTTTTCACGTCCGCCTTCGCACCAGGACCACAAGGTTCTCGAGTGACCCAAGGACACCTCACCCTGCGGGAGAATCTGTCCTCCGGCGTGAGAGGTCGCGTGCCGTCAGCAAAGATGTGCGACTCTTTGCTGCTTTTGCAAGGAACCGAAATCCAGGCGGCGAGACTCTGGATCCGGTCAGAAATCGAGGTCGAGGAATCGGCCGCGGGAAGGGATCAGGTATCGCTGCGTCAAAAGTCGTCCAGGTGAATCGACAAGTGAGATGCGAGTCGGGTGCAGGGCGGCCAATCGATGGACTGCAGGAATAAAAAAAAACGAATTGCTGGCCCAAGGCAGAATGCGGGGTGCAACCTAGGAGCAAGATGCACAAAGGCGAGAATCTGGGAAAATGATGTCGTCCCACACAAAAAGAGCTGCACGGGAAGACAGCTGCAGTGCGTCGGGGGAGGGAGCAGGAGGGTGCCTGGGGAAGACGGCAGCGCGGAAAGGGCTGCGGCGTCGAGATTCTGGTGCGGTGGGTGCAAAATCTGACGCAGTCCGAGTTTGTTCTCTCAAACACAGGCCTCTCGAATGCAGATGCAGGAAGAGGGTGCTGTGCAGCGAGAAGGAGGTGAAAAAACAGATCCAGCCGGAGTGAACCTAGGAACTAAGTGAGCAGAAACTGCAGACTGACTAGACGTCTCCAGGAACTGGTGTGTGTGAATCGCAAAGACGTGGCCTTGTAAGATGGGCACCGCTGACGAGACACTACTCAGAGGAGGAAAGACGGGCGAGGGCCAGTCAGTGTGTTCCTGAAATCAAATCTTTTTTTTCCCCGGGCAATGGGCACGGCTCGGACCGTCGGCCTTTTCGTAGGTGCGTAGCTGGAGACTGCTGGCGGGCGTGAAGGCAAGCTCGTCAACCGAAGCGTCGACAGGTTTCGCTTGGCGATACCGCGGGACAGACAATGTAAATGGCGAGTGGGAAAGGAAGCAGGTGCTGGGGCGCCTGCTCGTCTTCTTCTACTGCCGGATTGCTTGCCTCAGTAACAGCTGTACCACCCGACTGCTTGACACAAAGAAGGTAAGGCTATTGGGAGGGGAGAGGGTTTGGGTGGTGAAGGGATTTTGTGTGTTTTTCCAGAGCTCGGGGGAAAAAATTAATTTTTTTTTTTCTACTGGCCGCCGCCGCTCTCAGTCGGCCCTTGGCTGCAAGTGTGGATTATTTTAGGGACCCTCTTCCACTACGATTGGAACCTTTCCGGGAGTGAATGACTTATTACCAAGTCGGCCAAAGTGAATTTTCGCATTGGAGGGGCAACTGGGCTCCCAACTCCTCACGCCCACTGTCGCCTGGCCACTGAGAAGGGACGACAAGAGCCGGGGCAGCGCCAATGGGGACTGTCGACTTTCCCCTTTCAGACTGGGATGCAGTCTTGCAGAGTTCCATTCACTCGAACCCGTCTGCTGCTGTTGTATTCTTCCTGGCCGTGACGATGCGACACAGCGCCTTCGGCAGCCCGGCTTAATCGTAGCCAGGTCCCCCAGCCAGGTCCGTCCACTACCGTAAGGTACTAGCTGGTGCCCAGAGTCGTGTGCTCAGTGGAGCTAGCACCCCCCATCAATGCACGAATATGAACCGGTTATGGCCACCTGCAGTCTAATAAGCGTGATGCGCATTCTAGAGTCCACGGATGGGTTTTCTAGTCATCTAAATCCATGACCACTCTGTCAATTGGGCTTGGAGAAAGCTCCTGGGGTTTCGATTAACTTCAATAACTGCGATCCCTCCCAAGAAAGAACTTTGGAGGTTTGGGATGCCTGGCTCCGAGGCACCCATGGCCTGTACTGGTGTACTGGTGTACTGCAACGCATGCTGAGGCCCAAGAATGTCTACGCACTTGATGGCCCTGTCTCGCATCGACCCCGTCCCTTCATCTCTCGTCCCAAGGCCTCACTGCGGTTATTCCCCTAGGCAGAGTCTACGCTTATTGTTTGGGGGTGATTCAAATCCTACCAAGACTGGCTTGGTATATACGTACCTATCTGGGTCACTAAACCGAAGACGATGCCGACTGACAAGGACGATGTCGTATAGCCACAAACATCCATTACGCTTCTGGGAGAGGGTTCACTGGGGAGCAAATGAGACTTTCACTAATACCAAAAGTATTTTTAGGCTCGTTATATTGGACACACCGTGGCAGGGCGCGTGAGGGCGAATAATAAACTCGGCCACTGGTACGGAGCATGTTCGTTCAATCGCTGATGGGGTTGCCTTGGTGCGTTCTCATGTCCCCTCCAGGCGGAGTGTGGTTGCCCGCCAACTCGGACTTTGGGCGCCCCGCAATATGGCTTGAACACGAGCCGTTAGAGTAATCTCGGGTCATAGGCCTCCAGGTGTTGTTCCGAGCCGCGCCCACCTCAGGGTCCTGGGCCAGTCCCGCTCTGAGCACGTGTGCTAAGCCTAGGCAACTTTGGAGATCCGCACGCCAAGCTTCCTCCCTCTCGCGGTTTGGCGGGGTATACCTACGCGCATACTGTAGGGAGAGAGGCACAACTTGCTTCCCACGGCGCCATTGTTGGCGTCCCCACCAGCTCCCCAAAGCGATGCCCTTGCTTCGTCGGCGCCGCCCAGTTTGCCAGATTCAGACCAAGGTGCGGCGGGCATAGTGTAACACCAAAGATTCATGGGGTCGGTTGGCTCGGCAGAGGCACCACCCACGCGTCTGACAGGGTGGTTGCGAGTGCCTGACAGCTTACGTATTTCAGCTACACAGATGTCCACTGTCTGACGAAGATGGCTACCTAGCGTCTGACGAAGCGACCAGAATGTAAGCAAAAGACATGACTTTGAGCATCTTGTATCCGTGTCAAGACTTAAACGTGGCTGGATCTCTAAGGCTATAAGGCTACACTTCATTGGTTTGTGGCAGACCCGAGGCAAGTCAGCAGCAGACTGCCGAGATGTCACAAACTCGAATCTTCTTCATATGTTCCACGCTTGGCGTTTGCGAGTAGATACCGGAGCAGCTCCTGCTAGCTAGACGTTCATACATTCAATCTTCTCCGGTCCCTTATGTGAAATCTTTGCCTCGTTGATCAACCGCGAGACAACTTGGCAGGATAACTTCGAGTTAATAAATCGTCGTAGTTGCTAAAGAAATTTGGTTTCCTAATAGCTGAAGGATGGTAGAACACATTGGGTCATTTCCACGTTGACTAGGTCTGTATAATCATGGAAGGAATGGCCATGTCAACAAGAAGCATTTACGTTTGCTTCTCAGATATATAGGACCTACGGTGAAAGCCTGTGCGTATGTTCGTAATGCGGCTGTTTTCTGAGCTGTTCAGAAAGCGTGGCTGTCATAGCGGTACAATAGCAGAGATTATCTTGCTCTGAGCTTGCTTCAAAGGGTTCTATGAGACTTGAGTACGCTGTCTGCCAGATTTCTAACTATTACCCGGTCAAAAGCTCTTGCAGAAAGCCAGGAGACTACTCCTGCAACCGGGGACAGTATTCATTTCCGGACGTGTCTATTTAAAAGAAGGACAACTTCAGTCGAGTATACCATATTCTTTGGTTTATAAGACTTCTTCACCTTACTGGAGACCTGCCCTCGTTGGGTTATGATATGATGGACCACAGCGATTCACCATCTTCGCAAAGCATCTCGGTATTGCAACACTTGCTAGGGCACCAGAATAATTACTCAGGCTCACGTCATACCCTGAACAGCGACAGTCGCTACAGACGCTGGAGATACCCATACATCATCCAAACCTGGGACTTGCTAAAAATGACTACTCCCGATCCCTTTCACAGCAGCCGCACAGCCCACCGCTCCAACCACACGTGACAAAAGGGCAGAGCGAGCATCGTGGGATGTGCAGATCCCGGCCACTCCGAGGCTCGCAAACAAGATGACTCAGCTCGCGTGGCAAGTTCGTGCTGATTACGTAGCTCTCGGGCGCTCCAGCTACCCGCTATAATTAGACAGCCTCGCGAGGCGGCGCCCAAAGAGCCTCCTTGCTCGGCGGGTGTAATCCTGCCCCTTGCATCCGGGGTGGTTCGCGGATGCCCGGGTGCATGGTCCGAGCCGGCCGCAATTGAGCGCAGAAGCACCAACTGCATCAGGTAGCGACGCATGGAGCCTCATGATCTGTACCTTGTCGTTTGGCGGTTGTGGTTACATTTCGGCTGCGGGGACTGATGGCTGAGTTCGGAGTTGTGGCATCGGGCAGAGAGGATAGATGGGCACAGGCATCGAAGACTTCTCGTCTGCCCACGAGGACAAGGGCTGGAGGGACTGGCAGGCCTACCGAAATTTGGGTATACCTTGTGTGTGAATAGAGTGTTGTAAGGCATTCTGCAAATTACAGATGCCTGGCAGCATCTTGTAGCCTAGATTGTAGGCTGCCATTAAATCCACAAATCCACAAGACATCATCGGCATCATGGACAGGTCGGATCTGCAAAAGGCTGAGGGTCAAATAGACCATGATTGTACATTTTGAACTATTCAAGATCTTACACAGGACAGGTATGGGGCTCTTTCCTTGTACAAAGTTGACTAACCGGTCAACCAGGCAACCGTCCTGCGTGCGCCAAAGGTTGTGGCGAGGCGTAGACCGCTGGATCCCATCGGAAAGTAACTGACCAGATACCAAAGTAGACATGCCATCTGGATGATGGCAGAGATCAGGGTCAGGAATGTACTTTGTAGCTGTAAGTGGCATTAGTCATACAACGTCGGGCAATGGCATAGCCACAGCAGGGTTGACTCACACCGAGGGAGAAGTAGAGTGTCATGAAGATGGAGCCAAAGTAGGCTGCAGTAAAGGGGATCCTGTTTCCAGAGAAGAGGTGTTGAACATAGGTCATCGGTCCCATCATGGCACCCCATGAGCAGAGGAATAGTATGGAACCAAAAGACCATCTAACACGGTAATTAGTATAATACTCGCAGTATGCATGACAGTTTAGAAACACGGCAATGAGGAAGTGGCGTCGCAGGGCGTTGCAAGCAAGCCGGAAGCTATCCGGGACTTGTTGGTCGCCCACGACTCATGCAAGATAAGGTGCATATGCAAGGCGGCTCGTTGCATATGGGCAGAGCCGACTGGTAGAAGTATATTGCTTGATCCAGTCGGGCGCCATAACATGACCACATGCACACGTGAGGCAGGGATCGGAAGGGGCAAAGGAAGGGTCCTCCAGGCACTCACAAGATGGCAAACTTCCGGGGTTTGGCGATCAGTATGGGCCACAGGGCGAAGCAGAGCACGAAGCAGGCGAGGGCGGCGATGTTGCAGCCACCGAATATCAGAAGACGGTCCCAACGACTCACTGTAGATAAGATCGAGATCTGAGGTCAGCCTTGGACTAGAGATGGGGATTGACAATGCCTAAAAATTGTCCATGTGCAAAGATAAGACACGAGATGCAGGAGCTGCAGGAGCTACTGGCGCTGCAGAGGCTGGCACATGGGCGCCATCAAGCTCCACAGCTGGGAGTACCCGAAGACGGGCGGGGGGTCCAAAGGGAAGCAAGGCTGGAGAAGGCGCGGGATGTATCACTACTCACTTGCAAACCATCCCTCCTCCTCCTCGCGGCGGGTGCTGGCGGGTAGAGGCGCACCGGGGCCCTCGGTGACAGGCAGTCGAACATAACCGCGATCGCCGAAAGGATTAAGAGACTTGATGGAAGACAGCAAGCCTGACTGCTGGCTGGTGTTGACGGGTATATCGGAGTCGCGACGGGACCAGCCCAGCGAGTTCATGGAGTCTCGAAACGAAGACGAAGCCATGGCCTAAGTTAGATGGCAGCTCGGTATTTCTGGCAGCTAGCAGACGGGTTTCCCAGCTCTTCCTTGGTTGGAGATCCCTTAGTCCCTTGGCTCCCCAGCTGCGGCGCGATTCGTACGTCTTTCCAGCGGGTCTTCGCTCGCCGTTGCGCGTCGAGTTATGGGTCGGAGTGCGTGGGTGTGTTGAGGGCAGGCAGGGCAAGGTCGTAGTCGATGCTCGACCGGGTGTGTCCGATGACCCTCCTTCGAAACAGGTGGGCAGTTGATGAGGCTGTGGTTTAGGGGAAGAGGATGGCTCGTCGTTGGTTTAGGGGGTGTGGTGTGGGGTCGGCAGGTGGCAGGCGGCGGCGTGATGATTGGCTGCTTGTCACGTAAGCCTTGCGTACTACCAGCGGCCGGCGCATTCGACTGCCGCCGACTCTCATGGATCCAACGTTCCCTCCCAGCCTCTTTGACCGCTGTCACTGGGAACAAGGTGTGTGGTAGGTGAACGGGGACGCAACGAAGGGCGGTGGTGGTGGGTCCTTGGGATGCAGTTTGACTGATAACACTACGACACCACTACGTACCGAGTACAGAGACAGACATGAAATACCGGGTCTGGGAATATCTCGGTCCCTTGATGTTGGTGTTGTGTGTGTACCCTTTTCGGAAGACCGCAACACCTGATCCGTCCTCGTGAAAGCTCACGACTCGCTGGGAGGGGGGGGGCCTCCTCAGAGTACCCTTGGTAGCCCACCTTCGCTGTTGGCGGGAGGTATAGGAGTTTTATGGCCTCAGCACTTGACTATACAAAAGCAAGTACGCTGAGAGCGCTTCTCGTGGGTGTCGGTGGATGCTCCACGAAAAAGGCTCCAGTCGCCCGATTCTCCAGCGCAGGTGAGCGTGGCTTTTATGAGGCTCTGTCTGCAATCACTCAGACGGCCGCGTGGCAGGCTTTGGTGGGAGCCTAGATACCTCCAGTGCCCACGCAATCAACTGCCCACCGGGACTCGTTCCACAGGGTGGATTGGCGGATGATGCCCTCCGTCACCAACCATCTTCCAAATCCCGTCCAGCAATCCAGAGGACACCTGGATCTTACCCTCGATACTATGGTACTGAGCAAAGAGCCAAGCTCCCCACACACACATGCACACACACACCATCAGCAGCGGTAGGGTAGGATTAGTTCTATCATAGCATCATGGCATGTCCATATGGGCGGCTAGCTCGGCTGCGCGAAGAGCTCCGTACAATCTGGCACTTCGTCACGGTAGCTCCAAACCGATAGCATGCATCACGAACCGTTCCCCTCCCTGCGGAGAGGAGGATACGGGAATCACTGGGTCCCCATTAAAAAGAGCCAAAATACGCACCGTGCCGGACGGGCACTATCGAAACCTTGCACGTTCGAGCCCGAACGGTTGGAGTTCGCTGTCATGCGCTGTGATTGGCCAGCATGATCCCAGCGACACTCCATGCAGCTAGCCGTGCGGATCGTCACCAGCATGTGGTCGGCATTCGTTACATGATGCTACGAAACCCATCCTCCGACGTGCTGTAGATCTGGGGAAACGCTTCCACCCAAGCCGAGTGGCTCTTCTTCCTCGCTAAGGACCCTGAAGATATGCACATCCAAGAACTACCGTGCTTATCTCGACTCAGCTTCGTGATGGAAAGCTGAGATGAACGCGATCCTTCTCCAATGAGCGCCGTTGCCGCCTGGAAGCTTCTTAGCTTTGATGGCTGGGAGTGTCCTCTAGGGCCGGGCTGCAAGTCAAAATAGCTCCAGCTCAGTGTTCCTGGCATAACCAAGATTGGACGTGCCCGATATGGCGAAGCGGCTGGTTTAGGCATCGAGAGATGCTTGTTCCTTGGTTCTGCCCGTCTGGTTTCGTAGAAGCTGTGCAGGGATGCATCCGTCACCAAACCGATCGGTGCTAGGCCGAAGTATATCATATCAGATCCCCAGTGCGTACGTACATACAGTACGACGAGTGATGGAGGAGCTCCTGATGGGAATAAGTCGGCTGGGTTCGCGACCGAGCACCCACCACCCATTCCCCTTCATAGATACGACAAGTATCTATACGAGCATGTATCATTAGGTCGGTGTTGGGCATGCTATGACTCAGAAGGCAAGATTCGCAGTTTCCAAGGTTGACTTGCAACCCTTATCTGCCAGTCCCGCAAGAATGCCATCTTCTCGTCATGCACTTTCCCATGATCCAGCATAAGCTACCATGAACCATGGACGACGCTAGCCCTGTATAGAAGAGGTGTGGCAGGGTGTCTCACCTAGGCAGGGTGGCTGACTTCAACACACCGCGTCACGCGTTTTGGCATAGTGCCCTCCTTCCTGCCCCAGTCTCCGGAAACGCCCATGGTGGTACAGACTTGGATAGAGAAGACCGTCCAGTCTATCAGGGCGAGGACGAAAAAGGCCCGGTGGGAGAGAGGCAAGCGTGTAGCACACCACTACCTTTCTCGAGCGTTGCCAAAAGTGGGTTTTACTGGGTTGGGCAGAAGTCATCAGACGCACCAAGAGCGACATCACGGTCGTTTTGATTAGCAAGCTCTGGCAAGAGTGCGCGTTTTGGGGGTCAAGTCTGTATTGTAAACCCAGGCGTTGTGGGATGAGTATAAAATCTGGTCTTACCCATGCATCCCGCGCAAAGCCCCGTTCCCCAATGAACTGAGCTCTCTTCCATCACGAAGGATCGTGTAGCCAGAACATCAAAGGCTTATGTGATATACCCAGCACGCTGCCCCTAACTCCCATTACTCTCTCTCAGCTAAGCGAGCCGTCGACTCTTACGTCGGACTGCTCGGCTTCGATACCTATCGTTCCGCGCCTCCCGTTACAATCAAACAGCTTCTACCCCATCCAAACACAACAGTACGGACTGAACAGCGCGGAAGCCCCTGAACTCGGCAGCGGAAGAGGAACTAGTTTCACTGTGCCTCGCATAACACTTACATGGACCGACCAGCCTGTCTCAGGTGGGATATCAAGAACTTTCTTTTCAAGACTTGACGCAGTCAGGTCTTCTCACACCGACGTGAAGACAAGAAGTACCTCGACCAGTCCCTCGGCACCCATTCTACGTCACCGTGATTCGACGGTCCAATCTTGAGGCCCAAAAGAGCAAACAACCGAGCTTGGGGTCGGGAGCGTCAGCACCGGAAATACCTATACCACCAAAGGGGAAGTGCTTAGAAGTAGCAGCTACCGCCACGGCCGAACTATCCCACAGGAGGCGGCCCGACATCGCCACTAAGCGACAGACGAAGGAACAGCCAGGCCGCGGTGATTGGCAGCCAAACGGCGAGGTGTATTAGACCGGTCGCAACTTTGGCCGAACAGCATCGACTGGGGGCTGTCGACGACTCCTCAAGTCCAGCCTTTCGCAAAGTTCGCGAGCTGCATCGAGTCCAACTCTCAGCGTTGCGCCTCGAATCCATAGCGGGCGCCTGCCTGTAAGAGGGAGCGGGAAGCGCAGCAATAAACAGCCATCCCATCCTAGGTACCTCTACCCTTGGGGAGATCGATCTAGAGAGAGAGAGAGAGAGGCCCGCCCTGCCCCTCCATCGAATCGACCCTTGCACCAATCCCACTGTGGGCAGCTAGGTTGCTTGGGTACTTCCAAGTTCCCCGTCGGAGACTTCTCCAGCCAAGGCCCTCGACTTGATCCTCACTGAGGCCGCACACCCGCAGGCAGCCAATCAGACAGGGGCACCGTGCCTCCGGCTTCCCTAAATCGCTTCCAAGCACCACCCCCCCAACCTACAGATAGGGACCTAGAGACAGACCTAGGGTCGCACGCACCGCCGAGGCCCAAACCTTGTCCCAGTCAACTCGTCTCGACCGCTTGATTCTGAGGGTTGAGGTCTCACCGCCGCGACGGTTATCGGGGGACATTCGACCTACATATCAAGAGTGCTGCTAGCACGTCGTCTGCGAGACTCGGGCTTCTCCCGCCGCGATACTTGCAAGCATATACCATCCTGTGCTGTGACTGACATTCCCCGCCCGAGCATCAGGAAACCCAAGACGACGGTGAGTGGCGATCTGTCCTATAGTTACTGTGCGCAGCATCCGGCGACGGGCGGCCAGTCATTGGTGTCCCCAAAGGCAGCCATCTAACTAATCGTCCTGATAAGGGTCCAGTCCCTCTGCTCAGCTCAGCGCTCAGCTCAGCCAAACCCCAGCAGGAGCCCAACCCGATCAAGCCGACCGACTGCCCACGATACCGGGGCGCGGAAAACCAAGCGCAACAGAGTCCGTCTCGCAGCGCATCGCATCGCAATCGCATCGCATCGCACTTCCGCTTGATTCACTCTTCTTCTTCTTCCTCCCTCACACACACTCTCTCCTCCCTCCACAGTGACTTACATACGAACGAGTCCCCCATCGTATAGCGCAGGTGAGCAACCGTCTTCCTTTTCCTCTATTCCCATCCGCCATCCATCCCCATCGCCCGTGTCCGCCATCCCACCACGCCCACCAGAAGCCGCCCCCGTCTCCAACTTTCTCCACGGCCGTCTTCTCGATCCCCAGCTTCCATCGCCGTCCTCCGTCTCACATCCACCCACCCACGGGTCGCTGCCATTTCCCTCCACCACCCCTTGCTCCCACCCAGCCAGCCCATCACATCGCCTACCCGACAATTATAGTACCCCCCCTGCACATAAGCCGACGCTCGACACACCTTGGGAGACATAGCACACCCGAATCTATCTTTTTCATTTGGCCTGACCATACGCTACACAGACTTGTTCCCGACTACGGACGAGGAAAGCGACACATCAATTACCCCTACAACCACAACCCCGATCCATTCGGCCCCCGTCACCAAACAGCCGATTGAACCCGCACCTGTAGCAGTCTGACCAGCGTGTTGCCTTCCTTACGTTATCCTGTGCCATCTAGCCAGCCGACGTTCTGGTCCGTCTGACCGCAGAACCGCGGCGACGTTTCTTTCAAAAGACCGAAGCCTCCCGCCTCCTTGCGCAACATAAGCCCGAGCCGCCGCAATCCTGCGAAAGGCCTCGCGCACTGCCTTCCGAGTCTTGCACGCACCAGCAACAGCCAAACGACACCGACTTCCTCCTGGTGTCTTGCCCGTCCCCCCCTCCTCGTCTACTGTCGACCTTGCCGGCCAATCACCGGGCGCAAATCCCCTTGTTGGTTGCTGCGCGCACTCTCCTTATTGGAGAACTAGGAACTTCCAGGTGTCAGGTTACAACACCAACCATCTTAGTCACCCCAAGGGTGCCGGTACCATTACTCGACTCAGCCTTCCGGCTCGGACCCCTATCGCAGGGCAAAGGACAAAAAAAGGATCCCTCGCCCCTGGCGACTTTCAGTCATCAGCCCAACATCCCAACGCACGCCTTTGTGCTCGAGGTTTACTTCCCCAATCGATACGTCGCCTTCAGGAGCCTCGGTTCTGTATAAAAGACCGCCCAGCCTGACTCGTTACTCGGTTACATCGACGTTTCTTCCGCTTGAATCCAGAACACACCTGCGCAGATTCAAGAACTGCATGGCTCCGACGTGAACCCTCTTGCATCATACCACACGCACACCAACTGAAGCTTCCGAGCGGATCGAACGTGAGTGCCTATATTTCCCTCTAGTATTATTGCCGTTGCCTTGCATGGAGTCGCCCATCAGTGTTTGGTCAGATTCGCAAGGGGTTCCCCACACCATCGCGAACCATGCCTTTCGCATGTCCGCTCCCATAGTTTCGAGGTGCGGGGCAAACGCTTTTTATCTTGTTCCTTCATCCTGCCCTCGCGATACGACACCCTTGGCGAGACTTGGTGCTGACCGTCAGTGCAGGGTTCAGTTACGATCTGCCCATCACAAACGAACCGCATCTAACAACATCATCACGCATACACCATCGAAGCCCCCTCGGGACCAACACGAGTAACTGAGACTCGCCCGCGATGGCATCGTACGGCTTCAACCAATTCGGGGGAGGCCCGAACACCGGCAGTGGTGCCGGCATCGACCCCAACGACCTAGCCATGTCCGGAGGTCACGGCCAGCAGTACTCTTCGAACAACTTCAACGGAGGCTCTAATGGGTTCTCCAGTGGCTCGGCTCTGTTCGGCGACGAGGAACTCCTCGATACCCTAAACAGCCCGACCGAGCAGAACCAGTCCAACATGCACGGCCAGGATTTCAACGGCATGAACGGCGTCAACATGGGCTTCTCGCAAGATATCTACCCCTCTCAGATGAATGGGTATTCGAACACGCCAGATGGAGACCCCATCCAGAGCCCCTTTGTTCACAGCTTCGGCGCGCAACCACAATTCCACCAGATGCAGCGCCCATCCTTCGGCGCTTCCCTGCAGTCTCCGATGTCCTATTCGGGCTCGCCACACGCGACTGGCGAGGGCGAGGGCGACTTTCTGAGTGCCAAACCCCGGGCGCGGCTTACCCAGGCCCAAGCCCAGGCTATGCAGCGTAAAGCATCCAACACACGAAGCCCTCTTACACCCAACACGGCAGCTGCCATGGCCGCTCTGACCGTCGGCTCCAACGAATCCCCCGGATTTGGAGCCCAGCCGATCCGAACACCTAGCGGACATCATGAGAAGTCACCTTCTGGTCAATGGATGGCAACCCCGAAGAGCATGTCATCGTTTCCCGGATCCGGTCTGTCGTCCCCCATGCAGAACGGTTATGCACACCCACATCTGGCCGGCATGATCCAGAACGCTGGAACCTCGTTGCCTGCAAGGATGGGTGGGGCCGCGTCCGGTGTCAAGACACAAGACGAGAAGCGAAGGCGCCGCCGCGAATCTCACAATGCTGTGGAACGCCGCCGACGAGACAACATCAACGAGAGGATTCAAGACCTTAGCAAGCTGGTCCCTACGCACAGATTAGAAGACGAGAAGATCAAGAAGCTGCTCACCAACGGCACGCCTCTGTCTCCATCGCTGACCGGAATGTCTCAACCCGCACAAGCTACTTCTGGCCTGGCTGGTCCAGGCGCAAAGCGTGCGACTGGCACCGGCAGCATCACCACGGGGCTTCCCATGGACGAGAAAGACAAGGGCCCCAACAAGGGTGACATCCTCAACGGCGCCGTCAGCTGGACGCGGGACTTGATGTGGATGCTGCACCTCAAGATCCAGCAGCAGGAAGAGCTCGTCAATACCATTACCGAACTCGGTGGACATGTGCCTCTTGAGTTGACGGAAGATGAGAAGCGCATGCAATCAGAACTGCTCGAGGCTATGGCCAAGAGCGAACCACATGAATTCTCGTATTCACGATTCCTGGGGTCGGGTCTTCGCGTCCCACACCACACGGACTTTAGAGGTGAAGCCCTCAATGGCAGCAGTGCCGTTGACGCTATCTCCGTAAGTCCTGATGACCGCAGCCCTGGTGACCTCGACGCGGATCTTGGCAGCACCGACCAATTCTGGCTGGACCCCGATGAGGTCAAGGAAGAAGATGAATACGCCATGGACATGGCCCTCTAGGGGCTGTATGCCTCTTTGGCTGGTTTTCTTTATGGTCTCCTTTTTCAAGATTCCCGAAGCATACATCAGGCGATGGAGTTTTTGCACATTTATATTGGTGCATGTCGAGGAAGACTCATTCATCACGGTTGCATCAGGAGGTCGTTGGGGACGGACTGGCGTTACTGTGATTTCGGGATAATCGATAAGGATGCGAGCGAGGATGGGTTTTCTCGGCCGACATATCGATGTTCGGCCTCAGGTTCTCTGGATGGTCTCTCCGCGTTCTTTTTTCCCCTTTTCTCCCCCCGTTAGTCGCTGGGCGGACATTGATTTTCACCATGATACCTGAGCAGTCATTGCAGAGAGGAGTTTCACAGGGCACTATTTCCTCCGTTTGCAGCATTTCATTTTAGTTTCCTACGGTTTTAATCACGGGGAGAGCATTCTGAAGCATACTGTAGCCCCGTCTGAAGACAGGGGGGCATTATATAATCGCCTGTAGTTATCCAGTTATACAGCTTACACAACCCTGATCGTGTTTACTTGCATGACCCTGTGGAGATTGAAATTCAGTAACCAGTACGTAAACCATGGATGTCTATCACTGGAAATATTCCTACTGATCACCGTGAACGGCTGATTGCTAAGAGGGGAATGCGTCCTCTGAGTGAGGTCTGGCTGTTGCTTGATGCGGCCCGTGCACACCCGCTAAGTTGTTCTGTCGGACTGCTCTCTCTGTATTCTGAGTTGACCGTCCTAAACTACTCGATCCATCATCTAGCAGCTACTCGCCGACAGAGGCATTTACGTGCGTTCAACTCCTCAACCAGAGGTCAAAAGAGCTCATATCATCAAGTCCACCATTGCCTATTTGTGCGACTTCCACAGCGGTAATGTATAGCGAAGTGCCGTCATCACTGCTTGCATCATCAGACTGATACTATGTAGCCCACAAACCCATGATGCGCCAGATGCTGTCATGGTGACTGTCGTCCGCCTTACTGCTGTCTTCAGCATTGCATGACTGTTAAATGACCCCTGTCTCTCTCACGTAAGGGTCCACTGGGTTACTTAGCACGGCAGCCATCACAACAGCTGCGCGTCTTGCTCCAAAATGGCCGTCCCGGTGCTTCCCAACTCATCCAACTTTCTAGGCGTTGCTCTCGTGATCAATCGGTCTCGGGATGGCCCTCGCTTCGTGTTTCATTACCCGCCTCATATTCCAGCCGTTGACGCCCGTCCGTCGAGCCGAGGCACGGACTCTGACGACCTGGATGATGACGACGCTCTTATGGACCGCATCTCCAACCCCGCCGCCGGCGCATCCAGCGGCTCGCTGCCCAAGGGCGTCGACCTGGCCAACTGGAACCATGACGACCATCTCGAGACCGAGAGTGGGTCGCAGATCGTGCCTTGGGAGCACGTAGGTGGCTTTCCCACCCGGGACCTGGAGAGCATCCTGACCCCACCAAGAGCGTATGATAAGAAGCTGTTCTCTGTGTCGCTGGATCAGCTATGTGTGGCTTCATATCCCATCTGTGTCCCGGAGAACGGTGTGTGGAAGAAGAAGAAGAGGCAGCCCAAGTCGCGGCCGAGCCTCAGCATCAGAGCTGGGGGAGGCGATGACGGTATCGGGACGTCCAGGAATGGCGATTCGCCGGTTCTGGCTGCCAACATCCCCCAGATAGAGACTCATGACATGGCCGACGAGCCGCTCGGACAGGAGGCCATAGACGGACCAGAGGATGGTACTAATCCTGAAGAGAAGAAGAGTGGCATGACCATGTTCAACCTCGTCTTCATTCTCAACCCCAACAAGCACGAGACCAAGGAGCTTGTCGATACAGTCTACTTTCACATCATCCGAAAGATCATCAAGGCGTACAAGTACGCGCAACAGCGCAGCGACTTCGTCTGGAAAGAGTCCAAGCGAATCCTCCAGCTCAAAGACAAAGGCCGCGAGGACAAAACAAGGCTCAGCGTGCTCTGGCGTCAGATCCTCGAGACTTCGTCCCTCGCCTCGTCGATGCAGGACATCTATGAGGCCGTCCGAGCGAACAAGATAGCAGCGTTGCAGCTCGAGACGCCCGAAGGCACCGTCACGCATTCTGTGCAGATACCAGTGCCCTTTCACCTGCCTGATATTCCGGCTGCTGATGATGTCGAAGCAGAAGGACTTAGAGGCCTGTGGGTTACGACGGCAAACAACTTTGCAGATCTGGACATGGCGACTATTGATGACCTGTCGTTCCTCGACAAGACCTTTGCCCTACTCCTTCTCTACGATGAGAAGAAGATCATCTCTGAACTTCAAGCAGACGGAGATGATGCAACGAACGCGATGATCGAGTTTGTGCGTCTCAGCAAGCCCACCACATCCTTCCACAGTATCGGCCAGGGGCCTTCGCTGTCGCCCGCTCAAGTCCGCAAGTACGCGCAGCACTTCATATTCTGGAGACGCGCCATTGCTATCCCCCCTTTGCATGCGAGGGACGTGTATATCATGTCACCCAACAGCAAGACGTCGACGCTACCCCTGGCCAGCCAGACCTGGGCCAAGGCCTTTCCTCTGGCACCTCCCTTGCCCAACTTTCTCGCCGAACTGAGCACTGCCCCCCGGCCCTACAAGTTCTTTGCGCCTTCAAAGAACCACCGGCCGCAGTACCTGCAGATGCTTGCATGGCTCATGCGGGGTGGCTGGGTCACTCAGCTGTGTACGTTTGCGTATGTCGTCGTCTGGCCCGAGATACAATATGAAGTCGACTATCAGATTGAAGCAGACGAGATCAAGAATGCCAAGAACCCGTCCGCCACTGATGACAGTGCTTCATCCCCTGAAGCTCCGACCAGCCAGGGGTCGTCTTTCAATGGATCAGACTCTGGCGACGCGGACGAAGAAGCCGACCGGGAGAGAGCGTCATCGGCCGCCCAGGGGTCTTTTGCTTCCAAATCCCGGCCCTCCTCCCCAGCCTCCAAGGCTGACGAGGACGATTCCCTCATCCTCAGCCCCTCCGCGTCCGCGGCGCCGACCGACCCGCTCGAGCGGTCCGTGTCGTCGCTGCCGCTGCTGCCCGAGGCGCGCAACCCCAACGAGTCCATCGCCGAGGCGGCGCGGCTGACGCGGCTGGCGGACCGGCGGTCGCGGGCACACGCCGAGCACGCGGCACAGCACGCGCGCAAACGGGTGCCGGCGGCGACGGACCACCCGTCGCAGAACCTGGAGGCGGCGCACCTGGCGCACCTGGCGCCGTACATCATCCTCGACGCCAAGAAGGCGACGGGCAAGGAGTCCATGTACCTCAGCGCCATCGGGCGGCGCTTCAAGGACGCCCGCGTCCGCGCCAGCTGGCCCGTCTTCTGGAAGTACTTCAACGGCCACAGCGCCCTCGAGCGCGTCTGCCTCATGGAGGACCTCAAGCGCAAGGAGGCCTGGGCCCTCCTCACGGCCATGAGCGAGCACCTGATCACGGTGAGGCACTGGTAGGGGATGGATGGATGCGTGGGCGTACGTATATGTACAACTGCAAGAATAGTGCAGTAGTGCATAATATATGTAGATGGAAGGGGGATCATGGGGCGATTTAATCTAGTTGCGGTCGAGCGTAGTCTTAGGGGTAGTCAGTCATTGGAAAACTTGCATTTGGTCTACGAGCGCAAAACATTCCGGTAGACATCATGGCTCAAATCTATAATGTACCGCTTGCGTATATACTTTGAAAAAGAAAAGGAAAAACACATTCGTGATGGTCGTCGACGTCGTTCCAGCATAGGCAGCCGCAACTACTGCCAGATCGTGCCTTCCTGTCTCATTCCCGAGGCATTAGGACTGGCAGGCTCATAGTCAACTCCCTCTTCGACCCAGGGCCACCAAGGTTGTCTCTCACTTCCACCGAGGTGTTCGACACCTCCACTTTAGCCTCGCACCGTTCCCCGCCATCCTCACGCTCCAGCGTTCACAGGCTTGGCCTCTCAGAATCCCGCGCCCAGCACACCCAGCCCAACCCCGGCCATCATGCCCACCATGCACGGCGCGCCCGTGACGCGCGGGCCGGCGGCGTTGGCGGTGCCGACGTAGAAGCCGCCGGCGGAGCCCGTGGTCTCGCAGCGGGCGGCGGCGAGGCCGTGGCAGGCCTGGGAGCTGAGGCTGGCGCAGACGCTGGTGGCGCTGGCGAGGTCGAGGCGGGCGTGGGTGGGCGCCGTGGTGACGCCGCCGCCGCCCGGGACCGCGATGGTGACGGCGTAGCCGCCCGTGCCCGAGGCCAGGTCCGACGTGCACAGGGCGTAGTTGGCCGAGCACGACGACAGCGCCGACGCGCACGCCCCGCCGTTGGAGAAGGACGTCGCGATCGCCGGGAACGCGAACAGCGAGTTGGACACGTACGACACGCTCGTGCCGCCTGGTCCTGTCGTCGCCGTCGGTGCCGCGCCCGTGCATACTTTGCTGTCGGAGATGGTCAGCTTTCTTTCTCTTGGGTTCTCTTATCCAGATAGAGTAGCAGGGGAGCAGATGAGCATCGGGGACGGGGCCCGGGGTGAGTTTGTGGCAAGAGGAAGGGAAGTTCATACCCAAATGGGCAGCAGGCCGGGTTATTGCCCGAGTCCAGCGCGCAGGCCTGGCCATTGACGCAGCAGACGCCCGCGAAGACGGAGCCTTGGCTCTCGCAGCTGAAGTAGTTGGCTGGACATGTCGTATCACGGCGCTCGACGGCTGCGTAGTTGACAGGCGGCACGTAGTTGGCGGCTGTGAGTGAGGTGAGGGCCGAGGCGAGCAGGCCGCCGCTGCTAAGATGTCTTATCCTCATTGTCGGTCGCCCGTGCTGTGAGTATACTCTATATGAAAATGCGAGGGCCTAATAGGCTGTGGTAGCCCAGAGGTACGAAAAAAATAAAAACAAGCTGGATCTATATCGAGGCTCTCGGGCTGGATCGGCGGAATATTCGTTGCAGAAACGGGCAATTAAGCTTAAAGTGAGTCTCTGAGTAGCGGCAAAGCCTCACATTCACCGCTGGAGGTGGAGAGCTTGTCTGAGTTGTACTGCAGGATCCTGGGTCGGCGGAGCTGGCAGGTGATTCAGGCCCAACGTGGTGCGCAATTGAAGCACAGTATCAATCCTCCTGGGGACCTGGGGGTTGTCCTCGATAAAGAAGCCGCAATTATCGGATGGACGTCATCCCCCTTTGATTCATCAAATTACCTCAAAAATCTTTCCGTCGAGATTCTCAGGTGGTTGGCATCGTGAGCTCCTACCACATGATGTCAAGGGGTCCCTGGTAGACCCAGCAACCACTGGACAATGCCCGCCTATCCACTGTCGGGTCCTGGTGTGGGGGATGTCAATGGAGCCCGCCCGGAGTCCTACAGTAGCTTAACGACCAGCGCCAAAGCTGACAGGGGCTGCCTGCCCTTGGGTACCGCCCCCCCTCCAACCCTCGGGTCCAGTGCGCTGGTGGCCTAGGTCGCCTTCCAATTAGAGTACTGGCCCGTGCGTCCGCAGCCCTTTTTGGCTCGTTCGATGGTTTTTGACTGCCAAGTCGAACCACCCCATTCGGCCAGGACGAATATCAGTGCCACCGGTAGACTGCAGAGGCACGACAGACCTGCTACCGACATCTTCCGCGGATGATAGCGAGGTGACCGGCTGAGCTGCATGTATCAGGAGCAATGAGTTCCTTCGGAAGTCCCGGGTCAGGCCCCTATACAGGAAAACCCATCCCGTAAGTTTCTCGCCGGCACGCCGCCATGACTTCTCGCAGCCCAGTTCTCTGATGGTGCGCATAACAGACCGGAAAGGGGCAGCTTCCCCCTCGACCATGATGGCGAGTGCAAGGACGTGATGCAGACCTACCTCAACTGCCTCAAGAAGGTGAAGGGCCACAATGATCCCGCCTGCCGCGAGCTGGCGAAGAACTACCTGACGTGTCGGATGGACCGGTAAGCTGCTTGATGTTCGAGAGGGCTCCGGATTGCGTATGCTGACGAGGCGGGCCAGGAATCTGATGGCGAAGGACGATTTCAAGAATCTGGGCTTTGGCAACGAGAAGCCCAAGCCCGAGCCCAAGGAGCCGGAAAAGGGGGTCAAGGGCGAGCTGCACTGGTAGGATCCCGCGAGCGAAGCAGAGATGAGAACGAGACACAGGCTCTCAGGTCGCTTCAAAGAAGTGCAGGCTATCATGTACTGGGTTCGGTACGACTTTTCTCACCTCAGACCCAATTATCTCTGGATCATCAGAGGTTAGGGATACCTGACGGGCTTGCTGGCGTATCGGATGCTAGTCTGTCATCGAAGAAATGTTGGGAAGCTCCAAGCCTGGTCACCCTGCCCGCAGGGGTGTTACGAGTGCGCCCGCACATGGAAGTATCGTCTCGAAAAGCGATACGATGGATAGCGCGGAGCCTGTACCAACCTGGAGGAAGATACTATCGTGGGAGCAATGTTTGTTCCAGTTGTACCATATTGTACAATAATTCAAAGTTTAGCCCGGTTCATTTGAGAGGTCTCGACCGTCGCCCAGCATCGCACAACAGACTCAAAGAACCGAAATAATCCAATCTGAGCTAGGCAAACTCATGAAAACTGAGTATAACAATTCTGTCTCACCCGTAGGCTTTGTGCAACGGTTGGTTTGCCCACATTGGCTTATTTCCACTGTATGTCCGCCGGTCACGGGCCGCGGGGGAGACTGGCTGGTTGGCATCCGGGGGGCTTTAGCGCGAGCCTTGGCTCCGGGGAACTCGGTCACGTCTGGCTATAAAACGTCATTGGTAACTTACAACTACCTCCAGTAGCCATCGGCGTGCTGCACAGCAGTGATCTGAAGAATCATTCCTCTAATGTTAAAGACGTAGCGATCTCGGTGTTGGATACTGGCCAGGATGCTATCTCGTGTTAGAGCTGTGTCAGGGGCGACACCAAGGTTACCGAGGCTTACTGGCAGCCGGAGCGCCTTCAGCAGCACGCGAGCAGCCCGCAGCTACGACGCGACGCTGAGGAACCTCAAGATAGGAAAACACACCCGCGTGATTTTCCAAGGCTTCACAGGTAATTCGATTAGTCCTGGTAACAGTGCACAGCCGGGGTCACAGTATGCTAATCAGACCCCAGGGAGACAAGCAACGGCCAATGCCAAGGAGTCCATCGAATGGGGCACCAACATAGTGGGCGGCGTCACGCCTGGACGTGAAGATGAGCACCTTGGCCGTCCTGTCCTGCCCTCCGTCAGAAAGGCAAGACAGCCGCCCCGAATTCTGGAAAAGCACTCGGTCTAACATGTAGGGAAAAGGCTATGGAGGTCCTGAAACCAGACGCCACGGGAATCTACGTCGCCGCGCACCAAGCCACCGCTGCCATTGAGGAAGCTATTGAGGCCGAGGTCCCTTTAATCGTGGCTGTGGCGGAGCATATCCCTGTGCATGACTTCTTGAGGGTAATAGAAACAGGCGTTCCAGGTTGACTTTGGTGTTGCGGGCGCTGATCTCATAGTAGATTCACTCGATGCTGAGAACTCAGTCCAAGTCCAGGGTAGTTGGTGCCAATTCCCCCGGGATAATTTCTTCCGTGGGAAAGTGTAGGATAGGCTTCCAACCGCTACCATGTTTCGCACCGGGCAAGATCGGTATCGTTGCAAGGTCCGGGACACTGAGCTACGAGAGTAAGTTGTCTACCACGGGAGACAGGTCATGTTCTTACCCATTTCTCAGCTGCCGCCTCAACTCTGCGTTCTGGTTTAGGTCAGAGTATGTGCATAGGTGTAGGTGGAGATATCCTACCCGGCACGACTTTGGTGGATGGGCTGAAAATCCTGGCCGAGGACGATGATACAGAAGGCATTGCCCTCGTTGGTGAGATTGGAGGAAATACTGAGCTCGAAGCCGCTGACTGGATCCGACAATATAGAGCTTCAACGAAGAATCCAAAGTGAGCATATATGTTTGACTACATACACGTTTCACTAACCTGAGGCCTTGCAGACCTATCGTAGCTATCGTTGGGGGAATTAATGCGGTACCTGGCCGCATCATGGGACACGCAGGTGCTTTTGCCCTCCCCGGAGAACCAACCGCAGCAGAGAAGGTAGACGCCTTGAAGGCAGCAGGCGCTACGATCATAAACCACCCCTCAAGGTTTGGCTCTGCGTTGAAGACATTACTGGACGGTACAAAACCTAGTGGCCATGGCGTTGCATCCAACGGCAACCCTCCTTTGAGCAGAGGCATGCACACGTATGCTCGCCGGCCCCAGCCACCTCACAGCACAGAGTCTGCCCAAAGAGGTATGTGTCAGAGGAGAACGTTGTACCTGACACAGCAAACGGCACTCGATCTGCTCCAAGTCCGGGGCATCAGCGTGCGTGAAGGCTTCACTGGCGCAACCGAGCGGCTCCTCGCGGTAACTATTAATCGAACCTCAAGGAACCCGTGCATTATTGCTTCCCCGACAGGCGACGCAAGGGACGGGAAAACGTTCGACTTTGACTATAACAAAGGCGCCGCGGACCTCCCGACCGGCGACATCGCCCGAGCCCTCGGCCTGAACATGACCGGCACAGTTTCACTCGACAGCTTCCGGAAGCTGGTGATGGAGCTGACGACGCTATTCGCGGAAAAGGAGGCGTTCCTGCTCGAGACGTGGGTAATGGAGACATCGGACGCCTCGGGCGGGCTCGCGGCCTCGCGGGCGCGCTTCGGCTTCGACGACGCCGCCTACCGCAGCTGCCAGCGCCAGGGCGACATCCACGCGCTGCGCGACGTGGCCTCGGAGGACCGCCACGAGGTCGCCGTCGAGCGCGACGGCATCGTCTACGTCAAGCTGCCCGACCCCGGCGGCAACATCGGCACCCTGGTCAACGGCGCCGGCCTGGCCATGAACACGGTCGACGCCCTCGCGGACGCCGGCGGCCGCGCCGCCAACTTCTTGGATACCGGCGGCAAGGCGACCAGCGAGACGGTCAAGAAGAGCTTCGAGGTCATCCTGACGGATCCCAGGGTTAAGGTTAGTGATACACCCCTTTCTCTGGCCTTTCACTGCTCAAACGCCGGCTGGTCTTTCAAAGCCACATACGGGTCTAGCAAGCTGACCTCTCCGTCATAGTGCATTTTTGTAAATATCTTCGGCGGTCTGACGCTTGGTGATATGATTGCGCGCGGCGTAGTGCTCGCTTTCAAGGACCTCCACATGACGGTGCCGGTCGTCGTGCGGATACGCGGGACCAACGAGGAGGAGGGCCAGCGCATCATCGCCGAGAGCGGGCTGCCGCTCTATGCGTTCGATGACTTTGACGAGGCGGCCGAAAAGGCCATTGAGCTGGCGAATCAAGCATAGCGCTTATCGTATAAATCGATTTGGACAGTGACATTGGATCTCTGATTCAGCATAGAATGTCTTTTTCTATTCTGCTTCTCTATAATTACACTTGTGAATGAACCCAGAAGTAATCAGACGCGCTCGAAAGACCACAGGCCCTTGGCATAGGCAAGGCTCGTACGTGTGGCTATGGAGGCGCGTTCCATGGCGTCCTGCCGCCTGGACGCGGTTCGGAAGACGCCGTCGTCGCGGAGGGCGCCCTCCCTCTCCTCCTTGTTGAGGTGCGCGGCCTCCATCTCGCGGAGCTTCCACGACCGCAGCGCCCACATGAAGAGGAATGCCGCCAGGTACATGAACCCGATGAAAAGCTGCGCCGCGCGGTACCCGCGCTGTCTGATCTCGAGTACGATGACCTCGGCAAACGTGGCCGGTAGGACGAGGATAATCCAGCTCAGGGACAGCCCTGTAGTTGGTGTTAGCAATGATTCGCATGGTGACTGGTTGTGACGGCGGGAGGGAGAGGTATTTACCGGAGGGAAGAAGCTGAAGGCCTATCACTTCGGCCAGCACAGGGGCTGCCGTCGCCCATATAACGCCGGCGACGGTACCGGCGAGCATGGCAAAGACGATGCACGTCGCAAGGTTCGTAGAGAAGAGCCACAGCGTGACACACATGATACCACAGAATGCGGTACACAGCCCGGCGACGTTGAGTCGCCCCACAGAATCGCTCGACAGTCCGATCACCGGACGGCCTAGTCCTTGTGCAACTGTTGTATGTTAGTCTGCTTTGCTTGTTGTTGGGTGGAAGGGACATGGGCTGCCCGGGAACCTACGATTGAGCAAAGCTCCCACAAGAGACGCTTGACTGGCTGTCAAACCAACAGACTGGCAGTAGTCGACGATGCTGAAGACCAGGGCAGTGTACGGAATCATGGAGAATATCATCCAGCCCTGGTACAAGAGGAACGGAGGACGCTTAAACAGCTGCCAGTTGAGGGCGATGTGAACAGATCCCACGGCCTGGTTCCGATCGCGGATCAAGTAGCTGCATATGCTGTTAACCACGAAGCAGAGGATCGCGAGAATCCGGAAGGCCCAGGGCAGACCGATGCTGGCGATCATGGCGTTCGTGCCCAGCGAGTACGTCAAGCCGCCGAACCCCGAACCCGCGGCGGCGCAGGCGTTCGCCAGGGACCGCTTCTTGTTGAACCATTGCGAAGGCACAGGGACGGAAGACACGAAGATCAATCCCATCCTGCTCTGAGTGTCAGCCAGACGTCAATTTCCTTCGCAGAAGGACCGGGATTACTTGCCCTATGCCAAAGCAAATACCCTGGCTCAGAACTAGGTGCCATATCTCCGTAGTGAAAGAAGCTCCGATAAAGGCAATGCTGCCAAGGTGTAAGCAAGGAAGCAACATCAGATGACATCTGCACTCTGCCAGAACTTACGTCTCGAAGACTGTACCGAGGAAGATGGTCTTCCTTGTTCCAAACCTCTTGTGGCCTGCGAGGATTGTCGCGATTGGCGATACCAGGAGAGCTACGTGGAGATGAGCAATTTGGAGTTGATTAGTATGCAGGTGCTGAATACACGTACCAAATCCGACGGAGACACCACCGACAAATGCGAAGCCGAGGGTCGTCGCGCCCTCGAACGTGTTGTTCCTGAGGTAGTATGCCAGGAAGACGGCAAAGGACTGGTCAAATATAGAGTCAACGCCTGACGCATGTCTCACTTGAGCGTGTAAGTTTGCGAAAGGTCCCTTACCGAATTCAAGCCCCAAGTATGCGCATTCAGCAGGGCAGCGGCAAGGACAACGACCCTAAGAAGCCGTTTGAGTCAATACGGTATCCTGGTGACTGGAAGTATAAAAAGCAGATAAGGTGATGGATGGCATCCGCAGTGCAAAGCCGGGGGCTGACCAACCAGCCATATCCGCCCTCTTTCAGCTGTTCGGGCGGCTGTTGCGCGACGGACGCAACTTGAGCCTCATTGGCCGGCGCCGTCGCCGTCGCCGTTGTAGTTGCCTCGCCATCGTGGTCGTCCGGCTTGGTCTCGGAATCACTCATGATGCCCAGACCACGTTCACACAGTTTCACGAGAGGGACAAAAAGAGGGAACCCAGCACCTCATCATGGGCATGGATGGAGGCACGTAGTGCACGGCGGGAGTGGTTCAGGACTTTTGTCCCGCGGGTTCGGCCCCAGGATGCCATTTTCCCCGGAAATAACGTAATAGCGAAAGTCAGGGTTCGTCTGCCGGCTCAGTTCCGACAGATGGATAGGCAGGTGTGCGCGCGCGTGGGAATAAGGGTGCCGGCTATCCACCTGGGCGAGATTCTAGTGTGCTGCGCGGAAAGGTCTCCACTCGAGGTAAAGTCTACTGTACATGACGAGCCTGACAAGCTTCTCTCCGCAAAAAGGCGTGTTGGTGACACAAAGTGTCAGCCTGGCGTGCACCAAATCTACGTTGGGTTGGGGGTAGGAGACGGCTCAGATTCCCGAGCCGGGTATGGTGGAAGCTAGCGACCCAATCACAAGAGTCCTGCTGCTGGATGGAGTGTCGCTTCTACTGAGTAACGAAGTAGTTGAGGGCGTCGCCCTCGCGAACCGCGAAGCCGAGGCCGTGGGAGAGCAATGCCAAGCTCAAGTTTCCCGCAAGGCGTCATCAGACTCTTTGCCGTAGCTCGGTGGTCGGGCATGAAGAAGCGACGTGTTGTACATGCATAGCCATATGCTGTATGCTGTATCTTAATTCTCCCGCGTTTCTCCAACGGGTGAATGAGTGTAACGATAGTCAAGTATGTCCATAGTAGGATTAGGATTGGTATCAATTTGGAGACCGATGATGTGTATGTGAATACATAACTTACACACAGTAGACTTAAGTGGCGACGTCCGCGGACAATGTCCAGCCGACGGGGTTCCCTGTCCAGGACGGGCCGGGTAAGTTGGTCGTCGCGCAACACCACAGCAACTCTGATGGGTTTGAGGTTCTACAGATCGGCAATGCATGCGCTGCAGCATCTTTGCATGATTTGGTAGGGTGACAACACACACACAGAGAGAGAGGGAGGGAGAGGCCAAAGAGCACTGGACTGCAGTCTCACCGCAGAAAACCCCGTTGGGCCCAATCTCCGCGCCCGGCCGCCCACAGACCAGCGGTCGCCCTGGGCAACGTGGTATGCGCCGGAGCCAAATAAAAAACTGGGCTGACCCTGGTCGTGCCGGGGAAGAGATTCGCTTCTGATTGACCAGCACACGGGCAGAATTCCACTGAAGAAACCTACCTGGGGGACTAACGAGAGACACAACCCGGCACCCAGCTTCATGCATGATATGTAACTGCCTGCGTGGCCTGGCACACTTGACTCATCTCAGATCCAGACTCCCTTTTCCATGGCAACATTGGCCTCTTGTGTTCGTAGCCCAGTAAACAGCATCATATCGTCATTGTCATTGTTACTCTGTAGTACCTACCTAGAGACCTGCTCGCCCTGCTTTCAACCACAACGTGCCCAATTATTTACTTATAGCTTCCCTCACGTCCTTCGTCCGTATTGGGCTTCATCCCCAGAGCAAAGCTTCCCCAAAACACAGCAGAGCAGCACCGGCCAAAACACAGCGAGCTAGCCAGCCAGCCGCTTCGAGCATGCCCACCATGCCACTCCGCGGCAAGTCCAAGGAGAGGACGGCGACCCGGAAGGTCACGCCGCCGGAGCCTGCATACATGGACAGCAAACAGTTCGGTAGGCGTCTGAACGCTTGAGGCCCAAGTGTCTGTATCTCGTGAGCCGGGACTGACTGACATGACTAGCTTCGTATCTGGCCAGCCTGCGCGACAACCGCGTCAGTCGACCTGGTGGTGCTCGACCGAACCCGTCCACCGCATCACCTCGTCCGTCCATCGGCACGCCCTCGATCCGGCCAGAGTCCTCCGCTTCTGGCCACGTGCGTACCCATTCAGATGTCCAGAAACCACACAGCATACGGCCGAGTCTTGCCGGGAGCATTGCTTCACGCTATTCGACCCTCTCTGGCCGTGACTATTACCCAGACAAGCAAAGCCCGGTGAAGGCGCTCAAGCCAGATGAGGTCGTGGGCTCTGCCACATACATTGAGCGGGGGACCCGCTGGATGGAGAAGGAAGAGGCCGTCTCGCTCCGCACAGCCATGGAGGACATGGACCTTAAGGACAAGCACGAGACGGGCAAGAGCACACCGAGCGACGAAGATGACGATTCTCGTCTGTACAATGCCGCCCTCGACGAGGCCGCCGAGCTCGTCTGGCAGCACCAGAACGGTGTCAAACCTCCCGAGCCCGGGACGCCCTACCGCTACAAGCCGCATATGAGAAAGGATAGCTACGCCCATGCTCGCACCGCTAGCATAGGAAGATACGGTGGCGATATCATGGCCACGGGATTGGCGAGAGATACTACACGCTCCGTCTCGGGCAGTTCGTCAGGGAGCGAGGGAAGACGGTCGATGGAGAGCCCGCGCGTCAGTATGGACGGCCAGCGACAGACTTCAACAGATTCGACAAGATCAAAACCCTATGGCAGCCTGGACCAGCGGATTTCTGGAGTGGAACGTCGCCGGAGCAGCATGAAACGCAACATCAGCGGCGAAGTCCAGAGACCCTTTTCCGGAGACCAGATCTGGGAGGAGCCAGAGGGCGAAGCATCCAAGCCGAAGCCCGTGGACGAGCCAGTTATTGAGTTCTCGCAGCCCCTCAAGCTGAAGCTGCGCAACCCTTTGAACAAGGTTCAATTTGCCCCTGAAGCCCTCCCAGAGGAAGACAAGCCTGCTTCAGCCCCTGCACCTGCACCTGCAACTGCAACTGCACCTGCAAAGCCCCTGCAAAGAGTTGAAATTTACAAGAACCCGCCCTCGCAGTCCAAGAACCCCAGCTATACTACAAACTCGTCAAAGCCTGCGGGCCCGCGAGCTGCCAACGACAGTGTTCCCAAGAAGAATGGCATTGAGATCCGTGGTGACGATATCCGTCAGGCCACAAGCTTCAAGCTCGGGGACCGCAGCAAGAAACTACCCACGCCGTCGGCCGTCAGTGACCGCCCCGGGCGCCCAATCGTAAGCTTCGATAATGACTGGAAGCCCCCGGAGGAGGCGGCTGCTGATAAAATACCAGAGCCCAGAAAGGAGTCCAGCCGCTTCCCTGTCGGGGTCCGACAGAGCCACCAAGACCAGGAAAGACCGGAGAGCAAGTCCCAGCCCAAGTCGGGCTCACAAGCACCAACGCTCCCGCCCATCCCTTCTATCTCATTTACGCCGGATTTTCAGACTCCGGCAGCGACCACGCCACGCCCATCAACCTCTAGCACACCGTCCATCCCAAGTATTTCGGTAGAAGCACCGGGGGGCAGCACTACTAGCCCCAGCATCCCAGCTGTGGTTTTGACTCCCGACGACAGCCCTACTCTGCCCACTGCTGTGCCCACGATTGTATTGCCAGGTGATGACGAGGGCCCAAGCATTCCGGTGATCGTAACCCCTGACGATGGAGGCAAGAAGGGCGCGACCAGTCAAACTCCGGCACGGCCTCTGCCAGTACCGTCGAAGGCTAGTTCGCATGCCCGTAACAGCCGAGGTGGTTCCCGGAGCCACTGGTCTCCCGCCCCTGGCGCCATCTCCGCTCGAGCTACCGCCGTCTGCCACGAGTGCTCTTTCCCGATCGAGGGGCGCTTCGTCTCGCTCCGCGGAGGGCCAGAGCGCTTCCATCCCCAGTGCTTCACATGCTACACATGCGGGACGTCGCTGGAGGCGCTCGAGATCTCGCCCGAGCCCGACTCGTTCCGCAAGGAGCGCCTGAGCCGCATCGCGCGGCGCGAGGCCGGCGAGCCGCTGCCCGAGGAGCCCGGCAAGACGATGGCCGAGGACGGCGACGCGCGGCTGCGCTTCTACTGCCACCTGGACTGGCACGAGCTGTTCGCGCCGCGGTGCAAGACGTGCACGACGCCCATCATCGGCGAGCACGTGGTGGCGCTGGGCCACCACTTCCACTACGGGCACTTCTTCTGCGCCGAGTGCGGCGACCCCTTCGAGCGCGGCATGACGCACATCGAGAAGGACGGCTACGCCTGGTGCGTCGCCTGCCAGACCCGCCGCACCGAGCGCCGCGCCCCCAAGTGCAAGCGCTGCCGCAAGCCCGTCATCGGCCAGTACGTCCAGGCCCTCGGCGGCGAGTGGCACGACGAGTGCTTCCGCTGCGGCGCCTGCGGCGGCGGCTTCGACGACGGCCAGATCTTCCCCGTCGGCGACGGCATCCGCTGCACCGCGTGCCGCATGCGCGAGCTCAAGGCGTGAGCGGCCTCGGAATGGAAAAGAAAGGAGGGGGTGGTCGAGTCGGGTTTGGATGTATTGCCTTGCCTTGATGATATCTGGTCGCGTGCTTTTCTCACTGAGGAGGTAACACAACTGGTCGCCGGTGGCCGGTACCCAGGGCGCGTCTTGATGAGAAACGGAAAAGGTGTCTAAATAGGGGAAGGCCGGAGAAGGCGTTTGTTATTCTACAGCTCGCTCACGCACTCACTCGTTTGGCAACACGGAAGAGAATCGAGGCTGATTGGTGTAATGGATGGATTTTGATTTTGAAAGGGGTGTTTTCGTGTAATTTGACTGGGGGGAGGGTATACGGAACTCGCTGGCGTTTCTGAACTGCTTGGATTTTGGTTGATTTTGAGTTCTCTCGAGGGGCGTTAATACACGATGGGATGATGTTGATGATGACCTGCGAAGTGTCTTTTTCTCTGTGCTTGTTTCGGCGTCTATGTGCGATCTTTCCGGCTCGACAGACCATGCCATCGTGATCTTGGTTTGACACGATGTACTTGGTGCCTTCCTTCGGCTTTGGTCTCTCGAGTGTGTTCGTGGAAGACGCAATTTTCTACTTTACTATATCCCAGGTGTAGCTTACGCCGCCACAAAAGCTCCGGCTCCATGGCCATCGGCATGTTCAGACTGGGACACGAATGCTCCAAGCAAGGCAGGTGAATGGGATGAATATTAAGGAAAAAGAACGTAGATCATGAAATCACGAGAAAGGCGTCGCAAAAGACAACAATGTGATCGTGACTAGTGGCATCGTGAATTCTCTGTCGTTGCGCATACCCCTTGAGGAATTGGGGGCTTTCTCCCGCGGACCAGAAAAAATGAAGATGCTAAATCCCATGTCAAGCGTTGGGGCCATCTCCACCTGTGCTGGCGAGGCGACTCGACCGACATTTCCTCCAAACCTGAGTGAACGCCTTTTACCAAACAAAATCTACCGTTACCAACGTTCCCCTCCCCTGCAGCCGATATGCACCATGCAGTCCTGAGAACTTTCCCTTCCTTCTTCGAGACTCCTCCAAAGCCATCATCGGTGTAGGGCCGAGTCCGATTCTCGAGCGCTCGAAAGGAAAGGGCGTCAGATGTCCAAGTGTGGCAGAATATCGAGGCGGTGGGTGCGTGGGATTTACATGCCGCCACCGACCTGCTCTTGGTGAACCTCAAGGCAGTCAGAGTCCTGCATCTCGAGCTGCGTAGAAAAGTATAATATTAGTCATCATATATAGACTGAAGAGTAGTGGCGATCGAGGAAGGTCTCGGCCCAGAGTTCGTATGCGCCCGGCTGACGCATAGCACCTGTGTGGCCGAGACAACAGTAGGCTTTTTTTCTCAAGATAACTTACAGTCTCGGGAGTGTCGGTAGGCTGAACACGCTGGCCCTCGAACAGGAATCGGACGGAACTGAGGTTCTTGCCCTGGCGCTCGCAGAAGGCGTTCATGAGCTTCTCGAGCTTGGTGGTGCGCTTGATCTTGAAGAAGACCTCGTTATTGTTGTCGGTGACCTTGATGTTCAGGTGCTCGGCAGCACCGGGGGCCTCACCGCGGTCGCCGGCAGGGCTACCGCTGTCGTTGGCGTCAGACATGGCGGCTTGGTTGCGGGAGCGGGCTCGCTGCTGGAACCGGTACTGGGACCGGGGCACGTTAGATAACACTGTCCCAGAAGTCGACGCTGCCGGTGAGGCGGTCGGAGGGTTGGCCAGGCGTGGTGGCGAATCAAGTGTTGGCCGGCATGGCAGGGCGAGGTGAAGGGCTGCGGTGTTGCAGACTGCTCATGGCGAGGAAAAGGAAACTCACCTGGTGGAGAGAGAGACTCTCGGAGTGATGTAGAGTGTCGACCGGGGGGCGGCTAGAGCGGCAGGGCGCGGCTTGTAGAAGGGAGCGCTGCGGCTGGGGTCAGAAAAGACGTCGGCGATGAAGTTGTCGTGGGGGTGGGTTTCCACGAGCGGGAGGGATGCGATGCGGTTTTGAAGCGCGGCGACGCGGGAGGGCGCAGAACGGACGGCGGCTGCTTAGCAACTTACGCCTCCAAGTTCCCAGGAGGCTCTACTAAGTCGGGTAGGTCACCCCACCTGAAGTATAGGTCCTGGAGCCCACACCCACTGTCACGGCCCCCAACGCCCCCCAACGCCCCCCAAGACGCAGTGCGGTGACAGTTGGTTCTAGGCGGCTGCTAGGCCTTGGCCCTCTGGCCCTACAGCTGACCGGGGCCCTTCACGCTCCGCTATCGCCGCCTATCGCCGCGGACCTGGGGGCAAGCATGCAGCACTCACCTGTAATGTGTTGCCCGGTGTTTCTGGCAGACTTTGTAAGATATCGGCTGTGAAGCGGGCCACCCAAAGCCCAAAACCTCGGCGTAAGGAATATGTTGTCGCAGAAAAGAAGAGTTCTTCGTGAGTTGGAGACAAGGTGAAGGTTGCTGACTGTGAGGCGGTTGTGTTGGTTGCGGCTATGGCTTCAGCTTGACCAAGACGCACGGGCCATCCGTTGCCTACGAACGCGAACAGGCGACATGGAACAAGCCACGGCACAATCGGCCTCCTCCCACATGTTATAGGAACCAACCAACCATTGAAGGCGTTGTCTCTCTTTTTGTCTGCTTTCGATAGAATTCAGAGACGTTGGCATATAACCCAAGTCTCGAGACATAAGCTCAAGGCGCATAGGGACATGCATCCATCTCCAAAGCCCTGGAAGGCGTTCGATAACGAGATAGCGATTACATCATACAGGCCCGGTCGAGTCTGCCGTCTCTGAACTATTCCACACGCATTGGAGGATTTCTGTCGTGTTCCTGTTGGTTTGGCATTGTTGCGCCTCCTACTTTCACGACGACTCCGTCAACGTTTGTTTGAAGACGGCGAGCCTGCTTCACTGCCGGTATCTGCAAGACGTTCCACCACCACTGAAAGAGAATTCTCAAGAACCCACCATGGTCAGTTGCCCGTCGTCCACTGAGGAGGAAAACGAACACATCACTGAGACACAAGACTGGACAGGCTCTGGAAGATGACCTCAAGTCCAGCCCGCCTTGCCACCCACGAGCGGTACGCTGATCCCTCCCTGTAAGCCGTGAACAGAGTCACTGATTTCTCACAACTGTAGTGTGCCATCCAAGGTATGTCCTACTGAAAGAGCATGCCTCACATGCATGGTGGCGTGTCCTCGGCTGAGACGGTCACACAGATTGCTTGACAAAGAACAACTACAACGAATCAAGATGTCAAGGCTTAGTGGACGCCCTTTATGACTGTTGTGACGCCTTTTACAAGAGGAATGGCGATGACGCGACCACAGTCAGCTGCCCCAAGGCGAACCTCCTGCGGCTCAAGATGAAGCAGAGACGCGACGGACAGAACAAGTAATCCGCGCTTCGAGCAAGGCCAGAATTCTGAGGGAAACCCGTCTCCCGGTTGGCGGTGAACGAGTGGCCAGACCCCGACAGCAGCAAGGTAATCAATCAGGCAGTTATTTGATAGTGTAGCTTGGTCACCAGACCAAAAAAAACAGACAAGACACGCTGATACGCAGGGTGTGGTGGTTTTGCAAAATGTGTCACTCTCCGTATGTATGTCCACCCCGACAAAGCGTAGGCGACTTGATGGAGAGCGATGGGATTCCTTCTTCTAGGCGATCATTGAGCGCGCAAGAGACCCCGTAGGATCTGGAAAAGCATTGAAAGAAATATGGCTTATCCCGAGACTCTAATATGAATGCCGATGACATGAAGAAGGAAGGGGAAGAAACGTACAAAGGGCGGCAGAAAATTTTGAGTCTTATGGGCGCGACGTTGGCCGGTGCGGCTCCACAGCGCGCGCCCAGCCCCCAATCCCCAGCTACAGCTGCAGGCCCGCCTAGCGCGTCTGCGGCGGCCTGTCAGGCCGCCTGCTGCTCTTATCACTGGCCTAGTCCCTACTGAGCTCAAGGCCGCTCTTTTAGTGGTCCACAGCCGGCCGGGAGGGCAGCGCACTGGGCAGGAATCGCGCTGTACCCAATCGCCATTGGATGCGCGTCCGGGTGTATTTTTCGAGCTCAGGTGCATTGGGTCCTGGAGCTTCGATCGCATTACGGGGTACCTCTCGATAGCTTCATCCAGCCACGGCAGCCCGCGACGACGACGCCGACGACGAAAACGCAGACGGCCGCCCCCAGCCCCCAGCGGATCCCATCTCTGGTCGTCCACGAGCCCGCTGTCCCTTCGTGCATGGGCGAGAAGCACGCGCTGTCGTCTTGGAACATGCCCCAGTGGCCGTAGCCCGGGTCAAAGTCAAGATCACCAGCAGGAAGAGCAGAACCCGTTCCTGCCATCTCCTGCGGTTGCTTCCCGACCGCCATCTGCCAACGGCCTCGCGCCTCATTCTAGCCCCAGATCTGTCCTCACCATGGCTTCTCGATCGAATGCAAGTCCAAGACTCTTGCCCCAGAACCCACGACGAGACCTGATACTGACTCTGGTGTAGCGCGTGTCCGTGACGGCCACCGGCAGCTTCAACGTCGACGAAGAGATGTATGATGGGGACGAGTACTATGGCTCCGAAGACGAGGATGTCGTCGAAGAGGACTCCGAGTTCTCCCACGATGCGGCAGACTTTGCGAAACAGCTCGACAAGATCGCTAGCTCCGAGGAAACAAGGGCGGGAAAGCGCAATGAGATTATCGGCCTTGTCGAGGCCTACTATGAGCTCGCCTTTAGGAAGCTCAGCGCCGCGCACGAGCTCCAACAGCGCTCACGTCAAGCCAGGCAGCACCGCTCCGAGGATGAGTACAGCCAGGAATCCATGGACGTGGATGAGGCCGAGGAGGGCACCATCTCCGACGAGCAGTTCGCCGCCATAGAGCGAGAGGTTCAGACGTGGGACTTCCTGCGGCGGCTCCTCCCTCTCAGATACCCGGAGCGCAAGAAGGCCCAGCCCAAGCGCCGGGAGCCTGCCAAGTTTCAGACCGGCGCCGAGCTCTGGGAGGAGTTCCTCGAGTCCGACGCGGCTGCCCAGGAGCGGAAAGAGATCCTCGAAGTCCTGCAGTGGACAGCTGACGAAAGCGGAAGCGACATCGACGACATGGTTCGTGACCTACAGCAGAACGCCGAGCGCGGGGATATCATTGCCTATGGCTGGCTACATACGCGCTCAGCCATCAAGATGCAGAAGAATGTTCACAGATGGACAGGCCCCCTCGATGCGAACTCGGCCGACGTCAAGGCCGCCCATCGCGATTCTACTGGCGCCAATCCCTTGGTGACACAGCTCGACCCAGATGTTGTGACGCGACAAGGCCGCAAGCTCCAGCCGCAGGACGAATACTTTGAGCGAGCCATCTGGCTGGGATGTTACGAGCTGCTCCGTAGGGGCAGGAGTATAACAGAGATACGGGACTGGTGTGTGGAGAGGACGGAAGTCTGGCGTGCCATGAGCATGTCCGCTATGCCTCTTTCGAAACACCCAGACGAGAAGCGCTTCAGCACGAACCCGCTATCGATGCTGCTTTGGCGCAGAACGTGTTATGCCCTAGCACGACAAGGAGGGTCTGATGACTACGAACGTGCCGTCTACGGCATCCTCTCGGGCGATGTCAAATCCGTGGTGCCCGTTTGCAGCTCTTGGGACGATCATCTTTTTGCGCAATGCAATGCTCTTCTCCGTTCACAGTTCGATGCGTACATCCTGAGGCGCTCGCCGCGGGACGCCACGCAGTCCGTCACCCAGCTTCCTGTCTACGATGCCGTCCAGTCGCATGGTGACGATGCCGCTACGGTCAGCGAGAGCTGGTTCAGTGCTTTGGACGACGCTGAAGCCCGAACACCGATCAAGTCCCTTCAAGCAGCCATCATATCAAATACCATAGATCAGTATCTTTACAACGAAGGTCTCGTCCTCGGTCAACAAGCAAACCAGAAGGAACCCTCCCGTCTCATTCCCGACTTCAACAAAACCAAGTCAAAGGTAGACGATGAGAAATATTTCTCTCTCAGCGACCAGAATGGGTTGCGTATCCTGGTTCACATCTACTTGCTGATATCAAGCCTGGAGGAGTTGGAGGGTGGCGAGGTGGACCTTGAGTTGCGCAAGGCTCAGGAGAACGCCTTGGCGGCCTATATCAGCACCCTGCGGTTGAACAGTCTGGTGGACTTCTTGCCGCTATACTGTTCAAAGCTCCAGGGAGATCGTGCTTTCTACACCCTCAGCCGCAACGTCAGCATGGTCGTGGACCAGGACACTCGATCTATGCTCCTGAGGTACATGGAGAAGCTCGGCATGAACATTAAAGAATTCGTCGTCTTTCAACCACAGTCTCTACTGAAGGAGTTCCCTGAAAACTCCGACGGGTTGGCGCATGGCACTTTCAAGATGCTAATGGACGAACCCCCCTCAGTAAGATTCGGCCGTCGTATAATACCGGACTTTCTGGGTGAGACTCCAGATGATCTTGATCCGGTCGAAGAGCAGCTTATCCAGTCGCTTGAGTGGATGCTGCTTGTCGACGGTCTTTGGGATGAGATATTCCGTGTGGGTGTCGCCGTCTACAAACGTTTCCTGAGTAAGTCACATGTGGCCTGTATACCACGAATCCAGCTAATCTGTCCGCAGGATCTGGCAACATACATGCAGCAAAAACTTTATCTGAGAGAGTGTCCTGCGCAAAGATCTTCACGGAAAAGGCCAGGATTCCCATTCAAGATGAATATAACCTGGCCTGGTGGGACGAAGTGGCTAATAATGAGGACGATCTGGTAGACGAGAATAACAACCCACGGCAGCTTACGACAGCTCGCAACTACCTCGACCTCGAGTCGCTTGTGCGGGCCCTGGATGCCATGGAGACCGTCGGTGCGACCGCTGATCTGCACCTTGAGTAAGTTTCGCACTGGCAGGATTGCGAAGTTCTCATTAAGACTAATTGCAATAAACAGCCCGACCTTCCAAAAGACCGCGGACTTCTTCCCTACACTTGGCGGCCACGTCAAGTATGTCCAGAGCTTTATGGCTCCTCTTCTCAACAAATGGCTGCTTGAGAGCGTCGAAGGTACGTGCTCCCCTTGGACCGCATGCTTCATTCGGTTCCTGCCATCTTCCCTGTATTCTTCGAACACGAAACTTACTCTTCCTCCTCCCTCGCTGCAGAAGACCCGGACTTCGAACTACTACGGGACATGTACCTTCCCGAGATCATCATCGGCTACGTGAGCGTGCTGCACTACGCCGGTACGTCGCTGTCGCGCGACTACCTGCTGGAGGCCATGGAGCTCGCGGCGCACATTGCCGACAAGGAGTCGGACGTGGCGGCCGTGCTCATGAAGAGCGGCCGCATGCGCGAGGTCGTCGAGGCCTTTGCCAACGCCAGCAAGGCCCTCGCCGTCAGCAGCGAGGACAAGCGCAAAGGCGGCACCGGCAGCTCCAAGAAGATGCGCGAGCTGGGCTGGAGCCGCGAGGTCTGGAGCGTCGGCCGCTGAGGACGAGAGCGCCAGACATAACATACAAAAACAAGCACGGCATGCCGGTATGAAGTCGGTAGTGAATTCATCAAAATGACGCTGGAGGAATCGAGAGGAGAGAGGATTGCTGTTACTGGCTGTAAGGGGTCCTAATACGCACCCAGATTTTAGGTAGCAAACCGGCTGGCGTCAGGTTTTGGTGGATAGAGATTTGGCTGGTCGATAGCAATGAATCAAGATTTTGTCAATCTGGCATTTTTCTGGACGTGTCGCCGTTATGAGAATGAGGTGAAGTTTTGATCCAGAACGCCATTATCAAAGAAAGGCTCTGGAATTATGTATATTACTGCGTGGTACGTGTTGCACTATCCTTGCGGTGAGGCTAGTCTCAACCCACAGTTATCAAACATATTTGATAGGCATGGCGAGCCTGGAGTCGTTCATGAAGCATGTACGGAACGCTCGGTAGCATATGGGTTATTTGCAGTCACAAGGTGATGAGATGCCAGTTTATTAATATTGCGTGAAGAAATCAAAGATGGCGTTGGGATCCAAGAGCAGTAGCCCCAAATCGCTGTACAATATCGCAATGTCTGGACCTTTACTCACAGATTTAGGGCCCCACTTGTTGATTGCGGTGAGAGAACAAGGAGGTTCGAGAGCATGTGCTGGACAGTGTGCCAAATTGTGAGCCCATTTGAATATCGAGAGGTCGGCTATATCATAGCTGTGACTTAAAAGGCGCATCGGCCAGACATCTATCGTCTAGTGCAGAGAGGATAGACAGTTGGTCGCGATGGCATTATCCCTGCCTCAAATAGGTACCAGTAACTCTATAGCACTTTTAGGGCGCGCATGACGTCATTTCCCCTTGGACTAGGAGAGGCACCAAGGTGAAGATTGGCAGCTTAATCCAGTCTTGTCGACAAATATCGTGAATACCGCTTGGCACTACCCGATCGGAGTGAGAGGAGCCGCGTGAAGAGGTGTCGTATGTTCAATATCCTTCCTGCTGCATAGCATAGCCATAATGCACAGGAACAAAGAGGGCATGGCCTGGAGGGTCCGTCGTGGCGTCGCCACCGCCGGCCAATGCCGACATACATAGTACATGGCCCAGCCACCTTTGGACCCCTCAGTGGGCGCCCGCACCGCCATCGTGGTGCGTCATTAGGCGCTCCGGAGGCCCCTCATCCCCCCTCCAAGCTTAACTGCCCGAAACGCTCCACACGGGAGCAGAGGGCGCCTTGGGGGATCTAGTGCTGGTGAGGCTTCTTTGTGGCAGCTCAGTAGGGGGGTGTGGCCTCAAAAGCTACCGAGTTGGGATCTCGAGGCATTGTCTGTCGCATGGAGGATTGCACGGCCAGGCCGGGCCCGATCAACCCTGTGTAAGTCGTGGTAGTCTTGGGGCAAAGCGGACCACAGCAGGTCACCTCATTGCCTCACGACCACGGGAACGGGGACGGGAACGGGAAAGGTGAACAGGAGAATGGTTACCTAACAGCGCCCCGGCTATCCCATCAAGGTGAGAAACCTAGGGCATTCAAGTGTTACTCTGGTACAGAGCCGCCCCGATTTTATGGTTTGTTTTGCGTGGAAAGCCCCGACTTCATTGGGCACCTTGTACGATGCTAGACAAGATGACGGGCCGCTCTTGATGCCCAGCGGACCACCCATAGTCCATGTCAGATGGCCCTGCCCACAGCCTCTCTGCGAGAAATGCAGCCAGACGACGCCGAGATCCCACCCCCAATCCCCCCAATGCCCCCCAGGCCTGCAGCGGTAGGGCCGGCAGCCAGCAAAGAAGCCAAAAGCCTGCTTTGCTTTGGACGTGCCCTTGGATTTCCTGATTGTGCGTGGCGGCATTTCTCTGCCTCCCTCCCCTCCATCTGCCTAAAGCACAAAACGTCTTTGCTGTACTCTGCTCTTTTCTCTGCCAGTTGCAAGAACGAACATCGAATCAACGAGGCAAAAAGAGACCACCCAGCGTGTCCAGTGTTTCCCGTTAGATTTGCCTAGCGGCGGCCGACCCCGTGCCCAGTCTCGTTTCTGGAAATACGTCACAACATAGCGGCCAGCGCTCAGCCTTGACTAGTATCCCTGAGGGAACATCAGCTGTTCAACACCCAATACAACACCAGCCCCGCCTTACCGCAACACGACTTGCTGTTCCTACATACCCCTCTCCGTCTCTCTCTCTCTCTCTGGCCAGGCTGTCATTTGAATAAGCCCCGACTTCCCCCCGGCTTCACTTATACATCAGCTACCAGTCATCAAAGTCCGACTACTTTCCGGGAGCCAGCATTCATCCGTCTAGGAGAACGTCAGCAATGTCGGGTTACGACACCTACGACGCCCCGCCGCGCGAGCGTCGCTACTATCGCGAGGAGCGCCGGGAGCGCCGGGAAGAGCCTCGCTACGAGGAGTACCTCAGCGTGAACCCGTCGAGCAGGAACCAGCTCATTCCCCGGGCGCGGGAGGACAGTGACCTCTCCATCGAGGAGATCCGCCGAGACTTCCCGCCCCCAGGCTACGGTGGCCGGGATGCGCGCCGCGCCCGCTCGGCCGAGCCCGGCTACTACGAGGACGACTACTACCGTCGCGACTACGACAACCGTTCCATGAGGGACGAGCCTCGCGACCACCGTAGCAGGAAGGCCGGCAGTGTTTACTACGAGGAGGAGGAGCGGACTCGCAAGCGGGTCCTCAACAAGCAGGAGAAGATCGTCGCCGCCGTACTGGGTGGCGTCCTTGCTGCCGGCGCCAAGGAGGTCTGGGATCGTCGCGAGGCCGGCCAGGAAGGCAGCGAGGTCCATCGCAACCTGGCTGCTTCAGCCGCCTTGGCCGCAGGTGGTGCACTCGCCGGCTACCAGGGAGCCGATTTCTACAACAAGCGCGCTGTCAAGGAGGAAAAGAAGTCGACCTATGTTGTCCACAAGGGCCGTGACGGCCGCGTGTCTGAATACTACTCGGACGAAGACGAGGACCCCCGGTCCAAGAAGAGCAACAAGTCCTTCCTCGAGAACGCACTCAGCGCCGCCGGTCTTGGAGGCGCTGTCAAGGCCTTGACAGGCGGCGGTGACAAGCACGATGACCACCGGTCCGATGCGCGCAGCCGCCGAGGTAGCCCGGACTCCACCAAATCCCGGGGCGGCGATAACGCCACCAACAGAATGCAGAAGGCCGCGAAGGCCTCCCTCGTGGCTGGCGCCGCCGAGGCGTTCCGCGTCGCTCGGGAGCCCGGCGGCTGGAAAGGAGAGAAGATGAAGCGCATCCTGACCGTTGCAGCCGGTGCGGCAACTATCGACGCTGCCCACGACCCCACCAAGGACAGCAAGCGTCACCTTATGGAGTCCGTCATCGGTGGTCTGGTCGGCAACCGCGTTCTCAACGGGTCCAGAAAGGACATTGAGGAGGACAGGAGGACTGGCAGAAGCCGCTCTCGATCCCGGGCCCCCTCTCAGGGTGGTGGCGGCGGCGCCAGTGGTCTGGCAGCTCTTGCGACCGCCGGCTTGGGTGCTCTCGGTACCAAGAAGCTTCTGGAGAAGAAAGATGATTCGCGAAGCCGGAGCCGCCGCGGCAGTCCGGACTCGTACTACGATCGTGACGAGTCCCCACGCCGACGCCACCGCAGCCGCAGTCGAAGTGTAGTCGACACGGCCCGTCGCAGCTTGGCAAAGATTGGCCTCGGCAGTGGCCCAGATGAGAAAGACGACTACGATGATTCACGTTCAGCACGAGGAGGCCGTCGCCGTGGTCACAGCCCAGACGACAGGTATGACGATGACTACACGTCTCGCGGATACATGAGAGGAGGAAGAGGCGACGACCACTACGACGACGACAGATCAGCCCGAGGAGGAAGGCGACGCAGCACCTCACGGCAGCGAGGGGGCCGCTCCGGTTCTGTCTCCAGCAGCGACCTCGGCGACTCGGATGAGGATGAGAAGAGAGCAAAGAAGATGAGAGGTAAGCAAATCCTGACAACCGGATTGGCCACTGTGGCCACCATCCACGCGGCGCACAATGTATATTCGAGCATGGAGAAGCGCAACGCAAGGCATAGGGCCGTGAAGGAGGGTAGACTGGACCCGATGGAGGCCAAAAAGCTCAAGTCCAAGGCCATTCTGCAGGACGCCGCTTCTGTCGGCATTGCAGCAATGGGTATCAAGGGCGCCATTTCCGAGCTCAAGGAAGCTCGGGAGCAAAACCACCAGGTCAAGGAGTGGCGAGAGGAGAAGTCCAGACGGCACGAGCGACGCATGGAACGGCTTCAGCGGGCAAACGACGATCACTATGGCAGAAGCCGCGCTGACAACTGGTCTTCCTCAGCTCCCCCACGGGAGAGGCGGTACTACGACGACGGGCCCCGTTATGCCGACGGGAACCCCTACTCGGCCACTCTGCCCGCGCCTCCAGTCGGCTACGACCGGAGGTGAGGAGATGAAGCCCGCCCTGACAAAATGTATGAACGCTCCTTGCCAGTCCTTACACTCTACGCCTTGGCCTCGCTGTGGCCGTCTGGCTCACAACACAAACGCACACACACACACATCACACTCTTTCTTGTTACGACTTGACGACATAATGTATCATGATGATGAAGAAAGCAAAACAATACTTGAGCTCTATTATTAAAGGGAAGCTTTGAAAGAGTGCTGGCTGCGGAGAAACGGGATCTATAAGCGCTTGCTTGCTTGCGTTGCCTTCTTCAACCTTGTCGTTTGAGATAGAAGCAGAGAGCTCACATTTTTTCTTTTCCTCCTCTTCCGTTGGTTGTTTTTCCCTATATCACTTACACGCAAGAATTTTATTACGTTTTGTACAACAGAACATCTCACTGATCACCCCTGGGTATGTGACAGAGCGGCGTCGACGCCACGACCACTAGATCCTGTACCTCAAATGAAGCATGTCAGCTGTGGCTCGGGCAGGATCGTTGAATTAAGGGGATCGTGCGCGCATGCCCTCCCCGGCCGGCATCCTCGGGCATTCTTATCCTTCCCATCTGTGTAACAGGTCAGGGGGACGAGCATGACCCGCCGCCGGCAGACGGGGGGAAACGCACAGCGAGTCCCGCTAATGCACGATCCACGAGCGAACCCACTGCCATCGTGAGACCGCCGGCCGGCACAAGCGAATCGAGAGCGAGGGCGCGCGCACATCCCGGCTGCCGCGTTGTCGTTGCGCCAACCAAGACCACTAATCTCGGTTTCCCGATGTGGAGGGCCTGGATCCGATCGTCGCGATTTAGGGGGGTGGAGTTACGGACGGGTATGGAACGGGGGACGGCGAGACGTGGGTCCTGCAGGGATGGCTGGATACGGCTCTATTTCTGATTTGCCCAAGGAGGTTATCTTCCTTCCCGGAAGCTTGTTCGGCACTGGGGAGGAGCATATGCAGGTTGGGCATGTGTGTGGTTATATTTCGTGTATCCGGCGGTGTGGGTTTTTGTCGTCTTTGTTGGTCTTAGAACGGTATCGCGATATTACACTTGTTTTTTTCCATTGGGGGAGCAGAAAGAATTGTCGGCGGGGAAAACCTCGTTTTACGACGATGCGGCATGACGACGTGGCGTGTCCAACAGAGAGGCGGGTGCTTGAACACCCAATTGGTTGGGGGATGATACGAACTCACGACCACCTATTTTTTTTTTTTTTTTAGTTTAACTCTTCCTTCTCTTACGATTCTACAGATCCGAATGACATTGAAACTCTTCATAAGTCTGAACCAAAGCTGTGACTATTTTCCCCATCTACCTAAACGTAGCCCGCGGTAGAAAGACTCGGGACAGTGATAAGATCCTCGGATACTGGCCCCATGAAATACCGGGAGATCCGACCTCTCATACAACAGCCCAGCCCCTCTAGGTTTCCGCGTCACTCCTCGCCGAAGTCACTTACCTAATCAACCCAGACGTGGAGACACGTGGCTGACACCGACTGCCCAGCATTCCGCAAAAGCAAGATGGGGTCGTTTGGACGGGAGGACAGGAGAGGACCTGGAACGGACAGGGTTCCAGGCCTCCAACGACACCGTTTGGCACACGACTGGAGTTCCGGCAGGAGCCGGTCCACGCTGCAAGTCTGTAGCTACGGCTCCGTCGCGGCTATATGTGTAATTGTGTATGTGCCTGTGTATGAGCGTGTGTGTGGGGAAGCCGTTTGGTGCGATACCACGCGATGCCATGCAGCAGCCGCCCCCAGTCGCCCGCCGCGGTCCAACCACCCGCTCGCTGCCAGCCCGAGAGGAAAATCCCCGCGGGCGAGTGGTGATGTCACTGTGCCTCTGGGGGGCCCTCATTGCGCTTCGTAAAGAAAGCTCCGGGGGAGCGGGCGTTCCAAACCCCGAGCGTTGTGGCCGTATTGCGGCTACACCGCTCTTCGGGTGCGCGTGCTCTTTCTCGCCTGCTAGGGATGTGAGAGAGACGAGAGGCTCGACTGGTTGGTCTATGGGTGGCTGCGTCCGCGCACACGCAGTAGCTCGCATGGGTCGCCGGGCCTGGAGCATAATTAGTAGTGAACAAGATTTCGGACGGATGTGCATAGGTTCGAGACAGAGCAGATTATAGCCGGTTGGATGTCCAGGTAGTGTATTATACTAAATTCATGCCCCAACGTCGGGAAGAACGGGTCCCTGTCAGCGGGTGCCTCCCGGCTTGGCAGCGCCTTGGTTCGGGGGCCGAACGGCGACTTACCCACACCACGCACGCTTGAAGTGGCTGCATATCGAGGCCAAAGCAACGGTTTCTTTTGCCCAAGAGACCGGTCTAGGCTTCAAAGAGTATTTCGGTGTTCGGTCTCCGGTACTCGGCAATCATGGAAACAAGCAAGCGGAAATGATGAAAACATGGAAAGGGCCGCTAATGTGACAAGGGCAGAAAACCACAGTGATACAGGGCTTTTCATCATCGTCAATTGTAATACTACAGTTTCTAGCCTTATTCCCTGTGCGAGCGACGCTGGAGCGCTCATCCAGCTCCGCCAGCAGCCTGCTTCCACTGCTGCGCCATGGCGAGCATGTTGGAGAGGTCCTGCTTCTGTTCGTCGTCGGCCGGGAATATGTAGTCGATGTATTCCTCGAACGTGTCGTCCTCCAGTCTGCGTCTGCGCTTTGTCCGGCGCGGCATCTGCTTCTGGACCTTGTCGATGTCCTCCTCGCTGCCGTAGGTGCGCTCGAACGCGAGCCACGAGTTGAGCAGAGACACCCGCTCCTCCTTGAGTTCTTGGTCCTTCATCCTTCTGTGGGCACGGTCAAACACCTTTCGTGCCCGATCCTTGGCCTCCTCGCTCTTCGGTGGCTCTTCGGCGTCGCCGTTCGCCGCCTCCTCTGCCGCGTCCGGGATGTTGAGCTCGAAATGCGCGTAGCTGATCCAGACCTTGACGTGATCCGTCTTCTCGAGAAGTCGTTCATACAGGTCGCGAGTCCTCGAGTATTCTCCCTCTCCTTCCTCGAAATCAATGTATGCTTTCCACAGCAGCTCGGGCATGTCGAGCTCATCCTGACCCACGGCAAACTCGTAAATGGCACGGGCTCGGTCCAAGTCATCCAGACTTTGCTCCAGTTCGGCAAACCTGATCCATGCTTGACAGTTCGTGGGGTTCCATTCGATGTACTTCTCGTACAGCGTGCGGCAGCGGACAAACTCATACAGCTTCATCTCGAGCTCGATATAACCCTTGTACAGCTTGTCCTTGGCGCACATGCCGATGGCCTGACCCAGGGTCTTCCGCGCCGCAGTGAGCTCTCCTTGGCGGATCTCGAAGTGGGCCTTCAACAGCCAGATCTTGGCAAATGTGAACTTTTTGTGTGGTATCAGGTCGAGGCACAGCTTGTAAATCTGCCTCGCCCTGCCGACGTCCTTGGCCTCCATCTCTTCCCATATAGCGTAGAAGGCCCACAGGTAGATGTAGCGGCGCCAATGCCGTTTCTCTTGCGTAGGTGGTATCTGAGCGACAGCCCGCTCGTACACGTCACGCACGCGGTCGACATCTCCGGACGTTTCTTCGAGGCGGGCGTAGTCAAACCATATGTCGTAATTCTTGGGGTTTTGTGTGACCTGATCCTCGTAGTATCTCCGGCGCTTGGACAAGACGACGTCCTCGACGCCCTCCCTGTCGCCAAACTGCTTCTCGAAGGTGGTGTAGGCCTTGTGCAGGTTCATCGACTTGGACCGAGGTAGGCGGTCGAGAGCATGCTTATATATGGCCCTCGCACGTTCGTACTCCTTCAGCTTGGCCTCGAACCTGGCCCAGGCGATCAAAAGCTTCTCGTCGGCGAATTCGTCGCCCAGCGTCTCGATGGCGGCGGCATAGACCTCGCGCACGAGGTCGCTGGTGCCCGACTCCTCTTCGAACTTGGCCCACTTGATCCAGTTCCTCGGCTCGGGGTGGACAATGGTGAAGCGCTGGAAGATGTCCCGGGCCCGCTGGAACTCGCCGTAGCGCTTCTCGAGCTTGATGTAGGCGCTCCAGGCAGCCTCGTCCGGCTCCCACTCCATCCACCTCTCAAAGACCTGCCTGGTGCCGGGGATGTTGCCCAGCATCTCCTCCATGTAGACGTACTTGTACCACAGCTTGTCTATCCTCGGCAATATGGTGACGGCGCGGTCGAGGAGGTTGCGTGCGTGGGCGATGTTCCGGTTCTTCATCTCGGCCTCGATGTACCTGATCCACAGCACGACCGACGTCGCATCGACGTCCAAGGCCCGCTCAAAGATGGAGCGGGCGCGGCGGAATTCCTTCTGTTCGAGTTCCCACTGTGCATAGCGCATCCAGTTGTTCATGTTGATGCGGTTGCGCCTGACATAGTCCTCGAACTCCTTGCGCTTCCTCCCCTGGAACTCGTGCAACTCCTCCAGGTCGGCAAAGCGCTGGGTGGGCGCCTTCAGCTGGTCCTCCTGGCGATCCTGGGCCTCGCGCAACAGCTGCTCGGCCGAGATCTGGATAGGCGCAGCGGCCTTGTTCTTGACCCTGGGAGGGCCGCGTGAGGACTCCATGGCGGCGATCTTGAGCCTTCGGGGCGGTCGAGCTCGCGATGGCGGCGGGTTTTAGTGTTGGGAGCGATGTCCGCTTCTACCTACACGGAGGGAAGAGCAAAGAACGCGGTCCTGGTCCAAGGCTGGCTGGCTTCCAACCCAGGCGTCAGAGCTCGAATAAAAAAAATATGGGGACCAGAGCCTGGGCTGGGACGGCTGGACGGCCATCCCAATGCCAGGCCAGGCCAGGCCAGGCCAGGGCAGAGTGCCCAATCAGAGCGAACCAACTCGTTGACCGTGCTTAGGTAAGCGTGTCGGACTAACTGCTCTGCCGGGGTTCCGTCGCGGTTGCCCCCCCTGGAACCTCCAGAAAGTCCAGTGAGTCGCGTCGCTGCCTCGGACGGGAGCTTTGACTCGCCTTATCTAATCAGCTAACTAAGCAATCCAGCCGAGCCAACTTTTCGACATCGACGACGGCGTCTTCTGTCTCTACCTCAACCCACCCCCTCCGACGACCCCGCACGCTCGCCGTCAGTACATCGTCCAAGAACGGCGCGCCAGCTTGACGCCGCCATCTCGACGACGCCACTGCAACTTGTAGCGTCAAGGAGGGCGGACCTCTTCAGGGAGAGCCAAGGCCACGGCCAGGCGCGGGAAGCTGCCTAAAAGTGAGTGAGTCGCCTGAGAAACTGGTATTTGTTCGTCAAGTCTCATCGGCCAGTGGACCGCCATGTCGACTCTTGCAGACGAACTCCTCCAGGACTTCGAGGACTCGGGCTCCGAGCATGGCGATGAGCAGAATGATCTGGGCTTGGACGGGGGCAGTCCCTCCTTGGGCCAGACGAATGGCGACGCCAACGGCGCTCACGACAATGGCGACGACGACGACATGGTTCTCGACGGCGACGAGGAGCCGCCTGCCGAGGACGAGGAGATGGGCGGGCTGAACGGCGCCGCCATCGATCCTCTGGACGACGAGGACGAGGCCAAGGCCAAGGTCGAGAAGATGCAGCTGGGCAGTGTCAAGGATGTCCGCAAAGTCAGCACTGTCATGGATAGACTGGAGCCTCTATTGAAGGTAATTTGCCAATCCTCCAACACCCCCGAGCCCACCACAGCGTCTAACAGTCCCCAGAGCATCGCCCAGTTCCAGTCGCAGCCATTCAACTCGCAGACTATCAACGTCGGCAACATCGAAGACAATCCAGAGTACAGAGTCCTCACCGAATCCAACACGCTATCTACTCAGATCGACGGCGAGATCATGAAGGTGCACAAGTTCATACGGGACCACTACTCCACAAGGTTCCCCGAGTTGGAGACCCTCGTACAGAACCCCATCGATTACGCCAAGGTCGTTGCCATCCTCGGTAACGGCCCCATGGACCAGGCTAGTATCAAGGCTGTACAAGACAAGACGGACAACATCCTCGGCGAATCTCTCAAGTCGGTTCTTGATGGCCCGTCCTTGATGATCGTCACCGTAGAGGCTACATCGTCGAGAGGGCGGGAGCTCAGTGCAGATGAGTTGGATCGCATCCTCAGAGCTTGTCACATGATAGTGTCCATGGACAAGGCCAAGAAGACCTTGACGGAATACGTCCAGTCTCGCATGAACGTGTTCGCGCCCAACCTTACAGCTGTCGTGGGCTCTTTAACGGCCGCCCAGCTCATCAACACGGCTGGTGGATTGACTGCACTGTCGAGAACACCATCCTGCAACCTGGCGGCGTGGGGGTCCAAGAAGCAAGCCAACGCAGCTTTTGCGACCAACGTACAGAACAGACAGCAAGGTTACCTGTACCACTCACCCATCATTCGCGGTATCCCGAATGACCTAAAGAAGAAGGCGATGAAAGCCGTTGCCGCTAAACTTGTCCTTGCTGCCCGCGCAGATACTGGCCATACCAGCTCTGATGGCTCCTATGGTGAGGAGCTCCGGAGCCAGTGTCTCGAGAGACTTGACAAGATGACCGCCCCTCCGCCGAACAAGGGTCAGCGCGCACTCCCAGCGCCAGATGACAAGCCATCGCGGAAGCGTGGTGGCAGGTTGGCCCGTAATGCCAAGGCTGCAGTTGCCATGACTGAGCTGAGGAAGGCCCAGAACCGGATGGTCTTTGGCAAAGAGGAGAAGGAGACGGACTACGGCGTTGGCGACGGCACTGTCGGTATGGGTATGATTGGTCAGGCCCAAGAGGGGAGAATACGTGCTACACAGATCGACAACAAGACACGCGCAAAGCTCAGTCAGAAGAATAAGGGATGGGGAGCCATAGACCCGCTCGGCGGCTCAGCCTCGACGATCCGCTCTGCGGCCTCCAACATCGACCTCCGTGGAAAGGGCCTCCGCACGTCGGGCATTGGCACCACGATCGGGGGTGGAGCTGCAGGGACGGCCTCGTCGCTTGCCTTTACCCCTGTGCAGGGCATTGAGCTAGTCGACCCAAAGGTTCAAGCCGACCTCAAGCGCAAACGTGCCGCCGAGGAGGACCGTTACTTCAAGAGTGGTTCATTCACCCAGGTTGGCGGAACCAGTAGCCAGCCTCCCAGCAAAAAGCTTGATGTGGGAGCCGGCAAGATGGCCCCTCCTCCTTTGCCCGCCAAGAGATAGGTTCACGGCGGAGCTGCGTGTCGCGGTATCACCGTAGACGGGCAGACGGGGGCATACAGAAGGAAACATATGAGGTGGGCTCTAGGTTGCCGTGAAAGGAGGGGAAGGTTTACTTCAACAGACCCCCCTTCTTCTCTGATCCGGCAGCATGCATGGCATTGGCGTCAGGGTTACATAGGAAGATATCAGGACAGAATTGAATTTGCTTGTATTTGGATGCATACCAGAACGTGGCCCTGTCACTGTCAACCTACAAGTCCCTTAAGGTCCCCTCTTTTTGTTGACTGCAAGCATGTAAGCTCGTTGGTTGCCTCGGCGCGAAGCGAAGCGCGAACCCTCGTCTGCTTTTCCTAATGCCGGTGTGAACCTTAAAAATCGATGTATTTTTTCCGCACCCCCTTCGCAAAAGCCAAGTTCCTCGCAAGCGAAAAAGCCTAGACTTCCGCGGGCGGGCTTCCCAAAGCTAACGAGGTTTGCCTTTGAGCCTATCACCACCTATGCAGTCCGGCGCGCGGCCGCCCTCTCGGACCTTTTCCCGACGGCAACGCTTACTGGCGGTCGCCTGCTTGGGACTGGAAGTCGAGCCACTGTCGTACGAATGGCGCAGTCGTTGGAGCCAACAGTACGACGCACCGGCGAGTCGCCATTGGGCGAAGCTCCCCCGGGCCCCCCTCCCCCCCAGCAGCTCAACCCGTTATCTTGGGTGAGGGGGGCCAAACGTAAGCCCGTATGTACTGGGCATGCAGTAGAGGGAATGGATGGGAATGGGCTGCCCCGTACATAGCAAATGTGTGGCTGTCCGTTCTCATAGGCCGGCGCATTCTCCCGCCTCCATAGTAAGTTGCTAGCACCTAGCGCTGCATGCAAGGCGTTGGTAGGCAAAGTACTGCGTCGGGGTCCCTGGGAGGTATGTCATACTGGATTCCCAAGGGTCCTCGACTGCATGTGGGCACCTTAATACAAGGGGGTGGTTCGGTTGCAGCTGTCAGTAAGCAAGAAGGTGTAGTAGGGGTTTGTTTGTTTTGTCTTTGATGGTCCCCCGGCTAGGAGACCCTGGAATGTAAGCTCGAGCATAACAGCTTCCCTGCGGCATCCTGAATAGAGGGGATCAAGGGCGGGCTTGTTCTACCATAGTACAGTTCTGTGGTAGCTACACGATTGCGTATATTCAATCTTGCTTGACGAGATGAATATGCAAGTATTCGTCGATCCCATCGGATCGTCAACATATGCCCCATGGTACGGTAGTCGGCATCTGAGATCCGCGCAAGGTGGGAGAAAGCAGGATTCCCATGGCCTCAGGACAGGGACAATACCAGAAATCCCATCTGCCGTGATCCCAAAGTTCGCAAACGTAAGAGCCTAGAGGAGCCAGGGATGCTGAGGGTGCCTCGTGATAGGTCCTGGTGAGCCGTTGGCGCCCCGGCCGTGAGGGGGTTCTTGGAAAGATACACTACTCTCACCATCCACCCAACGGGCTTGGGATGTCAGGGTCCTGTGGCTAGTGCTCGCGACATGCGGGGTCTCGTTCTCAAAGAAGGTCCTGGACTTGGGAGCGTGAAGTACAGGGCAGGTAGAACGGCTCTGTTACGAAAGGTAAAATGGTGGTTTGAAGGACTGGGCAGCTTGATTCGTGCCATAGCCGAGCGCGTGTCACAAACTAAGAGACGAGAAACAGGCGAGGAGAGGGATAACAAGGTTTGTTCTACTGGCAGGAAGCGACCCGCGGATTTGTACGCAATGTTCGCGTTAAAGCCGCCGACCAATAGTTCTGTGTCTAGAGGCTGCGAATTGACTTTGGACGGGGTTTAGTAGCTACTGCAAGAGTGTAGCTTGTTGCGCCGTTTGGGCATCTCGAAGTATGATCACATACTATCGGGCCAGATGATGTAAACTATACAGCACTATGCCGACAGGATAGCTCCCCATGACCAACTTAGACTGGTGGATCAAGATATGTTGACTGAACATTTGGAGGCTCGACCATCTGATAAGTTGAGGGAACCAACGGCCATTGGCTTGGGACGTAGGTGACTAGTGTGAACGTCTCGGCTAGTTTCGCCGAACAATTACACGAAAGGGATTTAGACTAGCCATACCGTTGGCAACGCGGCTTGGGTTCAACGAACACCACCAGGCAAACTTGAAGAGGCAGTTCCTCTCGCTTACTCCGAATCTTCATCGGAAGAAATGGCATCTAGTACGGTCGGCGAACACTCTTGGACAGTGGGTCTCGCCTGAGGCAGACTATTTGAGAGCTTTGTTTGATACTCCGAAGTTTGATATAGGGCCTTCCCAAGTTGGGCATCCCAAGTGGCCCGCGCCTTGTCTAATTATTTCCGACACGGACGTTACTATAGCAAGCCGGAGATTGGCTCCCCTGTCAATAACTCTTGCTGAAGGCCCCATCAGACTGGGGCCGGAGCCTCATACGAAGAAGTGACGTCAGAAGGGTCCAGAGGACGGTTCCAGGCCCTCGTTCGCCTTGCCTCACCTTGGCCGGTACAACAGTCCCAAATTACAGGTGCTAGGCACTGTACGTACCGAGCAGTGGACAGTTCTATGAGTAAGCGATGCAGGGGAGCGGTGAGGTGGACAGACCTTGGGATGGGGGAAGCTCCACGGTGCCCGTGCTGAAGCATCGTGATATCTGGATCTGGATCTAGATTGGTATACTATGTGCTCGATGGCATAACGGCCAGCACAAGCGTTTTCCCTGGCAGGCCTGTGGGACTAAGGCCTGTCAAGTCACGCCTGTCACATCTGCAGAAACCTGACTGTACTGCAACTCATGCCAGGGCGGTCTCGTTGAGAGATCTGGAGGATCTCGCCGTGGCCCAATCGCGTTGATCCGGCGAGCCTGTCCGGAAGAACATTCTATGAAAGAACAAGCTGCTAGTGCAAGTTGGCCCAAGGGTTCAATGCACATCTCTTTGGGAAGCTAAAAATGGGGTACGTCAACTGGTGTCGGGAAAGCAGCCCTTGTGGGTCTCGCGGGAAAATCAAGCTGTGGGCTGGCGCTGAGTGGTCCCCCCCGTGGAGCATCCCTGCGAAAATTCAGCACCATCGTCGATCGAGTCGCAATCGACGATTGATCACAGCTGGACGATTCAATCCTCATCGAAAAATGTGCCAGCATCTGTCGCAGGCGAGAGCACCCTTTTTCACTCAATTTCCCTTTGCCACTGGAGCAATTCGGCACCTGCTGGCACTCCGCGGCCTGTCCGAGATTCGTCTCGCTACTCTGGCGGCCATGGCACATCGCCGTGCTGATCGCCATCGCCATCGCGACCGAGGACGACGAGAGCTGAGCTGCCGGTGCCTGAGGAGGCGCTGGGGCGCCTTCGGCAAAGCTGAAGCAGAGGGCCGATGGTGGTCTGGACTTGTGTCAGAGGGTCCAGCAAGGCTGCACTAAACAGCTTTGTGCCTCCCGTACAAAAGTCGTCTGCTATGTAGGGGTCCCGAGGGGTCCCGGAGAGCCTTCCAGCCAATCAGACCGGGCAGACGGTGGGCAAGCAAACCGCTGTGCAAGACCCTGAAATGGGGACATGGCAGGCCGCCTGCTCGATCCAGCCAAGCTTGTTGCGTGTTTCCGTGCACCACCAGCGTGTCTCGCGAGGTACTTTGGGGGGCTTTGGGTAGGTTTTGTCGATCCTTGGGCGCCCGCTCCCCAGTCTAAACCCAGGCCCAAGTGCCACGCGCTAAGACCCCTGGTCCCCCCTGGCCGCCTCGATCCCTGTCTGTCGTCCTCCAAAATCTCGATTGAGGGCGACGAGCTCGATCGCAAACAGAAATCTTCTCCAGCCCGCCGCGACGTCTTACACAGGACCCTTTCCTCCTCGCCTTTGCCCGTCAGCCCACCTAAGCCCATGCAGGGACTTTATGGCTATTGCTGCGACGGCCACAGGATCGGGTTTTCCCTGAAATTTCTGAGCTCGCCAAACCAGCAATGACATCATGTCGCGAAGCTGCTACTTGTGGTACTTGGAAATGGGCCCCGGCGCTGCGTACCGGCCAAAGTACCTCTTTAAATGGCTTCAGGTACCGGCCGGGCCAGGTAGGTTCCCCGCAGACCCAGCGTACCATCTGCTGGAGGGTGCGAGCGTGGAGGCCATGGACGCTCGTCAGCTCAACAGAGCTATCAACAAAAACAGGTCGCATGGACAGCAGACGCCAGACGTGCATGCCAGCATGCTTGTTTATTCGGCCACAATCTGGTTTTGTGCAATGAAACGAGGGCGGGCGGCCATGTGTCCAGTTTGACCAAGGGCGGTGCTACTGTTGAGATCGAGATCGGGCTCGGGGAGCATGGAATTCTCGAAATGCCATGCCCGACGTGGGAAGTCGCTTGCAAGTATCTTTCTGAACACGCGAGACCCGTCTGCCACCGCACCAACGATATTGCGGGCGAATAGCTAGCTGCTAGCCCTCCAAGAACGTCTTGTCTGTCCGGCCTTGTGTCGACTCTTCGCAGCCCGAGTACGCGTATTAAATATTTGGGTAATGGCCCTGGCTAACTTCGCGTCCACGTTGTATAGTCAGCAATTGACTATACCCCGTTGCAGGGAAGTCGATATAGAAATTGAATTTTCTTGGACTTCTCTTTTCTGACTCTGGAGGTGTAGAAGCTTGACAGCTCTCCTCGGCCGGGTAACGGCCTGGTATGCAATCGCGATGGCTCACGTCTGGAGGCACCTCATGATCCTGTCGCGGGGATAACATGGGGGGCCCACAGACCGCGGGGCTCACACCAAAACCGGTCGACAGACTCGACTCGGACCCCGTGGCACTGAGGGTCCTCTGCAAGCTCCCCTGACGGCCACCTACGTCACGGTGAAGATGATAAAACGAAATATACCAAATCTGCAGGGTCCGACGAAAAGGTCAGCTTGCTCACGCGGGCCGAAAATTCGTATACTGCAGCGAGTGTATTCTATGCGGCGAAGCGGTTTGATCGAGATGGCCCTTGATTTGAAGCCGAGACATGCCTACGTACCTCCCACAGATCCCCGTCCGCCGTCTGGCTCGTAGATGTAGTGTACTTTGCCCAGTACGAGCTGAGTAATCTGGCGAACTGGGATCCGATTTGGTCGGCTCCGGCTGGTCACCTGTACCTGTTGATCGCGGGAGCAACTACTTTACTGTTCGTCAAGACTCTAGAGCATCTCAACAGACACACTATGGTCGACGATGGCATTGAGCGTCGGTGGTAGTGCATCGCAGGCACAAGTTACGCCTTGTACGCCTCCCCTTCAGGGCCCCACTGGCGGAGACAGACAGCGATGATAGAGCTCGCGTATCGTACGACTCTGATGAGGCAGCTTGCCCCGAAACTCAATAGTATGCTCTTGGAAAGGCTCAAAACGGCTGGAAGGCTAAGTCTAACGAAGCCCGGATGTCGCCAAAGCTTGAGCCACGGCAAGCCTCTGGCTGCTGGCTGCTGGCTGCGCTGCATGTGCAGCATGTACGTACCGGTCGTTGCGCTGGCTCTCCTCTGGCCTGCCCGCCTCCCTGCTTTGCCTGCGGTGATAAGCGTGTAACGGCCCAAGCGTGCCGGCGTGGTTACTCCGACACAGCTAGCGGTACTTATGCAGTACCTGGCCGTGTACATCCGACTGCCCGTCCCCGCTCGTCGATTACTTGGTCATGCCACTGGAAGACCCCTGACCCCTACGCTTCCGCTACCCTGGTCTTTTCGCTGCTCCTTTCGGGTCAAGGTACGGTCCACTGAACCCACCCTGATGGGCATGGGTTGTGGAGAGCCCTGCGGCTTGCGGGCAAGCGAAAACTCATGGGATTCATGCGTTTCCCATGTTGCTCTTTTAAAACCCAGAGCTCGCGCATCTGCTTGCCTGCCGTTGGCTACCGTGTCTACTCACGAACTTTGTTCAATCCCTCATACACCACTCGCACGATAATACTTTATTGCCTCACACATCACAGCCTTCCCTTGTGGCTTGCTCATCAACCTTCGACAGCCTCATCGTCAGTCGACCCTCATCTCACCCCATCTAGCTGGACCGGCTCATCGCTCGCATTTGCTGTCGTCGCCAACACACCACAGGATTCCCTCACATAGGCACACTTTACCTCACCATAGAACGCTTCCATAGCTGGACGGTAGTCAGGATTCTTCTGCGATTGTAATCTGTGCCTAGCCTGCCGTGCCTGTCACATTGCTCTCATCGAGGTCTCGCCATCCATTTTTGAAGCCGCGTCAAACCCGCCATATAATCAGGGAAGCTGCTTGAGCCGCCTACCATCCACAAACGAAATCACCGTGATTGAGTCACCTTCCCTATCGCCGGCACAATGCAAGCCAGAGACGCCACAGGCCGACAGGTCTCCCTGCTAAATGACGACTCATACTCACGTCCCCTCACATACCGGACCACCAGCCAATATCAGTCTACCAGAGGCATTTCGCCCCCATCTCACACTCCTGAGCTTATGCGCTCAGATTCCTACGACTCCAACACTAGCTACGACCCCGTGTCTCCCATGACACCAGCTGTCTACGACTTTTCTCGAGCTCCCTATGACGACTACCTAGCTGAGAAGCAGAGCACACTCAAGCGCCCTGCCTACGTGGACAGCAGCCGGTCCAATTCTTTCCTTGACGAGGATAGCTCCAACACGTCGTCAGTGCCGGACAGGACGGCCAAGCGTTATCCGTGTCGTTACCGGGATAGCCACGGCTGTGAGAAGACCTTCACCACTTCCGGCCATGCCTCAAGACACTCCAAGATCCACACAGCCGAGAAGGCTGTGCAGTGTACATTCCCCGGATGCCACAAGAAATTCACGCGCGCCGACAACATGAAGCAGCACTTGGAGACCCATTTCAAGGACAAGTCCAGGTCCTCGGGGTCAACCAAGTCTTCCAAGTCTCTGGGCTCCTCGAAACGTGGCTCCATATCGTCACGGTCGACTACCTCCCAGGGCAGCAGCCAGGCATCTCAAGACGTCACCATGTGGGATGCTGACCACTACGGCATCGTTACCGAGGTCTCACAACTTCCATCGCCCAGCGGTTGGGACATGCGAGGACTCAGCCTCCCTATCATGAGCCGGCCGGGCGCCATGCGAGCAAGCAGCGGGCTTGACGCCCTTGCAGCCATCGCCTGCCAAGAAGGCAGCGCTTAAGGGTCCCGTCGCACCACGTTCATCACTGCCACCAGTACATACGCATCTCAGCAACTGTATAGCCGGCTTCTTCTGTTCCGAATTAGAAGTCCTCTGCCAGAAGTGCAGCATGGTGTCTCAGCAATGGAGACGAGGACGATTATTCACGAACATTTTTTTGGACTTGACGTTATATATACCTGGCGTTCGGGGCCTTTCTTTGAGATACCCTAGGGCGCAAAGTACACGCATAAGGCGCACCTGGAGTTCTTCTATTATTTATTATGGGCATTTCAAGGGGAAGACTTGGGGAACAATGCATTGAGCAATCAGGGAATTTACAAAGGGTCTGGTTTGGGTCCTGGTTTGGAGGGGAGCCAAAAGCTCGAGGGGCGATGGCATCGTCCCGTTGGCACGATCTGTGAAGGAGGTTTCCACAGCACAGGACAAGCCTGAAAAGAGGCAACCAGAGGTCCTCACTTGGAAGGCATCGTCTCTGGTGACTCTGGAAGTTTCACATGTAGCATTCAAATTTTGGCGTTAGATACCAACCGTCCGCCCAGGACAAGATCAGAGTCGGGGCTTGTGGCGCACCAAAACAGGGGCGATCATTCAAATGAAATACATCCTGATATTTTACTCTTAAAATGATTTTTTGTCTCCCTCATAATTTGGTGATACTTCCAAAAATTAAAGAATTTTGACTTCTCGCGATCTTTCGGGGGGCAAGTCGCAAGTTAGTAACTGCCAAGGTGGCAATCTTCTGAGGTCACCAAATCTCACGATCATGTCAACTAACAGACTTACACAAAGGTTTCCAAGTTTTACTCCTACCATCACACATCACACCAAGGAAAAACGCACAGTGAGATCATGGAAACGACGATCAGAGAGAAAACCCCGCGAAACATCCATTTGCCATCGACTTCTCAACTTTCCCATGCTGGAAGCCCCTCGAGATCTCGCAGGCGCACCCACGCGAAAACAGGGTCAATCGCCAAGCAGAACCCCGAGAAAGGCAGATGAGCACGACCGAGGCGCAGAGCTGATTCGCTCTGTGTCGCCCGCGTCCACAAGTTGCTAGCACGTCAGCGTAGCTCAGGTAGACGATCACGAAAGTGGTGTCATGCAAAAAGGGACCCCGCGGCCAGCAGAGACGGGGTGCCAGATGGTCCCCTGACCAAGGAAACACCACCACGCGAGAGAAGAAAAGAGATGGGATGGGCGGCCTTGCCAGCAAGCCAGAGACCGCACATCAGTGATCGGCAGGCGTGGGATCTCGATCGCAGGGCACCGAGCATCCGGCACCGCTCCTTTTGGTGTGACTGTTAACTAATCAGGTATCTAACTTGCCCCTCGGACCAAGTCGCCCTCTAGCTGCGCGCCCGTCCCGGTACCTATCTTTCCAGGGGTTCCCCCTCCGCCCATCAGCGTTGTATCGCTAATGCCCGAGGGGGTCGCAGGCGCCAGGCAGGGCGCCCCACAGGCCGAGTCGAGACCCTCTGCGCCGACGTCATTGTGCAGTGTTGCTCCCGCTGCGGATCTCACGATCTCCAAGTTTTTTCCTGATGGTTACTATTTTTTTTTTTGGTCTCCTCTGCCCGCGTTGCTCACCTCGGTCTGCCGCGGTGGCCCCGGATGTCGGTGGGGGACGCCCTTCTTTAATAGGAACGACCCCGTCGTTCGCAGATCATCACCAAAGTCTTGCCTAATAAGGCTGTCACGTTTTATTGTTGGTCCTTGGTGATGGCCGCCCCGTTTGGTCGTCAGGGTTTTTTTTTCCTGGGCTGCCAACATGCACGTCAGTCAGCCGCCAACACGAGGCTCCACATCCTTGTGAGTAGAGAGTACCCTGGGTACCTGGCAGAGGGGTCTTTCGGGTAGGCGTCCCTGCCGATCCGGTTCGTCCCCTTCGGGGTCCTTTGTTTACAGGGCAACGTAGATATGTCGGTGATGTGTAAGCGGCGTTCGGGCAGTGACCGGTCTTCAACACCAAAATCCATCCCGCCAAGTGTCCGGAAGTGATGAGTATGCCGGCCGCCCCGGAAGTCTAGCTGTTTGCCTTGGACGTGTAGATTGAGCCGTTGCATCCTACCAAAGTCCCGCCCACTCCATACGCCGTTGCCTGGTGGCACCTCGTGGCCCGCCCTGTCAGTCCGTCTATACATGGTTCAAGTATACAATTTTACGGGGAGAAATCATCTCATTATTCATGAAACGTCTATAGCACCCACACACGGTCACTTTAATTCGGGGTCCTCGGCACAACCCCTGGCCATCTCGAACTGCTCATCCGTAAGACAGACCAGCGTCCGGTGCTTTGCGCCTTTCTTGCCGACATCTTGCACGACGTCCTCGATCTGCTTGCCGTTCAGCGCATCATCCACTTCGAACCCCAAACACGAAACCTGCTCGACGACCCGCCGGCGCAGCTTGTCACTCTTCTCGCCGATGCCGCCCGCGAAGACCAACGCGTCCACCTTGCCGCCGAGCGATACGTAGTAGCTTCCCACGAACCCGCATATACGATCTACGAAGAGGTCAAAGGCGAGCTTGTGCTTGGGCTCGTCTGACGCGGCGATGATGCCAAAGTTGGTCGTGCCCGTGAGAGCTTTCCAGCCGCTTTCCTTGTTCAGGATCTCCTCGGCACGTGAGATGTGCAGCTCCTTTGTCGAAGATGGGGAAAGCTTGCCCACGTCACTGGCGTAGTGAAATACCAGACTGTGCCGTGTGTCATTATAAACTCAGCAATACGATGAAGAAGAAGAAGGCCTACCTGGGATCCACGCTGCCACTACGAGTGGCACCCGGCAAGCCTGCCAGAGGCGTCAAGCCCATGCTGGTATCCCAGCTTTTTCCGGCCTTGATCGCGCAAGCGCTGGCACCACTGCCAAGGTGTAGCGCGATGATGTTCAGGTCCTTCGGCGATTTGCTGAGGAACCTGGACACCGAATATGTGATGAACTGGTAACTGATTCCGTGGAACCCATACTTCTTCAGCTTGTTGCTCTTGGCGATCTCCGGGTTGATGGGGTAAGTACGAATATGCTCTGGTATAGAGCTGTGGAATTGCGAGTCGAAACAGGCGACATTGGTAGCCTTGGGTAGCTCAACCATGCACGACTTAACAATCTCGAGGGCGCTGGCATTGTGCAGGGGCGCGAGGTCGGTCAGAGCCTCAAGATGGTGGTAAGTATCCTCGGTGATCTTCTGGGACGTAGTATAGTCACCGCCGTGAACAATCCTGTGGCACGCAATGGCGATGTCGTCCTTCTTGGAGATTTCCGCCAGATCCGAGTCCTCGACAAGGGTTTTGAGCAGGACCTTGAAAGCATCATCCTGGCTCTTCACATCCTCTCCCACCTTCTTGTCCTTGCAGACAGTAACATCCTTCCGGGAATACTTCAACTCAGCTGGTGGTGATGTGAGGCCGCTCAGCTGAGCTTCCGCTAATTGTGACGGCGCTTGGCCATGCTCTGCGGCATATACGGATATCTTGACGGAACTCGAGCCGGCGTTGATTGATAGTATGACCCGCATCGTGAATGCTCTTGCGTGAAAGAAGTTCGCAGGCGAAAATGAGCGCGCTCTATAGCCAGTTTTTGAGTATAAGTATTTTCGAGCTGCCCGCCTCCGCCATGTGGTTGATGAATCGTACGTTGTTGGTCGCTTTCTCAGCAACAAGAAGCTACCCCACCTCCGGCGCTGGAGCTCATGCATTGTGCATGACGTGAGTTCGTACTATTAGTCCCAAATTGTCATCCCATCCCACATCTAGCCTACCAGTATACTGTTTCTGTGGCAGCATGTGGGCTTTCGGGTGGTCCCGGCTTTGGAGATAAATCTGCAGCCTTAAAGCAACCACACTTTGGGCTCGGTTGGGCACTAAGTGCGGGCTACAGCTTCAACAACGCCAGCGTACCTTTCGCTATTCGATACCTCCCCGATGACTGTTGCCCAGCAAAAGCAGGTCAACATCTTGGAAACAAAGATGCGGTGGTCTTGGCAAGCTGTGCATGCAAATGTTCTAACCACCGTGCCATATTTCCGTGTCCCAGACTTCACTCTTCTAGATGTGACTTGTCTTTGGAACATGATTGTCAAGACAAGCTACCGGTTTAACCGAGGCACGGTAGTCCTGGCTCGGGTTGGCTGTGTGGTTTGCATCATCTTCCGATGTAGGCATTCGCGTATCTCTTCCGCGTCTTCGACAGTACTAGCAGTGATTGCCTCTGTGAAGACCTGTACACTCAGTCTGCGCAGTTTCATGGAGTAGGATCGTCTTCTTCGGCAGGCTCCGGGAGCGTTGGAAGATCCGTTTGCCAGAGAGAATTTGTCGAAAGTTGATAAGAGCTCGCTGCTGTGATCTGAGGAGATGGCAACTCGAAAGCATCAGTCGGATACGATATTCCGTGGTATTCGCTGTCAGAGCTGTGTGCCATCAACCATGTATCCAGGAAACGGCGATAATCTAACATCGTTAGCCTCTGCTGTTGCCACAAAGTTGGGCTGATCACCTTCGCTCCGACTAAACTGAATCCCCAGATACCGTATGTCTTGAGAGCTCGACGTAGATGTGGAAGATGATGAGCCCCGCCTTGGGCGAAATGACGCAAGGGAGAGCCTCCTGCTTGATTCCGGAGCACTCCCACGCCGTCCTTGTACGTTCAACCGAATAGTCCGCCGCCGGTCGTCTCGACCTCTGACCTCACCTTCAAACTGATCCACCTGGTATTCTTTATACCTTCTGTCAGCTCGGTTCGCAAAGATTGTTAGTGAGTGTGACGTGTTTTGACGGTCAGACCATAGCTTAAGCCTCTGGACGGTGCCGATACCTCGGATGTTGCCAAATGTATCCGTTCTCCCCTGCGTGTCCGTCCAGACGACATCGACATCAAAACAGTCCACCAGGTCCTTCCTCCTGAGGTCGCCTTGAAAATGAATTGCGGACTCGACGGTAGTGAACTCGTACTTGACCTCGATTGGTTGGTCGTGGATCACAACGCCATCTTCGCTGGTGTATCTAATTCGATGGCGCTCTCGAAAAGTGACATATTGTTCGAGCTGACAAGGGTCCGAGAATTGCCGATGCCTTGAGTGTAGGGTATGGGGGAATGTTTCTGTAGGAGAAGGCGATGGTACTAGAGTATGTGCGTCTCAGGGAGTCGTTCTCAAGAGAGATGGCAGCATCGACGTACAAAAATGTTCTAGCCGCTCCAACTGATAACTGCATTGCCAGAGAATGCGGCGATGATCATGACCGACCACCTCCCACGGACCCAGATAAATGGTCCTCTCCTCAGCTGTTCCTTCAAACAAGACTCTGAAAGTAGCACCAGTATTAGAAACACCTGCACCAATATGCGAGCTAGGATCACGGAGGCTTTACATGGTTGCTTGATAGCCCGGTGGGCCCAGATCGAGCGGCCGTAGCTGGCCTTGCGGGGTTGAGAACTCGTCGGTCAGGTCTGATACAGCCGAGTTGGGAGTCCAGTTGGAGTCAATTGGGCCGATCAAGTTTTGGGCATATGGCGGAAGCTGGCTATAGGACGACGACGATGCGTAGGATCTTGACGAGGACGAGGACGAGGAAGCGGCAGCCATGGCCGCGGTAAGCCTCGGAAGCGGACGGGCCTTGAGCAGAGTGCAGACAGCTTGCCGAGCAGGGCTTGTCGAGTCTCAGGTATGTGGAGAGCCGGTCACAAGCATGCCGCGCAGCCTGGACAGGACTGTGGACTTTGCTTGGGCCGCATAGAAGGTTGGGGTGCTCTCCGTGCTGTTCTCGGTGGTGTTAATTTCATGTTCGTGAGGGCTGTGCCGCCTGGCGACATCCAGTGTGCTTCTTTGACTCCTCGCGCTTCACAACGGTTTTCACTGCAGGCTACTGATCATGGTCTGGCTCCGCGGGTTGTCTCGCCCTAATGCAAAGACTCAGGCAAAGGTCGTTGTGGGCCTCGCTGTCAAACCTCGTGAGGAATCGGCTGGGTCAAGGCTCGCCGGCCAGGTATAGACAAGTGCATGGCACCAATTGGGGCGCCCCAGTGTGAGGGGTTCAGGGCCCTTGGCTTATGTGGGATGTTGCATGAGACGGGGCGGAGAGTCGCCAGCACTCCACTTTCGCTATAATCTTCCATGCAATTGAACAATCTACTATGGCAGCTGTCACTTCCTGAATCCCTTGACCTCGTGTTAGTCCAGCTAGCAAAAAGCAGGATCCTCGCATTATCCAGTCAAGGCTCCCATTGACACACAAGGCGCAGCTGTTGTTGGCGACGTTTGGAGTAGCGAGAAGGGTGATCTCGCCAAAACATTTGGGCAACTACCTGGCCAATAAGCAAGTCAGACCTGAGCACATGTCAAGACCCTTGGGCAACCCGAGTGGCCGGACTACGCTAAGTTTGGGGCAGCATATGCAAGCTGATAAGTACATATTCGCATACGCATTCGCACTCTAGAAGCAGGCACGTTTCTCAAGTGACAGCAGGCAGCTATCCTGTAGTGACCGTTGTAAATTGGTGGAACCATCGTTGCCTTGTCCAAAGAGCACCTCGAGAACCATATGTGGGTTGAAGCAGAAGGCTTGCAGATGTCATTGTGAGGTACCATCATGGGTCAGAAACCTTACCCGAACCTTTGCCCTGCTCGCCTGTAGTGTATACGTGCCTCGCCGTTAAGTCTAGTTCCAATAGCTCGGTAATCGGTAACCTGATACCATGTCGAGATATTGGGTCGGCCAGTCTAGGCATTACTAGGATCGATGAGATCCTGCATGTCCATGAGGGAAGCCCCTTTGGGGAAGTCTTATGCCAACAGCTCCCATCTGAAAGAGACCCTGATTTGGGGGAAAAGACCCCTCTAGATGGGAGTTGTAATGTTTTCTCTTGTGAGAAGTTCGAACATAATCTAGAAGACCCGAAGGCACTTCATGGGACGACAACATGTTGGAAGGGTGGACATTGAGATTCAATATGCAGCTCGCTAATAAAGGCGTTCGCGCCTCAGCCCACCCTCCAAGACCCCCGAAAGGTGCATCGTCGCGACAGCCACCACATCAACCCCATGCTAACCACCCACCTGGGTCTCTAGCGTCGACAATGGTTCCAAGCTGCCTCGCCCGCAGTCGGATGTCGAGGCTGTCACACTTCTTACCAAACGATGTCAAGCTCCCTTTCCTGTCTCAAGTTTCTCATTGTTTGCGATTTATCACAGTACTCCCGGTCTGTACTGTAAGCGGCTACTTGTGTGGCCAGCTCTGCGTTCCGCTGCGAAATTTGTAATATCACCTCGTCAGGCTTTGCGCCAGCCTTTGAAAGACATCCAGTGACCACGCGATGCGTTAGCTCTTCACTTTGAACTTGCTCAGAGGAGCTGTAGCTTCAATCGCTGCCTCTTTTCACCTTTCATTGCGTCTACTGCGTGGAAAGCAGTCCCGGAACACCCATAGGCAACACTCTACTCTTGCGCTCCGGCCTAGTGTTCGCCAGAATCTCCAAGCATGGACGGTGAACGCTACCCGGAAGTGCGGAGGAATCGAGGCTTTCTAGGCTCGAATAGCTCCGCTTTGCCTTCAAGGGACTTACAGGCAGGTGACGATCCAATTCGCCAACCAGGTGCTGCCGAATGGCTGGTCGAAGAGCCGCATGTGCTGACCTAATACATGGAATATAGGATCGCCGCCAGCTAAGGTACGAGCTTGATCTAAACAGCTGGAATCTACGAATCTGGGGTGTTGCAGCATCTGGATTCCTAACAGACTCGTAGGTGTTCTTGGTGTCACTTGTGACACATCTGCCCTTTTGTCTCACTTGCAAGTATCTTATTCGGTGTTACAGGTACAACCTTTTTTCAACCAATGTCATTCTGGCATCCATATCTTTCGTATATTTCCCTCATGATCGATATCCCGGACTGCTCATCAACCTGATTACCCTTCTTGGATCAGTGGTTGGGCAGCTTCTCTTCGGCTACCTTGCTGACAGATACGGCCGAACCCGGCTATATGGAATCGAGCTAGTTCTGGTTATTGTATCGACTATAGGGGTAGCCACCAGTAGTTTTGGTTACAATGATCTGTCCTTTCTTGCCCTGTTCACATGGGTAAGCTTTGTTTAGCCCGTCCGAGCTGTGTCCTTGATCGCTAACCTGGCACTGTAGTGGCGATTCGTCATGGGCATAGGTTCGTGCTCAATCCTAGACAACCAAAGACCAGAAAGGGCTAACATAATGCTAGGTATCGGCGCAGAATACCCTCTTTCTGCAGTAATAACTTCCGAATGGGCCAGTACACAATCGAGAGCAACCATGCTCGCTTCTGTTTTCCTGATGCAACCTGTCGGCCAAGCCCTTGCTCAGCTGGTAGGCCTCTGGGTCTTGTTGGGTCGCGAGAGGGAATATGGCCTGCAGGCCATGCAATGTGGAATCAACACACTACATGAAGCAGAGTGTAAAAAGATCGTGGACGGCATCTGGCGAATTGTGATCGGTTCAGGTGCTGTCCCAGCGTTACTTGCCATCATCTTCCGCTTCTTCCTCTACGACTGCGGCTTATACCAACTTGAGGTCAAACACAAGCCAGGAATCGCTCTGAGAGATACCCGCAGAATCTATGTTGCACCTGAAACTCGAAATGGCATCGCCTTGGGTTCGCCGGGGGCAACACAGGTTCAGTCGCCTCAAGAAAAGCCTATTCAGTTTTCCAAGGAAGATATTTATCATTACTTTGTTCGTGATGGGAATTGGTACTACCTACTCGGTAAGCTTCAACAATCAACGCTCTTACATTACATCAGCTAATACCACAAAGGGACCGCGATGACCTGGTTTATGTAAGTCTGAAAATGGTGTTTCAAAAGATTCCACCTTCACAACCCACTTTTGGCTGACATCACTGCTCCTATAATTACAGACTGGATGTTGGGTTTTATGGTTTCTCTTTGGATAATAGAGGTACATTGGCCGATATATGGGCGGTAACTCAGCATACGCCGTTGGACTCACGGTTGTCTTGCTGGAATTCGACACTTGACGGCGGCAACTCGACCGTCCCGGACTGGAAAGTGCTAGGATTTCCCAAGTGGGCAACCGATCAGACACTCCCATGCAACACGATCTACGACGTGCTCCTCGAACAGGCCAAACAGTACCTTCTCACAGTCTCCATCAGCTCCATCGCGGGTAGCTTATGCTTCATCTTTTTTGCCAACAAAATACCCCGCAAACAGTGGCTGACTATCTCCTTCATCGTTCTCGCTGGCCTCTTCATCATCACTGGAGGCGTTTACTATGGCGTAGCTTACACCCCAGGAGCCCCAGCTACCGTGACGCTCGTGGCAATATGCCACTTTGCCTTCAACTTTGGCGCCAATACCCTAACTTTCATCATACCTGCCGAGATCTTCCCAACGTGTTATCGATGCACCTGTCATGGCATATCGGCTGCTTCAGGGAAGATAGGGTCCATCGTCGCTCTGTTGGTCGTGTATGGAATTAACAGTGGATACACGAGCTCTACCCGACAAGGTCTCATCTTCATACTGTTCGGTTCCGTGCTCGCATTCGGCGCTATTTACTCCTGGGCGTACTTGCCAGACGTTCAGAGGCTTGTCTATGACGAAGATGGCAAGAAAACTCTGGAGGCGAAGGATCTGGAGGAGCTCGGAGAAGGGCATGAAAAGGCACGGCTCGAAGGTGAGGTCGTCACGGTTCGGCAGAAAGTGAATGATATCAGACGACGAAGGAAGGAAAAACGAGAACTACATCCTCATATCGACCAGGGTCCGCATGAGGTTTGATACAGTTGCTCGCCTACGATATATAGATGGCTCCGTTGTTTTAAATATTCCGCCATACGTCATTGCTTCCATACTTATTAATTTGAGCCATGGCTATTTTACGTGACTTTGCTCACAGCTTGTTTTCATACTGAATTGGGGCAGTTTGAAAAGTCACATACCAGCTATGTATGCGTAGTTGTTTCTTGGCCATTGATGCCAACCGGGTCTGTCTTTGGCTTATCCCCAGAGTCAGATGACACGTAGTCTTAGTTTCGTAGTTTTTTCACGTTGTTGAAGAACAAACGACAGGAGCTTGAGATACCAGAATTGAATAAGTCAATATTGCTTACCTGCTTAGCCCGCCCGAAACAAAGATGCTCTCAATCAAACTAAATCATTCCCATGCGTTCGCTGTGTCGGCGTGGTTGTCAGAATGTACTGTGCAGCCTCAGCCAGCCCTATGTCGGAGAGAAATGTGGAAGTGTAAACGTCAATCTTCCTCTGATTTTCTTCAAGCCCACTTTGATCCCATGCCTCGACTTCTTCGCATTTCCCCGCGATCTCGTATAGGTCATCGTCAGCCATCTCTCGAGCAGCATATTCACAAATCCTAACGCAAATCTGAGCCCATAGTCTCATCCACTTACCATTCAATGTCCCGCCGGCCTGCCGAAACTCAATGGTAGGCTTGAAGTTGTAGTACATCAGGTAATAACCGAAGTTGTATGCCGCATTACGGCTGCCTGTGGACATGAGTCGGGCTACGGCACCCGAGTTCTTGCACTTGATGAGCTCCCTTACCCCTTCGATGATACCGCATGGATCTGTAGCCCGGTCGAAGTTTACAAAATCCAAGGTCACGTCAATAGCTGTATTCGCAACTGCCGCAGTCATGCCTCGGGCTAGATTGGAACGATAACGATTGCGTTGGGCGAAATTGACGTCGTGGCGTTGCTCCGTATGCAGCCTGTATAGGATCGGATCAACCGCCCACAGTAAGCACGCGATTTTCCTAACCGCATCATCAGGCAAACCGCTACGCCCACTGCCAACATGTACATGCAATCCACAGGAGTCATCATTGAATGGTTTAAGAAAAGACAGGACCGAGCTCACCATTCTTTCAATCTCCATGAAGTTGACTGGCGTGGCAGAGAATGCTGGTGTGACCAACTCTGCGCCTCGCGTCAATATGTAGCGTTCACGCCGGAGTGTCTGTTGTATGTGCACCGGCAGAGAGACAGTCTCCTCTTCAAGGCCCCAACGATGGAAGAGCATATCAACGGAGTTATTCGCGTGTGGCGAGGGCAAAGTCGGCCCCTCTGGAAACGCTGCCGTGTTAAATTCGTCCACATCGTTCATATCGAACCCTTTGCGCCGCAACTCCTTGACTATGGACCTCAGACAGTAGTTCAAGAGGTCTCCGTGGTAGTCGTACGGGATGATGATGACCCCAAGGTTGTCTCGTCGTAGTACGTCGATGCCTTCCCCCTGCCGCTGTATTCGAAGAGGAAGGACAAACTCCCACTCAACGCCCATGGTCAGAGGCTGAAGGACATCTCCCGCTGCCGACATGACGAAACTGAATCAAGTACACTTTCTTAAAAACTTAGGTTTGGATGGACCTTCAGGGGATGACACGTGATGGCTCAATAGACCCTAAGCACTCGGCTCTATTCCAATAAGTCCAGAAACTGTCTATGGGTGTGCGTCTCACGGAATTCCTTCTTACAGGAACTATATACGCAGACACGTCCTCAAGTCATGAACGACCTCTTTCTATGAAACAGAGAACAAGCCACTGTTCTTGTCCTGTTGGGTCTTGGGTCTCTTTGTTTAAAGGCGTTGAAAAACAGTCCATCTCTTCGATGCTAAGAGAACAAAGGCAAATATCAAGTAATAAAGGTTGGAACGAAGGGAAATCTGTGATTGCTCTGTACTTTCTACTCAAAAACTACAATTTTCTTTCATCAGCCGAAACAGGATGGGATACTTAACTTACAGTCTCTTCAAAAGCGACGCCTGGCCCAAGCACCGAGCGTTAGAGGCATGTGCAAGTTATCAGGAATTAACAGTGACAAATTCCAAGTACGTACAGTATACCAATGGGAGGTTTCCTTTGGGTTTATCAGTACTTATGTTCTTGCAGCTTTTTCACCTACCTGGAGCTGGTTACTGTCCAGCTGCTCTTGAGTCTGGAGTCGTGTCGTGCACGTAGGTCGCTATCGTATCTAGGCCCATAGATCGCAAGAAAGCATCCGTCGCCTGTGTTAGCATTAGTTGGCCCCTTGGCGAGTCAGGACCTTCTTTCTCGATGGAGGTACACACGAGAGCTAGTCTCGCGAGTTCGTCGTCATCCATCTCGAACGCGGCATATTCACAAACGCGGGTGCAGATCTTGGCCCAAGCGGTGATCCAGAGAGTATTCATGGAGCCAGCAGCCTGGCGAAACTCAATGGTGGGCGGCGCATGAGGCCTCGAGTCGGCGAATATATAAGACCAGAAGTTATATGCACATGCTCCGGCCTGGTTCGTCAACATCAACCTAGCCGACGTTGTCGCCTCGGTGCATTTGATCAGCTCCTTCAAACCGTCTTCGATTGTCGGCGGGTTGGCAGCTGCATAGTCTTGGTAGACGTTCCTCCTGTCTGGATCCTCCGCCACTGCCGCCGTCATACCGTGGGCGAGGTTCGACCAAATACGACTCCGGGGACACCATCGATCACGGTGCCTACGCATGACCGGATGCAGGTTGTTCATGATGGGGTCTAGTACCCAAATGAGACAAGCCATGCGACACACCCATTCGTCTGGCATCTTTTGTGCCCCAGCGCCCACATGGACATGTACCGCTGTCTGGAAGTCGATTACATAGCGGTAATGCTCCTTAAAGCTATCAATCACCCGCGTAATCTCGTCGTAATTCTTGTCGTCGTGACGAAAAGCTGGCGTGATGATTTCAAGACCGGCCCTGGCTATGCCCTCTTTGTCGTCCTCTTTCTGCTGCTCATCGTACACGTCGAGGGCAATCTCGGTATCAACTGTCCAGCGGAGATACTTGGCCTGGGCAGCGGCGTGGACATCCGTCGAGTACCCCAAGTCCTGAGGGTCAGCGCCATTGACGTGACACCCTATGTTTTGCAACCATCTAATAAGGTCATTCACACACTGATTCCAATGTTTCTCCTCGTCGTCACCCTCCTTTACAAGAATTAGCCCGTGGTTGGCCGGATCCCTGCGCATCTTATCAATGTTCTCACCAGGCTTGACCACCTTATAAAACACCCAGACCTCCATCTCAACGCCGAACGTCATAATCGGAAGGCCATCGGCAGTGGTTGCTGACATTTTGACAGGCGTATCTTACCTGACGAATGTGAGATGAATAGGTGATAGTGAGGCCTGACAGTAAGGCTGCTGATTTGTCAAACTAAGGGCACGATCTTGTTTTCATAGCTCTGCCAATCTTGAGAAACACATGGCTTGAGTTATCTGTATATCTTGAATAATAAGCTGGAGAATATATGCACAGCAAGGTTCAAAGCCCACGTCCACGCTATTATTCTTTCAAAGGCCATTGTATACGGTGGTGAACCTCGCCGTCTTTACGTAGACACGGAACAAAGGAGTTCAAGGCAGGGGATCTCGTCTGTGATTCATTGTCACTACAAATCTTCAAGGCAAAACACTATCATTGAGGATTTACAGTAGGGTTGAATTGAGAGCTGTAGGTTTAGTATACGTAACATTGAAATCAATCAATCTTGCGGACACCAGCACACCTCAGTCCCGACATTATTCTCTGTGATGGTGTTCTATGCATAGACAGGCTCTCTATTGGTTATACAACTTCTCTTTCTGTCCAATGGTGTATTCTTTATGTTGATGTAAGCGCGGCATGACTATGTGCCGAGAAGGACAACTAGCACCTTCTAAGCGATAGCCAGGAAAGAATGTGCGGCTGCAAATATTTTCGTTTCTGTCACAACTACCTAATTGTAAATTATCAGATACCATACTTTTATAGTGTGGAGCAGTATGGTTTGTCCATCCCCAGCCTGTAGATACGCACGGTTGACAGATCGGCAGCATTACGGACCAAAGCCCAGGGGTTTGCATGACAGGAGTTGCAGGTTGGACCACTGGATCGCCTTCCACGATCGGGAAATCTACTGTGCAGCATGGAAATCGTAGCCCGCGGCGATCTGCAAGAATTGGCATATGAGGGTTGCTGCACCGAATCTATGTTTTCTGATGGAGATAAGGTTTTCTTTGCTGGATCGTCATGTAGGACAAAGAACATCAAGCTTATTTTTAGCCTGCCAAGCTTCGTCCTTTGAACCCTTGAATCCAGCGCAACGGGTACTCCTTCCACCTCAGCTGGTCCTTGTCATCGCGAACTTATCGGATGACACGACGATGGCAATCGGATGATGGCGAAGCAAAGTCTCATTGACAGGAGCATCGAATCGTGCGTCAGACGCTGAAACACCCATCGCTCTTGATCTTGCGGGGTCCAGCCATGCCAGATCAGAATTCCCGTATCTCGACTCCAAAAGCAGAAAAGTAAGTGGAACTGCCATGTAGTCAATCGGCCGTGCCCGGGGTGTTGTGCAGAATTGGCGTGCTATCAATTGCCCAGGCCAACTGGAACACTGGCTACACCGTATCCATTATGCTCGAGTTCTGGGGTCCAGATCACTTGCCATTCGACCGCGCGGAGAATGCCGTCCGATCCTCAGGTTTGCGTCCGCGATGCCTTCCGTTTCAGTGACGGGCGACCGCTTGCCAACAATTGTACCCACCGACGCCGAGCTTCACATCGGGGCGTCACGTAGAAATTCCATGCCTGAACCATAAGCGGACCCTGCAGCCGTAGAGGCAGCCACGGGCTCGCGCGGCTTTGACGCCGACCGTTGGCGGCATGTTCCAGCCTCCTCAGTCTGCTGCCCACTCTCAGTATGGAGACACGCAACAGGTTCTATCGCCTGCCACGGTTTTGAAGACTGACAACGCCTAAACAGCAGAACAAGTCCTGGTGTTGCCTAGTCTGACCAACCTGAGGCACGGGCTGTCCTCCCGTGATAACATGACTTGGACTCGCGTCTTATGTGCCTACACAGTACAACTGGAATGTAACAAGGCTCCATCTCAGCCCTACCTGAGTTACTCACTGAGTTACATCCGTCGCCATGCGCTAGGCCAACCCGGGTAGTATCCGTAAGCAGCCCGTGGCACGATGGCGGGCTGTGGTCGATCGCGCTCTCCACCTGCAACGGTGCAGGAAGAGGCCCCAGGGCCCCCCCGAAGGGCCCCCCATATTCACCGTCCGCTTCTGCAGCCGCCGTAGTATCACAATTGTCTGCATCGGAACCCGCTTGCCTCCCTTGTGCTCCTCGCCGCTTATCACTTTCAACGTCGAGCGAACCCGAGTGACGACAAGATGTACAATGACTGCCGAGCCCGATTTCTAACTTAGAATCTTCGCAGCAGCGGTTTATAGTCTTTGCGGCCCCCTGTGCCGTCCCTCACGCCGAGAGCTACCTACGGCACAGCCATATGCTTATGTAACACGCCGACTCCAAAGTCAGCTTGCGACGCTCAACCGTCGTCGCTTACATCCTCCTCGTCACGAAACCTCGTGGCCTCTACTGCTCCGCCGTCGAGACTGGTACGCGGCAGTCAATTGTACGACCATGTCGCCGACTACGAATGACCCTCCGGGCAATGGTGCATCGAGATCCGACGACGACCGGGGAAGCGACAACAGCCCGAACGCCGAAGGACCACCAGAGACCGCACCCCGACCGTCTGGTGGCAATGCCAACGTCCCCAAGCCGAAGCGCCTGGCATGTATGATCTGTAGGAAGAGGAAACTCAAGTGCGATGGAAACAAGCCGAGTTGCAGCACATGTACGCGCCTGGGACATTCATGTGCCTATGACGAAGTAAGGAGGAAGAGTGGCCCGAAGAGAGGATACGTTAAGGCTCTGGAGGAGCGATTAAGTACGTACTGATAGTGCTGCTTTTCTACCAGCATTGCAATACTGACTGTTTCGTACTGTAGAGCAGGTTGAGTCGCTACTCAAGACCAGCGATCCCGTTACCGCAAGTACAGAGACCAACAAAGCGCCCGCGAACTCGTTCGAGAACCGCAACCCTCCACTCCCTGCAACTGCCAATTTCAACGTCTCTAACCCGTCAATCAACATCGCAAGTGACCGGGACATGGACCGCTGGCATTTCAACGGCGAGTCGCCGCCACCGCAGACGGCCAATATGGAGGAGTTCAACTTCGCCAGCAATATGCCCATGCCGATGGAGGGGATGCCCAACATGGCAAATAATTTCACGTGGGAGATGATTGGTCTAGGTCTGGAGGAACCTCTTCCACCTCAAGAGACAATCGACGAGTTGTAGGTTGCTCCATCGATTGCGCGAGGATACGGCTAACTAACTCGGCCCACTCAGACACCAGATATACTTCGAGAAAGTCCATCCATCATTACCCATGATCCACAAATTCCGCTACTTGGCTGCGATGAACTTGTGAGAATCAATTGTACTCATTTGTCCTTTTCAAGCTAACACGTGTCAGAGCTCCAAACCAACGGCCCCCAGTTGCCCTACGCTATGCGATGTGGACTTTGGCGTGTGCAATCACAGACAAGTACTCAGACCTAAAGGACCTGTTCTATCAACGAGCCCGTAAGTATGTCGAAGGCGACTACATTAAAGGCTTCGGTGAACACATGATCTCTGTTGCTCATTGTCAGACGCACGTGTTGTTGGCCTCATATGAGTTCAAGATGATGTATTTCCCAAGGGCCTGGATGAGCACGGGCTCCGCCGTACGCTTGGCGCAAATGTAAGCTGCCCTGTTCCTTTCTTCAAGTGTTCGGCTGGCTCATCGAATCCAGGATTGGACTGCATAGGTTGGACGGCACAGGGCTCGACGTTAAGCAATGCTTGCCACCGCCCCGAGACTGGACTGAGAGAGAAGAAAGACGACGGACCTTCTGGATGGCGTTCTGTGAGGACCGATATGCTAGTATAGGAACTGGATGGCCGATGACTGTCGACGAGAAAGATATCATGACAAATCTGCCCTCGACAGAAGAGGCCTTCGACATGAGCCGGCCGGAGACCACGCTCACTCTGAACGAAGCCATGAGCCCAGCTGGCGCAGGAAAGTTGTCGTCTTTTGGCGGCATTGTGTTGATGGCATGTCTGTTCGGGCGGAACTTGATCCATCTGCACCGCCCCGATGCTGATGATCGAGATCACGATCTAAATGGCGAGTTCTGGAAGCGGCATCGGAATATGGACAACATCCTTCTGAACACGTCTCTTTGCCTCCCAAACCACCTCAAACTGCCGACTGGAATCGGGAACCCGAACATTGTTTTCACCAACATGAACATTCATACGTCGACGATCTGCCTCCATCAAGCGGCAATCTTCAAAGCTGACAAGAATAAGTTGCCCGTCTCTGTTAGTGGCGAAAGCAAAGTGCGTTGCATAACTGCGGCGAACGAGATCGCCAGTATCATGCGGATGGTGTCCCATCTGGATTTATCCACTGTAAGCGAAAGAGTTGATTATCATTTCTAGAGCGTGCCGCTGATATCCTGCAGATGAACCCTTTCATCTCTTTCTGTCTATACGTTGCTGCGCGAGTATTTGTCCAGTTCCTGAAGAGCCGGCCAGATGATAGCCAGACGGTGGATTCCCTGCGATTCCTCTTATCAGCGATGAATGCTCTGAAGCGGAAGAACCCCTTGACTGAGTCCTTCCTGGTTCAGCTTGACGTAGACTTGGAGGCTCTTGGAATGAGAATCCCCAAGCTCAAGTCTGTATTCCCTAGAAGTGGAGATAGCGTGAGTCCAAGGACTGATGATGTGCTTCTGAGGATCGACGCGACTAACATTGTTCATAGCCATCTGTCAACCCAACAGTTGCAGCTAAGATCAGGGCCCAGAACTTTGGTGCGGAGTCATGTGAGAAGCGCAACGGCATTCTCGCATACAAGAACGATTGCCATTTCACGAAGTTGGTCGATGACGATGGAAATCCCGCCACAGCTCCTGACCTGGTAACCCCAAGCGGGACTTCTGGTGCTCAAGCCCCCACTGGATTTGACTCCTCAAATCAAAGCTGGATGACAGGGGAGCCACAATCGCATCAACTGCCCACTCGAGAGCGAAGTACTGGGCCGGATGCAGCATCTAGTGGCATGCATCCTTCCTTGTTTCATAATGCCCCAGCCAGTACTCGGTACACCCCCGGGTTTGTTGACTCTCAAAGCAGTGGCACGGCCGACATGTCCGTCTCACCTCATCCTGAGAGCGCGTCAAGCCGACCAACTCCTAACTCAAGTTCGGCGTCGGAAAACCGCAACGCAGCTTCGGGAGCACTGCCGAACTCGGGGCAGACGTCATTCGATGCCAGCCCTGTTGGGGGGCAGCAGCCGCTCGGCACCCAGGCTGAGCTGGATGCTGCAACTGCTGCCTTCTTCTCTGATGCCAACAACTTCAGCATGCAGACCTCAGGGACTGGCATGACCCCTGGGCGCTCGTTTGTCATGCCGGATTCGTCAGGCAATGGGTACGGCCTGCCAGAGGGATGGAACATGATGACACAACAGACGACTGGTATGACCCCGGTAGCGGAGGGTGTGCTACGGCACCTGATGGACATGCCGCCAATGGATGCCATGGATTTGGGTTGGGACTCGGGGCAATAGATACGGCAAGGGGTTGCTTCACGGTCTGGGTACGACTCTCGCATGTCTTTGCTTGCTACACTTTTTGATCTTTCTCGGCGGCTGAACAGATACTTGGATCTGATCTTGGATACCTCCAAGGGGCGTTCTTTGATACATTTCGGGGGGCTTTTGCACATATACTGGATACCAGCGTTATAGTGGGTTTTGGTTGGGTGTGTAGTCCATTTATGACGTCTGGACGAGGGTGACAGCACTCCCTACTACTGCAGCCAATGCCGAATTGATGAATGCACAGCTATGAACTGCGTTCTCCTGCCCCTTCGCTTGCAATTGGTCCATGATGCTGGGTGACTCCCTGCTACAGAAAGGCAATAACCCTTCGTGGGCAATTATCGATGATGTAGAGAAAACCAAAGGCGATATTTGTGTACAACGGCTGACATGTATAGACAGATTTCGGCCACAACCCTTCACGGGAGAGTCAGGGACGATGACTTGGTTGTTGATGAACGATTGGACAAGGTTGAAAGGGCACGTCCAGAATCAGGTTTAAAAGTCTAACCTGAAGACTACGGCATGAGACGACGGCGTAAGTCGGAGGAGGAGCCCAAGCCCACAATTGCTTGGCGTCCCGTCAGTCTGAGGAAACTCTACGTCACGTCACCCCATGGCGTAGCATCAAGCTACTCTAGGTTCTTGTTGGCTTGGTGCCCTAAGTTTCTGATACCGGTAGTGAAGAGGGAAGGAATACGAGGGCAAGTACGCACCGGAGAGGCCAATACACAATAGTATAGGCTGGAAATCATTGCGCCAGTATCGAAGTCCAAATGCAGCAGGTACCTATGTGTGTGAGTGTGTGAGTGTGTGTGTGTGTCTACCGGGCTTAATTAGCGCTCATCGTCAGTAGCAGTGCATGCAGGCACTGGCTACCTTGGTATACATGAGACGAAAGGAGCCACCGGCACCTGCAGTGCTGCCTCCAGCAGCCTCATCCCAGCAACTGGAACATGGTTGTTGGGCGGGTAGCAGGCTTGCCGCAAGCCATTGCCGTCCGCGGGCCAGCGTCTAGACCTGGCTCCTGGCCCATGGCAGGCATGGTGCGCTGAAAGATGGGACGGGTGGCCGGTTCTCCAGGGACTAGGGGTCGCCAAGGGGGCGCTGTTCGGCAAGTAGCCGGCGGCGGGTTCTAGCGGGCTCGGGCAGCTCGGGGCCCCGGCTCAAGCTGGCGGGTTGGCGGGTTGGCGGGTTGGGGCCCACGCTAGGGAGCGATCGGCAATGATTACCTTTGGCGCCTTCGCGGGGCAGGGCGACCCTCCAGGCATTGGACGCTGGACGCTGGACGCTGGACGCTGGGCCGCCTGTGACTGGACTGACTGCAACTGGACTGGTGATAGTGGGCTGAGCGAGAAGGGGGACCACAGCAACTCCTGCCCCCAGCTTTGCCTGATGCGCCGCCCGGCAAGGAACGCCCACGCCTTTCTGTGTAGCTGCTCTGGTGCTACTGCACAAACACATCTCTTGGTAGAGACGCCTCTCTGGCAGCATTGGATACCTCGGACACTCTGCTCACCCACCCCGCCATCGCTGGATCGTCCCGGATCGCCGGCACGGATAGCTGCAGCAAGACCGCCAGCCTGGGGCATCGCGCGCGCGCGCGAGACAGCAGGCAGGGCAGACCAGGACCAGCAAGCGAGCATGGACTGGCGCTGCTCACCCAGGGCCGCGATCGCGTGAGAAGAGTGAGAGAGAGCGAGAGTCAGAGAGAAAGAGAGAGAGAGAGAGAGAGAGAGCGACGGCGAGGCTCGAGACTCGAGACCCCGCGAGACATGGACCCGACGTCGACGCACTTCCCGTCGCCCACTTCGCTGGTCCATGGTGGCATGCCCAACAACAACAACACCAACAATCACAACCCGCACCTGGATCAGCACCACCTTGCCCTTCACCATCATGTCTCGGCTGCCCCTCGGGCCCAGGACCACGCCGCCCAGCACCACTTCTCGCTGCCCACGCTGCCGTCCCATGCCCATGGCGATAGTATCGCCCTCGGCGTGCTCGACGGCACCGACCCCGGCGTCTTTCAAGCGCACCCTCAACCGCAGACGCAACCACAACCACATCCCCATCCCCATCCGCACCCTCACCAGCACGCCCACTCCCTGCCGGACCTGCCGCACCTGCAGTCGGCCCCAACCGTCCCGCTGCTCCAACCCGCTCCTCACCAGCAGCAGCAGCAGCAGCAGCAACAACAGCAACATCCCCAGCTGCTCGATGCGCCGAGGATAATTGCGTCCCCCCCAACGCCCGCACAGCCGGCACCACCACCCCAGCCGCCGCCGCCGCACTCTGCCCCGCCAACCCACGGCGCCTCGCGGAGTCGTGCGCAATTCGGCGTCATCACACCGACGCCCATTGCCCCCAATATTGCCCAGGCCCGGCAGGAGGACGACTTTCTTGCCCAGCCTGCCAACCTCGCTGGCCCCCCTACCACCGGCGCCGACTCGGGAGAGAGCAGACCTCACGGCCAACTGGTCAACAGGATCGTCGTTGACCCTCCGGACCTGGAGGCATGGCGCGACAAGCTGTTCAACGTCGACGACATGATTTTGCTGACCAACGACGAGTTCGAGACTTACTTTCCCCACATCGACAATGTATACTCGCACAGGTCGACGCAGAAGTATAAGCGCAAGCCGTTTGTGTCTCACTACTGGGACTGCCGCATGAAGGGCCGGCCGCCGGGGACGCCCAAGTCGAACGACCCTGCTAAAAAGAAGCGGAAACGGAACGCGAGGGAGAGAGACTTGTGCGATGTCAAGATCAAGATCACCGAGTACTTTCCCGGCGCCACCTTGCAAGTCGACGAGGGGGCGGGCTCGTTCCCCACGCCGCAGCAGTTCTACGACGCCGATGGCATGCCCATCCAACCCGGCGCCAACGGCCAGAAGTTCTGGACCATCCAGCGCGTGAACGGGAACGGCGGCAACGGAAAGGGGGACGGTGTGGCGGGCCCCCATAAGCACACCCTGGCCAAGAGCGACGAGATCAAGAAGTCGACTGTTCAGAGGCATATCAACTCGCAAAAGAAGGACACCAAGAAAACGACCAAGCCGGCGCAGAGGAAGGCTTCAGGGACTGCATTGACGACGGTCAAAAAACATGCAAAGGACCATGAATTAAAGCTGTATGCTGCATGTTTCTGGTACGTCTAATTAACCTCACCATGAAAATGACGGAATGAAGAATAAGACTTTTTCTAACATTGACCACTAGCCCCTTTTCGCAGCGTGTATGGATTGCTTTGGAAGTAAAGGAGATGCAGTACCAGTACTGTGAGACCGACCCGTATAAGCGTCCGACGCAGCTTCTCGAAGCCAATCCCCGTGGCACTGTTCCTGCAATCCGCGAAGGAGAGTGGGCTAGTGGGGAGAGCAGCATAATACTCGAATACGTAGGTCTCACGACGGTATGGCAGTGAATCGTTGATGGCAGTAGCTAATCGTCTCCAGCTTGAGGACCATGACCAGAACGTCCCGCTGTTTCCTACCGACCCACGGTTAAAAGCGAACTGCAGGCTGTGGATAGATCATGTGAGTTAGAGTTATACGAGGCGTACTTAAACAAGAGAACTGACATCCGCAGATCAACTCGAAGATCGTCCCATCCTACTTCGGCCTGTTGCGAGCAGTCGACCTCAACCAGCAGGCGGAATGGCAGAGGAGACTCCAGAATGATATCTTGGCCCTGGTGCAAGCTGCAGACGAACGGGTAAGCAAAGCCCGCAGTTCCCTGGCATTGTATATTTTGTTAACGAGAACACACTCTAGGGCCCTTACTTTCTGGGAGGCGACTTATGCCTGGTTGACATCCACTTTGCTCCATTTGTGCTCCGCCTCTCCCGGATACTCAGCGAGCTTCGGGGCTGGCTGAACCCTATACAAGGCACACGCTGGCACCAGTGGGTCGAGGCGCTCGAGAACAACCCCCACATCCAGGCGACCACGAGCAGCAAAGAACTCTACGCCGAGACCTTTGACCTATTCCTCAACGGCCGCCAGACCTATGGCGAGATGGTGGGATGATTATCCCTGGGGATTGTTTTGCCACTGTATGAGGCTGCCTGCCTACCTACCTACCTACTACGATCGTCTGCCTTTTACCGCGAACGTAACACTATTATCAGTTGGATTATGTAAGAGGGGGATTAAAGGGAAATAGAATGCGACTTCCACGTGTACATATTCTGGTGTTAGATATGGGTGATTCAGGAGTATATATACCAGGGTCGGACGGGTGTTCCAAGCTCTGAAGGAAACAACCAAAACGAAAAATAGCCGGCTTGCAGAGGGGGCCTTCTGCTAGATATCATCACAACGGAACTCTTCTTCTTCTTCTTCTCCCCTCTTATCATCTTCGCCCCTTGACTGTTCTCGACGATCCGGTGGATACTCCCCTCCCGCTCTAGGCCATTCCGCGCTCGCGAAAAGGGGGCATGTCAACGTCACAGCCTGTCATCAAGCCCACGAGTTTCACAAAGCCTGGGATTGACGGCCCGCGAAGACAGGCGAGAATATCTTTCTTGGAAAATCAGATCTTAAACACAAAAGTACGAAAGCCACCCTGTCTGCGGCTCTGCGGCGTTCCAGTTCACTATCAGGACGGACAAGGGCCAGTTTTTTATTCTTTTCTTTTTGGAATACTCGGGGGAATCTCTAGCCTATTGACAAGAACGCCATCGCGGGGGAGAGGTGGGAGTTGAAGGGGGGAAACAACGGGATGCGGAATAGAAAGAGGCCCCAAGAAACTGACTGCTGCCAGAAAACAACAAGAACAAAAGACACAAGCCAAAAAATTTGATTTCAAAAAACCCCGCGGCCGAGGAGCCGCCCTGCATCCTTTCTCTCTGTAAATAAAACGCCGGTGTGTCATGTGCCACGATCCCTTTCATGCCGTCCGTCTGTCCGTCTTCGCCTCCCTTGCCCTCTTCCTCGCGGTGCTTGGGCTCTCGTCTTCTTTCGCCATGATGTGTATGTGATGGGGCCTTGGGCGTCTCCCCCCTTCCCTCCCTGCTGGCCGAGGTACGGTATTCGGCCCTGTCTTCATCTCATGCTACCGACAACACGGGCCCGAGCGGGGGCAGGCTCTCCGAGTCCGAGAGCCCGACTAGGGGATTCAGGATTATTTTGGTTTATAAATATTTTGTTTTGTTTCGGGTCTCCTTGTCTCTTTCAAGCGACGGGGTTCACGTTGCCGCCCTCTATGGCGACGTCGTGGTCGAGGTCGACGGGCTCGCCCTCGAGCAGGTCCTCGTCATCGTCGTCCTCCTCGTCGTCGATCTCCTCGTCCTCGCCGTTCTCGTTCTTGAAGCCGCTCTCGACCTCCATCTTGCGCAGGCGGCGCAGCATGTCGGTGCGGCGGACGCTCTGCCAGCGGACGAGGGCGGCGGCGGCGTGGACGCGGAAGCCGTAGACGCGGGGCACGTAGCGCTCGGCCGTCTTGGGGGGCAGCAGGGCCGGGTAGACCTGGAACATGATGTTGTGGAAGCTGGTGCCGAAGTAGGCCCCGTCGATGGCCGCGTGCCGCGACGACTTGGGGTTGTACACGTCCTCGCACCGCGCGCAGTACAGCTTGACCGGCTTCTGGTTGGCCACGTCCGTCTGGCCCATGGGCAGCAGCGGGTGCGAGTGGCAGAAGACGCGCGGGCACTTGCCAAAGTCGGCCTTCTTGTACTTGTCGAGCTGTGCAGATTTTGCGAGGAGACGTCAGCCTGGAGCTTCGAGCATTTCGGGGCACGCATAGAAAACACAACAACAAGACCGTGTCTCTCTCTGTGGGGTTTCCCTTACCATCTTGGCCAGCCCTCGGGTGGTGACAATGTAGCGCGCGTGGATCAGGCCGTACAGGTGGCGGGCCGACTTCTCGATGGTCTCGCGCATGTCATCGTCGCAGTCGAGGTCGAAGACGTCGGTGATGAGGTCGAGGGCATACTGGTAGTACTGGACCTCGGTGTTGAGGCCGGTGAGGTTGAAGCGGTCCGTCAGGTAGTCCTCGTCGATCTCGCAGAAGTACTCGTTGCCCCGGGACGATATGAACTAGAGAGCGGCGGGAAACGCGCGGGTTAGCCATTTGGTCTCGGTCTCTGGCTCTTGCGCATGTAGGTATATATAGCACACAGAAAGGGGGGTCCTCAGGACGGAAGCAACGCACCCAATCCCGCCAATAGCTGGTGTAGTCGCTGTCCGACTCGGAGCCAAACTCGTCCATCATGGTGGGCGGCGAGGGGTCACTGAACTGGAGGAGGGGGCCTTGGGCGCTGAACATGGGAGGGGGGGAGATAAGTAGAAGAGAAAGGGATCAGTGGTGCCGCGGCGCCGTCATCACGCGCTCAACTCAGACGGAGAGATCCGAGGCACGGCACGGCACGATATAGATAGGTACTGGGTGAGGCGCGGGTGGTAGTGGTGGTGATATTGGATATCGACGGGATATGGTGGGGGTTGATTATCGGGCTGGGATTTGATAATCGGAGGCTCTGTTTCTGTTTCTGGTCCTGGTTCTGGGCTGCCTGGGAACCAGGCGGCCCAGGGGGCAGGGCGTGCAGCAGTGGGCTGCCAGCCAGGCCAGCCCAAGCTTGGTGGGGTAGTTCAGCTGCTGTAGTCAGTCCCTTGGGCATTAGTGGCCCAGTCAAACCACTCCAGCGCTGACATCTAGCCGCGCCGAAAGGCCAAAACTACCTAGGTACGCGTAGTTCGTGCATCGCCGCTATTCGACGGGCGAATAGTCGTCATGTCGAGGTTGGCATAGTTATGCATGCAAAGCGGGACAAATATATCTTCCAAGCGCTCACTGACCGCTCGTGTCGAGAGAATAAAACACGACGCTATCTTATGGTAATTTGATTTACAAGGACACATGCTTAGTCTTGTCCATCCGGCCCATCCAATCTATGCGACCCCTCTCTCTCTCTCGTCTCTCCTCGTTGCGCCGGCATCTTTCCTCCACTCACGCCGGGCTCACCGTGCCGTAGCTGCTCGCGTCGCTTGCCGACGGAGTGTCCGAGCCCGTGTCCGAGTCTCGCCGGGACGCGCCATTGAACCTGCGGGAAGGCACCTCCAGCCTCGACATCAGGTCCGCGCCCTCGTCCCTGTCCTGCTTGACCCGCAGGTTCACCAGTTCCATTGCCTCGCGCAGCGTCTCCCCGCTCTCGTCCATGGCCGCCAGGAACCGCGCCAGCTCCTTGCACAGCTCCCAGTCCTCTTCCCGTATCGCACGGGAGAAGAGGCGCACGGATTGCTCAGACGCCGTGTGAAGCTCGTCGAAGGTGTGTAATATCAGTAGGTACCCGCCCGCCGTCTTCAGCGAGCCGCGTTGCAGCGATTCCTCGAACAACTCCTGCGGCGGCGGAAGGTATGCGAAGAGGGTCCTCCAGGACCTGACTTCTGTTTTTCTCGTACATTGGACGACTATGTCCAGATACTGTTTGAATGATGACAGCAGAGACAACACCCGCGGTAGAAGTGCTGCTTCGGGTGCAGGCGCCGAGTCGACCTCTTCGTCCAGCACGTGGTGCAGCAGAATCTCGAGGCCGTGTGCAAAATACTCAAGGTCTTGGTAGGTCTGCGCCAGCTTGAGCGCTGCAAGGGAGTTATTCGTTGCAAGGTGGAAGCGCAGTATCTCAGGAAGATAGAGGTGCGTCTGAAGCTGCTGTTAGTACATGCTTGGCGATTATACTGGCTGTCTGACTCACCCTGATAGAGAAGCGGAAAAAAGAGAAGCTGATATCTCTCCGCTGCACCAGATCTGGCTCGACACCCAACACGATTCCCTTGCCGAGAAGTATGGATAAGGGGTAGAAGTCGAGCGGCATGTTTGCCGTAGGGGGCAACTCCTTCGTGGACTCCGTTGCCGCCCGCAGGACCTCGTTCACGTCTGGCCATGCCTTGAGGTCATGTCCCTCGAAGATCCACAGCGAATTCTTGAGGGGTGCTTCCTCAGCATCACCAGTAAAATGACCGTGGTTTTCGCCCAGCATGTGCACCGCCGATTGATCCCTCATGCTGATGTAGTATTCCACGTTCTGAGAGATAACCCGCATGTCATACTTCAGGTGGCCCTCGCTATTGAGCGATGGCTGGAGAAGAACGAGCTTGCCGTCCACCAGAAACAGAACAGACGCAACCGCCACATCCTGAGACGGGTCGCCATCCACCAACTGGCTCTCCGGTAAAATCCAGCTAAGCCCTCGGACTCTGGCAGGGGACCTGACTATACCGTGGAATGCAATCTGTCCGACCTGGATGGGCCGCACAGCATTGCCCACTGGGGCAAAGACAAAGTGGTAAAGCAGGTTGTCGTAAGTGTAGACAAGTAGCGAATCCTCTCCAGAAGGGGTTATGAGGACAACCGGGGCTGGTAACGTTTGTGTGAACATGGCAGTGCCGCTGTCGAGTGCCGCCTCCCTGGAGTAGAGGCGAAGCTCGTAGGATCTGTTTGCCTCAACGGCTGCCACCAGGATATGCTGGTACCAACACATTCCACCGCGGACGGAAAACTCATTCTCTGCCGCCTCACTGCCAAACGTTTTCCACCTGCCGCTATTTATGCTGTAATGTGCTAGGCCACGCCTCCCCGCTATAGCGACATATCTGCCGTCGGCGGAAACGACTGTACACCTGACAGGCCACTGGTTCAGCAGATAGCTGGATGGGATCCTAGCGGTGTGCCACAAGAATGGTTCCGCAGAGATGCTGGTCAAGTCGGGCAGGTCGTAGCCCCTATATACCATGACACTGGACGAGCTCTGTAGAACGGTCCGGAACAAGTTGGGGGGGTTGTAGCAGCCCGTGACAGCACTCCGCGCCATCTCCAATAACCAGATTGATTCACTTTGGCGACCAAGAAGAAGGACTTCGCAGGCACCTCCTATCCAACAGGCTTCCGCCACGCCCGTCAACCAGTCTTCCTTGTTGTTAGCGCTCACAGAGGAATTTGCGCCAAAACTCGTGCTGGCTGCTTTGCCAAATACGCTCCAGGTAGCCCACCCTTCTTCGTAACCGGCAAAGAGGCAGTAGCCGTCAGGCGAGTAAGTTATCGTCGTCAGCTGGCCAGAAGACTTTGACGATACTGGGTTTTTGTGGATGTGAGATGCCGGGATGTTGCCGGAATAGTCCTTCACGGAATAGACATGGATGCTGCCGTCGGCGCAACCAACAGCAATCAGCGAAAACCTAGCATTGACTACAGCTTTGACTGCGCGAGTGCTCTCCCCTTCCGGAACGTGAAAGCAGTATCCTTTGAAGAGTCTCTTGGGACCGGCCTCCTCGTCTTGTGATGGCCCCTGGGTGGCCGACGTACGTTGGATGGCATAGGCCTTCCCGTCGCTCGTGATCCAGGTGGAGAGGTTCATAGGTCGATCATGCGTCATCTCCTTGATCGATATCTTCTTCTCCAGCCAGCCCATGCGGCTCACGAGCTCGGTGCTGGTCTGGCTGCCTGTGCTATCTGGAGTCCAGCGAATGCACTGGACAGCTGCCGGTTTGCGCGTCGCTACTACCAACTCGTCATCCAGAGCTAGGACATGCTCAATGCCAGCATCCACTTTGATCACTCTCCTGAAGCGCACACTAATATCGCGAACGCCAGAGCCTTCACCGGCGCCCAGAAAGATCTGGTCGGGCGAGGAGTTTCCGGGGCCTCCAAAATGGCTCTGCCGCCGCCGTTGGATATTCGTGTGGTCCGAGAAATGGGGTTTGTAGACGCGAGACTCGGCATCCGTGGCCAGAGAGTACGTGATCAGATAGCCGAGGCTGGTCTGCACGACGAAGATCGCCGAGTCGGGGCGCAGGAGCAGGGCAAGGTTGGTGCCGTACGACCGCACAGAAGCTTGGGAGCGCACGACAACGGCGAGGATGACGGTCGGCTTGGTCTGCCACACCGTCATGGTCGTCGCCGTGATGGTAGCAAACAGATGGCCAGTCCTCGAGACCTTCAGGGACACAATCGGCTCCCCGGAGGGGATGGCCACCTGTTGGGACCCCCCGAGGCTTTCTTGGGAGCTCAGCCCGCTTCCATGGTTCATGTAGTCATGCTCGACCGAGTTGATGCCGGGGGTCCTGGGGGTCCTGGGGGAGAAGAGCGCGGGCGTGGCCGGCGTGGGCAGTTCGGACGCAGATTCGCCGGGATTCTCATCGGCGGGGTTCGGGGCCGAGGCTGCAGAGTCGAGGGTCAGAAGCGAGGCGGTGTCGGCAGCCGGGGCGGCGTCGATGCCATCGTTGGAAAGGTCGGCTTTCGGGCGATAGGGAGCTTGGCTGGAGGTTGCATAGATTCGGGGAGTCGCGACGGGCCAATACATGGCTGCTGCGAGCCAGACGAGGCCTCAATTGCGTCACCGCATGGGCGCCGGGGAGATGGGACCTGGTGTTGTGCTGTTCCCGAGCCGACGGCGCTGCCAATGCTTCTTCCTCTTCCTCGTCCTAGCGCATCGAGCGACGTCGTGAGGTTGTTGGGGTGCATCACCATGCCTCCACCAAGACGACGTCGCTCCCGCAAGCCGAGGGGGGCGGCCCCAGTCCAGTGCTTCCCAGGATGCCAGGCTGGTCCCAATTAAGCGTCGGCGGCCCCAGCTACGAGCTAAGATCCAGCCAACTAGCCCCTGTATCGCCTGTAGCCCCCTGGAATCCTAGCGCCTGTAGCTGCCCCAAGCTCCCAGTACGTACTTGGGACCAGGCAAAGCAAAACGGCGCGGCACTCCACGCCAAGCTATGTCAGTGAGGCTCCGCGAGGCACAAGTACCGTCCAACCAAGCAGCCTTCCGTCTGGGCTATCTGTAACGACTCTGCATTTCGCTATAGTCAAGTAGCACACAGAAGCCACGACGCCATTCGACGTACTGTTGGTGACGGCGCATGAGAGAAGACTCATAACCATCCGGTCGCGCCTGAGAAGGCCAAGCGCACGCTCATCATGTCGCGAATGCCCTCCAAGACCCAGGTCCCGCCTGAGAAGTTCAAGGCTGTATTCCCAACGCTGAAGCCCACCGTCTATAATGATCCTAACACAGCTCGAACGCCGAACAAGTGAGTCTAGACTATTCTATATTATTCATGTATGAGGGCATGCCAGCGTGCGCTTCCCTCGTGAAAGCTTATGCATCTGCTCAGGCTGACTTTTCTCATAGCCTTCGGACGATAGCCTGGAACCCCCTTGGCACATGGGTTGCTACCGGGTGCGCAGACAAGACGCTTCGCGTTTGTAAGTCTCTTGCCACTACAGCTCAACGGAAACCTCTGACCCTTGCGTGACAATAGGGAACGTGGACAAGCCCAATGTTCGTCAGTCGACGGAGCTCAAGGGCCATGCCGCGCCTATTGAGAAAGTCGCCTTCAACCCGGTGAAAGAGTTGGAACTGTGTTCCGTTAGTAGCGATGGGACTGTCAAGTTCTGGGATGTCAGGACCAGGAATCTCATCAATGAGGTGAAAGGGCTGGGCGACACCTTCACCCTAGCCTGGGCGCCCGACGGAGAGAGCCTGGTCGTTGGAAATAAGGTATAGTGCGGTATTCGTCGTCCATTGTCGCATACTGACCGCTTGGACAGGCAGACAAACTCTTTGTCCTTTCTCCAACGCAAAGTACGCCCCTGTCGTCACACCAACAAGATGTACAGACAAACAACATCACCTTCTGCTGGAGCGGTCAGCGCATATATGCTACCACCGCTGAGGGCTATACCAGGATTCTGTCTTATCCAAGCTTCGAACCCGCCTTCATCTATGAGTGGAAAGATCCCGAGAAGGCCGAGATGACCCTTAGCGGGCACACCTCAGCTTGTATAACAGTAGAACTGCACCCGATGAATCGATACCTGGCTACGGGTGGAGCAGACTCGCTCATCTCCTTATGGGACACGGAAGAGTGGATTTGCCAGAGAACCATCACGAAAATGGTTGGACCCGTGAAGAGTATCAGTATGTAGATCTGACTGCATGGAGACCCGCCCCTGAACTAACACATTTCACAGGCTTCTCCTTCGACGGTAACTACATCGTTGGTGGTAGCGACGAAGGTGGGCATTTTCCAATTAAATTCATGAATGAAAGCTATGCTAACCAAGCCCAGGGTCTGCCTTAGAGTTCACCTACGTGGAGACAGGCGAGCACCTCTTTTCATACAAGACTGCGTCCCCATGCTCTCTGGTTGCTTGGGCTCCAAATCGATATGCCCTCGCCTATTGCGACCTAGGAACTCTTCGAATCATCAGTGCTGGAGCCAAATGAGAGGCACAAGAGATGGTCACTCAGTAGCGTCAACAACGGGTTAGGCGGCAGCATTCACCACAATATGAATCGTAAGCCAACTTCTCTGGTGCGCCTAGGGTTCTGCCATGGCTGACTGTCATATTAGCTAGCTGTAGCGTAATGAAAGATCCAATCCAATCCAACCAAGACTTATCCCGTACGTGAAATGACTTCTTATAGAACTGCACACAGCCCCAGTCCACATTGGCCGTATAATGAGCCAATCAACCCCCGCGAGTTGGGCTCAGAGATAAGGATTACCGTGCCACATCTCCCATCCACTGGAGCGAGTAAGTTCACGGGGCGATGTATGGCGAGGTGGAGTCTTTGGGATGCGATGAGCATAACATTGTGCTCGTTTAAGAGGGCCTAGTCCCAAGCCATTATAGGCAGATATAAGTGCTAGTGTCATCGTCTGTTCACTGTCGGCTAGCGATTGAACAATGAACGGGCAAACGACCACACATATGAAGCCGACCTGGTTTCCTGTATTGTGTTGATGACGACTTTCTGAGGGATTAACTTGAAAGGCAAGTCTCCAGGCCTACCGTATGTAGTTGGAAATATAGCGTGGATCTCTCGGGAGAGGATCATATAATACTGGCTAACAATCTCTGTCGGGAGAATGTCCTTTCTCACAACACGCCCAGGAGGCGACGCCCATACCCGTTCGTCCGGCCCGAAATTTTCAAGCCGGAAGCGTCGACGGTTTCCCTGAACACCATTTGCAAAGACCAAGGACAGGGTTTCCAGGCCTCCGAGGTATGATGAAAGCACATTGGCAAACACTCGGACGAAATCCTCCTCTGCAAGCAGGAATTCATCCAGGGCCAGCCTCCGGACTTGCCCCCGCTGCGTCCACGTCTCGAGGAGCTCCGGATCGCAGAAGTCAGCAGCCCACTGCTCTGGAACAAAGAGAGTATCCCGATCCGGACAGAATTCCCGGTACGGGCACATATAGGCTCCGTTGCTGGTCGAGCGAAACTCAAGCAACGACTGAGCCACGGAGCGCGACTCACGGCAGACGTGTAGTGGCGACGGGATCTCGACGTCCACGGTCCTGGGCATGAGCTCACCATTGGCCCGGAAGACACACACGGCTGAGGCCTTGTCGTGAAGAGCAAAGCGCCATATCTCTCGTTGCAACTCGAGAGGCAATTCGGTGAATCGTTGGAATGTCTCCATGTCCGTCAGAGCCTTTGGTTTCAGACTCTGAAGTGGTAATTATACCAGCTGCGGAGGGTTCGGTCGTTCTGAAGCAAACAACCCTAGATCAAAAATTCCATGTGCTCGTAGGGCCAAGCTTGATAGTGAGTCCACACGCACGGTTTGTAAGTCTTGTCTTAGCAGACGCGCTGGGATTGGCGACTTTGCTCAACGTCGTTCATGGCATACTAGCACATGATGGAGACACCCCACATTTATGACAGCCCGTCAGCATCACACCGGTCCGTCGAGGTCATGCTCCGTTCGAGGGAAGGCCTTGGTTGGCGGTTAGGCACGAAGCCGAATCATTATCTCTGGGGTATTCAGACGTGAACAGTTTGCTAATGCTGCACTGCTTTATGCCTATTCAATGTCTGGCGTTCTGCCCTCTGGAGTCATTTGCCCTCAAAAGGTGCCACGAGCAAGTGTCTAAACGATGCAATAGCACGATCTAGCTAGAGTTGTCAAATTGATGGCGTTCATGAATCTTCATTCGTCGTTCGACAGTCGAAGTACTTGATTATAACTCGCCATCAAACCGCCTACAGAGACTGCGTCCGCTGGTAATGCTCCTGTAAATGCTTCAACAAGGTGCGACCGGTGTAACGGCCGAGGAACGATGGCTGTAAGTCATCCAGGATCATCATCTTGTCCCCAGTCGCACAGACGCTTGCTGCTGCGTGATCCCCGAACTCTTCGAGCAATGCGTCGGTTTCTGCTTCCAGTGCTATCGCATCGTCCTCCTGCATGCCCTGCTCTCGATACAGCAAAGCCAAGTGATACTGAGCTCTGGCAAGCGCTGCGCGGTCCCATTTTGAGTTCCTTGCACATTCTATACACTGCTGTATGTATCCACTGATGAATATGGTCTCGTTAGTGATATCTCCTAGTTTCGTAGGATGTCGGTCAGGTGGTGTGGGGGTTACTCACGTTGCTGTATACGAGTCTCCCATGTGGTGATACATTGCGCCAACGGCGTACATACTTGATATGGTGTACTCGTTGTGCTTTCCATGGAGCTCTAGACGCGCCTTTAGTGTCTCTAGATGCATGTCAAGCGCTCCTTGAAGATCTCCAGACTGGAGAAGAATGCAGGCCAGCATGAACATTCTTCGGTAGTACATCGCCTTCTTTCCGAGGAACCTCTCCGTGAGTTTCATTGCATGGTCTTGAAACTTGATGGATGTTTCCATCTCGCCTGCCCACATGAGAATGAGACTGTAATTGCCGTAATATTTCGAGTTCTCAAACGGGTTTTCGTTTTCAGGGCCCCAGACAAGATACTGCTCCCGGCATCCCCGGAATATCTCGCCAGCTTCCTCGAATTGATGCTCGTTCAGTAAGCATAAAGCATAGTCATTGGCTGCGTTTTGGAGGAGGACATCGTTGTCGTGGTCGCGATTCTGCTCGTATATTTGTTCTCTGATCTGCCAGGCATGTTTCAGGCGATGGAGCCCCTTTGTGCGCTCGACAACTCCCATATTCAAGAGAAGCAGGCCAGTCACGCACAAAATGTCTGCTCCGATCTTGGTGCTGGGGTCCATGTCGATGTTATTAAGGATCGCTTCTGCGGTTTCGAAGAACCACAGTCCATCGTATTCTGTCATTGCACGGGACCAAATGTAGAATCCTGCGTCATAGAAGAGCCCAGCAAGCTCTTTTGGAGTAGGATCTCCTAACGAGGCTGAGGCAGCATTTTGCTGATAGATTCGGCAGAACGTAGAAACATGAGGTAGGTACTCTTGACAAACTGCCCAACTGCTTGGATTAGGAACCTGTTGTGGCTCAGCCATAGGAAAACGCTTCCTTATCAGTCGAAATGCTTTTCGGAATGCATCGGCAAACCCATAATCCTCCATATCCAGCAAAACTTTCTGTTGCAGTAGTCTGTGAATTGTATAGGCTGTATCATCATTGTCAGTCTGCTTTTCAGAAAGAAGTCGCCGACCTGTCAACTCCGTGATCATTCTCTTATAGCTAAGGTCATAACCGAATTAGTAAGCTACCTCAGCTCTAGAACTCGGGGTTTTGAAATGCCCTCACCTGAGTGTTTCGGAAGCATTGAGGAACTCCAAATAATCTTCTTTGTGGTCTCCAACAAGAAGGCTTTTTGGTATATGTTCTGGGTCAAGAAATGACAGAACATCGAGGAGGCGTCGAGAATTCATACGCACTTCTCGGATACCGATGGTCCACAATGAGTCAATGGTCGAGTCAATATCCCCATCATCAAGATCAACCTTCCTCCTCCTCTTCTTCCTCATTATGTGTTCCTTTTCTTCCCACATCTCCAGAAAATCAGCCAAAGTACATCGCGACACTTTAACATAACCGACGATCATGCTGATAGCCAAAGGCAAACCTCCTACCACGTTTACTACTTGCGCCGCTTGGTCATACTCCTCATGAGCCTGCAAGTCTTCCTTGTTCAGTTTGGGTCGGATGGAAGTTAACAAGAATTCTCGACCATGCTCCAGCGGCCACGCCTCGAGCTCAACCGCATGCTGGTGGTGAAATGCGGGATGTCCAGGTGGCGCTAGTAACATTGGGGCTGAGCGGGTTGTAATGAGGACAGAACCTTTAGTTTTTGGAAAACTTCGAGGGATATACCGAGAGATGTCTGCCCACGAAGCAGCGTTGTCGAATATCAACAGCCATCGCCTGTCGGATTTCGTCAAGCTATCTCTGACTGAATACGTGCGTGCATCCAAGTTTGCAAAGGGCTCTTCTGGCAGATTGAGATGAGTTGCTATCATGCCGTACTTCTCGGCGCAAAGACCAGGATTTTCAGCCTCAACCCAGAATACATAAGAGTAGTCCGATTCGAATTTGTATAGGTACTCGACTGCAATCGCCGTCTTTCCGATGCCTCCGCGGCCACTGATAACGCATATTCTTCCCGGAGTAGACAATTGTTGGCGTATACTTTGGAGGTCTGAATCTCTACCAACGAAATTATCATATCTTGAGCGCACATTGCAATGTACGACTGGGATAGAATCCTGGGTGGTCTCTTTGTCAAGAAACTTCTTGACTTTTTCAGTCCAGAGTACGTTACCAAGTCTTTGTGATCCGCTCTCGAGATCATCAGGGGCCGAAAAGTTCTCGGTGTTCATGGTATGGCTGGCTTCATTGTCATGAAGGGCTGCATTGGGTGATGTTCTGAGTTTCGTCCGGACATCTACCGGCAAGAACCTTTCATCACCTTTCAAGAGCTCGTGTTGCTCTGCAATATAATCCACGAGCATATCGACGCCTTCCACGCCCTCATCGTCGGTCCCTTCGTCTTCTAGCAGAGCTGCAAGCGCGAGTGTTTCCAAATGAGTTCCGAGGTGGTTTTCCAGCTCATCGGTATCGTCACACGCCACACCACATAGCGCACACGATTGCTCCCCTGGCAGTTCTGTTGAGTATCTTTTACAGAACCCTCGTACTAAGGCTGCCTCGTCTGGTGTCAAGTCGCTGTGTGAAGCCTGTAAGTGGGACGTAAAATGCTCCTCTGTCCTGAAATCAGACCGGCAAAGCCCGCAAAACCATACACGATGGGATCGGTGGAAGTCAAGTTCGTGCTGTATCCATTCCTTTCTGTCACCGAACGGTAGATTTTCGTGAGAACAGTCACCAAACGTGCACATATATGCCTTCAAATCGCAGAAGACATGTTTAGACCATTCCCATTCTGTCATACCGATGCTACTTGTAGAGAAAATTAGAGGCAGCTCAGAATGGCAATATGGACAGTCAAATTGTTGAGTTCTTTCGAGGTTGACTGGAGGTTGTGGTACAACCAGACTTGGCAGCATAGACTGGTGTGGTGTGTCTGTGGCCGAAGTGACCGAGTCCTGGTCAACCATAACCGTTTTCGACAAAACTGTCTCTACATGGGAGCGGATTGTTGAAGTTCCCGCGTCAGACTCTGCTCGGTTGGAGCGATGTTGTGCTGTATGGAACTTGGGAGGTTCGCCAGTCTGCCGGAGTGATGAATCCCACGGCCTATATCTATGTCTAGGTCGTTGTCCTAGGAAGCTCTGACCGCTGACAACTTGATTTTCACCTAGTGAGAGCAGTAACCTTTGCCGAGACCGCCAAATGTTGTCTGCAAGCCGGAGCCGTAAACTTTCCGGTGCGATTGGAAACATGTCATCCGCTATTTGGCGGTAGTATTCTACTGAATACTCCTCGTTACTTTGAGCAGCGTCGACATCGCTATCTTCTAGCGGGTCTCGCAGTATGGGAAGTAGCTGAAACATGTAGCCAATTACGTTGCTGGCCTCTTCCAAGCAAATATCTGGGCCAGTTTCCATTTCTTGATCATCGGATACTGCGTCGTCCTGGCGGCCACTTGTATTAGGCGATACAGATGCCTCGGTCACATCTCCACTTTCAGATGTTACAGGCTCTTGTGCTTGGACTTCAGTTATAGCTGCGCTCAGGTTTAGTTCAAGTTACAGCTGTAATGCTTGATTTGCCTCACCTTCCTCCAGAGTGGAGTGTAAGTCTTTCAATAGGCGAAGTGTCTGGCGCTTCAGTATTGAAGAATTCCTGAGGGCATAGTCAAGAGAACGCGATGATGCTTGACTTCCTTCACCCCACAGCTTGAGTCTGATTGCACTGTCCTCGGCGATTTGGTGCAGCTCAGAATTGGACTGGTTTACTTGTATTGAGTCGGAAAGTCGCTGAAATGCCTGTACACAATCTTCGAAGTGCGCAGCAACTGGAGCCTTAGCTCTGAGACCGCGCGCCTCTTTGAGCCTCTGGGCCTTTTTACTTCTGGAGTCAGTCATGATTGCCCAGCGAGAAAGTCATGAACAGCAACTGAAAGAAAGCCGACCGGCTTTCAGATATGGAGGTTGTGATGACGAAGGACCCAGCAGCAGCAGATCCAAGAGATGACAAGGGCCAGGAGTATCCCAACCTCACAGGACCCCCACACTGCACCTGCGCCAAAGCGAAAGATCATCCATGGGTGATTCACCAGGGTTCGGAGTTAGCAGTGGCTGATTGGAGGGGAGAAGACGAGAAACTGGGTTTCGTGATATTCAGGCGTGCACTATTACATTTAGACCCAATCAGTGTTTTTGTGCAACCACGTCAATGCTGCCACCTAGGCCAACTGACCAATAACACAAATTTCCACACCTTCGTCGGGCGTATGTATGTCTAAACCACACGGCACACTTGCAGCCAGTCGCTCAGTGGCAGCCTTCCACTTTGTGCATTTCTGCGGGTTGCAAGGATGAGGGGTAGCCGTCATGACTATGTTGGCAACGAAGCTGACGGCTTACTGCTTTCGGTATACTCGCCCCAGCTCCTACTTTCATTTTCTTCTAGGCGTTCCCAACCGGATCCTGATTTCGCACGTTTGACTTCTGATAACTCTTGCGATCGCCTGTCGTTGAATTACGCCAGCGGCGCCAAACAGTGCTTGCGTGTCCAAGATGCCTAGCATCAAGACAGCAAGTAACGTTCGCATGCTGTTTCCCGACGTGACCGCCGCTGTTGAGCAGTACCGCCAGGCAAAACCCGATAGAGATGCGAGAAATCTCGCACGGCGTCTGTCAAACGAGGAGGCTATGTATGACCAGTTCATGCAGAAACTTACGCTCGTGGCAGGTCGCTCAAGAGTTGGAGGCGGCGGGGAGGTGATCAACCAAATTGAGCGTAGATTGGGTTGCGAAGCTGCTGAGAGTCTGAGGGCAGATTTGCAACGCATGGAAGATTTCCTACACGCTCTTAAGGCTGACCTTGTTAACGCCAGTCGAGGCACGGTAGGCCGCGACACCAGTTACCAAAGCCCGTTGTCGTGCGATGTATCTGACTCGCCTACAGGAAGTTCTCGTGAGATTAAGGCGAAAGACTACGAATTTTCGCGGCAATATTCCGAAGACCCCCTTGCAGAGACGCCTCGATGAGCTTTCAGAGGTGAATAGGCGTCTGTCGGCTTACTTGGAAGACGACGTGATTCAAATACCCACGGTCACTGGGTTCAAGGCCGCATTGGAATATAGAATCCTATTCCACCAGAACCAAGGCGAGCTTGTCAATGCTCTCCGGATTACCGGCGCGAGACTTACCTGTCTTTGCCGAGAAAGGGAGACACTACACCACGATATTCAATCTCCATTGTTCTCTGGGGACCCTGGAGAGAAAGCCATTTCGCAGCAGCAAAGCTTTGCCCACATATCAGTCCTGTTTTGTGAGCTCAAGGGGGCTAATGCTGCCACTTGGTTGACCCAACACAGGAAAACACCAGTCTATGCGGAAAAGGGACAACACAACGTCAAAACTGAGCAAAGAGACAAAAGGGTCTTAGCTTTCCACATTGAAGAGACCAGTCTTTCTCCAACAATGGTCAGATTTGAAGACCTGATCAAAAGTAGCAGCCTCGATTTTGGCCGCACAAAACGTGTGGAGCTTGCTTTCAGACTCAGCTCTGCCGTTTTGCTCCTTTGGAGTGCTTCATGGATAAGCAGTTCTCTGAAGTGGAGAGACTGGACCATATCGCTGGATGTACACCCCGCAGGTGATATACGTAGCTTTTCTCTCAGCCCTCGTTCCATTGACCAACAAAATGCGTTTGGGAAGAAGGCCAACGGGACCGCACTTCCTATTCTGGACAGAGAGCGCGTGCTTACACTACTTGGATTGCGCCTCATAGAACTTGCCTTCGGCCAAACCTTTGACGAAATAAGACAGCAGGATGCTACTTTACACTATGAGGAAACGAATGATCGAGACTTAAACTACTTACTTACCGCGAAGCGAATGCTCAATAGTCGTCGGATTAGTGCAGAATTCGGCGAGGCTTATGAAGCCGTTGTCCATGTCTGCATCTACCAACAGTATCGAGAACCCAAGGCGGCTCAAGTTAAAGATCTCAACTTTGGAGATCCTGCATTTCTAGAAAGTGCTTCGGTTGCGATACTACTGCCTCTGTATCAGGAGGTTCAAAGGAGTTTTGGGTATGTAAAAGCACCTTTGAAGCGTCATCACTTCATAATACCCTGTATAGCTGACTCTAGGGCTTCTAGTTGCCCCTGTTTGAGTGGCCATCTACTCAAAGAGACTGAAAGACCAGGTGGCAGCAAACCAGATCCTCAAGGTCGTGATTACGGAAAGATCGGACAGAAAGAGAACTTCACGCCCTCCATTCCTCAGCACGTGGCTGCTCCTGCAACTGATGAGGATACAAATGAGGCGAGCTTTCAAATTCTGCCCCGCGCTGATCCGCCCGACTCCCCTTCAGGCCTCTCTGTAGATGATACAAGCGATGACGATGCCAATGCGAATGGTACCACGCAAGTCCGAAGCGACAATGCAGTGCCTCTCTCAGTTGGCTCGGATGGCAGATCACATGGTCACATGGGAGTCTCGAATGTGCACATGCCCACTACTGAACAAGCGCACTCGAGACTTTCATCACCTCCGGACATTGACACTTTAGCAATAGAGAGCTTGGAAAACGTCGAAGCGAACGGACTGCCATCAGGAAGGATGCAGCTAGATGCTGAAGCTGCGCCTGGAACTGCACATATGAACACCACCGCCGGCATCTCCCAACTCAAGCCACCCAGCCAACGAGTGAGCTCTCCAAGCCGTGATCTAGGTGCTGCATCAGAATATTCATATGACACTATGACCGCCACCACAGATTCTGCATTCGCTTGGCTCTCTGATTATACTGACGACCCTCCGTCCATGCCTAGGGATCATCCACTCTTGCTATTCAAGGACGTTGCTCTTCGCATCTTCTTAAGGGGCTTTCAGACTTGGCGAGGACGTGGTTCAGGACCAAGTGAAGCATCAGGTTCGATCCACCAATCGAGATCTTCAACAAAGCGGACATGGGGCCAGCCCGGCAAGGACCATACCGCTGATGACGGCGAAGGGGAGAACTCTTCAATGAGCCCAAGTGTCTCCAATAAGAAACGACGCGTAAAGGAGGATAAACTTTCGCTCGGCTGCCCCTTCTTCAAGAAGGATGCCATGGCTCACCATCGCTGTGGGACGTACGTCTTGACGAGAATCAGGGATGTGAAACAGCATTTGACGCGGCGCCATCAGATGCCAATATACTGCCCTCGTTGTATTCAGACATTCGACGACGAGAGTGCCCGGGATTCACATGTGAGAGATACGGTCTGCGAGCAACGGCCATATGGCCAGCTAGAGGGCATCACAGAACAACAAAAGAAACATTTGACGAGGAAAGCACCAGCAAATCAGTCAGAGGAGGAGCAATGGTACGGGATTTTCGACATCCTCTTCCCGAATCATAGTCCTAGGCCCGGTTCTCCATATGTGGATCCCGATCTTCTGCAGAACGTGGTTGGTTTCCAATCATTTCTGACTTATCACGGGCCCCGAATTCTGGGAGATCTCTTGACCAACCACGGTGCTGTGACATGGAACCTTCCGGATGGGGACTCCGATGTTCGAGCTTTCCAACAGCGAATCCTCGAAGAAGGGATACAAACGATCTGCGCCCAGTGGATGAGCCACGGCGTGGCTGGGTTGTCGAATATTAGGACCACAGAAGCATCCACGGGAGGCCATCATGACAGTAGTCAACGACGAGTGCCAGAGCATCCTACGCCAGCCGCAAGTCTCTACACAGACCAGCAGCAGTCCCCGGATACGCGGCCAAGCTTTTCACTGGCATCTTCCTACGTTCCTAGTGAAATATCTTGGGGCCATGATGGGGACTGGCTCGCGAATCTCAACTTGGATGGTACTGAAGATACAGGACTTGATCCCATCACGCCATCAGATAGGGATGAGATCAACAAGATCCTTTCTACCCATGCAGACTTACGGAACCATGTTCGATACCCGCATGGCGAGTAAGCGTGAGTCCAGTTCGACAACTAGAGCGTAAAGTCCACTGCAATAGGAATCCAGGGGGAATAACAGCAGGGAAATCAACTCCAGTAGATGCATCAATTCGACGCCATGTACTATGCAGGGGTTTCGACTCTATTTGGTTCCAGATGGTCAAAGATAATATGACAATAGAATTGGGACAGCGCATTCAATAGTTCCTCCATGTCAATAACGTTGTACGGGCGCTCGTTGTGCGATGCATGTGAAGGAGCAATCATTCCTTAAGAGGTCGTCCGAGAGCTTCACATACCTGGGCCGGCATTGTCATTAGCCGCACTTCTCTGACGGTTGGTAAGAGCTCTTGCAACTGCTATAAAACGGCATGTACACACCTACACCTCCCTAGGCGTGCTAAGCCGCCATTGAGCCCTCCCCGTAACAGACCTTACTCTTCACGTCGTAGAACGTAACGGTGTCTTTACCTTGGGCGAAGTCGGGGTCGTCGATCTCGGCGCCAGCATGTTGTTTCCAAGGCTGGACGAGAGTATCTGGCTTCATAGCGGTCACCACCCAAGCTGGCATAGCGGTGGAAGAGTCGCCCGTAGCGGTCGTGGCAGAGTCCGTTGTGGAGGGCATAGGAGCCGCCGGCATCGGCGGCAAAGATTGGCCCATGACCAGCTGGGTCGGAATCTTCTAATTGGAAGCGCTCTTTAAAGAGTAGATGCGCTTGACGTCACAGCTGCCTTGTTTCTTGTTCGTTGAAGCTCGAACGAACGTATGGATGTTGCCTTCCTTAAGAGCGGAAGACGAACAATGGGACAGACAGCTGGGTACTTAGCAAAACTGTACCTTCAAAGTAACTTAAGTCCCTGCGCCGGCATTAGTGGGGACACACCAGACAGTATCCCGGTGGGGGGCTTATCGCTCACCGCATATTGAAGGGTCGCCTGGTTGCGAGCACAGCGAGTGCCGGCTTCAGGGTGCCGACGTCGATAATGGAGTTCGTGAGATTGTGTGGTTCCCATATATCGTAATTTCGCTACAGTATTGTGTAGCCGTTAATCCTACTACAGTATACCAGGCTAGCACCGAAACAGTCCTACAGAACACACTGTCAGTGGAAGACAGCCGACATGCACCCCTGCATACCCTGGAGTAAACTACTGCAGTCCCTAAGGTGAAAACATTACACCCTGAGCCTATTTGACCGCGTACACTCCCGGAAATAGTTGGTGGCTGGTGGTCTCAGATGCACCGCTGGCTCATCTCCACAACTACCCGGATTTATTGTGTTCACCTACTCTTATTCATCGCCATATAAAAGCTGAATGATCTATCTACCGTCCACGGCGGAGCCACTGACAGCCATGGCGTGCGGGACTGTGAAATCGCAAGTGAGCTATCTCAAGAGGCTTCCACTGTACCAGAAAGAGAAACCGTTTCAATTGTTTATTCCCATAGACAAAGAGGCTCTGGACCAGCGGACAACTAATCTTGATTTCGAAACGAAGGAGCGTACCTTTGTGGACGTCAGGGACACAGCGTACAGTTGTTCGTTGGACGTTGATGGATTCCAACTCCAGAGCTACCCAACAAAGCTTGATTTACCATCTTTTCTAGACCGAAGCATTGTCGAGTCCCAGTATTTCTCTGAAGTGGAAGAGATCTTGAAGAACATCGAGGGCGGATACGACAAGCTGTTCATTTTTGACTGGAGGGTTAGTCCACTGTTCCCGCCCAACCTCTACTTGGGCAGATTTCTCACTCGAAGTAGATACGAAGCTCTGCTACGCCAAGAATGGGCAACGAATTTGACATGAACGATCTTACAACTTGGCTCCGACCTTCACCAACTGTTCACGTTGGTAAGTGTTCATCCATGTGCTATGTCTCTTAGGGGCGGCACCATCGCACTCCTGTGAATAGGCTGGGCAATGCTGAGTAAGAACATTGATCCATTAGACCAGAGCGACCGTGCAGTGTTACATCGAATTCAGTTACATCTCCCAAACGACATGGCGAGCCTGTTACAGGGAAGAGTCCGAGTGGTCAAGTAGAATTCCCCACAGCAATATGCGTTTGCCTCTTGCTGATTGACTACAGTGTCTGGCGTCCGCTGGAGCACGTCGTGGAAGACTATCCGCTTGCCTTTTGTGACCCAGAAAGCATATCAGCCGACGACTTGGTAGAGTGCGACCATGTCCGAAGGAAGTTCAAGGGAGCGACCTTGTACGCGCATTTCAATGACACACACAAATGGTCTTACATAGGCAATCATCGGCCAGACGAAGTGCTCTTGATGAAAATGTTTGATTCCGACACCTCGGTGAAGGCCAGAAGTAAGTAACACCTAAATGGGACGTAGTAGGGGCTAAGCACCTTTAGGACTGGCGCACGCTTCCTTTCGCCATCCCGCCATCACAGAACACTCGAAGCCACGAAAAAGTATCGAAGTCCGTGCTCTTGTCTTCAACTTTCCTGGCACAGGAACCTTCAAGTGCGCCTGACGCTTTCATCGACACAATAAGGTTGCCTCGGGTGAAAGAGAGCCCGAGCAAACCCGATCGTAAGATGTATACATTGGTGTTGGTTGCACACGTACAGCGTCGGTCTCGGTCTGTTTCGTCTCATCGTACGACTGATTTTCACTTCCCGATAGGCCGAATCTTTCTTTCCAGTTCTCGTACATGTGCACGGAGCGCGGTCAGCTGTGCCGCTTCACAAGGCAGCCCGTTTGCTAAGCTCTCTGTAACAGTGGGTGGAGCTTTGAGATAGTCTTCCAAGGAAGCTGCATATACCCGGCGACGGGAGTCGTTTGCTGTGGAGAAACGATACGCGTTAGCTATAAAGTCACAGGCCAAGCGCCAATGAGTGCAAGAGCTTGCCTTCAGTCTGCTGGTGACCCCGTTCTTGAGCATCATAGCCACTACAACTAGATGTGCTAGAATCTATAAAGACTAGCATCGTGGAGACCTCTGTGGAGCTTTGGTTCTGTATGCGGGTATATTCCGAACCTGTCAACCCTTGTCCCACGGGTATATATACTCATTCACGATTCACCTGGTCTGTAGGCTTCTAACTTCATTATGACGACGTGCTCATCACCGTGGTTCCCTGTAGGCCTGCGGAGATCCAATACATTCGTTCTTTCAGAGCCTCATTCCGCCTTATTTAGTTGAAGTTGCTGGAACACATGTGCCAGACTATAAGTGTTAGGAACCCCACAGCTGTGCTATTCTTGATGCTGTGCTGCGTTTCTAGCGGCAAGGTAGCCTCGACCATTTGGGCACTAGCTTTGGTTCGGGACTTACCGCCTATGTCGGTGTCTGACCTGTCCTGCTGCACAGGAAATCGCCCGATTGGCAGAGCACGGATAGCTCGAAAAGCGTGACCGCGGGGTTGAGAAGACCACAGCTGTGGTGTTCTCTTCACCACGACGCCCGACAATGCAGCACTATCTACTTCGGTACATAGAACCCTCAACGGCTCGATGTACCTTCGAGGTACCGGCGCCTGGGCTCGAAAACACTGAGCGACATCTGTAATTGTTTCACTACCTTCTTCACAGCATGGCTTAAGCACGTAAAATTCGAGGACATGGTCGAAGTCGACGTTGATATAGAAGACCCCCGATAGTCGTTCTAAGGTAAAGATGTGCCCTTCCTGGGGAACACGACTGCCAAAATCATCAGGACGGGGTTGATTGGTTTGCCTTAGCCTGCAAAGTATTTCAGACTCTAAGTATTGGGTGCCTAAACACAATTGATTGGTGCCTCCATCCGATCAGCTTTGTACACATTTCGCCTTCCTGGCTATCCGGGAAACATCCTTGCGACTTGCGACCGTATTTATCGGGGTGCCAACCGTCTTGAGGTCTCCTCGATTTCGATTTTCGCGGGCGAAGAGACCTTGTAATGCGCTTGCACGATACGCAATAAACCACGACCGGTCCACCTGCCTTCGGAGCAGGACTGCGCCCAATCGAAAATTGTTAGGATATCTGGAGTGTCCGTCAAATACACTGGGCACTGTCCGTAAGTGCTACAAATGTTTTCTAGCATCTTGACAGCCTCACGTTCAAGAGTTGAGGCCTCCTCGCTCTGGCCCGTCCTTTCTCTGATGAGTAGAGACAGATGATACTTGGCTCGCCCAAGCGCTTCATCGTGCCACCGAATTTTCCTGCCCTTCTGGACACAGTCTCGCAGATACTCTCTGGAGAAAGGGGGGTTAGCTGGTATCAACAAAGAGTGAACCACTCCAGGATTGACGTACTCCGCTTTCTCGAGTTGGCCGAGGTGATGATACATTGCCCCAACTGAATATATGCTCTGGACGGTGAGTCCATGCAGTGCACCACAGATCCTCTGGCGGTTCTTGAGGACTTCCAAGTGGAGCTCTAAGCCGGCGTCGAGTTGACCAGCTTGGGTCATGATACATGCAATATCATACTGGCACCACCAATATCTGCTATTGTCTTTCCCATTGTGCCTCGCTTTGATTTCAATACCCCTTTTAGAGAGATCAATGGCCTCCTCATACCTTTCTTGGTACATTCGGACGAGAGCCATATTGTGGTAATACTTTGCGTACTCGAATGGTTGCTCCTCTTCTGTGCCCCATCTCTTGTACTGGTCGAAGCATTCGCTAAACAGTTTCTCTGCTTCGTGGAAATCATCATGCTGCAATTTGGACAGAGCGAAATCGTTAACAGAATTGTAGTAGAGATGCTCGCTGTTGTCGCAGAGTCCGAGGCGCTGAGAACGTTTTAGTTGAATTTTGCGAATTTCGCGCACTCGGCGCAGTCTCTCAAAGGCCTCGGTGCGATTGCTCAAACCAACTGCGTCCAATAAAAGCGACAGAATGCAAGATATGTCAGCGCGAAGTTTCCCGTCTATATCATACTCGAGGCGGTCCAGGATCTTCTCCGCTGTCTCCAACAACGCGGTGCCATCCCTGGTAACATAGTTCCATCTCTCCCAGGTATGAAACCCTGCATAATACAGGGTCTCTGCCAGCTGCAGAGATGGCTCAATAGGGGGATCAGATTGTAAGAATGCTTGGCACATGGTAAGAGCGTGTGGATTCGATTGCTCAAATTGCCTCCAATTCTTAGGATTGGGTATCTGAAGTGGGTTCGTCCCTGGCGATGCTCGAGCTACAATCCGAAGAGCATGCCTGAAGATCATCTCCCTCGTCAAGGGATTATGATCAAGCGCCATGCGCAACGCTAGTTGCAGTGATAGATGTATAGAGTACACGTTGTCCTCTATATCAACAAGACATCTGCGGCTTAGCGATCGGCCCATATAGAGCAACCTGTGCAGAAGTCAGAAGAATAGTGGGATACAAGTTTATATCCGTACTCTATCTTAGCGCTTCCTTCTGAGGACCACCAATTTGGGTCTTCTTCAATGTCGGCCTCGAGCCAATCCTCAGGAATAACATCAGGGTTGAGGTATGCCATAACGTCAATCAACTGTCGAGCATTCGGTGGCAATTCATTAAGAGCGAGTTGCCAGACAATATCTAGAATCCTTTCATTCGTTTCGGTAAGCGAGGGAGATGACCATGCACTCTTTTGCCAGTTGGCCTCGAAGAAATCTCGAAAGTACGAGATATTGCGTTTCGATTCACTGATGTAAGCCCCGATATGGGCAATTGCCAAAGGTAGACCGCCCAGCATATCTGAGACTTCTTCCAAAACTTTTTGGTCCTCATCGTCAACATTGTCCGTCTCCCGACCGAGACATTTTCTTAGTAACTCGATACTCTGTTCGGTATCAAGTGACTTCAGCGGCAACGACGCATCGGCATCAATCTTATGTTTGTGTTGTTCAAATTGTGAGGTGAAGATTATGGCAGACTGCTTCATAGACCTGGTTGGTAGGAGTGTTATGACGGCTTCAATTGTACCTTCTTCAATATTGTCGAAAACAAGAAGCCATGTCTTATCTGACCAAAAAGTAAGCTGTTAGTTCAAAATACGTACGTCAAAAGGGAGAAGATCGAAGTCCCATGACGGAGGGTAGCATGACTTACCTGTTGTTTCTAGCTTTTCCTTCACCGCTTCAGAATGCAGAAGTCTAGGCTCATCAATGCGTAAGAGATTATAGATGGATGTAAACGATTCAGCCAGCCTGGCTGGATCATCCGCTCGAATCCAAAACCTGTAAAAATAGTGGTCCTCATACGTCCGGCTATATGCTAAAGCTGCTTGTGTCTTCCCCATGCCCCCTAAAGCATGTATTAGACAGGATTTGGGCTCGGATCCAGCTATCCATTCTTTGTGATGTAGCCTGACATGTAATTCACTGATGAACTCCTCTCGGCCTGTAAAGTATTTTCGTAAACGCGGCATGTTGGACGTACTGACACCTTGTGCTGACATCTCCGTAACTATGTTTCGATCTGGCACTGCTGGAAACGTTTTTGGGGTTACAATCTTCGCTGCCAAGACATAACGGATGTGTTCCTCGAATTGTGCTTTGGCTTCAGTCCAGTTCTGTAAGATAGTTGATAACTTTCGTCGATGTTTAGAATGGATCAGGTTCGTCGCGATATTGGCTGGTTGATCCACTGTAATTAACATCAAGCACAATACTTGACGATTTGTAAACTGACCAAGTGTTCTCTTCCTCATGTACCTGATGGTACACAAGCAAAATTCCGAATATATGTCGTACAATCTTTGCAGCAGATAGCGGAGTTTGTAATCGTCTTGGAACAGCTTCATGTAGGCATCAAGCTTGGGGAAGGTCTCGTAGAACTTTTCAAGCTGCTCAAAAGTGTCTTTCATGTACGAAACATGGCGACAGGTACACTAGAATTAGAATGATGATCAGAAAAACTTGGTTGGTACCAGATGCTCGAACTTTGGACTCTGGGACCCCTCAATACCTCCATTACTGCCAGCGACGCAGACCACACATAACTAGCTGAATCCAGCTGCTGAACTGCTGAAGCTATGGCCCTCTCAAACGACTTTATATGGTCAAAATGAGGCTCGACATGCTCCGCAACGAGTTTGGCGATCCCGTGCTGAGAATATTCGTGTAACAAGCTGTGAAGGGCACCCTGAAAGTGATCGAAGTCGTCTAATTGTAGGGTTTCCTTGAATCCGGCTGCTTCAAGATCTTCTCTGAGTTTCTTTACCTTGGCTCTCCAGCCATCGACTTCCGTTTTAGCCATTGTCATATCGGAAACCATCTCCGAAATCAAATGTTGAATTCCAAACTTGGAGCATTTTGCACACCTAGGTAAGTAATGACTCAAGTGTACCAGACTTGAAATCAGCTCAATTTAAGCGTGAATCTCTCCAAGGCTGCAGTCTTGATTATCCTTCGGAGAGACGGCGTTTGGGTTGACTCTCATTCGTGAACGGGTCGTCATTAGCTGTGGCGGCGTCGCCCGAAGTCTTTGCCTTGCATAGCAGCACCACCAATGCCACGCCCTGCTGAAGTTGGGCTAGTGAAAGGATCCAGGGGGCGTCCTATCCCACACTCTTACACACAGAGTGACGAGATCATTGGTGGCCATCTTTGCGGCCATTAGAAATAAGTCTACCACACCGACGGTCACCAACCAATCGCACAGTCGGCGATTCTTGGGTCGGCGATAGTGAGGCTAACCATGATACAGGTCACAAGGAATTCATGCATGTGCTTACCAAAGAGGAGCGTGCTACGTCTGACATGCATAATGTAGGCAGGCTGTGGGGGCAGGATGAGAGTCTAGAGCTTCAGGTCTAAAGACGTCACTAGTAGTTCACTTTCGGCTAAGGCCCCTACAGTATAGCCTTGCAATTGACCAGGCAATGATTCGCCATGAGTCCCTTGGGTTATCTTGGTGGTAATTGGTTGAGACCTCCCTATCCGTGGACTGGTGAGAGAGTATTCAAGAGTTGGCGGATATTCTTCTGTAACCTCTGGAAGTCTATATATGTCACGATTAGTACGGGAATTGTGGCGCGTGTCACTTTTCCCGTGGTGGTTTTACTTTGTCGAACAACTCGCCAAACTCCGAAGATTACAAGGTACTTCTCTTCTTGTAGCTTCTCCTTCAAGGGGAGATTTATACTGTCAAAGAGTTCAATCATTTGCCCTTGATCGAGAGAGACGAACGAGTTTGGGTTGGGGGCCGAGGAAAACTGATAGTACAGAGGGTTATGACCTCGCTGGCAGTCAAGATGCCCAAGAAGGGGGTTCTTGCCTCCCTGAGTTTTCCAAGTACAGTGCTTTGCACTGGTCAAGTCGCTTCAAAGTTTCGAGGGCAAAGCTACTTGATAATAGTTGTGATTAGAGAGGTGTCCTGTAGGCCGGGAATGATTGACTTCCCAGTCGCTGTGCGGTGCCGTCTACATTCTTTTTCCAGAGAACGGATTCTTAAGAAGCACATTTAAGCCCGAGTACACTGTCATGCCGACATAAATTCCAGGTCTGTAGTTCTCTCACCTTTTTTTGTTGGTACCGTATAATAGCAGACGAGCTGCGATACTGACGTCTAATGGTGCCCCGGAAGCAAGCGGCTAATTCCGCGATAAGATACGCTGGGAGCTACATCGAGCATGACCACCACTTACGTTTACACAACACCTGGACACTCACCTCAGCTACGTACGCCTTTCGGTGCGAATCGAGCAAACCAGCTGTTTCAAAGAATTCGAGCAGAAGACACGCGGCGCGAGATGTACACACCAACACCCCCGCCACCGGTTCCCCCGCCAAAACCCAGCAGTCATGACACAAGCCGGCTAGGCACCCCCTCCATCTCACAGTCACCAAGACCATCGCCTTTGACAGACAATGGCTTCAACGGCGCCGAGGGCAAGGGCAAGGGAATCGCTACAGACTCTTCGGGCTTGATCCCCGCCCCGTCGCGACATGACAGTCAACGGCTGCGGCAAGTCCCTCAAGAGATACCTGACCCAGGCGAGGGATGGCTGCCCAAATTCCTCGAGGACAAATCGTACGTCTCTGACCCGTGTTCCCTCAATTCGGTAGATTTTAAGTCACTGCTGCAGTCGACTAACCCTGGCAAACTATGCAGGAAGCAAGATCTCGCCGACATCCTCTCCTCTCCCGCCCAGCTCAACGCCTTGACCCACTCGCCGTCGACCGCGCACCCATCCACGACCAACTCTCACGCCAACCTGCAGTTTGCGCTGACCGAGAACCTGACCCTGGCGCAGCACCTGCTGGACCTGGAGTCGCACCTGAACCACCAGCGGTCGAGCACGCAGGCGCAGCTGTTGTCGACGCACGCGCTCGAGCGGCAGTGGCGGCAGAAGCAGTCCGAGATGGACGTGGCGCTGGCGCCGTTCGCGCCCGCCAGCCTGTATACGCGGCTCACGCAGGGGCTGCAGGAGCAGGAGATGGTGTGCGCCGCCATGGAGGAGAGCTTCCTCGACGGCGACGGCGAAGTCGCCTCCGAGCGCGAGGCCCTCGACTGGGTGCGCCGCTACCGCGAGGCCAAGAAGCTGTACTACCTCCGACAGGAGCGCAAGGAGCGCTGGAACGAGAGGAGGGTCGGCGGCTGGCGGTGAGCGAGCGAAGCAGACGCTAGCCGCTCCAGGTCATGCCGTGTCGGTAGCCCTCGAGTGATCAGGGCACGCCGTGACGTGATATTGCTACTTCTCACGTCCCATCGCCACACTCCCCTGTGCAGATTGCTCAACATAGGCCAGTATTTGTGGATGGCTGAGACGCTGGCTGGCCGCAGGCTGCGCAATATGGCCGCTGCGAGGAGCGTTACAGACATACGCAGTGACGGAGTCTACTTACTACTATCTACACGCCTGGCGGAGTCAAAGACGCGCTTACATCACAAAACCATGGCGATCCTACCTGCATTCCTCGGCATACATACCACCGAGTGGAAGTGGCTGACGAGGTGCATCCTAAGGGCTTGCTGTCCGCCAACACCTCGTCGTGAGCTAGCTTCAGATGGCCTCGAGGTGGTGTGGTGTCGTCAAATCCGCGGCAGCTGCTCCAGAGACGGACTTGAAATCAGGCACGTTGCCATGATGCGAATGGAACTCTAGCGAATCAAAGGGCCGATGAGCCCTGCGCATATCGCGAAGCTTGCGTCTGGAATCGGTCCGATGAACCCCGGGGTGCAGGAGAGCACAGCTCCACGGCGCTTGAGCACCACCTTGAGACTCATGAACCCGGAGAGCACTGCCCGGTTTGGTAATGTGAGCTAAATAGATAGTTCTAAATGTAGCTTTGCAGACGTATGTAGGGAATTTATAAACATATCTCCGCTGGCTGCGATGCAGAAACAGCCCCCGACTGCGCCTATAAACGTCTCTATTCTCATGATATGGTAGTCTAGATACACCGTCTTCGCTTGGGAGCTGCTGACCTCCTATTGTGAGCCCTACTCTTCCTCCGCGGCGGCTAGTACCCGCTGAAATGACATCTCATGATCGGTCGCTTATGGAGAAAGGAAAGGTGGCCAGCCTTTGGGGCCTTTTCCAAGCGGAAGGAATGGGGCTGGTGTTCTGTTTTAAGTCTTTTCGCTAACAAACGAATTGGAAGTAGCCGCCAACCCTGGTCTTCGGGTCTGCATTTCTGATCGAGCACATCCGAAAGCCCAGTTTGTTCAGACCCTTCGCACTGGTGAGCCGTAGCCTGGAACGCAGTCGCAGAGAGCCTCCATTCGGCTTCCCCGTTAGCTTGCCAGGACCCAGCAGCAAAGAATCGAACTGGCCATCTCTTTATAACTCTTCTACTGCTACTTTAAGGAGCTGAACGGGCTCTTTTTCATCTCCGGACTCCTGGGGCTCATGGGCAGAGCAAATAACTCATCCTCTGTCCCATGACTTTCCAACGGAGGTCGGCCCCCATAAGCGGCCTGCCCGCTGCCTCCGACAAGGGCGTTCAGGGACGCCAACTCGCCAGACCCAACGGTCTGTTGTTGGGCATGCTTCCTGTAAGCGCCTGCATGGGCTGGTACCGCAATATCTGATACGTCCGGTGAAAGGGTGTACAGGTGATGCTTGCGGCCTATGTGCGCGTAAGCTTCGTCGGATGTTAAGGAAAAGGGGCAGCTGCAAGCCCGGGAGCCGCGTATTACACCAGAGCAAACTTACCTCCAGGATTGGCCAAATCAGAGGGGCTAGTGGCCAGCTTCAACCCTCTGAGCTTCTCACCGAGACGACCTCCTATCGGAGACCGAGGGCTTTGCGGAGTGGGCGGAATCGCTCTGGGTGAGGATTGCGTGTCTCTGTTCGCGGAGTCCGGGTGCTCCAACCCGAAGTGCTCAACTATATAGTCTCTATCGGCGAGTGCCATCTGTAGAGCCACGCCTTCGCTATTGGCCTTCATCTCCTGCTCAATCTCCCCTTGAAGCTGCGAGAGCCTCCTCTTTGCCCTAGTATTTGTGGGTTTGCGTCAGTACTGATCGCAATATGGGGTGTGCAACAGTTTTGGGAATAAGAGGTTTTCGTTTCACAGCAGCGATCGCCTGACTCGTCTCAAAAATAGCAAGTTCTCAAGACTCACCACATAGTGTGCAGAACGCCCCTCGTGCCGGCATCTCGAGACGCATCGGCTCCCAAAGCAGGCATGTAGATTGCAGGCATCGGTTTCGTGCTCAGCTTCTGACCCGTGGCCGGTAGTGATATAGTCACAACTGGAGGCACATGGTCTTCTCCCGGTATAAGGAAGAACACACGATGTGTTGCAACGCCGACCTGCTCGCTTATTGCGAATTTGCTCGTCTTCCCTTGCCATGAGATTTCCCACTGGTCCTGCTTATTAGGCGTCCCCTGCTTAGGCTTGCTGCTGCCATCTTGTGACACTGCATTCCACTCAACCATAAGTACTTTCGTACCTTCGTTTCCACATCCTGTCTCGAATTCAAAGCGTGCCCAAGCACCTGGAGTCGGAGGCGCATCCGTTGAGTCCGCGGGTCCCGCGGGGTCCAAAGGCTCCGGATCTGGTGATACACTGCTGGTCGGCACCGCTGCGGCGTTATCGGAGACTGCCATACCTACGCACAGTATATATCCTATTGTTCAACTCGGGAGCAAGGCAGCAGGCTGAGCCGCATACCCACGCCGAGACGCAATGCTACGCTAGGTGGCACTGTCTGACCAGAAGCACATCAATCAAAGGCGAGCAACCACCAGTCCTCCTGTAAAAGGCGCGGGGTCCCAGGTACCAGAAGTCGAATACTGCCGGCGGGGTACGTGCCGGAAATTCAGGGTCTGAGGAAGACGTGCGCTGATAGGTATGGACAACAAGTGTGTCCCGTCAACAAAAAAATGTGACCCAGCTATTGCTGCAACGGCAGAAAGCGATATCGGTATTAATGATACATCTGGCACCAGGCAGGATATATTTGCACAGGAGAAGATCCGGAAGACAGAGTGCCAGCATCCAGGCAGACTGTTATCTTAGGAGTCGCATTATTTCTTCGCTCCGGAATATCTCGCTGCTGGCCTTGTCAGAGACCAATAATTTCCTGCGCCGCAGGGGCAATCGAGCGGGACAAAAACAAAAACGTTGAATGATTCCTGGGTTGCATGACTTCCAGGACTGAAAAGGGAACGCTTGACCTCTTGGCGATGAAGATGACGGTACGCGCAAAGAACATTGGCCAGTTTTCGAAGACTCTCGAAATGAATAACCTCTGCCGCAGCTGAGCTGAAGAACGCATGTAGCCGAGATGTATCAGCGGCCTCTGGACAGCGTGACGAGCGCAGAACGTGGGCGGGGCTCGATGCTATTTTTAGGGATTACATGCAGCGCGGTAGGTAATTTCTGGGCCCATCAGCAGCAATATTGTCTGTCCCAAGCAATCGCCTCCGTGGCCGCCCTCTTATTGAGGCAAGTGATCTTAGTGTAGCCAGACTGTCGGTTACCCTCTCCGACACAGCCATTGGTTCGTCGAAGACTCGTGGGCTTTCCAACGTCTACAGACTTGTTGATGGCAACGGTGAAAAATAGTAATTCCACCTGTCGAAAATTCATCTGATTTTGTCCTCTTTGAGCAGAATGCAGTAACTCAAAGACATACCTAAGTAGCCAGCTGATGGCTCTCAAAACTACTCACCTCATTGATACCTACCTGGGATCTGCATGTGTGCCCAGGTGCACAGCGCATATTGTACGTATATACGTGACTTCACCAGTGTTTGTAACACGTCCTGTGACCTAGCCTCTCGGAGAGCCTATCGAACTTGTCTAGTGTTAGAGAGACCATTGGTGGGACGAAAGAGATTGAGTTCGAAATGGGCTGTGGGTATATGTAATTCAACGCTTCGATTGAAAGATTTATGTCAGACATGGTATGTTGCACGCTTGCTTCTCACTCTCTTGGGTTATAGAGAAGCCCGCCGCTTCGCAGACCATTAGATGAGTCGATGGTAGTTTACGTTCTACAGCCTCTTATGGTGTGAGAGACGACCAGGCTCATGAGGCCCATCAGCTTCATTGACTCTTCCGACACTGCCGTCCACATCAGTGGTTGAACCCGTCATTGAAGCGAGGTTTAGCTGTGGGTATCTCTCGCGGGTGAGCCCTAATCGAATGTTTGTCATCGAGATGGAAGACGAGACCCAGGACCAACGTCATTGCCTGCATGCTCATTTCATTCCATACTTCGAATGTCGTCAGAGAGACTCGTGAAAAGCCCGAGGCATTTCTCACAGCTTTGTGGGGTGCCCCATCAAGCAGCTAAGCAGTCACCAGCCCCCTGTGGAAAGGGTCGGAAAGACCTCGTTAGAGTAATGAACATCGTGGGTTCCAGAGACCGCCCGACGAATTATAGATGCCGGCCAGCGTCCCAGCTATGGGGTATTGGGAGACGGCCGGGGAAAATCTGGGCCTTGAGGAGAAGGTGCGACGCTGTCGTGGAGTTCTGGTGGAGTGCCCGAGGGGAATCCTCGGGTCATCACGCAACGGATGACCTAATGTTCTCGAATCCTGCCCCGCGAAGTTGGATGCCATCCGAAGGCTTGTTCCCCAGAGACCCGCTTGCCTGAGCCCCCACGTGTGGGAAATCCACTTGGGGTGATGTGGATGGTCCGTCGCAAGGCAAACCGGACCGAAGCTGAGCAAGTAGCGTGGTTGGTGGTCATCGGTAAGGCTCCTCCTCCTCGGGTCGCGGATCGCGGATTCTACTTAGCACTGAGATTGCGTTCGCCTCTGGCATGGGTCCGAGATATCCCATCAATTGCACATCGCAGTCGACGGATTATGCCACAGGATACATCTCGCCGACGCTGACAGCAATAAATAACAATCCTGCCGCTGCGGCTGATGTTGGTGATTGCAAATACGCAGGGGAACTGCCGCAAAGAGGGAGCATGTTGTTGATCCTTACTTAATATAGGTACCATTAGAGAGAGTACCATGCGAAGCTACCACGGTAAGCCACGACACGATTGCACGGATTATTTACGGGGAAGGCTCGTGGTAGTCCGCAACATTTAGCCCACGAATGCTTGGAGTCTCTATGCTCGCTGACAAAGTCCTGGCGCCGTGAGACGGAAAAGTAAACGTATGGCTACGGCTTGCAATTTGGATGGGCCCTGGAGTATCTTCGGTCAATTCTTATCAATCCTCTTCGAGGGCCGTCCGTCGACGAGATCTCATTGAGAATTTTCCGCCGAAAGGGGGTGTCCTGGGCTGAGAGGGTGGCCCAGGCCCAATAGGATACCGGCGCGCCCAGCGTTGGCCTGTCGGGAAAGAGTTTGGATATGGCCGTAGTAGGGCCGGGAAGGACGTTCGGTGGGGCTTTCGCGGGGAACCTTCCATGGTCCCCGAGACGAGAGTCTGGACTCTTTGGCCATCCATGTTTGAGCATCTAGGCCAGTCACGCAGTATGTTGTGAAGTCGGGTCTGTAGAAGCGTCACCGTATTGTGAGACACTCTGGCCAGCTCATCGATCCATTGTTGATCGTTTTCATGCTTCCCCTTCAGCCTTTGCGTCAATCGCATTGTGAAGCCTGCGTCTGTCTTCAAAGCGCGTCTCCTGCGGTTCGCGGTGGGCCAGGGGTAACGATGTAAGAGACCACCAACTGCCGCGTATCCCTTTATTAGGAACGCGAACCAGGAGACCGCAGCGAGCAGCATGTCCTGTAGGAATCGCCTGGGGACGGGATAATACATCACCAAAACTTACGGCTATATCGGCCATATGGCAGAACAGCTGATCATCCTGGACCCATATCGCCAGGCTTGAGAACCCACAGCATTGCTCGCTCAACCTGAAGTTCTCAGTGTGCTCACCACTTTTCTAGGGGGGTTCAAATCTCACGATGGGTCTCATGGCCGGTCTGCCAGTCCAAAAATCGTAAGGGTGAATGTCCACTTGCTCGGTGGTATTGAGGTTCCTCGCTCAGAGACGGAGTGTGGTGTAATGGCTTTGTCAATGTAACGCCGAGACCGAGATGAGAATAAGAAAAAGCCAGATGAGAAGTGCCGACGCTACAGTGCAGCGCAGATCTCCCTCAACGTCAAGTTGCATGCCTGGTTCATCTAATGCAGTCGAGCTCGTGATTGGGTGCCATGGCTTCTCTCAATTACGAGTCCAACCATCCTAAACTTGTGCAGAGGTGCAGGGCGGAAGGCATCACGTTTCATGGCTGGCACGCCATGGTGACATGCGGCAGTGCCGTATTGTACGCGGCAGAGCATGGCAGGGTTTCACTCATGTCGGTAGCAACGCTCTACTGGCAACTCACACGAACGGAGTCAAGACAGTCGGCGGCGGTCAACTTTCGGCCAGACTTCCGGCTGCATTTACGGCGCTTGAAGGCTCCGCTGATAAAAAGAAACGGCATCATCGGGTGACAAGCTCATACTATCTCACTGATAGACCCATCGGCGGTTTTCCGGTCATTGCTGACTGCTTAGGCCAACGGTTCACGGCGCCTTCAGTAGGAGCAGAAGAACCCTTCGATGGTCCCTGATGAAAGCTTAATTGATATACTCCCCACATGAACACCGCTGTTGTGCCGAGCAGACCAGCCGGCTAAATGCACACATCGCTACCGTCGAAGCACCCTATAGTTAGTTCTCACGTCTAACTGCGAAGCCTTCTCGTGAACTGGGCGAGTTGGATAACATATATGTGGGTTCGAGTAAATCACAAGCAGGCACGTGCTACTTAAAAGATGGGTAGTATATGGGGTGAGCGGATACCACTAGAAACATCTGAAGCCCCAAGCGCACCACTAGAAAACGTACATGTTACCTCAAAACCTGGGGCAAACGCTCTTCCGGCCAGAGGTGCCATGCATGCACCCCGTCAATAAAGATGGCTTCGCGGACGTCCAGCTCCTCGCAGCTCCTCTCGAGTATGCAGTACACACATACGTAGTTGATACTGATTCTAGTTATGTATTGACAACGCTTCACAGAGTGTCCCCTAAAAAGCATGCAAACTCTGATAAGATGTGGCTAGAACCAAATTTACAGTACTTATATACGGGCCGACTCGGCCCTGAAGGTGCAAGCGAGAGAAGTCACTGAATCCGACCAGACGAGTTGGCCAACCTTGCACCGCCAAGGTTGGATTGAGCACTGTACTATGGTGTATGTATGTATGTATGTATGTATGTATGTGGTCAATACAACACACAGCATACAACATACAACATACCACATTCGCATGCAATGACGCTGTCAATCGTTGAGATTCGCGCGGGCCAGGGTGCAGCAAGCGGCAAAGGCAGCAGAGGGATAAAGGCAAAACGGAAAACGCAGATTGGGCATGTCATGCCTTGGGAGCCAAGAGCCGGGAGATCACTCGCTCGCGCGTCTTGTCGCACCCCACTATTTCGCCGGCCAAACCGCCGTGGGCAGCACTCCGTGGACCCAGACGTGACCATAGTCCCCCCATTTGCCCATTAGTCTCGCCATTAGCCACGATAACCCACCCCCGGCCGAAGAGAGTGCGCCCGAGAGAGATAGCTGGGGCGACACGCCATCGAGAAGACCTTGACGGACCGCAAGTACATAGTAGTCGCGAACGTGGAAGCGCCGAGCGTTCAAAGTGATCGGCTGACGGAGAGGAAGAGAGCAAGAATTGTACCGGCCCACACCGCAAGCTCTGTGCAAGCACAGGGAGGGCGCACATGGCATCTCATCTGCAACGGGGGAAAACGCCTGAGCGGAGAGAAACCAGCGTCGCACTTACATGGCATGCTGTCGGTCGCATAGTGTTAGCTGCATTGGCTGCCAAGACAAGCCCCCAGAAGTCCAGGCCAATACTCCACGATTCGACATCCGCGACCTTGACCCCCATTGCAGACTCGTGCTGCTCGCGGTTTAGTGGGCGCTTTTCCCGGGAAGTCGAAGTGGACATTGGGAGCGGCGGCCCCGTTCCTATGGCCATCCTTTCCCATCCCGGGCCTACCCAAGGTACCCTACCTAAGTACATACCCTACCAGACAACCACACAGAACAGACAGATAGACGGGCCAACCCAACCCAACCCAACCAGACGGGCCTGCTCTGCTGTACGAGTACCTACGGGGCCCTCTCGCTGTGCTGTGTACCTACCAACCTACAGTGGCCTCCAGCGCTGCCGGTCCATGTACCTTTGCTACCACCATCCCATACTTCGCATACATACCGATACGCATCCACCCCGGCGTGTCTTTGGTTGTCGGCCAATCCACCACGCCCAGACAGCCCCCATCTCCATTTCTCGGCCTCTTTCCCTTTCTCTCCTCACTGACCCTATCCACCTGCGGTGCTGCCAAGTCAAGTAAAGCCAGGTCCGGCCTGGGCTCTCCTACCCAAGACGCCCTCTCACCACTGCACCTTGGCTTTCTGCCTCTTGCTCTCTTGATAGTATTCCTCTTTATTCTAGGCCACTACTCCATTAGGCCACTCACCACCTCGATCGCGGCGAATTACGAGTAATTTTCCCCCTTCGCGATACTCTCGTCCCTCCTTCGGTTCCCACGCTCTCCGCCAGAGTGCGATCGACCGGGCGCTTCCGCTTCTGATCTGGGACAACGCTACTACTACCCTCCCATCCCGACGACAGCCCCCATCGCCGTTCACGTCTTTGGGCAACTCGACGATAAAGAGCGTACTGTCTCTTTTTTCTTTCCCACGCGGCCATATTCCAGCCACAGTACGAGCCCGCGGATCTTGTTGTCAGCAATCTGTTGATTACGGGGCTCAACCGCACCCTGATCCGACTGTTAGTCGCAGCACATTCCAGCGAAAGAGTCGTTGGGACCCGAAATCGAAACAACCGAAAGGAGCGACGACAAGACGTGAGGTGGTGGATATAGACGGGAACAAGAGCGTCGACGTTGTATCTTGGGGCGTCTCGCGCAGGTGACAACCGATCGCTCGTTAGCCGGTTGCTTCATCGTGGAATTTCGGAACGACCGCCAACTCCCGAACTTCACTTCTCGTCCGTCTTTTCGCTGGTCTGATGTCTCAATATGTGTAAATCACAACCGACATCTGTCGCCTGTGACCAATCTATTTCCCTGGCCTGCCCTGCCTTGTAGGGGACAAGCACGCACCGGCAGTGCTGCCTGTCTTCCGCTCCGCACCGAGACCAAGCGCCGTATCATCGGTCGCATCATCACTCACCATGGACCCTCCGCACGTTACCGAGTTCGCTTCGCAGCGATACTTTGATAAATTAAAACAGACTAGCGAGGCGAAGGACCAGCTGCATTCTCCGGATGGTTCGACCAAACACCAGTCGCCGTTCATACTTCCTATCCACAGCAAGCACAAGGAACAATCATCACATGTGCCAGGCGATGTCCAGCGGATAGCGGAAAAGAAGCGTGGGAACTTTAGCTTGCGCTCCATACTCCCTTCGTCGCGAACATCCACCGACCACAGGTTATCTACCGAGGCCATCAAACAGAAGAGGTTCGTTTCGCCAGCCGTTGTATGTCATGCCGTGTCGCTAACCCTTTTCATAGCGCCTCTTTCGACCAGCTCTTCCTGTCTCTGCCAAATGAACTGAAGATACAGATCATTTCTTCACTACCCCTGGCCGATGTTTTGAGCCTGCGCTTGGCATCAAAATCATGGCATGCGATGGTCACCTTCAACGAGCTACCCATTACACGTTACCATCTAGAACACCATATTCCTGCATACGCTTTACGACTGTACCCTATACCCGACGTATCAAAGGTGAACTTTCACTATCTATGTGGCATATGGCATCGACTGCACGTTGCCGCCAAGGTGGCCTACTTGATATGCGAATGGATCACGAAGGAAATATTTCTCAGAAACACTGAAGCACAGCGCAACGAATTTGCGCCACAACGCGAACGAATGCGTCGCCGACTAATTCCACTTTTATTTACTGTTTTCCACTTTTTCGAAACATACCGGGATCTTCACGTCAAGTACGTTGAGGAGCACGGTTATGGCTTGAATAGGTCGCCTTACACCATCAACCCGATCGAGGCCCGGATCATGAACATGTACGACGACAAGACACTTCTGCAGGTGCATCAGGTGTTCCCAATGGTGGTGGCTTCTTTTGTCCGCCGACTGCGCCCACCGTCCTATGCTGGTCGACTGGAGCGAACTCTGAGAGGTTATCTCAAGGACAAGCCATCCGACGAGATTTATGCGACTGCATTATGGGTTGGGGGACTACGGCAGGTTGAGCGGTTCTGGGAGATCAAGGGCTACACGACACGGAGAGGAGCCGTCGATACATGGTACAATAGCCTGACAAAGGAGGCTGTTGAACCGCCGAGCAGACCACGGCGCGGACTTTTGGGGCTCAATCGAAGAAAATCAAGTTTCAACGTGAAGGATACGAGTCACGGCCACCACGAACCTTTACCACCTCTACCCGGACGACGCGGATCAGAGAATGGAAGGCGACCTAGCGATGTGGCACCACCGTTCATGGCAACAAACTCCCTCGCTTACGATTCAAGTCTGTCGGCAGGGATGCCCATGAGCCCTCTCTCCCGCGAACAATTACGTCTAATTGTAATGGATGTACCGGTCCTACAGCAAATATGGCTTCCGACTGCTGAGGCATTGATCCTGGATAGGAATGTTGTTGAGCGACCCCAGGACATCAAACGTAATGCTCAAGTCATGTTAGAGCTTATCCGGGAGGAAGGCGCAGCTAATGAAGACGAGTGGTGGTACGGGACTCACGCACCCGATTCGGTGAAGCCTCCTGTAGAGGCCATCGAGGAAGATCCTATCGAATAAGGGGGCAATACCCGGCCCGGGCTGCGTTGATCCAACGTCGCAAGCAATCACATACATACTACATACACCCGAACATACCTCTTCCTATACCCACGGTCAGCATTTCCAGGCGTTTCGGCGATTAGGCGGAAGATTTCGATCAGGAGGCCTAGGCAGGCTTCCAATCAGAGATTAGCGGCGACGAGCCTAAAGGAGTTCTTGGCTCAATGTCAGACATATGATTTCTCTTTTGTTCCAGCAGTTACTTCTCGGGTCTTCTTTTGTCACACACAAACTTGGGGGCGTGCTTGTAAGCATTCATGGAGACCCCACGGGGCATTTGGTTTGGGCCCCGGGAACGGTCCAAATGGGGTTTTTACTTTTTTGAGGAGCCTCGGATAGATATCAGTGTCACGAAAAGTAGCGTCGTCTGCTTTGATTCTACACTTTATAACAATTGCAAAGCTTTGTTAGCTTCTCACAACCATGCTTGCCTTATGGCTTTAGAAAATCATGATGGCGAAATTCGTGATTGGCGGGTTTCGAGAAACTCCGTTGCCTGCTATGCCATTGTAGCACTCTGTCCATATAGTAGGTGCAATCAATTCTCGGAGATGTCGAGCTTATATTAGCCAATCATCATCATCACTTTCTGTCCCATCATCCGAGCTTTCATAATCTGTACTATCTTCGCCCTCAACACTACTTGCAACATAGGAGAAATCAGATTCGTCGTTGCCAGAATCGATACTGCTTGTGCTATGACGGTGGCTAGATCTGCGTTTGCGAAATCCCCGGCGATAACCACCTGGAAAGTTCTCGGCCTGGCGCGATGATAATGTAGGATCAAAGTCACCATACGCTCCTGGAACATCGGCTGTTGGCACAAGGTAACAAATGTAGTCCTCACATCCACGGTGGCCGTTTCCCCGAGCTAGTCGTAGGGCTCTGGTCGCCTGTGCCTCATCGATCCCTTCAGGAAAAGCAGCATCCCATATGACTTTGAGGACATCCAATCGTCCATGCTCTGCGGCACCTTCAAAAGCTGTCCGCCCCAAAACCCGAGACCCAGGCGCATGGACGTCGGCACCACGGCTGAGAACGAGTTGAACTATCTTGATGCTCCCGCTGATTGCAGCCAGTTGTAGCGCAGTCCCGCCCCCTCTGACGGCCGGGGCGCCATTCACATCTGAGCCCCAGTTTAAGAGTAGTTGAACGATCTTCAAGCTGCACACTTCGCATGCCATCTGGAGGGGTGTGCGTTTAATCCCCCTCCGCGCTGGATGGTTTACATCTGCTCCATGAGTCAGAAGAAGCTCGACCAGCTGGTAATTCCTAGCCTCTATCGCCTGTAGTAATGCTGTTTTCAATGGCCACACAGTCGTCTCCTCGTTCGTGGGATCACTTTTGGACACTATAGCATTGGCGTCACCCCCAGCCGCTAGCATTATGTGCACCAGGGCAAAACTTGTATCCTCTCCGTATAGGATTGCAAAGCCCAATGGGGTAGTTATTTCCCATTCAAATCGACGGCGGCGCTTCAAGTTTTCATCTGGAAGGCTAAATTTGCTGAAACTGTTTGCATCCATTTGTGCTGCCAATAGGTTTGTGAGTAGCGAAGTGTTTTTTCTCCTCATTGCATTCTTCAACAATTGCGGACCGAAGCCAACAAGTCCTTCGGGGTACTTCGCCCGGAAGGCTCCTAAAAGTATGTGGTAAGCTGCTTGGTCTCTTTCCATGGCGTATAGGAGAGATTGCTCGTCGGCCGGGTTTGTGCCCTTGGAGAGCAAGAAACGAAGCATGTCGGGATCGTTCTTTTTCACGGCAGCTCTCAAAGCTTTGCGCAGACGTGTATTGTGTTTTAAGAGGAGGTCTATCGCCCGGAAGTCTCTGTTTTCAGTGGCGGCGATCATTGCCTTCTCATCAGCCGTCCTCCCATGTTCCAAAAGGCTACTCAGCAGTAGGTAATTCCCCGACTCTATGGCTTTTGTAATCAGAAAGGAGCCAGCAGTCCGGTGAAGTGAACCTTGCCTCCAATAGCCTTCTGATAAACGACGGAGAATCTCATTATTTCCAACTTTCAATGCTTTCCAAAGAGCCCTGTGGGATATTAGAGCTTTCATCAAGAGTAGATTATCGATAATGCCAAGATCGCCGCATGACACGGCAGCCTCCACATAGCAAGCCAAGGTGGTTTGTACGTCACACTCGAGCATTTCTTCCATAATCCCTCTTTTCTGGCGGATGATTGCGTACTCAAAAGGACGTCTCCGAAGATATCTCAACCTTCCCGGCGCCTTCTTTTTTGAATACTGGTAGAAATCCCACATTCCATTGATATCTGCTCCAGCATCAAGAAGCACCGATACTGTGCTGAGTTTGCCATTGGCTGTAGCTGTGAGAAGAGCGCCGGTTGAAGAGGTTCTCACCATTCCTGGTGAACGCTGAATAAGCATCTGCACATATTCGGTATCGCCAATTCTTGCAGCTGCGCTTGCCACATCTGCAAAGCAGAATGACTCAAAGCCTTCATAGCGACTGGGGAGGGCCCCAAGGCCCTCTAACCTACTCACGAGGTCTCGGTCCTCTAACAAAATAGCCTCTGACAGAGGCGTCAAAAGCCGCCTTTCGAAGCAGCTTGGACGTATACAATTTTTTTGACAGGAGCATTTCTTCAGTTCGTCAGAACTAATATTAAATAGCATGCCCAAGGGTCGGTGCTTGTTAAATGTGACGCCACTCTCTAGTAGCAACTCGATCATCTCTCGATGGCGACCCCTCACCGCGGCTGACAGTGCTGAAGAAGGAATATTTCTTAGCAATGGCAAGAGAATCTTGACAAGGTCAACATTGTTATCTGCTGAAGCAACAGTCAGAGTCTTGGCCAGGACGTCATCATATTTCTTGACGTCTGCAGAGCGAACTTGTTTTAACCTCGAATGCTGGCATTTGCATAGAATGTATTCAATAACCCTCGTTGCGACACTGCCACTTAAGTTCTGTATGATTGAGGGAAGCAGTGGAAAGCAGCCTTCGTCGTGCCAACTGACTTTCTCAGAGTCGAAAAGTCGACCGCATGAAGTGTGCGAAACGCGCGAGAGAAGTTCCTCTGCAAGTTGTCTACAAGCAATCTCTCCACGCAGCGACAAATAGATGAGATTCGTACAGATATCTGCACCCTCATCTAGAAGCTTCCTGACAACCTTCATCTTGAGCTTAGCTTGGCAGTCGAACTTTTGTATAATGTTTTGAAGGGCTTGAGTTCCCTTAAGACGTGCCCCAGCCTTGAGCAATACTTCGATCATGTCAAGGTCCAGCGAGCCAGCCGCCAGATCTATAGGCTTTCGATTTCTGTTGTCGAAACATCGGATAGCTCTGTTCACATCGATGGCGTGTGTCTTGTCCTGTGCTACTCGTAGGATAGCAGTGACTGCCTGTGCGTCATGAGACTGGATGCCGACTGCAAAAAGGTTATCCACCAGAGGCTTTGCCACGATGGAAGGACTGGACCCCAAATATTCAAAGAATCGCTGAGCGACTTGTTGTTCTGCTGTCATCGCCTTTAGTACGTATATAGGCGATACACCAAGAGTTGCCAGTCCAGCGAAGTTATTGATGACTGAGTATAGAAGTACTCTATAAAACGGCGAGTCGAACACCAGATCCATGGTCGCGAGACTAGAGTTCTTTCCGGCATCTTCGTTTCCATGAAAATACTCCGGCAGGAGTGATTCCATGCACTCAAGTACCTGCCCAACACCAGGTAGCACAAATCCATGACTTCGACCGGTATTAGTTCCCACCATCTCCGCAACGCCCTGAATGAGGGGCTTTACGAATATTCGATGATGGCTTGTGGTAGCTTCTCCAATTGAAGTTGGTAATTGCCTGCGATTGAAACCGAGTCCTTGGTATGTCTGGTTGTTTGGTCCCGATGCTCTGGAGTCTCTGTTTAGAAAGAAGCGCTGAAGCTGGAAGAATGGAGATTCTTCGCACAACTTGGAAAATTCTAGCGTAGTTTCGAAGTTGTTGGTTTGCGGCGAAAGTCGTCCTTCCGCAAGTGATGAGAAGTTGCCAGCCCGTAGGGATAAGTCTCCAAAGAGGGTCATATTCGCGCCTTGCGAAGATGCGTCCGGAAACGGCAAGCAAGATCCTAAAGATCTATATGGACTGTTCCTGGGCGATGAGACCAAGAGAGAACCCTGGCTTAGTCCCACAAAGGTTTGCGGGTCCTCTAAACTTCCGGTGAAGAAATTTGTAGGTATTCCAGTCCCATGGCTCAGAGTAGCCGAGGGTTCCCCTAGCAGCGAGATTGGGGCGAAGATAGATTCAGTACTTTCACCTGGACCGAAGAAACACGGCGCCAGGGATTCAAAGATTGCCCCCGACGAAGATCCGGGCGAACGTATGCCTTCGTTAAACTCGGGCTCCGCCAGCGTTGATGGTGCTGCAGTGCATGGTACTGGTGAGTCGCCAGAAGATGAAACACCATGATTTGTGACTAAATTCCCTAGAACATCACCGTCGTGGTTGGTATTTGTGCTGGTTATTTCCTTAACATTGTGTGGTTGGCGATGTTCAGGTTGTATGGCTGAGTTGAGGTCGCTGACCAACCTAAGGTCCGATGTTGTAGGAACCAATGTCGCAATAGACGCCTGCACCTCGTTATCGTGGTGATTATCCTGCACAATGCAGTCAATACCTATCCCCGAGGCGTTCGGAGGGGATAGGCTTTGACGATCATTTGAGGTGCCATCAAAGTGAGTCGGAGGCGCGACCGACATGCTCGTGAGACCTTCGTTTTCTCCTTCCCTGTACGATGACCACTCTCCGTTCCGATCGCGAATCTCTAACTGAAAACGAGATGTCCTCTGAGTAAATGCTACTGAGAAGCAAGTAAATAAGCATATTTCTACGAAGCAGCTAGTGACGGCCTACTTGGTACCGGATCCGAGAAGTTGGCTGTTCCTGAGGTCCCCTGTAGGTAGAGGCGCCGATTACGCTTGATTCTATTTGCATTGACGATTCTGCCTGCTACCTTCAGTCGCGTCTTGAGGCCCTTGGCATGTAAATCATCCATCTTGGCGATGATGTGCCTCCACTCGTGCTTCTTGAGATTCTTTGGGATGTCCCATCGTCTGAATTGGGCCTCGTATTGCGAAGGGCTTTAGGTTATTGAAAGTTAGACCTCAAGTATACTTCTCTCATCAGAGGACGTCATACCTTGCGAGGAAACTATGCTCATCTCTCATGATATCGATGACACTCTGCTTGTCCTCTTTACTTTGCAGTGGAAGCTCTCTGCTGTGATAAAGCTCGAGGATTGTAGCTTTGTGCCGATTCCACTCGCCTTGAGTGATTGGTCGCGGTTGGTCAGTCATTTTGTATTCGGAAACGAAGCCCGGAAACGGACTTCGGTCGCAGAACTGTTGAAGGACAAAAACGATTGGACTTTCTGGCTCTGAGTCTCTCAGCTTCAGGGTACAAGAAGAGAGGAGTTCAGTTGGCTGCCTCAAGTTTTTGACGAAAGAAATTCCGTGTTTATAACTTCATTCGAGGAATCGGGCTCGGCCTCAGCCTACAGGTTTTGTCCACACGAAAGCGCAAAAGGAGGGTGGCGAAGCTTCGCCTGCAGAGGCGTTGCAGCGCTTCGACTGCAGATTTTGTCGGGACAAAATCTGCGGTAGGCTTTTTCGGTGAGGCTGCCACCGCATGTTTTGATCAGGCAAAACCTGCAGGCGACAAAACCTGCCTTGGCGCGTCCGGTTATGGCAGTTTCAATTTGACCGCACTGGCGAAAAGTGCCGAGCGTGTTGATTCGTTAAGCCTCTTCCCTACTTCACGGAGATGCATCACATCTCCAGTTGTGATGGCTAGGAATAGTTACTGTGAGGTTCGTCCTCGAACTAAATAGAGAGCATTAATGGAATGCTAGCAGTGGCATTTCATAATTGAGAATAAAGACATATGTCTTTGTCTGCGGTCGTATTGTTGTACAAGGCTATAGTGGACTCCACCGGCAGCGTAGAGCGGACTCCGGCCATTCCTGGATCCCCTTGAGTCCTGGAGACTACTTCCAGAAGGAGGGACAAAACCTTGCTCCCATCTAATTGAATGGACAAAACCTGTTATACGTGACCATGGCCAGTGCGTGAGATACCAACTTTGACTACAGCCTCCTCCAGTCAGCCCATTTCTGGCTTCGCAGAAGTTGGGACAAAATCTGGCACAGAAATTGTATAAGTGCACGTCAACACTTCTTCTCATGTATGCTCTCGAGCAAGCAGTACTTCATTGAAGGCCAGTGACAGCTCGACTACATTGCCACATCTCTTACATACATCTCCCAAATCTGAACTCTCGTCGAGTGAAGACACCTCAACGGTGCCAAACTATCGTCAAGTTATACGTCGAGGATCTCCTAGATTTGATTACATCTGCTATGGATAATTCAAGACAAACTATCCACAAGACTGGGTAAGACGAACAGTATCTTGAAACACAACGAGTAATACATACCAATAATCCTTTAGTAGCGGCAGCAAGCCTCACCAGTCAGCAATGATGGAGGACTACCTGAAAACTGGAGCATCTATAACTGAGCACATCGCCATGGCGGGCGGATCTGGGTGTGGTCAGCCTCAGTACGCGAAGAAAGAGCGGGCTCAGGAAGCTCTGCATAAGTTTGAGAAGATTTGGGGCCAGACTACACACAAGAAGTAGTCAAAGCTCAAACTTGTTTTGGCAGATATGCTGTCCTCAATGACATGGAACCGCTGAGATGGACTCTAGTTAGACTTACAGAGGTCTTGGTACTCAGTCACGCTCATTCTAGACCGAACAAGATCCTACCTGTTACTATGGCACTCACTCCTTCGTTATCACGGTTTCAAATACGACTCAGGGTTAGGATCCTCTTGCGGTCTCTATATACATCGTGGTGGTCTACGACTTTAATACTTCAAAGCTGTAAATTTCATTTGAGTTGCCATTATGAAGTCTTGAAGTCACAAAGGCAGGCATGTAGATAGCCCCAGAAATGCCAGACAATATGTCAATAGCCGAAGCACATCACATTGAACCTCTACGCGCTCCGAGCCTCTACAAACCTACAGCCCCCTAATCGCCCCTGTAGTAATCCGCCGTGTCTTCGAAGCCCTTCGACGCGTTCTCTGCCTCGCGATACGCGGCAACCTCGGCGGCAACCTGCACTCGCTCCGACCCGATGGGCGCCGGAGCCGGAGCAGGAGCAGAGTCAGTAGGAGATGAGCTCTCGCTCGAACAGGGCGTTGAATCTGAGACGAGCTCACTCGACCCGCTTACGAAGGCTACCCTCTTCTGCGGCATTTTGGCTGGCTTGCTCGCTTCTTGATCAGTGTCGTTAGGTGTGTCTGCTTTGACTGATGGCGATGGGGGCAAGACTCTGGTGGAGGCATGGCTGATGGTTGAGAGGTCTTTATAGGTTTGGAGTCGAAGTGAGTCGCGCACTGGACTGTGGTTGATTCAGTGCAAATGACGGAACGAGATATGGCAAGAGCGCATACTCTACGATCCGTCGTTCTGCTGCACGAGTTCTTGAACTGGACGTATGAGCCAGTACTTGGGTCACATCACAGCTACCACCTATGTACCACTGAGTACGTAATGTATACTTTGATATTGGGTTTGTTATTTAGCTACTCTTGCAGCTATATCGTACTCTAAAAAAAATAGGGCTATTAGAGGCCCCCTGCTAGGCCTTGTTGCTTGCGCGAATGACGCCAGGGTTATGGTGTCTTGATCTGATTGATAAATGAACAGTAGGATGCTCTTTAAGAGCTCTCCGAAGTGAAGTCGATGAGTGTCTTGTGGCATATCTCGCACAAGACGCTGCTACCGACAGATCTGCGCCAGCGATTGTTGGTACTTGTGTTGCCTAGAAGCAACCATTGCTTTGACTTCGAAAAAGAGCAATTACATAAGTAACCGCCAAGCACCAAGAAGCAGTGCGGCGAAACCGGTGCAAACACCCATGAGCCACTGCAGGGTCTGGAACTTGACCTGCTCCAGCTTCTCGCGCAGCGCCGCCACCTCCTGTTCGATCTTGGTCTCGGTCTCCTTGATCTTCAACTCCTGACTGACGGCCTCCTCCCGAATGCGGCCCTTCTCCAAGTTAAGGTCCAGCCTCACAGACGCCTGCGTCCGGCCGATCTCGTCACGGAGTCTGCTGTTGAGCTTGGTGATGTCGTTGGTCAGGCGCTCGTGCGAGGCCCGCGTCGTATTCGACTCGGTGCTGTCGGCAGAGAGAAGCTCGGAGCGCAGCTTCGCGAAGTCGACCTTCTGGGTGTAGGTTGCCTTGGCGGCGTCTTCGCGCAGGACCATGGTGCGGGTCAAGTTTTGTATACTAGAGATTGCCGTTAGCAGCGGGCGAGTGGATGGAGGCTGGCAGCGCACGCGCACCTCTCCTCGATGACGTCGTTCAGAACCTTCATCATCGCGACCGACTGCTCCTCCGTGAAGCCCTCGCCCTGCAACCGTTGGACGAACTTCAGCGTGTCGAAGTGGTGGTCGCGGGCTCGCACGGCAGTAGCATGGAACGACCGCCTGAGGGTCGTGTTTCGCAGAACAGAAGATGACTTGTTCGTCTTGCCAGCCCTATATCCGAGCGACCGGCATTGCGTGTGCAGACTCGATGCCTGGCGGGCTTGCCATGGTCTGTTCCGGTCCTGAGTCGGCAAGGCGAGAGCTCCGAGAACGCGCGATGAGGCAACGGGGCCTTGCCAGCTCAAGCGCGGCAGGAGAAACTTGGGCAGCGTCTGAACAGCGTGCAGGCTGGTGTTGGCCATGATCGGCAGGACAGCAGCAGGCGCCGCGTTACTAGATGGCGAAGAGTTGGAAGAAGGTTGACTGCAGCGAGGAGCGGGCTCATGTGCGAGCTTTCTCCATGTGATGCCCCCTCGGTGACGCTATGCTGTTGCGCACCCCTGCCGATGCCCCTGGGTGTGCGCCGGACCGGCGCCGGTGGGTCGCCCGTTTCAATTGCCCAGGTGCCCGTCGCCCACCAAAGCCCACCTGCAGACAGGTCCCAGGTGGGCCACTTCACTTGAGCAGGTAGATGCCTGAGGCAGCTAGTCGCCCACGGGCACCTCTAAAATTTGATTTGCGCGCCGGGGATTTTGGAGGCTTTTCTTCCTTTCTTCTACATTCAATAATGAACAACGCAAAAAACCACATTCTCGAGACACGATATTTGGTGCGAGGTAGCTCTGCAGTGGCCCACGACCACTGAAGTTCTCGGACAGAATGGAGAGTGACCCCCAGCGAACAATCTTGGGTGCGGTGCTTCCCTGTCCTCATCTGGGCGGTGGGAAGGATCGCAATGATTGAACGTACATATACACTACACATGCACACATGATGTGAAACTTGGCCGTAGATCGAAGTTTGTGCTTTCCTGTACTTGGGAGCTGCCTACCTGGCACCTGGCTTGGTAGCATGGGCCAAACGTCGTCCTGGTCGTTAAAGTGAAGTAATTTTGCAGCACAAGCAAAATTCTCCACAGACAAGGTCAGCTGCGCGCACACACAAGGCTGCCCGGATCTTCATCAGGACTCCTTGTTCATGACAATGTCATGTTGTGATCTCGTAATCATATGGCCCCAGTGTCAACAAGTGATTCATCAGAGCGGATGATGTCGAGATGTTGGACAGTCGAGCCGACTACTGCTGGTGCTTGTACACAGCATGTGTTGCTTGTATGCCTGAATGCGCACCTATCCGAAAATGGCAAGCTGGACAATCCGAGCAAGCTGGTTGTTCCAAACGCTCCAAGTGTTTCACCAAGCTCTGCCATGCTGCAAAGATGCGCTGGGCCAGATTAACGTCGTATCTCTGTGGTGAATCCTTGATCACCGAGGTCAATACATACAAGAGAAACCAGACGATACCATGCCCATCAATTGACAATTTGCCTAGATCCATGCACGCCGCAGGCAGGTACCAACAGCTCAAGAGATACGTACCTGTCCCTACCACATGTGAATACCGTAGTACCTGTAATAGGGGAGTGTGGCTTGACCCCAAGCCTCAGGCAGCCAAATTTCAGGAGCTTCCCCTTGGGTCCTCAGGTCCTCAGGCCCTCAGGCCCTCCAGGTGTCCCCCCCCTAGTTGGCCAGGTTTGCCAGGTAACTGTCCCAGAAACGTAAGCACCCCCAGAAGAAGCCCCCCCAGGCGCTGGCCCGTGCGTCATCTTCAGCTTGGCGCGCTCCTTTGCGAACAGGTAATGCTTCTTGCCAGCAACCTCCAAAGGGGATCACAATATTCCCTACCTCCCATCCAGCCTACGGCCTCATTTTCCCACACCCACACTCCCGCCAATCCATCAGGCACTGTACACTACGAATCGCCTCTGTCCGTGCAGTCTCTCTGACCCCGCTCATTGAGATTCGCTGGCAGCTGCCTTTCCACCGTCTCTCCCTGCCCCTTCTGACGACCTAGACAAGCTACTACATAATCACTCTCTTGGGACGTTTCCTTTCTGCCCACAAGGCGCCTAATCAACCGCCGCGCTTTCCTTGCCTGTACACTTTTTCCAGGACGAAAAACCCATCACGACTGACGTACGACCGACACGCGACCCGCGAGCTAGGCATCTGCTCAGATCTGTCGCCCGACCCGATCTGACTGGCTGCCCGAGGTGCTGCTCACATCAACAAACTTTCCCATCCCACCGAGCTGTGATCCAACCCATCCTCACTTCGCCGCCCCCGCAGCGTCAGCTCATGTGAACAGCCATGGGTGCTCCGCTTCCTATTAAGTTTCAGGAGCTGCTGGCCCTGGGCAATGTCGGCGTCGACAGCTCAGCCATCGGCTTCAACTCCTGCGTAAGTCACTCCCGCCCAGCTCTGGCTGCTGCCCTTCCCCAACCCTGTCGCCTGCGCATAGCTTCGAATAGGGGAAACACCAGCTGACAGATGCCGTCCGCCATCACAGACACTAGAATCAGATTCCTTCATCTGCATACGGGAGAAGAAGAGCGAAGCCGCACAGCCCGAAGTCGTCATCGTCGACCTCAAGAACGGCAACAATGTCACCCGCCGCACCATCAAGGCTGACAGTGCCATCATGCACTGGACCAAGCAGATCATCGCCCTGCGCGCCCAGTCGAGGACACTGCAGATCTTCGACCTCGAGCAGAAGCAGAAGCTCAAGTCGGCGACCATGAACGAGGATGTTGTCTTCTGGAAGTGGATCAGCGAGTCGACCCTCGGTCTGGTCACCGATACCACCGTCTACCACTGGGACATCTTTGATTCCACCCAGGCCGCGCCCGTCGAGGTCTTCAAGCGCAATGCCAATCTCAACGTGAGTTCTTCCCAACCCGGCTACCACCTTTCAGCAGCTGGCCATGATTTTACTGGGCCTTCTTCATGCTAAATACCTCTCCAACAGGGCTGCCAAATCATCAACTACCGCATTAACAGCGACGGCAAGTGGATGGCTGTGGTCGGCATCTCCCAGCAGCAGGGCCGTGTGGTAGGCAGTCTTCAGCTCTACTCCAAGGACCGAGGCATCAGCCAGGCCATCGAGGGCCATGCTGCCACCTTCGGCACTGTGAGACTGGAGGGTGCGCCGGCCGATACCAAGGTCTTCACCTTTGCCGTCCGAACTGCCACTGGCGCAAAGCTCCACATCGTCGAGATCGATCACGCCGAGACGAATCCCGTCTTCCAGAAGAAGGCTGTTGACGTCTACTTCCCTCCCGAGGCCACCAACGACTTCCCTGTTGCCATGCAGGTTTCGCAGAAGTATGGACTCATCTACATGGTCACCAAGTACGGCTTCATCCACCTCTACGACCTCGAGACTGGCGCCACCATTTTCATGAACCGCATCTCGAGCGAGACCATCTTTGCTACGACCTCCGATTCCGACTCCACCGGTCTTCTCGGCATCAACCGAAAAGGCCAGGTGCTCTTCGTGTCGGTTGACGAAAGTAACATGATCAACTACCTTCTGCAGAACCCTGCCAATACCGAGATTGCTATCAAGATGGCCTCGAGAGCTGGTCTCCCCGGTGCCGACCAGCTGTACGCCAGACAGTTCGAGCAGTTGATGCAACAGGGCGACTACTCCGGTGCTGCCAAGGTTGCCGCCAACTCCCCGCGTGGTTTCCTCCGAACCACGGACACTATCAACAGATTCAAGAATCTCCCCGCAGAACCAGGCAAGATGTCGTTTATTCTACAATACTTTGGAATGCTGCTAGACAAGACCACTCCCCTTAATGAGACCGAGACTCTTGAGCTGGCTGTTCCCGTGCTGTCACAGGGCCGCAAGCACCTATTGGAGAAGTGGTTGAAGGAAGGCAAGCTCGACTGCTCCGAGAAGCTTGGTGACCAGATCCGCATCCACGACATCAACCTCGCCTTGGTTGTCTACCTTAAGGCCAATGTTCCCCACAAGGTCGTTGCCTCTTTTGCTGAGACTGGCCAGTTTGAGAAGATCCTCCCATATGTCAACCAAACTGGATACCAGCCAGACTGGATCAGTCTTTTGCAACACATTGTGCGCGTGAACCCGGAGAAGGGTGCCGAGTTCGCCAGCTCCTTGGCCAATAACGAGGGGGGAGCGCTGGTAGACATTGCGCGCGTCGTGGACGTGTTCCAGTCGCAAGGCATGGTTCAGCAGGCTACAGCATTCTTACTTGATGCCCTGAAGGACAACCGCCCGGAGCACGCTGATCTCCAGACACGTCTTCTGGAGATGAACCTGATGAACGCCCCTCAGGTTGCCGACGCTATCCTGGGCAACCAGATGTTCACACAGTTCGACAAGGCACGGATTGCTACGCTATGTGAGCAGGCTGGCTTGTTCCAGAGGGCTCTGGAGCTCTACGAGGACCCTGCTGCTATCAAGCGCGTCCTTTGCGGCATTGCTGGCACACCAAACTTCAACCAGGAGTGGCTGATCACCTACTTCGGTCAATTGTCCGTTGAGCAGTCTCTCGAGTCTTTGGATGCGATGATGAAGGCCAACATCCGCCAGAATCTTCAGATTGTCGTCCAGGTTGCCACGAAATACTCCGACCTGCTTGGCCCTGTCCACCTGATTGACCTCTTTGAGAAGTACAAGACCTTTGAGGGGCTTTTCTACTACTTGGGAAGTGTTGTCAACATGTCCCAGGAGCCGGATGTCCACTTCAAGTACATCGAAGCTGCTACCAAGATGGGCCAGTACAACGAGGTGCAAAGAATCTGCCGAGACAGCCAGTACTACAACCCCGAGAAGGTCAAGAACTTCCTGAAGGAGGCCCGCCTCCCCGAGCAGCTGCCCTTGATCGTTGTCTGCGACCGATTTGATATGGTCCACGACCTCATTCTGTATCTGTACCAGCAACAGCAGTTTGAGTCGATTGAGAAGTACGTGCAGGGCATCAACCCTGGCAGGACTCCTCAAGTTGTTGGCGGTCTCCTTGACGTGGACTGCGATGAAGCCCAGATCAAGAGCCTTCTTGCTTCTGTCAACCCTGCATCCATTCCCATCGATGCACTTGTGCAGGAGGTCGAGACGAGGAACAGACTCAAGCTCCTGCTACCCTTCCTCGAGGCCACTTTGGCAGCTGGTAACCAGCAGCAAGCCGTATACAACGCACTTGCCAAGATCTACATTGACTCGAACAACAACCCTGAGAAGTTCTTGAAGGAGAACGACCAGTACGATACCCTCAGCGTTGGTAAATACTGTGAAAAGCGTGACCCCAACCTGGCGTTCATTGCCTACCAGAAGGGCCAGAACGACCTCGAGTTGATCAACATCACCAATGAGAACTCGATGTACCGAGCTCAGGCACGCTACCTGCTGGAGCGGTCCGACCGCGAGCTCTGGGGTTTTGTTCTCAGTGAGAACAACATCCACCGCCGCTCCGTCATTGACCAGGTTGTTGCCACAGCCGTTCCTGAATGCGGCGATCCTGCCAAGGTCTCCGAAGCCGTTGCCTCGTTCTTGGCAGCTGATCTGCCTGGCGAGCTTATTGAGCTCTTGGAGAAGATTGTGCTAGAGCCTTCTCCCTTTAACGACAACGCCAGTCTTCAAAACTTGCTTATCCTCACTGCCGCTAGAGCCGACAAGGGCAAGGTCGCTGACTACATCCAGCGTCTGGATGCTTACGACCCTGACGAGTGTGCTCAGCTCTGTATCAACGTTGGCCTGCACGAGGAAGCGTTCGACATTTTCAAGAAGGCCGGCAACCAGACGGCAGCTGTCGCCGTGCTGGTCGAGCACGTCGTTAGCATCGACCGTGCCAGCTCTTTCGCCGACGAGGTCGATACGCCCGAGGTGTGGAGCAAGGTCGCAAAGGCTCAATTGGATGGCCTTCGGGTGACGGATGCCATCGAGTCATACATTAAGGCTGGTGATCCTCGCAACTACGAAGAAGTCATCGAAGTCGCAACCCACGCTGGTAAGGATGAGGATCTCGTTAAGTTCCTGCGCATGGCCCGCAAGACCCTCAGGGAACCTCCCATCGACACCGCCCTTGCCTTCTGCTTCGCCCGACTTGAGCAGCTTGGTGAACTGGAGGACTTCCTCCGGGGAACCAATGTCGCCAACATCGAAGAGTCTGGTGACAAGGCTGCAAACGAGGGTCTCTACCAGGCCGCCAAGATCTTCTACACCAGCATCTCCAACTGGGCCAAGCTGGCTACAACCCTCGTTCACCTGGATGACCACCAGGCTGCCGTTGAGTCTGCTCGCAAGGCCAACAACATCAGAGTGTGGCGTGAGGTCCACGGTGCTTGTGTCAGCAAGAAGGAGTTCCGACTGGCCAAGATCTGCGGTCTGAACCTGATTGTTGATGCCGAGCAGCTGCAGGCTCTCGTCAAGCAATATGAGCACGAGGGATACTTCGATGAGCTTATCGAGCTCTTAGAGTCGGGTCTTGGCCTGGAGCGCGCTCACATGGGAATGTTCACGGAACTCGGCATTGCCTTGTCGAGGTACCACCCCGAGAGGTTGATGGAGCACATCAAGCTCTTCTGGAGCCGCATGAACCTGCCCAAGCTGATCCGAGCCTGCGAGGAAGCCAACTTGTGGCCGGAGCTTGTCTTCTGCTACTACCACTACGATGAATTTGACAACGCCGCTCTTGCCGTCATGGAGCGGGCAGAGAACTCCTGGGAGCACCAGCAGTTCAAGGACATTGTTGTCAAGGTCGCCAACCTCGAGATCTACTACCGTGGTATCAACTTCTACCTGGAGCAGCACCCGTCGTTGCTCACCGACCTTCTGCAAGTCCTGACGCCTCGTATCGATGTCAACCGTGTTGTCAAGATGTTCCAGAAGTCTGATAACCTGCCTCTGATCAAGCCGTTCTTGTTGAATGTCCAGCAGCAGAACAAGCGCACGGTCAATGACGCCATCAATGATTTGCTCATTGAGGAGGAAGACTACAAGACCCTCAGAGACTCGGTAGAGAACTACGACAACTACGACGCAACCGCTCTGGCCGGCCGTCTCGAGAAGCACGACCTTGTCTTCTTCCGACAGATCGCAGCCAGCATCTACCGCAAGACCAAGAGATGGGAGAAGTCGATTGCACTGTCCAAGCAAGACAAGCTATACAAGGACGCCATTGAGACAGCCGCTATTTCGGGCAAGTCCGAAGTCGTCGAAGAATTGTTGCGCTACGTAAGTCAAGACCCGCTCTCCCATATCAAGTACATTGAAACTGACCAATATTTCTTAGTTTGTGGACATTGGCAGCAAGGAGTGCTACGTCGGCATGCTGTACGCGTGTTACGACCTTATCCGCCCCGACTTGATCTTGGAGCTATCGTGGCGCAATGGTCTGCACGACTTCACCATGCCTTACATGATCAACATGCTCGCCCAGCAGACGAAGGAGATCTCGCTGCTGAAGGCAGACAACGAGGCCCGCAAGTTGAAGGAGAAAGAGCAAGAGAAGGATGACACGGAGACTCCTATCCTTGGAGGCAACCGCCTCATGATCACGGCCGGACCGGGCGCGGGTGCTGGCCGAGCGTCCCCGGCGGCGTTCGGACAGACAAATGGCTTTGCACCGCAGCCCACCGGCTTCGGCTACTAGTCAGCACCAAGGCCGGTCGTCTTGGTGCCAAGTCCAGTTTTTATACCCGTTGCTGTTCCAGTCTTACCACAACCTGATGATGGCCGCGCAGTACCTGGCTCTGTCGCAAATGCCGGTGTGGCGGGGACAGGTCGGGACATGCAACATAAGGGCGCCAGACGGGAACAAACCCAGGAACCGCAGGGTATGCATGGAGGAAAGCACGGTCATGCAGGCAAGCCAGGGTATTCCTCCAGAGGACCAGTCCTCGGCGGGGAGAAGGGTGTAAAAACATCGACGGACTGGTGGTAATTCTTGCTTTTTTGGGGGTGGCCATGCTACTAGAGTTTCGGGGATGGTGGGCGTGTGCATCCATCCCTTCTATTTTCGGTATTGAGATATGCAGATAAATGTATGATAGTCAATCGATTCGTGGTTCGTTGGACACTGATAAAAGTGCGTTCCTCTTCTCGCATGTTCTTGTGTGTCTATCGAGCGATTATACTCCTCTTCCATTTCACACCACCAGAAGACTGGCTGTTGGGACTTTATCAAACAGATGCACTCCTTGTCACCGAATCGAACAGACCTCGCTTGCTATGAAGACGGAATGGATGGATGGATCAAAGGGGAGCACGTGACGGCTGGGGGAATGGGTGGTCCGTATCGGAGGCCCGGGGTCGACTTGGGGGGCCCTGCGCCCGTTTTAGCGGTTCGCAGCTTTGGGTCCACCCCAAATTTTTCCGCTGGCCAGCGATGGATCGGAGCGGCAGCTCAACACCAGACGCCTGGTTGATATCGCAAATTGACTTTCTCCCACTGGTCCTATCACCCCCCGATCACGACCTTTTGACTGCCTCGCGCGCCGCCCATCTGCCGTCCCCCTTTCGTCGACGTCTCCTCATCGAAAACCAGTCAACATGGCCGCCTTTGTCAAAGCGATCAACGCAAAGATCAGGTCGAACCCGACCCTGAGCTACTTCTGCTCAACCCGTACGTGGTCCCCAAATAGTCTGCCTTATCTGTCCGCCCGAGGCCCCCGGACCTGCCCCGTTAAGTCCGACGAACACACAACCTCCGCGATTGGGTCGGCAAGCTACGTTGGATGACAGCACGTTGTATGCATTTGGATCACGCGGCAGCAGCAGCAGGGACGAAGACACAGAGATCTACGATGAGAGGTGCAAGAGCCACGCCGTCCTGCTCCTCGTGTCTCAGATCTCTCCCATCTCACCACGTAGCTTGGGGATACACGAACAACCACACCCTTCCTATGGACATGCCGTGCGATCGGCGCATGGCCACGCATCGCTGACAGTTGCACAACAGACTTCTGGGGCCCGGCATCCAACTTTGGTATCCCCATCGCCGCCATTGCTGATGCGCAGAAATCCCCCGACCTGTACGTAACCCCTCTGCTTATGTCTGCGCATACCACGCCTGCATGAGGGAAGACCAATTCACGGGGGATCAATGCTGACTCGAGACTTTTGCGTGCACAGGATCTCCGGCCAGATGACCGCCGCTCTGACCGTCTACTCGGCGACCTTTATGCGCTACTCCCTCGCCGTCACCCCCAAGAACTACCTCCTCTTCGCCTGCCACTTCATCAACGAGTGCTCGCAGCTGACCCAGGGATACCGCTTCGTCAACTGGCACTACTGGGGCGGCAAGGAGAAGGCCCTGCAGAGCGGCGCCCTGACCGAGGCCAAGGAGAAGGTGGTTGCGGCGGGCGAGAAGGTCAAGGAGGCTGTCTCGAAATAAGAGGGGAAGGGAAGGGAAACTCGATCTTTCATGTCGGGTCAGGACGCATGATCCCCGTGGGAGGAACAGCACTCTGCGAGTGAGCCGGGGAATCTTATGACGGCGGTTTGCGCATGGCACATGGATATGACTGGTGACGGCGGTGGGCAGTACTTTCCTAGCAAGGCAAGGACTGCGGACAATGATCTCAAGGGAGGATAGAGCATGACCACGGTAGAAAGGGGAATGCCGTGGGTTGTACTTCTACAGCACCCTCTAGGCTCGGCAGTTTCTTTCTGGCGACCAGGGTTTATACTATACCTCGATGTTATTGCTAATAGAAAGTCGTCAATTCTCGAGTCACGGGGTCTGAGTTCCTTTGATCCATCCCGGGGAAGATCTGGAGCAGCATCCGCGAGTCGAACAGGCATTATGGTAGCAATATTGAGGGTCGGCGATAATAACTTGCATAGTCCAAGATGATCGCCTCTGCCAACCCTGTGTTGTAACTCTGCCAAAGCTTCCGCAGCCCGAACAGGTATTATGGCGGCAAGCATTGGAAACATGGTGGCAATGACATGCACGGTTCACGATTGTCGCGTCCGCCAGCCCGTTGCTGCAACGTGCTTGAAGCTGCCAAGCAGGGCGAGATAGGGGCTCGAATGGTAGGTGACATCTGGATAACACCGAGTACGGACTTGTGCAGAGCGGACGAGCGGAGTGCTGCTGACAGGCATACTCATCGCTGCTGTATTGTGCTCCTCGCCTCAGGTCAGAAGACGACCCGCGTCTAATCATACAGGCAACAAGTTCCCGCCTGAGCGCTGTCAGAGCCAATGGATGCGGGCGTCAGGATCTATTGCTGATCTGCAATAGCTGGTGTTTCGCCCACCCAGCTGGACCCCCACTCGCTCGCAGGCTGGCGTCCCATCGTCGCTGTTGCCCCAAGCTTCCTGCTCGAAGGGTCGCATAGTATGTATGTAGCCTTGTAGCTTATCTATAGAATTTGATTTGGGTGGCAGGGAAACGGGCTCTTTCTTTTACCTTGGCGTTTGACTCATCAGACCCTACCGGCGTCAATGACGGTTTCGACCAGCCTGGCCCCGGTGGACCTCGATGACGGTAAAACAGACGTGAGGAACCACCCTTCCCAGAAAATGTCTCAAGCACACTCACAATTTCGTCTCTCGTCCGCGGCTGCCGAAGTCGGCCAAGAAATGCTCTGCAGTCCGTGGGTGTATCACGAAACGAAACGACCGAATTAGTTCCTGGCTCAGGCTGGGGGAAGGGGGAGACAAGGGGGGGCGGTGAGAGCGGGTTGGCATCCCACGAAAGGTCTCACACGCGAAGCAGCAGCAGCAACAGCACACAAGGCAAGCCCAGTGCGTGCGAGTCAGCCAAAGCGACCGCGGGTCGCGCCGCGTGCAACGCAGGCCAAGGATTGATCATACATCTGCATGCTTGAGGAGATCACTTGGCAGGCGAAGTTGTGACGACGCTGAAGACGCGAGCGGTCTCGAAGAAGTGGACTGGGCTATGTGAACTTGGGATTAAGGCCGGGCGAGCCATTGTTATATCGCCGCCTTGGCCCGAATACTACAAACTGCTAATTCCGTACACTGAGCCTCTCTATTTCCCAAAACGGGGCCCCGGTCCAACTTTCCAAGGGCTCTGCGCTTTGCTTGTGTGTCACATGGCCAAGAGATGGCTGCAGATTACAATGGATTGAGAGATGGCCCACCCTCCGTTTCCGTTTCACGGGCATACGGGCATGCGGGAATACTCCTCTAAGCAGGTTGTAATGAAATCTTCCAGATGAATACCAAGGCTTGTCATTGAACGTCCCCGCTTTCTCTTTCGCGCCCCGTCAGGTAGACAAGTCTACCTGGGTCCGGGAGCTGGTCCGCTGAAGGCGCTCGTGGTTGGTGGTGGTGGTGGTTTGCGACCGGCTATCCACCCGTGACCTCGGCTCAGCCGCATAGGCGTCGGACGGGCTTCCTCGCATTGTCGGGGAAGTGAACGACGAGACGTCGCGCGAAGCTCGGGAACCTGGTGTACATTGGATAGCATGGCCAGCCCTAACTGCTAACCTAGGTTAAGAGGAGGGATTCTCCAAACTCTCCAACTTGTTATAACCGAAATTCTCGTCAAGACGAGAAAGCGTCGGGTCGGTCGCCTGCTTGCTTGGTCGAATCACTGGAATAGGGAAGTACCCTGGACTCTGGTTGAAGCGCTTCAATGCCGTTGGCCAGACGAGGTTGTGGTCAGGCCCATTAGGGAAATCCATTGACTGCAATTGGCCAATGTGTATGTGTGCCTGTGCATGCAGGGGCGCGTCTATCGTCGGTACTCTCTATTGTATGACCGCCACATGCCGCTACTTACTTGATCGTCACCATGGGTTGCACCAAGCCCAGCAGCCGGTGCGTTCTGCCCAGCAACCTGACAGGTTTCCGCGATTGAACCAGTGTCGCGGAATGGACGGGGAGATCTCAGCTAATAATACAAGGGAAAAGAGGGTCTGTCTGGCGAGGAATTCGGGCCAATTCAACGTTTGGACTGTGAAACTATATCTTGGCCGCCATGCATCTGATGGGCGTTACTGCTGTCTGCTATGTTGACCCCGCCATCCTCCCCACGCGAAAAAAAGAAAATTGGACAAAAAAAAAGAAGAGTCAGAAGCTCCCCCGCGATCGCAATTGGAAATGACCCAGCTTCGGGATGCATCTCCGAACTCGACGTCTATAACCTTGTCGGACTAGTGACTAGGCCAATGTACCGCGTGGTGTATGGTCTATGCAATCCCGAGCAAGCGGGATGCCAGTGTGCAGATGATGGGCCGGCTCAACAATCCTTCACCGTGCAAGATAGCCCGGGTGGTTGCTTCTGGGGACCACCGGGCAACCAGCAGTATGCTGGGGATGTCTCAGATTGCTTGGCCACCACAGCCCGGTGCTGCTGCTGGCTATAGTGTAGTTATGAAAGGCGGGCAGAAGAAGGTATGCTATCGGCGAGGCAAGGTTGGTGTTTTGGAAGCCAGCCTCTTCCAAAACAGGGCCCCATAGTTTTAGTGCCTATGGCCTGGCAGATCTGTAGCTACCAAGACTCTGGAAGCTCTGTGTCAAACAGGGATGGTAAGAGCTTAGGTACGTCTGCTCGATAGGAGGAAATCCCCTCAACCCTCCGGTACTGGATCCCCACGGCCCTCGGCGCGGTCAGCATGCTGCATCATGTAGTACCTACATGGGCATGGCTACTCTGCGAGGGGACTAGCAGCCCTCTCCTTGCTCGTTGCTGCTCCTGGATCAGAAGCTAGCCGCAGGCCATAAGACCCCTTCGGTCCCCCCCTTCGTCCTTCCCTCTCACCGATCCCCAATCACCTATTCCCATCTCATCCCGTACGCTTGCGTAATACCATTATCAGACCGGGCGCACATCTACACCCGTTGTCGGCCTGTTTCGCGTGTGTGTGTTTGTGTGTGTGGTTGCTGCTCCTCCTTCGAGCCCGTGGGTGCTCGTTGACTGACTAGAAAAAGAGTCTCGCCTGCCCACCCCACGTTCCTGTGCCTACAGGTACCCCTACCTTGCCCTGCCTTACCTTGTCGATAAGCTACAGACAGCTTTTAGCTGCTGTTACGTCAGACGAGACACAAAGCCCCCGGGAGCTCGAGCACACACACCTTCCTGTCCCTTTGGCTGAGCCAAACACAAGCCCGCGACTCACTCAACCCCGCCAAATCCAGCCCGGGTAGATAATAGTCGAGACGAGCTCAACGAAACCGCCGTTGCCCGTCCCTGACTATTTTCCCACCCTCCAGCTCCCCCAATTCCACCTTGTCCGGAGCTTGAGGACCCTCGCATTCACTCCATCTTCGTTCGGGTTTTCCCTCTTTTTATCTCACCTCCTCTTCTCCCGTCCCTAGCTAGCTTTGTCCGTTTAGCTTCGGAAACGCCCCGGACGACAAGATGGCGGACATACCAAACATCAAGGACCTCATCGCGGCCAAGGACGCCGCCGTCGACGAGGATGTCTTCGAGGAGGGCATGGCCCCCAAGGAGGCCCAGACCGTCCACCACATCCGCGCCAACAGCTCCATCATGCAGCTGAAGAAGCTGCTCGTGGCCAACCGTGGCGAGATCCCCATCCGTATCTTCAGAACCGCTCACGAGCTGTCCCTCCACACAATCGCCGTCTTCAGTTACGAGGACCGGCTGAGCATGCACAGACAGAGTACGTTATCTCTCCTCATACCCGGAATCCGATCGGGCTTGGTATAATGTGACGTGCGATTTGAAGCTAATTGATCTCTGCAGAGGCCGATGAGGCATATGTCATTGGAAAGCGTGGCCAGTATACGCCAGTGGGTGCTTATCTGGCGGGCGATGAGATCATCAAGATCGCCGTTGAGCACGGTGCACAGATGATCCACCCAGGTAACTAAACCATTCGCACATGCACTGAAGCAGTAACTAACATAGACTCGAGGTTACGGTTTCTTATCTGAGAACGCCACCTTTGCACGAAACGTTGAGAAGGCCGGCCTCATTGTATGTATCTGCTACATTATTCAATGCTCGAAGATTCAAAAGCTAATCAGTGAATCTCTGTACAGTTCGTCGGTCCCTCACCCGATGTCATTGACTCGCTCGGTGACAAGGTCTCTGCCCGAAAGCTTGCTATCGCTGCTCAAGTCCCCGTTGTGCCCGGAACCGAAGGCGCAGTTGAAACGTTTGAAGCTGTCAAGAGCTTCACCGATGAATATGGGTTCCCCATCATCATCAAGGCTGCCTACGGAGGTGGTGGTCGTGGTATGAGAGTTGTGCGAGACCAGGCTAGCCTGAAGGAGTCGTTCGAGAGAGCTACCTCTGAGGCAAAGACTGCTTTTGGCAACGGCACAGTCTTCGTCGAGCGATTCCTGGACAAGCCCAAGCACATTGAGGTCCAGCTCCTTGGTGACAACCACGGAAACATTGTGCATCTTTTTGAGCGTGACTGCTCGGTCCAGCGCAGACATCAGAAGGTCGTTGAGATTGCACCTGCAAAGGATCTGCCGGTCGCGACCCGCGATGCCATCTTGGCTGATGCCGTCAAGCTCGCCAAGTCGGTCAATTACAGAAACGCGGGTACCGCCGAGTTCTTGGTGGATCAGCAGAACCGCTATTACTTCATTGAGATCAACCCGCGTATCCAGGTCGAACACACCATTACCGAAGAGATCACCGGCATTGATATTGTAGCCGCACAGATCCAGATCGCTGCCGGTGCTACCCTGGCACAGCTCGGTCTGACCCAGGACAGAATTTCTACCCGAGGCTTCGCTATCCAATGCCGAATTACGACCGAGGACCCCTCCAAGGCCTTCCAGCCTGATACTGGCAAGATCGAGGTATACCGATCCGCCGGTGGCAAGTAAGTAACTCCGAACATCCCGCATTGTCAATTCTCTTGTGATCTTGTGGAAATGTGAGGTTCAGCAGGGAGGGGCTAGAGGCGCCCCAACCTTCGATATCCTTCTCAGGGACAACCAAGCTGCTTTATAGAATGAGTCGCTAACATTTTCCTCCTCACTTCAGCGGTGTCAGATTGGACGGTGGAAATGGATTCGCCGGCGCGGTTATCACACCGTACTACGACTCCATGTTGGTCAAGTGCACATGTCTGGGCTCCACCTACGAGATCGCACGTCGCAAGATGCTGCGAGCTCTTGTCGAGTTCCGTATCCGTGGTGTAAAGACAAACATTCCTTTCCTCGCATCGCTGCTGACTCACCCCACATTCATTGACGGCAACTGCTGGACCACCTTCATCGATGACACTCCTCAGCTCTTCGATCTCATTGGTTCCCAGAACCGCGCCCAGAAGCTCCTTGCTTACCTTGGAGACATAGCTGTCAACGGAAGCAGCATTGCCGGCCAGGTTGGAGAGCCCAAATTTAAGGGTGAAATAAGTATGAGCTCCCAATATCTCTCAATTGTCAGATTTTGCGGTCCAGCCGTTGTCTGCTTTCGTTGTAGACGGAACCAAGTGGCGTTCGAGTTTGACTGCCGACATATCTATCACAGACATTGTCGGTATGTTCATATAATCAAGAAAAGATAGCTAACCGTGTCTCTTCTTAGTCCTGCCCGATCTCCTTAACGAAGACGGCTCCAAGTTGGATGTCTCTCAGCCATGCACCAAGGGCTGGAGGCAGATCCTACTCGAACAGGGACCCAAGGGCTTTGCCAAGGCTGTCCGTGAATACAAGGGCACCCTGCTCATGGACACCACCTGGCGTGATGCTCACCAGTCGCTGCTGGCTACTCGTGTCCGAACCGTCGACCTGCTGGGTATTGCGAAGGAGACCAGCCATGCTCTCTCCAACTTGTACAGTCTAGAGTGTTGGGGTGGTGCCACTTTCGATGTGGCCATGCGCTTCCTCTACGAAGACCCCTGGGAGCGCCTTCGCAAGATGCGCAAGCTCGTACCCAATATCCCCTTCCAGATGTTGCTGCGAGGTGCCAACGGTGTTGCATACGCCTCGTTGCCTGACAATGCCATCTACCACTTTGTCAAACAGGCCAAGGAGAACGGCGTTGACATCTTCCGTGTCTTTGATGCACTTAACGACATCGACCAGCTCGAAGTCGGTATCAAGGCTGTCCAGGCGGCTGGAGGTGTTGCGGAAGGAACAGTGTGCTACTCAGGAGACATGTTGAACCCAAAGAAGAAGTACAATCTCGAGGTCAGAAAACACTCTTTTGTTCACTTTTCCCCATCTGGAAATACTAACCTGTATTTGTCGTATAGTACTACTTGAGTCTCGTCGACAAGCTGGTCGCTCTTGACATCGATATCCTCGGTATCAAGGATATGGCTGGTGTTTTGAAGCCACATGCAGCTACTCTACTGATCGGTGGCATACGGAAGAAATTCCCACAACTTCCAATTCACGTTCACACACACGACTCTGCTGGCACTGGTGTCGCGTCCATGGTCGCCTGTGCCCAGGCTGGCGCTGATGCTGTCGATGCCGCCACTGACAGTTTGTCCGGCATGACTTCGCAGCCCAGCATCAATGCCATCATCGCTTCGCTCGAGGGTAGCGAGCACGATCCCGGCTTGAACCCCGCTCACGTTCGTGCGCTCGATGCATACTGGGCTCAACTGCGTCTGCTCTACTCGCCATTCGAGGCTCACCTCTCCGGTCCCGACCCCGAGGTCTATGAGCATGAGATTCCTGGTGGTACGTAAACCCCCCACGACACACAGAGATTTTGTACTGACTTACTTCAATGCCAATTAACCAACATGATGTTCCAAGCTCAGCAGCTTGGTCTTGGTTCGCAGTGGGCCGAGACCAAGAAGGCTTACGAGCATGCCAACGACCTCCTGGGTGACATTGTCAAGGTCACTCCCACCTCCAAGGTTGTCGGTGACCTTGCCCAGTTCATGGTGTCCAACAAGCTCTCCCCGCAAGACGTCATTGACAGAGCAGAGGAACTTGACTTCCCTGGCTCTGTGTACGAATTCCTGGAGGGCATGATGGGTCAGCCTTACGGCGGGTTCCCCGAGCCTCTGCGCTCCAAGGCTCTCCGCAACCGTCGCAAGTTCGACAAGCGACCGGGTCTGTACCTGGACCCTGTTGACATGAAGAAGGTGCGCACAGAGCTTGGCCAGAAGTGGGGACAGGTCACCGAGTGCGACCTGGCTTCGTACCTCATGTACCCCAAGGTCTACGATGACTACAAGAAGTTCACCCAGAAGTACGGCGACTTGTCTGTACTGCCTACCAAGTACTTCCTCTCCAGGCCTGAGATCGGCGAGGAGTTCCACGTCGAGCTGGAGAAGGGCAAGGTGCTGATCCTGAAGCTTCTGGCGGTCGGTCCGCTCTCCGAGAACACTGGTCAGCGAGAGGTGTTCTACGAGATGAACGGTGAAGTCCGCCAGGTCACGGTAGACGACAAGAAGGCTTCAGTTGAGAATGTGTCGCGACCCAAGGCCGACCCTGGCGACAGCTCGCAGGTTGGTGCCCCCATGGCTGGTGTCTTGGTTGAGCTGCGCGTCCACGAGAACTCTGAGGTCAAGAAGGGCGACCCTCTCGCCGTTCTGAGTGCCATGAAGATGGAGATGGTCATCAGCGCACCTCACAACGGCAAGGTCTCGAGCTTGCAAGTCAAGGAGGGTGACAGCGTGGACGGCAGTGACCTGGTCTGCAAGATTGTCAAGGGTTGAGCAAGTTCTCCAGACTGGGTTGTACGGTTTGATTGACGATAGACTGATTATGGGCGCTCACTGCAAACGAGACGATTGATGAATTCCAGACTGGGAAGGGAACGGGGCAAAATCGGTAGCAAGTAGTGAATATGACTTGGTAGTACCTTTTATGATTATTCAATACGTCTTTGTACTTCTACAAGCCGTGACGAAGATGACTGAATACTACGAGAAAATGGTAATCCGAGTTCTAGTAAGCTGTCAAGCGACCGTCGTGATGACCTCAGGGAGTTCGACATAGGAGTAAGTCGAGTGTTCTGATGCGGTTTTGCCTTCCGTATCCGGTGTAATAGCTGTTGGCACAGTATCGTATAAGCAGAGACTCGACGTACATCCCATTGGCCGTCTTCAGGATCCGATCATCTGATGTTTGCAATGCGCCAGTTATCTGCTTTGACCCTTGTGTGGTCATTGTATGCTGCCATGGATTGACCCGTGGCGTGGTGGTTATTCACAATGACATGACAAAAGATCACTTTAGCTCTGCCTACACTCACACAGGTTTTTCAAGATGGATGTAGGATATAGCAAACCGCTCAAGCCATGCTGGTTGGTTTGGTGGATTGAGCTCGCAGTCCCCTTTCATCTGCAATGCAAGCCCATGCTCAAAACTGACCCAGAGGGGTGAACTAAAGTGGTTTAGTCCTTTTGATATTGATGCATCCGTGACCGACCTAGGTAGCTAGGTCAGTATCTCAGGTGGACGTTGAACAGCTAGACGGAGTACGGGGACTTGACTATCGAGGAACGCATGCGACTTGTCACAATCAAAAGGATATTGTCTTTGGGTAGACTTGGCCATGCACGAGCAATCAGGCCTTCATTTAATTGCTTGTTTTCTCCCTCATCTGCTTGATATTCTTGCTCAGAGTCTCCTTCTCCGGCTTCTGGATCGTGTGATCCAAGACGTGCCTCTGTCTAGGACCTAGCCTCGTGCCAGCTATACTCTGTGCAGCACTGGCCATCCGGCGATATGGCCGTCGCCGATTTCAGTTTCGATCCAGCCTCGTGGCGGCTGCGTCGTGCATTCCTTGATCCGCCTTGGAGTCGTATGAACATCCCATAGCTCTCATCTCCACCGTTAGCTACCTAAACCTATCTCCGTCCAGGAGGGTTGAAGCCTGGGGGAGGGCCACCGGGGAAGCCAGGCGGCGGCTGGAAGCCTCCCTGAGGAGGGAATCCAGCAGGGGGGAAACCACCTGGGGCAGGGAAGCCAGGGGCGGGAGCTAGTAAGCGGGTTAGACTATGAACATCGGAGGAGCTCAGGGAGGGGGATAACTCACGACCACCTCTGCCAGGACCGAAACCAGGTGCGCCAGGGAACTGCGGGGGAAACTGAGGAGGAGGAGCACCAGCACCGACGCCGGCAGCAGGGCCAGCCAAGCTCGCGGGCGCAGCTCCACGTCCAGCCGGACGAGAGACTCCGGGGCCGGATGTCAGGGCGGAGGTGAGACCGCCGGTCGTCGTCTTGCCCAGTCGGGTGCTAGGGTCTGCGGGAGGTGCCGACTCGACGGAGAGCGAGACGATCTGGGCGCCACGGACGATGGTGAGTCCCAGCGTGCGCTTCTCCTCGGTCTCGATGGTCTGGGTCTGGGGGGTGGATGCGCCGGGGGCGCCGGCGGGCTTGGCTGTCTTGCGCTTGAGCTTGCGGAACTCCTCCGTGTCGGCCAGGACGAGGTTCATATGCTTGTCGAAGGCCAGCATCTGGCCAGTCATCTGGCGCCCGTCCAAGAGCGTCACTCTCATCCGGTAGTTGATCTGGGAGAGCAAAGGTTAGTCGGTGAACAGCGAAGATGCGATGATATATGGGTTTGAGGTGCGCCGCGGCGGCGCATGGCCGTCGTCGAGATCGAGCACGCGCGAGGAGAGGGGAGTACGTACGTAACCGGCCTAGATATCACAAGTCGTGTCAGCCTGCATTGTCAACGTCGAGATACACGGAGCGGTGGCGGGGGACTCACCATCTTGCCTTGCTTGTTCGACATGATGGGCTGAGTTTGCTCCTTGAGGGAGCGACTCTTTCCTCTGGGGCTGTCTTTTCAAAAAATTTGATCTTGCTTGGAGCGAAGCCGCGGGTTCAGGGGGCCTCAGCGAGATCTCAATGGTGGGCTGATGCTGCGGGTTGGCAGATTGGTCCTCCAGAGATCGCGACTTTTGGTATGGAGAGGCGAGGTTCCCCGTCAATAAAAACGGTCCGGCGCGCAAGGCCAAGGCCAAGGCGAGGCAGCGAAACATTCACCTAGCGAGAAGGCTGAGAGCTGCCAGAGCTCGGGCCACACGCCCGTCCAATGGCAGCCGGCCCTCTGGAGCTCTTGACCAACTAGGCCAACCTGAGACTAGCCTCTCCGGCGCCCCTACTGTGGTACAATTCGTCCCCGACCCAAGAAATCCGTGCACGGGCCTCGCCCACAGCAGGGTAAGGAAACCCTCGAATTTTTGTCCCGCCGCGTGCGATTGATTGCCGCTCACTTTTGACCTTGGTGAACTTTTTCTACAGCCTCAACCCAGCCAACCAGCCAGCACCAACCAGTACAACCCATCTCCCACGGTTCCTACTAACAACCACAGCCAAGATGGTACGCGACGTCTCTGCGACCCCCCCGCGAAATCAATCACGGTGTGCTAACCTGCGTCATGGAACAGTCGGACAAGGCCCAGAACCCCATGAGGGAGCTCAAGATCCAGAAGCTCGTCCTCAACATCTCCGTCGGTGAATCTGGTGACAGATTGACCCGTGCCGCCAAGGTCTTGGAGCAGCTGTCCGGTCAGACTCCCGTTTACAGTAAGTCTTCCCAGTCGAACCCGCTTGCCTTCGTCTGTGGCACACCGGAAACCTTTGCTCACACGCCGTCCCCCTCCCACCAGGCAAGGCCCGCTACACCGTCCGTACCTTCGGTATCCGCCGTAACGAGAAGATCGCTGTCCACGTTACCGTCCGTGGCCCCAAGGCCGAGGAGATCCTCGAGCGTGGCCTCAAGGTCAAGGAGTACGAGCTCCGCAAGCGCAACTTCAGCGAGACCGGCAACTTCGGCTTCGGTATCAGCGAGCACATCGATCTCGGTATCAAGTACGACCCCGCCATCGGTATCTACGGCATGGACTTCTACTGCTGCATGACCCGCCCCGGTGAGCGTGTCAGCCGCCGCCGCCGCTGCAAGGGCAGAATCGGTGCTTCCCACCGCATCAACCGTGACGAGACCGTCAAGTGGTTCAAGTCGCGCTTCGACGGCATTGTCCGATAAACGCCTTCGCGCGCTCTACACGGATGCCAAGGGGAGAACAGGAACAGTGGATGAACCCAAAAGAACAAAAGGATAACTGAGGCTACGATAACGGCGTTGGCTGGATGGATTGATTTCTCTTTGATTCCAGGCGGAACCTGCCTTCATGTACATGGCGAGAGACCCATACACCTCCCTAGCATTGTCGACTCGGCCCCCCGTCGAGCTCGTCAGACTCAGCAGACTCTAATCAAGTCAGCTACGGCCTCAGAGACCGACCGGCACCATGCCGGCTTTTCTTTTGACTTACAGTCAGTCTTATAGTGCCGTATGAATGAATGCTATGATCTTGTGCCATTTGCTCGAGGCAGCAGACCTTCTGAACTGTCTGCGAATTGTACATGCGCCCAACCTGGTTTCCAGGATCAATCTTTGATCACGTCGAGTGCCATATGTCCGGGTCGGATATGGCTCTACCCCATGCTAGCACAGGCTGCTACAGCACGAGCAGCCCTCGTTGCGTTAGCTGGATGCATAACGCAGAACACCAGTGCACTTCAAAATGGCAGGTGCTCAAACAACATCCATGGGAAGCTCCATCTGTACCATGTGCGTTGGGTTCAATGATATTGGGTATATCAAGTTTCCTACGTACCATGCATTCGTGTCTTGTTGACAGACTGCGAAAGCGAACTGCAATCAAGGGCTTGAGAAGACATCTAGCTAGACTGAAACTGTTTTCAAGGAGTGGTGCTTCAGTTCCGATGCACGCGAAGCTCGTCTACTTCATGGTCACATGTGTCTATCAATAAGATATCACCAATACGCTGGCACAGGAATTGCCAAGTAATATGAGAATCTTCCTGACATCTACATCTTGCATTGCAGACGCGTGAAACTCACTTGCCATCGCTTCTTCTGGTTCATGTTCTGCAGACGAGCAAACACTGCTCCGTTCGTGCTAATAAGACTTTCCTCGTGACGTTATGCTAATTGGCCACAGCATACCTCTGGCCATCTTGACTGGCATCTGACAGCATTCAGGAATCACCTAGCATGTTATCATTCCATGAATTCCTTCTTGAAATATCGGTTTGTCAAGCTCGTGAGCTGTAGTGACGTCGCGCCTTGGGAAGGTACGCGGCAGGAAGTGCCTGCATGTCTTGACGAAGCTGTTCCTTCCTGTTGACCCAAGTGACAACGCCTTGAGCGTCCAAGCATTGGATGGAAACCTTCCAGCCTTCAGTTTGCCGTCTTTCAATGCGCGCTTCACATTTGATGTTTGGTCGATTTTACGTGCGAGTACTGTACACAGCGCAAGACGTTCGTATCGAGATCCTTGAGGCTTGACTCCTCCATCTCAAAACGTCTGAGAGGCAATCTGCATCTAGTTCCTCTTCATTTTCCTCCATCATCTCCAGCCAGACCTCTCGGGGGCTGCCGCTCGGCTAGGCAGCTACCATGCCCCCCAAGAGGCAGGCCACGCATATGTCGCTGGTCAAGAGTCCAGGTGGAAGCGTCAGATTGTCCCAGCAGGCGGTCTCTACCCTGTCGACACAGACGAACCCTCGCTCTAGCAGCCCAGGTTCTTCAATCAAGTTCGGCGGCGACAAGTCGGACACGTCGATGGGACACAACCCTTCCGACGACCTAGATGAAAGCGAAGCTGAAATCCGAGTCGGAGGTTACACTTCGTCGACGAAGGCAGCACCAACTACCGACTCATCTCCCGGAGCGCGTTCCAACAACACTTGGACACTTGACGCCATAACTCTTGAAGACACCATGCCCATTCCCCAGGAAGTTCCCGATATGGCTGCTCTACGTTCAACACCACCCAGTTTCTTGCGCGATGGAATTGAAGAAATGCGATCACCCGAGGAGATACTAGACATTGAGCAGCAACGCAGCTTTCAGGCCGAAAATGAAGCCGATGGAGATGCTGCCAATATGGAAGAAGACAACGAATATGCCAGTCTTGAGGAGGAAGATGTCGATATCAGCGACTACCAGGATGACTCTGAAGCCAGAAGTGAGGGTGAGGAATCGTATCACCCAAGCAAGGCTGAAGCCACACGTTCCAAGAAGGGCGTTACGAGCAAAGCAGTGGCACCAAGACAGGCAAAGAAAGCTGCCACAACTACCAAGCCAAAGGGCGCGACCAAAAGGCCAGTTGCTCGAAACACACGTGCAGGTAAGACACCTGCACGGCAGAATTCAGATGAAGATGGCAGTGTTGACAATAAGGGGGCAGCACCAGGACCGAATATGGCCAGAAAAATCTACCAAAAGCGAGCAGTAAACGTGACTGTCGAGAAAGTTGTCCCTTCTACACAAGCGCAGGATGGCGCTCGCACCAAGACTTCGGCCAGGAGAGCGGCAAAAAAATCTTTTCTTGACGACGCCGATGAAATCTTAGCCGAGGATTCACAATTGGCAGCGGCGAAAGCAGCAGCCGAAGCACATACAGCCTCGAAAAGTACTGGGAACTGGGCGCCTGAAAGCAAGCAACATAATTCAGTACAATGCTCCAAAGTCCCTGATTCAGAACATAAAACGAAGACAATTGATGGCAGACCAGATGACGTCTATGATATCGAACTCTCACCAGACCCTCCTAAATCTCGATCGCAGCCAGGCGAGCTACCGACCAAGGCCCCAGCCAATAAGCGTGCTCAAAAACCCTCGGTGAATGATACTGCTCGTCCTACAAGAGGCGGTGGTCGAGCAGTTCGCGGAGGTCGTGGCGGTCGTGTATCCCGCGGACGACAAAAGTCACAACCCATGGCCCAGCTAGAAACCACGACGGAGGACTTGGAAGTAGAGGACTTGAAAGAGGCTGGGAATGAAGATCGCATTCCGTCGCCAAATTCAAAGAAGAAAAGGGGCCCTGCTGTGAATGGATCCAAGTCTCAGAAGGCGAGTGCAGCTGAACGACCCCCCGGGAAAGTCCAGTCCAAGCCAGATATTGTGCATTTCGATCCCCATGTCGGCGCGATGCGACCAGTACAGTCCGACGAGGATCAAGCCGCCGAAGATGAGCCCTTGCAAGGCTCCGATGCCCTCATGGATGATAATATCCAAGACGATGACGAGGGGCTGCAGATCGATGAAGAAGCCGAGTTCCAGCATAATAAAACCCTTTCCACCAGGGCAGATTCTCCTCAGGAAAACAGATCCCCTGCACCCCGGAAAGCTCCAGAGGACGCGCCTTCTAATATGTCAGGCAAACCATCGAACAAGCTCCCATTCCGAAGACGAAGATCAGCTCGAACTTCTCTCATAGACGATAAGACAGAATTTGTCGACGCAGATTCCTTGGAAGAGAAGAATTCAAACGATGAGTATCCCCTTGCGGGCAACAAGAGCAACACACCTGCAATTATGGAGGCGAATGCAGATGGGCAAGATTATCCAGAGATCAACGTAGAAAGTCCAAAAGCTCTCAAGCGCAAGCGAGGCCTCGCTGCAGATAATGAGAAGCCCTCGGAAGCGAAAAAGAGAAAGAAGCAATCTGAACACCAAGGCACTCCTGCTCGTCCATTAGAGAATGAGGCGCCAGCTGCACCACAGCCACAGAGGCAGATTTCAATAAGCAACACCGGTAGTCCAATCAAAGTCCCGGTTCTTCAACATCTACTAGATAAAGAAGGTCCAATTCCAGTTCAGCTCGACACTCAACCTCGAAAGGCATCAGAAACCGTTCAGATATCAGATGACAGCCCCTCGTCGGGAGATGCAAGCAGCGTTGGAGCTGACGCACCCACGCTAACTCTTCCAACGGACAATAATGGACATGTGAAATCGCGTCACGCTGCAGATTCAAACATTGGCCACATTGGCCATACTCTGCGTGAAAAGGTTGACAAAGCCTCTCAAGGATCGCATGCTAAGGAGAATACGCAAAAGCTTCCATCGGATTTCAACTATCCGCAGGTTAGAAGAACTAATCAACGACAGCCCCTGGCGGAGATTGAGCTACCGCCTTCCAATGGACAAGAAAAGGACGTTCTCCAGACGAGTAAGCCCAATGCCCAATTACAAATAGGCAACTCTGATAGATCTGCATTGAACCCGGTGGCCAATGGTCCTGTGCCTCAAGCCCACCACATACCCTTCCCATCGAATCAGGTTCTCTTCCAACAGATCCAGAGCAAGCAGCGGAACAATGACCTTGTGGGTGCTAAATTTTCTGGAAAAGAGCCATTAGACTCGGGCGAAGACCGACCAACTTATTCGCAACAGAATCATCAAAATGCCAACAATGATGTTTTTACCCATTACAATGCTGGTCCAAGTCGGCGAAACTTGTTCTATCCGTCTGACTTACCACACGAGGTTGAAGAACACACTGGCCATCAGTCATCACAATCTGCTCATCCACGATCGCAAGCATTTGAAAAGAGGTTGGCCGATGAACGACAATTTGCTCGTGCAAGCCATGCCCAGAAAAGCGAGGACAATGGTTCCTCCGGTGACAAGCTTCCCGGGTTTCGGATGGAGCGGGGAGATGTAATGGCGGACATGCATCCCAAATCACAAGTATTCGCCAATGGACTGTTACAATCTGAACAGTCACGCGACAACCACAGAATGGTCGGCGCATATGGACATTCTGGGACCTTTGACGTCGGTCGCTCGTACCGACACACCAAGGTCACTAATGAGGCCCACAATAGCCAACGCCGCTGGAAGACTGCAGTCGATGCTTCTTCACGTGGTCTGGCTGATACTATGCATGATATCACAGTCGTAAGTCTGTCAATCTCTTCAGAAATAATAGCACTGATGGTTAGTGTAGGTCATGCTGCGGCACTTGAGCTCGAAGGAAGATGCCATTGTCAAAGTTCCAGTGGAGTACAGACAAAACGGCAAAAAGATTATATCCAGTCTTCTCCAGCGACAGCACAAAGAACGCAAAAATACCTTTGACTCCTTTGAACAGGGTTGTCGCCGTCTCCTTCAAATTTACGATGATGCTTTCAAGGCAACAAAGGCCGCTAAGGAAGGCCTGTCTTCCAGGCGCATGCGCATTGTTGAGTTGGTAAAGCAAAAACAGGATCGCCTACTTACTGTTCAGCAAGTTATTCAGAAAGCGAGGGACGACATCAATAAGGCTTGAGCCCCAGTCGAATGGTAATATGAGCCCTTTTGTTACCGCTTCTGAGAGACCGAAACTGATGAGTAGACGATTGGCCAATGCTTCTTGCTCACTGATTCAACCCTGTTGTTCTTATAAGATTGGAACCATGAGAAAGACCGAACATGAGAAATCTACAGCGACCATGTCGTGGGATGTATTGCTCTAGCATCAAGTCAAGACACAAAGGAGCCAGCGTCGCTCGAAACTCCGAGCGTTAGTCTTAGCTACTTAATATAGTATCCGACGAGAGGTAATGAACAGTTATGAATGTAGCATCAATATATCTAATGGAAGCTGTGTATCATTACCAGTAAATGAATTAGATGCCTAGCTTTCCGAAGGTCAGATGTCTTGTCTGAAACTTTTTAGGGCTTGAAAATCTTGTTCTTTAAGCGATAGTACCTAGTTCCTCGTCTATGACGCCCTTCCCAGTTTCTACCAACGCATTTACCAGTCCCTTCACCGTTTCTGCCAAGGTCTGGCAGTTAACAACGACTCTAAAGAAGCTCCCCCTATTACCTGGTGCATAATCCACCATGAACCCCCGATCTACCAACGCCGTAATCATTGCCCGCGTGCGTCTTGTGTTCTCATCTATACCTGTTTGAACACCACCCGGTGTGTAGTAGAAGCATACTTGAAGGCATGGGGGCGGATTCGTCGACACGAGTTCGAAGTCGGGATGGTCTTGTATCATCGTCGCCAAAAGTCCAGCTACCGAGAAGGCATGGTTGATTTGTTTCTCGAATCCGTCTGCTCCATCTAAAGGAAGACAAGTTAGTAAGCAATCTTTTTTCTTCGGAATAAGAAAACCCTAGCAGTTAACACTGCTTGTCGTTTCTCTCTACTCCTTGCTAAAGGAAGGGAATTCGCGGCGATAAAGGCGTATGTATGTCCAACCACTTACAATATATCCAGCTCAGTGCCAGCTTCAGCGCATCCCCTCTGCGGCCACACTGCAATGTCAGATCCGCCAGGTCCCAGACATCTCTTTCAGCCGATTCACTGTGGAATAAGTACCCTGCAGGCAGCGTGTTTGCCCTGTGAAACACTGAAAGGTCGTTCGTCAGCAGGAACGAGCATGGCAGCGGAGTGCCCAACATTTTATGCGGATTGATCGTGAGACTATCCGCCAGCCCGGCGCCGTCTATCTTGTGTCTCTGCTGAGACGAGAAGGCCACAGGTCCGCCCCACGATGCGTCGACATGCAACCACAGACCGAACTCCTTACAGACGGCACTGATTTCGCAAATCGGGTCGAAGGCACCGAGCACGGTGGTGCCCGCGGTCGCGTTGACGTAGAAGGGCGTCTTGCCCTCCTGTATGGCGTGTAGCACCATACGGCGAAGAGCACCCGGGATCATGCGCCCCTCCGCATCGGCCGGCACAAGGACCACGCCCGTGCCGGCGGCGCCCAGCCCCATCGTGCTGGCGGCCTTCTCGATGCTGTAGTGAGAGTGCACGCTGGTGAATAGAACGAGCCTGCGCGGCCCGTTGCCGTCGCGCTTGGTGTCCGGGTACAGCGTGTTCCGCGCGATCACGAGCGACGTCATGTTCGACGCCGAGCCCCCTGGGCAGGTGATGCCGCCGGCGCGCGGGCCCGTGAAGCCCATGATGGACGCCAGGGCGCGGGCTGTGGTCTTCTCGACGATGGTGAGAGCGGGTGAGACGTGGCATACGTGGAGCTGGACGGCGGTGTTAGTGACATGGTCTGTCTGGTTGGGGAAAGTAAGGGGGGTTGTTCTCGCTGGCAAGGACCAACTTACGGCGGTGTTCAGTGTGGCAAGAATGAGCTCGGAGATCACTCCGACCTGCAAGAGACAGAATCGTCAGATAGATGTACCACTGCATCATTCCACGAAGAGCATCTTACCGGGTTCGTGCTTGCATATAGCTTATCCATGAACCCTTGATCCCACGTATTGACGCTGTTTTCCAGGAGCTCCTGGACTGTAGCTAGAAGCCCGTCCCGGCCTCTGCCCTCTCCTGGCAGCGAGAAGTCCAATCGCTTCACCAGCTTCTCGGGTTCCAGCCTCTCCACGAGCACGTTCGTACCTGGTGGGACACGACCCTGCCCAGCAGCTCTGCATTGCGCTGCGTCGTCTGCCTTTCTAACGAAAGGTATTATGAGTTGCTTGACCGAGTCTAGAAGCTGAGAGGTCATTAGCAATCTAGACATGGAGGAATGTATAGAAGGGCTTGGATACTTCTTCAAGCTCGCCTGCGCGATTGAGCTGGGCTTTCTTGTGGTGTGCCCCATTAACACCGTTGGTCGGTGGGGCTATCTTTGACGCCATTTGAACTGCCATTGATTCTCTCGGGGCCTCCTCTAACATGGTAAGCATGGTTACAACCCTGATTGCTGAAGCCTTTGAGATGCTGAATATCTGTTCAGATGTGTTTCGCGAGCGTAGATATTGGGGCAATCTCGGAGGCAACCCTTGAGGTGCAGCTGCATTATGCTCCTAACCCGATAAGGTCACTAACATTTCACGTAATGTGATGATGAGAAGCGCTCGTAATATTACTTTTGCGCGATTTCGACATGAATCCACTATCCTAATCGAGTCAGCTTGACATGGTGTCTGCCAATGCTCATATTTTGTGGTTGGAGGGGAGAGTGACGGCTTTTAAATTTAATCCAAGACGTTGTGCACCCAGCAGAGAACATAAGCCTGACGACTCTGCTGAGAAGTACATCAAACAACAGACGGATCATCACGATATATTCTCATAATCAGGGAAATCCAAAGTTGCACGGAGCTGTTTAGGATTCAATTTTCATGTGCTACATAGACCGTGTCTTGCTCAGATTGGGGGCACGAGATCAGATGAAAGACTACTAATTGATTTCCCAGGAGCTTCGTACTGCCACCACAAAATTGCATTTAATGTACATTTTGCAATCAAAGCAGAAGAGATTTTCCCTAAAAGATTCATGCTCAACTCCGTGCCCGTCATAGTGACTGCCGTTTGGGAAATGGAGGTTGGGGGACGAGTAAACCCAGTATCGCTACTGAGAAGTATAGCGCTGTTTGATTATAGAGTCGTACCCCAATACCGCCTCGAGTATAACCCGTAATCCGTTGCCACTAAATCCTTGCAGTTAGTTTCCAGCAGTCATACGTTTAGTGCTCCGCTTACCAATCTTCCTCACTCGTAAACTCCTCCGGTGCGTGACTGATGCCGTCTTTACTAGGCACGAATACCATGGAAGTTGGCACCTTTGTGGCCGTCAACGCGCTATCATGGCCGGCTAAAGAGATCATTTCGACGGAATTCTCTACGCCGACCACCTTTTCGGCAGCCCGTTTGGTGCAGGCCATAGCCTCGTCGTCCATCTTCACCGCAGGACTATGCCACGTCTTCGAGATCTCAACTCCGATGCCCACGTTCTCTTTCGTCAATCCATCTGTGCAGCTACGTAGTCGCGCTTCAAAGTCATCAAGTACCGCTTCAGATGGGTGGCGAAGGTCAATCGTAAAGATAACCTTTCCAGGCACGGTATTCGATGATGGCCTCTCCAGCTCAACCACACCCACCGTAGCCACGGCCTCGACCACGCGCGCCCTGGCATCCAGGAACAAGATAACCTTTGCCGCCGCAACCACGGCGTCGGCACGCTGGTGCATCGGTGCACCTCCTGCGTGCGCCCGCCTCCCGTTGATGCAGACGCGGTACCACCGTATGCCCTGGATGTTGGTGACGACGCCGATCTTCTTCCCCGTGTCCTGCAGAATGCGCCGCTGCTCGATATGCAGCTCAAAGTGCGCGCTTAGCTTGTTGGCCTCGCAGCTTGCGGGCACCGCGCCCAGATAGCCGATGCGTTCAAGCTCTTGGCGGAGTGTGCAGGATGCGCTCGGATTCGTATCGCGCAATGCGTAGGCGGCATGCAGAGGAGTATGGCCGGCCCAGACCGCAGAGCCGTTGCAGCCGGGTGCGAACCTCGCCCCTTCTCTGGTATCTTGTTAGCTGGGGCATTGAGGCGGTTGGATTCAGTCGGGTGATGGTCGGCTGGGCCTTGTTACCTACTCGTTTGTCCAGTCGATGGCAGCTATGGGTGCATAAGTTCGAATCCCCGAAGACTTGATTGACTTGAGTACTTCGAGTGCAGATAGGACGCCAAGTATACCATCATATCTGCCCCCTGAACATCGTGGCCCGCCGCAGTCAGCTTACCCCTCGCCCTGGTGCTAGTATTCATTATGGAGTCTTACCCGCAGGCTGAGTATCAAGATGGCTACCAATGCCAATGGGAGGCACATTGTTGTTTTCGCCTGGAAGTACTGCGAAGATGTTGCCCATCTGATCGATGTCGACCCTGCAGCCGAGTTGCTCTGCTTCATGAACAAAATAGTTTCTCACCTCTCTGTCCTCGTCGGATAGTGTTAGTCTAGCCATGCCGGTGCTGTCCGGAATAGCACCCCATTGTGCTGTATGGTGAATTTCATCCCACAAGCGCCGAGTGCCGGAAGGGGGAACGTGTATCTCGTGATTATCACTGAAACAAGTTCCCACTGGATGAGGGTCGCCAAGGACAGCTTTCGAGTGGCCATTAAGCTCCTGTCCGTGGTGAAAAACTAAATAGGGGTCTTTGATGTCCGTGTCCGGGGTCGACACAGAGCTTATCGACTCAGTTAGGGAGGAGTCGTGGCCTAGTTCATGTTCGATGGGAAGTTCTTCCATTGTCATAGATTGTCTTCGAGTGTACTGAGGCTGGGACTTCAACTGAAGAATCCTCGTAACCAACAGATAAGTCTAGTGTGCAACGAACTACTGTACTACCTTCTATGCTTCACCTTTTCATACGTTGCTCTTCCAAATCCAGCTCTTCGCAACTTTTGCCCAGCACCCCTGAACAGATCTCCCTGCCATGATGTGGCGGTTAGGCCTCCAATCAAAACTCTCAGTCACCCTTGACTAATAGTAATGCTAGCTGGCTGTATCCTGGAACTTTGGGCGACGCAAGGTCATCATGTTGCGGACGAACCGGATTATTCAAGTTTATGTGAGCCGAACTTTCAAGTTACTAAGCGGGACACTTTCAGGATGATGGAATAAATATGACCCAGGTCTTGAGGGGGGATTCCTCAATCTGCTATTAGGATGAGGTCACCTCTTATGTGATTATTTATCCTTCACAATGCCTACCTGGTTCAATGTCCTCAGAAGACAGGGTGTGACAGGGTTACAATCTAGTGCGCAAACTTCAGACCGTGGGTGAGCTCATCATGTAATTTGGACGTTACTTGTCCAATGCGGGCCGCATTCCAGTGAGTGACTCATTCATGTCTGATCTTGGAGGATCTGTGAGGAAGCGCGAACTTGTGTTCACAAGCCAGGTCATCACATGGTAGCTCCATGGGGCGCAGAATAAATGGATACCGTTCATGGGTAGCTACTCATGCCATCGTAGCTGCATCTGATATCGCGATCGCTTTGGAAGAAGCGAGAATTGAAGAAATGATTGAATTGGGTCGAAAATGAAGCTATCGCGACCGTCATCATCACCATGATCATGGTCGATATTTCACGGTCAAAGATGAGCGGTTCAGAATGAGGTTAATATGAAATTGTAATATGTGAAAGTGATATCTATGTAGACGCGTCATTCAATGAAGGGCAAAACCTAATCGCTCTTCCCGCAAACCCCTATACTACTTTTCCAATGTCGCTGAGTATATCTGTCGCGACGGGCAATAAGTCACATGCAGCTGTCATTCGTCTTGTTTGGTAGCTCTAGCTCAATGCAGTCAACGAGCCCAGCTGCTTGTCCCCATGCTCAGTGAGCGTCCCAATAAGGCGACACAAATCATTGAATATGCGTTGAACCATGGCGCGGTCGGCGTAAGCTGCGTTCGCAGCAATGGATATTTTGACGCCGCTGCGACCGATGTACGCGCCAAGACAGAGACTCCACGGGTACGGATCCACGTCCTTAGGCTCCCAAATGCGCGCGACGAACCTACCCCCACCGGCAAGCTGAACCTCAGAGTTCTCGTCAACGTTCAAGAACTGAGTCACTACCGGGAACTTTGCCATTGATGTTTTCCAGTCTGTACAGTTTCGGATGATGTCGTCCAGCCCTATGTTCTCGTACGGGATGGAATCCACGTACTGCTTGTGCACGGACTGGACGACGTCAGAAACGAGGAAGTCTTTCTTGAGATGTACACGAAGCGGGATGATATTGAGGGTAGGCCCTATCAGATTTTGGAACTCGGCATCCAGTCCGGTCCGGCCGGACGTCATGCGGCCGAAGATGATGTCGGTCGAGTTGGTCATAGACGAAAGTAGGAGAGCGCAAGCGGCATTGAATAGCGTAGCTGGAGTAACCCCTTCTGTTCGGAAATGTGGGATTGTCTCCTCGATACGAATAACGCCTGATCCCTTCATTGGTGGTTGCTTGGCAGTGTCCCAAATGTAAGTTGGTTGCGTGCTGGCTAGCATCGAACGCCAGTACTTCGCGTCTTCTTCGTGGTGCTGTTTGAGATGATGCATGAATTTGGAATAGCTGACTATCTCAGGGGGGGATCGGCCTTCGTACAGCGTTGCTAGTAGTTGGACAAGTGCTATGCGGCTGAGGCCGTCTTCTTGTGTGTGTGAAAGACGCAACAGTAGTCGGGAGTGCGTCGGTGTGCGAGCTATCATGAAACGGTGGAACGGTCTGCCTAGCGTTGGTAGATTGGCGAGATCTTCTTTGAAGAGGCGCGCCATGAGTTGATCTATATCTTCTTGGGAGTTATAGATGTCAATCTGTGGCTCAAGAGACTTCAAAACGACCTGCAAAAAGCCACCGGCGTGCTTGATGAACAAGGTACGAAGGATGGGGACATTCTCGGCCATTTCAACACACACTTGCTGTAGCCTCGAGTGATCAATGTTATTGGGTAGGTCGAAATAGAAACATTCCCAGTGCCTCGGTGGCGTGTCCAAGTGACCTTCGATCGTGAATTTCTGAAATGGTGAAACGGGGAAAATATCCTCGACATCATCAATGGACTTGATACCTATTCGAGGCAAGTCGACGGCGAGAAGTTCGTCCATTTGGTCTTGATCAATGTCGAAAGTCTTGACAGCTGTGCGAGGAGTTTGTGCCATTGAAATCTTTGTACAATATGGTGCAATAGCAGCGATTGTTTTCTTTTGCAGAATGACGGCCACAGGAAGTTTGATTCCCATTTTGCGACATTGGGCAGCAGATTGCATCGCAGATATTGAATCTCCTCCGAGAGACATGAAAGTCTCGTCGATTCCAATACTGGATATCGCTCGGTTAAGCACATGAGCCCATACAGTCTGGAGATCACGCTCCATATCGCTGGTCGGCTGCTTCTCAAGTGAGTTCGGTTCGCATGTGGACCCGATCTCCCCTGACAAAGTTTTTGCAAACTCTCTCAGCAGTCGTTTATCGGTCTTCACAGAGGGTGTGAGTGGAACTCTCGTGATTGGTATGAACTTGGACGGAACCATGTATCGGGGCAATACTTTGGGAAGTGTTGTTTCCAGCTCCTTGACAAGGGATTGAAACTCCTGTTGTTGTTCAGAGTCCGTAACCTCGAGGGTATTTGGACTCGCCTTATCCGTCGAGTATCCGCCAATTTTGATGAACGCTGCCAACGTCTTCCATGATTGGTTGCTTATGTTGACCATGTCAACAACAACCTCACCACCTGATGGCAGGCTCTTGGCAATCTGATGTTTGATCTCATCGAGCTCTACACGCTGGCCATGGATCTTGACTTGATTATCGGCTCTTCCAGCGATAGTGATGGTCCCATCGGAGTTGAATTGTCCCAAATCGCCCGTTCTGTAGAAACGTCGAGTACAGTCAGGTTCACCTCCTCTAGACCAAGCAAGATCTGTGACGAAAGCTGCTGCTGTTGCGTCAGGTCGATTCACGTAGCCACGACCTAGCATGGTCCCTTCAACAACCATCTCGCCGATGCAGCCAATAGGAACCAGTCGGTGCGGGTTACCCTGTTCTGTAATCCAGACATGGCACCCGCTCGCCCGCCCGATCCTCAATGGGTTCGTATCACGTGTGATCTCTCCGTTGAGGCATCCAGAGTTGGAGCACTCCGTTGGTCCCCAGTAGTTGACCAGCTTCACATGACCACACCAGATATCAAGGGCTTTCCGGCCGAGCGGCTCGCCCCCAAAGACAAGTGTTTTCAGAGTCGGTACAGCTGAAGGAGAGAGCAACTGAGCCACAGTCGGGGTAAGCATAATCCAATTCGCCTTTCTATCGTTCATAGCCATAGCCAGATCATCCAGGCGCTCGTCGTCTGAGATGACGCATAAACAACCGCCAACGACAAGGGGAGCGAATATTTCGCATATGCTGGCGTCAAATGTGTAAGCCGCAAACTGCGCGACCCTGGTTGTCGATGTGATGTGCATGGCTTTAGCGTTGACAAGCTGACTCTTTGCCACCGAATGGTGTTCTAGCACACATCCTTTCGGCTTCCCAGTACTTCCGGATGTCTGGGACGTAAGATATTAGTTTGACTCCAAAGGGAATGAAGAGCATTTGCAGGCAGAAAGTCTTTTCCTGAGACACTTACATAGACCACGAAAGCAGCGTCGTGCGGCTTTACTTCAGGCAATGGCAGCTGGGCTGTGCGCTTGAGTTGTCCCATCAAACGTTCGCCTACTGTGATGACATGAGGTATCTGATCTTTGAAGCGCGAAGCGTTGCGTTCGTCGCACATCACAACTGTTGTTTCGACATCGTGACAGGTATCAAGAAGTCGAGAAAACGGATGATCCGGATTGGTCGAGACGCAAACACCACCTGCTTTTAGAATAGCCAACATGGCTACGACAGGCCAGGTTGATTTGTAGAAGCAAAGCACGACCCGGGCCCCGGGTCCAACTCCGCAGCCAATCAGGTGGCTTGCGAGCCTATTAGACATCAAGTTAAGCTGTCCATATGTGAGCTGCGAATCGAACCCGCTGGTGGCGATGGCGTCCGGGGTTGCCTGTGCTTGGGCTTCCACAAGTCCGTGCAGGGTAGAATACACTACTGGAGAGGGGGGCGAGTTCCAACCTTGGACTCGCTTGAGATCTTCTGTGCCAATGAGCTCGATACTATGAACCGGTTTGGCCTCAGATTCCAGGAGGCTGCGAATCACGGTCTCGAGTGACCCTGCTATGCTGCGAGCATAGTCTTGGGAGATTTTACCCCTTTGATATGACATGCTGATTATGGCGCCAGTTGCTCTCACGGACGCCGACAGGGCAATGGCATACTGTAAAACATTCAGTCAATGATATGGAACTAATTTCCAAAGAATCGGGTTTGGGGGTCCCAGGGCCTTACCTCGGTCCTTTCTGGGCTTTGCAGTGGTCTGATCAGAGTATCTAGCTTCTCTTGCTCCGCTAGGTCAAGCGCACGTCGAACCGTCATGCATGTATTGAAAAGCGGAGTTGCTTTCAGGCCTAATCTGTTCTGAATGAGTGCAAGCGAGCAATTCCGATGCTCCAGTCCAACAATAACATCCGTGTTGACACGCTGTAGTATTTCTTTAACGGTCGCTTCAATCTGTACACGGCATATCTGCATGCTGATGATGGGGCCGATGCTTCCCTCGATGCCGTCGATTGGAGTATCGCGGCCAGAGGCAAGGTATCCAAAGCAAGCGTCACTCTGCCCAGTGAATGTAGCAAGGACGATGGCCCATGCAGCCTGCATAAACGCAGCTTGGGTAACACCCAGGCGGCTGCAGAAAGCTGCCATGCCTTCGGTTGCGTTCTCGGGTAGCTGGATAAATCCGTACTCCTTCAGACCGCTGAACGCTTCCTGGTCATTGTTGGTTGGTACATGACATGGCTGTACGTTCTTCAGATGATCTTCCCAGTAAGCGATGCTCTGTTCAGACTTGATATTCTTCTCATACTCGACATATTTCGCAAAATTCATGACTGGCGACGCAAGTTCATGTCCGAGAAGCGAGCTGATAAGCTCCTGCATGAAAACATCCAACGACACGGCATCAATGAGGACGTGGCTGACCTTGAGCTTACAAATAGCTCGTCCGTCCATGGTGCGGTACAGAGTCAATCGTGGCATATACGTCAAGAAGTTGTCCTCCGCTGGGGTGGGAAGTTGCAAGACTTCTGAGACATCCTTGATAGCTTGCTCTGCTTGGAGAAACCGCGGCGCAGGATGGCGTTTGAGAACAACCTGAAGAAAATGGCCATGCTCCGTGGAATGTTCAATGATGCCAGTTCGCATGCTGGGGTGCCTGTGTACGATTGTGTCCCATGCCAGTGACAGGCGAGAAGATAGATTCTCTCCAAAAGCGGGATTGTCGGTAAACTCCCAAACATACTGGATTTGATAGACCTCGCTATCGACTTGCTGGCTTAGCAGGATACCCTCTTGCATAGCTGTACACGGATAGACACTGTCGATGAGAGAATTCTCGGAATCATGTCCTAATCCAATAAGGTGGTCGGAAAGAAGGCTATCGAGTTCCTGGGTTAGATGTGCGAATGCATGGGGTTTTTCAATCGAAGAGGCTTCAGGAGTAACCAGCCTCTTGCAGTGAGGTGCGATAGCTGCAATAGTCCTTTCCACCAATATTGTGGAGACTAAAATCTCGACACCAAGACGTCGACACTCCGAAACTACTTGCATGGCGGTGATACTATCTCCACCGAGCGCCAAGAAGGAATCGTGAACGCCGATTCTGTCCAAACTTAGCTTCAGAATCTGCGACCATACAAGCTGGAGACTCGCTTCGGTCTCATCTCGAGGTGGGGTCTTTTCATTGCTCAAGGTGTTGCCGAAAATCGCATCTTTCTCGAGGCGCTGTGCAAACTGCTTGAGAAGTTTCCTGTCGGTTTTTGTAGTTGCCAGTCTGGGTGTATACGATATTGGGACGAACGCCGTGGGCAGCATGTACTGCGGAAGTGTTTCGGGCAGGGACCTCTGTAGACTTTCGACTACATTTTGGAACTCTTTAACATCGGTTTCCGCCTGGATTTGCAGGCTATTCTGGCCTTCAAGGGCACAGAAAGTTGGTAACCGGATGAATGCAGTCAACGTAGCAGCGTCTAATTCGACAATCTCTGCAGTGACTTCACTACCGATGGGCAATTGCTGGTGAATCTGATATTCGATCTCATGCAGCTCGACTCGCTGGCCACGGATCTTCACCTGTCTGTCGCCACGGCCTAGGAGCTGGATACTGCCATCGGGATTGAAGTACGCAATATCGCCTGTTCGGTAGAACCGCCGGTGCTTTAGCTCGGCCTGTCCGGAGCGCGACCACGTGGGGTCTTCGATGAAAGCGGCAGAATTCGCCTCTTGCCTGTTCCAGTAACCTCTGATGACAGCATGGCCTTCAATAAGAAGCTCTCCTACGCAGCCCCTAGGAACAAGTTGGTTCGGGTCATGGCGCTGGACGACCCACATTCCGCATCCGCTGCTGCGTCCAATGCTAATCAAGCCAGTCTGCTTGTCGGGAGCGAGGTTGATTGCACCTATGTTGGAAGTCTCAGCTGCGGAATAGAAATTTATCATTTGTGCGTGGCCAGCTGCGGACCACGGTTGCACCACCTTCTTGGTAAGCGGTTCACCACAGAAGACGATCGTATCCAGATTGGGAACATCATCTGGAACAATGATCTGGGCAACCGTAGGTGTTTGAAAGGTCCAATTCGCGCCTCGAGCGTTGATAGAGGCAGTCAAATTGTTCATCCGCTCGTCATCCGAGATCACGCAAACACACCCACCACATATGAGGGGGCCGAAGATCTCGAGAATGCTGGGATCCCATGTATACGTGGCGAATTGAAGGGCTCGAGTTGAACTTGTAATGTTCATGGTATCGGCATTTATTTTCTGGGACAGACAGACAGCATGGTGTTCCAATATACAGCCTTTTGGCTTTCCGGTGCTGCCGGAGGTGTATACTATGAACGCAGCGTTTGAGGGTTGGATTTTCGGTCTGACCCAAGTATTGGAAGGCTCCTGTGTGAGCGTGTGAGCAAAGAGGGTGGCGCCAACTACGACAACATGAGGAGAATGTCCAGAATACTCCGATTGCTGATCAGCATCGCAGAGAATGACGACCGGCTCGACGTCCTGGACAATGTCCAACCGTCGGTTCAGAGGATGTTCGAAGTTGACCGATACGCAGACACCACCACTTTTCAGCACTGCTAACATAGCAATAATGGGCCAAGTAGATTTCCTGAAACTAAGGACCACGTGCTTCTCCGGGCCCACGCCGATAGAAGTTAGATAGGCAGCCAACTTGTTGGTGATCGAATCAAGCTCTTCATAGGTGAATTTCCCATCAAAGCCAGTCGTTGCAATTGCGTTTGGGGTAGCACGTGCCTGAGCTTCTACGAGCTCATGTAAAACTTCCTGTGTATACTCAGGCAAGTTGTTGTTCCACGATTGCATGTGCGTGAGTTCGTCCGCGGAGACCAAGTCCACATCACGTAGTCTGGTCGTTGGAGATTCCTTTGACAGCAGCGAGATGATATAGCCTAGTTGATGATGAATGAAGTCGACCTGTTGAGATGCCACAACTTCGTCATCGTAATTGATGAGCACATCCAGAGCATCCCCTCGAATGGTACACTCTGCAGTCAGAGCTATGTCCAATGACTCCTCAGCCTTGCTTTTCATGGTCTGAATTCCGAGTGCTCTCAGTGGTGATGTGATTTCAGCGTCGCCCATCGTGTGTACGACAAGCAAATTGCGGAAATCAACAGCAGCACTTGCCTCTGGGCTGAGATGGCGAATTCGCTGCAGGCCTACATGTTGATGTCGCCTGATATCTGTAGTCTTTCTCTGCATGCTATCAAGAAGGGCCCCAAGTGTCATGTCATTGTTGATATGCATCATTATTGGGACGGATGTCAAAGTCGGCCCCACCATGTCTGTTATACCATCGATCGGTGCGTCCCGTCCAGAAAGTGTTAAGCCGAAAACTAAGTCATTGCTCCCACTGTACAGGGACATCAATATTGCCCAGGCTGTTTGAACGACAGTAGCGAGAGTCACTTCGGAGCCGACAGTCCGCGTGAGTTGAACAGTTGAGGATTTGTTATGTAATGGACGAGGAGTGTGACCAGGCGGCAGTCGGGGATAGTTCTCAGTGATCGTCGGGAATTGGGATCGCCAGAACTCGTCTGACTCGTTGCCATCAACAGAAGAGAGGTGTCCCATAAATCTGCCGTAGGGCACAACAGGCCGTGCCAGTTCTCCATGGAGAAATATGCTGCTGAATTCTTCATACGTTCTCATGAGAGACCAACCATCGTAAAGAGAATGGTGGAACGTTCCCACAAAAACAGTATCGCCACCATGGTGAACTATAACAAACCTGGACAGTTCACTTCCGTAGCCAACATGGAGGGTCCCATTCTGTTCAAGGTATTGTTCGGGAGGCATCCCTGTGCTCTCATGCCAGGTGATATTGGATCGTAGTACCACCTGCAATGAACCAACATCTCGTTTGAAAACGATGCGGGTACGAAATATTGCAAATTCGGAGACCAGTGTATCCCAGGATGATTTAAACCGGTCCAGATCCATAGAAGAGGGCAGTTTTAGGACAACTTGGTACGTGTATGCTTCCGGCCGATGTGATGACACCGCCATGAGAGCCTCCTGAATGGGAGTGCAGGGGTACATATCCTCGACTAAATCGGGGCCTACACCGCAGTCCTGTGCCGCCTCTGCAATGTAGCCGCTCAGCGCTTCCTTGTCTCTAATGAGCGAGAATGCTTCGAAACGTGCCACTTCATCGTCCCTTGGCTTGGTGGATACGTCGGGTTCAATTGTCAAAGCCATATCCTTTAGCATGGGCATCCTAAAGACATCAGCCACCGTCATGGCAATGCCTTCGCATCGGGCCTCGGCAATCAGCTTCATGGACAGGACGGAGTCGCCCCCGGAGCGGAAAAAGTGGGACTCGGCACCGATAGCGTTGGTTGGGATGTTCAGGACTTTTGCCCATAGCGACTGGAGTTTCTTTTCCATGTCGGACTCCGGCGGCCTTGTTACAGTTTGGCTCGTGAGGAAATACTGACCCAGATCGTTGGCGTTGAGCCTCGATACCCAGTGGTGCAGTGTCTTGCGCTCAAGCTTCCCAGAAGGGTTGAAAGGCAAGTGCCTTACCGGTAGGAATATCGATGGAATCATGTACTGTGGAAGAGTCTTCGCAAGATCTAGTTGTGCCTTTTTGAATTCAATTTCAGACTCGTGGTCCATCGCAAGAATGGGTACTTCAACCGCATCATGACGCTTCAGCTTGCTCTGCTCATGGTCCTCTCGGCTGCAGAAGACGGCGAGTGTGGATGTCCCGCCACGACTCGAGATCGTGACGGCTTCCACAGCACTGTTCGCGAAGACATGACTGCAACGGCGAAGGCTGTCCTCGATCTCGCCCAATTCGACGCGCTGGCCATGGATTTTGACCTGATTGTCGGCACGACCTATAAACGTGATGCTTCCATCCGTGTTCATCCTAGCTAGGTCGCCGGACCGGTAAAAGCGTCGAGACCTTCCAGAACCATCACGTGACCATGCTGGGTCAAGGACGAAGGCGGCTGCATTCTCTCGAGGCCGGTTGATATACCCGCGACCAACGATTGGACCCTCAACCACCAGCTCTCCAACGCATCCTATGGGAACAAGGCGATCAGGTCTGCGGTGATCGATTACCCACAAGTGGCAGCCCATTGCGTGACCAATGTTTGATGGGTCATCATCTGGCGCAACCGCTCCGCGAGTGAGGCATACCAAAGGTGTGCACTCGGACGGACCCAGTCCATTATACAGGAAGACGCGTCTGGACCAACGCCAGTAGTCTTGACGACCATTGGGCTCGCCGGTCAATATGAGTTTCTTGAGTGTCGGCACTTGGTCGGGATCAAGGAGCCGTGAGACCGTTTTGGTCAGTGACGAGAAGTTGACGCGTCGCTCGTTGATTACCTGAGAAAGATTGTTCATGCGTTCATGATCTGATATGACACAGACGCAACCGCCGTGTACCAATGTTCCAACTATCTCTAGGATGTGGACGTCAAAGGTATATGCGGAAAATTGCAATGTTCTCGAACGCTCATCTAGCCCGATTCTCTCCCCAAGCGCCTTGAGGTGAGTTGCTAAGGAGCGGTGTTCAAGTACGGATCCTTTGGGTTTACCGGTACTGCCTGACGTATATACCACAAACGATTCGTTGCTTGGAAGAACATTGGGAAGCGATTTGTATGCAGCAGCCGACTTTAGCTGCTCGATAAGGGCGTCAGTGATACCGATTACGTGGGGTACCTGGCCCTTAAACCGGTCAACGCTCTTTTCGTCACAAAGCACGACTCTGGATTCGACATCTTGGACTATCTCCAACAGCCGTGGAGTTGGATGCTCCGGATTGGTTGAGACGCAGACACCCCCACTCTTGAGAGTGGCTAGAATCGCAAAGACGGGCAGTGCGGATTTGGCGAAGCTGAGCACCACGCGTGAGTTCGGGCTTATGTTTGCAACCTCCTGGATATAGCCTGCTAATTGGCTCGAGATCGAGTCGAGCTCAGCATATGTCACTCTGCTGTCGGGTCCGTCGAGAGCAACTGCGCCTGGTGTTTCCCGGGCCTTCTCTGCGATGAGGCCATGGAGTGTTTTCTCGACAGCAGGTGGCATTGAAGCATTCCATGTCGCGAGTAAACCGAGGTCATGAGGGGACATATTATCGAGGTCGTGCAGCGATGATACCGTGGACTCGGTGGCCAGCTGCCTGATGTGGTGTTCGAACAAGTGCAGCATGCTTTCCACCTGCTTGCTGCCGACAACTTTCTCGTCATAATGCGCCTTGACCTGCAGGAGACTTCCACTGCTGCCAATACTGCATTGAACCGTTATCCCATAGTCCCGTGTATCCTTCTCGTCCACCTGAATAGGCTGTAGACCGAGTTCAGTAAGACCTGCGAAGTCTTCATCCTCCCCTGCAGGTTGAATGACTAATAGGTTCTGAAAGCTTGCTGCAGATTTCGCTTCAGGGCTCAAGCGGTATATACGCTGAAGGCCAAGGTGCTGGTGTTGTTTCACCTGCAAAATGTATTCCTGTACCTCCTCAAGATATTCCAGGACTGTGCTTGTGTAGTCAAGAACTATTCTTACTGGCACAGTTGTGATCGTGATTCCCATCATCTGGGTGATGCCAGGTACTGGAGCGTCTCTTCCCGAGAGGGTCAAGCCGAAGACCGCCTCGTCGGTATTCGCATAGGCAGCTGTTATCAAAGCCCAAGCGGCCTGAACCAACGTTGCTGTTGTGATACCAGAGTCGGCTCTCCGTTCCAGGCTTATGTCAATAGTCTGCAACTGTAGCGCCTGAGGGGTATAGCCGGAAGTGGGTAAGCGAGGATAGATTTCGACAGTGTCAGGAAACTGCTCGGTCCAAAACTCCTCGGACTCTTCGATACTCATCTCAATCAAATGGCGTATGAACTGGGTGTACGGGACTTGGTGCGTTGCTACACCCTCGAGGTAGATCTTTTGCACATCCCTAAACATGGCGGGTCGCGACCATCCGTCAGATATCGCATGATGGCCGCTCCAGACAAAGTGCGGTTCTCCTTCATCGTCATGCACAATACCGTATCGACTCAGATCGGAACCGTAAGTGTACGGCAGCTCCTCATCGTACTGCACAAACTCGTGCAGACTCATACCCGAGTGCCAGTCAATGCCTGACCGTATTACAACTTGCACCGTTCCGATGCTAGGTAATGTGACAATTCGCGTTCGGAAGACAGGCTGCTTAGATACCAAGGTGTACCATGCTTTCTTGAACCTCTCTATTTGAAGGGATTCAGGAATTTTGAATACCACCCGGTGCGCATATACACCCGGACGGTGCGCCGAGATTGCCATCAATGCTTCTTGCATCGGCGTGGCTGGGTAGACATCATCAACCATCAGTGGCTCTACCTGACAGGCTCTAGCAACCTGATCGATACAGTCTTCTCTGGAGATGGACTGGGAGATTAGCTCGAGCGCCTTTGGTGGCTCTTCGTGCGGCAACCTGTCGAGAAGAACTAAGTTCTTTGCCATTTCACCCAGGGTCGGCGTTCGATATATCTGGGAGACTGTCAAGGCCCTTCTGTGTTCTCGTAGCGCACCAACGAGTTCGATGGCTTTGATAGAGTCACCGCCCACGCGAAAGAAGTTGTCATCCGGCCCAAGAGGAGCGTTAGGGGAGTGTAGGACACCCCTCCACAAGCTCCGCAGAAGTTCCGCAGGATCGTTCGCGAGTTCATGCTTGGCAGATGATCCCTTGGGCTGAACTTGGGAAAGCTGCACCTCGTTCGTAACTTTCGTGTATTGACTTAGGGGTGAATTCCAGTTCTTGGCCACAAATCCACAGACACGAGTCATCTTGTCCTCAAGGTCAACCAAGTACTTTTGGTGGTTGCTTGTATGCAGGGTGGCGGTGAAGTCAATTACCCCATCCCAAACCGAAGCTTCCACAAGGAGTGAGTGCTGAACGGATTCGAGTATTAGCTAATTATCGATATGCATGTTTTGCAATCACTTCTCAAGTGAGGTTGTGGAGGACTTACTGGTTCGCCTTTCAGGAACGGGTGGTTCATTCCCGATCCTGGTTGGCCCTCAATGAGCAGCAGTTCCGTCTGCCGGAGGAACCGCGTAAAGTCGGGAGCTTTGCTTTCACGCTCCAAACCTGGAGCTTGCCCATTCTGGTGCGCAACATCGCACCCAGTACTTGCAATATCAGCAGGAGTGGATTCTGAGTTGATTCGATAACCCCTGGTGGAGAAAGGTTGTCGCTTGGCATCGTCGTCACGGCCATGCGACTGGCTCAAAAAGTGCCGCACAAACTTGACTTCATTATCACCAGTATAGATGAAGTGAGTTATAGCCCATACTGTTTCCACAATTGTTTGAGCAGAAACATTTTTGATGCCTTCGCCATTCAGCGTAGCAAGTTTGGTAGAAGCTGTGTTATCGATGGAACCCATTTTGTATTACCCATATCTTGGTTGAGCATCAACGCAAATGGATAAATAAGCACTTGGGCTGTTATTCCTAACCAAGACACAGCACGCAGTAGAGGCCAGGAAGATCAGTAGCTAGCAATATTTGGTCTATGCGATACTCTATGTACTCTCTCGCAAATTTCTTCTTTATTCAACACATAAAGTTTGTCATTTTGTTGCGTATGCTATGAACCTTGACTTCTGAAGCATGCTGAATGCAATACCGTACCAGATGAGGGGCGGCTAAGGGATCTAGTAGCCTCCAAACTGGATTGTGAGTGAACACGTTATTGATGCAGAGTTCTGACTAATTACACAGGAATGCAAGCAGTAATTGGCCAGTCTCTCTATGGAGAATTACCCCATATGCTCGTCTGCAGACTCTCTCTCCAGAGTCGCGTCTAACCGTCTAACCCCACCTGGGACTGTTCGGCGTGCTCCACTATGCGGGGTATAACCCCAACGTGAGTAACATCATGGTCAGAGTGCAGGGGATCCTGGTAATGTATCACGATAATATGAGGTAAGCAGTGGACCCGTCCCAGTAACACCTACTCACCTCCTCGTTCAGTTGAGAAGATGGGAAGTTCGGAATTTCCTGCTTCTTTACAGACAGCCATTGATTGAACAGATCCGATCTTAGAAATAGCGAAACATGATTGGTTAAGTATGGAAATATAGTCGGGTCAATGTTCTGCCTAAGGCAATGAATAAAGCGCTAATGCTTCCGGAGCGGTATAACCACTATTACTGGAGGGGTCGACATGATAGCTGAGCAAAATGCTTCCTATATACGAGAGTTTGTCTCATAAACTCCTCTCTCAGCACCTGGTAGACTCGCTTTGGGTCACTTTTGTGACTTCGCAAGGCGACCAAGACCAAGACCAAGCGCATAAATGTGAAGACATTCTACGATTGGTGTACGCCGCATTCCCTGATACAGTATCTCCAACCGAGGAATGTGGTGTCGGTCACTAAATTAAGGAGACCAAGCCAAAGCAGCGATTGTGTGAGGGCAAAGGATGGACACTAAACTGCAATGGCTTGGTTGCTTACCGAAACCATATCACCTTTCTCTGTCACTAGTTTTCTTCCCTAGTAAATGGACCTGGACTCCACACCACCATTGAAGCAGTACTATGGCCCTTTCTCCTTGTTGTTAAGACAGTAAGTGGATACCTTAAGCGTAAATGCATAAGTATATCGAGTGAAGAATATAAAGAAGCCGGCTCAGAAGAGCTTTATGCAATCCGCTCCTTGGTATCAATGGCATCTGTATATAACGCGCGAGCTTGGAGCGGCGATAGATAACATAAGTGAAGTGAATGACTGGCTGCCCCTGTCATGGCCCATACTCTCCACTAAAGAACGCATGCGACATTGGAAAGGATACACGATGCTTGAAAATAGCCGTTTGTTCATCGCTCTTCACCCCTGGCTTCACCATTCGGCTCTGCGAGACTCCAATTGCGGCACTTAAAATTTCATCCCTCAGCCATTCTGTCTCTGACCCAGCAGAGAATTACCTTTGGCTACTTCGCTAAACAAGAGCCCCTGGTCGAATATACACCATTAAATATTCCAACTTCGAACGAAGAAACATCACCGTAACGTCGTGCACTGATACAAGAATCGATGAGAGCATCAAGAGAAAGGTAGAAGACGCCGTCGGCGCCAAGAGCTTCCGAAATTTGGAGATTGGAACGCCCATGTGCGATGAGTCTCGATTCGTCTGCTAGGTCGATACCATGGATGTGCTTGAATCTGTTTTACCCCTTAGTACATCGGTACCACTAGGAAGACGATAACTCGTCATAGGAGTGAAACAAAATAATATAACGAAGTAAATACCTTATAGCAGGCGAACCAGAAGCGAAGTATACTTTCTTTGCGCCAGCTTCACGGGCCATCTTGACGATTTGAATAGCCGTTGTTCCTCTTACGATGCTGTCATCGATTATGAGAACATTTCTTCCCTCGAACTCCTCTCTCACTGTGCTCAATTTGCTGGCGACGGCTTTGGTGCGCTGCTTTTGAGTTGGTAGTAGAAAGGTCCTGAAGATGAAGCGATTCCGCACAAATCCAAAAGCCAGTGGCTTATGAAGGTATTGTGACACTGCAAGCGCACATGTAAGACTCGTTTCCGGCACCGGGATCACGCAGTCGATTTCTTCATGGACGCATCCGTCTTTGGCCGTGATTTCGTTGATGAGTGTCTGGGCTAGCGCCTTACCCATGAATCGACGGCTCCTGTTGACGCTGATACCGTCTATAACGCTGTCGGCCCTTGCAAAGTACACGTATTCGAATATATCCGGAGAATACGAAAGTTGAGGCACAACCTGGCGAATGATACAACGATGCTGAGGGCGACATGCTGATGCATATGGCACAAATATGGCTTCTCCTGCACCCTTCGCATTAGTTGCATGGATGCCCGCTATTCTCAGCAATTTTCTTACCTGGCCGAACATCTCGCACGGGAGTATAGCCTAGACTTGTACAAGCCACGCTCTCACTGGCAAACATGTAGTCAACTTCCCCATGGTCTAGAATTCTTTCCGCCATTATTACTGGCTTGATGCCATTAGCGTCCCGGAAGGCAACCAGTCCGTATCCTGGGATGAACAGGACACATGCGAAAGACCCGACACATCTCAGATATACTTGCTCAAGGCCTAACATAATCCAGCTCTCCACTGAGCTCATTTCACTCGGTGGATGGTATTTGGATAGAAGTGTCTCGAGAATCAACCCCGAATCACTCGTACAATTGCTCTGATTTTGACCGATCGATGTGAGGTATGTGCCAAGAGCTCTGGAGTTTTCAAGATTCCCATTCTATCGAGACTTAGACTGTTATCTTACTCGATTATCACGTAGGACTGGCTGGCTTACATGGGCGATGGCGATATTCCCCCTTGATTTGTCGATTATTGGCTGGATCTGCACTTTGTTGTACTCGCCGTTGGTGGGATAGCGCACTGATATCAGTCAGTCCACCTGCAATGGTAGAGAGGTAATGCTAAAGGTCCCTTGCCATGACCGATACCAAAACTCCCCTGTAGGTGAGAGGCAACATGGCTTCCCTTCCCGAAAACCTCGTTAACGAGGCCGGCTCCTCTGTGGAAGCTCGCCGTCCCATCTTCGGTGCCACATATAATTCCACAGGCATCCTGGCCGCGATGCTGCAGAAAGGCGGCTGTCTCTAACAGATCCGAGTAAGCATCGTATTGAAGACTGCCTAGGCTGACGCCAACTATTCCACACATGTTGCTTCAAAGCCGAGTATCGGCAGAATTGGGGCAGAGCTTGGCAGAAATAAGCCCAAGCAAATAAGGACTGACTAGATCGACTATAACAACAGGACGCAGCTCTCAGTATTGTTTCTCTATAAGCGCTTGGATTTAACTACGTAGGCAGGCATCAATCGTGTCGCCACTATCGGCAGTGTACACTAACTTGGTGGTCAACGTATCGCTTGGTCCGTTATGTCTAGTTGGCACGATCCTGCATTATTCCAGCAGGGATTCACAATGCCCAATAGTTGGTCTCATTAGTCAACCTCGCCCTGCTGTCAATTCTGGCTATTAGATGAGGTTATACAACGGTGACTAAAGATAAGAACACCTCACTTACTAGCCTCTACTTTTGTCTTCTCTAGGCTTGCACTATTACTATCATCGCCTAGAGGTATTATAGTAGCATTGCGGTAGAGACACAACGATAATGAATTGTCTGGTTGTTATTAATCAGAGATTGTATGCAAACCGTTATACTAACCATCAAAGAGGTAATCACGTCATTGTCAGTCTTTCTGACCTTATTGCAGAACAATCTTTTGAGCCTTATGGTATTGGATTAGGGATCTCAGATCGCTCAGGCAAGCTTGCTTCTCATTGTTGTCAGTGTTCCGGTAATTACTAGACCCGACGTTACCACGCAATGAACCATGAACCAATCAAGACCGGGGTAATGAGTGGAAATCTGGAGACGTTGGTGTTGCCGTGTTAATTTAGAGTCCCGAAAAGAACGTCGAAATTGGTGACAGGTGCAACGTGTGGGGGCCCGTGTTGGTCATTGGTACTAATTTGTCACGCTGCTACTTCAGCGACCAGTTGCGAATCGAGATCAGCGCGCAGGATCTTGGAAACTACCATCGGAAGGCGGCACGGCGCGGGAGCTAGAATAGTGATGTGTAGAAAGCTTCCTTCTTTACCTAAGCTGATCCTGCGGGGTACCCTGCTGTAGGGATCAGCCGCAAAGCCGTTGAAGAAGCTGGGCTGCATCAAACCTTGCTGTTACAGTGTCATTCAATACTTCAGCGCCTCTTGGCATTCGAAATACGCACCACGCACCACACCTATTGTCGGAGCTCGCCTACGACCACAAGGAAGCCATATTGAACTTCTGACTACCGAAGGCCAGGGTGAGTGCAGTGAAAGTACTTTGCATGCTGCTCATTCCTTCTATCAAATCTACGTGCGAGGTTCTTTCGCCTATTTGTTCCCAGTTGCCACAATCCAGTGCAGCATAGTGGAAATGAGCGATTGCGGAATCGGCTGTGTATGGATGGGCAGATCACTGTAAATCTTACAGGTGACCTGTATGGAGATTCACGTATTTGTCCCCCGCGCTCATCGACTTACCGCCATCAAGCTTAACATTCACGAGGTGTTAAACTGTCAACGTTAGTATGCCACAAATTTCCCTTAGTAGATTATTCTTTTTTTTTTCTCCCCCGGCAGTCACATGGTCGTCACGAGTATGGTGCTAGACTTAATAGTCTTACAACTCGGATGAACCATGTCCGACTTGCTGATTTCGCCGGTCTCAAACAAGGGGTATAGTTGTTAATACGTAATCGGTGGGTGGCAAAGGCGTCGTCTGACACTCTAGTATGGTGAAACATGCTGTATACAACTGATTCTAGGTAAAAATATGTGGCACATCCCTGTACTAGCGTGGCCGAATAAAACGCGTCAAAACCCTAGTCGGCAAGTGTCCCAGTATAGGATCTCCAGTGCGTGCGGTTCCCCATGGGGCATGAACTGTTACGTGTGGCGTTGATCGACAAAGCGGCAACCATAAACTTTGCGGCATACCGACAGTAGTGCACGAATTGAGTATTGCGACATCCTTGCTTTCGGGTGCGATCTCATTCAGGTTACTAGCTCCGGCATGCAACGCAACGTGTAAGTTCACAGTCATCTTAGTGGACTGCGCCCCAATTCTACAGATACAAGACGCCTAGAGACGACTGACTATCCTCATCCGCTGCTTCACAAAGATGTTTTCCGTATTTTAGTGGCAATAATTCCGTACAATCGAACCACAGGCTGAATTTCACTTCTTTTCCTGTTTCCTGGCAGGCGAATCCAAGAGGTAATCTACAAGCAGAAGTAGGCGACTTGTGTACATCATTTGCCATGAATTCTGTACAGTATCTGAATAATTGTATCCCTTCATTGAAACAACACAAGGTCACTTCTCTCGTCTGGACTGATCATGAACATAGTTGATGACAAAGTATCTATATCTAATGCCCGTTTCAGAAGCGTGAGACGAGAGACCCAAATTTCCATTTGCAGCACAACCAGCCACAAAGTTGTCTCGTCATAAACTCCGCTAGGGGTGTTCTTTAAGATGCAGACGCCTAGCATAGAATCACTGGCGAGAGCCGCACCAAGCAATGCAGGTTTACCTTCGGGTTTCCCCGGAGATTGTCAATCAGTTTGTCCACCCAACTCAAGACCGTAAAGGAACCAATGATTGCCACGCCATGCCTGGATCACAGTGGAGAGAAGGAGTAGAAGCGACATCAAGCGAGACAATTACAAACAGAATGTGCTCCTTGTAGCGCTCTGCATCAAGCTTGGTTACAACTTTCAGTGTGCTTTTCAAGGTGGTACGAGCTAGTCGCCCTGGTTCGCTGTCGCCAGGTAACGCTGTCGCCAGGTAACTCTAGTCCGCCATTCCTTGGCTCCAATTATATCATCTAGAACTGTACTGCATTGCAAGCGACCTAACAAGGGTGCACGTGTTCTTCCGCTCACTTATTACCGGTACCACCGGATCCCCGGATTTAGAGGTTGACAGGGGGTAATACGTATGATGTGTGTGGCTCTGCGTTCCTTGTCATCCGGAAATGCGGCCTGCGGCCCGCCTCTGGGGCCATCCCCGCGCCAACTTTAGGCCCCTGCAAACAACGGACAGGGACTGGGATCAAATCAGACGGCTGGCAGGGTTCCGGTAGGTGGATTTAATTCGATGCAGCACATGGAGCTATTGCGAAAGTACCTCGCGCGCATGAAGCGGTCCACAAGGAGTGAAAACCCAGGTGCTTCATGCTGAGCCGCAGGGCTGCAGCCAATGATGGAACCAGGTACGGAGGGAGTACATACTCTTGACAACCTCCAGGTAGCTGACTTGACAATAATCTGTCTTAAAGCACAATCTTATCCACATACCATCTATAGGTCTCTATAACGACAAAATGCATAACTCGCCGAATACGACAGACAACATGGATGCTGAACTTGCCAGGAAGAGACATCGAAATCGATTTGCACAGCAGAAATACCGTAAGATCATCGATACAATCCCTATGGCCCTTTTGGGAGACTGAACTTGAGGTCTAGGGAGGAAACTGAAATCACATATTGAAGAGTTGGAAAAAAGAGCAGCGGTGGCAGATCAACTGCTCAAGGCTAATAATGTTCATGCCAACGTGCTCTCTAACAATGAACCATTGCCATTTGGTCGCTACTCAGCTCAGCTTGGGGAGCATGGTGCAGCGCACCAAATTGAACCAGTATTGAATGACAACAGAATTAGTACTTCTTCGCCAAGCCGGGGCATAGCGGACTCTCTGCAAAATGAGTTATCGGACATACAGAATGGTCACTACGGAATCCCAAAGGACGCAACGCTCATGGCATCAAAACCAGCCAGCACCATGTCCGAAGAGGCCAATTTCTTCAAAGGTGGGTTGCATTCGTTGGTTGGTTTCAGCCAATGTACATGTTTGTATTTTCGCATTCGCCCTGCATACGAATTTTGCATGAACCCGCTTCTCATTGGCTAATTTTGTTGTCGTACAGCATTTACCATCTCAGAGGATCAGCTGTGGCCCAAGAATTTCCAGTTGCATGACGCTGGAAACCTTGAACTTCAACCAGAGAATATTGATGTGACTGAAACAGAGACGGCGAATCCAACCGCAAGGTAAGAGCTATCTTTAGAAACTGTGTCTATTCACCAGGTGAACATGACGTCGCTAAGAGAAAAGGTGCAGACATGGAAGCACTGACACTGTGAAGGTTCCCAGCCTCGTGCCTTCGAAGGCGAGTCCGCCGAGCGTCATTCCAAGATCGCCACACCAGCCAATAGCACTCGATTCGTCGAGTTTGGAGTCCCGTGTGGAGTTTGTGATACAATCTTTGAAGAAGGCCGGATTCGAAAGTCCTGATTCGTTTGTTTCTTCTTATTATACTAGCGTATTCAGGGATAAGTCTGCCGCTAAAGTAGCCCAAGAGTTCAGCCGCTCCAAGGGCCTGCCGCAATTGCTAGAAGACCTGAGGAATAAGGTGGGATCATGGTCGACTTGGGAGTCCAGTGGGTACAAAGACACAATTGTCCGGCTGGCCGCGTCGATGATTGCAGACGAGTTCGACCGTCTCAACCGGAAGAAATACAGCTGCGAAGTCGAGCTGCAGCAGCATTTCTCTCGCCTGCACCAAGCGTCCACAGACGTGAACAGAGGATCTTCTGTGAACCAGCTATTTTCTCTTATTACCGAGCTCAAGAATACACTGCGAGACGAGGTAATGATCTTCCAATTTATCTGACACCCATCCCTACCTCCTTACGTACAAGAGTTTGTCATGCTGACATGCAAAGCTACCCAACCTTTATGCAATCACCATGTCATTATTGGCGCAGGATACGCCTTTAGCCCAGTCAAAGAGAGTGCAGCTATTGACAGCGACTATTCAAATCATTATTGCATCTGGGGACGAACCGTTTCAGGAGGCAGCAAAATGGGTCTTCAACCGTACTCCGCCAGGATTCATGGGAGAGTCCGGAGATGCGCCGGCTGATGACTTTGATGAAAGTGCAATTGAAAGCTTCTAATTGGATGACTTTTTTCCGGACGATGTATAGGACATTATAATGATGAGCATATGAAACAAATTGTATACCCCAGCTATTGGGTTAGAAAACCCTTCGTTCTCCCCGGCAATGCCTGTGTCATGCTTCCCTATATGCAGCGCTCATAACTCTGCTCAATTTGACATGATACACGCAATGACGTCAGCTGGTGATTCGAAATCTCCTCAAAGAAGGGTCTTGATCATATCAACATCTACGCTGTCTAGTGACGTGATGCATTGGCCGTAAATAACACGGGTACATACGATTATCAGTATTATTGGCAGAAATCCCCATGTACCTCCGTCAAGTATTACCTAGATTAGGATATGTGTAACTGCACGATGAACCGCAATCTTTTTACTGGCACATCAGCGTTCTATCCAGCCGCACGGAGGGAGAAAATTTTGATTTTCCACTCAACAACCACCGTCTAACCAAGAAAAATATTGTACATTGCTTAAGCCGTAGGCTCATGGCTGGGCGTCATTAGCAGAACAATCATAATTATCGTCTGTAATTAGTAGAGTGTGCTATGAGATCTCACATCCGAAAACATTAAGGATAATGAACGATAGCCTTCCTGGTAGTAGAGAAATCTGATAATCGAAAGAGATTCATTGCTAAGGAAACTGACTTATCAGTCATCGGAATTGTGAACGCGTCTCTGAGAACAAAGCAATTCTTATGGCAGCAAGTCTGGATGAACATAGAAACTTGCATGACCTAGACGCTCCACCTCATATTGCTTCTAATCATACACTCAATTGCGCTTTCGCTTGTTTCTGCCAATCAGCTCAACGTCGAAGCCCATGCTTACAAGGACGTCTCTATCCAAGCATCTACTACTGCCAAACACAATGCGTGGGTACTTCATGGCCTTTGCAACGTGGGCCCAGTCCAAAGATACTGGAGGAATATCTCCATCGTTGATACCATTGAGCCTAGGCCCAGTGGAAGGCTCATTGTAGCGAACGGGGTCCAGTTCAGGGGTTGAAATAGGGGTAGGGTTGTCCTCGAGAGTTTCCATGGAGCTCCCATTCGACTCACTGCTATTTTCCAAGGAGTTTATGGAAACGCAGTTGTCGGTCATGATCTCGGTTGTAGAATCTATGCCGTTGCTGGCGTATAATGGGCCAGTGGCGCTACAGCTCGTACTGCCATTGCCATACGGAACTCCTCTAGCCTCACTACTGGCTTCTTTCTCTCCGTTTGTGTCGTCGTAAGAAGATTTGACGCCATTCATGAGAGCCTTAGGATTGACGCGAAACATGTCCCAATTTGTTGCTACCAGAACAGCAACAGTGTGCTCGCAGGCTTCTTCTCCAGATTGGCATATCTTCACAGAGCCACCAGAGCTCTCTTCTCCAAAGCCAAGGTCCTTTAGGATCTGGCTCTTATCCACGTAAGGGTCATAAATGTTCACAAGTGCACCCTCATGAAGGAGACCCTTGACCAGATCGATGGAGCAGCTCTCGCGGGTGTCCCCGGTGCCCTCCTTGAAAGCAAATCCAAGGACTGCGACTTTCTTGCCACCCATGCTGTTATTGAAGCGTGACACGATGCGAGAAACTGCTCTTGATTTCTGGGTCTCGTTTATATCGGATATGCTCTGCCAGTAAGAGGCTACGTCGTCCAGATGAAGGGACTTGCAGAGGTACACGAGAGACAGTATGTCTTTCTTGAAGCACGATCCGCCGAAGCCGAATGAAGAGCGTAGCATATGGGGGCCGATCCGGCTGTCACTCCCCACTGCGTGCATTACTTGATCGATGTTGGCGCCGGTGGCCTCGCACACGAGACTGAGCGCGTTCGCGCTACTGACTCTCTGCGCCAGCATCGCGTTGGCGGCTAGCTTTGAGAGCTCAGAGGAGAAGAGATTGATGGTGATGATGCGCGAACGCGGAACCCATGTCGCGTAGACATCGGCCAAGGCTTGAGCGGCAGACAGGCCAGACTTGGTGTCCGATGAGCCTATGAGCACTCGGTCGGGCGAGAGCAAGTCACAGATTGCGGTTCCCTCAGCGAGGAACTCCGGGTTTGACAGGACTTCGAAGTTGACACCCACACGTGAGTTGTCCATCAAGATGTTGCTGATGGTATGACCTGTCCCTACAGGAACGGTGCTCTTCTCAACCACAATCTTATCAGACGTGGCGTATTGAGCAATGGACATGGCAACCTCCTCAAGCCTTCCGATGTCAAGCGAATAGCCAGCACCGGTACCTCTCGATTTCGTGGGCGTATCAACAGCCACCATGATGGTGTCAGCTGCTTGGATGCTCCCTTCCAAATCTGTCGTGAAGTGCAAATTCCGACGCTTTTCAGCGTTGAGTCCATCGCGCGGGCCTCTGACAACATCTAGGAGCGAAGGCTCTGAAACTGGAAGCACGTCGGACTTCCATGCCTTGATGCGCTCCGCATTGCGATCGACCACCGTCACTTGTACGTGTGGACATTCTCTAGCCAGGACGGCTGCGGTAGGACCACCCTAGTAACATGTTAGCACATTCGAATCAATTCCATTCCAGGTCTTTGAGAACTCGTACTACGTAGCCCGCACCGATGAAGCAAATGTGAGAGATTGACCTTTGGCTCTCAATCATTGTGACGCCGTGTTCTGATTCACTCTGTTGGAACAGCTAGTTCGAAGAAAGGGCTATCTTAATGAATCTCGTTGAGGTATAATCTCTATTCAATACACTTCATGCATAATAATCGAGGTTCTACTCGCTCAGATATCATATGATCAGGCCGAACTGCCCTATATCCTCTCCCTCCCGGCTAGGCTTTGGGTTACTAAGCCTGCCTCTAAAGCAAAGTCCTTATTGTTGCTATACTACCACTAGCAGCCTAAGAGGTCTGGAGGCATTATTTGGCCACTTGCGTGAGTTATGGTCATCTATTCTCAATCACTGCGTTAATTTAACCATATTCTATCAGAAGTCGTCCAAGGGCATCATTTGTCATAGGTCAGTACTGCAGATTAGTCACCTACTCATTCTTAGTTCGACCATATACGTAACACTTTCCAGTCATGCAAATATTATGTCAGAATATGATTATTTTGTGAGTAATCATTCCCACAAAGAAGTAACTGTTGTTCTAGTTATGTCAAATGTGCCCATTTGTGCCGTTCGTACCATTGGATTTCTGCTCCTTCTCCAAGAACCAGTTTACAGTGACGTCAAGACCTTCGCGAAGATTTACTACTGGCTTCCACTCCAAAACGTCCTTGGCCAACCCTATGTCCGGTTTTCTTCTGTATGGGTCATCCTGTCTTGCTGGGAGATGGTTCACCGGTGCCCTGGTGGCACTTCCCACCTTATTTGCTACAAGCTCCACAATCATCTCCGCAATCTCCCCGACCTTTGTCTCGACATCACTCCCGATGTTGACGGGACGAGAGTACTCACTGTTCATAAGAGCATTCAGACCAGCCACACAGTCCGTCACGAATTGAAAGCACCTTGTAGCACTACCATCGCCATATATTGTGAGTGGCTGTCCCTTCATTGCTGCCACAATGAAGTTAGGAACAGCTCTTCCATCATTTAGCTGCATGCCTGGTCCGTACGCGTTGAAGATACGCGCGATTCGTACCTTGAGGCTGTGTTTGCGCTGGTAACCGTAGGCCAGAGCCTCGGTAATGCGCTTGCCTTCATCATAGCAGGATCGAGGGCCAAACGAATTCGTGTTGCCCCAGTAGTTTTCTGACTGTGGGATGACCTTTGGATCCCCGTAGATTTCTATGGTGTTATTGCATAGTCAGCTTTATTGGAGTGAGACAGAGCTCAGGAGCCTGTGAGGGCGCTGGATAGAACATACCCGATGTGCTAGCAATCAAGATTCTCGCTCCACATCCAACAGCGAAATCGAGCATGTTCTTCGTTCCAACAAAGCATGTTTCCAGAATTTCAATCGGACTCTCCTCAAAATGATCCGGACTTGCCGGGCACGCCAGATGATAGATTGCAGTAACCCCAGTGATATTTGGAAGAGAATGTCTCACATCGTGCCTAATATAGTATCAAAATCAATGTTCAATCAATGCGTTGCGGTAGCATACTCAATGAAGCGGAAATTTTTATTTTCCTCAAACTTCTTGACATTCTTAGTTGATCCTGTCCAGAGCGAGTCAATGGCTACAACTTCGTGGCCGTCCTCAAGGAGCCGCTCGACCAAATGTGAGCCGATGAATCCAGCTCCCTTTTTCAATCAGTTATCGCTTCACACGGCAGTAGGATTCTCATAGTCTTACTCCAGTGACAATGATGCACATCTTGTACAAGTTCGAGATTCAAATGTCTTTTGTGTCCCGTGATGAGGATTAAGTGAATTCAGAGCAATCTCAAGACCAACGAGGAATGCGAAGCTGATATGTTATTTCACGATGTAGCAGACGAGGCTATACGTAGTGAGCAGCTGGTTCTGAGCTAGGATTCTCGTTCATGGGATATGTCTCTGCTGTTCCTAGTATTTTTCCCAAGAATGATGATTCAGCGACTCTTCGTTGCTGAGAGCCAACTGCATATTAGTCATGCTCTTATGTAATAACACTATCAACTGCCGACCTCAGGTCACATCGCTGGCCCGCTGTTTATTGGATCTGCTTTCTTGGAGAGATATATGGCAGCTGACTTCTGTCAAACCTTCCAAGCTCCATATGTAGATTAAATCAGAGAAATCATCTGTCAAATACATAGATTGATTATTTCTTGTCAGCATAAGTTTGGCAAACTGCGGGCTATGCTTCTCGAATGATCGAGGATCAAATACAAGATACTGGTACTTGATTGTTGGCGTATATTCACAGTCATCAGGAAAATGAAGCAGCTACGTTGGCTTATGTGCCTGATATAGACCATTTTGAAACATGACTGGAACAACGATCACACCAAGATGGGACTTAATGTAAATTCATATTGTAGGCACGATTCAATCATCAAAGGTCTCTAGGAGACCAGCAACAAGTACTTTTTCCCTGATCCGGGGAAATTTGCACGTATTAACTTTGCGATCCTGCGTAAAATTTGCGCTGAAATAACGCAAATATGCGCCGAAAGTCCCCGGTCTACAGTCGGCATCATGATTCTCTGGCTTATCCCACAGCTCCGCCAGTGTAGGGACATCGTTATCCCTCCGTCGATATAGCTTTATCAGGCCAGAATTCGAGAGGACGTACTCGAAGTACTTACACGCCTCCGCATATTGCTCGGTATCCTGATCTTGATTAAAACTTGTGGAGAATAATTCGAATTGTTTCGGACCATTGTCGTTGGTCGCCATGACCGCCGAGGAAAACTCCTTATACTCAATGAGTAGTACTCGGTTCTTGCAATAGCTTGGGCCGCTAAAGCCGTCATATGGATCCTCCAGCAGCCGGACTCTGTCGTAGGCAAGGTAGCCTTGAAAGTAATCGAGCTTCTCTCCAGAAGCCCCACTGAACACATGTGTCAAGTTCCCATCACGCACTTGATGCAGGAAGAGCGGGTGAGCGTGAATGCCCTTGTTGTTGATCCGTCCCTTCCAAGCCTCGAGAAGAACAAGCATCCAACGCTTGATGAACCCATTCCCCTTGCGCCCAGCGATGAAGAAATTCTGTGCGATTCCCGACTTCAATGTTGGGTCGGACGAGCACACAGCCACCTCAAACTTAGATTTTGGGTCCTCCAGTGCATTCCAGCATATCTGATCAAGGTGCATCAACAGAATAATCCCGACGTCCATCCATATCCCACCATGTTTGTAGACCAATGGCAAACGGATGGTGTCTGACGTGTTGGCACCTGCGTATTTCCCTGTCGATCTTCCGTCTCTGAGATGCTTGGGTACATGATCCTCATCCACAAAGTTAAAAAGATTGGCGGGCGAGTTATGGACGAGACTCAGAACACGGACAGTCCATCGAGGCCCTTGCATCCTCACCCACCCGATGACATTGCGTTTCTGCCATGGTGGCATTGTCTCGAATCCATTATCCCAAAACGCCCAAATGTTCTCTTCAGAAGTCACAGGAGGAGGGTTGAGGATGGTCTGTATGATTTCCTCATCAGATCGGTGATCTACGTGCTCAAGTGGCTTGGCTTTTGGCAGCGAAAGATTGGTCGGTAGGAGTGTCACATCTGAGCCGTTCATCGTGTCTGGTGGTTGCCGGCACTGAATTGTGCTTGGGGGCATGGCAGTGCTTGCCATGGCGTCTGGGGATGTTGGGTACGAACGATCTATGGACAACTAGACGCCACCTGAAGATCAACGTTAAAATTCCAAATCACTATCAATCAATCCCTGGCAGCCGTAGCTCTCTCGGAAGTCGCAACATACGGGCTGGCTAGTAATCTCGATAAGATGGACTTTGTGTGTAGATTCCTCTTATTCCGTCTACGTCAACAAAAAGATCACTCAGGTGCCCAGCCATTTGTCAGATATAGTGTGTGATGCACCTGTGACTTGTCACTCACCATCTTCTATTGCATAACGATCACTAAATCTGCTTATTGACGCGATTGGAAGTAATAGCTTTCGAATTGTGTTATGTCATATGCAGGGGGGAGTCACAGTAGTTTCAGGTTAATTGTGACTAATATTTAGTCATACTGCTGCACAGTAGGGGTCTGTATGCATAACATCGCATAATATTGTAGCTTGGCATTAGTGTAGCAGGGTTGACAACGTAATTGGGGTAACGTAACCCATAAGCGAGCAAGTCGTCATATTGGATCTAGGCTGGAGGTCTCAGTAGGTGAAAGAATTATTATGGCAGCTGCCGGAAATAGATACCTCAGCTGAAATTACCTACTCTATTTAGCTATCAAGCTTTGTTATTCGCCGCCATCGAATGTATTTTATATATTTGAGAAAAGTACAATTTATGTAAGCCGTAGACGTCCTGAGAATGGGAGGTTCTAAGCTCTAATCAATAAGAATTAGTACAAGACTCAGTCGACGCAAAATTGATCCTCACTTGCTCATGTAGAATCAAAATACGAGCCTGCCCCGGGAGGATATCATGGCCTGTTAGGACAGTAGTAAACTCTGACCTGGCTATTGCAGCTCCGGGCAGAATCTTGGAGGGCCAAGCATATATCGTAACTCGCCGTGCTTAAAATTTGTGAAGCTCTAGAATCTGCTATATTTGAAAGGATGGGATGCAATATTGCATAACGGCCTGGCCTTCCACAATTGTCCGCTGAGTACTGTTCACCAGTATCAGACATCCCACGATTAAATCAAGTGGGTTCATCTCACTTAAGACTTCTTTTTCTTCACCGAGTGCCACTCCGTAAAGACAGATCCAATAAGGGTCGCCGCCGTCAGTCCCACGGGCAGGTACAAAGTCTGGGTGACCGCCTCATCGTATCCGAGTAGAACATCGCCTAGGCGCTCAGTTCCAACAATGTCGCGAATCTGGGAAAGACCAGCCTTTTCGATCTGTGCAGTGTCCACAGATGGGACACGCAACGCTATCTCGGCTGCCAAGCGGCTCTGAAAAAGAGACGTAGATACGACAATCCAGACTGCGTTGCCGATGAGGCCTCCGAAGCCGGTTGCTGCAATGGCCATGGGCAGATCTTCTCGCTTCATGATAGTTTGCAAGGCCACGAGCGGAGCCTGAAGCCCGAAACCTATTGCTAATCCTAGAAAGCCGAGAAGACATAGTACCTTGACGTTGTTTTCATCCAAGCTCAATGTCGTTAGAAGGCCAGAGGCGATTGGCGCCAAAATTGTAGTCATAAACATGAACGCTACTGTCGATTAGCATCTAGAAAATGGCTTGGAATGCAAACAGAGACATACGGTTATAATACCCTAGTAGGGTGATTCCCGCCCCGCTGCAAAGGTTTCCGACTATAATGCCAACAAGCATTGGTGTGAGAAGGATGCCAGAGTACGTCGGACTGTACCCCTTGACACCTTGAAAGTAGATAGCCATGTAATACTCCGTGACAGCTAGGGAGGAGTTGGCGCAAGCGTCAAACCAAGTTGTAGCCAGGACGGTTTTCATCCGGATGATGCGCGGTGGTAGGGTTGCATCGTCTTGAAGCTGGTGTTGACGCCATGCAAAAGCAGCTAGGAGTGCTCCAAATAAGAGGAAAAGTACGATAATACGGGCATCAGCCCAGCTATATCTGACGCCGCCCCATTGGAGGGCTAAAAGCAAACATGTGACAGCCGGCATGAACGATATGGTGCCAAACCAGTCAAATCGTTTGAGCTCGTCTCTCCATGGGCGTGGGTTATTATTCGAAGTAGTCTTCTGCTTGACGAAGGACACCAGCACAAGTGCGAGGACGCCCAGAGGCAGATTGATGCCGAAACAGGCCCTCCACCCAAGCCAGTCGATTAAGGCGCCGCCAACGATTGGTGCACTGACGATTCCCGTCATCTTTGTTGACACCACCACCGTTGTCCACAGAGGCCGCCTGTGCCTGGGGAAATAGTAGGCCAAAAGCACAGGCGAGCCCGACATGATACCAGCAGCGCCCACACCTGCAACAGCACGACCAAGAATGAACATGGGTGACGTGACAGCAACAGTGCAAAGCAGAGAACCGATTTCGAAGATGCAAATGCTGATGATGTACAGCATTTTCGCGGATAGAAGGCTGTACAGCTTGCCGAAAAGGAACGTGAAGCTGGCGGCCACAATCGAGAAGCCGGACGAGTACCAGCCAATATCCTCGATGACCCTGAAGTAGTCACTCAAACTCGGCACGGCTGTCGCGACAATGGTCAAATCCAGGCCGGTCAAAATTCCAACAACGCAGAGCGATACAACGGCCATCCATAGTTTTATTCCGGAAGGGTAGAGGGTATCATCATCATCACCATCCAACGGAGTGTCTTGGACTTCCAGCTGATCTCGAGGCCGGCCTGCTCTTTCGCGGACCTTAGTCGCCTGTTCTGTTGCAGCGACATTGGGGCTCTGTTCCCCCATGTCGAAAGTTGGCTGCTGGCTGGGTAAGGGAGGTGTTGCAAGTGTAGATGCAAATTAATCGGTTGTAAAGCGATTTGTTGATCAGAGGAAACAGCGGTCAAGATATGCTGTGCTCGTTGTTTGGGTTGAAATCCCACGAGTGAAATTGTTAGACGTAATACCAAGCACGCAGCGAATAAGCTCGCTTATGCATCCCTATTCATAATCCCGGCCGACATTAACCCGATAATTTTCTGGCTTATCCGGCAACAAGGGTAAGTAGCCGATATACTAATTGATGTGGTCATATATTGTGGCCCTTGATTTCATTCTTCTTTACGTTTTTCATCGTATACTCTTGAGCAGAGTTGCGCGAACGAAACAGTGGGTGGGAAGTATCATACCTTGGCTGCCATATTTCTACTCTCGTAATACTGTACGATAAGCATCGGGATCCGTAGCTGTCAACGAGCACCTGACCACGGGTCATCCTTTCAGTGGCCAAGCTTGATGCAGACCTTCTAGGGCGTGGTTGTGATTGCTTACGATGACAGCTGGAGACCCCAAGCGTTTCCGACCCTGCCTAGATATACCCCACGCGGGGCTCGTCCAACCTACGGGTATAGCCCGTAGCCAATCGATGGCCACATCAGAGAATTGTCCGACAAGGCGACAACTTCATGATGCCAGCGGAACAAGAAGTCTGTCGCTGCCCACAGCGATGCCCTTGATCGTTCAATTTAATACATACTACCTTAGGCTGGAATTCGACCAACAATCTTCCTGCGTCTGTCATGACCTTGCTCAAGAGGCAGTGAGGGGTCTGCGACAGCAGACTGGCTTGGGACCACCACGCTCGTTCTAATGAACACAAATGATCAAATGATCAGGTCTGTCGGTAAACCTCGAGGCGTCGGACGTCCCATTGCTGTCTTGATATTCCTAGAAAAGTCCACTGAAGAATCCAGGTCGCTTCACTAGGATTCGTTTGCACTCTCTGTAACAAGAACCCTCCAATTTTGACATTAGCTGAGAGTGTGACAAACGATGTATCCGCATTGCCTTGGGCAAACCAGACGTCGTTTGAGTCGGCTTCTTCGCGGCTCGGCCGATAATCGTCGCCCCCTGCGCGCTAGACATGGACACTACTGGCTGAGCCTTCATCAAAGCTGGAGCTGAGCTTGCTTGAGCGAAGCCGTGTCAGGGTCTCTCAAAGCATCGTGACTGGTTGGTGCCCGTGCGTTTGTCCAAGGGATGGAAATCAGGAGACGGCGCCTGGCCCGTGCACGGCTGCCTTGAAGCCCAGCTCCTGGCGCCGTTGTTGCCTCTGTAACGCGGGCTTTATTTAAATTCGAAGTCAATAAAGGATTGCAGTTCGTTTCTCGTCCTCCAACCCTCCTCGCAATCCTTTTGACTCACTTCCACTCTCGGGAAGAGTTCAATTGACTGCCAGACCACCTACTCCTGCCCATCAGAGCTTCTTTAAAAGGTTACAGGGGTCGCCCCAAAGCTCCTGGCCCACCCGACCATTCTCAACACGTCATTGGACAATGCCTCCCAGAAAGAAACAAGACAACGCAGCTCCTGCTCCTGCTTCGACGAGGGCTACGCGCTCCCGCAAGCAGGCTGCTGCTGCGGCTGCTGATCCTGTGGATGATGAGTCTCACTCCCAAGGACAGGATAGTGGCGCACCTGCTCCTACCTCTGCCCCTGCCGCCAAACCCACACGCTCCCGCAAACAAGCTGCCGCTCCCGCCAAGGGTCAGACAGATTCCCAGCCCATGGATGACAAGCCATCCAAGCCAGCCGCCCGTGGCAAGAAGAGCGCCTCAGCTGCCGCTCCAGCAAGCGACGCAGCCGATGTGCAGGCCTCAGATGATAAGCCGGCCAAGTCGGCGGCTCGTGGGAAGAAGAGAGCTGCCCCTGCTGCTCAGGCCAACAGCACTCCTCCCCCTGAGACCAAGAAACCCAAGACGGAGCCACAGCCAGAGGCCCAGTCGCCAGAGCTTGAGGACGCTCAGATTGCCAAGCCAGGAGTCAAGGTACCCCTGGACGAAGAGATCTCGGGCGAGTTGATTGGTTTCGAGGTCTACATTGATGATAATGGTATCATCTACGACGCCTCACTGAACCAGACCAATGCTGGCGCCAACAACAACAAGTTCTACCGCGTCCAGCTTGTCCGCAATACTCTCGGCGTTTACCGAACATGGACGCGCTGGGGTCGTGTTGGAGACCGAGGCCAGAGTGCCATCTTGGGCGATGGCACCCTGGCCGACGCCCTTTCAAACTTCAACAAGAAGTTCAAGGATAAGTCCGGCTTGAATTGGACTGATCGTACTGCCCCGCCCAAACCAAAGAAGTACACTTTTGTCGAGCGTAGCTATGCGCCCGATTCGGACGACGAGGAGGAAGCCTCGGACAAGATCAAGGCGGAAGATGACGCCGAAGCCCCCGAGTCGAAGCTGGCACCTGCTGTTCAAGATCTCATGGAGCTAATCTTTAACCAACAATACTTCAACGACGTCATGTCTGCACTAAACTACGATGTCAAGAAACTGCCCTTGGGGAAGCTGAGCAAGACGACCATCACTCGTGGTTTCCAAGCGCTGAAGGACCTATCAGCTCTCTTCAATGATCAATCCCTAGCCCAAAGCTTGTATGACACTTCCTACGCAGAAGCCGTTGAGAACTTGTCCAACTCCTATTTCTCCTTCATTCCTCATGTGTTCGGTCGATCGAAACCCCCTGTCATCAACAACCAAGATCTGCTCAAGCGAGAAATAGATCTTCTCGACAGTCTTGGCGATATGAAGGAGGCGGCCGCAATCTTGAAGAATGAGCAGAAGGATACTGAGAGGCTGAACGTTCTTGATCGACAGTTTCAAGGCCTAGGCATGGAGGAAATGACTCCACTCAAGGCTAACAGTACCGAATTTACACAGCTCAAGAACTATCTCATGGACACGAGGGGCTCCACTCATAACGCCAACTACCAGATCGACCAGATCTTCAGAATCGAGCGCCGTGGTGAGAAGGGCCGCTTTGATAGCAGTCCGTTCGCGGGACCTCCTCGTGACAGGCGACTTCTGTGGCATGGGTCACGATGCACCAACTTCGGTGGTATTCTGAGTCAAGGTTTGCGCATTGCGCCTCCTGAGGCACCGGTGTCTGGTTATATGTTCGGCAAGGGCATCTATCTTGCAGATATGAGCTCAAAGTCGGCCAATTACTGTTGCGCTTACAACACCAACGGCCATGCTCTTCTGCTTCTCTGCGAAGCCGAGCTCGGAGATCCTATGCAACACTTGACGAATGCTTCCTACAACGCTGGGGAGGATGCTAAGGCGAAGGGGATGTTCTCGACCTGGGGTCAGGGCTCCACAGGCCCAAGCCAATGGAAGGATGCAGGCTGTGTGCATCCGTCGTTGCAAGGCGTGAAGATGCCTGATACGACGGTTAAGCCGGGTGCGACTGGCGTACCCAACGCCGGCCTATACTACAACGAGTACATCGCTTACGATGTATCTCAAGTCCGACTTCGATATCTTCTTCGTGTCCGAATGTAGGACCTTTGACCAGAGTTTGAAGCGAGGACCCTAGAGCTCGAGTGGTCGTGTGAAATGGGGATCGTGTCTACTCCTCCAGCCAAAGCCAATTGCCCCTAAGACATTGCGACCAATGTGTCCCAAGAACTTGGTTCATTGAGAGGCAACGGGTCTAGACGGAGTTTCGTGGTCTGGACAGATCGTTACTTGCAGGTGTATTATTTTGATGGCGCAAGTTGGCGCATATGTGTTCACTAATCTTACTTGAGCATTTTCATGGGCTGGGGCGGACCAGATGGAACGCCGTGCTTAGAAGGCTTGTGAACTACGAACCACGTTCGCAGATACTGGACAAGTCAAGGCTGGAGCTCAATTGATATTCTAGAGTTGCCCTATTTCGCGCTTTATCTAGCTATAGAGAAGGACCAATATCCATACCGAAAAGTACAGTGCAAGGTTCCGCCTGTCTCAACACCTGTGAAGCTAAGAAGCACATGCCGGTGGTGGGCGACAGCTCTACCGGCACCGCCCGATAAGAGATCGAGGACATTGGCTTTGAAGCACTCTTAGCTGCGCCACCATGTCGGTTCAAGACATCTACGTTGAGCAATTCCGTGGCACGTGCCGTGGTTGAAAAGCCACCCCTCTCCGTAGAGCGCTGTATACTACGAACTCGATCAGATTCTTCTACAGAACAGCCGGTGGGCAGTGCTGTAGGTTCAACCAGTGACTTTTCCTTGCGGGCAAGAAAGAAGAAAGAAAAACTTCACTCGATACAGCAGATCTCGCAGATTGAGTTCAACATGTGCAAGCTGTATGAGTATTCACATACTTTCGTTGCACAGCTGCAGCAGATATAGAGACCAAGGGCTTCGTTCAACTGAGTGACAGGGGCCTGAGTTGATTGCTCGATATGATCGAGTAATTATCTTTTGGTGGCCGTGCACTATCAGCCTAGCAGCCGTTCGTGGGACGATAAGCGGGGGATCCGCACCCCGGGGCAGGTAATCCTTACCCTCCAGCGCGGAAATGGCTGGTCGAACCCAGTCTCCCCATGGTAAAGAGTGAACTAGCCTGCCCGGTTGTCGGCTAGAGTACACCGCGCGACCAATCGCATGGCGGCAAGCATTGTCTATCTGGGTTTATCTGGGTGACGGAGAAGCCGACCTGGAGGTGAATGTATCTGCCAAGCTCCAGTTTGCTGATGCCATGATGTGAGGTAAAGTGTGGGGGCAGATATCAGAAATCTACACACAATATGTGAAAAGGCAGTATGCATACGCTCTCGCTGGCCCAGAGCCGTGAAGCGCAGCCGAGATCTGAGGGCTTTATCCACCTGGGCCCGAGATACTTAACATCTGCATTCCCAGATCGTTTCCTCTTCCTGCCGTCTGCATCAGATCTGAGGGTGTTGTTATCATCGCTAGGGTCCCAATTGACTTCTGTCTGTCTGCAACCCTGTCCTGCACCCTTGAACTCTCGGGTAACCCCCTCACGTGGGCACAGCGTCATACCTATCCCAGGATAGGAACTGTGACCTCGGGGTAGTAAGGAGAGAGCTGCAGGGACGTTTCCCCCGGGTTAAAAAGGACGTGCATTTCCTATAGCGTTTCCATTACTCGAGAATTACTCGACCAGAACCACCCTGCTACAGCTGCACACTGTTCAGCCCTCTCTCTACTATACTTGGCAGGAGGCCCACCGTTCGCCGGCATGGATAAGCTTCACAATTCCAAGGTCGGCCATTGGGCCGATCGCCTGGCCGTCGACAACGAGGACGGGCTGACGACGGCCCAGCTGATGGTGAGTTTCTCTCTTGCTACCGCTCAGCCGGGACCTTTGCGCTCGCGTCCCCCTGCTACTGCAATAGCCCACGGGGGGTATGGATTCTCGGCCAGAAAGACTAATGTGGAACCTTGTTGCTGTAGTTGACAAACAATGACTTGAAACCCGTGGAGCCGGAGCGCCGGCAATGGGGCGCCTGGAATTTTGTCGGGTTCTGGATCGCTGACTCGTTCAACATCAACACGTGGATGATCTCGTCGTCCATGATCGTGGCGGGCTTGTCGTGGTGGCAGTCATGGCTCTGCGTCTGGATCGGCTACGCCATTGCGGCCGTCTTCATCTGCTCGACGGGTCGCATCGGTGCCATGTGTAAGTACTCTGAACATCCCGTGTTGTCCGGGCTGCTGGCCAGAAGACGAGAAGAGGGAAAGCTGACCCGTTTTCCTTGAAGACCATATCGGATTCCCAGTGGTCGGCAGAGCCTCATTCGGAATCTGGGGTAGCTTGTGGCCTGTGTTCAACCGCGCGGCCATGGCTTGTATCTGGTATGGCGTGCAGTCCTGGATCGGTGGCGAGTGCGTGTATTTGATGATCCGCTCGATATGGCTCAGCTGGGTTCGTGTCTCCTGAGCATCATGGTTCCAAAAGACCTATACACTGACCGTCTCTCAGGATCGTCATACGATACCAAATACCTTCGCTCCGGATTCGGGGGCTACGACGGCTGATTATGCTTCCTTCTTCATCTTCTGGTTTTGCTCATTGCCAGCGATCTGGTTCCCAGTCCACAAGATCCGACATCTCTTCACGGTCAAGGCGTACTTTGTTCCTTGCGCCGGCATCGCTTTCTTTATTTGGGCGATAGTCCGGGCTGGAGGCGTCGGACCGATTGTCAGGCAGCCCGCAAGCATCGGTGGATCAGAGCTCGCATGGCAGATGGTGAAAGGTAAGTTCAAATACCATATTTGCTGTCTTCTGGATCGCCGACTAGTAGCTTACACCATTCTTCAGGCATCATGAACTCGATCGCCAACTTTGCGACATTGATTGTCAATGACCCTGATTTCACTCGTTTCGCTGGGAAGCCAAGAGATGCACTGTGGTCACAGTTGTTCACCATCCCCATCGGCTTTGCCGTGACCAGTTTCATTGGAATCATCGTGTCCTCGTCATCTGTGGTTATTTACCCCGGCACGGACCCGATCTGGGACCCCTTGGATCTTCTGGAGAAGTTCATTGACGACGGTGGCTCCGCCCAGCGCTTTGGCGTCTTCGTTATTGCTGCAGCCTTTGCCCTTGCTCAGCTGGGGACTAACATTGCTGCGAACTCTGTATCTGCCGGTACCGACATGACGGCCTTGCTCCCTCGGTTTATCAACATCCGTCGCGGTGGATACATCTGCGCCCTTGTTGGTCTAGCGATGTGCCCGTACACCTTGCTTACCTCCAGCAACCAGTTCACAACCTACCTGAGTTCTTACTCTGTCTTCCTCAGCTCCATTGCGGGGGTGATGATTTCAGATTACTACGTCGTTCGCAAGGGATACTTGGAAATCAAGGAACTCTACGACGCGCGCAAGTCTGGCCCCTACTTCTACACCTTCGGCATCCACTGGCGGGCCTACGCGGCCTACATCAGCGGCATCCTGATCAACGTTGTTGGCTTCGCGGGCGCCATTGGGCGGGATGTGCCCATCGGGGCGACATACATCTACAACGTCAACTTCTTTGCCGGGTTCATCGTCTCGTCGGGGATGTACTGGGGGCTCTGCAAGCTCTTCCCTATCCCGGCCACGAGCGACCGGTGGATGGAGGTGGGAGACGCCATTACCGATGTCAGGCTCGCTTATGACGGTAGCAGTCATCAGGACTTTGATGAAGAGGCGGTCATGGGGTCAAAATACGGCGAGAACCCGAAAACTGTTTAAGCTGAATGCAAAGCCATTCCACCTGGGGAAGGGTAGTATATGATGTAGCCACGTATGATTTTTGTCTAGCCCTGAAAAGGGTTGCTTGGGAATGATGATACCAGATGTTGGAACTTGAAGCTAGCCGTGATTGTGAGACTCTATGGGAAACGGTGAGTCATATATCTTATGAAACGCAATTGCTTCGATACCAGAGTATCTTCTACGTTCTCGGCCGAGTTCTTCCTTGCCACCCAATGATCATAGCGATATGCTCCTCAATACCACCTGTGCATGACGGACAATTCATTGGTCGTTAGTGCCTCTTTGTCGTGGGTTGGGGCAGTTGCAGCCTGGCGCACGGGCCAACGAGTAGGCTGCAACTGCTCTAGTGGGTTGTGGACCCCTGAACGCTCCCCGACAACGTACAGCCGCATGGCATTGAACAAACAAATAAAGGAGCCTCGGAAGACTACAGCTGATTCCATTGAACGCTACTTTTGTCTTCTCGTCACCAACGAACGCTGATTGGACCCAATCTCTTTGTCCAGCTGCTTCCGAGAGCAATTATCGCAATCAAGGTGGCAGTCGGCGAATTGAGCTGCTCAAGGTGCGTATCGTCAGTATCCGTGGTTCCTCCGTGTGACCCCGAGACTCTCTATCAAAGGTGAATGTCGGCTAACTCCTTCCTCCAGAAAGCATTGTCCATTCGCCCTTGGCCGATCTACTTGAACTCGAGAATGGCATCTCTTACAGACAACACTGGGAGTCGTCTTTTGACGCTCCCTGTGGAGCTCCTCCAGCAGGTAGCCCGTCGGCTCACAACTCCCGAATATGGAAACCTTCGCCTCACCTGCAAACACGTCGAAGCCTCGCTCTTCCACGCCTTCGCCAGGGAATTCTTTATGAAAAGACAGTTCATGCTCACTCATTTCAGCCTCAATGCATTAGTAGACATCTCCACATCCAGGCTCGCCCATTGCCTCAAGCATGTCATATTTAGTATTGAGAGGCCGGTTACAAACATTGGCCGGAACTTCTATGCTCCTATCAACATCAATCAACCCTGGTCGTCACGAGACCCGGACGCGGGAAATCGAACTCTGGAGGAGTTCATAAGCCATCAATGTCTCATCGAGGGCGGCGACGACATCGTCCTGATGGCGAACGCCTTCGGGAGCCTGAAAAATCTAGAGACTGTTGAAATCCGTGATTTCAACTCAAGATCTCGGTACCGCGACCATCCCCATAGCGAATGGAGAAGTTATGGCGCACCTACCTACGTACTGGAAACGCGCGAAGCACTAGTCTCCCGCGATGAACAAGGCCTCTACACAAGCCGACTGTTCAGAAGCTTGCTGCGAGCCCTAGGCCAGACATCTACTCGGCCTAAGCGGTTTGAAGTAAACCTCAGATTTGGCGGCTTCTCTGACCACGCTTTCAATATCCCGAAACTCCATGATACTACCGTCAACTCAGTACTGTTGGGTCTTGAAGATTTGTACCTGGACTTGCACTCCAATCCCAATTTCCCACATACATCCGTCACTCCAAAGAGCGATGGAGGCGGAATGGAGTGCCCCAGCTACCGGCTGCAACAATTCCTTCATAGAGTCCAGCACATCAAGCACCTTCGCCTGAATTTTCAGAACTGTCTCGCTGAATACACTCGGGATTTCCTTGAGTGGATTTCTCTATCAACTGCTGCCCCGCAGATGCCGTCTTTGCTTCCTGACAGGCCTCGACCTGTCAATCTGAGCCAGTTAGAAGAATTGGACATTGGTAAGGTGACTGTGGAACCTAAGATCCTGCTCGCCCTGCTTCACAAGCACAAGGCGACCCTGCGCAGCATCACTTTCCATCGGGTCGCCTTATCGGATTCGACCCGGGGTCTTGGAAGAGTCAACCTATGGGCTGCTTTCTACAAACAGCTCGCCAATCTCGATATGAACCTGAACCATATTGCCATGACCTCCTTGTCCCAGATGGATGGCCCCCATGAGACCGAGCGAAGGGTTTCCTTCACAGATTCCTCAAGTGCCATGCGACTGTGGAATGGACAGGATTTGAGGGGTGCGCTCAAAGATTTTGCGGACAACGTTGTGGTGCAGTGGCCACAGCACAACTCCAGTGGCAATGAGGATAGTAACTCTGAGGAGGATGAAGACGACAATGAAGACGACAATGACGACGACATGGAGGATGATGAAGACTGACGCGTTTGACGTTGTACTAGATACACTTGTATCAGCAGTAAGATTGCCCAATTAAGCGGACCGCTAGGGAGTGAATGAGCGTTGCGGTTACAATGTTCACGGTCATATATCAGAGTCTGCAATGGTATCAAAGGTCCATGCTTGTGCGCGTTTATATTATATATCACGTTGCTGAGTCACCTGGTATGTCTTGACTACATCTCCAATTGTATAGCTTTATTTCATGTTGACATTCTTGTCTAAAAAGTCGAGGATAGTCTTGTATGTGGTCGGCCAAGTGTATTCCTGAAAATATTTAGCTACAGTCATCGTGATATGATAGGGGCTGTGCTTACCAAGTTCAGCCCGTGACCGGATTCAGGAACGTCAAAGGCCTCGAAACAACTGGCTTTCGGGAAAAACTGCTTCGCCATAGCAGGAATCGACGGTTCACTAACGGTGCAATTTCCACCACAGAACGGAATGTCACGGTCTTTCGTCACGTCAGTACCACACAATATCGAGACAGCCGAAGAAGGAACGCGTCTTACCTCCGGTCACAACAATCACAGGTCCCTGGAAAGGATTGAGTACACTAGCAGGACCCGTAATGGTCAGCAATTCACCAACGGTGACAGGCTGGCCAGTTTTGTAGGCAGCCTCAAGGATCGCCGGGTCGAAGTCGCCGGGTGCCAAGAAGTTGGTCTGGACAGCACTCTCATCTCCAGCAGCGAGGTAGCCGTTTGGATAGTCTGACAGGGCAGCAACCTTGTTGGCTTGGATGAAGTTGCCGCCGAGCGCGAACAGAGGCACGAAGGTCGAGTTCTGGCTAAAGCCAGTGAGCACGATGCCGTCCGATATGGCAGGGTCCTGGGCCACGAGGCCGTATGACTGGATCGAGCCAAAGCTGTGGCCGACGTGCACGATCTTGGAGAACTTGGTACTGATATCCGGGACGCTGGTCTCCCGGAGCATGGTCGTCAAGGTCTTCAGCGCCGAGACCTCCAGCCACGACTGGATCTCATTGACAGGATCGCCATGGGACGACTCGCCAATGCCAAGACGGTCGTAGGCGAACGTCGAATACCCGCGGTCCAATGCCTGGTTCACATAGCTGTAGTTGTAGTTGTTGGCTGGAAAGTCCCAGTACGACCTGTCGAATCCGATGCCGTGGGTCAACACTTGGAGCGTGTTTCCGGGTCCGGCATCCGGCTCGCAGTAGGTTGCTGCAATCTTATAATTGCCCGAAATAGTGGCATAGCCGTGTAGCAGCTCTGCGGTAAGGTTGTGGCCTGGCTGCACCAGGTTCAGGATGAAGTCTGTCACGTCGATGTTGGTCTCCGGTGCCGCATAATCGAAGACGCCGTTTCGTGCCGAGGTGTTGATTGGGATTGTGAGATTCTGGCACTGGCGTGCCGCGGCTGTTGCCACAAAGCCAGCTAACAATGCTGTTGCAGTTATACGAGCCATTCCTGGTTGTGTCTGTCTTGACTATAATGTTGGAAGGTTGCACTGATGCAACCTAGCTATCCCGCGAACACAACCTGCTACTTATACACATATCTAAGCGGAACCCAATTCCAAATCATGTTGAATATACCAGGTAAGCAACTGACTTTCCGCCGGTGCATCCGACACAGGGGGAGTGAAAATGCGATCAACATGCTTCGAGAGTACTGCCCCAGTCTATGATGGCATTCTGAGCCCGGTTTGCGGGGACCCCAACGGGGCTTACTTGGGGCCGTACATGGCAGATCAGATAGCCTTTCAAAACTGGGTATTCCAAATTCCCATTGCCAATAGCGCGGCGTTACTTTAGGGTTGGGAAGGGAAACTTAGCTATGCTGACAGAAACTGCCAGCCAACGCCAATAAGCAACATGCAGGAACGGGCGTGGATCTGTGCCGGCGTGCTTCTATTACGTAGTGGCCGCAATGACAGATGATGCTGTGCCGTGCAGGTGCGGAGCTATAGCGCTTATCTCACTTAAAGTTGGTGGATATATATTGCATACCTCCATTTTGGCCTCCAAGCTGGCAATGGAGTGTGCGGCTCTTTATCTTTCGATCATCAAGCCACATCTGGCAGCTTGGCCACGAGCGCTGGCCCGAACTGGGTCAACGCCACTCCGGATGCGACGGTGTTTTGTCGCCGATCTTACCTCATATCCCATCCCGGTCGCGAGTCCATGATCAACTCGTTTCGTCATTCCGCACGACACGAAAGCAATGGAAAGTGGCCCAAGCCTACCTGGCTTGCTACTGTGCAATTGTCAGTACCGCGGCAGATCGGACGGTCTACCATGTTGCGAGCCCGCCGATTTACTACGGCTTCCCGGCCCGTTCCTTGTCGCGGGCATACCGAACCGTGGGATTCGATTGAACACAACTGCCCGTTATTGGATATTTGCAGGGAGAGGAGCATAACCGAGGTTCCACGGGATACGACTCCAAGATGCAACCGACACCTGAACTGATTCGCCGCTGGAAAAGGCTCTCAGAACCCAAGCGACCGGATCAGAAGCTGCCCTAGGGGGGTTGCGGACCGGAATTGCCCATGTGCAAAGGGTCGCAGCTCTCTTCGGTGTTCACCTGTAATATTCATAAAAAGTACGAGCGGGTGTAACCCCATAGGCCCGAGTAGTCGTGACCCAGCACCATGGTCGCCGACGATCTTAGTTTTCCACGTATGCAAGACGCACGGCATTGTGCCCACCCTTGGCCCATCCCGCGTGCGGGCATCCGCCCCAACCCTTGCAATCGGCAAATTGACAGTTCATGATGCATCCCAGGGGCGTTGGGACGACCCCTTGATTGGCCGGATTTGCCCACCTTGCGAATGGGTGCAGGATCCCTTAAACCCGAAACGGTGCTGCTCGCGCACCCGGTTCTGTCGCAAACAGGCCTGGCAGGCAAATTCTCCAGTTCCTTCTGCGATCAGCTAGCCAGGCCAACTATTGAACGAGCTGCAGAAACCGAGGGAGCGGCCAAGTCTGCGTGCCACGTGCGTGGTTTTCTTTTTGGAAAGGCGTTTGGTCCGGCTGGGGACAAGGCCCGAGTGTCACCCCGGCTTTATTAGTGAGGTGATGCTCATGTCAATTCTGGGACCATTCCCCCATGAATTGATGGTACGACTTGTGGCCCCTTCAGCTTAAGCTGCGCTGTCTCCCATGAGACGACTGCTTATGTAGTCGCCGTCCTTTATACCACGCCACGACTATGTCTGTGTTTTCGCAAGCAAACGCATCAGACCCGGTGGCGCTTGTCAGCTTTGGCCCCGGTATCTCCGAGCTGAGCCAACCGAAGTCATTCGCAAATTTTGGGCCGGTGGCACTCTTGACACTGGTAATTGGAATCGTCAGTGTGGCCTTATGGCGCAGGTTCCTGTCGCCCATCAGCAACATCCCTGGCCCTGCTTTAGCCTCCGTGACCAGATTCTGGCATATCCGGCGCATCCTCGACGGTGACCAGAATTCGAGGCTCATTGCTTTGCATGATAAGCACGGTGAGTGCTGGTGAATTGACGAATGGACAGGGATGTGTGAAGCCCAGGAACCCGAGCTGACCACCCACACAGGCCACTTTGTCCGGATCGCTCCCAATGAAGTGAGCGTCAGTCACCCGGAGGCCGTCAAGAAGATTTTGCTCGCGCCTTTGGCAAAAGGTGACTGGTATGCGACTCCTAGAGTTCCACCTCTCCCCTCGAGGGGTATGCGTCTTTAACAAGCAATGCTGACCTCTGATTGTCGTCAAGGTACCGCATACTAGCCATCCCGGACTACAGATTCCAGACACCTGTCTCTACGACAGATCCCAAAGAGAAGCTTGCGCGCTCGAAGAATTTTGCTGCTGGCTGGACCCTCAGTAACATTCTGCAGAATGAAGCAGCATTCGACGATGTCATAGGTTCGTTACTAGGTTGGTTAGATGGCTTCTCGGAGGTACAGAAGCCTATAGATCTGGGCCGCTGGATCACTTTTACCACCTTCGACACCATTGGCCAAGCTATCTTCTCGAAGCAGTTTGGTTTCCTCAAGGAAGGCAGTGATATCGGTAATAGCATCGCCAATGGAGCGGCGCTCAACGCGTATGCCACTATATTGGGCTTCTTCCGCTGGGTCCACGTACTCTTCCTCGGCAATCCTCTGATGACGTCCCTGCAAATTCTCCCAATGGGCCATCTATTCAATACGAGCGTCCAAACGGTCAGCGAGCGATTGGAGAATAACGACTCGAGCTTCGACGTCCTAGCACATTGGCTCAGGTGTGTAGCGGCGACCTCTTCCATGTCGATGGCATCGTCTTAAGTAAACCACTAACCACTCTACGAACTCCAGAGCGCTCGAGAAGAACCCGGAGAGTATGAGCATGCGTGACATCTACGGAGAAGCTACAGGTGCTATTGGCGCCGGCAGTGATACGGTTACGTGTGCGACTCAAAGCTTCCTCTACCACATGCTACGGCATCCTAATGCCTGGGAGCGAGTTCGTAACGAAATCGACGAGGCTCGGAGGAACGGTCTATGCCAGGACCGTGTCGTATCTTTCGCCGATGCACAGGGGTTGCCCTTCCTACAGGCATGTATCAAGGAAGCCCTGCGCGTTTTTGCGCCTGTTCCCATGACCTTGCCGCGACGAGCCCCGAAAGAAGGCTTGACCATCGGCGGCAAGTACTTCCCAGCAGGTACGACTCTCTCGATCAACCCCTGGGTTATCCATTACTCGACGGAGCTCTGGGGACCAGATGCTCGGGAATTCAACCCCGATCGGTGGTTTCGAGACGACATACTGGAGAAGGAGAAATATTTCATTCCCGTGAGTGACCCTTTTCAGGCTCGCCTATTGACAAATGCATTGTTGACAAACAGCTACAGTTCGGGGCGGGCTACTGCTCATGTCCTGGTCAGAACTTTGGGAAGATTGAGATATCGAAGCTCACGTCGACCTTGGTCCGCGACTATAACATCAGGCAGGTAGATCCGGATCAGCAGTGGACTTGGAAGGCATATTTCATCCTGGTCCCTCGTTGGACTCCATGCATCGTGGAGAAGCGCAGCCCTTTATGATGTGTTGCTGCGCAAGGTGCGCTTATGATCCCGATCTTCCCTATACTCCGAGGCACACTGGTAATGAAACGAGTTGCAACGTCTGGAACTTTGCGCGCGAAGGCCCATTAGCGATTCTGTAGTTGTGTGTGCCACTGCATCAACCCGTTTGACTGGGTACTCGCTCTGGTCAGGATCGTGATCTTGGCGATCAAAGATGAAGTCTCTTCGTAGTAATGGTCCTCTAATACCCTTGATATATACTAATTTAACGGAGATCATTCTGGGGCGGGGGCTCTCACTTATCGCTGCAGGAGATTACAATTGTGAAAGGATTGGTGTATGAAATGAACAGCGGTTGAGGATGTGATGGAAATCTGGCAGACGTGCCCGTTTGGCGACAAATCCGTCGCATACATGCTCCACAAGCAAAGCCGCCGCAAGCCTTGTTGCACCTGCACCCCGGGATGGCCGTCAGCAGCCACTTCAGTGATGATTATGACAGATCTCCCATTGAGTCTGAGACGGAATGACAGAAGGTTGTGTCAGAGTCGAAGACCCCATTCACTTGCGACATTGACATGACCTAATGCACCAGACTGGCAACGTAAGACTTCGCATACAGCTCTCCTTACGCAGTGATGTTTCCCCGTGCAAGCAAGTGCACGCGCGCATGAGAAGGCGGTCTGATGCCTCAGTTGCTTCCGTTCAATCTCCAATTGGCAGGTCAAGTATGGTCTTGCAGCATTAGCTGCTTTGAATGAAACATTTGCTATGCCGAGTATACGCTGGCCGCGGTCGATTGTTGACTCGAGATTCGGAAAGCGGCGGCAGAAATGTCGCCATCCGCGTCTACCAGGCTCTGTTGAGCTAATTATAGCGCCCCGTGAGATGGCATTGTAACTTTCCGACCGCAACTGTGAGTCAAGACCTGGCAAACTCCTGCCGCGTGCTCTGTAGTCCCTACCGATTACAAATTGCGTGATCAGTCCATCCAACTCAAACCGACCGAAGGAACAGTGGTTTCTGGAATGATGATGCTTACAAAGCTGCGCCTTTCGGGGCAGTTCCATCCAGTCACGACTACCGGGCTGGAAGCCAAACTTTACTTGTGACATGTTCGAACCTCGCTATAAAACCTGTGTCCCGCCGTTGAAAAAGAAACCAGCTTGATCCGGTCCCTCACATGCTCCGTCAGACCTGAATGCTACATACTTGTTTGGGCGACAAGACCGATTTCGATTGGCGGCATAACCCGGACCACAGACTGACAAAACGCACGACAGAACAGTAGCTACCTTCGAGTTTGACGTCTCGCCGAGTACTCCGTAACACTTAGGTAATTAGAGCTCTCGAGCACGACGCCGCTGGGAACATTTTTTTCCTTCTGTTTCTCACTATATAAAGGCGAGGAGCCAGCCCCGAGGTCATCTGACCTTCCCTCGCTGCATCCCGCCTTACGATCCTCGACATATCGTGACCATGACCGTCCCAATCGACCACCCCATCTCTACCCCGCCGAGGGCACCCTCGCCAGTGGCTGGCTTCGGCACGCTCGCCGTCCACGCAGGTGCCCCGCATGACCCGACGACGGGCGCCGTCATCGAGCCCATCTCGCTGTCGACCACATTCGTCCAGACCGACGTTGGCAAGCCCCTGGGCATCTACGAGTACTCGCGCAGCTCCAACCCTAACCGCGACAACTTCGAGCAGGCCATCGCCGCCCTCGAGCATGCCAAGCACGCCCTCGCCTTCGCCAGCGGCAGCGCCGCGACCGCCACCATCCTGCAGAGTCTGGCCGGCGGCTCGCATGTCATCAGCGTGAGCGATGTCTACGGCGGCACCCACAGATACTTCACCCAGGTGGCCAAGGCGCATGGCGTCAAGGTTACTTTCACCCCACAGATCGAGGTCGACATCGCAGAGCACATTACCGACGACACGAGGTTGGTGTGGATCGAGACGCCGAGCAACCCTACCCTTAGACTGGTCGATATCCGAGCCGTGGCCACGGCGGCGCACGCACGCGGCGTCTTGGTGGTGGTCGACAACACATTCCTCAGCCCGTACGTGCAAAATCCGCTAGACCACGGCGCCGACATTGTCGTGCACAGTGTCACCAAGTACATCAACGGTCACAGCGACGTGGTCATGGGCGTGGCCGCCTGCAACTCGGACGAGCTCCGGCAACGGCTCGCCTTCTTGCAGAACGCCGGTGGTGCAGTGCCGTCTGCCTTCGACTCGTGGCTGGCACACAGAGGAGTCAAGACGCTACACCTGCGCGTGCGGCAGTCCAGCACAAACGCCCTGGCCGTTGCGCGGGCGCTGGAGGCTAGCCCGCACGTCATCGCCGTCAACTACCCGGGGCTGGACTCGCACCCACACCGCGCCATCGCGCTGAAGCAGCACCGTGACGGCCTCGGCGGCGGCATGCTCTCGTTCCGGATCAAGGGCGGCCGGGAGGCGGCCGAGCGCTTCTGCAAGTTCACCAAGATCTACACGCTGGCCGAGAGTCTGGGCGGCATCGAGAGCTTGTGCGAGCTGCCGAGCGCCATGACGCACGCCGGCATCCCCCGCGACCAGCGCGAGGCCGTCGGCGTCTTCGACGACCTGGTGCGCCTGAGCAGCGGCATCGAGGAGCCCGAGGATCTGGTGCGCGACATCCAGCAGGCCCTGGTCAGGGCGGTGCTGGGGGACAAGGTCCCGAACGGTGTTAACGGACATGCTGAAAAGTAGAGCGTTTTCTTGATATGTGCAAAAAAAGATTATAGACGAATGATGACCAAGGGCAACGATCGACCGATTGGCATCGCCATTTTGATAGTTGCAATGCATAGGCTGCATGACTGCTTCACTCTGTTTTTGCTGGCACAGTTTGATCTCTTAACTCGTGACGTAACCCCTCTGGTGTCCAGGGCAGTAAAAGGGACGACCCAATGTGCACATGGACTCGCCCTCGGCCTATAGATCTGCATCGACAGTACTATGCAGACAGGCACTCGTGGATGTGGACCCTGGTCTGTATACTTTGTAGTCTGCTTTCTTGATTGCTATTGGTCAGTGTTGCAATTGTATAGAAATGTACGCCACGGCCTAAGTAGTACAAGGACTATTAACTTGAACAGGGGGAGTGGAAGAGGGCTGAAAGAGTATATAAGCTATTGACTGTTTCCAGAATAGTCCAGTCATTTCAACACATTCTGAACCGTGAATCTCCAACAATATTTCCAGATATGCACACTTGCCGCAAGCCACTATTGAAGACAGAAACAGACACTGCCTTATAGCACTCTTAAATTGATTCGCCTAGGTCTATCAACAGTATCACTAGAAGGGAAGCGTGGTGGCTTGCTTGTGGGAGTCATTGAAAGTGGAAACCTGATCGAAATGCGACAGGTTTCCATTGTGCAGAGGATATTAAACAAGTTCGTAGAAATTAGACTCACTGTTGCAAGGGGAAGATTTCCCTGGACACTACTAAGGATGCTACCGGGAGCGACATCGACACTCATGCCGTCCGTGTACTCTATAACCATGATATCGCGACGTTTACGTTGTTACGCATATCTCACAAGTGGAGTTCTGGAAAGGTAGCGCTTGATCCATCCGACTTGGGCGATATCAAGTTAATCAATCCCATGAAATTGTCCGTCATGTTACCCTTAATCGTCTTGCCACTCTGTATTGAATGTCAAAAGACATCTGATACTTATGGAAGTATAGCGTCTGCCTATTCCTGCCAAGAATTCTAGAGCGTCATCCGCTTCGTGTAACTGTAGTAAATATATGTCAGCCGGAGCACTGGTAAGCGGTCGTGAGACATCGTAACAATGCGCAAGTATATCCCTGTGTCCATCAAGTTTGACTATAGCTACTGGACTTCATTGTAGGAGGCTGAATTTGGTAGCTCATTTACCAAGGGAGTATCTTCGTTGCAATACTTTACTCCACTGCCTCTACAAGACAAAGCACTCGTATCTGGACTGCTCTAGACCTAGATTCACCACAGAATTATTTGGCATGCTCCGGGTGGCCCACTAAACAATGTTATAGTTGAATCGGCAACTCTACCGAGCCTGGCCATCTACCGTGGTATTAGCTGCGCTCGTAATCAACAGGGGCTTCGTTAGATTGGCCGGGCCTGCTTCTACTTCAGCCATTCGCTTGGGCCGCTCGGTAGACTGAATGGGAAGCGGCCGCCAAAAAGCAGGGGTCGTCGGTGCCAAATCCCGAATCGACATCCCCTTGCATGTAGCCCGAGGGGCCAACGGAAAAAAATCTACTCACTCCGACACCCGAAGCCTAGCAGCCCTTCAGAACAACCGCTTTGCGCAAGGGAAGTGGAGGACAGAAGACGACACCGTAGATTAATAATCACAGGACATGGCAAACTGTGGCGCTTCCCATGTGACGATTGGCGACTGTCCTCGCCCGATCCTTCTAACGACGCGTTTCTCATGGCTTCCCGTCACTTGATACAACCCCACGCAAAGAGTGTTCACACCATGACACGAGGTAATGCATCTCACATGCGCGACCCCCACTCAAAGCGGAAGGTCATCCATCAGAAACCCAGGGCGTTCATGGGCGGCGGCTCAGGTGCATGAAGCTAGTGGGTCACATCTGGCAACCTCCGCGGTGCTGGATTTACTTGTTCGCGATGTTCCATTTCGGGACCCTCTACAGAATTCTCTACAGAAACAAGTGAACCCTCGGTCGCCGAGTTCAGACTTTGCGTTGCAGATTGCCTTGGATGTCTCAGCAACTTTCGGACGCTTACAACGTAGCGAAAAGTGCTCAGGAATAGAACACACTATTGCCGTGCTTGGGGAAGCGCCTGAGTAATCACAGCCTGAAACAACTCAACAGCCGAATCCCTCCTATAGTCGTTGTTGGCAAGTTATGACTAAACGTAACTGAGCTCGTCGGTGACTTACTTGCCTGGGCATTTGACCCGAGGGAGTGGAACAAATTATCACGACCTCGTTTGAGACACACTAGGTTTCGATAGTCCTATATGTTTTTCTCCGTGGGGTTGCCAGCGGTCTTCGGGCCAACAGCTACTGCGAAACGGCGAGCCACCTATCCTGCTGCTAGTGCGGGCAAGAGGAGAGTACTTAGAGTATGTTTCTGTGATGCTTGGCACGATTAAGCAGCTTCAATATATCTCAAAGCATATAGTCCGGACTTCGTGTGTAATGTATATAGGTATTACCTCGTCCCTGGGTGCTTGTGCTGCAGGGACCAGGAGAGGACGCTGCAAATTCGGTCTCATTTCATTCGAGATCCGCTGAGAGGTCAACTCAGAGACAAGGGGTGCGCTTGTTCGCGGGATGCAGAGCAGTGCCCCCATGGGGCCGATTCGGGCATCGTCACCGACGACCCCTTCTCCACCGCGAGCTGCTTCATGGCCTGAGGTCACGACAATTTATCGTGCTTCGGGACCCGTCCCGCCCCGACTCGAGGGCAAAAAAATCTTCTTGGCTCCATCCATTGGGCGCGAGACTAGCTGGTTAAATGGCTGGCGGGAATTGTACATCGACTTTCTTGGTTAGGGTTTGGGCTGTCATTAGACGTTGACCGTTCCGACTCGACACAGCGCCGAGTACGCAGCCGGTAGTGCTTCTGACCTAGCAACGCCTAAACCGGGAAGTCCCTTGGGGAGCCAATACGGTCATGAAGAACGCACAAGCTCGTTTCCCGCCGGGCGTACGGGACCAAACGACGCCTCGCCCGAATGACCAGTCCAGCGTGTTAGTCCATCGTAGGGCAGACTAGACAGAGTAGACTACCAACCCAGCAATTAGCTGCGGTGCTTGATCTTGATGGCTGTGTATGTCTGTGTCTGGATGCTTTGCGTATAGATTCAGCAGGCAGAGTCACGAACGCATGTGATCCGCCAGCACGGTCAACCACGGTGTGCTATGGTAATTAACCCAAGTTGACTTGCAGATGCCTCAGTGGACCTAGCCAACTGGGCGCTTGGCCAGAGGTGCTCAAGCCGGGTTGGGTGCTGCAGGGAGCAGGGTCTCTGGTTTAGCGGCACAGTCAGACCCCGAATAGCGCTGAGACCGTCGGCTGGCCACTGCGACGAAGAGCCCTGGGGCCCCTGGGATTCGTTTAGGTGCTTGGATGCTTGGTGCCCACTGCCCGCCATGGGGGCATGAGATGGGTCCCCAGCATGGCGCATACCCCACCCGCGCACCCACGATCATTTTGCTGGGCCAGCCAACCAGCCAGTCAATTTTACTGCTCGCCCGCCCATCCTGTCCCATCCCATCCCTCGGGTTGCGCTTTCGAGTCGAAGCGGACCGGCCAATGGTCAGTCCCTAGAATTTTATGGCTGTCGCCAGATCCAAGCCTGCTCGTCCTCCTCCTGCCTCACAACAGAAAGCCGGCTCCCCCAAACGACCTCGGTGCTGCGAAGAAGGAAGAAAAGGACTCAGTCCACTGGCCGCTCGGACACCACAACACACCCCAAGATTCGCTGGCCCCGTCGCACAGTGGAATTGCCTCTTTGCGGGTCTGCCCCTCATTCGGTCCCCCGACGACACCACAAGGACTACGTAAAACACAGGGCCTCCGGCGGGTGCGTACTGCGACCAGCCGTGCGGCGCTCTGGACCAGGCAACGCCCGTAGACGAGCAACCCCGTATAACGACAACATCGCCGGCCTCTTTCCTTGGTCGCAAACCGCAGGACGTGCCTATGACGTTGGAGAACTCGACGAGGTAGCTGGGATATCAAGCGCACAACCATGATGGATCCAGCCACCTGGAACGGCCAAGACCACTCGATGCCCCAGGCCGGCGAAGATGACTTTCAACAGTTCTTGGAGATGGGCGACATGTCCGGCCTGGGCGATGGGCTGCAGTTCGACTTTCAGAGCTTCAACACGGCAAGCCTGCACACCCATTCGCCGCACGATGCCATGGACACCCAGATGGGGGGCACCGAGACGCCCGGCGCCGACCCCAGGAATAACAGCATAGGCATTCAGCACCCGCACCAGCACCAGATGCCGACCATGACATCTGGCCCCGTCGTGCCCTCGATTCCCTCGCAGATCCTGGGCCCGCACGCGTCCGGTGCTGGCGATGCCATATCGGACATTGATGCGCAGATCCAGTTTTTGCAGCACCAGAAACTCCAGCAGCAGCACCGCCAGCTCGAGGAACACCAACGGCGCTTTGAGCAACAGCAAGCCGCCTTCTTTGCGCAGCAACAAAGGAGCATGGTGCCTCCGACGCCACAGAGCCTCGAGATACAGGCCGCGAACCAGTACTACACCCAGGGTGATCAGACGCCGGTCCATTCGCATGGCATGTTTGATCGTTATCAACGCCTTAAAGAGCAGCAGGATGTATGACTGTCCGCCGCCTAGTTACAAGATGGTTGCGCTAACTGATGTTTGCTAGATGGCCTTCACGCCGCTCGTGTCACCTGCCGTAACCCCACTGGATGCTCATTTTCCAGTCGAGACACAGTTCACTGTACCGGGGGCCTACTTCAGCCCCTTGACGTCTCCTGCCCTCCATGCGCAGAATGAACCTCATCACGGGTTTGACCATCTACAGGGCAGCACCAACACGACGAACTCGCCGCAGGAAATGGAGTTGGAGCCCAGCGGCCCGCCTGCGACTACCATTGACGTGTCCAAGAAGGTGCGGAAGGGAAATGTTTCCAAGGCAAGGAAACCCAGCGTCCGCCAATCACCCCTAGTCAAGCCGCAGAGGAGGAAAACGGCATCCACCCCCGTGATGAACGCCCAGATCCTGAGCGAACTGGCCGAGAAGCCGGAACAGTCAACTGCCCGGCCGACGACGGCTTCGGCAACCTCGACAGACGAGTCTGAGAACGCTTCGGTATCGCCAGAAGCACTGTCTGATATGCCTCCGCCGCCTCTTCCGCAACCGCGATCAGCCAGACAATCGCCCTTCATGCAACCCCAGAACAGCGCCAATGCACCGATCCATCCCTTACCGGCGTCGTTGAACGGCGCATCTCCGGCAACACCTGCGTCTCTCTTCAGGATATCACCGAAAAGCAAGTCTGCCGACACGAGCAATCCTGGCCAGCTGGCGTCTGAACACATCGAGAATTTTGAATTGCCAGAGTCTGCGAGTTTTCCTAAACCCCAACTACCTCAGCTTGATACTAGGACGAACTCGAATTCGCCGCCGGAAATCGAAACAGCCAAAGTGTCCGCGCTCCAGCCTCTTCCCTCGCCGGTGTTCCCTAAGCCTTCGCAATCCACTTCGTCCGACAGTCCTCAGCTCTTGCCAAAATCTGCAACAGCTACGCCAAACCCGAGGAAAACACCGCTCCTGGCCCCACGGGGGAGCAAGAAGAGGGGGAGTGTCAGCTCGGTCCACGTGTCACCAGCACTGCGGCCCAAGATATCTCCCAGCATCAAGCCGTTACTGCCAGGAACCCCTGGCCTCTCGGCCGAGGCCCTGCTGGCCTCCAAGTCGAATTACCAGAACATCATCGAGGGCAACACGGTCCCCGGAGTGTCCTACCCGACGGAATTGTCTACCAATCTGACCTCGAAACGGACCTCACACAAGATTGCGGAGCAGGGCCGTCGGAATCGCATCAACTCGGCCCTTCAGGAGATCGCCACATTGCTCCCCAAAAGCGTGCTGAAGGACATGAAGAGCGACGACGGGGATAGTCCCGAAGCCGACAAGTCGGACAAGAAGGACGGCAAGTCGTCCAGCACTCCGAACAGCAAGGCCAGCACGGTGGAGATGGCCATCGTCTACATCAAACAGCTGCAGGAGGAGGTCGCGCAGGCCAACAAGAGAGCGGAAGAAGCGGAGAAGCAGCTGGCGTTGAAGACGGCAGCTTCATGACCAGGGCGTATGGGCTCGTAGGGAGCCATCATGCATCGACCGGACTTGGGACTTGGGGCGTTTACTCTGGGAATGAAAAGGGCCTGCACCTGCACGTGTTGCCATGTATAATGCATTTTCATGCGATCTAAGGAAGGGCAACTCTGCGCATATATGACGCGTACGATGGTACGCAGGCTACGCGAATATAGTGGTCGAATACCTATGATAGGCCAGGCCGTGTAGATTTTGGGCTTTTGTACTTGTATAATTCGGGCCACCGGGCGGCGGAGCCTCACAGCTACGCTGCTCAACCTTGGAAGGCCCTATGGCTTGAGCAAAGCCGAGGCCGAGGTTGCGTGTCATTGATCTGTATGTACGAGTTTAGCGGCCCCCTGAAGTTGTTTTCGGGAACTGGATATTCAGCTGCATAATAGAAGCGTCCTTGACAATGACCAAAATTCCGACCTGTTATATGTGATTTCGACCTGGATTTTGTGCGTGTTCGAAGGGACCATATAGAACTAAGTGCCGTACCAAACTTGTCTACTGCTGCTCGTTACCCAACAGGGGATTTACTCGGCACTACGGTATACCATCTTACTATCTTGCTACCTTACCAAAGGCACCAGCAGAGACAAGGGAGAAAGGAAATGGGAAAGCGTCTCGAGATCGGGATCGGGATCGGGAACGGGTAACGGAGGGACGAGGCGAAACATGAGCCGTTGGCAATACAGTAACTATTCAACTAGGTAACTTACCTAGGTACACCATGTAAACCCGGCTGTGTCCGACAGACGGCAGGAACCTTTCGGCAGGGCAGTGTGGCGTTGGGTAACTTATGCAGCACAGCCACACCGGAAAGGGGGTCATGTGGCTTCTGGTATTCTGGCTGCCAACCGAACTTTACCATGGTACTACTAACTTATGTAGGTGCACCTATGCCTGCCTGTTGGAATGCTGGTCCGCCAATTCTGCAGGGATGTTTGACAAAGACCAGCGCTAAGACGCTTATCATATGGGCTTAGTCCTGTTGCCACAGACAACGACGGCTATCTTCCACCTGTTCAACTCCATCCATCAACAAGAAATTCCCCGCCGCGATCCACGGGGGTTCGAATTTTCTGTCGTCCTGCTGTCAAATTTCTTCAACAAGAGAGAGAAGACAGATTTGGAAGCGCCCGACTGCGCCTGCGTTGCGTTGCATCCCGTCTTGCGCCCACGACCATATCTCAGTCAGCCGCTGCTCGACGTCATCATCGCATCCCGTCCCTCCTCAGCGACGTGTTTGTGTTTGTCGTGCTCAGGTCAACGGCCGCCCCAGGCACGCTCCCGCCGCATCCGTCGCCCTTCGTGGGACCCCTAACCTGGGCATCCCCCATCCAGCCGCACAGGACATTGCCAAACAACAAGAGCATCCGCTACTTGCCAGCAGACCGAGCCGCATCTGCACCTCCTCAGCTTCGCCATCATGTCGGACTCCGATAGCCTGGAGTACCTCCAGCCGGGCTTCGACGCCCGGTCGCTGACCATCCCGCGCCTGCGCTCCGTCCTCGTCGCCCACAACGTCAACTACCCGGCAAACGCCAAGAAGGCCCAGCTGGTCGACATCTTCGACGAGCAGGTGCGCCCCCAGGCCAAGAGGATCCTGGACCAGCGCGCAAAGGCCAAGAGGTCGAGCAGAGGAATCTTCGACGTCGAGGGTTCGCAGAGCAGTAATCCCTGGGACGAACCCGAATACCTGCCGCCGCCGCCGCCCTCGACCACGAGAACTCGCCGCTCCGCTTCCCCGAGAAAGGCCTCCGCCAGGATAAAGTCCGAGGAGCCCGAACATGCCCTGATGCCGCCCGCCCGCAGTCCGACTAAGCGCTCCTCGAGAGCCTCGAGCAGGCAGCCCCAGGTCTCGGACACAGATACCGCCCCGGACATGGATGGAAGTCTGCGCGCACGGAGGGTCCGCCCGGCACAGCCGGCACAACAGCCGCAGCTCAAGACTGAAGAGTCCGAGGAAGGATTCTTCCGACGAGAGTCCGGCGCCTTCAGCTCGGACAATCCTTTCCAGAGTGGCAGCTCGCCGCCCGTCGAGAGGACCCCCAGCAACCGCCGCAGGACCACGGGCTACGGTCAAGAGAGCGCGAGGCCGGTCAGCAGCTCCTCGTCGCGCAGGCGGACAGCTACCCCCGCCGCCTACGCCGATCCCGATATCACGGACATGGCCAAGAGCCTTGAGGTCCCCGTCAGCAGGTTGGTCCGGGGCCAGACCCCCGACTATCACCCCGAGCCCTCGATCGAGGCTGGCGAAGATTTCATGGTCGAAGCCGGCGAAGAGTTCACGCCTGAGGAGCAACTGGAGCTGCAGGCTGAAGAGGTTGTCAACCATGAGAATGCCGTCGTTCCCGCCCGACGAGCTCGTCCGGCCAGCAAATCAAACTGGGGAACATCTCTGGGAGTCATGTTGGTCACCTTGCTCTCCGTGTACGCTGGCTGGTACCGTCAGGAGAAGATCGCGGTGGGCTACTGCGATGTTGGCCAGGTTTCTGGCACACTTCCCACTGAGATCCCCGTACCAGAGTGGGCTCAACCCCATTTAGGAGACGAAATCGTGGTCCCTCAATCGGTCAGGGATGCCCTGGAACCCGTATGCGAGCCTTGCCCTCCCCACGCCTACTGCTACAGCGACTTCTCTGTCCGCTGCGAGCAGGACTACATCATGAAGCCTCACCCGTTCGCTCTCGGAGGTCTTATTCCCCTGCCGCCCACATGTGAGCCAGATGGCGAGAAGGTCCGCCGTGTCCAAGCGGTGGCCGACCGTGCTGTCGAGGAGCTCCGAGAGCGCACTGCTAAGTTTGAGTGCGGAGAGCTCGTCAACGAAGAGGGTGTCAAGGCTGAGTCGCCAGCTATCGAAGAGCAGGAGCTCAAGCAAGTCATCAACCAGAAGAGAAGCAAGAAGATGAGCAACCAAGAGTTTGACGACCTTTGGGGGGCCGCAATCGGAGAGATCAAAGCCCGGGAGGAAGTCAAGGTCGAATCTACACAGTAAGTCCATCCGCCCTTTTCCTGTAGGCTAGTGCCAGTGCCAGACACTCACTCCCCCCTCATCGCCCTGACGTATTGGTTATCAAATATGCGGTATTGACACTGTAACTAATCAGAACCCGCGTCGTCCCAACAGAGACCGAGATCCCAATTCCGGCACAATTCCAGACACGCTCCTTTCATCAACCTCTCTCGCTCGCATTCCGCTCACCTGCGCGGTCAAGCGGTCGATCCGACTCGGACTGGCAAGATATCGCCTCCAAATTGGGACTCTAATCTCGCTCATCTTGTCGGCCCTTTACGGTCGCCAGCGATATCGCAGCAACCGCGCCGCCGCCGCCCAGGTCCCGGCGCTGGTCAACCTCGTCCTGGAGCGCCTCGCCAACCAGAAGCAGATCGACGACGACGTCGACGATCCGTGGTTGTTCCTGCCGAACCTGCGGGACGACGTCCTGAGGACCGTGCATTCGCTGCGCCAGCGGGAGAAGATCTGGCAGAGGGTCCGCGCCGTCGTCGAGCAGAACAGCAACGTACGCACCAGCCAGCGCGAGGGCCGCAGCGGCGAGGTCGGCAGGGCCTGGGAGTGGATCGGCCCCACGGCGGGCGACAGCGCCCGCAGGAGGAAGAGCGGACGCGTGTCCTGGGGGCCGGACGTCAAGTCCGAGGTCGAGTCCCCCGCCGAGGACAAGAGCTACCTGCACCAGAAGTGGGAAGAGGGGGGCTCCCGGCCCATCTACTAAGACCCCGCCCACAGTGTTACGAGGGGGCTGAGAAGCTTACGAGGGAGGGTTGGCGATCAGGCGTTCCGGTTGGATTGGGAACTGCGCGCGACTTCGCTTCGAGTCACTTTTTTCCATCTCCTTTGTATTACTGTGGCTTGTACCCTTCCCGGGGACTTTACTAATGCCGTGGGGGTTCTCCCTTCTCAGTCTGGGAGGACGTCCCCTGCCCCTTGTCTTAATAGGAGGGAGGCTGTTTGTTTTAGAGAGCAATTTGATACCAAATATGAACCTTCTTATCTCTTCCCTTCTGCTCTTTGCGTCGCATCTCGAGTTGTTCGTTGAATTTGCGTCAGGGCATGATTGCTTTTTGTTCGTGAATTTCTTTCAGTCATGGGTTTGAGAAAGGGGTTTTTTTTTTTTTTCTCGAGAACCATGGACTCCAGCTGACTGTGCAACTGACTGGCCGATAAAAAAAAAAAAAAAAAAAAAAAAAGGACTCAAACAGGAAGCTCCTGAGAACCGTTCAACACGGCTCATAACCCCCGAACGACAAGCCGAGGTGACAGAGTAAAGGGGCCATATGTGTCTTCCCAAGAAGTGCCATAACCCACTTGGCTCCATAGTGGGCTATTTTCCGGGGCTGTACCGCACGTCTCAAACCTTGGTTCCAGGTTGCCTTCTGTTGCTTTGCCGCCATCCTCCTCTCAATCCCCCTCCTCCTCCTCCTCCTCCGTCTTCCGTCTTCCTCTCGCCACCGCGCGTAAACTCTCTCTCACTGCAAAAACAGCTGATTCAGGATCCAGGTGGCGAGCTGGTCTTATGGCATGATAGCCGCGCAGTCGCCGTCAGTGACTTGGGGATAATAGGACGGCGGGGCAAACAAAGGGGCAAGCGAGATAGGAGCTGAGGGGTGTGCGACCATGGATGATTTTATTTGATATTATGTTACTTCATTTAATCATTTTTCTGTCTCGAGGGTTAGTGTGTTGGACTGGTTAGGCAAGGAAGAGGAGGAGCGGGCATTACTTTAGATGTAGGTTAGGTACACAGATAGATCTTGAAATCCAATCATTGCACGCAAGCTCGTTGTCCAAGACAAATCGGTAGTGTCTATCACGTGCTTCGTCGGACAGAATGACTCAATGCGTGAAATCACCAAGGCAAGAATTCGAGGCGCGAATATGTGGTATACTTTCTCTTCATTCGGTCCCTCTCCACGCACTTCGGGCCGGCCCCCTCGGGGGGATCACAGCCGTCATGGCCAGAAGGTCCAGGGCGGCCTACGGCCGGGTACACACGATACATACATACAAAGATCCTCCGCGGACTCTCTCCTCTCCACGGCGCCGACGCGGGGGACCCTCGGTCCCGTGCTCGGCGCCCTGTCTCGTCCTCCGCTCCACTCCACAAACATATTAACATCCTCGCACCTCCTCCCCCTGATGAAGCAATGCGTCGTCGCTGCGCTCGTCTGATGTGTGGTATCTACAAAAAAAGCGAGAGTGGTGGTTCATGGTCCATCTAGATAGGCCATCCCAGGGGGAAAATAGGTAGAATAAAAACAGAAAAGATAATAAAAAGAGGAATTCAATAAGTCAGCCCGAGCCAACAGCAGCGCGCCGACCCGGTGTCTAGCTCACGACAGGAGGGGAATACATAGGAGTGAGCGGGCAGTGGCGGGGCCCGGTGAGATGCAACCGTGTAACAAGTCCAGGCTCAAATCAGAATGAAAATGAAAATGCGCCAGTCATATGCGGAAAGGTAGGTTGGTAGGAACAGTAGGTTATGTGTGTGAGAGGGTTTGTGTTGCTGACGAAACCCCCTCAGCTGTCTTGGGGGCGCCTTTGGCGGTGTGATATATATAACAGCGTATGCCAGCGCCACCAAGAGTCCTGGGGGCGAAAGAGGACCTTGGTGTTTGTTGCACAAGGGGGGCATGTGTCAGCCACGGCCAAGCTGAATGAGAAAAAACTTTTGTGGTATCCCGTCCCGGTGGGGGCGAAAGTGGTTGTCTAAATAATGCTGCAGGAACGAGTGTGGGTATAGGAGGCAGACGTGACGAAGTGAAGTCATGATAGTTCTCGTAATATGAAAGGGTATCGGTATCTCAGCCAAGTGCTTCACTGAGACTGTCGGTTATGGCCATTTTCTCCCAAGTTCAGCCAGCTCATATCAGAAGTGGAGGCCATCGTCAGCTGGGGTTGGCGAGAGACACCGGTCGGGGGTCGACTGGGGCCGCCGGGCGCTCCCAGACCTGTGGGAAATGCAGTGCTTTGTGAATACGCACTGCTGGGCGCGCGATCCTGGCCCCAAGGCTTCTTCGCAATGGTCGGATCCCATGCCTCGTCCACGCTGGGCGGGATGCCGCTCGAGTATCCAGAGGAAGAGACATTGGACACCGGTCGTTGGATCTCAGCGGATTGACCCTCCCGTACATTATTGGCGTAGTAGGAAACTGTTGGGCTCCCCGATTGCACACGATAGAAAGCCGGTCTGTCTTCCACTTGCAGTGGCGGTACAGTGGCGGAGTCCTGCGTCATGCGGTGCATGTCGGTGTACTGGGAGCTCGGTTCCGAAGCTTGTGTTTCCCTGCGAGAGGCGCCATTGCCGAAGCCCATCATATTCATCGTGCTACCACCCGACCAGTAACGGTTCCAACCCGAACTCCTCCTCGTACCATCTTCCCGGGCTGCAGCGGGGGGTGGTCTGGGGTTAACTTGACCCGCACCCATGCCGACTGGCATTGGAGCTGCCCGCTCTTCCCTCAGTGGGATCGTGTCGGATGCCCTTGGTTCATTTTCAGGCTCTGGAATGGGCGACGGTCGGCTGATCGTGCTCTTGAACTGTCTGTTCAAGATGCTGCTCGCCGAGCTACGCTTCGAGTCCTTACTAGGCTTCCGGGCCACTCCTGGTTTTTGGGCCTTGCCCATCAAGATGGCCATCGACGAAAACGATGATTGTGATTCCTGTTGGCTATGACCTGGGAAAAAGCCACCGGTCGTCCTGGCCATGTCCCTTGGGAGATACTCCTGCTTCTCCGGGATGCCACTCGCCCTTCTAGCGTGCCCAGCATCCACGTAAGCCTGCTTTTGTCTTTTCCGCTTCATAAGGAACAGCAAAGCAATGAGGATAATAGCGCAGCCGAATATAACACCAAGTGCAATGCCGAGAATTGACGTTGGTGGCAGCCCACTAGAGGCTGCGGCTGCGGCAGCAGTAGTGGGGCTTTGTGTTGATGCTGCGACGGGGGTAGAAGAGATCGAAGTAGATGAAGACGAAGGCGTAATAGAGCTCGTAGATTTGGGTTCCGACTCGGTCGTCACAGCCCTCCCAACAAATAATTGAGTCGCATTCTGCCAAGAATTCTGCGTCGTGTCAAAGATACACAGGATGTCGTCTTTGTTGCCGCCGGACATGACGGTGACACCATCAGAGGCACTGGCTAGCGAGTACTCAGTCCTTGTAGCCTCTGGTGCCAATGTGGAATTGTAGTCAGGCCAATTGTTCGCGTCGAGATCCCTTCGCGTACTACCACCACTAGTGGGTTTAACCGGAGCCGATTTGAGAACAGGAGCTCCCTTGCCATCCAATAAGACAGTCCTGTTCACAGTATTCGGAGAAGTGCTGAGATCGAACGTGTACAAGTGTTTGCTGCCGTCGTCCCCAGTGACTATCGTCGCCTTCACCATGCTCGAGTCCTTGACAATGGGATTGGCCAAAGTACTTCCGGAGTCATACCAGCGTTTGTCGGGGTTGAAAAGCATGACTTTCAAGTTGGTAGCGTCACCGCCAACCAGTACAGCATCCGTCTCCGACCAAGGAAGGAGGATCGGTGCAATGACGGGAGGAGCGATCGATTCGTAGGCGGAAACATCAAAGGGAGCTGATGCTCCTATCGTGAACGTTTGCGTGGATGGAAATTTGATGCCATCTTGGGAACCAGCATACACCAATATCTTGTCGGATGCTTGGAGATAAACGGCGCTGTGCCAGATTCGACTTTGCGTCACCGCCACCTGCGGTGAAATTGCTTCCCATTTGCCGGTCGAATAAGTGAACTTTTGCAAACCAGTGTAGTTGGCATCAGATGATGTGCCGCCAACTATATAAAGCCCAGCCTGGGTAGCGTTGACTGGTGTCGAACCCACGCATACGCCTCCCACAACTGACTTTCCGCTTCCCAGCGTCTTCCATTCCGCCCCTTCTTCCAGTGACAACGATTGAAAAGCCGCGGACGAGTAGGAGTAGAGAACGTTGTCGTGGATGACCGAACAGGCACCATCAAGGGTGACGTTCGGTTGAGGTAGGGGCATTGCGAGCTACTGTCGCTGGCCTAAGCCCAAACTCCAGGCTCAGATAGGTGATGGCAACAGTATCCTTTAAAGATGTGTTGGAAATGTCCGTCAGGCACACTATAACATGATTAGGTCAGAAAGAGGCAAAACTCAATCGGGCCTGGGGGATTGCAGTGTCGATCCACCACAGTTGAGGCGCAGCACGTCGGCAGTTACGAGATGAATAGTCAAAACCTCCTGCGACCTTCGTGAGACTTTGACAGCTCTCAGCTTCCTTGCTGTCTACCTAGCCAGGTAAGATAACCTTCGGACGAAGCTAATGGGTATCGCCAGGTATGGCTTTTCGTTGATAATCGAATTTTCAGTTGGTACGGTCGTCGTGAACTATCGAGCCTGTCGTTCGGTGAGGCTGGCGTAGTGCAGTTCGGGATGAGGCGACAATGGAGTGGCACGTCCTGACTCGTATAGGATCCGACAGGATATTGTCGTGATACCTTGCCACCAACAATATCTCCGATGCCCAAGACACGCTCGCAGAGTGAGGTCTCACTCCCCTTTTCCCCCGATTGGACTGGATTGATGATCTACAGAACAATGTTTTGTGATGGGCGTGATGTTTCCGTGTCCTCCTCAATGCAGCGTCCGATGGGAGAGTGTCGAGAAACAAAACCAGCCGTGTTCGTCCTCCTGAGGTGTTCTGTGTCGCAGGTTTCGGGGTAAAAGCGGAGTTGGGTGGTCTCGCATACAATCGTCTATGCTTTGCCTAAAGTGTACGACCTCCGTGTTGGGTTAACTCCCTCCCTGGTGTTTCGACGCGCAGTAATAAGTAGATATTAAGAATATAACGAAATGCAATGCTTTTTTGTTGATGACTCCGAGAAAGAGAGGTTTCCGTGACGTCTTGCGTCCGCTGGAGGCTATCGAGATCGACGTTCGCCCGTTAAGGAGTGATGGAAGAAAAAGGCGACGGGCAGGGGAGAGCAGCAGATTCCCATGAGCGGGAGAGAGAAGCACGAAGAACGAGCAATTCGGCAGCGAGACTGAGTACCGTGCTCACGACGATAGCATGGGTATGGGGAAGAAGGGGACCAGGGACCCCTGACGACCCCTTTTGAGAACGAATCAGAGCGCCCGACGGCGTGGAAGCGGCGACGATCCTAGCGAGCATGGGTCGAAGCAATGTAGCGTCGCGCCGCGGAGTACGGGTAGCGCCATGTGAGTTGATAGGGCGCCAGGAGTAGCGCGGTACAACGTCGATGCAGAAGCAGCTGGGCTGTGGCTGGGTATGCACCTGAGCGCAGTCTGTTGCAACGGAAAAGGGGTGGCATGCTTTTTCGCAGGTGGCCTCATTGGACTCCGTTGCACTTTTGCTGAATCCTCACGGCTGTGTCTGCCCCAAAAAGCCGCTGTAGACGTCGGAAAAAGAGGCACCAGACCTCACTCCACCGTCGTTGCTCTCTAGATGGAGAGACTCTGCGTTGTGCTTGGTGGTAATATTACAACCGGGTCTGTAGCATGAATCACATATCAAAGCGTCGCGCGCTGGGGACTACCTGATATCAGCTATACCATCTGATAGGCACAGCACGCTCCCCAAGTCCGTCCGGCGACCAGCCAGCGGCTCTTGGTACGCGGGTCTCGTGGCTCAGCGAGGTGAAGCAGCATCGTTGGCGTTGGAGCGCTGGGCGCCGTGGTCCACTGCTTGGTTGTGACTTGGTCAACCTTTCGCTGAAATGGCCAGGAAGGGTGCTAGACTCTCCGTGGCCGCTAAGCCTGTTGCGGAAAGCATGCAGCATAGTGAAACTGCAGTCCCCTGCTTGGAAACCCCTGGCCTTAGCCAGGGGCCAGCAAATGAGTCGGTCGCTTTTCTTACGACGCGGTCTGGGGGTGGTGGATGTGACCCCAGTAGCTTGGTGCCACACATCCCGGGATCATGTACCCTCACCGGGTGCTTGGGGCCTTGGGCGACTGCCCGAGTGCCATCGCTCGGGAAATGAGCTTCTTGGTATGTATGAAAGAGAGGCTGCCGCCATCGTAGGATAAGATGCGATCGATGACATGACGCAAGTTCAAGCAAGCCCGTGGTTCACATTAGTGACAGCGAAGCTGGGGATGTCAACGCTCAAGTTGCAGCGCTAGGAATACGAGCATGGGAAGCCTAGGCATCGTATCGATAACTGAGGATGCACTAACTGAGGCCCGTGGTCCGTAGCCCCCTGCCGGTCTATCGTGAGCTACGGATTAGAGACGCGCCTTCCACTTGCGACCTGGACCGGCGTCCAAAGGAGAAACAACTACGGTACGCCAGTTGGGATCCCACGAACTCCCACCGTTCAGGCTGGACCGGCCGGCACTGGGGTACACAGGGCACGCAAGCATGGCAAGACGCCATCGCGGTGCTTGGGCACATTACTCGGGTCGAGCCTGTCAAGCGTGCATAAGCCATATAGCGTGACCATCGTCTGACGTTCCTCTTCTAGAAATAGCTCCATAGCGAGACTATCAACTCCACGCAACCACGTGGAAGTTGGGGGTGAGCACGGAAGTCTTGCCACGAGAGAAAAGTCTCTGGCACCTTGCCGGCTCGCAAGAAATTTAGCTTTCCTAATAAAGGTCGCTCGACCCATTCCAGACGAGTGTCTCACGAGATGCTGTTGGTCTCGTATGGGTCGAGTGCCCAGGGGAGGGAGAGAGACATTTCACTGCGACTCTGACTTGCGGCTAAAAGCAAATGAACTCTTTGCTTTCTATTTTCGTACGACGCAGGTAATCCGGGAAAATCCTTCTCTTCTAACTATGGTGGTGTGTGTAAAGGTGACCGACCGCCTTTCCCCACCTGCATGCCAGGTCATTCCAATTTATTAGATGCCGCGCTTCCAGAAGGAATAGTCAAGATGACTAGTAGAGTATTCGCTGGGCCTCTTTGTCGTCATCCCGTCTTGGTCACTACATAGTACAATCAATTACCAATAGTAGAAGGAAACCCAAACGTCAGCACCAGTCACAGGCGCCAATCGCGTCAGCTGGGGGCAGATCTTCACCACACGATGAAGACAACGATCGCCGCTGGGGAAATGCAAGATCAAAGGACCCGTCCCATCACAATCCAGGCCAGCTTGAGCCCGCCGTCTCCGTCTTCATAGGCCAATTGCCCGTGACTGCGGGCGGGACACTCGCCGGCGCCAGCCCTGACCACCGTAAGCGCCGCCTCCATTGGGTGGGTGGTGAATCAAGTGCCGGGAGAGCGAATCGATCGGCGTCGACTGAGCAGCCCTCTCACATGCGTAATTTCTGTGCGAAAGCGCGCGCCAGCCAACCAGGTCACGGTACTTGGGCTGTGATGTGCTATTGGCTGATTTACTAGTCTCTCTACAGAACGGTCTCTGATGTCTGTCGTAGGTTTTTCATAAAAGGGCTGCAAGCGCCGAACCTGAGATTCCACGGATGAAGCTGTAAGTCACATGTTGCCCTGCGTCGAATGGGCAGTGTTTCTAGCTAATTCGCATTGCTCACATGATTTGTGTCATTGCTCTGCGGGCACGAAACCTTTAAGCGCTAAACGATTGCAACTATCGAAATAGTATTGTTCATGTTGTCTAATTCAATCTGTTGTTCCCATCCTAGTCTTGCCCGTGCCAGTATAAGATCGATCAAGTCGATCATCATCCTTCTCGATTCTTTCAGGTGATCAAATTGCGTCATAATGAACAGGGCAGAAAACGCAACCACGACCGACAGAGTGAGAACAGGTAGTTGTTTATTGCAAGTGTATGCTCTCAATGGCCGCCTTCCAATCGGCGATGTGCCTCTCCTGGAGCCTGGCCTCCCTCTCGTTCCTTGCCAGAGTACAGTATATCCTTTGCAGCGCTTTGTGACAGCAAAGCCTCCAGCAGGTATCTAGCCTTTCCCCTTGATGCTCATGAACCCCCTGAGCTTATATACTACACGCATATGACAGTGTAATGCATTCTGTGACACGGGCCCAATTCCGCCTCTCGAAATAATGCTTGCCATCTGATTCCGTAAACTCCTTGCCAATGCTGCCTTTCTCAACTCCGGAGATCAAAATTCAATGTTCTTTGGTGGTAGATTTTGTTCATGCGATAGGCTGGGCAAATGCTTCAGCCGGGAGTTGCGCCTTGAATCAGGTTAGTGTTAAGCACGGCAACTGTGGATGGTTTTACTTACTCTCATTTCGTTGAATGTAGCCAGGGCTCGCTCAAGATTGTACTGAGCGGCATCAAGACACATCTTGGAATAGTCCAAGGTCATGCCAGTCTGCTTAGAAAGCTCAATTGCCATCTGCTCTTGGGTAGCCACTGGGTTGATTGGCGCGTTGGCTACAGGTGCTGCGCTGGTTTGTATTCCCTCTGGAACTCCGGTCTGAGGAGGCAAGGGGCTGTACGCACGCAGCTGTAGCAAGTCACTAACGACACGAATCGGGTTCCTGCCGGGAAAGCCGGGTCCGATCACGAAAGTCCGCGAGAAGCTTCGCTTGGAAGTGACTTTGGTCTCGGGGTCCTGGTCCTCAAATTCACCGTGCATAGTGATAATCATGCCCTCCACGCCGCCCAGCTCACTGCCAGTGGGATCTGCGAGTCCGCTCATGGGATGACAGTCAATGAGGTATTTGTCGAACTCCACAGTAAGACTGGGATGCCGTGTAAGAGGTAGCTTTGACCAGGCATCCTGGACAAGGGGGCCGCCGACAAAGAGGCGTTGATATCTCGAGGGCGGGTGAGTGATTCGGACATGATTCCGGGAGAGTCGAATGTAGGAGCTCCACGTGAGCGGCGGTGCGTTGGGAATGTGGGCACTGCTCGTCATGACCGAGAAAGAGAAGGTACTCTGTTCATCGTAGAACTTGGCAGCAAGCGTCTGCCTGTCGGTGTCGTAGAGAGCGAAGAATTCGGTGACGAAGCCCTCGCCGACGCGATTCAAATCTCGAAAGTCGGTACCGAACTGTGGGATGGGAAACACTCTTGGAGCCCGTGACGCCGCCTCGACCTCTTCTTTGGTCCTGACTTGAACGCCGCTGAGGTTCTGCAATCTGGGAAACAGTTTTGTAATCTCAGCCATAGCAGACGCATCAGTTCCGACGGGGTTGTCGCTGAGGTAGAGAGCTTCGAGCTTTCGCAGACGATGGCTCCATTTCCGCAGTGCCTTGGCATCCTTGAACATGTTGCGGCTCAAGTCCAGGTTGAGCAGGTCTGGCAGAGCATCTGCAAGCGACATGATTTGGTGTACGTCGTCAATATTGTTGCCAGCGAGACTGACGCTGTGGATGCCTTCGCGCTTGGCCTGGGCCGTCTTGAAATTGTCCTCCAAGATAACCATCAGGGCACGAAAGACCTTCTCTGGTGTGGCCTGGTTGAACATGCCCATCTGCTGCAGAATAGGGTCCTGGCCAAGGTCCGAGAGGTTCATGAGCTTGCTCTCCTGGTTGTACCGCTGACCAAGCACAGTTGTGAGCTGGTCTTTGAGGCTTTGTGATTGTTCGGACAAGCCGGGAGACGCCCCCTCGGGCAGCTCCTCGATGGAAAGGCGAGCGCTGGCAAATTCGAAGCCGTTGATTTTTTTTATTTCCTCCGCGTCCTCCTTGTTTGCTGTGATGTAGACCAAGTCGCCCTTCATAGTCGACTACTAGATGTTAGCACAAGGCAGTGGTACCTTGATCAATGTCCAGGAATCCGGTTTAGGTATACGCCGCCGTTCGATGGTAGTTTGTCCTCTCCTTCGTTCTGCGAGCTATGGCATTGCAACGAGGATAGAGAGTAGGCGCCGCTCCGTAACACCCAGGAAGTCCCAGACGTTGGGGTCGGATACACAAACTTACCTTGTTGATTTTGACGGTGCGGTGAAGCTTGCCAACGGTGGCAGCCTTGCGTTCTAGGAAAATCAGAAGGTCTCGCAGGCCACCACCATCATTGCTGGAAGCCTTGCTTTCCTTCAGCCCTCGCACGACCAGTGTGACGCGATCGACGCCGTTGACGGGGCGCGAGCGCGTGTGCCTGCTGGAGGTGTCGCGTCCTGCTGCAATGCGCGAGGACAAGTTGCCCGAGCCGCCGGACTCGACGATCTTCTTGACCATATCTGCGGCGCGCGTCGTAGGCTTGGGCGCGCGACCGCCGGCGGGTGCTGATCGCGTGGAGCGGCGGGGGCCAGTGGGCGGCGGCGCAGAGGTACCATTGGTGTTGGGTGGGCGGTTGCCACGGCCAGCACCACCCTTGGCGGCCGGTGCATCCATATCAAGATCTCCATCTCTGTCGGTTCTGACTGGACCCCCAGCACCACGCTTCTTGATACCGCCAGAGCGACCGCCGGGTTTGGTCGGCGCCGAAGGGTTGCGCGTATTGCGCTGGGCTCGCGGACCTGAGGGCGCCATTGCAGTTCGCGATGCGAGGTCGACGGAGAGTGGGTTTTTGTGGCAGGGTTGGATGCGAAAGTCGAATGCCGTGGTAGCTGGCAGCCGACGGACTCGAGACGTAGGAGCGGGCGTGCAGAAAAGACTCCCACGAAGGACGACCTTCGCTGGGCTAGTTCCTCGCGGTCGCGACCTCGATCATGCGGCTCGGAAGGTGGCGCAGAAAATGGGTGATCGGAGGGGTGAGATGTTGGGATACTGGTCTGGGCGGAAGGCCGGTAGGGTGCTGGAGATGTCGCGAGGCAACACAGAGTCAATTATCGGGCCCTGCTGCGACTGAGACACAGGGAAGTCGAAGACAAAAGGAAGAGTGAGGGCGGACGAAGGGGCGTGGGGGAAAAGAAGATGGTGGTGGGTGGTGAGAAGGAAGTTCAAGCTTCAAAGAAGCGAAAAGTGACGACAAAGGCTGACTGCTTGCTGGGCCCCGGCCGTTTGCGACGCTACGGACCCCGGCAAAAAATAAGGAAGACGGGGGGCCCAAGCTTGCAGGTGCAGCTTCGGGTGCTTTGCTGGTGAGTCAGCCACTACAATCACTGCCCGAGCCCGCCGTCAGCCACCCATTGTTGCCTGATTGACGGGCCTTCAGGCTGCCATGGCGGGGTGAGCCCGCCCAATGCGGCCTAGCAGGCATTGGATCGCAGCCCTGGCGACGCCCCGTGGTGGACCATGGATCCAGGTCAGGTGAGTTGGCGACTCGAGAAGTGGGCACCGGGTGGGAAACCCTGGCTGCTGCTCCCTCATCGCGTCCCGCCTGTGGCCGGATGGACCAAGTCGCGTCGGGACAGACTCAGGTGATCCCCATTTCCAGTACTAAGGGACCCGGCAGAAGCAGTCATCAATCAGTCCAGCGACGATGCAGGCCTCGCATTGGAAATCATGGACTCGGATGAATTCGACGATGATATTCTGGACGAGGATCTGATCATTGCTGCCACACAAGCGCCATGCCACCCCAGACCCGGCCCCAACCACAGTGCCTCCGAGGTCATCGATCTAGATGACCTGCCCTCGGATGCATTCTCGAGTCCGCCCAATGGTAACTCCTCTGCATGGTCGACCTCACAGAGTGCCCGCCCAGCTCTCCGCGTGGGCGGGCCGGTTGCGGCTTACCGTCAAACCACCCTCTTTGGCCACACTGTTTCCCAGCACGGTGATTCGGAGCCTGTGCAACGGGTCAATAGCAATAGGATGTTCCGCGCGGATCTGCCAGAAGAGAAACCCACACACCACGAGATCGACCGTGAGGCCATGAAGACATGGGTCTACCCGACCAATCTGGGCGCCATCAGAGACTATCAGTATTCCATCGTCAAGGAGGGCCTGTTCCACAACACCCTGGTGGCCCTGCCCACCGGTCTCGGCAAGACCTTCATCGCTGCTACCGTCATGCTCAACTTCTTCCGCTGGACCAAGACCGCCAAGATCATCTTCGTAGCGCCTACCAAGCCCCTCGTGTCGCAGCAAGTGGATGCCTGCTTCAACATTGTTGGCATTCCAAGGTCACAGACGACCCTGTTGACCGGTGAAATATCACCCGGCTTGCGAGCCGAGGAATGGGCCTCCAAACGCGTCTTCTTCATGACCCCTCAGACCCTTGAGAACGACCTTTCGTCAGGCATTGCCGATCCCAAGTCTATCGGTCTACTCGTGGTTGACGAAGCGCACCGTGCCACCGGGAACTACTCATACGTCAAGGTTGTCACTTTCTTACGGCGCTTCTCCAGCAGCTTCCGCATCTTGGCCCTTACTGCTACACCCGGCTCCAAAGTCGAGGCAGTACAAGAGGTCATTGATGGTTTGGGAATATCTCACGTTGAAATTCGTACTGAGGATTCGCTGGACATCCGCCAGTTTGTCCACTCGAGACAAGAAGACATCGAGCTCCTGGATCCATCCGATGAGATGGCCCTCGTCAAAGACTTGTTTTCCAAGGCTCTGAAACCGCTGGTGGACAAGTTAGGACAGCAGAATATTTATTCCTGCCGAGATCCCATGTCTCTCACAACCTACGGCCTTATGCAGGCCCGTAAGGACTGGATGGGTTCAGCGGGGCGGCACGCCAACAACGGAGTGAAGTTTATGATGTTTGCCGTTTTCTCCATCCTTCAAAGTCTTGCTCACTCGATCAAGCTGCTGAATTTCCATGGAATCAAGCCATTTTACGATAATATGGTCCAGTTCAGGGATGAGACGGAAGGCAAGGGCGAAAAGGGGTCCAAGTATAAGCGTCAAATTCTGGAGGCACCAGAGTTTCAGAAGATGATGACCACCCTCGCTGGATGGGCTCGTAAAGACGACTTCGTCAGCCATCCAAAACTCACATATCTATCGGAAACCGTTCTCAACCACTTCATGGACGCTGGCGAAGCTCGCGATGACAGCGCGTCTTCTAACACGAGGATCATTGTCTTCAGTGAATATCGAGACAGCGCAGAGGAGATCGTGCGGGTCCTCAATCGGCATAGACCCCTGATACGAGCGGCTGTATTTGTTGGCCAGGCTGATACCAAAAAGTCGGATGGCATGAAACAAGCGGAGCAAATCGAGAGAATCAGAAAGTTCAAAGAAGGCGCCTTCAATGTCTTGGTCGCCACGTCAATCGGTGAAGAAGGTCTCGATATTGGCCAAGTCGATCTTATCATATGTTATGATGCCTCTGCCTCTCCAATTCGAATGCTGCAGAGGATGGGGCGAACGGGAAGAAAGCGAGCTGGCAGAGTCGTGTTGTTACTCATGCGTGGCAAGGAGGAGGGTAACTACGCCAAGTCAAAGGATGCATATGACAAAATGCAGCAAATGATCTGTGATGGGAGTCGCTTTGCGTTCCGACACGATCTTTCCACACGCATAGTCCCAAGAGACATTAAGCCAGAGGTCGATAAACGACACGTTGAAATTCCAATCGAAAACACCCAGAACCAATCCCTCCCAGAACCAAGGAAAGGCGCTGCTAGAAAGAAACGGCCACCAAAGAAGTTCAACATGCCAGATGGTGTTGAGACTGGATTCACCAGCGTAGCGTCCATGCTAGGCAAGAAGACTCAAAAGGCTCCGAAAAGCAGTGTCCGGAGTGGTTCTCGTGAAGAGGATGTTGTTGTCGATATCCCTAATCTCGAACGGGTCTATTTGAACACTCAACAAAGCGACGAACTGAGAGAAACGTATCAAAACCTGCCATACTATCAGAATCAGATTCTTGAGATCGAAACTGCGGACCTGACAGCCAACCCAACTGCGCAGAGAGTCTTGCGCAAGACCGTGCTCCTCAAGCATGGGAAACACACGAAGCGGTGCGTGAAACTCTTTCGAACGTTTTCCAAAATACGTTCAACACCACAAGGTTACGAGAAACCCTATGGAGAATCAGATCAGAGTCGTTATGATGAGCTTCATACTCCAGATGATATCTCGGATTCAGAGCAAGAGGTTTTCCAAGAAGCAGAGCCGCCTAGGAAGAAGAGGAAGTCTGCGCCGTTATCTGAGGCACAACCTAAGACTGCTAAACAGGCGAGAAAGACACAGCCGAAACCCGGGCGCCCACCGCGCTCCAAAGCAACGGCGAAGGTCCCCAAAGCATTTGTCCACGAAGCAATCGCAGAAGAGGACGAAGAAGAACTAGAAGACGATGACGAAGATGAGTTAGAGCTACGCCCGACACGGAGGAAACCGCCTCAGCCGAAAACGTCGGGAGTCAAGCGTGCACCCGCCAAGCGAGGCCGACCTTCGACCAAACAGCAATCTGGAATGTATGATGAGAGCGCAGATGAAGGTGATGATTGCAGAAGAACCAGCGACCTGGAACTCACTGACGAGTCAGACGATGGTTCAGATCTCGTCGGGTTTGTCGTGGGTGATGACGTGGCGACATCGAGTGCGGTCCCAACGTCTAGCATGCGACGCCTTTCGACCTCGCCGACAACGCCGTCAGCATCATCCACTGTCGGCCGAGCGTCAGGCAGGCAGAAGCCACACTATCGATCCTCCGGGTTCGAGGCCACCCAGGACAGCGAGGATGACGATGATGGTCTGCCGTCTATGAGTCAAATCGTAAGGACACAGAGAGGGAAGACCCAGTTGTCAAGCTCATCTGCTTCGGGCAGTTCGGGCGATGAGGAAGTCATGCAGCGCCCAGGACGAGGCAAGAGGAGGCAGGTTGTGTCAGATGATGACGATGACGACGATGGTTAAGGCGCGTATACTATAGTAGTCTGTACATGTAGATTCATGATCCTGGGGGGCTTAAAAGGCTATAGCCAGGTCGAAAACATAAATGGAAAAATCAACTACGTGCGTTCTTGACATAGGTACTACGACTTTGAGGATGAACTGACCAGTATCGGCACTTTCGTATGGTATGAAAATCAGCATAATCACATTGTACGACTGACGCACAAGAAGGATTGCCCAATTGGTAATTAGGTCTTTCATGTACCTGTATACACGGGTATCACTTATAACTCTTAACCAACATAGCAATCCATAATTTGCCACAGTCACTCGCTTACTTATATTAAAATCTACTTATCTGCTAAGGTCCCTTGGCACGTGTGTAACCCCGAAAGGTAACTGAAAGCGATCATCAAAAAATAACGTGGATGTACATTGCTCTGCCTTAAGAGCCCACTCTTGTAAGCAAGTGAAATGTCATGTTCTGTAGGGAGCATGGATACATGTATTCGGGTACTATATAAACCACTAGGCGTGGGTGTTCTTCTTTAGGCTATCTGTTATCGTTGGTAAATTCGGAAATACCAGTCTTCAACTTATTTCAAACCACTGTACGTCCAGATTGTCACGTTTGATAACCTCAGCTGGATCGATGGTCGAAATCCCATAAACGTGGCAAGGACCGATATAAACCCAACTGTCCGCCGTTCTCCTCATGATTACCGGGAATTCGCACCCATTTAGAATGCAGATCTTGTCGTCAACTTGCACGCCGCCGCCAATACCTAGATAACCAGTTTCTGTCTCAAAGAAATAACTGCCTTCGAGTCTTGTCAAATGCTCCTCCAATCGATCAACGAAATGAGCGGCCGCTACTTCGGAGAACCGTTTTTTCAGTGGCCTTTGCCGCCGTGCAGCTCGAGCCATTTTATTTTCATTCGCACCGGAAGATCCGCCAGTCAGCAGGGGTTCTATCAGAAATTGAGCATCCGAGATGTTCGATGATATTAATGCGAAGAACCCCAGTAGTTGCCAAAAGCCATCCAACTTGTCCTTTCCCAATAAACGCCTGGATGAGGTCGTTGGATCGATACCACGAAGGAAGGTGGCAAGACACTGATGTTCGTAAGAAACATCCAACTTGAGGCTAATTTCCGTTTCGTTCTTTGGCTTACTCATGACTAAGTCATGAAAAAAGTATCTCCAGAGGTTGTCATGGGATTCAAAGTCTATCTGTACGTGGTGTAAGACACCTCCACATTGAGCCCCGTGAATTTTCAAGATATCTTCATAGCAGGAATGATGTCTGTCGAGATCGAAGAATGCTTTAGTACTAAACGAGACTAGGTCGTATGGATTTATTCGAGGTTTGCTGAGATCTGGAATCCACGACGGGAGTCCGTAAGCATCACCCTCTCTGCCCGCTAGTCCGGCTCCCCTCAAAATGTCATTCAAACACAGAGCAGGCCCTTCCGTGTCGGCAGCCCATTCTGTGCTCGTGTATTTACACCAGTCGAGGTAGACATCCTTCACGGTCTTCTCGTAGTCTGGTTGGATATCTAGATTGAGAATGCCCAACCATGCATAGACCATATCTCGAGGATCTGATGCTTCGCAGGAACTGATAGTGTAGAATATCCAATGTAGAACGAGATCTCTATGATTCATAGATTCCTTAACAATCCATGTTACTTTGAGGGTTGTGCCGATAATCGCCCACCTGCGGGCGATTAATCGTCGCCAAGTCTCGGAGCCCATCGCAGACGGCTTCTTCGCAGTGTTTTCAAATTCAATAAGCATTCCGAGGAAAAGGGATCTGAACTCGTTGAGGATAACTGCGAGTACCATTTCATTTCCAATTACCAGAAAATGACAATCTGTGGTTTGTTTCGCCAGAATCATTTCCTGGTATACCCAAATCCGATTCCAATACTTGAGAGTTTCAAGTTGAATAATAGCACTCCACGCGGTATTGACCCATTTGGCTTTCATATTGTTGCGGCATAGTTCCGGACGCCGAATGATCTCTTGGGTGAATTGTTCGACTTCCTCCCTGCTGGGATCGTCTAGGGGACTCTTGGAGTGGCAATGATATGAGTGACTGTCCGACTCACTCGTTGAACAATCACCATCAGAATATTCCCCCTTGCCTTTATCTTTGACCGTCTCGTCGTCAGAAATGTCCTCCCATTCCATTTCTGCCATGACTTCACGTACGGTGCGGATCCCTTCGTCGACTCGATGTTCGTTCTTATTTGGTGCACAAAGCCATGAGAAAACGTGCGTAGCCTGGCCGTAGACCGAACCCATGAAGGCAACCTGCTGTGCCCTTTCCTTGAGGTCTTTCTGGTTGATACAGAGCGCGTCGACCCAAAGTCGAAGCGGCTCACCATGGGTGCCTCGGAGCATGTCGTACTCCCTGAAGTACCACAATGCGGACGCGAGATTCTCCGTGACCCCGAAGACTAGCCCGTTCACGACCACGTCAAGGGTCACATCTGGATCGCCCCAAACGTATGAGAGCGCAATATATCTGAGATCAGCGACCAGTGAGACCGTCTTAAGTCGACAGTGCACGAGTTTGCTGTCATCGGTAGCGGGAAGAACGGTCAGAAGCCGGATTTGCTTTCTTGAGGGATCCAGACGTCTGTTGTAAACGATGGCTCTGTCCACCGTCGCCATGGCCGCGGGTCGTAATCTTTTTCTTGAGCGCTGTTCAGCAGGCTGTGCTCATTTCGTTCAGTTTTTGGAGTAATGGAGGGAGACCTCTGACGATGCTTCTCATCGAAGAGCTGACGCCCACACCCCGCCCGCAAGGCTGCGTGGCGCGAACGAGCCCGGTTACACAGGATGGCAAGATCATTCGGCATTATCCGATCACACATCCTACTATTTACATACGAGTGAAGTGGTCTTATTGTTTCGTATATCTTATACCTAGCGACAGCTTCACCTTTCCTTTTGTCCTTAGACTCATATTCAGGTTAGGTAATGGAATAACCATTTTCTAGTTTGTCCGCGTGGTGAATTTGAAAGTCACCCTTTGAGAGTAGCTTCACTCATGATGGCCCCCAGAGATCGGCAGTCTGACGAGGCGAGGAGCTATAAGCTTCGCAACTAAACCCCTGCGACACTCACAGTAACATCACCAGCATTCCCGTGGATGCACGAAGTTGATGTATTACCACAATGCCCACTCGCTAATAGGACTATACTTAAAGGGTGCAGTCATAATGTATTTTGCTACATAATTAATCTAGCCGTGCGTGTTGCACGTTTGTCTTGAGGCGGTGCAGTAAACCATATTGCCACCGTACATCATGACGTTATCAAGGCAATCACCACCCGCCTTCCTCATTTATAGCCCCAAAAAGTGATTATGCCCTGCCAGTGTAGGAACAAGTCCCGGGCACCACATCGCACGAATAGCATGGGACCTGTCCCTAGCTCCTGCCAGGCAGCAGTGGACTCAGTGCATCTTTACACAAGGCTGTGGGCTGTACGACGTTCCCACCAGCCCGGCTGTGTACCTCAGCTTTGTGCTACGTTGATCAATTTGAGCAGCGCAGGAGGACCGAAGGGAATCGTAATGTAATCGTATAGTATATGCTGCCGAAACAGCGTGAATGATTCATGCAGCCATGAGATTCGTCTCTATGCTCCAGACAATGTTGTCGCCAACGCCGGCCATGCAAGTGAGCCAAGCTCTGATGTTTTATCCCCAGAGACCACCTGAAAAGCCATATTCTCTAGAAGCCGCCTGAATGCCTGTTTTTATTTTCCGGAAGTGAAACCCAAACTAAATCCTGCCATCATGCGATGACACACTACGATCATCGCGCGCACTGTGGTCGTCCCTCACTTCGAGATGATCCGTATTCCGGATATTGGCCCTTGAGCTCTCCGCGCGATCAAAATGATCTTCGGTCTTTTGCCTGTAGCGCATGCCGTGCATCTCGATGTCGTTGGGTTGGGGGCCGGCGAGGCCCTCCTCCTCGTCACCTGGACGAATGAAATGTTTCTTATCCGTTGCGTAGCTGTACACTCCAACTCCAGCCCAGAAGGCCTTGTCGGGACTTCGAGGTGCCCAGGCCCAGCCTGCACCACTGGAAACCGGTAAGTGGTAATAGCGGAAAGCGAACCAGGCTGTGACTATCCCAATAATGAATCCAAATAGAATATCGAAACCATGATGCCTGAAATCGGACCACCGGGAACCAGCGATGAAGATGGCTAGAAAGAACGGCAAGAGAGTGAGACCAAGTAGGTAAACCGGAGGTGCTGCCGCCTGTCTCCTGACAGAAGCCACCGAAGAGCTATGTGTGGCTATCTGTCTTGCGATGGCCGGGTCTTCTGGGGCTGCTAGCTCGTCTGTGGCATGTGACATAGGCTTATAGGAGCCGTTGATGCCGCTGGCGCCAGTGCTTCGGGATGGAAACGCGGCGGACCCCGAGTCCGAATCCTTGGCGCTGCCGCCGCTTGCGAAAGGGATGACCACTGCGAATTTGCTGGCGAGGAAGAATGAAAGGTAGATGAGACCCGCGGCAGCCGAGGACGAGTGACCTGAAGGATAACTGCGAAACCCGTCGTCCATAATGTGCTTGTCCTTGTTCAAGCAAATGTCCGCTGATACGAGCCGAGCCCTACTGTTAGGAACCACGTAGTAGTCCTGTTCGTGTGCGTAGTCGGGGTTGCATCTGCTGATTAGATCAGGTCGCGGTTTGCCGAATAAGTTCTTCATGCTGCTTGTGATGAACCACGCTCCCAACAGGGCCATCGCGAGTCCGAGCCATCCTGTGTGGAGTTCCCAAAGTTTCCGTTTCCAGATTAATGATCGAGGGGTGCCCTTTGGGACGGTGGGTCCAGGGACAAACACCAAGACGACGAAGAAGATGACCACGATTGGGATCACGGCGTTACATATCAGCAGCGTCACCGAAGTGACAGTCTCATTCTCCGTGAAGGGGAAACTACAGATGCGTCAGTCGCAAGCGCTCGAGATGCGGTGCCGCCAATCTGGCTGCCGAGTTCTGGACCTACGATATGTTGGGGTCATCCAGGGCAAAATGACGTTTGTTCGGGGTGATGGTGCCCAAAACCGTCCCCACGACGCCGAAAGCGATCAGAACGATCCAATCCGTCACATAGGAGAGTATCAACACCCAGGTGACCTTGCGCTTGCGGCCCTTGGGCGGCAATGGGGAGTCGAGATCAGGCATTTTCCGATAGGCCTGGTAGCTACTAGGAGAAGAGAGTAGGGGAGAGATTACTTTGAGGGGGTTGCTGCGATGGCCGCCCTCTGGCATTTCAATTAAAAGGTGTAGCGCGCTCTCGCCTGGTTCGACCCAACAAAGGCCTGGACTGTTGCTCGGAAAGAATAGTGTCACGGGTCTGCACCGCTACGGGATGGATGTGGTGTCGCGTGGAAAGAAAGCTACGGAAGGCGAAGAATGCGCGTGGTCTCCCAGGAAATGACTTGCTTGTCGTGCGCGTCCTGCGAAAGGGTCGATCGACGTTGTGCACCTCCTTTCTCGCGCCAAAAACCGACCAGCGACTGCGCCCCTGTGCCTTTGAGCTATGGGACTGAGACAAATTCGGTAAAGGGTCTCGTGCTTGGCTCCTTGGCTCTCTACTTTGACGTGTGCCACGCCCCTGACCGGGCCTGAGCCACCCAATGCCACCCGTCGCGCCCAGTGGGACGAGTGCCGTGATTAGCTGATTAGGGGGCGAGGAGGCTGTGCAGCGCTTATTGGGTTTCGCTAGATGAGAAGAAACTTTGTCAAACATGACGAGGACAGTAGATCAAGTGCTGCAGACAGGAATCTCATAAATGCGGAATCCCATCTTTGCCTTTCCAACTCGAGACCACGTAGCCAGCCAACCCTATCCCGCCTTGCTCATTGTCAATCATCTTGGGGCCATGCCTCGCCATTCCGCGGGCGGGACTTGCGACGTTGTCCATGATCTCCAGGACTCCCAGGTGCTCTAAGCCCAATGGGCAACCCATCAGCCCGCACCCAGCGTCAGCGTTGCCCTCAATTCGACCATGGTACTCGTCAGCAACGAGGCGCGGTCACACGGGACTTGCAGTAGAGTCAGGACTCCGCAAATAGGACAATATCACAACAACATCACAAAAGAAAGCCATCTCATGTGCCGCCCCAACGCGTGCGACCGAGGGCCAACTCTCATTATTGAAACAAAGCCCAACGAGGTCACACCTAAATGTCCCATCCATCTCTGGCGACACCTCTTGGTATATGTACTGGACTTTAGGTACCAATTACGGTAGGGCACTGTTAATGGGGACCGTAGAACCCGGCTCCCGGGTGCACCCTCCCAAAGACCATGCCTTCCGGTGATTTGCCGCAGGATGTTGGTAGTTGGCGGTCGGTGAACATCTCCAAAGGAAGATCCGAAGATGACATCCGAAGCACCGGCTTTGATTCAGGATCTCAAATCCTGGAAATGGCGTAGGCTTTGTTTGCTTGGCAAGCCTGTGCCAAGATCGGCTTCTTTTGTTCTGACAAAGCGATCATAAGAAAAAATGGACCGTCTGTGTCGAGCCCCGCGAGCCTCACCTGAGACCCTAGGGTGCATGTTGCGTCGCCGTCTGCTATGGCACCCTTTCTTTTAGCGCGTCGTCCGTGGAAGATCACCCGCATCTACATGGTGACCCATGGTCGCAACACCTTGAATACCCTACGGGCAGGCCAGGGATGATGTCCACATTGGACGAAGACGTTCTTGACCTTCAGGTTGGTCGTAAACGGATATGTGAATGCTGATTGACGCAGTGCACAATGCTGCAACAGTCTTCGTGAACCTCCCCAATGACTAGTAACTCATGCATGCAACGTCGCAGGCACTCCCTTGGGTCGGCGCCGTTGGATTTTACTGCAGTACTACATTTACATCTGCGAACGCATCTCTGCACTCTGAGAGATCACTCTACCAAGACGTTACACTTACGGTGTGGCAGCGAGCCATCGGAGCCTTTGGTCTGCAAAGGCCATGCATGTAGTTCAGCTGGGCTGCTAGCATGTCTTACCACGTTTGGCCTGTCCTTGAGGAGATGTTCGTTGCTTCAGGCGAGATCTGTACAAGAATGATGACGACTTAAACTATTTTCGGTCTTTCTTCTGCCGACCCCTTACCTACGTTTGGCAAAGTTGGTTCTTTAGAAGTCCTCATTCAGAAGACACCACTCCCGTGGGCGGCTGCTGCTAGGCTACTCTAGTCCGTAGAGCATGTAACTCTCCGCAGAGAACCCTGGACTTGCAGGGCTCTCGAGCTTCCTCGGTGCTACCCGCTTCAATCAGCCCATTGTTGATCTAGTGATGGCTGTCTGGGAAATCGACATACTGTGAATACATGGGGAATGTCCATGATATGTTTTGCATCACAAATTGCTGTTGCTTGTATATTGTTTAATGAGTACATGACCCAAGTTTTCGATGTTAGAAGACTTCCGTCCGAATTATACTGCCACTTCTTCGGACGCAGTAAGCTGCGCAGGGCAAAAAGTCTGCTCGTTGCTCCGTCCGTCGTCCCATTGTCAACACGCGCTTTCCCTTGCTTCCAAGCCCGATGCACAGTCGCATCCTGGTGAACAGGCCTTTTAGCTGCCGCACTGGGCTCTACAGAGGCTCCATCCTGCCCCAGACGCAATTTACGCGGGAAGATCTGATCTCAAGGGTGTGGTGGGTCTTCGTATTTCTCACTAGCCAACGTTTCGACTTATTCTTTGTCTAACACGCCGACGCCAGGGTAGTCTGCAGAAACGAAAACCTGGGTTCCGCAGCCGATGCATATGGCCAATAGACTGCCAGCTCCAAATCCGAATATAGAGACAGCCGTAGCATACTTGTTCAACATGGCGTCGATACCCCTGCTGCTGATTGCTCCGATCGCATCTGTGCTTTTGGACTATTCCACAGACCCCTTCAGGATAGGCTAGCCAACCCCTGGTGATGCAGGCTTTTGTGATAATGCCTGTCCTTCGAGCATGGTCAGTTCACTTCAGTTCACTACCAGTGTCTTGGTAAACTTATAAACTGGGAGCATCTTGTTAGTCTCTCTTGACTCTGATCTTCTCCCCATCGTGTCTTGTCCATCCAAGCCGTTACACTCGTTTTCATATCGGCAGTGCTGCCGTATCTTCACCATGCGTTCGTTCAACTTAATGTCTTTTACTCTGGCAAGCAGCCTTGCGGTTGCCTCTGCTTCCTCTCTTTTACATCAGCAGCGTGATGTTTCCCCTGACAACACTTGCGGAAACACTGGTGCTGGAACAGCTGGATACACATGCCCGACTGGCAATTGTTGCTCCCAATAGTGAGTCCGTTGCTGGCTCTTGCACCGACCACTGATCTAATCTCGAGCTCAGCGGATACTGTGGTACTTCGTCGGACTACTGTAGCAGCAGCAACGGCTGCCAAAGCGGCTTCGGAACTTGCACAGAGTCACCCGATGATAATGATAATGGATCTGGCACTGTCTCTCCGGATTTGACGTGCGGAACGACAGGAGCCGGGACTGCTGGTTACGTTTGCCCTACAGGCCTGGTAAGCAACGTCACCCTCTCTTCAGTTGCATTACAACTCGCCGATGTAACGAGGCTGACACATTCTGTTGCAGTGCTGCTCTGGATAGTGAGTTCAAACTTAGAGCCAACATTGTCCGAATTACGTACTAACCCTACGAAGTGGGTATTGTGGTAACAGTACGGACTATTGCCTTGCTAGCAATGGGTGCCAGGACTTGTTCGGCGACTGTACCGACGACGGTGGGGATGATGCTGGAGACAGCGACTCCGGTAGATGCGGTCCCAGCTTCAATGGAGCTGTGTGTGCTTCCAATGAATGTTGCTCTGCTGAAGGGTATGCTATGACTCTTCATTGGATACATGGGGTTACTGACGGTGTGGTATAGATATTGCGGAACGACAACGGAACATTGTCAAGCACCCGACTGTCTTTTCAACTATGGTCCAGCTTGTGACGCCAACAAGACTCCTTCTGGCACGAACACTACGACTCTGACCCGATCCAAGCTTTCAAGCGTGGCATACGGCGGTGCGGGAATTTATAGCTGTGTCGACGAAGGAGTGGTTGCCATCACCTACGATGACGGCCCAAGTGGTTACACAAATGACCTGCTCGATCTGCTTGCAAAATACAATGCAAAGGCCACCTTCTTCATCACTGGTAACAACAACGGCAAGGGCGAGATCGACAACACAAGCCTCGCGTGGCCCACGGTCATCAAGCGCCAACACAGCGACGGTCACCAGATTGCCTCGCACACTTGGTCTCACGCCGACCTGAGCAACATCACGTCTGCGCAGCGCAAGAACGAGATGGTCAAGAACGAGATGGCTCTCCGCAACATCTTGGGCTTCATCCCTACTTACATGCGACCCCCTTACTCGTCTTGCACGGCCGAGAGTGGATGCCAGTCTGACTTGGCCGACCTAGGCTACCACATCATCTACTTTGATCTAGACACGCAGGACTACCTCCACACCACCCCTGACCTCATCCAGACGTCCAAGGACATCGTTGACGACTTCTTCGAGGGCAAGGATGCGGGCACCTTCGATGCCCTCTCCATTGCGCACGACATCCACTACCAGACCGTTTACAACCTGACTGAGTACATGCTCAAGGAGATCACGAGCCAGGGCTACAGGGGCGTCACCGTCGGCGAGTGTCTTGGCGACCCAGTCGAGAACTGGTACATCGCCGACAGCAGCGCCAGCACCGCAAGCCCCGTCGTAGGGTCAAGCTCTGCTTCAGCCGTTGCGTCCAGCGCCACCTCTGCCGCCGTCACAACTGGCGTCACCAGCGCCGGCTCGACCTTGACCAGCGTCACGAGGGCGGCCAGCAGCACGACTGCTCTTCCCTCGACGACCAAGCCAACTTCTCCTTCCACCACTTCTACTGCCAGCACTCCAACCACCACTGCGGGCAACCCATCTTCAGGTTAGTAATCGAGCGTTAAGTGTGAACCCGCCTTCCTTCTTGGGTCACTCCGCATGTGCGAAAACAGGTAACTGACGAGTATAGGATGGTTAGGCAACTTCTGGGACTGGTGGAAAAATCTCTTTGGTGGTCGCAGACCCTGATTTGTCCGTACCTTGAAACTGGAAGGTTGCCAGTATTGGAAAGGTTGATGAAGGTTATGAGCTTATATACTATTGGAAATCGCGGTGCAAATAGATACTGCGAATTGGAGTAATCAGGCGCTATGTTTAATAAGGATAATGAAAAGCAAATTTGAGTAATTCTAATGGTCCATCGAGTCATAGAACATGTTCAAATCTTGAAAATGGCAAACACCCGTATCGTACCGGAGGTTTACTCGTCACCGTCAAACTCATCAAACTCCAAACACCCCTTGAAATGCTCCGGATAGAGGTTACATGAGAGATATCTACTTTCGGTTGCTAGATCTGATCCTACAGTATGTTGATAGTCGTAGCAATTCGCAAGCTGTACTACGTTTCACAGAATTTGCAACGGTGCATCTGCTTGAGTTCAGTTGATGATTAAACAAGTTCACATCCGTTCTGAACGATAGTGGCTGAAGGTTGTCATTTCTCAGAAAGAGGCCTATAGAAATCCAGGGCGGTGGTTGGGCTGTAACCGAAATCCTCGTACAGAATGCGACACGTAGCATTGGGACTCGGACGATTAATGACACAATAGAAAACACGCATCGGGAAGGCTATCGATGAACAATAGCTTTGTCGACCTCGGGAATCCTTCAAATCGGACCTACCGGACCGCCAGCCGTGCGTTGTATCTTCAGGGAGAGACATCTCACTGAGGTCGGATGTTGTACGAGATACAGTTGGCTTGGCTGCCAGCGGATTGCCCTTTCCCCACATCATGACACCACAGCTGCAGCATGCTTAAGCTTTATCGATAAACCCCCAATGAACGCAGCTTCCGGTACAATTGTGGCGAACGTACGGCATGTATTCGCGAGCTCCTCACTTGCACCAACAGACGCCGCATCTGTCTGCAACGCCTCAGTTCCTTAGCCTTCCGTAGGTCTTAGCTGCCGCAGGCATTGAAGCACGACTGGGCCAGCCACGAATGGCAAGGCGACATGGCACACCAGCTTGGCGGGGCACTCCGAGTGAGCAGGTGCTCCTGCGAGACTGGTCGTGAAAGAGTGAGCATGCAACCATGAATGCGCGCCGTCTCGCCCTTCGGCCCCTTACTGACCGGGCTGTCTCAGTACCGTGTGCCCAAGAGAGTTCATATCGACTTTGAAGACTTCAGCCCTGATCCCTTCGGCGGCGACCAACACGAGGAAGACGATGACGATGACGAAGACGAAGACGAGGACAATGAGGAGGGTGACGAAGCACTTGACGAGCTGTCCGTAGTAGCAGGACCCGATAGCGACTTCGAGATAACAGGAACCGTTGCGCCGGGACACGGCTATGGCTTTCAGGAAGACGGATTGGCGGTGGATGATTTCCCCGACATCATCGGCAACCCGTTCGTTGACGCTGGTAACGACGAGGATTTTGGGCCTGCTGCCCTGGAGGATTTGGATGTCGAGGTCGACGATGATGGCCTGGAAAGCTCCAGTACCGAGTCCGACCCCGGTAGTATCGAGACAGAGACCGACGGCCAACCTAGGCCCCCTCAGATCTCTTGGTGGAGACTCAACCTCACTTCTCTATCTCACCACCACAATCTTTACTTCGCAGCTTACAGAGACCAGATACATATCTCACGACCTCGGAGTTGTGTATCACATAGCCTGCCTCCAACTCCCGATCTGGTTCTGCGGCCGAGACAAAGTCCCGCAGCTATGCGGGTGGGAGGAACCATTGACCGTGTCTTCCCACACCAAGTCAACCACCTAATAGTTGCGGACTTTGGCGAGGAGGAGATATTGCTTATGGCTTATGACGACGGTGACGTTATTGGATACTTCACGCGACACATCGAACAGGAGATCAGTCACAAGGAGCAAACATGGCCAGCCAGACACTCAACAGGGCATGTACGACCATTTTTTCACGAAAACGTGGATATATCAGCATGGGGTCTAGCGGTGCACAAGAAATCAAGGCTAATCGCTGTGGGATCTAATGCCCACGCTGTCACCCTCTTCGTTCCTGCTTTGACTGGGCCTGAGGTCTCCTTCGCCAAGAACGATCCAAACCAGTTCTGGCGGACCAGACAACACCCAGGACCTGGAAACATTACCATTGCAACAGAGGCAGACTACGTTGACCTGAGCTCGTTAAGCCAAAGGGACGCGAACTGGAAAATTACTCTAGACACTGCTCCTATCGGCGACAATATCCCAAATCTAACATTCAGCAGCGACAAGGATGGAAAGGCCGAAAAGGTCGTTGCCGTGGATGTGGCAGGGAACATCTGGTTGATGGACATTTGGAACCCTTATATCAACTACGAGAAAATTCCTGCCATCCACCGCGCTCGTCCTGGCTCTTTGCCCGGTACTCGTGGAAGGTGAGAATCTGCTTTCCTCCCCATGCTTATGGAATCGCTCACAGAAAGTTCTACAGACCTAGGGGCTGGGGTGTCTTGGTTCTCCACGAAGACAGCTTCTTACCCACGCAGGATTTCAAAGACGCCCTCGGATTGACGAAGGAGGACGCCCGATTTGCACACCATCTCAGCATCGGACGGTGGGTTGATATCAGCAGAGGGCACAGGTCCATGCTGGACAATCCAACACAGCCTTCCTCACGAAGACCACAGGTACAAAGTCAGAGACAAGACGTGGTGCACCAGGATCTTGTAGAGAGGGAGTATTGGTTTCGGCCGTATAACGATGGGTCAAGCGAGCTGCCGCGTCGTCGTCGGGATCCTGAAGTCGAACATGTGGGAACTACCCTCAGTGATGGAAGCAGTATTCTCCGGCTTTACGAGGCAGACATCGAGCTCCGATCGCACGAAGAAGACGGACTCAACGTCATGTGGCAGCATGCCGTGAAGCAATTGCAATACCCAGCCCCGCATCTGCCTGCTGGTGGATGGCTCCAAGAAAGACTGAGCAATAATCACCATGTTCCCGAGTTATCGCTGGTGGTTGCTGGATCGATGTGTGGGCGAGTGGCGCTCATCACACTCACACGCCCAATGGACAAGCTGATGGGATTGGAGCGAGGATTTAAGATCGAGGCAATCTTACCAACGCGGGAGGACGAAGACGCGTGGCTGCGACCCTGCTGCCCATTGTACGGTGTTGCCGTCGGGCCACTGCCAATAGCTGCTGGAAAGCCTGACAGAATCAGCCCGGCCAGACCTCGCAGATTCCGTCTGATGCTTCAGTACTATGATCACCGTATTCTGAGCTATGAGATCAGTCGGGGCCCCGAGTCTGACAGTCTCATGGTGATTTAAGGAGGGGCCACGGCATTGCTTCTGCGAAGAGTTGGGCATGTTTTATTTGTTTTACCTCGACTATATGTTTGATACCCGGGCCGGCAGTGTATTGATAGGAGTTAGGGATGCAAATGGAGATTCAAAGAGCAGCCTTCTGCTACGAAACAACCCGGCATGATATGAGGGAATGGAGCACCTGATCAGGGCATTCATGGTACGTTTTGGACGTTAGGCGTATTTTGCTTGTTATGAATCAGCCATAATTGTGCCACCCCACGAGTCCAGCTTGCTTTTTGATACGAAAATAGTGTTGAAGTGTTGGGTTGATACCAAGCCACCGGTAACACCCCTCGTGCCCTCGGTATGGGGTTGCGGATGGTGCGTGGGGGACGCGCCGAAGCCTTCTGGAAAAGCTGAGACAGGGGTGCTTCTGATGCAAGGCACCGAGGGCGCCGTCGGTTGGGCGGGCTGGCGGGTTCATCACGGCAACTTGGACCAGAAGTGGTTCAACGGCCTCTATCCAAACAATTACGTACGAGAAAGCTGTCACGTTTTGCCTAGTTGAACCCTGCGGCTTGGCAATGAGCTTAATCTCACGTTCTTCGAAGGCCTCGAGTTTGGCTTGTCTCTGTATATGTCTCCAACCATCGCCAGATGATCGAGCTCTGTCCAAGGATGCGTAACTTCGATCTGGGATATTGGCATCAAGATCTCGGTAGAGCATCTGCACCCCGAGTGATGACGCTGGATTGCCTGTAGCAATGAGAAATCCAGTCCCGCCTGATTGGTCGAGATAAGCTGAGTCCCTAGCGTCCCGATTCTTATCTCTTGGCGAGCCCCACAAGCCGTATCGAGGCCCGCCCGGAGGCCCAGCTCCAGTTTCGCCCTATTCCGAGGCTGGCTGCTATGGCACGGGTGCGGTAGATGATGGACATCAAAGAGGAACACGCCGCGCCGCTATTGTTAATATTGTCTGCCGGGGTTGTCGCGAAGCCAAGAAGGTGAAACACTCATCGCCATGAGGATTCGGCAGATATCTCTATTGCATGCAGCTCGCGTGCCCAGCGGAGGCAGCCTCGTCTCACTAATTCTGCGTACGCTGTAACCCACTCCACTGAGAGAAATCCGAGGTAACGGAGGCACGAGATTACCTGAATTTCCCATGCAGCACTTCGAAGTACTCGCTCACAGGAGGTATGAGAGCAAAGGGTCTAGACGTGATATCCTTGTCCGAATATACCGTACTATTAAACTTGATATTGCGCTCGGCAAAGAATAATTGTTTCAGCGTCCTGGGATTTCACCCACGCGCGATTGAGGTGGCTTTCATGCGTCGACGCCCTGTTTGACATCATTGACGAGAGATCCTAGTCTCCGGGCTGCCCATCAATGGACCCGCCAGGGCGCTGGAAATTGTTAGGGCGGTACTTGCTACCCAGACTGCAGAGTCCAGAATGCAGACGATTAAGGCTCAGGCTCTGAATCGCCAGCAGCTAACGCATGGTCGATCCCCACGCTCCAAGTGTGTTTTCAATCATTGCCCATCATATGGACTCTGTCACGGTCTGTTCTGTGCCTTGACTGCGTATGTAGAATTGTGATCGAGTCTGTCTGCATGCTCCCTTCAGAAGTAATGCGCACGTGCGATCGTCATTCCTGTCTACCGCGAATTGAGGAGGGACGGTGGTCTCCAGGCCTACCACTCAGCACTCTTGGGTCACTACAGTACATGCCTGGGCAATGCTTGACCTGCATGTGCATCCATACGAACTTACTATAACCGTACCATCTCGACGGCTTAGAACTATCACGGCTTCATTGTGTCGTCCGATTTTCGCCGTTACGACCACGCGAGCTGTCGAGTTCTCTATCTGACGATTATCAGAAGCCCGAATTCACCCCATTCGCCAATTCAAGTCGTTGGTAAAGCATTCACGTTTCCAAGACAAGCTATTTCGTAATGAATACTCGGTCCCCACGCCATTTCGAGGCGTGTGCTTCTTAGCTACATTGAGGCTCATCTGGGACCCTTGAACCGTTCAGGAACCAGTCAATCGGGCATCGCATGCGCTTGAATCTTCAAACAATTTAGCAAATAGCGTCGAGGGAGCATTGCAACCGCGGCATTTGCCTGCAAAGAGATATCCTGAAGCCGGGCAAGATGCGCACGCGAAGTCTGCGATCATGACTACCCCAGAGAACCGGCTGCATGACGCAGTTCCGCCCGCCCCGGCTCCAGAGGAAAATTTCTCCCCCAGGCGCGAATCCCTGTCACAGGTGCCGAAGAAAAACCCCCCACTCACCCAGCATGGCGGCCGGGGTGGCGCTTCTACGCTTCAATAGGCCTAGACCAGGGTGCGCACGAACTTGGGTTTCCGGAGCGATTTGAAGATTCAACGACAAACATTTCAGCACCTATTTTTACTTCGCGCTGGCTAAGCAACAAGTGCGTTGTTCGCCTGACAGGCACTGGCCCTGCAGCCGCGACCGCAGACCGGGGCTTATCGGCCAGTCGTCTCCTCAGTGCATTTCATGCGTCAACCCAATCTCTAATGAATCCGGACATGAGCCTGTTGATTGGGCCCGTCGCCGGGGATAAGCAAGTGGAATGGTCTTGCTGCTTCAGGCCATTCAGCAGCCACAGCGTGGGTTTACCACGCCGAAGCATGAGATGGGCACCCTGCGACGTGTGATGCTGTCAATGCCCAAGTTCTGGGCGTTTTTTCAGCTGTTGATGCTACCGCGGGATCCCTCGTGGATTTTGAGTTTTTCACAGTCGCATGGCGTGGTGCCATTGCAACGACTAAATGGCAAATTGAGTTCAAGTGTCTGCTGTAGTCGAGGCTCCAGACTGCCTTCTCGCTAAAAGAGAATGCTACGGACAGACAGTGAGATTGCATGTGAAAAAGGACAGCAACTTGAGGGGGACCATCACATCGCTGGCCGCTTATACGCACATGCTCTCGCTGCCTACGAAGTAGTGCCCGTGAGTAACAGCGACATCGCTGCCTCTCGACATGCAAAAGGCGCCTTGGGAGGGCAGCACGACATCACCCGCAAAAGGCTTTTTCCCCTCGTGGTTTTCGCCCTGCAGCAAAGTATGTACGCCTGGTACGTACTAAGGCTATAGTCCCCGTAGTCTGATAACCGAAATCCTGGCAACGCCTCCGTCCCACCTTTCTGACGGGGGATCAGTCGACCATCACAACGCCAGTGTTGGATGAATGCAGACTGTACCCAGCTAACAGCGCCCCGGTAGCCCCCCCGGTCTTCCACTGCTCCCACGCCCGCGTTCCACTTGCATCTTTAATTGGTCTGATTTGCAGTCGACTCCCAGATTCGGCGGCCCCCCAATTCGAGCTAGGTCTCGCCGGGCGATCTCGCGACTAAGCAGCGTCAACCCGTCCCAGGTGTCTGCTCCGTATATATTCTTCTGTGTACCCAACCTGGTCGCGCTTTCGGACCCCTTCTCGCATCTCTGTTTCTCCTTTCGACCTTTGAGCTTCTGGACCGCGGGACAGAAGTTATCGACCTGGACAGAGCTCGTTTGCAGGTCAACTTCGGGCACACCACCACCACCACCACCTGAATTCCTTGACGAAGCTCGCAGGATCCGCCAGCGTCGTCGACGACACCCTCGACAAAATGTCGTACTCGTGGATTGGAGCTCCCACGGAGTTCAATGGAACGGACCCAGAGACCGGCGGCGATTCCGGTATGTAACATTCCGGGATTCAATCTGGCCGCCTTGTATTGCTGGGTACACTGACACACGTTTCTTTAACAGCCACCGAGAACTTGAACCAATGGTATCAGTCAGGCGACCAGGCCTTCATCATTGTTGCAGCATGTATGGTCCTGATTATGGTCCCGGGTATCGCCTTTCTCTACTCCGGATTGTCTCGAAGAAAGTCAGCCCTGTCCCTGATCTGGGTCGTCATGATGTCCTTCAGCGTCATCGTCTTCCAGTGGTACTTCTGGGGCTATTCTCTGGCCTTCAGCAGCACGGCCACCAACGGCTTCATCGGCGATCTGCACCACTTTGGTCTGATGAACACCCTCGCCGTGCCTTCGCCCGGTTCGCCGCTTATTCCTGAGCTGCTGTACTCCTTCTACCAGGTATGTTGTGCTCCCCGTCGGACGGGGCTCTGCTTGGGCCGATGTCGCGTGAACCAGCGGACTGTCAGACTGACATCATATGCGCCCAGATGCAATTCTGTGCCGTCACCGCAGCACTGGTTGTTGGTGCGACCGCCGAAAGAGGACGTGTCCTACCCGCCATGGTCTTCACCTTCTTCTGGGCCACGATCGTCTACTGCCCCGTCGCATGCTGGGTCTGGAACATCAACGGATGGGCCTTCAACTACGGTGTCCTCGATTATGCCGGTGGTGGCCCGGTCGAGATCGTCTCGGGTATGTCGGCCCTGGCCTACTCGTGGGTCCTTGGACGCCGCCACGAGAAGATGATGCTCAACTTCCGACCCCACAACGTCTCTCTCATCACCCTCGGAACGATTCTGCTCTGGTTCGGTTGGTTGGGATTCAACGGTGGTTCCGCTTTCGGCGCCAACCTGCGTGCCGTCATGGCTTGCTGGAACTCGTGCCTGACTGCCATGTTCGCCGCCATGACCTGGTGTCTGCTTGATTTCCGTCTTGCCAAGAAGTGGTCCATGGTCGGTTGGTGCTCCGGTGTCATTTCCGGACTTGTGGCCGCCACTCCTGCCTCTGGTTTCATTCCTCCTTGGGCCTCCATTGTTCTCGGTGTCGTTACTGGCGTCTGCTGTAACTTCGGAACCAAGGGTACGTTGCCATAAGATACATGGACTGAGAAGTAATATTTGCTAACTACGTTTATAGTCAAGTTCCTGGTCAAGATCGATGATTCCCTCGATGTCTTCGCTGAGCACGGTATCGGCGGTATGGTTGGACTTATCTTCAACGCCCTCTTTGGTGCCGACTACATCATCGGCCTGGACGGTGTCAACACAGGTGTTATCACTGGTGGCTGGATCAACCATAACTACAAGCAGCTCTACATCCAGGTTGCCTACATTGTCGCCTGCACAGCCTACTCTTTCGTTGTGTCGGCCATCATTGCCAAGGTCATTGATCTGATCCCTGGCCTGCACCTCCGCGCCAGCGAGGAGGCTGAGCTCCTTGGTATGGACGACGACCAACTTGGCGAGTTCGCCTACGACTACGTTGAGGTCCGCCGTGACTTCCTTGCATGGACCCCCGCCAAGGAGGAGCCGTCTGGCGACGGCATGAGAATCATCCCCCAGCACGGTATTGAGGAGCACCAGAACCTGGCCAACACGAACGGCCACGCGCTCGAGCACGAGCAGGAGAAGTTTGGTGCTTCGGCCAGGGATCCGGCCCGCGAGAAGGCCGCCGAGAGCGCGGCTGAGCGGGACGCTTCTTCTGAGCAGTAGAGCGGGCATGCGTGTTTGGCTTAGAATTGGTTTCTTGCGAGGAATGTTTTGCGGTTGGTTGATGATGTAATTAATATACCCCCCTGAATGTCGGATACATGTCTGGAACGGACGGATTTTCGGCAACTGTACTACACCAAAAATTCTTTTGCTTATCTCATGGGCTGCTACGAAGGAATAAAAAAGTGAATGCCGAAGCGCAGGAGTTTGCTGGATAGGTGTAGCAGCATATACGAACGATACCATATACAGATTTCATACAATTTGACCACTTATCCCTGGTAACGTCGTGTGGCATTGACTGTTCCTCTCTGTTAACCAATAGCTCAGGCCTATTCTCCTCATCGCAGCAGTAAACGGAACTCGCCCTCTTCCAATGCATTTTACCCACTCACGAATGGAGCCCACAGATAGTACCCCTCGAGGTCGTCTACGAGACTTTTCGGCATCTGGCCCGTCAGCTCCTCATCAGCCTTTTTGTTCACCTTAGCTGGGTCCCAGCCAAGATCACTCAGGCCTAGGCTTTCCCAGATTGCCACGCCCTGTGACGGTGCATCGGAGCCCATCTTGGGGTTCTCCCACGCCTGGCGCACTTGGTCCCACTGTTTCTTCTTGTCACCGGGATCTGCAGGCAGGAAGGCCTTCTCGTTCGCCTCCAGCTTCGGAAATTTGTATAGCTTCTCGTCCAGCTCCTGCACCATGAACGTTTGGTACTTGAACGGAAATGTCTTGTCCTTGTCGGACACGGCAGCATCGGGCACGCTGATGATGACGCCGCACATCAGCGAGACTGTCGCCTCAGTGTCGCCGTTGAGATAGTCCTTGTTATTGGTATTATAACTGGGGTCCTTCTTGCAGTCATCTGTGGAACGAAGGTGATCTCTGGTCAGCCGAGGGGACACGGAATAGAGGAAGGATACGATAAATTGGACATATACTGACATGGACCCCACAATCCTGCAGGAAGACTCTTCACAATAGGCTTATTCTTGTTCCACACGGTTTCCCCGTCGTTGTCACCTTCAACCCCTAGCATCAACTGCTTCCTGGCCGGAGCAACCGGCGTAATGCGAACGTGGAGCTCGGTAGTCAACGTGTTGGCGTTGCACATTGGGCGGGCGTTGATCGGGTTGCCTGTGCCCAAGACTTCAGAGGACGGCTCATCTTCCGCTTCCGCGTCGTCTCCTCCTGTTGCTCCTGTCGCGGCAGGTCGGCCCGTTACTATAGTGGCTTTCGAAATTGCAATCTTGCAAGATACGGCGAACGAGAAAGTGGCTGCTCGAACTGTCCAAAGCCCTCCGCTTGGCTGTGACTGTATCTGCTGGTCCGGGACTAAGCCTGACTGCACGACGAGGACGTGAGGATTCCTCAAATCCTCCTCTGGCTCTTCCACCTTTCCGGCGACCCTCCGATGCGCCGCGTGGCCAACGGGTGTCTCGGGTGTGATCGCGTGGAATAGGCCGCTTGGCCCGGGACCGTCTGAGGCCTGACAGGCCAGGATGATGAAGTCATCAAGGCAGAGCTTCTCAGCTCTGTCGCCACGACCGCCAAAATCGATGTCGAATCCAAACACCCAGAAGTCCACGTGCACCGTGCCATGGATCGGCGGTCCCTCGATGTGAATGGTGGCACCAATGTCCACGCTGATGTGGATGGTGACTATCCACAGGTCCATCGTGAAGCGGACGCCAACAGCGATGCCCCCGTCTGCAACGAAGTTGAAGGGGGCGAAGTTGATGAGGAAGTCGATGAAGGCGTAGTAATACGCCTCCAGCGGGCCCAACTGGAGAGACACATCCCACCGTCCGCCGCCCATGCACACCTTGGGCGTGATGGCGAAGTAAGCCTCGCCGCGGATGCTGATGGCGCTGCTGAACTGCCAGCTAATGCCGAGGCGCGGCGGATCGGGATACTGCACCGGGGGCTTGTACTGTCGGTGATATCCACCGAGTGTGAAGACCCAGTCGCCTTTGAGCTCTGGCACACTGTCGCCAAACCACGTATACAGCGCGAAGCCGCCCGTCAGGTGGCAGTCGGGGTGTAGAATATACGACGACGGCGTCAGCTGCCCGTCGATCTTCATGGTACCCGCCGCAACGTCGATAATTGCCGTCATGCCGAGCTGCACGTGTGCAAAAGCGAACTTGCCTGCTACCTTGGCGGGAATGTCGGCAGTGGCGATAGCAAATATACCAATCTTGATGTTGGGATCCCACTGGATGGCGAGCACAGCAGATACGTCAAGCATCTCAAAGGCCACCACGTCGAGCCCGGCCGCGATCCAGAAAGATCCCTGTTGCGGTGAGAACCATTGCTTGTTCTCCGTTAGCTTCCGCATGATTCCCTGGGGGTCCGGGGTCGACGGCGCCGGGTTCGAGATGAGCGGGTAGTCAGTGATGGTGTTGACCGTGGGCAAGCGCATGCTAGAGTTATACCCGAAGCCAGCGGTCACGCCCGAGATGGTTGCAAACTCGAAAGTGATGAGCGGCCCCAATAGGCGGGCATAGACGAAAAATGTCTTGTATTGCTCCAAACCCTTGATCTCGCCGTAGCATCCAGCGGCTGAGAACTGCCACGGCTTGTAGCTGGCCAGCAGAGCACCTTGATACATGGTGTCATCGATGCGCTCCAGCATACCCCCAACCGCAATAGGAGACTTGTCGTATACTGCCGCAAGTCCATCCAGTCTAACTGACGGTTCCGGGAGGTTGAAAAAGCTGAAGCCCTTTCCGGGATTGAAGGCGAGGTCGATAGCAAAACCGGACACAGCAAACTCCATGGGACCGAATTTGACCGAAGCGTCGACCTTGACGGTCAGCGTGTCTTTGGCATATTTCAGTCCCAGGTTGCGCACCGATAGGCCGCCGTACGATTTACTGTACTTTACCATGCCGGAGTCCTGGCCTTCAGGGTCAGAGTCATCTTCCGAGGCGCTCGAAGCGTCCGGATCTTTGCTATACCCGCCACCTAGCACGTAGTCCACAACGACATTGACGTTTCCCTGATTGTCCTTCAGGGTAATCATGAGGTGGACCCCATTCCTAAGCACGGTGTCTGTGTCGGCTGTAGCCCTCTTGATGGTCTTGTACGGCAGTGGCTCCTGGGACAAGGGGGGCTTTTTGATTATATCGTTGACCAATTTCACCTCTCCCTTGGTCAGGCCATCGGAGCCAGCCTGCGGCTGCACCCACATAGCAATGGCCTCATCACAAGGCTGGGACAGTTTTCCCAAGAGTGGCACATCGACACTGTCAAACGGCTTGATTGACGTAAGGAATACCCGCTTGATTGTCGGCGGTGTAGTCTGCGACGTACCCGACGTCGAATACGCGTACTGGATGTATTGGACCCGCAAGCCGCCGAGTTGAACCCACAAGGTGAAAACGATGCACTTTTTCTCCTTGTTCGGCACCAACCGAATTCCAACCCGGTCTTCAGATGAGTCCACGGAGATCTTGATATCGTCCAAGAAGCCCGGGAGGTCTATATCCCCAACTATGTCTGTCAGCATCGCCCCAAACGTGGATCCCTTTGTCTTCTCGTTAAAGTGGACATCGGCGTGGAAATCCCAGTCCCAAGGGTCGCCGCCATTGCGGTAGTCGAGAACAAAGTCAAGATTCCCAATGGCCAAGATTCCCTCCAGTTCAAAGTGGGTGGCTTGTCCGCTCTGGTAGAGGTACTGTACCTTGAACTGCTTGACCCCAATACTCCCAAGGAGAGATGCAGCGCTGAGCTGCACATCCTTGTGGAAAAACTGGTAGAGGTGGGATATGTAGAGATTGTCAATGGTACCTACCAGATACCAAGACTTTTTAGATCCATCATAGTGAAAGGCCCCCCTCAACTCTGCTGGCTCGAGGTCCGTGGTAGGAGGGGCTTGGATCAGCGCACTCAAACCGAGGGCTATTTCCACATCGCCAGACGAAGTCCCGGAGCCGAACTTATAGGAAGCAGCCATGTCAATCTGATCGATACTGAAGATTGGTGGCTTCGAATGCATATCTGAAGCAATGCGTAGCCTGCCAGCGACGCCGATCGCCTCGGCATTCACATATAGCTTGGCCATTGTTACGGTTGTGGGAAATATACTCGGAGGCGAGTCATCCGAGGTGAAGCCCACTAACTTTCCCAGGTCCAGATTCGAGGGCCAGGTATGGCCAGCATCACGACCCAGTGGCTCAAACCATGCGTAGTTTTCAAAGTCTGGTAGGAGTCGCAAAGCAGGACCATTCACATTGTATGAGGGGGCTGGCATCACGGGCCGTGGTTAGCACATCGAGATTTCGGCGAGAGGGAAAACTCACCTAGCCAAAGATCAGCTTCTAGAGAGCTGCCTGAGCCTCCCGCAACCGAGTAGTTGAAAGTGATCAGGGAGATGACGACTTGGTCCTTGGCCTGGAACTCAAGTTCCATGTCTAGCGCAAAGCTGGCGAATGACAGCGAGGACCCATCTATAGAGGATGGGACGAACGAAAGAGTCAACCGCCGAAAGTCAAAGCTCGGAAACGAGAGAGATCCAGCGTTTTCACTCAGCCACTGTTTGAAGGGGAACGGATCGTTCCCGTTGGTCTGGTGCTCTTCTTTGATGATGGTGGTCTTGAGCCACTGTAGCATCGTGTCGATGACTTTGCCGGTCTTGCTATTGAGTATGAGCTGCACCACAACCCCCTCTGAGCAGAGCTCCATGATCGCATTGAATTTGAGACCGGCAAGAACCACGTCGACCACAAGCACCAGTTCGCCCTCTGTCTGGACACAGATATCCTTAATGCCCGAGATCCAGGTGCTCTTGCGTCGCGCGATGAGGTAAGCACTTGTGACGGTACACTGAAGCACCCCCAGATAAGACTCCAGGGTCTCGCGGTCATCCTTGGATAGATCGAGCTGGAGCCGCAGCGTGGTAGCGTAAGCCATCTGAGGAACAAACCAGATGGCGTTGCGATTACCTGTGCCTGGATGGCCAGGGCCGGGCAAGACAAAACGCAGTCCTGACAAGACAGATAGCAGGGGATTCTGCGTCAAGATGTCTTCAAGTCCTACAAAGCTGGCCAAGGTTTCCAATGTCAAGGTCATGGTGTCGTTTCGTGCTGCACTGACATCGAGACCGAGTATGATAGAAGTCGCCCCATCCCGCAGTCCCATGGCTGGTGGCTGGCTGTCCGGGAACGAGTTGGCCAATGCCATCGAATCGGTGGTGAATAGGAGCGGCGTTGGCTCGTCATTCTTGGTAGGGGAGGGAGGAGTGAGCGTCGCAATCGGAACTGTGAGAGCAAAACCCCCTATCCCAGCAGCAGCAGTATCTGTGCTCTTCAATACGAGCGCATTAGCGGCGCCGAGAGCGTCCTGGAACCAACCTCGCAGCTCGTCTTTGCCCAAAAGCTCAATGGACGAACTTGTAGCATCCTCGAGCGGGTTACTGGCTAGTCCGATCGCCGCGCAGTGCAATGTAGCCATGAAACCGTCCCACGGGCTCACCTGGTTGACTCGCAGATACTGAATCGTCGCTCTCTGAATATCGGTGTCCTGGATATCGCTCGTAGCCTGGCTGGCGTAGATGTACCAGCCATCAATATCGAGATCGACAAGACCCCCTTGGGGTGCCGCCGGTAGATTGCCTTCTTCCTCCTGGCGTGAACCCAGCTTGTGATGGGACAGGGTCTTGGGCAGTGTCAAGTCGGTGGCTTTACTCTTGGCGTCGCCATCATCTACTTCCCAGTCCTCATGATCCATCTCATTGATGTTCGTGCCAGCCTGGGAGAAGAACGCCCCCTCTTCCGATATGGGCTGGGTGGTTAGATCTGTATCAGTTTCTTCATCTGTGGGATCCTTGAGCTGTGCGCCGCGGAAGTTTTTATTGAAAAGGCTCTTCTTGGGAACATCGAGCCAATTTACCTTCAACTTCTTCCCAGTCTTGTCGCCATTGAGATCATATGGGGGACTACGCTTGCCTATAAGGTCCGTACTTTTCGGCGCCGTGATTGTCTTTGGCCGATCATACATGAACAGCTCGTCTAGGCTGAAACGAGTGTAGCCTATTTTTCCATCCAAGGCATCGTTCTGGGACGAACGCACCATTACGCTCTCTGGTGCCGCTTTAGACGTTGTCTTCGTGACCTTTGGTTTTGGCGTGGCTCCGTCGGCATTATCGTAGAGGTCTGCTTTTGGCCAGCAGTAGTTGTCCCACCGCGCAAGTAACAGCATCATCAGCTGCTTGCGCTTGGCGTCGGGCGATGTTGCTGAATTGTACACAGCCATTTCGGTGGAGCCGCCCCATGATAAGAACTTTCCATACGCCTCCTTGATGAATTCCTGGAGAATCTTGCCGTGCTTACTGTCGTCGAATGCTTTAGTACTGAGCGTGGGCTTCGTTGAGTCCGAGTCACCGATATTGACAAATTCTTTGTCCTTATCGACAGCAAAGTAGAAGGGATATTTTGTGGCAAACATTCGTGGAGCCGGCAAGTCCAGGTTTTCCAGTGCATATCTTGCATAAATCGCAAGAAAGAAGATAGTCTCCCAACCTGGTTGACAGCATCAGAACTCTCCTTGATCAGGCCCCTGAGGGGACTTTGGGGTGAAGTAGGGGGGAAAAGAAGAGAAACTACATTGAAATGCTAGATTATGAATATTTTTGCATACCTGGATGGAAATAAGAGCCTGTAGGATTGGATATTACAATGTTTACTGGCTGGAACATTGGAGTCTCCTGCGGCGATGATGAGCGAGAGCCGTGATGGCTCAACTTCATGTTCGTAATTCTCTTCACGCCTTGACTGTATAACCACGCCATGTAAAGCCTCTCACGCTTCTCGTCTGCGTCACCAGCAGAGTAGTGCGAACATTTCGGCGGGTTGGTTCCATCCGGCCAAAGGATGACCTGGGCAATGGAAAATTGGTTGGTTTTTGTCACACCCTCCGGGACGATCTCCGGTATTCCGCTCGACTTTGGTTGTTTGAATGTCTGGTTCTTGACACCTATACAGTACATGCCTGGCCAGCCAGCCTCCCCCGGTGGGTTGCTGTTCACAAGTTGTACCGGAGTGAGCGGTCCCACTGGGGGTTTAAGCCCCTTGTTCTCGAAAAAGTTGACGCCCAGAACATCGTATAGGTTATCCTCTGCCGACTTGAGTATGGCAAAGGGGTACCAGTCCCCTGTGCTACGGTCCGGGTCCGCGTCGGTACAGACTTCGATATATATGCCGTTGCGCCGAAAGCGGGCTGGAAGACCGTTCAAGGTCTTGGTTTTACCAGTGCTGCTATGACTTTCCTTCTCATTGGGGCAGTAAAAGTATGTGCCAGGAACTTTTTCTCCGCCCTCGTCCTTCCACATCAGATAGTCCATTACTTCGTACAGCTTTTTCTTGTCGTTCTCGGCTTTCAAGGCATCCTTGTATATCAGATCGACCAGACCACCGTAGTGGTCCTCATCCCAATGGCTTACAACAATGGTCTCATAGTTCAGCTGTTTGAGCCTGTAAAGCTTGCTTAGCTTGGCCGTGATGCTCTCAATCGCATTCTTGGAGGACACGAGGTTAGGATTCAGGCTGGAAGTGCCTCCATCTACAAGCACAGCACCCCATACCTCCTGGTTCTTCTTTCCGGAGTTCTTGACCAGGAGGTGGACAGCACAATCCCCTACTTTGACACTGACGTGGTGCGAATCTACGCACCACGTGTCGGGCATGGCTCGTCCAGCTATACCCGTTATCACCGGGGAGATTTTTCAGGAAGGCAGGTCAGAGACGTAATACCGACGGCGACTATCGATCGAAACGAAAATGAAGATCTGGCGTTCTTGAACAGTATTGATACAAGCACTTTCTAGCTTTGACCGTCGTTGAGCTGCTTGATAAGTAAATGCTGCACAAGGCTCGAATGGAGAGTTCGAGCCAGAGACCGAGGCGTGCTGCAACAGTTTCAGCATCATGAGCACGCTTCAGTGAGTGAATCCAAGCCTTTTCGTGCAGCCTGTTCTCCCACATACGCGCAGACCAGACATAGCGGCTCCCCTCGTTAGCGCCCATCCATAGGAGTGACCTGTGGGTTACAGTGCGAACGGCACAGGCGCCAACGCGCGCCACTTCACACTCGAGCCAGCTGGAGAGATTTCAAGAAGCCCTCTGCTTGTCACCTCAATAGTCGGGCCTGGCCTCAACGGGAGTGATCCGTGTACCCTTACGGTACCCACCCCCAGAAAACTAGTCCGCCTATAGGCCCCCCTGCAGACCTCCGTTTCCCCACTGAGTTAAGCCTCGCATCTTACAGACGCGTCAACACTAGACTACTTTGTCACACTGCATGGTCACCTCAAGTGGTGTGAAACTGTAATAGGTCTCTGTCAAATCGATAGTTCTAGAGGAGCACAGTCAACCTGCGGATGGCTTAGTCGAGTAGGTAAGGAACGTAAGACATGAGAAAGTCTCAAATCGCTATTGATCTAGCTTGCAGGATGTGCTGGTCCGCATTTGAAGTTCGTCGCAGGGATCCGGGTGGGTTATTTTCATGCAACATTCTGCTGAAGAGACATGAGTAGTTGCAGGCTAGACTGTGCCTCGCTGGGCATATAATAACTCCTTGGCTAGATAAACAAAATTCCGTCGGGGTCTCCTTGTCGATTCATCAAAGCTCTACCCTCACTTCACCAAGTACGATTCCGATTTTGGTCGCGGACTCATCTCTGCAAACATGTCAGGCGTTGCTGCTATCGTCAGTTCTCTAGATCCACATGAAGTGTGGCTTTACACTCCCACTGCGGCGCAGCAACTGGGCCTGGAAGTTCGACGTATTGATACGGAGAACTATGATCCCTTCCGTGATTATGGAGCCGTCAAAGGTCCCGTTCGTCTAACAACTGGATTGGCAGCTGTCATTCACAACAGGACGGTAAGAAGAAAAGAAAAGAAACCTTGCCCCCCCACCCCAAGAGCTCAGCGCTCGAATAACGATCAGAGCGAGAGAGAAAACACTGACACCACTTCTGTAGACTACCGTCTACGGCATCACTAACTACACCGATGCAAAGGGGAATAAAGCCAGTACTGTGTCCAGCCTTTCCCCCGTTTACAACCCCATCGACGCCACTACCACCTCTGTTGCTGATCCTGGCGATTACAACGCCATAGCGGCAGCCTCTGATGGGGAGACCTCTGACTACGTTTACTTTCTCCAGTAGGTTCTGTTGCTGTAGGCTCCGGCTGCCAGCAACTTCGGCCATGTATGACTTACATGATGGACTAGGGATCCCGAGGGCGTCTCACAGAAGCCGCTGATTACCGAATACGGGTTCCAGCAGTCCACTATGGGCACCCGCTACGTTTACACTGGACTGAATCCAGACCCGAGCTCCAACCTGGCAGCTGTCATAGAGAAGTCCAAAGGAACCCGCATGATGATTTTCCAAAACTATAAGGACGCCACGTTGTACTATGCTTGGTCAAACACAAAGTCAAGTGGGTCGGCTTCCAAGAGGCACAGTCTGTGTCATCATGTCCTTCCACGAGAGCTAACATTTTCTGCATGGCAGAGAACCCCATCACCGGGTCCAACAATGCCGTCTTGGGCACCCCGCTTGCGGCCACTCTGATCCCCTTCCCGGACAGTACCTTCGAGGTATACCTGTACTATGTCGACAATACCCAACAGCTCTGGCGGGTTATTTACACTGGTACGCAGCCTGTCGGTGGATGGGGCTCACCGACAGCTGTAGGAGCAGTCACAGATGTGGATCCCTCCTCGGGCCTGGCAGTCGTGTCTGACAAGACTGGCAACTACATTTTCTTCAAGGCGAACCCCAACAGATACAACTATTACCACGACTCGTTCAAACAGCCTATCTTGGGTGAAGACGACGCTAATGATGGCCACAACGAAGGCGTTGAACGTGGTTGTAACTAAAACGTCGACCATGCTATTGTTGTCAAACTGAGGGGGAAAGAGCCTCGGGTTATATTTTAGGTAATAGCAATAGCGTGAAAACAGAACATAGTTCTCCCGCAGTCTAACTGCGCAAACACCATTAAGCGGCTCATATTAGGTTCAGGGTATCCGTATCGGTAGTTAGTTGGCCTATCTAGCATCACTTTAGTTGCGTTATGTGTGTAGCACATAAGAGACCCGCCGATGCAGTTCGAGCACAATGAACGTGGCATGAGGGGGTTTCGGTCAGACCAGGGTGTGATGTTTGGTTTGATTGAAGACCAAATTGGTTTGTAATTGTGATACAATATGGCTCGTAGCACCTCCCAAAGGCAAGTGTGTCGTACGATAGTTATAAGTAAACTAATTACGTTCAATTCGGTACAATCATCATCTCGTGTTTTATATCGGCTTAGCAATCCTGTACACTGGACTACGACGTACTAGTCTGTGGAAGACGATGTGTAGATTCTAATACGAAGTACTCTCATGCATGCGAGCTTTTTTAAACACCTAGGTGTAGACATCTGTGCTGTCGAAGTGCCGTACAGTCCGACTAAGACTGTGTCTACTAGATTTAGTGTTTGCACAGTACCACGCTAACAATTCACACCCCTGCATGTTACAAGTTCATCGCTCTACCGCATACTCTTGGGTTGCATGGGTTGGCGCACCGGCGCCTTAACCGCCTGTCGGCACGCTAATACTACGGGACGGCCTACGCGGCCTTCCATCCAGCCAGCCAATTCTAGGTCGTGTGGAGCTGAAAGATGGCCACAATAGTTCGAGACTACTTGTGTACATCTGCAGACCATCTCTGCTCCTATATGAGTCTAGAAAGAGTCAGCTGCTTGAGCTGAAACCTTTTATAGACCAACCAGCAGCTTTCGACATACCCTCCCCACACATTCACTGCAGCCACGACGGGTGGTTAAGCTTGTCTTGAACGTCGCTTGGCAATATTGAATCTAGACTATCCATGGTCTCAGACATGCAAAATATGTTACTATCACGATCACAGCCACCAGTGAAGTAGGTATTCTATTTTACCGCAGGTGGAAAGTGGACTCGTGTCGGCTTGATCAATGGATGTAGATACGGTAATTAGTAATTGCAGGTAGGAGGAAAGCGATGTGACCCATTGAATCTATATTAGCAATGTGCGGGAAAATGTAAACGCTTGAGACAAATGCATGGCCACAGCGTTTACTCAGCCTTCCTTCCACCGTTGATCTCGATGGGTGCCTTCATTTGCAGATACCCCTCAACAGCTGTGTACGGTCCCGGCTGAAACCGCGGTGTGGCGTCAAGTTTACCCAGTGCCAACGCCATGAATTTCTCCTCCTGGTCGTCTTGTTGTGCTACCACCTCACTTGTCTCTGGCGGTTCAGGGGCCGGCTTGCCCGGGGGATAGCCTTGTAGCCACCGCCAGTCCGCCACCTTGAGCGACGGCAGTGGAAGCGTGAAGTTCGGCACCGTCAACTGCTCCCATTTGCTCGCGTAGTCGCTGGGCAAGTCGTAATCGCTTTTGTACCCAGGCACGTCGTCGGTCACCACCAGGGGCCCAAAATGGAAGAAGGCTGTCATCTTGTCCAGGGCTGACTTCCACGTCCAGTCTGGTAGCTGTAGAGGCTGAACAGGAGCAATGCCGCCCCCCATGTAAGTATGAAGCGGCAGAAACGGGTCAACAATGCATCCATAGACGGAGCGGTTGAGATTGGCGTTGTAGGCCGCCTGGAACTGTGGCGCTGGGTCGTTGAGGTCCACATACTGGCGGGGGTCCGTGTAGAAGGCCTTGAGCTTTGGAAATGTGCTCTCATCGATCGATTTGACACGTGAGTCCTCTTTGATGTCCCCGTAGGTAGTGTATAGTGTGCTCAGGTCAAGCTCGTTTCCCAAGGGTGGATCCTGCTTCCACGGGTTCTCAAAGGCCTTGAAGTAGCCCACTAGCCCATCATACAAGCGGTTATGGTCCCCGAGTTTTAACGCGAACTGGTATTGATTTGGGTCGTCATCGGATTGTGGAAGTAAGTGGTACTTCGTTTGCGCATCCGGCTGGCCCTTGGCCGTGGACTGGTTGGCCTGCGCGTCACTGGCCATCTCCAGCGTACAACCTACGTTGACGAGGGCGAGAGGCTTGCCCACCAGCGCATTGACAAACCTACCATACGAGCTGGGTGCTGGATGGCTCTGATTAACAGAGTCGGTGCACATACTGATGAAGTGATCTAGAAACTTCTGGCCAGCCTCATCTTCGGTGAACTGGTCGATGAGCCGATCGATTTGGTACGTGTTGGGCGTGGAGGCGCCACGACCAAAGGGTTTCCACCGTTGAGATTTCGATACGGGGCGCGGATTATCGGGCGAGGCGCCGCGTGCCTCGCGGTAGAAGGTGCCGTCCTGTAAGAAGAACTGGATACCGTTGTCCACGTAGTTGACCACGATCCAGCCCCAGATGGGTGAGTCCCACGCCCGCACCGGCCGCCAGTATGCAGGCCCGGCGGCCTTGGATGCATCCTCATCCGGCTTGACGAAGACGGCGTTCAACCGAGTAGGTTGGTTAATCTGAGGTGGGATCTGGGCGAACTCGCAGACACTGGTCTTGGCGGGCTTCCGTGCGACGTTGGCGTATTCACCAAAGTTCTGTGGTGCCACATAGTCACTCAGACAAGGGTAGATAGACGGTATTATACCCGTGTCAGTTTCCCTCTCGATAGCCGGCGCGCATTGTCCAAACTTATCGACGATGTTGAGCCTCGTGAAGCAGAACTGGCCGTGCGTAGCGGGCTTGAAAGCAGAGTATCCGTTCGGAGGAACGCCTACCAGGCTTCCATATGGTGTCACATCCGACTGGATTCCGATGTAGCCTAGCTGCTTTTCCTCCAGTCCAACTGCACTACTCTCGGCCCATGCAGCCGCTATGGGCTCCGGGGATTGCCCAGGAAATCTGATATTCGGCTTCAGATGGTTTCCTTGCAGCGTAGTAGAGAGCTGATTGACGAAACCACTTAGCGGCGCCGACAGCAGCGCCAACGAAGAGACGCCCGCCTGCAAGGCATTCCTGTCCTCCAGACAGAGGTACTTATCGAGGAGGTCTGGGTTGGTACTACTGAAGAGCTGATCGATCTGGGCCTGAAGCGAGAAGGTAGGCTGAGGGAGGATAAGGATCCGGCCGGATAGCGTGCAAATATCATCTCCCACATCAGTATCCTCCCACAGAGGTGTCTTGTCCGGTTTGATACCATGACGAAACTTGGTCTGGCTCTCTATTCGCGATGTGGTCTGCTCTAGTTGCCACTTGTCGAACTCGATGTGGTGGAACTCCGCTTGCCACTCGAGAAACAGTGGGAACCACGGCTGCGTACTCGTCCAACGATCACGCCACGGTGCGCCCAAGAGGTGCTGGACATCCGGATCGCCATGGTCGTGGTAGAGCGGCCGATAGGTCTTGTACTCGTCTCCAGTCACTGACTCCCGTCTCGTGGTCTGATCCTCAAACCTGGATGGCGTGTTATCAAGGAACTCTTGAACGAGAGCCAGAGCAGTCGGCTGCAGGTCTGATGGAATACAACCAATGAAGTACTTCTTCTTGAATTCGGGATCTAAAGGTTGACCAAAGGTATCGATTTGGTAGTCCAGTCGGCACATTAGAGCTTTTAAGAAGTCTTCGGGCCAACCTGATGCCGCTCCAGCCACGAGAAGGCTAGGATCTTTCGCCAGCGTGAACTCATTCAGTGTGGCCGTCTTTGGGGTTATTGACAATTTCCCAATCTCTGTGGAAACCGCTGTTCTCTGCGTCGCTAACATTTTGTTCAAGCTTTCGTATTCCGAGGTCAGATTCCTGGCGTCCGTTTGGTAGCTGTCAACTGCTTGAGCTCTGTCCCGGTCCGTCTGATACTTCCACCATAACGAAAATAGCCCCTTCTGCGTTTTTTGAAGCGCTCGCTCGCCTGCGTTCACCAATGCCTGCGCTTGGTTTGCTAGTTTTAGGTGCAGTTGGTCCTCATCCGATGGTGTTTGGGCAGGCCTGTCCTTCTCCACAGGGAGCACGTAGAAGGCGCCACCGCCGGACGTGGCAAAATTATAGTTCTGAACCTCGTCCTCACCCGCTTGTTGGCCCGTTACACTGTCACTCTGGGCACGTAGAAGCGTCTCGATACGGAAGATATCGTTTTCCAGTTCCTCCTCGTGATTCGCGTGGATGTAGGCTAGGACGCTGTCCATGGGCGTCGTACCCACCGCAATGGGCATCTTGCACTTCAACTTCTCGGTGAAAGAGTTGGCAGGAAGGTTGCGCGGTGTATTGCTAGTGTCGTCGCCATTCTTCCAACGGCTATGCCACTCCACTTCATACATGGCGCCGTGGCAAATGGAGTGCGTGTCGGTGGTGTCGTTCAGCCAGGAATCGAGATCTGCCATGTCATGAAGGATGGCATTCAGGTCGGAAAGGCGTTTTGTTCTTTTCTCTCCCTTCAAAGTGAATGGATCATCACTGGTGTTGTCATGCCAGCCGAGGACATAATAGCTTGCAACAGCGTCCGTGAGCGCCTTGCATGACCCGTCCTTGTCCCTGTATTTAAAGGTATCTAACACAGAGAAGACATTGGAATTATGAGGCTGGTAATCAGGGAACAACTGATTTGAACTGTTGAGCAAGTTCAGGTCGATTCGGTCCTGAGCCGAGCCGGACTCGGCCCACGTTTCCGCTGATTCCTTGTACCCAATGAAGATCTCGGCTTGTTTCCCGAGGAGTTTCGGATCGGTAGTGACCGCCTTGTGAGAGGATGAGAGGATATAAGGAGATACATCGACTTGGAGGTCGACACCTTCAGCCAACTTGTCGATCTCTCTGACCCGATCGCTCTCCACGACCCAACCTTCAACTAAATCAACCAATCCCACCGCACTGACAGGCTTTATCGTACTAGCATCCAGCTTCCGGATCACGAGCCACCGGGTGGGCACCGGACGAAATTGAGGAGCTGTCGGATCGAGCGCTGTGGCTGTCGAAGACCCTCGGGAGGCCGCAGACGGGGTGGCGGCGCTGCCCGATCGATATAAGCGGGGAAGAATCCAGTGGAGGTATACACCAAGGCGCTTCTCACGAATCTTTCCTGTTCCTAGATCTGTGAGACGCATATTACGGTCATGCGGCGTTGCGTTGGCTAGGTCGACGGGATCCAGCAGGTCGTTTTGCAGCAGGTAGTCTGTGGTACGAAGAAACGTGTAATTCGGCTGGGTAATGGGTGCTATTTTGGCATCGAACTCACCACCGTCGCAGACATCCTGGTTGAAGACGAAGGCGTCCAACTTCATGGGTATGGAGACGTTGGCGTTCGCCATTATACGGCACGGGCTGGTGTAAGTGAGAGGGGACTATGTAATACGAGCTTTGTTTCCTCATCAAATCAACGCTGGCTACACTTGCTGTTCTGCATACAGTCTCGAATGAGAACTCGTAATATCGACGGGCTCGTGAGAAGTGGGATGTTATCAGTCCTCCGTGGTGTGTTGTCTTTTGCTTTCGGATTCGTCACGGTGAGCGCCCGCGGATAACCTGAGCCACCTGGTTGCAGCATTTCGAGAGCTAGAGTGATATGGTCGTAATCGACCATATTACGACCATTTCGGTCACCTGAACTGCGTCTTGAAAGCCTCTACATGGTGGCGTTCCATAGGCCAGAAGAATGTGACTAGTAACTATTGCATTGGCCCAGTGGCTGGCTGAAACGGCTGGCCCCGACACTAAATTACGCGAGATGATACCGCACTGTGTGGAGCATCCCCGGTTCTGTCTGAAAGGGTAACTACCGAGTGGAACTAGCTTGACTATACCGTCAGGTAGCTACCCGAAGTAGCAGGGGCCTGTTCTGAACTGTGGTGAAGTATATCGGCATGGTTGCGGTACACCTGGACAGTGTTTCCATTCACTCCCACGATCCAGTTGTGCCTTTAGACCGGGCGCATCTACCGGAGCTTGCGCGTCTCAGTTCGGTACGGTTTGATTTGCTCCAGCCCAGAAGGCAAGCAGTGCAAGTACCAGACCTTGCCGTAAGTCACCTGCGATGGACCCCTCGCCCCCTCTCTCTAACTAAACACACATCTCCAAGTGCCATACGCTGTATCAATCATACTGATCGGCTGCGTGTCAATCGTTGCGCATCGCCATGTTTCATTCGCCAAGATATCTGTATTTTCGCCATGTGCAACGGGCTCTGCGCAGACAAGGTGCCATCACGGCCCCGTTGGATGAAGATCTCCAGCCTGGCGAGGAGCATTTACGATCATATTTCGTCCCCGGCGTGCAAGCTGGGAAACACACCATTCAAGTATGCCAGACTGTCAGCGCGGTTGGTGAGCCACTGCAGACTTTGTCCACCCCGCAAGACTTCAACGTTCTAGCTCCCCAGTTCGTGCTCCCGGATAATGCCATTCACACCTGTTATCCACCCCAAGGTTTCAGCACCACTGCTGAAACCTTGCCACACGTCATCTTCAATGATCCTACTTTCCCTTGGGAGCGTGTAGGCAGTTGGAATGCAAAGAGGAACCCACCAGACGACTACGTCAGAAACAGAACTCCATGGGTCGCGGTACTCGTGTTCACAGAAGATGAGCTCAAACTCGCAGACGACGATCTACGTGGACCAAACAGTCTCTTTCAGGACATCCAAGGATTGAAAGACGCAGAGCAAGACTCTAACTTCGCGGTGGCATTGCCTGTCGGCCAGTTATCCAAGATTCGAGCTACGGTCAGCCCCTACACGACCGATGAGACGGATCTTACGACCGTGAATACTGTGCTAATTAAGCGTGTGCTTTTCAACGGTCTATTTTCCAAATATAACGATAAGGGGCAACCAGAAATTGGAAATCATCCATACGTATACCATCATCGGTTTCTCGCTCACAAGCGCGTTATCAACACCCAAGGAATGGCCGTAACGGGCCCTGTAACCGGTGATGACACTGGATCCTTTGGCGTCGTTGTCTCTAATCGCTCCGGCCCTTCGAACATGACCATTCCCACTGCTGTGTACGTCCACCTCGTTTCCATCGAGGGTATAGAGCAGATGACTCCATGGCCGATGGAACCTTCCACCAAGTATGTCTCGCTCGTGTCCCTCGCCAGTTGGAGCTACGTCTGCCTTCCACCGGAGACGGCCAACGTCCGTGACGAGCTCCTTCATCTAGGCGACAGTCTAGGCCCCCTTCGGCCTATTCTCTCAGCAGATACGGAAGTCAAGCTGGCGCAGAAGTTGCCGACGGGCCCACGGCTCTTGGAGAGACTGCATCAAGGTTATAGTCTTTCCAGGTACCGCACTCAGTCTGGAGAGGTGTCGTCCTGCTTCATCCGCGGGCCCTTTGTGCCAGTGGGTAAATATTGCGTCCCAAACTATTTCACCAAGACCTCAATGACCGGGCTTGACCTATCGATCCTCGATGGTGATTTGGCTACCATGGACATTTCCTACTCCGCAGCATGGCAGCTGGGGCGAACCATGGCTATTGCAGACCAGGCCTTTACCACTTGTCTATATCGTGTCCGTACGGTCATCATTCAGAGGGCCGCCGACGCTGCTCGAGACAATTACGTGATTCAGTACACCTGGCATAAGAACAAAGAGAACCTGCTTTCCAACCTCAAGAGCTCAGTAGATAGGCTCGGTTTGATGCTTGACTCCGACGGATTGCTACAGAACGGCTCTATCCGCCAGAGATGGGAAAGAACGACCACAGATTCTCTGGATTTGTCCTATCACGGTCTTATTGTCGACGGCACCATCGATCCGAATTTTGACCAGGCCGCCCGAGATGTGGCGAGCACGCCGGATCCGAAGGACCCCTCAAAGCCTTCTGATAAGCCGTACGACGAATTTAATGCACCTTTCTCAGCGGACTGGGTGGTTGTTTTGCGTTGGGTCCTCGATGCTCTCTTCTTCACAAACATACCGGCTCACTACCTTCTGTCGGATGCCAGCCACCTGCCACAGGAAAGCCTCCGATTCTTCATGGTTGATGATAACTGGATGAATGCTTTTCTAGATGGAGCTCTCAGCCTCGGTAATCACATCGACAGGACACAGGACAAAGTCCGCAACGCTATCAAGGTGGCCATAAACTGGTATTTGTCATCCTCCACCAGTGTGCACTCGTATCCGAGCCCTGTACCCAAGTACGGATGCTTCATCCGGTCGGCGGTCATCAGCCAGTTTCCAGACCTCATCGTAGAAGTGGCATCCGCGGCTGCCTCTGCCAAAGTTTCAGCAGGTGACCAAGCTCCAATCTTGTTACGTCATGAGGTATTGGACAAAGGCACGATGCTGTGCTTGTTTTCTCAGCCTCCATCCCCATCCAGCTTCTCCACGCTCACCTTCACACAACCGCCACACCAACAAAGTTTTGCTGTTGGTGAAAAGGTGACCAGCACAAAGTTGACGATCGCCGAACGCCGAGCGTACACCGTCAAGGACCCTGACGACCCAGAGCATCGGCTGCCACTGGATGAGTTCACATGGGAGAAAGGCGTCCTTCCCGCGGACGGTCGAAAGGTTGTTTATCTATGGGACGTCGTGGACCCTTCGTCTCAGACGCCAGTTGACCTCCGCAAGCTGCTGATGGAGAATTTTGCTGATGACTACCACACCCAGCTGATCAACAAGATGGCGGGTAGCCTCTATTCGGACGATACGGCAACCTCGGCATTGATGGCATGGCAGCTCAACGAACTGTCATACATGCTACCCATCCAGAGCTCTACGGGACTGCGGTCTCCAGGTCCCACCAGACCGAGAAAGCTCCCTGTGCACCGCCGAACGCCACCGCAGCCGCCGTCACCGCCGAAGAGGTCACAAAAGACAGCCGCCCGGTCTTCAGATCCTTTTGTAAGCTATGACGAGCGAAAACAGCTCGCACGCGACACAGTGGGCCCACTGCCCCCTCCAGCTGCGCGGGATCCCATGGCGCGGCGTACGATGGTCACACCTGCCCCGCGGTACCTACGGGAGCGCCATGGACGGAGAGACGGGTTGGGCGACTCCCTATTCCCTGATATTCGGTTCTTCTTCTGGTCGCTCGAGAACCCCGGCACGCCGGACGATCCAGGAAAGATCAAAATGCTCAAAGATGCGAGAGGCAAGGCGCTACCACAGAGTCTCGTGTTCAGCGTTCGCATTGCCGCCAACGCCTTCGAGGACTTCCAGATCGAGGCCATCGAGATCATTATTCCACAGGGGCCGGCGCCAAAGGCGACGAGGGCGGAAGGAAACTCGTCACCAAGCTCAGATACCACCGTGTACCCGCTTACGACCCTTTACGACGGGCCCGGCGCTGCGATGCTATCGAACCTACGCTTCAACCCCACCACCTCCTTTTCCACCACCTACGACGAGCTCATTATTCGTCTGATCCCTCGAAGCCTCAATGAATTCGTCACAGCGGACATGTGCACCGATATGTCGTTCTTGCTCTCGGGTGTCAAGGTCAATGTATCAAGTGAGGAGATTACGGTCACGCCGACTATAAACCTGTATTATCGGCGTTTTAAGAAACAGCAGCCTACACAATATCCGCCTCCATGCATGGTTTTAACACCTGTATCATGATATTTAAAATAGTTTAAAATGACAAGTCTAAGTTTGGAAAACGCTCTTGAAACTAGGTGCATCGCACCCGGTATTCTATTACTCATCGATCGAGCATGGTCGTCCTCTTTGCGCGGGTCAAACTTGCAGTGAAAGCTGAAATAGGCAATCTTGTTCAGAAAGCGGAAGTCCACCACGAATGAGACTCGTCATTGAAGCACCGCCGTTTCACCTATAGCTGAGCGGCTCTATCCCCCCAATTTGTGGAATTCCGTATGCGATTTCGGCCCTGGAACCCCTCCTTCTTTTCTCTCATTAACACTGCTCAGCATGGTAAGAAGTAGGTTATCACGGAATGGTGCTAAGGCGCCTTTGCTATCTGGTCTACAGCAAGTAGGCGGAAAGGAAGAGAAGGTGGTTAGATATTTCAAAGTAGACTTTTTGGGTGAAAAGGATAGCATGATGAAAGACGTACGGCGAGCTAAGCCCGGATTTTGGAGATTTCATAGACAAAGCCTTTCGGAGGAGTACATGAATGAGCACTGACATGGACGGGCAAGGCAGTGATGTAAGCTCTTGGACCACAGAGGCTGAATCAGTACTATCTATAGATCAACTTACAGCCTTTTCAAGACAACGCTCTACCCAAGTCTCATATGCGGGATACCCCTATCTATACCTTCTATGCTCTATTCCATATGCAAATTAAATACCAATGCCTGAGGTCCACCAATGCTTGCCGGTGTACCAGCGCGGGAATGAGTCCCGGTCCCATCGCCACCAAAAGTCTCCTGGAATGCCATACCCCAGCCACCGGACGAAAGAGAACGGGACTGGCTCCCACAGCCACAGCCCACTCCGGCCGAAATCATCCAGCAAGAACTTGCAGGTGATGTGAAGCCATATGAATACAAATGCAAGGTTGCTGATTCTCTTGACCCAGCGAGGCATCTGTTCGATGCGAGCTTTGAACAGACGCGCAAGTACCGCCTGCAACTGCGTGCCAACCCCGGACAGGAAGAAGAAGATCGGTGGGTCCCAGGGCCGGCTTTCCGGCACCGTCGTGTAGCTGCCCATCGAGTGTAAGAAACCGGACTGCACGAATGCTATGAGCGCGCCGACGATACCGGCTGCCGTGGACCCCTTCGTGAGGTACCCCTGGCGAATCAGCCACTTCGTCGGCGCGGCGAACCCGAACCTGAACGTCTGGTGCCACCAGCTGCCCCAGAATCCCGCGAGGCCGCGGTCGAGGACCTCGAGGAACGACCCCGACATGGTGGGAAGATGCCAGGGGTCCGCGCGGAAGCCGAGGACGGGCGGGGCGAGGAAGGCGAGGCACAGGGCGCCAAAGTTCCAGGCCATCTGCAGCGCCGCGATGATGCCTACGAACGAGTAGAGAGTCCGGCGGAAGGACAGCCACAGCGGGTTCATCGCCGCCAGGTGCGGCGGCAGCGGGAGGCTGTTCGGGCCGAGCACGAAATAGGGGTCCTGCAGCATGAAGGTGGCGCAGGCGTCGAGGATGATGTAGGCCGGGAGCATGGAGAGTACAAAACGCCCCAAGAAGAGTTCTCCGCGGGTTCGCACGCGCGTGTAACCCTGGCGGCTGTCGTTCCGTACGAATTCAAGGGGTAGCTGGTTGACGCTGTCCTCACTGAACCATGGTGGAGGCCGATAAGGGGGCAGCACTGGAATTGCCCAATTCCAACCTGAGCAAGGGATCAGTCGTGACAGCACAGATAGGGACGTGTCCAAGTTGACTCACCAGTCATCCTCATCGTGGTAGCAATGTCCACGGCCCAATCGAGGCGCGTAAGGAAGGGTGCGCTCTCCGGGAATTCCTGCCACTCGTATACAAATTGCTGGCTTGCGCTGGTCTCATTGACATCTCCTGGCACCTCACTATGTCCGTTGCAATTCGCTCGTTCTAATATTGCGGTATGTGGCTCCTGCATCCGCCGTTCTCCATCTTCCCCTTCCACTGCTGAGCCATTAGACATATGTCCATTGGCGGCTCTCTTTCGATCCCTCAGTCTCTGCTCGGGGCCGGCACGGGATGCATTGCCATTTGTTTCTGGAAGAGCTGTAGTAGCAGCAGGCGTGGTATGGCCATTTGCCTGTGTTGCGGGACCATTCCCGATTGCTCCATTCGTAGCGCCTGGTCTCCTTCCTACTTCTCCATTGGCACTGCTCGCACTTGATTCCCCCCGAGATCGTGTGTTCTTGAACCTCTCAACCCTCTTGGCATCCCACTGCGGCCTCGTCCAGACCAACAAGGTGAAGTTCCAGATAATCCCCCAGGAGGCCACTAGTCCCGTCCCATATGCAAATGCAAAGTTCGTACTGGAGGTAGTGCGTATCATCCACACATGGAAAGAGGTCGTGGCTGCGAGCACCAGCCACCGCGCATGGTAGAGCCAGGGGCGACGCTTGTGCGGGATCGCCAGATATAGTGCTGGTATGATGTGAATACCCAGCAATAGCAAATGGAAGAAAAGCGGCTGCTTGGTGCCTGCAGCGACGTCTGCCTTGAACTGCGCGCGGTATATGGCCCGATACTGGCTTGCCAGGTCCGTTGGCATTAGACCGGGCTCAGCCATGCCAAGTTAAGGTTCCTGTGGCCAGAAGTTTCTGCACAGACTGTGCGGTATGTAGGGAAGCCGAATCCTATGGGCAGGGAATAACTTCAAAGCAGTAAGCGATGTCTAATCATGTTAGCCTTGCATGGAAATGACAAACAAAAAGAGAAAATCGGCCACCAACAGTCGGCGGGCTGACGATAGTCGCGGTCCTTCTTTAATGACGAGATTGATACGAGTGGTTGACGATCCAGGAGACGCACAGACCATACAAAGCTGAGAGATCAGAGAGCCTACGTGTTGTTTGCACCTTTCCACAGTGATCTGGGGCAGAATAACACGCAAAAAGCCAGAGGTAACTGATTGAAGTTTCAATTGTATTACAGTGTGGTTTTGTTTGTATCATGCTGGGTGGGACGCTGTGCTTCATAATCGTTCTGCAAACACCCCATCCACGATCGTGCTGAATCGTCGAACCACCCCAGAGCTGAACGCTTAACAAGGCGGTGGCGTATCAACACTGCTTAAAGTGGATTCAGCCCTAGTTAGTAAGCTAGAGCCCAGCTTTGGGTATCGTGGAAAGATGCATGCGATTTTGGCGCAGACTGTCGGTACCAACAATTGCGAAGACTGGCTAGTCCGTCTAAAACCAGTGTTCGCATCCCACACCCAACGATGCAAGAATTGGAGCCCGTTCGTATAAGTCCGAGGTTACTTTCGTTTCCATCTTATACCTCCCCTAGTTTGCGGTCGCTAATCTGCACCGATCGACCGATCTTGCAGGGATCTAAAGGCGCTGTAACCCCGCGACTCGCACTCCGTAAACGTGGCAGGGAGCTGAGGGGCAGCGATGACTTCATGTCAGAGGGATAGATACCTAACCCGGGCCTGGTTTGCGACTAGATAACCGAGATCATGCAAGTGAATTGAGTACGGCGAAAATACAACCAAAATATTTGATAGGTACGGTGAGCTACATCATATATTGATGATGGCATCCGAAAAATCTTCCCAAGAAATCCGACATATAGTTAGAAACATCGATGGGTCCTTAACTCCATTCTCGCATACACCAGGCCAGCAGCGCAATGGAGACGTGCCATAATACCCAGACTGTGATAGTGCCCAGCAGCACGAGCGCAAACATGACCGACTTCCGGATCTCAAAGGCGTCCGACGCCTCCATCTTCATCAGCTTGCGCTGCTTCGTGTGATAGTACCAGCGCGTCTCGTCCTGGCCCGGCGGCGCCGGCCCGCCGCCGACCCAGACGTACGGTTGCGGCCGGTAGACGAGGCCGTGCAGCCAGCCCGGCAGGCCGCTCGACTGCAGCGTCCCGGCCTCATGGAAGTGCTCCCGCCGCGACTGGTAGTGATAGTCGACCAGGTAGAGCGACACCAGGAAGGTGACGAAGTTGATCGGGGTCATGATCCACTTTTGCGACGGATGGTTAGCATGCGTAGTCACACACTGCTCGGCATTGTGTTTTCAGAAGCCAGAAGCCAGAAGCTTGAGCAGAGAGGACAGTTCGACCATTTCAAGAGTTGAGGGTAAACAACAGAGCCAGCTTACATGATACACGGTTGATTGCTTGCCCTCGCCATCTTCGGCGTGTGGTGCCGTAGCGGGCTTGTGACCGGTGGATTTTGCCATGTTGATGCGCACCGAGCAACGAGGCACCGAAGCCGTCGTTGCGAAAACAGCATCAATTGAGGAGTGATTGGATTGAAAATTGTAAAGATGAGAATAGCATCTGGCTCCCAGAAATACGAGATATGACCTCAGCGAGGGATCTTCAGGCACGCATCCAATCCAATGGCGCTTTGAGACCGCCAGACGTCACACCCGGGCTTGTAGCGCAAAGTAGGCTCCGGCCGTGCCGTCGCTTCACAGGCTGACGGGCTGAACCCCCCGAGGCAAGTGGGAGCGATCCGTGGTATTGAGCAACGGGTACTAAAAGGATCTGCAGAAGGGATCGGAGATCTGGTCCATGTCGAACAGGTATTAATTCCAACTGCATTGACTTTATATAATTAAGTTCAAACCAACAATATATTATTCAAACGTGTTGCGGGCAACCGAGACGATTGTTGCATGGGTTTCGTCATCCATTCACGCGTGTTTGACATGACACATTTCTTTTTCCTCGTTGAATAGCCACGTCGGCACAGCTCGAGCACTTTGAACGAAGCCAAGTTGGCATGCAAGAATCAATTTTTGTCTACTCGCTAGGATACTCGTCCTATATCATGCACAACCAGTTGTAAGGCCTCGGTTGTTCCAAAAGCAGCCTTTTCCTTACCATGAATGCCTGCAGGGTTTATTTTGTTTCCATTTTCCGTCCTAATCAGTCCTCGTGTTTGCAATTGCGAGGACCAGGATATCCGTCGCGCCAACCTTTGTCAACTCGTCCATAACCGGTGCAATCTTCTTCTTCTCAACCATGATGCTGACAGCAACCCAGCCTTCTTCGTCCAAGGTGGTGATCGTAGGAGCTCGCTTTCCGGGGGCGATCTTGGTGGCCGAGGCAAGAGCAGATCTTTGGATGTTGTACTGGCAAAGCACGTATCTCTGAGCAGCGATCACACCGCGAATGCGAGATGCGATCAGTTCGACTAGTTCCGTGTTACGAGGCGAACGCGACTTGATCAGGATGGCGCTGGAGTCGACAACGGTGTCGATGGCCTTCAGCCCGGCCGCCTTCATCGTCTCTCCAGACTCTGTGGCTAGGTCAGCTCATACAGCCCTGGGCCTGCGAGGTGTTCTGGGTACTTACCAACGAGGTCCACAATACCATCTGCGACCCCCAGAGCGCAGGCGGCTTCGACACTACCACTAAGCTCAATGATCTTGGTTTGTATCTTGCCCTCGAGGCCGCCCTGGCTGCCAGCCTCGATCTCCAGGTTGGCAAAGTACTTCTCGGTCAAGTGAACAAAACTGGTGCCAATGGTCTTCCCAATCAGGTCCTTTGGGCTCTGGTAGGTGCCCTTCTCGGGAACCTGGACCTGCAGTTTGCAGGCGCCGAAGCCGAGCTCCATGACGGTTTCGCAGCCAGTGATGGCACTTCTTGCGCTCTCCTCCTCCGGGGTAATCTCTCCGGAGAACCTCCTCTTCTTCATGACGGAGCGTACTCCCGCATCGTGCTCCTGGACTTGGTCATATCCGGTGATACCGAGGTCTACTTGGCCCTCGCCGACGAACGTGGGGATGTCGGCGGCGGGTAGGAAGATCAGTGCGATCGGGAGGTTCTTCACCAGCGCGATGTCAAGTCGGTTCTCTCGGCGGAACTGGATGTCGGCGCCCTCGAGGAGGTTGAGCGTTGCGGAATTGAGGCGTCCCTCTAATTAATCATTAGATTGTATGAATCGGAGGCGCGGGGTTCGTCGGGCTTACTCTTGGGGACCGCGAACAAAAGTCGGCCTTCTAGGCTGTTGACGGGGTAAAGGGGGTTAGCCATGCGCTTGAGGGTATCATGCAGCTGCATGCTGCTCCAAGGAGAGGAAGGAAGGGGGAACACCAACTGGTTGACCAAATCCATGCTGCACTATGGGCGACTCGTCTCCAGACAATTTTCGGGTACAAGTGTAGTATTTATGTATCGCAAGGCGGGTAGTCGCACTGCGTAGTCTGCGCGTCTCGATAGGATGAGGGGTTGCGGTCGCTTACGGCGGCAGACAACAAGGATAGTTGCAGCGAACACGATGCCCTGGCTTTCGGAATTGGAATCTCTGACCCGTTCGTGGCAAGAGTTTGCGCGGGCTTGGATCGAGTGTTACCGTGTAGTATGCGTTGGGCACAAGTCTGCAGGTCCGCGAGGCGAGCGAGCAAGTGAGCCAGTCAACAAAAATCTGATAGAGGACCCCACGTTCCTGGATCGGAGCTCGCAATTGACTGAGTCAATTGGATGGCGGGGCAGTTTGATCTTACCTAAGCCCCCCGCGAACTTAACGTAGTAGGCCTAAACTCTACCGCTTTCCAATACTCTTCAGATTGCTATTTTTGTTTCCTTTAAGGGCCGGCTACTGCTTATTCTGCACCAAAGAGTCATGGTCGCTAAGCACATACAACACAGCTCGCCGGTGACGTGAACAGCAAAACACATGCGCGTAGACGTGTGATTAAGAGCCATCGGGCTGGTCAAGAGAAGACAAAAAATGATCAATTCGGTATGCCCAAGGCTGAATCCCAGGACATATGACTTTATAGCCACAAAGAAGAGCCACGGGTTGGGGTTGTCTGTGGTTGTGGTGTTGTGGGTCCAGTAAACATCCTACTCACGTATTGCCAGATACGGTAGCCAACTATGTGAGAGCTCGAGGCGGAACTCGAGCTCTCGCAACCCATGCTTTCTACACATATTCTTCACTCCTATATGGCCGTTCTAGTAAATTGGTTTCAGTATTTTATAAGCATTTTCATAGCATTATCCAATAAGCGACTCTTAGCCGGCAGCAAAACCTCCGGCGTGCCCTGCTCATTTTCCGCTTCCATGATGATTCGCAAGAGGTTGCACAACTCGAAGAGCACCACCCCATTATATATGGGAACGCATGCTCCGGCAAGAGATGTTGGATTTGCAGTCGTGTCCTACTTCATCGACGATATTGCATGGAATAAATGGCATTCTTTGCGTCAGAAATTGTACATCAGACAGCAATTTGGGGACATTTTCCACCAAGCAGGGCAGATATCAGTTGATAGACGCCTTACTCCAGAATACTCGACGCGTGCAGTTGTTACCATTGTGGTTTTTGACGTAGAACCGTACTTAAGCTCAATGAGTGGGTGCCCGGCTTGAGCATGAGCCGCTGATGGTAGTGATTAAAAATATTGTACGACCCTGCTGGTGATCCTTCGTGATCGGCGGAGAAGAAATCATGGATTGGCAGTAAAACAGGATTCATCATGAACACAGATACGGGCTACTAAGATCATCTGAGGCTTCGCAAGACTTGTAACCTCGTAAGCAGTCATGGCCACGCCGTAGGTATTTCTTCCTATGTTTTACATCTGTGGCAACTACTATCCAGATGCTGCTGTTGTTGTCGCTGCCGCCATGTAGCACACTAATTGAGAACGGGATATTTTGACAAATTAAGTATATTTCGAGTTGATTCTTTGGGCTACCTATATTGATAAAGTCATAAACCCCGTTCCTGATCCTCGTACCCTTTGCCACAGGGTGGAAAGTTCATGTTGGTTTTTCAGATAGTCTCACCTTGCCAGTTTTGTGCCGCATATTTAGCAGACGACGTTGATTTGCTTGGTGTTGTTCTTAGCTGACCCAAGCTTGTGTGATGTCCAGTAATGCTTTATCATCTATTTTTCCTCTCCGGAAGTACAAGGGCAGTCTCGAGGAGCCTTGCACGCCACCGGGCCGTCGTGTATTCTTATGTGCTTCCTAAGCCATGTCAGCATCAACGAATACGCTGAATGAACAAACCGAACTGCAGGTACGTGCTGACTCATTTACGCTGCCTCGACTACTGCCTTTCTCCCCGCTCATGTGGCTCCAACCCCTTTATACTCCGTTGTGTTGACACACCCTGTCTCAGATAAGCGCTAGGCCAGTCAGCTACGGCAGATGATACTTGACCAGGCGGCGGACATATATATACTAAACAAAACCTATGAAGTGAACATATCACTAAGGCAATTAGAGATCAAATTTAGTAAATCTGAAGTGAAATGAAATAAAGACAGAGATACAACACAAGCAATTCGTTTTATTATTTATATAGTCGACCTTTTGGTTATATGATACTGTTCTCCTAGATTTAGATAGTCTTCAAGTTTGCGCATAATAGCTAAATCCCCCTGAACCGTTCCGAGCTTCTTCATATCAGCCCACTTGTCAGTACCGCCGCCACCAAAGTATATAAGCCAAGCCTCGTTCGTTGTGATGTTCACACGTATATTATCTGCTTTTATGTCGGTCCATGTAATTCCAATTCGATGAAGCTCCGTGATAGATTCCTTGATTTGGCGGATCAATCCCGTTCTTTGACTAAGATGAACCTTTTCAAGGTCTATATCGGAGAGTGTGCCGGTGTGCGGCACATACGTCTCCACGAGCCCTATAACGCCGCCGCCGTGGTCCGAAGAGCGAACAATTCTCAAAAGCTTTGGGATACGGGTCAGAGGAGTCTTGAGGTCAGCAGCCGCGATTATCTGGAGGCACTGAATTTCGCGCAAAATGGCGTGCGCCGTATCCTCAGAAGTGGCAACTTTGCAAACCATTTTCTGGCTGCCTCCATACAACGGGATCTTGACCTTTGTGATTCGATCCCGCTCGAATCTCTTCAAAACGATAATCTCCTTGTCCACACAGGTAAAAACAGCCGCTTCTGTACCAAGTGTCAGAGTAAAATGCGCAGTTGGTAAGTCTGGTTGTGGACATTGTCTTGCATCTTTACCGCACGTGCAACCGCTATTGTACTGCACCAGGTCAAATTGTGGGTCTGCATCTTGAGGCTAAGTTTTCCCCAGAACTGATTGATTGTGACAGCTTGGAATTTCCTTGGGAGGACAAAGGGAGGTGGGTGTGGAGACCAACAGGCTCGCGATACTTGGGGCGATAGTAAGCGAGAACCCCGGCTATAGTGTTAGTATTGTGCCCAGGGGTGCATTAGCCAGCCACTGGTACACACCTCCGGAAGGCATCTACCATGCAATGAGGGACTAGCGAGGTCCCATCGTGCTGGGGGGCCAATCACCAAACAGCTCGAACGGCTCAGGTCGTGCGGCGGATGCGCCGGTCACGTGGCTACAATCTCGGCGTTGCGCCGGTCTACAGGGTTCCATCCTATACAGCCAGCTAAGTGTCTCGGAGCAACGCCTGTGAATGGGTGTCGAGGCTCGCGTCTTGCTCTGTGTCCCTCTCGACGCATTAACATCCGCTCGTGGTAGAGGAGCAATTTTGACATCAACACCTGCTTCGCTGTCAATTGATCGAGAGGAGTAATTTTGATTGAACCTGCGCGTGCGAGGAAACCCCATCGTAATTATTTACTTCTGGCCACTGTCGACACGTGCGCTTCGCCTTTGGATTGCGTCTATTGCAGGGGTATTCTCTGCCGATGTAGTGTAACCAAGGCGGTCAAGTAGGTTAGTCTATAGAGTCTCGGACTAGGGCCGGATGTGTTAGTGGGTCACCAGCCATGTTGAGTTACCTGATCTCGGTGGGACCGCCGGTGACAGAAAAGGGGAAGACCTCATTGGCCGCCCGGCCGGCTCAACCCCCGACACTGTTCAAAGTACATGAGAACGCAGTTTCTCATGTAATTCAGAACATATGCCATGCCAACATCATTCATGAAAGGGTAATCTGTACATAACCTCCCGATCTCCCCCTGAATACCACGTTCTGGGTTTCTTGCGACAGCTCTCAGTCTTGGAGCAACCTTATATATTGTTCAAGTCCCGATTGGTTTCCAATCTACGACGAAAACATGTCGGCACTGAAGGACAAGTCTCTTGATGCAAGTGTTGCCAATCAGGAACGTACCAGTAAAGATATACATGCAGTCTCTCCGAGTCACTCTGGGCCGGCCGCACCGACGTCGCAGAGTGCATCGGACGCGGAGAAGGGTACACCAGGGGCCCAGCAAGGGAAACAATACGATTTACATCCCAGCCCTCCATTTTCAGTTTTCTCACTCATACAAAAGAGGTTAATCGTCTTCATTGTCGCGCTGACGACCTTGCTCCCCCCTCTGACGGCTAGTATATTTTACCCTGTGATTACCTTGCTTGCAAGAGACTTGAATGTCTCTGTGACGGAAATTAATCTCACAATTACCATTTACTTGGTAGGTACCTCGAAACCCAACAGCGTCTGGTGCTCGATTTGGAATGGCTCTAATACATCAATTCCCCCACAGATAATCCAAGGCATCGCCCCGTCGTTTGTGGGCAATCTGTCCGACGAGATAGGTCGAAGACCTGCACTCCTAGTCGCCCTAGTCATCTATATGTGTGGATGCGTGGGCGCGGCTGTCAAGGCCAACTATGGACTTCTTCTCGCGATGCGCTGCCTCCAAAGCGCTGGAAGCAGCGGTACCATCGCACTGTCCCTCGCAACAGTGTCTGACATTGTGACATCTGCAGAAAGAGGACGCTATACATCGTATGTGCAAATGGGATGGATGCTTGGCCCTTCCTTAGGACCGGTAAGCTTTCTTGATTTTTACCTCACCTTCGATCACGCGCTGACTAGACAATGGGTCGGATGACAAGGTTATCGGCGGCCTAATCAGTCGGTTCCTCAACTGGCAGTCCATATTTTGGTTTCTGGCCATTTACGCCTCGATTGTGTGGGTTGTTTCGATCGTCTTCCTACCAGAGTCGAGCCGACGGATCGTTGGCAACGGCTCTATTCCACCTCCGCGATGGAATACTGCTTTGTTTGCATACTTTCGACGCTCTTATACAATCCGTGACAATGCTGCAGTGCCCAATGAGCTACAGAAAAAGTCGCCGTCCAAAAGGGCAGCTATCAACCCGCTGACCTCGCTAAAGCTATTTCGCGAGAAGGAGACATGCCTCTTGCTACTCTATAGCGGTCTTGTCTACGCCAGCTCCTACATGGTCCTGTCTACGTTCTCTGATCAGCTGGAGGAGATTTATGGGTTTGATACGTTGCGGATCAGTCTCTGCTACCTGGCCTCTGGGTTTGGTACTGTGACATCGGTTCTCTTAACGGGACGGATACTGGACTGGAACTTTCGTCGTCACGCTGGGCTCGTCGGCATGGAAATCTCCAAGCAGAAACAACAGGACTTGTCAGGCTTCCCCATCGAGGTCGCCCGCCTTCAAAGCAGCATTCCCGCACTGATTCTGGCCAGCGTAAGTCTGATCTGCTACGGGTGGACGTTGCAGAAGAAGGCACCCTTGGCTGTACCATTGATATTTCTCTTCCTGCAATCCTTCGGGAGCGCAAGCTCCTTCTCGGGACTGAACAACTTGATCATGGACCTGAATCGCGATAGACCAGGGGTCGCGTCAGCAGCAATGAATCTGACCCGTTGTTGGATGGGCGCCGGGGGTACAGCGTTTGCAAGTCCGTTGGTCAAAGCTGGTGGTGTCGGGTGGCTAGGGGTGGTTATCCCTGGTATTTGGTTGTTGTTCAGCCCACTCATTCTCATGGTGATCAGGTATGGTCCAGCATGGAGAGAAGAGAAGCGGATGAAGCAGATGAGCGACGCCGATGCGCCATCGGGAGAGACGGCCGTAGTCTAGCCGCTCGTGAGCAAGGCAATCAACACCGAGAGAAGATTGCCCATCCATAGAAATCCATCCATAGAAAGGGCGAGTAGCTACCTAGGTACTGCTGTAGTCATTCGCTGTGACTAGAGCTGTGTTCTTGTATCTAGTTCAGGAGAACAAGCATCGAGTTCGAGGAACTACCGATCCACCGTTCACACAAACATCAAGGATTACGAGCGTATGCGCCTGCAGTAGCAGCGGCCGTCTTATCTCGACAACCGCGCCTTTTGTGGTTCCAGTGAAGCTGTCCAGGAAATTGTTCAGTTTGAAAGGCTCGTTGGGTGTTGAAAACAAGCTTGAAGCTTGAAGGATCGTAGCTCAGGTTGGATGTGGTGACAGCGACGGCCTACTTTCAGTAGTGAGCTAACCCACAGCGGGGCGACCTGGAGCGCCCCGCCATGAAGATCAGGAACAGGCATGCCGAGCCGCCCGACAACCCGTCCTGCCCGTTGCTCTGGCGCATCGTCAGTGCTCTTCATGGCAGGTGTTGCTTAAATTAGCACGCGAAAGCCCCACGACGTCTGCTGGGGTGAGATTGATCCACCCCCGGTGAATATGGCTACAACTGCTCTCGCCGCAGGAGACACTTACGAGAGCCGTCATGATTGTATACGACACTAGGCTCCAAGACCCGAAAAGCCCCATGTCATGATGGTTCTAATGGAGCGAGTACTGCCGGCTCATGTCAGCAAAGGGGAAACAAGGGCGCGGTTACCTAGGTAGGAATGAAGGCTATCGGTACTTCAGGCGCGACGTCATATGTGGTATCGCCAGGTGTACTCACGTCCTCTGTACCACAGTAGCTTCAAGCCACCTGCCTGGAGGGACACAATGCGACAAATGCGCCGTGCGACTTTGCGCGCCGTTTCTCAAAATACATCAGCAAGTTAAATTGATTGTTTTTCTCAGACATAATCTCAGCTGGACTGTGCCATCATCCTGTGAAGCCAGATCCCATCCCGCGCGTCATCCAAGCCTTCCAAGCCACGGTGGATCTTGCTGATTTACACCAAACCCCTGCCCTCATGTCCCTACGCTTCATTTCCCAGCGACCTCGTATCTCGCCCGGCCATCATGGCCGCACGCAGTCTGGAACCCGCGGAAGCTGGAGTTCCTGAAGAGAAGGGCGCCCCCGAGCACGACGAGCAACATTCCCGACCCAGCGAGGATACCGACTCCCAAGCCTGGGAGCCTTTCGATGACGACTTCGCCGATCCCCCGGACGCGAGCTTACACGGCGACAGAGTCGGAAACGACGGCGACCTCGACCTCGACCTAGAGGACGGCTGGGTACGCAACCCCAACAACCCGGCAGAGATGTCGCGATGGACGGGCCAGCCCTCGATCAAGGGCTCGTCAGATGCAATGCGCATGATCTTGCTCAACTTCTGCACGCTGGGTATCACGTAGGTCGAACAAGTCCTCGAGTGCATTGGTCTCGATGGGCCCAGCTGACCACCGTGTCCGACGCAGCTTTACATGGGGAGTTGAGATGACTTATTGCACGCCCTACCTTTTGAGCCTCGGCTTGACCAAGAGTAAAACGTCTCTGGTATGGATTGCTGGACCATTGTCCGGCCTCCTTGTTCAACCCATCGTGGGTGCGATCGCCGACGAGTCGAAATCAAAATGGGGCCGCCGGAGACCTTTCATAGCCATTGGGGCGGTAATCGTGGCCCTGAGTCTTCTGCTACTGGGTTTCACGAAGGAGGTCGTGGGGCTCTTCATTACCGACGAGGACACCTTGAAGACCCTGACGATATTGGTTGCCGTGCTAGCCATCTATGCGGTGGACTTTTCTATCAATGCAGGTGTGTGAACAGTTACTGCGGAAGCGCTCTAGAACCGGAGGCTAACAAGGTTGTTCACAGTCATGTCTGCGGCGAGGAGTCTCTTGGTGGACGTGTTACCCATATCAAAGCAGCAGGATGGCGCAGCCTGGAGTATGAGCCTGAATCCTATGTTGTACCTGTGCATTAACTGACACCATCCACAGATAGCAGGATGTCCGCCATTGGCCACATGATTGGGTATGCTGCAGGCGCCGTCGACTTGGGCTCGATCTTTGGCAACTTCCTAGGTGATACGCAGTTCAAGAAACTGACTGTAGTCGCTGCCTTTGGCATACTCTCTTCTTCTCTAGTCACCTCCTGGGCTGTAACGGAAAGGATTCTCGTCGACATACGGAAAGACCCCCGTCAAGCAGGCGGGAAACTCAAGGTACTGCGGCAGATCTGGTCAACGATCTTGCACTTGCCGCCGCGCATCCGTGCTATTTGCCATGCACAGTTCTGGGCCTGGATCGGATGGTTCCCATTCCTCTTCTACAGCACAACCTGGGTTGGCGAGACTTACTTTCGATACGACGTCCCACCGGATGCTCAAAACTCCAAAGACACGTTGGGAGAGATGGGTCGCATCGGCAGTACTTCCTTGGTCATCTATTCCGTCATTACCTTTCTCGGCGCCTGGCTTCTCCCTCTACTAGTCAAGAGCCCCGAGGACGACGGATTTACCCACCGCCCACCACGGGCGATCGCAGGCGTTATGGAGAAGTTCCAGAAGTATAGACCTGATCTGTTGACGACCTGGATGATTGCACATGGCATGTTTGCCTGTGCCATGTACTTGGCGCCCTTTGCGAATAGCTTCAGGTTTGCGACTGTGCTAGTCTGTATTTGCGGACTGTAAGTGGCTAAAACGTAGTTCATTTATATCACCGGCGCTAACACAATCCTATAGCCCATGGACTGTCGCAATGTGGGCACCGGTGACGTTCCTCGGCATCGAAGTCAACAGGCTCAGCGGCGCCAACGAAGCTACCGCATCGTATCGCCGTCTCTCCAATGAGTCTGTCGAAATGTCAAACTTGAACGGCGATACTGATGCTTCCCACCTCGAGAACGGAGTCGATGAGGCCGCGGCGAGCGGTAAGACGAGCTCAACGGGAGAGCTGTCGGGTATCTACTTTGGTATCTTGAACATCTACACGACGATTCCTCAGTTCATCGGCACTTTTATCAGCACCATTGTCTTCGCCATCTTTGCCCCCGGCACCAGTCGGGAGCTCCATGGCGGCTCAGGGGACGACGACAAGCCCCCAGCTGCGGATGGACCGAATGCCATCTCGATTTGCTTGTTTATAGGTGCCGTTAGTGCCACTGTCGCGATATTTGCGACAAGGAAGCTCAAATACCTATAGAGTTTAGGGGGTTTACATTTGCTGCTATCGTACAAGTACTGAACGATAGGCACGCTAACGCAGATGGGGGTTAAATCAAGTGGCGTTCAAGGGGTTTATTTTGGGATTCATTTCAGACATGACAAGATACCTCTGATGTTTGGGACATGTACGGGTTGTGAACTCGCGATTTATAGACTACACGATTGACTCCTAGAGCACGGACTAGCCACATACTCGGAGCGCACGTCAATTACTATGGCACTCGAACAGACGTGCACACATGTCAAAGGATTAGTCCCCTCATGCTTTGCGCTTAAGGACTTGCTCTACTGCGGCAACACGGCTGACTCGTCCCTGACGGATCTCCTTCTTGGTGCTCAACCTGGCAATCTCAGCCCGCAGCCAATCGAGGACCTCCCCGTACCCGGCCTGCTTGCGGCCCAACACCTCGGCGAAGGCGCAGTACGCGAGGCAGGCGACCTCCGTGCGGCGCACGTCGCAGGCGTAGCCCGGGTGGCGGGCGCGGCGGGCGCGGCTGGTGGCCAGCAGGAAGGCGACGGCGGCGAGCTTCTGGACGGCGCGGACGACGAGGCGCGGGGCGGGCCGGCGCCGCGGGCCCAGGCAGCGCGCGTACGCCCAGGCCTTGGCCGCCGTCTCGGCAAAGGCCGCGTGCAGGCTCGCCAGCACCGTGTGCGGCGCGTTCAGCGACGTGTCCAGGTACATCAGGTGGCTCTGGATCTTGAAGGCGTTGAGCACCTTGCGCTCGAAGGTCTGGCCCGGCGTCCGCGTGTGCTCCACCGTGAGGGAGTTGAAGATGGATTTGTTGTTATGACCATTCATGGTGGCGGTGGCGGTCATGGTTGGAAGAGTGGATTTGCGAGAGAGTTGTCTAATGTGGCGGTCTCTGGTGATGTTCAGGGTTGCAGGATAGATGAGCGTTCCGCAGTAGGGAAACCCGGCCCTCGGGTGTACTTTGGACACTGGTGAGCCCGCATCGAGTTCAAGGTCGAAATTTACTAGGGTTTTGGCCGGGTTCACGGTGACGCCGTATTCTGGCACGCCGCGGTGCATGACCTCAACGAAACGGGAGGCCTTGGACCTGTCGGCGGTAATGAGGAGGAAGTCGTCGATGAGACGAAGGAGGAGACAGTCCTCAGAGTCCAGAAACCTGAGGACTTGGATTTCGAGATCTGCATAGAAATAGTTGCAGAGTGTGGATGACAGTACCGAACCCTGGGGGATGCCATCCTTTTGCCGGTAGAATTTCTTGCCGATCTTGACGAGGTTCTGCTGGATATGGGAGGAGACGAGCTGCAGCATAGCGCTTGTGTCGTAGATTTTCTTGAACACACTCTCGATGAATATGGTGTTCTTCTTGCTTGTGACGTCCTCACCTAGAGAGTCAAAGAGAGATGTCCTTCCTAGGCGTCTCATTGCTGTTGAGTGCCACTTGCGTAAGGGCTTGGGTTTTCTTTGAAGCCTATGGGATGGCAGAGCATGCAGGTGAGTGCTTGAGAGTTCCACGTGCTTCGCTATCTGGTATTCGCGTCGCTGTGGGATGGAGTCCAGAAGCCCAACTATGGCCGACTGAGGGATGGTGTCGAAGGCAGATTGCACGTCAACCTTCGCAAAATACAATGGCCCCGAGAAAGTTCCCATCCTTGCCTTGAAGGTCTTGATACGCTTATACATATCTCCCACTGAAAACATTGCGGATCCCAGCTTGCCAGGGTTCAGGGACTGCTGGAGTTAGCACACATCAATTTCAATGACAAGTTTAGCAACTGCTTACCTTCTCGAGCTGAAGCACATTGTGAACTGGTTTGAGTAGAGTGTTGATACTTGGGCCCAAAAGCCTTTGGTTGCCCTTCGTGACCATCTTCTTCCGCAGATTCATGATCGGCCGCACGCTGTGGCCCTTGGGTAGCAGTCGTACTTGGCTGAAGCCTAGCTGCCGAGAGTCAAGTATTCTGTTGGCATCTTCCAAGCTGACCTCTTCGAACATTTTGGCCTTCAAAGTAGCCATGACGGGTTCGGCAACATATCGCCAGATATCATGGCGGAAAAAGAAGAGCCGGCACTTATCCGTGTTCGACTCAGTTATGTAAAAGTTGCTTCGCAGCAGGGGTATCACAATCGAATCGAAAATGTAATAAAGAAATTCGTAAAACAGCTCAGCTCGTTTAGAAATGTCAGTTTGTGATGTCTTGTGTGTCAGGAGCCGCGGAGGCGCCAACCATTCGATCTCCGTAAGCTGGGACTGCGGTCAGCTGGGTTGTACACTTTATGATATTGTGTGGTAAAGAGGCTCACCCTCATGCCTTGCATAACTTCATGAAGTGACATGCTCTCAAAGCGTCTTAAGCGTATGAATTGGTCCACTTTTTTGAGTATTAAGCTACGGTTGTGTCTCTGGACTTCACCACTACCAAAGAATCTGACTGGCAGAATCTTCGAGACTGCAGCCTGGCAGAAGGCAGAGACGCTTGCAGCCGAAGTTGACAACTCGACAATGGATGTAGATTTTGTGGTTGTTTTGGTCCGCTGAATGGCAGACTGTAACTGCGTCGAGACTTGGAAACCCTTTCCTTTGGAGGCTTGTGTATGCCTACCAACTCTACCATTTGACTGGGAAGACTGTGCGCCATCCAGTGGGGTGCTGACCTTTTTGATTCACTAGATCAATACAGATACGGTATGAGACAAGACCGATAGACTAACCGGACAGTAATACTGCAAAAGTTCCGAATATGAGCATCGGGTGTGCAGAATCTGTAACTTTTGTATGAGATCCTTTGCCTCGCCCCTTAATCGTTTTGGGACCTTGGGCGATAATTTTCCAACTTCAGCGGCACCGAACATGTCGGATATCTCATTTTCGCGAAGCGTATAATCCTTGAACCTTTGTGCGGTCTCGGTGTAATCGATCTTAGAAGTAAAAGCGTTGTGCAACCCAAACTGCCGCGGGAAAATGTACATCATGACCTTGAGAGAATTGGACTTATTTCTGTCCGCAAGCTCTTGAGTTGGTTCTGCAGGTCCTTGATCCAGCTGAACATACGGTGCTCGATTCAATACATCTGCTACGCGTTAGTAAATATGTAGTAGATCATGCAATCCCACTCACGTATATGTCGTAGTCCAAAATGAACGAGCCCACGCGCATTCAATGCGGCTCTGGCATACAGCATCCGGTTTCGCACAAATATAATGTCCGACGGAGACCTCTCGAAGTGAGCTGGCTCCTTGTTCCGTTGCTCATTAGACAGTAGCACCTCTGCGTTGGTCAGGGGATAGCCTATGTACCTCTACTCAGTAAGCCAACGGCAAGCTGATGAAGAGAACGAACCGCTGATTTGGCAGTAGTTGCCTTGACCACCTCTCACAGAGGTGAAAATAGCGCAATCCAGCAACAAGTCCATCATAATGCGATCACCGCACTTGCCCAGAAGCTTGAGGAGTTGCGGCCATGGCGCCTCTTTCAGTGTATTCACTTGAGGGTTTGGGAACAGCGAGAACAGCCCCGGAATGGAGCAGCTGTGGTTAACTCCGGGACCTTGGAGTTTTGCTGATTTCGGGTCTCTTCGAAATCCATCACATAGTATGTGTTTGGGCCATGCCCCGGAGTGTGTTTTTGACTTGGAAAAGAGCAGCCATATTACGAAGTCAACTATCTAAAGCACCTGTCAGTTACCTAATACAACAAGCGGCCATTTCGACACACCTCCGATTGACAGAACTCAGCGCCAGCAAGGCCGTCGGACAGAGTGACGTGCGAGTCGTCGCCGCGTTGAGAGAAGTCCGTCCAATGCTTCCAACGGTTGTCTGGCCTGGCATCTGCCTGCAATGCTTGGTCTGTGACCCCGACGAGCGTCGAGTCAAGCAATGCGCCTAGCGAACGTTCCACGTCAGAGACCTCGGTATCTGCAGGTCGTGTTAAATTGACCGAAGATATCTTGCGTCTTCTGATTCTCGAGGTGGACGGCAGCTTGAGCAGCATGTAGTTGCGCAACGTCAAGACGGTCGTGAAGTACTGATCAAGTACGGCATGCTTTACTGCTTGGGCTGCATTACTTGTTATTCCCTTGGTCGAATGGCGCGATTTCTTGATAGCTGGATTCATGCCATGCTTGGTATCGACAGAAGCGGTGCGCTTTCTCTTCTTGGAGGAAGCCATGGCGGCATCGTGACAAGGAGGCTTGTTTGCCAATGTCCAAGCCTGCCCATGACACGACACTGCCGGCGGTACCTGGCTCGAACTCGGGACCGCGACGCACAACGCTTTCCCAACCTACGACGGTGTCACGACGGGGACCAATTTCCTGATTGGCCAATGGGCGCTCTGAAGAATATTAGCCGGCCGGCGAGCAACGAGGCAGGACCCCTTGGGTTGAGATGAGATGCAAGAGATGCGCAGCACGTAGCGGTTGGTTTGACGCGTCTGTGTAGACGCGGGTGGCTGCTGGCCTAGATCGGGTACTTGGGACCCTAGGTAGCTGGGTATCGTTCCACTGCTCTGCCCAATGCCCGCTGCCCACCGCGGGAGAAGGACGTGAGAAGGACGTGCGCAGACTGGCGGATCTGCGGGCTATGGAGCCCGCCCTGGCACACACTGGCTAGCTGCTACGTTAGCCAGTCTAGTGCCTGCCAAGATGGGCAGTTGGCGTGGTGCTCGGATCTATGCTCCGACGCAACGATCTTCGTCGTTAGACTCTAGTTAGCCCTATCCATCTCTATCTCCGTCTGCATCTAGATCGTCCATAACGTCCTCTCAGTGTCAAGTCCCTGCGCGGGCCCTCAGCATGATTGTGTACTGTGTATACGAGAGGGGCACGGCACCACTGAACGGCCCCGTATGCGAATCCTCCCGTGCCCAAAGGCTGCGTGAGGCGAGGATCCGACTGCTGCAGGGTGCGGCGTGCTTGGTAGGCGGTTGACTTTGGGTGTAGGTTTCATCTATTTCCTACACGATTTTTAAGCCTCCCGATCGACCCAGATTTTGCTACCCATGCAAGCAATACTCATGCCTCACTTCTGATAAGCCTGACTCCCCGACTCCACGAGTCGACACGCCCGCCCGCATTTTAAGGTTGAGCATTGGGAGCATCAAAGATACTTGTCAGACCCGACGAAAGCTTCGCAATGGGCAGGCTACCGTCTGTGCATGTCAATATGCAACACCAGCCTGATCTTGACTGTCCTGGACGCCTGATTGGGCGCTTGGGAAGCCGGGGTGGCTGAGACTGGTGAGGAGTGCAGATGCCAGACGTGCACATTCAATGCAACTGGATGCGCCTCCAGACGGGAGGCCATTTTCTTCTTCTCTGCGCTCCGCGGGATGTGATGATGCAACTACTACCTACTGTAGACCCAAGGCAGGCCAATAGTAGTATTCAGCCAAGTGCCGAGATGCCTGCCCATGATCAAACCGAGTCGTGAATTACACACCAAAGTCTTTGCTGCTTGTGAAGTGAACCCTTCTGCTGGTCTAAAGTTTCCACTATAACCACGATCGGGCAAATAGTCTGGTAAACCCGAAGGTTAAAAAACCTCGGCGGTCACATCGGCGCATCGAAGGCAGCTGGCAGGCTGGGGACGTTTATCCGTGCCCACCAAGTATGAGTCAACAAGTTGGCTGGATGGACATTCTTCCCACGGAGCCAGAACGGACATTGTCGTGAAGGTTTTTCGCTCCCAAGGATGAGCAAGCTGAACGTCGAGGCTAGGCGCAGGGCCTCTGGACGCTCCAGCGAGTGCAAGCAGACCTCCCCCACGGTGATGGGGCGGCTAGTCAACAGCGGTACTAGCACAATTGGGTCGCCAGCATAGCCTGCAGAAGACGACGAGGAAGACAGACGAAAAAGAACAACGGCTCCAGAAATTGTGGGTGCTTTTGCAGGCTCGGATGTGTTGTCTCATGCAGGCATCATGCTGTAAGCAGTCGTAGCTCATCTATCTGTACGGAGCCGGGAGGCCAGCGACGATCCCGTAATAAGGCAGGACTGGGGGGCCGCATCCATTGCATTTCTTCTGGCCTGTGCAAGGCCAGAATTGTGCACACCAGACCGCATATCCAGCGCACGCTGCCCAAGTGTCGAGTTGTAC